TTTACTTTATATATAGATATAATAGGTTAGGTCTTAGCGAAGTTTATATCTAAGAAGTAATTCCTTAATCAAAGCTAGAAAGTAATACTTATTATTATTAAAACCTAACGGATATATATAAGTTTTATAAGGTAGTATATAAAGCTATAAACCTTTTATATTCTTATGCGAAGCTTTAATTACTTTTAATAAAGACGTCTATATTATTATACTTATTTCTAAAAGTTAAGTAGATATAATAGTCTCTAAACTATAAGTCTTAAAAAAGTTATAACTTAAGTAATATCTTTTTAAAAGCATAACTATTAGGAAGACGGCTTTACCTATTATTAATATTTATATAAAGTTACCTAAAAGTATACCTTCTATACGAATTTAGACTTAAACTATATAGAAACCTTTACTTAAAGTATAAGAAGTAATAAAAGATAAAAGGAGACTTAAGGATACGTAAGCATATATTCTCGAAGGTAGAAAAGTAAAAAAGTATAAAGGAAGCCTAAGAAGATATTACTTTAGAAAGAGAAAATTAAGAAAAGAAGAAAAAAACGAGATAATAATATAAAGATAGGAATAAATAGTCTTATAAATATAGATATCTAGACTTTATCTAAGTCTAGATTATTATTACTTTCTAATAGTAATATAAAAGCTTATTTATTCTAATCCTACGGTTACGGAACTATTCTTTTACTTACTTAATACTATTAGTCTACTTTAATAGTAAAGATAGCTTTAATTATATCTTAGCCTAAATATAATCTTCTAACTATTACTATAAGAAGTTATATACTTTTATACGAAGGTATTATAAACCGTAAAGTCTATAACTAAAGGAAATATTTATATAGACTTTATAATCTTATTATAAACCTAAGAGGTTTTAATTAGAAGGTATTAATCTAAATTAAGTTCTTCCTTTCCTAAAAGATCTAGAAGTATTTAGATCTTTATATAGTCGATTAGTTAAGTAAAGTCTTATATAGTTTTATTATCTAGGTAAAAGTAAAGTTTCTATAGTTAACTAAAATAATATATAAGCGACTTTTTTATAAATAAATATAATAGTTATTTTAAAGGTTTACGAAAGAGGTAAAGTCTTTATAGATAATTAGTATAAAGATAAATAAAGTATAATATAATTAGAAAGTAATTTATTAAAAACCTAACGATTATAGTTAATAAAAGTATACTTAGTAATATTAATATCTAATTAGAATAATAAAATAGTAATATACTTTCTAAGTTACTAACTATACTTAATAAAGCTAGTTTTATTAGCTTTTAATCTTAATATTATAGATGCTTTTACTAAAGATCTAATAGTTATAAAACTAAATAGAGATAGTAACCTAGCTACGAAGGAACCTCTTTCGTATAGCTTTATAATAAATATTAATAGCTTCTTATAATTAAGATAGTTTCTATACTATAGTCTAACCGAATAGTTTATAATATAATACTTTATAACGTTAGTATAGAAAGATATTAAGCTAAAATAGAATAAGCTATATATATAGAAAACCTAATAAAACTATATAATATAACGAAAGTATATATTAATATAAGTATAGATTTTAAACTTAAATAGAAGTAGTTTATTATATGTTAAGTAACTAAATAAAGTTTAGACTTAGTATAGTCTAACTTTTCCGTTAGTATTATATCTCTTTTAGTTAGTTAGCTACTTTTTTAGGAAAGACTATATAGTATGCTTTATATAATACTAAGTTATTAATAATATAACTATGTTAATATATATATATAAAAGGAATTCTTAGCTAAAGTCTCTTATAATATATGCTTTATTACTTATTAGAAAAGTAAAGAAGTTTATAGCTTAATTAAATACTACTTAAAACTACTTAGGAGTTTAATAATACTATAGTTAGTAATATTTCTAAATATCTTCTAAGCTACGTTATAAGATTATAAAGCCTTCTATATATAAGCATAGAAAAATATCTAAATCGGAAAGTCTATAATTAAAAAAGAGTTAGAAATATATTATAATAAGGCGTTAGAAAACTTTATTCTAACTTTATAGTAAAGGTTTAAGCTTTATAAAAAGTACTTAATATTAATAGAAAGACTTAGATTTAGAAAGATTTAGAAAAAAATATATTATATTAGAATAAGTCTAACTATCTTAAAACTTTTCTATAATAATAGATTAAAAAGGAGTAAGATCTATATATAGCTAACTAGCTATATTTACGTAGGATATAATCTATATAGATATTTATAAAGGAAAATAGGAAAGTATTAGTATAAGTAAAGAAATATAATTTAGGTATTTTAAAACGTAAAAACGCAAAGGTATAAGTAGTCTTACGCCTTTATATAAGGGTATTAAACCTTATATAAAGGTACCTAACTTATAAACTAAAGTTACTAACTATAACGCTTATATCTATCCTTTTATTCTTATAAGTATACTTAACGTTCTATATACTAGATTCCTAATTTTATACGCTTTAGTAGGTATTTATAATATTATATAAATATATTTACGTTATCTTTAGTTATATATAATCGTATAGGATTTTATAAGGTTTTAATTAGTTAGTAAAAAGCTTAATATCGATAGATTTATTCTTATTAAGATAGGGTTAGGATATATAGTAGCTAAAAGGTTAGAAGCGCGTAAGGCCTACTAATAAAGAGGCATAAGGCGGCGCGCGAGGGAAAGCCTTCGAGGCTATAGGCTAGGATATCGTAGATAGAGGAATTATTATTATTATTATATATAGTTACTCGTTTTAGAAATTCTGTAATTACGAAGCTAATTCTTAAGCTTTTTTTCATTCGTCTCTTTTATTTAGGTTTACAAATACTTTTAATTATTAATTAATACTATTTCCTTTATTCCTAGACTTATAGCTACGAATTAGCAATTCGCCCCCTATTCTAAATTACTAAGGATAATAGTAATTATATAGGTTAGGTATTTTTGTTAGTTGTTAGTAGCTACGGGTCTAGCGCCTGTTTTATTATCTATATAGAAATATAGTTAGTAACTTTATATAGATAATATTAGCTTTATATAGAAGTATACTATAGTTTACGTTAGTAAGCTTATCTATTATAAAGATTAACGCTTTTCTAATAAGCTATATATACTTAGGCTTAACGCTATAAACCGTATTAAGAAAGTCTATTTCTATATAGGAAATATATATCTTCTTACTAATATATATAATAAGGTATTACTCCGTAATAGCTTGCTTTATTAGAGATAAGGCTATATAAAGCTAGTTAATACCTATATAATAGCCTATAGACTAGGATAAAACTTACTAAAGCTATAGTTAGAAGCGTTAGAATTATATATATAGTTAGTATAGCTAGCATAACTATTTAGAATAATATAAGTATTAAAAAGTTTATTACTTTTAGTATAGTTCTTATACTAATCTATACCTTTATAAGCGTTTTTTAAACGTATATAAAGAAGGTATTTATATTCTATATATGCTTATAATTAAGAGATTTTTTCTATTACTTTCTATTCTTTATTATAAAGCATATTAATTAAGTTATAAGCTTATATATATATAAGTAAGTTATAAAATATATATAGAAGTATATAAACTATACCTTTATATCTTTATTATTAAGAATTATATTAATTAAAATATACTAGTATAAAAGATATAACCTATAATAGATTAGTATAAAGCTATAAATAGAATATAGAAGTATAAATAAGTAAAATAAAGCTAGTTCCTATAGCATAGTTATATAAAGTAAGTAATTCTATAAGTAGATTTATAAGAATCTTTACCTTTCTAATCTTATTTAGAATAAGCTTTATAGCTAGCTTTATAGCCTAGGCTATCTTATAGGACTTATTAGATATTATTTAGCTTTATACGGAAATATAAGGATAATATATAGGATATTATAAAGATATTATAAAATAGTATAGGATATCGTATAGGTTTATAAAGTACCTATATAATATAACAAAGCGACGCCTAACGCCTAGAGTTATATAAATCTATACGGATTCTAACGGTTAGTATATTTTATATAAAACTATATAAAGTCTAAAGTAAGATAACTAAAAAATAAAAAATAAAAAAATAAATATAAAAAGTATAAGGAGGTTTTATCGATTTTTCGTAAAAAAGTATTAGGAGTATTATAAATTTCCGTATAGTAGGGGTTACTTACCTATTATCTACTAGGCATAAGGAAAAAGGAAGAAGTTCTGTACCTTACTAAAATCCTATTTATTTATCGATTCTAACGTATAGACCATGCTCTTAATTAGCCGGAAGCAGAATATAGATATTCTAATAGATTTTCGTAGATCCTAGTAGAAAGATATAGGTCTATATAGTAAACGAGATACCGTCCTACCTTTAATTTATAAAAACGATAATTGTCATACGGGAGATACCGTTAGTAGCCACTTACGGTGTGTTCCTATCAACACTTTGAATTTTGACCCAGTGGTCCCTGCGGACTGCCGTACCCTTGCACCCATGCTCTTCATTCTCTAATAAATTCACAAATTATTTTGACAAGCAGATTTAACAAACAGCGTCGAGTTGCCCGGCGGCATGGGACTGCGTATGTCTTGGCAAGATAACACCTCTTGGCAAGCGATATCGCTGACCATGTCAGGGAATTCCGGAGATTTTGAAAGGTTCCCCAAGACATTAAAACCCCACACTTTGAGGGGCCCCCTCCACATTGGAGATAAACAGATGCCTATTCCTGCATAGCTCCAGAGCAAATACCGTGATTGACATGCCGCGAACTAGACGACGTGACGTTATGAGCAGTGGGACAGGAAAAGTGAGGCCTTGGCAATGCAATCGAGTTCGGCTGAACTCCGCAAGAGGCCGAGAGAAAGCGATCAGCTTAAATAAAATGAACACCCAAGCTGCAGCTCCCGGCTGGAAAGCTCTCCGGTCACCACCGTGTTTACCAACTGTCAAGAGCCACCAAGACAGGCTGAGTCAAGCCCGGGGACAATCGCGACGACAATGCGCTACCAGGATACTACAGCTCTGGGCCTGCTTCACGCAGGCCTGGCTACCGCACTCACCTATGCCAGCAACCAGGTGGAGGTGATTCCGGATAGCGAGGTGGTTGCTGCCAACTTCCCAGAAGTCGAGGGTGTTGAGCTCTCCTCTCCCGCCTTCGCAAACCCAGACAGCGTGCCCAGCACCTTTGCCAATGGCACAAGCGGTCCGACAGACCAGGCGACGCTAGGTGAGTAAACTCTGAATATGGCATTGACTCATCTAATAGAATCGTAGACTACTATCTGCAGACCCTCGCGTCCCGAAATGACTGGTTGACATATCACAACCCCGACTTCCAGTCAGAGGAAGGCCGCACAATCCCCTATGTCTACCTGTCGACCTCCAAGCGCATCCCGGCAAGCAACCTTGACACCTACGCGAACGCCAGCGCCCCAGGAAAGGTGCGTATCTGGATGCAAGGTGGCGTGCACGGCAACGAACCCGGCGGTGATCAGGCCCTCCTTGCTCTTCTCGGCAGGTTCGACGCCAATGCCACCTGGGCGGCCTCCATCCTCGACAAGGTGGACATCATGATGTTGCCGCGTTACAACCCCGACGGCGTGGCGTACTTCCAGCGCTACTTCGCAACCAACTTCGACCCGAACCGTGACCATACCAAGCTCGCCCGTCAGCAGACTCGCGACATCAAGAAGCTCGTCATGGGCTTCGCGCCACATGTCGGCGTCGACTGCCACGAGTTCAGTCCCACGCAGCCGTGGGGTGCCAAGGAGCAGTGGATCGATGCGCAGGACGGACAGTTCTCGGCGATGAAGAACGCAAACATCCATCCCGATATCCGCGAGATGTCCGAGGCTCTGTTCGCGAATGCCATTGCGGCGGCGATGGAGCGTAGGGGTCTCCGATGGGGCCCCTACGTCGTCGGTCCTGATGGCACGGATGACATTGTGCTGGAGGAGACGACTGGCGACGCCAAGATCGGTGATAGCTCCGTTGCGCTGAGCCAGGCCATCATGTTCTTGACCGAGACCCGCGGCATCGGCTTGGCTGATCAGCACTTCCAGCGTCGTGTAGCTACTGGTCTTACCATGGTTGAGACTCTTGTCCAGACGGCTGCCGACCATGCCGAGGAAGTCTACCAGACGGTCGAGAATGCGCGCGCCAAGTTCATCGAGAGTACGGAGGACATCATCATCACCGAGTCTGCGCGCCCGACCAACATCTCTTGGCAATTCATCGAGGCCGAGTCTGGCAAGCTGGTTGACATCCCGGTGCAGTTCCTCAACACCACCCCCGTTGTCGCGAACCTCACTCGCGCTCGTCCTGAGGCGTATGTGTTTTCGAAGGCGTGGGCGGACGTGGCTGAGCGTCTCCGGGTTGCCGGAGTGGAGGTCCAGACGCTGCAGTATGATTTCAGCGGCGAGGTTGAGGCTCTGAACGTCACCAGCGCCGCCGTTGCTGCTTCCAAGTACGAGGGTGTGGCGAGAAGCACGGTTGAGACATCTGCGGTGAAGAAGGAGATTCGCATCCCGGCTGGAGGTTTCTGGGTTAGCACGAGACAGAAGAATGCTGCTCATGCCTTTGTCACTCTGGAGCCTGAGGGAATCGACTCATATGCCACGTTCAACATTCTGCCCGTCAACGTCGGCGATGAGTACCCTGTCTACAGGGTCATGGCGTAGAGTCATTGACTCGCAGAGAGAAGGGAAATGGTGTGTATAGTAGGTATACAATAATGCATGATGTGTATAGGAAAGTAAATGATTGGATACAACTACTATCAGCGATGCAGTTGAATGTTTCCTCCACGGTGACAAGACTCAGTGGTGGGTCCAGTCGGGAACTCCGGGTTACGATGAGAGTGGCGCTCAATACTCCGCTGCATCGGTTTTGTTAGACTTTGGGATTGTTCTAACATCTTGCGGCTAATTTCCATGTCTGCCAAGGACTTCTTCTGCCCTACGGTTAGTAATGTTTGAATACTGTAAAGTCACCCTGCCCCGATTAACCGTATCTCCAACTTGATCATGTATCAATCCATGTTTCTCTCTTCTCTCCCTTCCATCGCCATAGCATGCAGCGAGGTGTGCCCCTTATACGTTATGAAGGGCGTAATGTTTACAAAGAAAGGAAATTTCAAGCGGGTTTCTGTGGAATAGGAATATCATTCTGTGAATCTTCGCCGTTTTTGCTGATCAATCCATACCTTGTGTGATGGTCAGCTGCTGCTACAGGCTAAGTCATATCACGCTACATGGTGGTTGACTTTTGTATTTGCAAAAATTTCTGACTCGAATACAAAACAAAGTGGCATTGATTGATCTTCACCATTGTTGATGGATGCATAAGAAAAACTCCTGCTTGAATACGAATTGAGCAAGCGTGAACATACTAAATTCTCTGTATGCTTCATGTTACAGCCTAAACGGCAAACACCATTACCCCATTACAATAAATCCAGAACGTCTTTTTGTGCTGGAAGAGTCAAGTAGATTATGCGATTGAAGGAACAGAGTTGATATCCGGATATTTTAGTTACTTTAATTATTATTTTATCCTAAAACCCGCCCCACACAGAGGTATCATTCCATAACCATTGCTTCATCTATATATTATATAAGGTACAAGGCCCATCTCGCGACTGGCTTAGAAGGCAGCAAGAGCACCGAGGGCAATCATGCCGAAGGCACCCATGGAGCCGACGGCGGCGGCGCCGGCGGGCTGGGCAGTAGTGGCAACGGTAGCGGCGGTGCCAGAGGAGCCGGATGAGGCGGTAGGAGCGCCGGTCACGCTGGCGGTGGCGTTGGAAGCAGCGCCGGAAGCAGCCGCGGAGGCGGAAGCAGAGGCGGAAGCGATGGCGGAGGAGACGGCGGAAGAAACGGCAGCAGAGGCGGACTCGACGGGGGGAGCGGTGGCACCGCCGGTAACTTCACGGCAGAACTGGGCAGCGGCGGGGAGGAGCTCGCCTGGAGTTTCACGTTAATACCACACCGGCGAGAGAAGAGGATTTATTGCAAAAGAGGGAAGAAAGAAAGAAAGAAAGAAAGCATGTTAACATACCGGTGGCAACATCAGCAGGGCAGGCGGCAAGAACGCAAGGGACGCCAACGGTGTAGATGTTACGGTAGTTGGTGGCCTCGCAGATGCACTTGGAGTCGTCGATGCTGCTGCAGGGAGTGCCCTTCTTGACGGCATCGATCAGGCAGTCCTTGGAGCAGGCAGGGATAACGTCGGTGAACTTCTTCTGGGCGGCAACGAGGCCAGCGGCAGCAAGGAGGACGTAGGAGTACTTCATTTTGACGATGGTGGGTTTAGGGTAGCCTTGGTCTTGCGTATAAGCAGTTGAGATAGACGCGAAGAGGGTTAATTAACGGGCGAAGTGAGAGGGATGAGGGAAAGAAGAAGAAGAAGAAAAGCTTCTCAGAGCTTCGCACCGCGGGTATGGGTGCGTGTTATGTACATGCAGTTCTGTATGCGGCTTTAAGATCCGACGCGCCCGAAAGCAAGTGGTCTACTACTACTAGGTAGTAGAGGCAGTACACAGAGTCAAGGTCCTGCATAGTGGCTCCCCCTAGCCAAGCAGACCAGACCGTCCTTGGCACATTTGTTCCGGGTATCACCAACGACTTAGTGAAGAGAAATGGGCAATAAACTCGTGTTGGGTGGTTCGGTGGTGCATCTCCAGCCCAGGATGGGAAGATGGTCCGGCCAGTTGGGCAGGGATTTGAGGTGTTGGAGAAAGGCACCATGCCGATTCAGGATGCTCGGTTAGAGACCTTTTGACATGTTCGCCTTATTCGCGCCCCTCTTCCAGGGGTTTTTTGACGGTGTTGTGGAGTGTGATGAGAGTAGTGATTGGTTGGACGAGTCGATAAGATTGATAATGGCCTGAGGGGGGTGGTGAATGGGTGGAGGAAGTTTATCTGATGGGATCAGATAAGATTGGATGGAGCTTGGGCACCCCCTAGTTGGGTTGGGACGCAAATTTTCAGCTTCTCATAGTGCTACATAGTAGTGTACTCACATAGTAGCCGGGCTGAATACGCCTGGGGCTCGCTCCCCTGTTCGGCAACTCATCCGAAAGAGGGACAAAGAGAGGGAGCTTGATCGATGCAAATCCTGTTGGTCGGCGAAGTGCCAAGCATCCGAGGTTGTCCACTTGCTCAAGAGATACATGGCCACGTGAAAATATTTGTTAATGCAATTATCGTAGCATCCCGGAGCGGCTAATCCGCCCAGATCTGCCGAGAAGGCCAAGAGGCAAGAAATGAAATGAGGCAGGACTGAATACAGCGAATTGGCCATCTCTCTGTGTCCGAGACGCAGGCAGACTGGGCACATGACAGTGGAGTGGAACAGGGGCGGAATCAGCATGACGGTCAACCTCTACGATACCCAACATGGGTGATGGGTTAAGGTAGTGGAGATCCAGCTCGGTGTTCGGCGGAAGGATTTTAGGTCGACTAGAGTCACCATAAAGCGCAGAACAGTCTGGGGAGAAGAGGTGAGATTGACTGTTATACTATCCGTGCATAGATGAGTAGGCTGGTTACCGTAGGTGAGCCAGTACTTGGGGACATGGATGTGGTAGATCTTACTATTCAAAGACAAAAGGGATGTAGGTGCTCTACATAGTATATATACACACAAGTAAGAAACTGGTCAGAACTCAGGTTGACTTTTCGTATTGGGTAATGACCGCCGTGGCATGGTTCGGGTGGGTTGGCATTGGTGGTATTCAAGTTCAAGCGGCAGGCAATAAATAGTAGTATGTACTTTGCACTACTAGAGGCGGGAACCTGTGGAGAGGGAAAGGAATTCAATCAGCAATGGCTGAAGGTGAGCCTTGTGGCGGGTGATTATGGCTGGAGGATAACTGTGGCTAACGAGCTGTGGCTTCCGGTTTGTGGCACATGGCCGTGGCTTGTTGTTGTGGCTTCGACTTGTGGCTTCGACTTGTGGCTCAAGGAAGGCAGCAAGGCACGTGAGGTCCGGTCTTGCCAGATTCTTCCACTCCGGGCGGTTCCGTCCCGTGCGGCCGGTCATTGGTACGTAATTACCGCGGTACGTACTGCCGACATTCCGATAGCGCAATTACAGGTTCTGCATTCGCTGAAGGAGTCACAGACCACCAGTGACTCCCTCTGTAGGGGTGGAGCGCAGAATTGGAGACCCCCGCCAAAGCAAAACCTGCCCCTCCATGGAATTTTTAAACCCCGCGTCTTCTCCCTTCTGATTGTTTTTTTGAGACTATCGCAGACCGACGTTGCGATCGCAGCAACCCATACTTGACAATCAGCTCATTTGTTGCTCGCTACGTGGAAACACGAATTGGATTCATATCCCACCGCACTTCTACCCGACGCCATGGCTACGATTGACATCGTTCTCGGCGCCCAGTGGGGGTAAGCTGTCACTCTTTGCGGCCCTTTTCTTCCGTCTCCCTCATCATCTCTGTTGTCACTGTTTCTTTGGTGACTTTCTTGCCTTTCTGCGTTTCCGCTTTGCTTTACACCTTTTTGCTTTACCATGCCACCACCGGCTTCAGCCAGCAGGACAAGAAGCGTATCGAGAGCTCCAAGTTACACACGGACATGTACCATTTTGTCTGTTTGGGTGAATACCTGTTGTGCCAAGAGATGCCCTCTCGACTATCTGCTGTCCTGCTGTGTCAATTGCTCTACACGTTCCGAAACTAACATGTCATCTTAACCTGCAGCGACGAGGGCAAGGGAAAGCTCGTTGACGTGTAAGCTCTCCCCTTGTTCCCTCGTCCGTCGCCCTTGCTCTCTAACCCACGAATATAGCCTCGGAAGCGATGCGCAGATTTGCGCCAGAGCTCAGGTTGGAACTATGGTACCTTTTGGATAATCAATCGCATGCTGATGGTCCTAGGGCGGACACAATGGTAGGAGTCACATCAACTCCTGATGGCCAGCAATCGAGGGTATTCTAACGTGAATCTCTTTCTCAGCCGGCCACACCGTCATCGTCGATGGTGTTAGCTACGATTTCCGTAAGTTCATTAGAGAATGTGGTGGGTGATGTCTCGGCTGACATGTGACCTTTTTGTTCAGACCTTCTCCCCTCCGGTCTTCTGCACTCCAAGTGCATCAGCCTTATCGGCTCCGGTGCCGTCGTCCACGTCCCGACCTTCTTCAAGGAGATGGCCGACCTTGAGGCCAAGGGCCTGAAGAACATCCGCGAGCGCCTGTTCGTGTCCGACCGTTGCCACATCATCACCGACTGCCATATCCAGGTCGATGGTCTTGAAGAGCAGGAGCTGGGCGGTAACAGCATCGGCACCACCAAGCGCGGCATTGGCCCAACCTACAGCACCATGGCCGCTCGCACTGGTATCACCATTAGCGAGATGTTCGACGAGGAGGTCTTTGAGCGCAAGCTCCGCCTCCTGGCCAACGGCTTCAAGAAGCGCTTCGGCGACCTGCTTGTGTATGACGTTGAGGACGAGATTAAGCGCTTCAAGCAGTACAGAGAGGACCTCCGGGTATGGCTCTTGTTGTCATGACACCGTGGAATTGGCACTGACAGAGTACAGACGTTCGTTGTCGATGCCGTCCCCATCATGGCTGACGCGCAGAGCAAGGACACCAAGATCCTCGTTGAGGGTGCCCAGGCTGTCATGCTTGACTTGAGTATGCCATGTTGAACCATTTGACAAGTTCACAAACTAACCGCTGCAGACTTTGGAACCTACCCCTATGTCACATCATCCAACACTGGCCTTGGCGGTGTCTTCACTGGTGTAAGTGTAGCGTCCAATATTCGATGTACAACTTTTCTGACGCATGATAGCTCGGCATCAACCCCAGAAAGGTCAAAAACATTGTCGGTGTCGTCAAGTCCTACACCACTCGTGTCGGTGGCGGCGGCTTCCCCACGGAACAGCTCAACGAGGTCGGCGAGAAGCTCCAGAAGATTGGCCACGAGATCGGCGTCTCGACCGGTCGCTCGCGCCGCTGCGGCTGGCTCGACCTTGTCGTCGTCAAGTACTCGACCCAGCTTAACCACTACACCGCCATCAACCTCACCAAGCTCGACATTCTCGACACTTTCCCCACCATCAAGGTCGCTGTTGCCTACAAGGACAAGCGCACCGGCGAGGAATTCGCTTCCTTCCCTGCTGATCTCAAGGCGCTTGACCACGCCGAGGTTGTGTACGAGGAGCTCGAGGGCTGGAACACGCCCACCACTGGAGCCAAGACCTATTACGACCTGCCCAAGCAGGCGCGCGCGTACATTGAGTTCATTGAGAAGATTGTCGGCGTCAAGGTTGTCTGGATCGGCACTGGTCCCAAGAGAGAGGACCTTATCTTCCGCGGATACTAGAATAGTTTTTTGTGCGGAATGAGATGAGATGTGCAGCTAGGATGTAAACGAGACAAAATTAGAAGAGACGTCTCAATGGTCTTGTCCATAGCTTATGGAATTTGAAAACGAAACAATAGACTACATGTACGATCATTCGTCGTCTTCGAGCTTAGTGAAGTTCTCACGGTGAAGCTGTCAATCTATATTCAATGGAAAGCCCCATAGCCACGACTTGACTATTACAGATAGTTCGGTCATTTCTTCTCCGACTCAACTATCGTGTATTTCAAAAGCCACTTACGTTATGAGAATGTCATATTTTAGTTGATTTCTTCAAAAGACACACGAGACCATCAGTCATATTAGTGGGGGCGGAGTCGGTCAATCCCAGATAGACCCCCCGACATCGGGAGGAGGGGCTGAGGCATTTAGCATTACCACATCGGAATCCCCCGCCAGCAAATTTTTCTTTTCCCTCGCGTCTAGAGAAACCCCATGCAATTGGGATCATATCATTGGTTGGCGCACAAACCAACAACGCCCATCGAGGGGGGTAAACCTGCGCCATCCCTGCGTTCGGGTCTGTGTCTCGTCATTGCCTACGGCAAATGGCCATGACCTAGCGATATCAATCGCCTCGTCGGCTCAACTGTCACAGACGGGCGCCTAAGGCGTTCTGAATTGTCTGGCCGGTTGGCCCAATGGCAAGGCGTCTGACTACGATATACCGTGGAATCAGGAGATTGTGGGTTCGACCCCCATGCTGGTCAAAATCTTTTTGTCTTTTTTGCTCATGTGTGTGACTTGTGAGGGCATATCTTTTTTTTTTTTTTTTTTGGTTTATTGGGTTTCTTTTTTCTTCTGATTTGTCCCAATTTACTGTTTTGTATTAAAGGCTAGTTCAATTATTAATCGATTTTAGAAATTCTAAGTCAACGACATGTTTTAATTAACATTTTATTGAGTACCGCTTAGCAACAGGTACAAACTAACTCATCCTAGATCTCTTTTTTTCAATGCTGGCATATAATACTCATTATTCGAGAAGTCACACTACCAGCATCTAATTGGCTAGAGCCCCGCATGCGATGCACCTATTGCCTGTCACTTCAGCATCGTGTCACGCGTGCAATCAAAGCAGGTCCTTGTACTCACCTGATTTACGTATCTTTTCCGCAAGTCTAAGAATCGATACGATACCACATGGTGCAGGAGTAGCTTGACATCTACCACACTGGGATTGGTTTTCGGATCACCTCCTCCAGTGTCGAACGTCTAACACATGGGCTTCCCGACTCTCCGTGACGAAGGTCCTAGTCTCCTGCTTATTTATAATATCTGCTGTTAATCGAACTACTTGACCGGGTAAATGTTTACGAATTTGGCGAATGTTCAATAGAAACGGGACATGGTAGACTCTATTACTCACAACATGTAGTCACCTATAAGCAAACTTCAATTACAAAGACGTGATTGACGGATAAAACTCCGCGGGTGCCATAGGCAAATGTATTGACAGTTGTTGTAACTATGTACAAGAATTCTAGGCCAGGCACTCTCCCCGGCAGCGCTTTAGGTCTGCTCGGCTGAGGGCCATGACCTAGTCTAAGAAGTTGGTGCAAAAGACCGAATAATCACGCTTTGAATGAGAGTTGGAGCCGCCAAATCCCATGACCTTTCTGTTTCCGGCTCGTGCGTTTAGCAAGTGAAGAGCGCGGGTCCCGGGATGGTGTAGGTGGTAACAGGGGGCCAGTCTAATTGGGAGATTAACTGTCAGTACACGTTGTAAATTACGAGATTCGCGGAAGGATTTGCTTACAGATGTTGATCTTGACACCGGGGTCGGTTCCCTTGTAGGCACCGGGGAAGCTGACGGTGTTGGTAGGGGTCTTGGTGCCGGTGCCGCCGACGACGTTGATCTGGGCGCACTCCATGTAGAACTGGGCTCCAGGGTAGTTGCCGGCGCCGTGCAGGGCGATCATCTCGGCTCTGAGGAGGTACTGACCGGGGGCGATGCACGCTGGGATCTTGATCGTGTGCTTGCCCTGGCCGTTGATGACCTTCTCGGTACCCCAGACGCCGTTGCTGAAACCATCCTCTTGGATCTTGAACCAGCCGCCGCCGACACCGGTGTCGGTGGTCGCGTCGGATACCTTCTTGAGGTACGCGATCGTGGGGCCCTTGTGCGAGCTGTCCATGATATCGGCCGGGCCGGTGCCTGTGCTGCTGAGCATGTAGCGCCAGACGGCGGTGACGGACTGGCCGGCCTGGACGGTGATGACCTTGGAGGTCGGGCTCGTCGGGTTCGGGGGTCCGTTGCAGGCGAGAGAGTTGGAGGTCACGTCCTCGATGGGGCCGTTGTAGGAGGGAACGCGCACGCCGTTGCCAACGCCATTGTTGACGCCGCCAGCTTCCAGAGAAGAGAAGATGGTGTGGGCGCTAGCCAATGAGGCACCGAGGAGAGGGAGAAGGACCTTCATTGTGTGTCTTTGCTTGAGCCGAGTGTTGTTGGGCCGAAGGATGAGGCGGATCCGGGCGTTTCCAGAAAAGAGTGAGTGGTAAGAATGGGCTCTTGTCGACCTGTTCGATACTGAGGTGGGATGATCAACATGTTTGTTTCGATGTGTTTTGCTGGTTTATATAGATGAAGAATTCTAAACGCCCCCCTTTTCTTCGGTTAGATCTCGTTGCTACTACTTACTCTCTTCGTCCCGGAGTCTTGAACCGCAGGTGGCGACGTGGTTGGGTTTGTCTTGACCAGGTGACCAGGCGAGCCAAGACCGTGAGGGCGACAGATACAGGCCGTGATGCTGCCGTGTGTTTGATGTTAGTTGGTACGCTACGACGTCTTGGCGAATGAGCCGCGTTGGACGGGGAGAAGGATCCGGCCACGAAGGTTCCGGGGTAGGCGTGCGGAGGATGATGGTCCGGATGCTATGGTAAATTTTGCCCGGGACGTTTACCGACATTCCCGTCCGGGGTCACCCAAGCCTCTGGGCTTTCATTTAATCACGGTACTTTAATTCGTGCTATTCCACTTGCTGGTTTCGTTGTGCGACGCTGGCTTACCCGGTTCAGGTTATTGGTCGTACTTTGGGGCCACGAGGCTTGATGGCGGCAATCCTCCTTTTAATTAAGAGCCCCATGGAAGCTTTCATTCGACAACAGCAGAGAGTGCATGAATACAGCCATTGGAATAGGAAGGCACTTAGCAGCGTCATAGATGTTGACAGCTGATCTTGGTTCGCAAAGTGATTTATTAAACTGCATGCAGAAGCGCCCGCCTCTCAACATTGCTCGTATATATTGCGAGTTGCTCGCAAATGCCGCTAACACATTAGATGGTTCCATTGGCGCCCAAAGTGTGGGGAATGTTCCTGGGAGTAATGGAACCTGGACGTCCTTACTGGCTCCCTCATGGAGAATGTGAGCTTGCGTTCTTTTCCCAGCAGAGACTTGGAAATGCGTGGGCAGATAGCGTGTAGATTGCACCTACACGTGTGACATGAACAAGTTCAAAGAAGGGCAGCCTAACATATCTCAATATTCTTTTGATAGTGTAAATCAAGCGATACTATTTTTGGCGCTGCATTTGAGTTGATGTATCTTGCCATCAGCTATTCTTTTTTCAACTTAAGATGGGCATCTTTGACGTTTCTTCGTGTGAAATACCTTCCAATTTGCTTAAGATAACAGTGAATGGCAATTTTCACCCAAAAAATTGCAATTTCTTCACCCTGAGCTTCTCAAATTAAGCGTTTACGGTGACCTTCTGGTAAGACAACATACGATCAGGTGTCTAGCCATGTTCAATACAGGGAAGCAAGGTAGGAGCTCACCCAACTATAGCATAGAGAGTTCTCACGGAGAGAAAATTAGCTCAGCATCTTTTAGTTGGAACTAGCCTAGCTGGTACACTCTCTGTTGCTAATTTCATTGCAATCATATTAAAGGTCTCCAAACCAACGCAAACTAAAAGCAGAAGTTTATAACTACGCAACATCTTGACTATATACAAAAATCATGATTTTTCTGTCCGTTTCATTGCGTGGGAATGCGGTTCATAGCGCTATTACTTCAAAAGGTGACTTGTGGTTTGATGTATCTCGCTCATGCTTTCGTGTGCGTCGGCAAAGAGACATCAACAAATGGGCTATCAGATCCCCCGTTGGTCGACCCCGAGTCAGCGGGAGTAGCTGTGCCACAGCAAGAGCTGCCTTCAGTAGCCTTTCCCGCGTCCTCGTAGAGCGTGCTCTTGTTGAAGGCCTGGCTGGAAGGGGGCACGTCATTGGTGGGGTTGTACTGGCAGAAGTTGTAAGGCTTGAGGTGGAATTGCGCAATCTCCGCCGGCATGATGGGGAAGTCCTCGACACGTGGGTTGTGAGTGAAGCCGAATGTGTGCCAGATGACAATGTCGTCATTAGCGATGTAGTCCCGCTCCTTCGTCCAGGACTTGATGCCTGTCCCACCGAGACCTTGGTTGGTATAGTCGCCTGCGGCGAACAGCTGGCGGTCCTTGTACTTGGTCACCCAAATGGGAGCCTCGCAGAACTCGGAGCGGCGCCAGTGCCATGATCCGGGCTGAGCAAGGAGCAGTTGTGAGCGAATGGGGACGAGCTTGTAGCCGACTGGTGTTAGAGAAACGGGGTTCTCGCCGTTCTCGTTAATGATTTTGAAGACGCGACCGTCCTTGACACTGTCTTCGACCGGACCCGCGCGGATGATTTGTGTCTCCTTGCTGACATAGCCGGTGCCTAGAGGGTTGAGCTTCGTGTCCCAGGGCATTTGAACCGAGTCAGCATATGTCAAGGTATTATCGTGTCCGTCGATGGCGGGGTCGATGCGCACGTTGAAGATGTGCTGATGGTATGGAGCCATCACACCGTCGGCGACACGTGTGCCCCAAGGAACCTTGGAGTCTTTGTCGATGGGCTGCGTGGAAAGGATACCAGTTGCTCTGGTCTCGAAAGAGATCTCGCCCGATTGATCGAAGATCCAAGCAAAGATGTACTCGTAGTTGGCAACAGTAATGATTTGCTGAAGTACCAGCTGCCTCTTGCGCACAACGGTCGCTTTGCCGGTACGATGGTTGGTGTGCTTCCACTGGATGCCGTTGTCGATCTCGTGAATGCAAATCGCGTTGGGTCGAGGTGCCGGGCTACCATCAGCCGACACAACACAGCCGCTGAGGTATTTGATTGTTCCTAGACAATCACATCCAACTGCAAACATTAGCACTTTCCGATTTTACGACCACGAATGTCTTACGCTGGAGGTTGTTCGCCGTCACGCCTGCGCCAACATTGCCCAGGTCAAAGGCACCCTTGCGGTAGATTGGACTACGGGGATCTCCGTAGGGAACAAACATTTCAGACAGAGAAAGCCGGTAAAAGGTGCTGCGACCCATGAAATGAAGGTCATGGAGCGTCAAACCTTGAGCTGGTTAGCAACATATGCTTGGAAGAATTGGACCATGTTGACTAACCTTCACGCCAGTTGAAACCAACACGGAAACGCCACTTCTCCCATTCAATGAGGTGGCCTTTGACAGTGAAGGATGCACCCTCGGGCTGTATGACATTGTATGGCTTCAAGGAAGTTCTAGGGGGGTTCTTTTGCAGGCGATGGTCATACTCAGGCTCGACGGGATCAGTTTCGCGATGTGCAATGTCATCCATGCCTTCTGTTGTGCTCTCATCAGCACCAAGAGGCAATCGGATAATCTTCTTGACTTTCATGGTGCAAAGATCAACGACGACCATGAAATCTAGAGGAAATGAGTAGTGCGAAGAGTCGACATCGTTGTTCTTGGGGTTCTTCATGTACATGAAGACCTATTACTATGTTAGGTGGGAGCGCCTTCAAAGGTGACGAGAACAGGACATACCTGTGTCATGCGTTCTTGTGTATCAATACCATCAACTCCATAGTCCCAAGGATCGAGGACAACATTAGCCTTGTCAATCTTCAAGCGTTCAAACTCTTTATGGACATCAGAATTGGCCATAACGACCTGTGCGGCTTCGTTGAGTTCGATGCGATCAACGGGACCATGAAAGTCGCGTGGCAACTCCTCATGATGGGTTACCCGCTTGTTGGTAACATCGATGATGCCTTCAAACAAACGAGGAGAACGTTTTATGTACCAGATGGCAAAGATACGTCGAGGAAGCTCTGGAAGTGGCTGTTCTTGGTGCTCTGCCTTGAGATAAGCGACCATGTCCTGCTTCGAGGGCTCCTCCAAGCCTGCGGCTTTAAAGTGGAGAGGAATGCCATAGAACAGCTCTTTAACAAGGTCTGTGGCAGTTTGAATCTCCTCGGCAGTAGCCGGGTCAAGAGGATGAAGGTATTCTGAAGAAGACATGACGATTATCCGAAGTGAAGAGAAACAGAGCAGAAGAAGGAAAGATGATGGTATAATGTGAGACTAGAACTGTTTCTGGATTCCGATATCTATCTGCTTTTATCTTCAACCACCTCCAAAGCCGAGTCAACGGTTCCCCGATTGGCCATCTGAACCGTTATGACACGGCCTCCCCGTGCTCGGGTCGTGGCCGCTAGTGCCGTTCTCTATCAACAATTGTGGCTGGTCCCCTTTTAAGCCGAGTCAAATGGCATCCGGGAAATTGTGGAACACTAATCCCCACAGGCAATGCGGGGAAGATTTTCCTACTCAAACCATGGGGGAGGCAGAGATAAGCGGCCACGGGAAAAGAGGGGACTTCTCCAAAGATAGACACGGATACTGAGGAAGAGGTCTTTGGGTACGTGATTCCGATAATCCACCATTGACGCGCGATTCGAGGTTGATTACCCTCTCCTCGGGTCCTGGTCACTTCATCACATATACCAATGACACCACCCGCTTTCGCACGTCCCCATGTCGCTGGAAGACTCCTCCCCCCGCTCACCTGCCCCCGACGTTGCTGTTCGGCCTCGGAGGGTTTGGACTGTTGCCGAGGACGCGAAACTGAAGTCTCTCGTTGCCCATTTCGGTGATGCAAGGGGCCCGCAGGGGCGGTGGAAAGACATAGCTGCTGGACTGCAGGACCGCTCTGCCAAGGTGAGTATCAGGGTTGGAGACGTAGTGTCACGTCAGAGATGCCATACTCACCTGCTGCGAAGGACTGCCGTAAACGCTGGTTTCACTCACTTGACCCATCTCTGCGAAAGGGTAGATGGACAGCACAAGAGGACCGGGTTTTACTGTCGGCTTACGCTCGCCTGGGCCCCTCTTGGCACGACATTGGTAGGGGACTTCTTTGGACTGCTCTGGCTTGATCAGCAATGGTTTCGTTACTAACACACCTTCTTCCCACCCAGCTCTCCTCATACCTGGAAGAAAGGATGATCAATGTGCCAAAAGATACAACGATATTCTCAATCCCCAAGCCAAGGATCGTCTCAGTCACTGGAGTCCCAAAGAAGACGAAGTTTTGACAGAGGGTGTCCGGACCCTTGGCCACAGGTGGTCAGCCATTTCCGCCAAGTTACCTGGCCGCCCTCCCCTTACCTGTCGTAATAGGTGGAGGGCTCTGACGAAGCATTCCAAAAGGTCAACTATCATCGGCACACCATCATCGACAGCCTGCCAGATGTCTGAAAGCGATAACGCCCTTCTTCCCGAGACTCCAGACTTGGCTACGCCATCAGCTGGAGTTGATGTGGACCTCAGCAACCAAGTTGATCTCCAAAATCTCACTTCAGCCATGATGAACACAAGCCCGAGTTTGGTGGATGGAGCCATCGACTTCGTCGCAGGTCCAGAGTCCTTTTCTGCACTTTCTGATCCACACCCCATTCCCAACCCGAGCGGTATTGGTGACTCAGAGATACTTGGAAACGCGGACATGACACAAACACAAATGTTTCATAACGTCTCTTCAGATAGTTCTGATTGTGCTTCAACACCACCGAGGTCGGGATGGGGTGATGTACCCGAAATGTCCTCTTCAAATCGGCACAACACCGTCCGCAACGTCATGACGAGAGAGCGGAACTCCAGGCCATCGCAATCCACAAATTCTAGCCTGGACACAACCGATTATGACTTCATCGCCGCCTCGGCATCGTCACTGCATAACAACAATGGCTCAATGCCGTCTCCATCTCAGTATTTCGAGCTTTTCGCCGATGACTTTGGGCAGATCGTTCCAACAGATCTCTTCAGGTATCCCGCTGCAACACAGCAAGTCGTGCATCACCACCATCACCATCATCATCACCATCACCACCATCATCATCAACAAGAGTCTAGTGCACTCAGACAGTTTGAGCAACAAGCTGAAGCCCAGTCGATGAGATCACAACCACGACCAGGAGGACGCGGGAGATGATCCTTCAGATAATTGGCATTTCTTTTCTATACATTCTTGTACATAGTAAATACCCTTAGCTGAGTGATTTATCAAGAGTTGATACATGGGATCCTAGGTATCTCTAGACTTTACAGACACCACGATGGCCAAACGAGCAGTGAAAATGACCGTAAGAATCCATTTCCAGTGCAACCATGAAGTAATTTGCCAGAGTATTGTCTTCTAATTGTGATGGTATGCCAAATTTCCATTTATGATTGACTTGAATGACCTGGGCTAAAGCCAGTTAAGGAAGTGTCACCAATATATTCGAGCAGCTCATCTGTGGAAAAAAGCTTTGTCAAATGCGCATATCCCACTGATAGTCAAAATTTAGACCAAACAGTTACTTTGCTAGGATTTGACCATGAGTAGCCCAGGACGTCATCTTTTCAAAAAGGCCATTTGCTGGCCCTCACTGGCTTACAGACAAGTTGACGCAACATGCCAGCTTTGACTCGGCCCAGTGTGGGGAAGGTTATCAACTAGTTTTTGACTTTAGTTGAGTACCGAGATACGAAACCACCTGCAGCCTTGCCCGGTTCGCCTGAACCGTGCAATCAACTTGGGGTGAAATAGGGTGTAATTGGTATCGGAGTGTTGTCGTAGAAACGTCACCAGACCCGGAGCAAACCAGGATAGGCTAGTCTGAACCTTTCAACCCCGCGGCTCCGAAGATATGACTCGGCTCAAATCGCATGGCCTGGCCCACCCTCTTGGCCGTCCCTTATCCGCCACACTTTTGGGAGGGCTGAAAGGAGGCGTCGCTATTTTGACTCGGCCCAAGTACAGCATGTTAGAGACGGTTATCACCTGAGTAATGGTATATACACTAGGGGCTCGTCTTGAATGTTGACTCGAGATGTAGCTAATCTATGAATAACCTTTTTTTGCACTTCTTGATCACCGAATACTACAACATGGAAGACTCGAAAGGCGAATCAAAGGACAATGGCTCGCTTCGACAAACGATAACGGCTCAAAATGGCGAGAGTACAACAACGACAGATGGACCCGGCCTGCAGAGGAAGTTGGCGGGCCGTCATTTGGTGCGTTGAGCCCTCCCGAAGACCGGCCCCCCAGTGTTACTACAGGCAGATGTAGGCTAACTCGGTCCTGATGGGGCCGTTCTGCAGATGATGTTAGCGATTGGCGGTGTCATTGGGCCCGGATACTTCGTGGGTATGGGTACGGGCCTGACGAGCGCCGGCCCCGCAGGTCTGCTGCTTTGCTTTACCATTGTCGGCGTGCTGCTATGGACGGTCATGCAGTCTCTAGGCGAACTTGGTGCTTTTATTCCCTCGTCAGGTGCGTCAAACGCTCCGTGATCCTATGTGGGGTTTGTAGTTGAGATGCTGATTGCTTGTTCTCACACCTAGGCTCCTTCACGCATTACACCTCTACCTTTGTCGACCCCGCCGTGGGGTTTGCGCTTGGGTGGAACTACTGGCTTCTATGGGCTGGAATCATTATTGCGGAATATAGTATGCGGTTCATAGTTGTTACTGGACCGCTCAAGCTGACTTGAACGAACAACAGATAATCTTGGACTTGTGTTGACTTATTGGGAGACACCTGTTCCCAGATGGGGCTGGATCCTAATTTTCTGGTACGTCCTCAGCACCATTAGCGACTAACTATAGCCTGGTTTAGGTACTTTGTCCGCTAACGCAATGACCTACAGGGGCTTTTTTCTCGCGTTTACCCTCCTCGGCGTCAAGTCCTTTGGCGAGGCAGAATTCTGGCTGGCTCTTATCAAAGTCATCGCCATTCTTGCCTTCTTTCTCTGCGCGATTCTGATATCTTCTGGTGTAATTGGTGGTGAAAAGATTGGATTCAAATTCTATCATGAACCGGGCGCATTTTCCGACGGCGCCAAGGGCGTCTTCAAGGTCTTTGTCTTTGCTGCTTTGCAGTATAGCGGTACTGAAATGATTGGGCTCACGGCTGGGGAGTCGGCCAACCCACAAAAGGATGTCCCCAAGGCGGTTAAGTCTGTATTGTGGCGTATTGCGGGCATTTTCTTGCTCGGCATCCTCTTTCTCACCATTACCGTGCCATACAACGACCCGAATCTTCTCTCCGCAACGAGCAAGACTGCTAGGTCGCCGTTTGTCATTGCTTTCACGAGAGTGGGAGCCGACGCTGGTGCACATGTGGTCAACGCTATTATTCTGATTACCATGTTTTCAGCGATAAACGCGGCTCTGTGTAAGTGGAAGGAACACTCAGCTTTGGGGATTTATAATAACCATGTGCCATATCCATACAGATGTCGGCTCACGCACCCTTTACGGCCTTGCTCAAGAAGGACAAGCTCCCAAGATGTTTGGGTGGACGACCAAAAAGGGAGTTCCAATCGTTTCTTTGATTTTCATGAATTTGATCGGTTTCTTGTCCTTGCTCAACCTTTCTGCCGGCGCCGGCGTTGTATACACCTGGATTGTTTCCATGACTGGCGTTGCAACCTTCATAACCTGTAAGCTTTTGTTCAGATCTTTCCAAGTTTTGACGGTTACTGACGTTCGCTCCTAGGGGGTCTTATCTCTCTCAACCACATCCGACTTCGCATGGCATTGGCAGCTCAAAATATCAGCGCCGATGTTCTCCCCTTTCAGGCTCCAGCCTGGAAATTTTGTGCCTACCTTGGACTTATAGGCAATGCATTTTTCATCTTCTTCCAAGGATGGACGTCTTTTGCTCCTTGGGACGTCGAGGCCTTCTTTCAAAACTACATAGTTGTTTTACTATTCATCATTTTGACGGTTGGTTTCAAGACTGTGAAGAAGACCAAACTGGTTCGTCTGAAGGAGATCGACTTGGGAGTGGCGAGGATGGTAATACATAGTCAATAGGTATAAACAGACTTGTAATCAAATGTTCTTGTAACTATTTGGACTTCGGACCTGGATCATTTAGCTGACAACGGCTTTGCTCAAGCCAGCATTTGCAATCCTCCCGATGGCGTATGCCAAGTTTTTGATGAAAACCTGTGACAGCGTCAATGAAAGTTTGTGATTTCGCCGATTATAGTTTGGCATAATCTGGTATCATTTCCTTGCTTAACCGAACGGAACGAGCTGGGAAACTCGGGTTTACTAAAATAGGAAAATGTGCATCAACCTATGAGTCGTGCCTGGACATCTGGACCATAGTTTTCAGCTACCTAGCGGCTCCGTATATGTATACTGTATCGGAGTCCGAATTAAGGTACAGAGTCTCGACATTCTCGCTGTCCGCTGGCGCGTCATATAAATGCCCACCCTCAACGACCGATGCATTGGCACCCCTAGTGCATCTTTCTTTGCACCGCCAAGTAATAAGACTTTACCACAGCCAAATTTGCTGCGGCTGCGGAGTTTCGGCCAAAGGCCAGACATGGAACTCGAAAATTTTATCAACCCGTATTCATCTAGCCTCTAACTTCCATCGGGAATCGAGTATCTGTTGACAATGCCACCGTCACTAAGCTGAAATCCTTCATTCTTGTCATCGTCAGACTCCTCATCTTCACTATGCTGGTTATCTCTACTTTTCCTGGCTACCAATTCACGTTTTCTTTGTTCAAGTGCTGCTAGTGTCGCGCCGATGCCCTTGAAATATTGTGACATTTCTTGCAATTTTTGGCGGAGGTAATCGACGTCAGAGCCACTAACGAGGGAAAAGAAATCCTGGACCCTGTGAGTCTGAATGCCTTTGCGCATTTGTTGTCCTTCTAGAATAGTGATGGCCGAGATAAACAATCCCTGGTTGATGAATGGGGTGGAAAGAAAGCCGCAGTTGTCGATAAGCTCCGCGGTGCTCATGATTTGCACGATTTTCTGACTGGCTACCAAAGCATCTTTTGGTTGTTGCACGCCGCTTACAACCCCATCTTGGGGCTGCTGTTGACTGTCTCTTATTTCTCCCTGGGAAAGAAGTATGATAAAAGTGTAGACGTATACATGAAGCTTTAAGAAAACTCCTGCCTGTTTGATTGCCGCAGCTTTCTTATAATTGTCGATGGTGAAAGTCAGTTCGTGATTAAGTGACTGATACTGGTCCATAATATCTTCTTTAACTTTTGCAAGTCGTTTTCTTCTACTTGGTCCATCTGGACCAGATGCGTCTTCGTCATCTTCGCTCCCAGTCTGATTTAGCAATTCAACTGCCTCTGAGAACGATAGCATAAACCGGGCCAGCTCTGGAAATATCAAGTTCTTCATTGATACGGTTTCTTGAAAATCAAGCTGCGCGCCTTTCATGTCTTGGGCGGTTGGGAGCGGAACATCTACCTCTTTACGTTTTAGGGTAGGCGGCCGACCAGTAAGCAAAGACACGGAAACATCCAGCGTGAATACTGTCCAGAAAAGCAGTAGTTTTGATTTCTGCTGGTGGAGCTTGGACATTTCATCGCTGAGTAGACCCTTTCCGTCTGGGCTGAGTGGTGACCGATCCCAGAAGGCAACTGTGGGATTGGTTTCTTTCTCAGGTGGGCGATGAAGTCCCATATCTTGCGCCATGCGAATAGCCATCCCGGATAGCATCCACAAACCTAAGATATGCGTTAGTGTTTCTGCTCTCACAGGAAACCTTATTTCTGAAAAGATCGAGATTTCCAAATGCTGTCCTTCTCTTTTTTTTTTTCCTTGTCCGCACTTACCGGCCTCGTAGTTATCCCCGAATTCAACCCACGCTAATATCAAGATGCCGGACACTACGTCGGTGGTAGGTATCGCCAGTAAGGTTACAAGTTGCTCCTTGGCTCTCTTAAGGAAATATGTGCCGTTGCGCCACGGAGTACTCGGCCTTGTGTCAGTTGTGCCTGAAAATATCTCCAGCGGACAGAATCTCATAGTCAATGCAGCAATTGCATGGATGACAAAGCTGGACGCTTGCCCAGAGCGAACATGACCGTCGAGGATTTGGGGTTCAACAAACGGAAAGTGTCCTCCAAAGCGAGCGAAAAATACATCCGCTATCCGACGTATCGCTTCCAAGGGCAAGTCATAGGGTGAGTCATCGGACAACGTATCTTTGTGCTTCATTGACAGCCGGTCCATTGGATCAATGTTTTGAGAGGGCAGCATTCTGATTGCCCCGAAGCGACTTTGTTGTTCAGTTTCGGAACCGATGTGTTTTCGACGAGTATTGACGGCAATAGACAGTTTCCTGAGTCCAGGAAGAACAGCAGTTGGACCGAATCTCCGGTATAGTCGCAGCCGTATTGCCTTTGAGCGTGTTTGTGGTGTTTCCGCGGTTTCAATTGACTGTCCATCCTCTGCAATGTTATTCCAGTTTACGTTACCCAAATTTTCCATTCCTTCGAAATCAAATACAAAGTCTTGAACCTCAGACCAGTCGCAAGACATATCCATGTTTTCTAATGCGAAGAACTCCCTCGAATCGAGTTGGGAGTCTAGACGTCCAACAGGATACAGCTCAGCATGTATGGTGTTGGAATTGTCGTTCGGAATCTCAGGCTGTTCCTTTTCTACCATACCCAAATCGTCCGTATTTGAACCACCCTCATCATTCTTTTCAGTCCGTTGTTGAACTTCTTGGTCTGTTGACAAATCGCCATGCTGACACTCGATCCCAAGTTGCTCTTGACTGTGATCTGTGCTCACAATGATTTCTGACACATCTGTGCCTTGTTTTTGAGGCGTATCTCGGCTAGTACAAGTTCTCCGTCGCTTTCTCTTGTCCACCGTATTCCACTGGCATTCGATATTGGACTGCTGACAGGCTTGACAACGCGGAAGACCAGCAGACTGTCCTTTGCCTTGGTGACTTGATGGACTGATGTTTACTTCGCACTTAACCTTTCGTGAGCGACACGTGTTGCATGCTGTGGATGGCAGTCCGCTTCTTCGTCTGGCACGATCATTCCGGCTGCTGGAATTGAAATCATCAGCTGTGGAAACACGGAAGGTTGACTCCCTAATTTTTCGAACTGGAGATCCATGGCCCTGACCCGCTGGTTCACCGGATTTTGGCATTGTAAATCAAACAAATTACTATAAATGACTATCCAACCGTGCGGAAGCTCTGGCACTTGGACACTCACTCAACTTGCTGAGCGGGCTCTTGTGCCAAAAAGATTGTGACTCTGACAAATTAAGTGGGGTGGCCGTCTTGGAGTTAAAGAGGTAATTGTCACGTGCCAAATTCCAGTACTTAATTCGCCGCTCAATTACAATCCAATAGCTTCTGTGAAGAAGCTGATCCCTAATTGCAGATACTTTTAGTTGATCAATAAACGTTATCAACCTGTTCGTGTTTGAATGATTATCTAAAGTCACTTTCTTTTCCCCTCAGATTAATGATGACATCAAGACATTCGCAATTTTTTGCGTAATATACAGATTCTATTACATGGCCATTTCTGTTCATCAAAGCAGTGGTATATATCTGAACACCTACCTTTATCTGTTTTTCCAGTATCGTTTTCATCCGGGGTTACCGAATTAGGCATGGTGACCCGCATTGGTAATCATTCGGATATCCAAATACGGTATTCCCGAGTCATTCACCCAACCGATGAGGAAGACAGAAGATGACGTATGCGAAGTGTTGGAGAGGGAGGTGTTGAGAAACAGTCAATTCTATTGCAGCGTAGGCCACATTGGAGAAAGCAACAACGTTGACGAAAGAGAAATAATAGTGGCAACCAAAATGAATAAATGAAAATGAATTCCATTTGCCAATGCAAGGATGACAAGGTGAGTAAGCAGTAAAACTTCAGTCATGATCTATGAGGACTGCCGCCAAAACCCCGGTTTTCTTGTAGTTTGAAGACTAATCAAGAACACCTAGTCACATGCAGGCTGACAGTTCCCATCTCCAGATACCTAGCAGTTGGGATTGATTTGGTCGCAGCACCGCAACACTGTGTAGCGTCTTCCAGCATCGTAATGATCTCGTCATGGTTTCCCTTCACCCATCAATGAGAAATGGAACTTAAAACCCAGACGTGAGTCGATTCACTGTGGATCAACCTTAATGAAATCTATGTCCCAAATTCCATAAAATGGCTCGCGAGGTTTTGAAGTCGATGTGATCCAATTCATGACTCTCGTGCCTCCAAATGCAGTCAGTCTACGGTAGAACAATAAGAAGAATGAACTAGTTACAGCAAATCAATGGTCCTTAGGGGTATGTGATAACACCTAGCTGGCCCGTTAGGCATTTGAGAATGTGAGGATGATCTGTATAACGTTGTTCCAGAAGATTGTGAGATAGCCGGAATGTAGCCGAAAAGGGAATCAAGCCAAAAAGTCGGGAACCAACACCTTTAGGATTTCTCCGATTCGCTGAACCTATCACACTGTCTACAAGAGCCGAGAAGCCAAGGCGCGAAGAACAAGGGGAGAGAGAATCCAAAGGTGACCGACCACGGTTGGCTTTGATATATTGTGGAGGTGTGGGTAAGTGGATGGATTACTTCCCGGTTTTTTTTTAACTCTATACAGTATCGACTTGCACATGACTGGAGCTAGGATCGGGTACATCAATGATGATCTTGCTATTCACATTCGCGTATCTACTATTTCCAAAGAAAGAAAAATAAAGGGTCGATGATTGGTGGTATTGCAGATTGTTTACTAGGCTTATTCCATTGTTGCATCGCTTTTACAGTATCTTTTGCTGGCCGGTAGTGACTCGCGCGGCGTTCCTCAGCGCTTACACCGGCCTCATGAGTAAGATCCCGGTCCGTGTTGTCCGGCATCAGCACGGTGTAGACGCGAAAATGACGTCTTCTTGTGGGAACAGACATGGAGCACCAGGCATTCTGTTAGCAGAGATTTGGAACGTTTGAATCATGTGTTTTTTTAAAAAGGATTGTGAAACCCTAAACACGGGGTCTATTGCGTGGGCTGCATTCTGAGCAATTTGGTCTTCTCCCCGTCCTCTCTGTTGTGGTGGGTTGTGATGAATTGACGCCATAACAGGTCTTTTCACTTATTGTTATCAACCGATCACATCCGATCAGAGCCACTTACCCACAGCTGCTCGAACTCATTCTTCATGACTGGCCAGAGCGATTCAAACACGGTCCATCTGACCGAGAGAGAGGTGGAACGCATCCGGAGCACCGTCCAGGACAATCTGGACAAACGCTCCGAGTTGGTCGGCCACCCCAGAGAACCAAGAGATGCCCATGGTGCCATTAGCCAGGCCACTGGCGCGTCTCTCATGCAGGACATGGGAAACATGACTGGTTCCAAGGGCCAAGACACACTGCCTGCCCTGGCTGTTGGCCAGTGTTATCCGCCATGCACATATTCGCTTGAAGACCTCAAGCCAATGTCTTTGGCGGAGCTCCGGATGGAAACACACCATCAGGGCCGTAAGCTTACTGTTAAGCGTGCAAGCCCGGTCGTTACGCATGCAGCGCGATCCTGGACAATGGTACAAGACGAGGATGGAAAGGAAACCGAACGCCTGGAGATCTGTCTCCACAAAACATTGTTCGGGGAAGAGATCTTGGAATCTGGTACCGTTTTCGACATCAAGGAGCCGTACTTTACCATGACGGAAGAGGGAGAGGCAACTATTAGAATCGACCACCCTTCAGATCTTGTTGCGAGGGGGAACGAGGTCGTAGAAACTGGCAGCTCTGCCTCGGCTGAGGCCAATGCGAAAAAGTGCAAAGATATGGGCAACCAGGCCCTTATGCACAAGAAGCTGCCGAAGGCTTGGGAGAGATACACCGAAGCCCTCAAGTTTGCCAAACAAAATCTTGATAACAACCAAGACTTGGCTCGAGACATTTCGCGCAATCGCGCTCACGTCAATCTCTTGCTCAATCGATTGGACGAGGCCATGGCCGATGCAAAAGCTGCTCTCATTGGTAGAGAAGACCAAAGATCGCAAGAACTTGACAGCAAGGCATATTTCCGCGCTGGCACTGCGGCCTACAACCTTGGAGAGTACCAGACTGCCAAAGGTTTCTTTGAAAAGCAGCTGGAGCTTGCTCCTGAGGACAAGGGCGCAAAAGCGAACCTTCGAAGGGTAGCAACACGTCTTAAAGAGCAAACCGAGGGAACATACGACTTGAAGAAAATCAGGGCGGCTCTTTCCCCTGCTTCACCACGAGCCGATGCCGCTTCTTTTATTAATAGAACCGAGATCAGGGACAGCGAGGGGCGGGGCCGAGGGCTTTTTGCCGCTCGTGATATTCCGGCTGGCGAGATTGTTCTTCTCGAAAAAGCGTCATGTGTGGTCTGGGGCAACGAAAGCGATGCTCTGACAGGAATGACTTACGACGTACGGGATAACAGGATCAGGGTATCACCATTGGGTCTGACTAAAGCGATTGTTCAAAGGCTGTTGAACAACCCTTCTCGAGCGGAAAGGGTGGCAGATCTTTACGGAGATTATCGCGGAAATGGTGGTGCTATAGTCACAACCAACGAGGGTCCAGTGGTGGACGTTTTCCGCATCCATGACATTGTTTCTCGCAATGCCTTTGGGGCAGACGACCAGCATCTTGGAGGAAGCGCAACAAAGCCGAGTACCGGCCTCTGGGTTCGAGCGGCTTATATCAACCATTCGTGCGTTCCCAACGCAAAGAGAGAGTTTGTCGGGGACCTCATGGTGGTTCGCGCTCTCCGGAACATCGCTGCAGGTGAAGAGTTGTTCCACAGCTACGATGAGTCTGGTGACTACGACGCGAGACAAGAGGCTTTGATGACCACCTGGGGTTTCAAGTGCGAATGCCCTCTTTGCGTTGCCGAGAAGAATGATGAGCCCGCAACAAGAAAAAAGAGACGGGAGCTAGCGGCCGAGGCGGATGACTTCGTGAGCAAAACTCACTGGGCTAATAACAAGCGTCTGGTCATCTTAAAGGCGCAGCGTCTCGCTCGAGCGATCGATGATACTTATGCTAGCGAAAAGTACGATGGACTACCTCACCCAGCCTCGCACCGCATTCGGGAATGGCTTTCCAAGGCAAGCAAATAAAGTTGCTTTTGGCTACTACATGAGAATGTTCACATTAAAATGCTGCATTCATGAGATCAAAACAGACGAGTAGCTTTATTTAACTTACTCTTGAAAATTTAATGAGTTAACGATTCGCTTGAACATGCATCTAAGGCCGTGACAGAAGTTGTAGAAATTTTTATCGACTGCTACTCAGGAATGAACTTACGGTTGAAAAGCATCCTCTTCCCGGTTTCGGCGGCGGTTCTTTTTAGTTATTGCCCAACTCTAACAAGCATGCGTAGCGAGCTTTCTGCGGTATTGTGCTAGTCATTTCTGCCGGGTCTTACTGCGTTGTACGAGCAGAATTGAACGTAAACATACACATCACAGGAGTCGTATAGTCGTAGGTTAATAGCCGTGGTTAGAAACCCGTCGTCTCGTCTCACCCGTTTAGTACTCAAAACTGCTCAATCATACCCAAAGACAGAGCCACGTGGGGTTGCAAGGTTCATGTTGATTGTCGTCAGGGCATGGTTTCAAGCGGCCTGAACTCCGTGAGTAGAAGAAGAAGCCTCTAGATGAGTGATTACTGAGATCAAATACTAAAACGCGCGGTTTCCCTTCCGAACCAATGGGACTTCAGACCATTATGCCGCTACAGATATTGCAATTAGGTACCCGTTGTGTCAAAAGCCTTAATTTAGGTGTGCTTACAAGCCGAAAGAACTAGCCGGGTGCGACGTGACTTGTCCAACCAGGCTAGATGCCGAAGGATCCAGATATTCGGTGCTAATGGCTACTTCTTCGTGACTGTGTTTGTGGGTTCTGGTGCTACTTGCTAGATTACCTGGTAAGCCAAGGTTTTTAAATGCCTCTCCTGATTCACGCTCTTACAAAGGTTGAAGGCATAAATGGGATTCTGTAAACCGCAGGTTAAGGCAGGCAACCGGGGCATAACTTAAGCTTGGCAGCCTCCAGCCCATACGTTCCTCAGGAGCCCATGTCACCTTCGGGCTTTTGTCCATGTTTGGATTCCATTGTGACCCTGGGTGGGCTTGTCGGCATTAAAAACTGACCCCGAATGGCCTTGAAGTGTCAATATGGTTACCGTGTATGTACCCCGCACGCATCCCCCACAAGCTCTTGTTGGCTTTTATGGTTTGCCAAGAGGAATGCCAAGATAACTCCCCAGCTCTGGCCCCTCCTTTTCGTATTTGAAGACATACATAGCCTTTTTGAGCCAAGAAAACACAATGTTTGGACGAAACAAAGTGGTTTTTGACGATTCCTGCAAAAAAGGATCCTAGAAATCGCTCGTTGGGGGGTCAGACCATTCCCTCTCGCCACCCTTCTCGGCGGACATTCTGATTGCGATATGCGAGCGAGTCAGTACCCTACCCGGAAGTCTGCAACTATGCTGATGCGATGACAAGCCCAGGGCCACCAAGCCATTTTGAATGTTTCCGACGAGGGTACCCTTAAGCATGTTCCGCAAGTCTTATTGCTCCGTGAGCTTGATCCACATCTTTATCCATGCTATTCCTCCTGAACGCGTGAGACTTTTATTAAACTTTTGCAAGTAGCCCCCCTGATGCCGTCACTTTGAGCCATTCTTTGGATGTAGCAACCTATCACGTAAATGTAATGCAACCATAGAACAACCAGGGTAGCATGCTCGGCTGCGCATGCGGAAGGGGCCGGGTAAGTTAGGCTTCTGGGTGAAGGCGTTTGAGAGCTTCCGGCCACCGGTTTGCATATAAGTACCAAATTCCATCTCGTCTTACTACGGGCTAGTACAGTTGCAACCTGCACGTAAAGTTTGTCTCGATCGAATCAAAAATCGACAGCCCTTCTCTGAGCAAGGATACCGAGTGTCCAAAAATGGTCAACGCTACTGAAATTATTGCCGCCTTGGCGGGAACCTATGCCCTCCTTAACACCTCTGCGTAATTCAGCCCCTACCAACGACCTGCCTTCACCCGGCTGCCGGCCAACCTGCTGACACCGTTTGCTTAGGACTAACAACGGCGTACCCGTCCCGGACCGTGTTTACGGTGATAACCCCGTCGGTATCCTGACATACAGCAAGTCGGGCTACATGTCGGCCACCATCACATCGACAGACGCCGAGGACCGCCCGGAAGGACTGACCTTCCCCTTCGAGGACGGTCAATCAGATACCGACTGAGCTACGGTCGGCAGACATTCTATTGGATACGCCGGAAGGCTTCAAATCAGCGATGCGATCCCAGCAACACTCACCTCGGGACAGGTCATTCACGGCCCCTTGTCGGTCGCTAATGTGCCATCTATGGTGGGAACTGAGGCGAAACGTAACTATACGCTCTTTGAGAACGGCAAACTTCTTCTGATCTCATCCCAAAGAGACGGCGGAAACCGTGGAGAGCTGTGGTGGAGAAGATTGGATTAAAGTATTACGATGCAGCATATGACTGATGTATATATTGTACTTATTGAATGTCTTAGCGACCGGGTCCGGATTACCAGGCTAGAGTGTTCTGGAGCTAGACAAGACGACATAGAGAAATGTAATTTAATCTGCGCAGAAACCACTCTCGGTGGCCCCATGGCTTGTTCAATTCCGCCACTAGGTGAAAATTGAGACCTAGCCAGTGTAAAGGATAACGTCGCACACCCACTTCTCGCACACCCCCACATTTCGCACACCCATAAATCGCTCATGTAGAATTTTACCCTCTTCAACATTCTTTAATATCTTCACCACTTTTACAGCGATTATTATAATTCTTTGAATAGTTACTCTTATACGCTTAATGGGCCAGTATACGGAAACAGAAGTCAATCAAGCTCTCAATGCAGTTGCAAGTGGGCAGAGTGTCCGAAAGGCAGCTCATGATGCTGGAATTCCACCATCAACCCTCCAGTCTCGATTAAAGGGTTCACAGGCAAGAAATGTAGCTTTCTCTAGCTTCCAGAAGCTATCTCCAGCACAGGAAAGTCACTTAGCTGAATGGGTGCGTATCCAGGCGGCGTTAGGGCTGCCGCCAACACATCAACAACTCAAGGAATTTGCCCAGCGAATCCTAGACATCAGAGGCACTACCCAGCCACTTGGGAGAAACTGGATTCAGTTCTTTATTAAGAGAAATCCATCAATCAAGGTTCATAGAGCTAGAGCCATCGATTCTAAGCGTGTCAATGGGGCCTCAACTAATGTAATCAGGCAATGGTTTCAACAACTCGCCCTTCCAGAGATCAAGGCGATCAAACCACATCATCGCTATAACATGGATGAAACTGGTATCCTAGAAGGCAGAGGATCAAATGGCTTAGTACTGGGATCATCAGAAAGCTCATCAATGCGAAAAAAACAGCCTGGGTCTCGGGCTTGGACAACTATGCTTGAGTGTGTCTCTGCAACTGGTCAGGCGCTTCCTCCACTTGTTATTTATCGAGGGAAATCGGTTCAACAACAATGGTTTCCTCTTGATATCCATAAACGTGATATTTACAGTGGTTGGAAGTTCACAGCAACTGAGAATGGCTGGACTTCAGACTCTACAGCTGTGGAATGGCTTGAGAACATCTTTATCCCTCTGACTAAGCCTGATCATCCCTCTGAGCAGAGACTATTGATCCTAGACGGTCATGGCAGTCATGAAACAACAGAATTTATGTATCTCTGTTATAAACACAAGATATATCTCCTTTTCCTACCGCCACATACATCCCACGTTCTCCAACCTCTAGACCAAGCAGTCTTTGGGCCTCTCAAGGCGACCTATCGAAAAGAGCTTGGATACCTCATTCAACACAACGATTCTACAGTTGTAGGCAAACGGAACTTTCTTACCTGCTATGGAAAAGCACGCCAGATGGCATTTTCAAGCAAGAATATCAGAAGCGGCTGGAAAGCAACAGGACTATGGCCCATTTCGATAGCTCGACCGCTCATGAGCCCTCTACTGCTTGAGAATGCTTCCAAGCCCTCAAAGCCAGGCTATTCTACGCCTATGAGGGCCTCTGATGGTGGAAAAGACGAAAACTGGGCATCTGCTACATCCATAGTAGCCTGGTCAACGCCCAAGAAGACAGTTGATCTATATGATCAACTTAGCTTATTCAGCAAGTTGGATAAAGATCAGCAAACGCAGCGACTGTTGTTTCGGAAGGTTCAAAAGGGATTTGATGAAAAGGACTATCAATTGGCTACAGCAGAGAAGAAGATTGCAATGTTGGAAGCAGAAGTTGAGGCTGGAATGGTACGGAAGCGGCGTAAGGTCCAAATGAGCCCAAATTCGAAGTTTGCCAACATTGAGGCAATTCACAAAGCCCAAATTGAGGCTGGCGAAATTGAGGATAGCTCAGATGAATCTAGCGAGCCTGAATTACCTATTAAAACTGGCGATAGTATCACAGTTGCAGGAGACGAATCAGACTTATAGTTATGAAGTTGATGAATACCTCATGATGACCCAATTTATGGGTGTGCGAAATGTGGGGGTGTGCGAGAAGTGGGTGTGCGACGTTACAGGTGTGGGTTCCAGTGTTCTTTCACATCTGGTTGTCAAAGTAAATGCCCATCAGAACTTGAGTTTCCGTATTTTCGTTTAATACCTCGCAAAGACAGACATTGTCTCCTCAAAACTATTGGATCATCATCTCTAAAAAGAAATTCAAAAAAGAACCCAGAAAATTAGAAGCCCGAGAATGTCCATCTGCCAACGTGGCCGACAGAAATCTCGAGGCAGATAGGCATTGGTTTCAACAATTATCACGGAAGCATTCAACGCCAGCTGCATCGGCAACGCGCTACGGCCGAAAAGAGCAGGAAAGCATGACAAGCCTATGGGAGAATTAGATTTCGTACGCCAAACCGACAGACAACTCTCCCATTAAACACGGAATGATATGGCGGAAACTGAGTACCTGTCTTGTTTCGCAGGTTCTCCCGCGATGTTGTTCGGGCAGACCCTGAAGAAGTGTGGCTGGATCTTTGTCTAGAGGATCCTAATACCGAGGAGCTTTGCAAAAGTATATCTCGAATATTATCTACTAAAGTTAGATGAGATCTGTCTAGCACTAAGTCCTAACAAGCACGAAACGAGTTTAATGATCGCTACTGCTCACACCATGTTGGAAGACTGGAGGGCAGTGGTCACGCAAGCTGACGGCAAAATGCTTTATCAAAAACGGCAATAGAATCCCCACAACAAGCACAATTGGATGCTCCAGCATCTAGGAAAAGTATGGAAAGACTTCGGGACTAGAATGATGGTTAGCGTTTAGCGGTAGCATCGTGTATTAAGGTAAAACGAGGCGAAGATATTAAACTATATATAAGGAAGTACTAGGTATTTTACGGCTAGCTGGGTCCTAACACTTGGTGCCATGACAGCAGTAGAATGCAAAAATCAGAGGTTGTCATACCAACGTGGCATATTTTGCAAAGGTTATCCTTGAGCCACACCTCCCGAGCCATTATTTGATACTTTGGAAGCTGCCAATGCGACGGGCTGAATGGTCTACTTTACATTAATATTGCCTTCTCTTTATGGTGCCATGCTGGAAATCAGATCTGCTGTTAAAATATAAGACTGAGTGCAATTGCTAGGGCATCAAAACTCACAATAGGTCATTTTTGTGCCCTACACCGTTACTATGCGACCCTCTGTTGCCGGGGCTACGATGGGCAGACCAGCCTCAGTGGACTGGGTAGAAATAGTGTCCCGCGTACGTTTGAAACGCAGCTCATCTACTTCGACAGCATCGTCGTGCACCTCTTTCTTACCTCCTTCTCTGTCGTACCGGTAGCCCAGTGTGCGTAGGAGTAGCTGCGTGTCGGTGACGCCCGCTTCTTCGCTGACCAGGGTCTCTTGGTCACGGAAGCATCCATAGCCATCAAATCCGTCCGCAATAAATGCGGCCATTGCAACAGTGAAACTGTCATTGTCGCCCGGACGTATGCGTCGCCGAACGCATGGCCTCGGGCGCTGCCAGACCTCGAGAATGCGGCTGCCCTCCTTTCTTGACCAATCCGCCACCACCTGGAGCCCCGAGTACTGGAGGAACCTCCCGTCGGAATGCGCATCGGAGAAAGAATTCTCTAGCGAACGGAGAAGAACATCGCTTGTGATCCGTTTCACGACGATGGCGTTATCGAACGGTAGGATCTCAATAAGATCTCGCACAGTGAGCGGCGGCTCGCTGGACAGTGCCAAGTCGGTGCCGATGGTGGCTTGGATGACCCTATCGCAGCGAATGCTTCCGCTGTTGACGAGGCCGACGTCGACCGCGTAGAAAGAGCGCACCATGTCAGCGAGCATGTTGCCGAGATTGGACTCTTGCGATCGGATGATGCTCCCTACGCCCTGCAGCGGGACGGCCGTGTGGACCAGAGCATTGGCGCCGATCACGTCGATTCGTTGGTGGACGCCCCGCAAGCACTCGCTCACCCGTCGTCTGCTGTCCTCCAGCATGGCTTGGTCTTCCACCGTCGCGTGTGATATATCGGCGATCTGCTCAACTATCACCGACCGAAGAACGGTCTCGGCGGCGCCATCGCTGCTACCAGTCGCGGCACGACGATCCACTTGTAGCGTCACGCAGGATAGACTTCCCCAGTCGGTGCCGCTCTTGACAACTCGAACGGCCCCGCGTGCTTGCGGGACCATGCCGTTGGTATTGTCGACGAGGTCCAGCGTCGCAGCATCAGGATAAATGCAGTCCAGCACATTGGGATCCTTAGCACGGTATGAGTAGCGACCGATGTCACCTCCGTGACGCCGCAGCAGTTGGTGATCATGGCCGCCAAGGACCAGATCGAGCCGCTCGTCTGGGTCCGCCGCGTCACCGCAAAGAGCCTCGGATAATTCCATGTCTTGGGCAAGGCGCATGTGCGTGACGGCAATGACCAAGTCGCAGGCTGCGACGCAACGCAGGTGGCGTGTGCATGCTCGCGCGCTTTGAACCGGGTCTTTAATGACGCAGCGTGGAAGTTCCCGGCAATTTGATGGCCAGTCCCTAGATTTTTTTTAACCCCTTTTATGTCAGCTCGAATGGCTCACACGGTCAAGAGGGTTTGGAACAGGCGTTGGGTGAGTTTTCCGATAATTGAAGTCTGGTATCACAACTAAAACTCACTCACGTTCCCGCGAGGCCGAAAAAGCCGACCCGAAATCCCTGCAGTGTGACGATGTGGTATCTCTGAGCACTGGCGAGAAGAGGGCTCGGGCTATTGGCCTGGTCATGGCTGCTCCCGAAAGAATCGTGACTGTCTGCATGGAAGGCGTTGGAGAGCAACCAGGGAAAATCGGTCTGCTCAGTGAGCTCCCGAAGCCTTTCCTCTCCGAAGTCGAAGTCTGCCAGACCGGATAATAATTGTCAGCATTAATGACGATTTGTGCTCTTGCACGGTGGAAGGGATACTCGCCATGATTTCCGTAACAAGCTACATCCACGCGTAGTTCTTTCAAAAGGGGAATCATATGTGTCCCTCTTAGAACGGAGGCCTCGAGAGACGGGGAGAAGATGTCACCGGAAAAGACGGTGAAGGGCGCACGCGATTTGTGCTTTTCGCGAAAGGCTCGCAATTGCGTCCAAAATCTGGCGATAGTTTCGTGTTTCGATATGTGATACTGACGGCATTTTAGTATTCATTGAACGAACTCTGTGGAGAGTTGACATGATTGACCACTTACCACATCGTTGAAATGGAGGAGAACAAGCTCGGTCATAGGGATGACTTTATGGGACCTGGTGTGAAGGGCCTGGTCTTTCTTGGGTGATGTCCGACCTGAAGAGGGCTCAGAATTCTCTATCTAAAGCTACAGAAGGGGTTTTCGAAGAGGACGAGTATATGGACCGCTGACAAGTTAGTTTATAGACGGTCAGGAGGGGTAGAAACCTGTCTAGCCAGAGGTAGACCCGGGTCGTTGGAGGCAAGTGTTGGGTCGCGAGGGCAGGCTAACGGGACGGGCAGGCTAGCGGGCCGGGCGGGTAGGCTATTAAAGGCAGGCAGTACCATAGTAGGCAGCGAAGGCAGGTGGGCCAGCGGACGGGTGTCACAGACCTGCGGTTCCCGTCCTGGTGGACCCCAAGTCTGGAAGAGTTGCGGTTCTGTACTTTATAGGCAGTAGCTAGAGTTACAACGAAGGCATCTAAGTAATAGTCGCTAGCTATGGTAGTAACTGCTTTGGTTTTATGGCCTGAATTTATTTTTCGCTGCGTAGGTAGCGGTGGTTGCTATATTTTATAGGTAAGGTAGTAGCTAGAGTTAGAACGTACCTAGATATCTAACGAACGACTACTACCTAGCTAAAGAAGCGATAGCCGTAGAAGCGACGGCTATTACCTAATTATCTGAGTTTGACTTTCGCTATATAAATAGACGTAGTTGCCGATATTTATAATCCTTAACAACACTAGTTAGTAGTTTCGCCAGCTGATTGATAACTGAATTATAGAGTCTGTAGTCCCAATTCTAAGAATTTTACTCCGAATAGTAATGGATTAGAAGTTGACTTGTTGTCAGACAGATGTGAGTGGGAAGGATTGATGTCAGAATTGAAGCAGTGGCCGGGAGGGAGGAGGAACTGAGTCGATTTGACATGACAAATGAAAGGCCGGGTCTGCTTGTTTCCAGCGTCCAGAATAACCCATGTAATCAGGTGACGTTAGGAAGCTGTTCAAGAAGACAAAAAGGTAATTGCTGAGACAATTGTGTAAGTGGATTGCAAACGATCTTGCCGAATATTACGGTCTGAATAGGGAGCAAATCTTATCAAGTGTGAGGCGGATGCCGACGACATTTTGAAGAAAGTCGGCGTGATATGGGCGAACGCCAGCGATATCCCCTGTAGCCTGAACACAACGATTTATTTCTTTTAGGTTGTCGCTCTGGTCGATCTATGTGTGCTCAGACCAGGAGTCTTGATGGACATGACTTACCGTCAAATTCAGATGGTTGTGGTGAGGGATCCATGCGACTCAGCATCTGCTATACCAATAGCGGCGATCCATGTGGAACAAGACAAACTGGTCACGAATGCGATTCGACGTTTGCAAATTTAAAAGTAAGCTGGCGATTACGACTAAGCCCCTCGGCCCATAGGAAGGCTTCGCGTTAATCAAATAGCTGATCTCACCGTTATGACAGGTTCGCGTTTTCCATTACACCTGTTCCTCGTGAACTCGTCTGCATAGTTAGTCTTATTATTGGTCGAGGTTATGCGATAATGCATTTGACACTGGCTGCCAAATATATAAGTAGGTTATTTAACGGTCTGCTTTGGAGGACGTTGATTATATCTCGTTGTGATTCGGGCTACGTGATATGCTGCGCCCTTACGCTTGACGGGCTGACGCAGGGTTGAGACTGAATAGCAAGCAGAAGGCGGCCCTGGAACTTGGGTTTGTCAGTAAGATATCCAAGTTTCTTTTAGGAGACCTTGAAGCGGTTCTCCGCAATTAAGTCATCGGCAATTGAGCCCCGATCTATGAGAAAACCGACCTTCCACGGGAGTTTACAAAGAACCTGATGAAACTGGCTTACGGCAGCTTAGTTGAACAAGACGATGTTACACCGCTGGTTCGTCGCAAAATACTGAAGAGAGACGAGATAGCAACTATTTGTTCAATACGGAAGGACTTTCAGTGTTGGCGGTTTCTCTTGGGGTTAGCAGCAAGCCGTACTGAGGCCATTTCCTCCGATGTTAAGCATCCTATTTAGAGCTTTACACCGGCGCCTTTTTTTGTCCTAAGAGATCTTGTTTTAAATCTTGTTTCAGGTTAGGCAGGTGTCAAGAACACATTACTTACTCAGTAGGCAATAGACCAACGTGCCCAACGTTGCTGGCTGCTTAGCTGTCGGCTGACCCAACCACTTTACTATAAGCCACAGATCGGAAGCGCCGCCCACTCACAGCAAGGAAAATGAGTCGGTTGTTCTCTCTAGCTCCTGCATCGTCCACTTTCATGCGGATTCGGGGGTAAAGATCGCCTGTCAACTATTCTTGGCACACGTAGGTCATGAACTACTTGCCCAGAACGCATGCTCAAAGCCGCCCAGGAAAATTAGACATGCTCTTATAGAGACATAAACACCGAGTAAAATTCCGGCAGGCACTTCTTATGTTCGATCGTCGCATAGTTCTTAATAATGATGTCACAAACTTATTATTGTTCATGTTAAAGTACCCATGAAGCGATCGTACCTATAAAAGCCCCATTACGAATGGGATCGAAGGATGTAGCAGGCAACTCCACACCAAGACAAATGTATGAGGCCGGCTTGACCACCACTTCAGAACCAAAGTCCAATAAAATAATTCTAAAAAAAAAAAAAAAAAAAAAAAAAGCAATCCGGCCTCCTCACGCCTGTTTACGGCTTAAACGCGTATCGGCAAACGCCTCCGCAATGCCAGTGGAGTTAAACACGAATAATGTGCTGTCGTGCTAGTAAGCTGAGCAAGGCTACCTTGCGTGGACCAATGCGAAACCGAGAGTGTAAACGAAAGTTTCTGAGTAAATATGATTACTAAACATGGTATCTAAGCAATTACAGTGGGCGGTTGTCTAATAATGGACAAGGAAGGCAACGGCAACCATGGCTTGGGAATCTAGGGTAGGGGTGCCTAAAGTGAGCGCATTGGAACGTGATCTGGTATCCGTTTTCTAGTTGTATATTGCTTGGGTAGAAAGATCGCTCATACCTTGATAGGTAGTCATTTATGCAAAGCATGGCAGACCATCTGCCCTCAGGGGAGTTTGGTGAGTGAGGCTATGTTCTATAACCTGTTGCCTTTATATTTCAAATATGGCAGTGAACAGATTGCCAAGATTCGTTAATTATCAAGTTCGTCATCATCTTCACAAGCGGGTATATAAAGACGTGGATTCTCCTTTATTGCATCACCCAAAGCCAATCGTCGCTTACCCTCACACAACACCCTAACAGCTTAACAACGCACTGCAACAATAAGAACATTACAGTCATCTCCGGAAGAATTAAGAAAAATGAAGATTACCAGTCTTCCCGTTGTCGCTGCCACTGCAGTTCTGTACATGGCCCTCGGTGTTCAAGCGGCTGAGGTAAATTCCGCGCGACATATGCATGCCATCTTGGAAGATCCCTCCACTAACATCTCGTCTTCCCTTATAGTGTGTCGTTGGCGGCGTGACGAAAAATTGCTGCTGGGGAGACAAAGATGGCGGCTCCATGGCGTGCAAACGACAGCGGAAGGGCAATAGACCCAAAGACGAATATTACTCGTGTGAGAGCGAAGAAGCCAACTGGTGCAGCACTCTCGACATTACCAAGGAGGAATGTGACGCGGATTGCTGTGATACCAACACTAGAAAGGGAATTACTTGTCCTTAATTGGAGAGCAGTTACTTCTATAAAGAGGATGTCCCTGTATCTGTTTTCTGACCGAACACACAACCATTGCTCAATACCTCCAATCTTTGGTCCGCTATCTCAGCTCGTCCTTCTACAGAAATTTAGCCCACACTTGACTTCCCCCACAATTGTCGGCGGTGACGTCTGTGAGGTGACTGAGCTCAAGCTTAACCCTAAGTGCAGAGAGCTTCTGCCTTTTTACAATTCATGCATCAAATAAGCCCAGAGCGGTGCTGTGGAGGCACATTTTAAACCTGTCAATGGTACTCTAGCAAGGATCGGACCGGCAAGCCAATCTTGTAACTGCCTACGATAACTCAATCATCAGACAGAATACTAGTCTGACGATGCCCAACACTCAGTACCTTACCTGAGATTTATATTCGACACAAACGATAGTACGAGGATTGTTCTTCGCATGGTGTAAGTGAGCGTCTGTCTGATTAAAGGCTCCATCTGGTGTGAATGGCATAAACTCTGGGAACTTTAGAAAAACAAATTCGAGATTACTAATAGGAGGTCTTTAATTATTCCGAACAGTATGGCTAAACGTCCAATCGCTCGCCGCAGCGAGGCATAGGGCACCATTGCTCGAGTCAATTCCAAATATATTCAAACAAAACCAAAAAAAAAAAAAAAAAAAAAAAAAAGTAAATAAATAAGCGATAAATAGTTGAGTAAGAATCGCTTAACACTTAATAAATTCAATGATTCCAGGGCTGGTCCAAAATGAGCTGTAGACATGATTGTGATTTTGCTACTCACCCGGCATGCAACGGTTCCTTAACTCCTCTTCGCTAGGAAACTTGCTTGCTTGAAGTCGACGTTGCTGCCTTGGGGAGCTGTCTTGTTCAATAGCAGCTCAGTCACAGCCACCCCCTGGACGTCCGTGAAGTCACCCCTGGCCTTTCTGTCCTTCTCTTCATTAAATGCTGTTCTCTATTCAGCCGAACCCCTCTTTTGTTAGACTCAAACTTTATTGGGTATTGATTGGCACAACAAGCTTGCATTGGTGCCAAAGAATCCATCAATCGGGCAACTAATTCGCACACCGGAACCCAGCTGTCTGTAGGAATAACCTTAGGTAGCAACGTTACGTCGGGACTTACAGTCTTCCTCTTCTTTTAAGGTTTGACAATAGATATCCTTTTGGTCACCATTAACATAGCAGGCCTCAGTTTTGCTAAAAAGCGGGATGGAACCAATTAGGGCTTTTGTATGCATTGGTCTCGTTAAATTAGATACTAAGCTTTATTAAATGCTTTTGCTTTATAAAGTTTGATTGGGCCGGAAGGATTAATAATCCCAATCGCTAAATAACTCTATGTTGCAGCAGTAGAAGGCACATAGAGGCTGTCAAAGGTACTTACTGAACCTCCAAGAAAGTGTGGCTACTAACGAGGGTTTCGAGGCTTGGCGAGCATGAGTTCTAGAGGCACTCGAAGGGATAGCAGAGCCTTTTATGCTCCGCTCTTAAGGTAGATCTTGTTTATGGTTGGCCAATATCATATGAGCATCTTTCGATTCTGCTGAGGTTTCGAGTCATGATCAGAGTGTCTTTACTCCAGAAGCTATAGTCTTGCTCATCTCTTGTGGCTGGTCTTGGTCAAGGTTGACGGATATCATTTAAACAGCTTCCGGTCCTACCGATGGTCATCGCAGCAGTTGTTACCTCTTTTGACTACATAAGCCCTTAAACCAGCCCGGAAGTCAGATGTAAACCTACAGTTTCACAGTTCAAACAAAATAGTTATTCCTTGCTGCTGCATCAAAGCTTGTGTCATATTTGTCCTTCAAGGTATTTCCTCAGACCATTATTCTCAACGCAGATTCTAATCTACAACTAGTATCATGAAGCTCGCGACTCTTCTTGCCATACCCTTTCTAGTCCTTACGGAGGCTAAGATCTGCAATTGGTCGCGCAGGTCGTGTTCCCCCGATGGCTACCAGATCTCTATGGAAACATGGATAAACGACTCAGGCGGTTTCTGCAGGCGCATTGGGGGATCTCCCCAAGGTATGCTTATGGATGAGGTGGCTTGCGATTTACCAGGTTCTTTTGTGTCTAGACGAGTCTCGGAAGTCTTTGACGGAAAGCAGTACAGCTGCTGTGTTTCGTGTCCTGGAGATGTAAGGGGGAGCTGTTAAGTAGAATTTTGCCATAATATTTAGATGTACGACTCGGTGCACTCATGTGATTATGGCTCAATCTATAGGCACCACTTGGGTGGCAACTCTAATTCCTACTGATGGTTTCCCAAGGTGAAGATAGCCCCATACGGGTAAAGACAATACAACAATAAATTCCTATGACGATAGCACCGACGCCTACCGAACACACGAAGCAAGGTGTGTTTACGTAATCTGTATGTAACATACACCGTAGACGTATAAGTATATACCTTCTTACGTATTAATTGCATTGTAGATGCAAGTCTGGTACAAGGCAGCCGGTAGATATAGTTAACTCCCCCTTCAGGATGAGGATTAATGAACTGGTTGCATTTAATGGAATCCCATAACTTGCGTTTCACATTCCGAACTACCTTCACCCATTCTTCAGAGCCACCGAGCGCACTGCGACTTAAAACTGGCGAACTTGACTTCAATTTCAATATCATTGCAAGCATCAAATGCCGAGATGTGGGGTTGTTGTTGTTCTTCTAATGAGCTTGATGCGTCGCGTCCAAGAGCATGATGTAAGGAGCCTAATTAATAGCCTTCAGCTCGTGCATATCCTTCCACAGCATGCCCTTGGTAGAGGATTTACTGCGGCGTTCTGCTAAATCACGCTTATGAGGAACAGTAGTAGCCAAATAACTCGTACGCCTCACTTCTGCCTCCTCAGAAACATCTCTCTTCCCAATCCCGCCGTAGGCGCACTTTCCTCCGTTGAAAGCCGCGTTGGCAGCAGCCTTCCACACTTCAGTGACGTCCTTGATCATTGGGAGGGTCCAGTAGAGCCGGCAATCAGTCAACTCTTTGACGTATTGTGCGGGGATGCCGTCTTCGACGTTTTGTCTCAGGACCTGATCGCGCACGTTGACGGCGGCAGCCACAGTGCGGTTGAGAGGGAGGGTGCTATAGCGAGCAAAAGCGGCCTTTTGCTCGTCGGTTGTGGCATATTTAGTCAACAACGAGGCAGTGTTGTAAATATCGCTCCAGTCCAAGACCTGAGCTCCCTTGATACCACCAACACCCTCAATGGGGCCGACATTTGGACGTCCACCCATTGCAACTGTCTTGACCTTACCCTGGGCCCTAAGGAACTCAGAAGCTAAAGTGCAAGTAGAGGCGCAGACACCATCGTACAACATGACAATATTTTCGGCTGCGAAGGGCTGAGTAACGTTCGTGAGGTTGCCGTAGCCAGTGACCTCAATGCCCAGTCCAAAGGTCTCGTTGGAAGTAGTCAGGTCAGTGTCAAGATTCCATCGCATGAGGTTGGTGTAAGGCGTATCCTGGAAAATATGAGGCGCGAACTTATCGTTATATGACGTGAAGTTGCCGTTCGAGATGTTGTAGTCGTAACGCCAATTGTATGCGGTTGTATAAAGGCTGATGAGTTCCTCATCAGGGCTGGTGCGAACATCGACATCCTTAACGACATCGGAAACGATTTCGCTGATAGCCTTGAAGCCCCTGTTTTCGTTCCAGCGGGAGAAGCCATCTTGGACAATCTCAGGGAAGAGCTGGCGGAAAAATTCGTAGCCTTGGATGATACTGCCGCCTCCGTTCTGTTGGAAATCGATCACGAGCTTAGTCTTACCCGCCGCAAGTGCGGCGGTGTAAAAGTCTCGGGCAACAGCCTGGAACTCGGCAGGGTCGTTGGCTGCGAACTCAGGTACCACAATCACGGCCACATCCTCGAGGCCTTCGCCTTCCAGATAGTAGCCACTCACTTCGCCACCAGAGGTAATAATGACCGGGTCAGGGTAGCCAGGGAGGAGTCTGCTAGGGCTAGTATTGTTCGACCTCGTCGTGCTTGCTGGAGCATCAGCTCCCGGACTAGCAGGATTGCAAAACTTGGCGTAGAAAGACGCGCCATCGACAACGTCAGTTAATGCCTTTTTGATCGTCGCATGGTTTTCAAAAGTGGTTTCTGTGCCGTTCTCAAAGGTAAAAGTGGTGTTCGCGCCTGGGTAAACGTAACTAGGATATGTTAGATTGAAGGCGGAAGAAGAGTTGCTGCAGAACATCTCACCGGATACGGCCACCAGATACGAAATTTCCCTTGCTACCCGACGTCGCTAACAGCGACTGCTGGAAAAAGTTGGAGTTGTAAGCAGAATCGGCGTCGCGGTTCCAGTTGGCCTTGTTGATGGTTTCCTCAAGGTATTTCGCAGCGTCTTGACCGTTGATGAGTTTCACTACAGAAGCAGTCTCGGGGGCCGAAACGACGTCCTCTTGACCCGGGTCAGCACTATTTGGCAAGGCAATTTTCGAGATGTCATACCATAAAACTTGATTGCCGGCAGTGCAGAGCCGTCGTCGCTGATGGAAACAAGGGCACTCTCGCGAGTCCATTCGAACACAGCAGTCAAGAGGTCCGGGTAATAGACAAAGTGCCCGTCATGTCCCGGACCAAAAACCTGCTCGTACAGCGCAGATTGAAAAGCATACTCGCTTGCGTAAACATCAGCCTCGAGGTTACTCCTGATTTTTGCAAGGTTGCCAAGTGCATCGAATGCTGGGAAGTCGTAGCCTGCGGGGGGGTTGGCCTTGTACGCCAAATCTTCACAGGTTAGCGTTCACAGCTCAACTAGTGCTATCTCACAACAAGAAACACTCACCGCTTTGCCATTCAATATACGGCACCATGGAATCGACCAGGTCAATAGCTTCCTGCTTGCCGAGGGGCACAGAATTCAAGCAGTCATAGGCCAACTGAGCAGGTACTCTGGGCGTAACTAAGGTATCGGTAAGTCAGCATTGACACAGTATATCTATGTTTCCATTCTGCCATGCATCTTTCTCTTTCTCTTCAAAACATACCTGTCGGAGCCGCTGCGTGCTGTGCAGCCCAGGCGGCACTGACAGCAGCACAAGGCTCATTGCTTGATGAGTTGGAAAAAGCAACGGCCACATTTGCAATGCTGGCCAGCAATGCCGGCACAACAACAAAAGACTTTGGCATCTTGAAGTCTGCTCGAAACAGCTTGGCTTTCAATCGGGACCTTGGCAAGAAGCTGAACTCAGAAGCAGAACAGCCTGAACGATATGCGGCTTTCCCAGATCCATATATTCGTGTTCTTCCCTTGTTCTAAACATCTTCCAACTTTCGCGTATATTAATCTGCAAACGTGTTTTGCCGCCTCAATGTCACCATCACACGTTGAGTGGGCGCTCATTTCAACCGCTTGAGCTTAGCCTGTGTCGTCATATGAGTTGCTAGCTTCAGAGGGCAGGTCATCTTGTAATGTAACTCGATTACAGGGGCAGCCCTGGTACTTGCATTACATATACGATATATACCCATTGATAGAGCGCTCCTCGTCGAACTTAAGTTTGACGGGGGCCTTGAGTCCTGGACTTTTGTCAAAAGTCCATAACTGATAAGGCCATTCATTTGCTCTGATAAAGCTTCTCCATTGTCTGTTCTGTTTCTTAGGCGTGTTTTTCCCCTTTAGACCAGCTCTCAGTGGAGAATGGTTGCATTGTGAACCTTTAGGACGGAAGAGAAGTTCCATTGATCGAATCCACAATTGCCGAGGCATCCGTGGTTGTGGGTGTATATCTAGGAGGCAAGCATAATTAGCCAAGCGCGCAAGCCAGCTTACGATAAACATTCAAATAGAAAGATATTCATCACTGGCGGCTAAAGGCCACAAACTTCGCAGGCCATTGCGCCGCCCATACAACGCAGGGCTTGGCAATTGTTGAATTCCATATGGCTGTGCTTCTTGGATCACCCTTGCTACGCAGTACAGCGCAGGTGTTAGTTAACAGGGATGCAGAACAAGGACCCGTCGCTAAAGGATGGTGGAGTCAGAGATTTCCAGGGTAGGAGGCTATACGAGCCTAATGCGTGGGTCTCCAATAGGAGCCACGCAAGTTATTGTAGCGAAGTAAGTAGGGAGAAACATAGATATCCGGCTTCCCTAGGCGGGAGAAAATGACACATGGTTATTGTTTAGCAGAACCTCGACTGGCTCTCGATCAAGTTTGGTGGGGCCCAGCTGAATACACTATAGTCGAAATCTTTAGACCCGAGTGAGCGTGTTACAGTGGACATCGGGAAAATTGACCGCGAGGTGCTGGAACTTAGGCTAAGTCCTCTGAAACAGCGGTGGAAGTGCACCTCAGCAACTGCTACTCGAATTCAAGCAGCAGCTCAAGACTTCATTAGAGCAGGTTCATTTTAAGGCAGCCGCTCGCGTCTGGGAGGAAAGAACATAGAAAATCACAAACTTGAATGGCTAATGGTATCGTCTATATCGTTGATCAAGTTCTCGTTCTTGGGAAGTCATGATGTACCGACTGAATGAGTCCAACTTGCCCCCTCTTGCTGATATGCTTACTCAAAAAATATTCTACATCGGCTCACCACTTTTGTCCTAGCTGTGATTCCCTTGGCCACAGAAAAGAGATAGTTGGTCGCCCACACTATTATCTGGGCATGTGATGTCTTCTTCATGGTCAGGAAACACAACATGAGGTAACTACCTATTCAAAAGCTGCGAAAAGAGCGCTAAAGCAGCCTGCGTATCGAGTTACATGTTGATTAAGTATAATCATGCCAGGCCCGAGACAAACATACCCTATTTTGAACTCATTGTAGTGCTAGGCGCAAGGGCAGTCATCACAAGGTAGGTCAGTTTCTGCGAGACGGCCCGGCACCGCAATCCTTTAGAGGAAGATAATGTTACATGTTTTTATCTAAAGTTGCGCTCGCTTATATGTCTTTACAAACTGTACTGCTGCCAAAAGCTGAGTGGCAAATGGTTGGGCGTTTGTCGCGAACCCTGACTGGTTGCTAATTCAAGCTTCAACTTCAGCAATTCAAAAGTGCGACCTTGTAAGTCACTTAATATCATTCGAATAATAATAATTCATTTTTTGAGATGGATACTTCCAGAGATCAACGGGGAGAACCACATTCCGATAAGATCAGCTAGGATTGTATTGTACTTACGAGCCACGTGCGGGTGATGATTGCTCTCTCTCGTTCGATGCTCGCTTAATGACAGGTTGTGGCAGTGTATCTAGATAAATCATTCATTCGCCGCCCTCGCTTGCACTTTCCTATCTGCAATGATCTGTATAACGTGCCATTGCGGTGCTTAAGTACAATTGTAGCCTACAAATCCGTAGTCATCAGTAGCCCGGTCGCCATATTACGGTTGATGTGACGAGTTTCCAATGTAGGTTTGGATTTTCATCGTACAAAATTAGTCTCTGGGAGAACAAGGCGCCGGCAAGAAGGCAAGCGCCCATACATAAGTAAACTGACATAATACATTCACTATCTGTCCTGCATGTAGCGGCAGGGGTCAAACTCGTTCTCAACTCATTTTGTCAGAAGGAATATTGGTCTCTGAATGCAGCCTACCTCCACACGTTAGGCCAAGTCTCGAACCCCGCCTTCCCCTCTCACATACATGTATACTTGATAAGTATGGCCAACTCTTGATCAGTTTGTCCGAGGTAGCACACTGGTGCCGCATCATACAACAATCAACTACTCATCTATTAACCATAGCAACTCCCTCGTGATGCCATGCAAACGCCCCGTTTGTACCAAAACCTTCTTATTGAACAATGGTGTGTGAGGCTATGCATTCTGCTGAGGCTTTTATTGACCAGCTGCTTCCAACCAGGCAGCTCGATGCCTGCCGTGGGCTTAGGAACATGGCAAGGTACGCCCGTCTCATGAGTCTTGAACTCCGTCCTACCGTATATCTGCGGTAGTTTCGGGCTTGTCTAACTTGTCGCCAAAAGGCAGCCCTGGAACGTCTGATGAACACGCCTTGAAAGCGTCAATCGTCCACGCCCTCCGCAGCGGCTACCGTCTCCTGGATACGGCCCAGATGTACGGAGTTGAGTCCATCGTGGGTCAGGCCATCCGCGAGAGCGGGGTCCCTCGGGAGGAGATCACGATTGTCACCAAGTTCTGGGTAAACTGGCACCACGATCCGGGCCGAGCATTATCCGCTTCTCTCGAGGCGATGCGGCTAGACTACGTTGACCTCTTCCTCATACATCTGCCCTGTGGCACCACGCCGGACGGAAAACCGCTTGGCATCCAGGGGTCGCCGACATTTGTGGAGACGTGGAAGGCGATGGAAGGTCTGGTTGGGCCGAGGTGCAAGGCCATTGGCGTTAGCAACTTTACGCAGAAGCTCTTGGAGACGTTGCTTGAGAGCGCGAGCGTTGTGCCGGCTGTGAATCAGATTGAGCTGCACGCGTTCAATCCCTGCCTACGACTGGTGCCATATTGTCAATCCAAGGGCATCCATGTGATGGGCTATGGGTACGTGATCAACGCTGTAGGGGAGAATGTGCGGTACTGACAAACCTATCTAGATCATTGGGAGGCGGAGATGCCAGCCCTTTTGACCAAATTCTAACTCACAAGGTGTTTGCTGATTTGGCCGAAGCCAAGGACTGTTCGATTGGCGTGGTTCATCTGTCATGGGCCGTTCAACGGGGCGTCACGGTTATTCCGAGGACCAAGTCGCACTCACGTTTGGGGGATAATATCCGCCTTGTTACTCTAAGTGATGAAGAGATGAGCATAATGAACGCTGCGAAAGACAACATAGCGCAGTGCCGAGCTATTAACAAGTACCGAGATAGCCCTGATGGGGAGGTGATCATTCTCGGCTGGACTATGGTGGACTTTGGTTTCGAGGACAGCGAAGGTAACTGTCTGACTTGATATCCAATACGCACCAGCCATCACGTCAAAAGGATCATAGTTGTGTCTATTACTTTTTTCATCATTCATGGTGTCGTCTATCTACTAGCCATCTAGAACCGCTCTAATGTCCACATGGTATCACATATTTAAAGGGTGCGAACGACGCGGTTGCTGGCCTCCTTCTCCTCCTTCTCGTCCCAGATGTTGATGTTCCAGCGGGGCTTGTAGGTGAAGGGAATGTTGTAGCGGCGGGGCTCCTTGCCGATCTCGTTGATGGCCTGGACGTCCTCGTCGGAGATCTTGACCTCCTGGAAGTTGGACTGGATACGGCTGGGGGTGACGGACTTGGGGATGACGGAGTGGCCACCGACCTGGGCCCAGGCAAGGAGAACCTGGGCAGGGGTGGCGCCGGTCTTCTCGGCGACCTTCTTGACGACGTCGTGCTCGATGAGCAGGGGCAGGCCGAAGCCGTTGTTGCCGAAGGCAGAGTAGGCGGTGATGTGGATGCCCTTCTCCTTGGCGAACTTGATGAGGGTGTCGTTCTGCTGGAGCAGAGGGTGGCGCTCGACCTGGTTGACGGCGGGGACAACGCCGGTGGCGTCGATGACGGCCTTGAGGTCCTCAACGGTGAAGTTGGAGACACCAATGGCCTTGACCTTGGACTTGGGGAGGTTGATCAGAGCTAAGGGCTGTTAATGCCTGAAATCACAGAAACGAAGGGGGAACAGGGCCTGCTTACCCTTCCAGGTGTCAACCAGGGAGACGCCCTGGTCAAGGTCGACCTCGTTGTCGTTGCCGGCGGCCTTGGGGAAAAGCTCATCGCCCTTCTTGTTGAAGGCAACGGGCCAGTGGATGAGGTAAAGCTGGGGACAGTCAGCAAGAAGTCCAAATAATTGAAGACTTGAGTATACTCACGTCGAGGTAGTCAAGCTCGAGCTCCTTGAGGGTCTCATCAAGGGCAGCCTCGACGTTCTCGGGGCGGTGGTTGCTTTACGATGTCAGTACTTGGGTTGGGACGGTGTCGATCAGTTGAGCGTACTTGTTCCACAGCTTGGAGGTGATGAAGATGTCCTCACGCTTGAGGCCGGGGATCTCAGCGAGAGCCTTCTTCAGGCCCTGGGCGACCTCGGGCTGGTTCTGGTAGATCTTGGCCAAGTCCTATAGCAATTGTTAGCCCCAATTGCTTGTGAAAACTGCCAATTGACAGAGGAATGCTTACCAGGTGGCGGTAGCCAGCCTTGAGGGCCTCGTAGACACCGACGGAGACCTCACCGGGAGAGGACTGCCAGGTACCGTATCCCAGAGTGCTAGAATGAGGGGTTAAATGATTAGCAAAGCTAGAGCAAAGGGCGGGGTAGAGCGATCGGCATGAGGAGAACCAGAAAAGGTTCATGTTTCGGATGGGAAGTAAACGTACGGGATCTCGGCGCCGGAGTTAAGCTTGGCCTTGTTACCGAAAGACATTGTGACTGTGTAGATGAGGTAGAGAGAGAGGTAGGACAGAGAGGTAGGACAGAGAGGTTGAAGGATGAAGAATGAGTATCGTGTCAACAAAAAAAGCGTCTGAAGGGATGAGCTAACGAGGGGCCTTTTAAACAAGTGAGGGGTTTCGGGCCTATTGCATCATCGTTTGTCAGAATGAGCTGCGAACCCTGATGGTGGTGCCGTGACGCCCACCGTCGGACCCGCTTTGCCCGCTTTGATGACTCCGTGCCCACGACTCTTAAACTATTCCAGTTGCTACGGCGGGGCACCGTGGTTAGTCGTGCCTGGGGTCCCCACACTTCGGAACGGGAGCCGATGCCGGAGGCGGGTTGGAAGAGCTGGAGGAGGGGGAGGTATTGGTTCGCTTAAGTCATCCTGCCGTGATGGCCTCCGTCTGGGCTCGGGACCGGGAACGGATGCAGTATGATGCATATTGTGGCTTTCTACGGGCATACTGAATGTATATTGTAGCACTTTTATTTAGATGGTGATTTTTTGTAATTGTTGATTGTTATTGTAAACTTCTTTTGGTGAGATTTTGAACACCTTACTGACCCTTCCTACCCGAGTGTAAGGTTATGCTGTTTGAAATCACGTCTTCTTCTTGGCACATGTCGTCTTCAATCAACTCATTCTTGGGCAATACAATGTACTGCTTTTCAAAGATATTGCGGGAATGACGATCGATATTGCGTGTAGGATACATATATCTTGCCGATCAACACGATCTTGTACATGGTTCCAGCCACAGCCTAGCAAACACGTGTAAAGAGGGTCCGAAGCGCATGAATGAGGGCTACACTTCAAAATGCCCCAGATAAGGCTGCTCCATCATTGGCCATCATCGCTTCCTACACAATCATCGCCATATGCCACGATTTTGTCTCATATGCTGTGGAACCAGTGCCCCGGTGGTTGGATTGCTGACTAAGGTCATTCCCAAGGAACAAAGTCGATGTTATAAACACTGGTGACATATCAAGCATTGGTGTTTAGACTATTAACACAGTTTGTTCAGTAGAATCGGAGGAACTAAGGCGAGGGCATTGCAGGGCGATTGAGCAGAACGTCTCACTCGAATCGGCGTCACGACGTATCTAGCATTGGATCAAATCTCCATCTTCCTGCAATTGAGCCTCTTGGAATCTCTCCGATGCCATGTCGTTTACAGATTAGCTCGTAAGCAGCCAAGTTAAGATCTGGTGAGACCTGCATCATGTCAGCACATTTATCCAATCATGCACCCGTTCATACAAGACCAAAAATCGATCTCGCCTAATTGTCGGCAGGATCATCAGGGGCAATGCTTGGTTGTATCCACTGTGGAGAGCTATAAAATTAGGGCGTCTGGAGGGACTTGGTGCCCCAAAAGCCCCGTACTCTGTTCTTTTCGCATTCATAAAGAATTTCCGTATTTGGACATATTGGAGGCCAACTTGGACGAAGGTTTGATGAAGAGAAGTGTCATGTATAAAATTGAAATGGCCGCGTGTTTTGAATCATCAACTTCTGCTCTTTTAGCCGCCAAAGATTGGATTCTAAGATCCAACAGCAGAGCAAACAAGTTTGTCATGAAATGGCAATCAATTCCCCCTTTCCAACCGGTAGCGCCCATACTGTAGCCGCCAAATATATCACCATCCGTTCCTAGACGTTGGCCAACAGCCCGTCAATGTTACTTTTAACCTGTCTATTTCCCAAATCAGCCAGCTAACCCCGCCCGATGGTCAGCTATATACTGGCTTGGTAAGGGATGAGCAGGGATTGCACCAACGTCCAAGCCCCCTTGGCCACCATTTGGGACGTTCATGTTTTAGCTTTCAGCTCCGTGTCTCACTGACTCGAAACGTTGTTCCAGTCCACCCGTCAAAATTCCGATGCTACCGCTTTAGCGAGAAGCTCTTCTTTGTTCAGTTGTGAACACCTGACCGTTTCTGAACTGCACCTCATCAATCAAAGGGAGCCCTGCTTCGCCTAGTAAATACCCAATCTCGCGAGCTTCGGCCGACAACATCAACAGCATCATCACGTTCGCTGTGCTCTCCCCCACTGACTGACGACTTTCTCATTGTCCTTTCTTCGGCCAGCACACATATACGCTCATTTCTGGCCTCAACGTCATTGCTCTTCTCCATGACTTGATTTTGACTTTCTCCCTTGGCTCGTCACCGCCGTTCAATCGTCACCAAGCACGATATCATACCTTCGTGACACCTCTCGCTCACCATGAAGTCAATGTACCGCTGGACGCGGGTTCGCTCCCTCGCCCTCATCCTCATCGTCAGTGGTACTCTGTTCTATTACCTCTTCACGGCATGGACCCGCACCGAGTCTTATATGCTCGAAAAATACATGAACCTGCAAAATGTCGCCCCTCCACCGGCGAACACAAAGGCCAGCTTCGACTGGTCTTCTGTCACCTACAAGTACCCACCACAAAAGCCGCTGGTTCCCCTCCCAAAGCGGCCCGGTTGGGGCTCCTCTCTCCCCCGGGTACAACACAAGTTCTCCACCGAATCTGCCGCCGCCGGCCGGGCCCGTGAGGCCCGCCGACATGAGGTCCGCGAGCTTTTCAAGAAGAACTGGGCGAGTTACAAAAAGTACGCCTGGATGAAGGATGCTCTTAACCCCGTGTCTGCCACTGCTAAAGATCAGTTCTCCGGGTGGGCGGCGACGCTTGTTGACTCACTCGACACCCTGTGGATCATGGGTCTCAAGGCTGAATTCGAGGAGGCGGTTGCTGCCGTGGCCACGATTGACTTTGGTTCGTCTAGCTCAGACCGGGTGAACACGTTTGAGACGAACATTCGCTATTTGGGAGGTTTGATGGCGGCGTATGATCTCAGCAAGCGCAAGGTTTTGCTCGACAAGGCCGTTGAGCTTGGCAACCTTCTCTACGGCGCCTTCAATACTGAGCACCGCATGCCCGTCGATTTCATCAGCTTCAGTGAAGCAAAGAAGGGCACGGGTCTCGATGTCGAGAGCTCTGTGGTATCTGCCTCTCCTGGAACGCTGTCCCTCGAGATGACTCGCCTGTCACAGCTGACAGGAGACCCAAAGTATTACGACGCAATTGTAAAACTAATGGATCTCTTCCACGATGGACAAATGAAAACAAAAATCCCGGGATTATGGCCCATGTTTGTCTCCATGAGGAGCCAGGATGTCGTCTCTGGCACACAATTCACCATAGCCGGCTGCGCAGATTCGCTGTATGAGTACCTCCCCAAGATGCAAGCCCTACTCGGGGGTTCTGAGCCCAAGTACCGCGAAATGACAGAAGCGTTCCTCAAGGCCGCTAATGAATCACTCTTCTTTCGCCCGATGCTCCCTGGAGAAGAGGAAATCCTCATTTCCGGAAATACCAATGTCAATATCAACGGGGAGAAGGTTCTCGACCCTGAGAGCGAGCATCTGGCCTGTTTCATCGGCGGCATCTACGCTCTGGCTGGAAGGTTACTAAATAAAGAGGAGTGGGTGAACGTCGGCGCGCAGCTGACACTTGGATGTTATTACGCCTACCAGGCCATGCCGACAGGCATGATGCCCGAGCGCTTCAACATGCTGGCCTGCGCTCACAGAGAGAACTGCAAGTGGGACGAAGACCGCTGGGAAAAGGAGAAGCGACTGCGGCCCGAATACAAAGAGCACTTGCCCAAGGGCTTTACGACGGCCAAGGACCCCCGGTACATTCTTCGCCCGGAGGCCATCGAGAGCGTCTTCGTTATTTACCGCGTCACGGGCAACCAAGGTTTTCAGGAGGCGGCGTGGGAGATGTGGAAGGCCGTGAGCAACGGAACGCTCGTCGAGAACGGCAATGCAGCCGTGCTGGACGTCACCAAGAAGGTTGACCCGTTGCCTAAAGAAGATTATATGGAGGTGAGTATAATATGCGATATGAACACATGCTAGCGTGGCGTATGAGATTGCTGACGGATATAATAGAGTTTCTGGCTGGCGGAGACATTAAAATACTTTTACCTTGTCTTCTCGCCGCCTGACCTCATCAGCCTCGACGACTATGTACTGAACACCGAGGCTCATCCCTTCCGGAGACTCCGCTGAGCGCTAGTCATCTCCCCCGGCTGGATATTAGGCCGGACAGCTCCGCCATCCGTGCACCAGCCGGTGGCATAGCGGTTATGAGACGTCGTCTAAACTCGAGAGATTATGATCAATCCCGCGGGCTGGAAAATTGGGACCCGCGGGAATGGGAAATTGGCGTTGACGGTTATTAAGTTTCACAATTTGCAGGTCCTATTGATGGGATCTAGCTTTTTTGTCGGCTGGAGGGCCTCATGTCATTGACGGCTATGATGCCATAGTTGAATACGTCAGGAGCAGTCTTTCTGCCCTACGCTGCCCTCTAGCCATGGCTGTGTTATCGCTTGGCAAAGGCTAGCAGTAATGTGCTGAAGATTTGTTGTGAGCCTCAGCGTACGTCACTGAATACTATTTTATCACGCTACGCTTGCTAGTGTATACATAATCAATGTAAGATGTCAAATCATATTCTCAAATTAAAAATGGAGATCTTAGGACATCTGTGAACCTAGCCTATCAGACTCTGGTGCTGAGAGAGCATGATCGCAGGAGAACGTAATATCAGTGAGACACCGGTATCGGGGCTTGGACCGAGCGCCGCGATGTAGTAATTGGGGCTGTAGAGTCATGGCGAACTTGATTGAAGCTTGTTTTATAGTATGGGAGCATCAAATCTTGAGTAAAACCATATTACATACTCGCCACCGGTTGAGAGGTAGGCCAAGACCCGTTACTCGAGTGAGCATTTCCCACAAGGTGGATGATGTGGGCCTGGGGCAGGACTGAACTTTCAACTGTTCTCGAACGAACACCTGTGATGATACCAGCTTCTTAGAAGCAATTTAGAGATCTGGTTCGTGTCACAAGTCTTACAGAGAAGCATCACCTCACCCCATTCTTAGCCTTCGCTTACGCCCCTATCCGGCACATCATACCTGCAGCGTCGATCAGTCCTCGTAACCCTGCTGTTACTGCGGACAAACCCGTATCTACCACAACAGGCAGCTGACAAGACCTTCGGCGAGACAAGTTGTTCACTATATTGTAGCTAGTAGCAGTCTTTAGTACCGCCGGTAAAGACGTGCGGATGAGGCTTGTTGTCGGGGCCTTGTCCATGTCCCTCCAACCCCGGTGGTTTGCATGAATCGCGCCGGGGAGCACTCCGCAACTCCAGGCCCCCAGTGACCCGCAAATTCTGGGCCCCAAAAGTGTTGCCAAGCTCGTTACTATAGAATAGTACGTTCCAGCAACCAACCTCCTTGGTGTGGGATGCCGCCAAGGACGGATTGAAACGTCCCTCATCGCCAAGGGCATGATCAAGCTCATATAGTCGATGACTTTTTATAGCCCCAAACGCTATCGCCTACGCGCCAAGACGCGCCGGCTGTCGACAAGACTCTCGCCGCAACCAGTCCGCGGGCGTCTCCGTCATACCCTCCTCCCCGGTCTGCAGTCTCCAATGGCAGCTGAGCACGACCACAAGATACGCTCTGCCCATTCTCAACAGAGTCATTTCTCGCATGAGATGTTATCGTCATCAGCAGCGACCCCATAGAGACTCAAAATAGCATCCTCCTTGCAACTAGTCCACAACATCTAGACATCTTGGCAGCTGACAGGGAGAAGGGGCGGTGTCGACAAACGGCCTAACCCAGCTGTCAATATTTCCAAACCTTCTTTACGCAGTTGTTGCGAGAATGTGAAGTTCGTGTATAAGAAGGAGACGATCATCCCGCCTTTTGGTCTCAAATGCCATCCCATCCCCATCCCGCACATCCACATTCAAACGCTCCTTTACACAACATCATCCAAACTTTGCCCAGATAAGGCTCCAGTCCTCCATTCAACGCTCATTCCCGAACACCAAGAAAACAGACAGTCAAGATGCGCGCCGTCTACGCCATTCTCACCGTCCTGGCCGCCTCTGTCTCGGCCCGCTTTGACGGCCCTTGCACGGATACCGCCTGCGGCACGGCCAGCGTAAATTGCGAGGCCGACGGCATGGTCTGCGTGCCGTTCCCCAGCGTTGATGTTGAGAAGCGTCTTGGATGCACCTGCAGCGTTGGCTAAATGCTGGAAAACCACGAATTGGCTTGGTCCTTTGGTAAGTACAAACAAATCAAGTCTACTTCCAAGTGAGCCATACTGACTCGAGCACTTCAGATCAGGCTCTTGTCCTATCTTAAGAAACGGCGTTTGGGGGTTGACTTGAGACATTGCATGTGGTAACACAGGGCGCACTGGCGTGGAACGGAAACATGGGCAGAAAGACAAAAAAAAAAAAATACCGGTAACACCCAGACGGGAGAATTAGGGAGACGATCATGACAATGAAACATGTAAAGGCTAGAATAGGATCCATTACGGGGTGGGACTTTTCTCCTTTGACAAGAATGATATCCAGACGCAATTACAGAGAAAACCGGGAATCCTTTTTTTTCCATATGCAATTTCAACCTCCTATTCGTGTGTAAAGACTGTGTGAGTTTGGCATACCTTTTTGGACTCGATATGCATGGGCCAACGCCAAGAAGTCGAGACGCCCGCCTCGACGTCTCCAAGACTCCATGATCTACCGGACGCGATTCATGGGGCAAATTTTCCCGCTGCCGGCCAACTCCCGTGGGTATTCTTCCCGCCTACCAAGCCTCTTGCCCCCCCTCATACCAAGCCTCGATCCGCAGCCCAGATCTATCATCCGTCGTTTCTGATAAATGCTCCGGGGCGGCCAGGATTTTTCGGCCACCCAAGAAGGAGGGTCCCCCAGCAACCGGCCTATACCAGCGCCGCTATTCTCGTAGATCTTTGCAGTAAGAGAGACATTCGCAAAGAATCTGGGCTATAAGTTATGGAGCAGTGAGATACGTGGGAGGGAACGACAGGGGTCAACCCTCATATAAGCTCGCCGCTTGATGGACACCGCCACAACTACGCCGAATTCAACTACGTGGCTACCTCACGCGGCCTGCTAGTACTATGATTGACTAGTCGTGGCTATGGCATTTTGACAGGCCGTTGGGCGAAGTGTTGGTATTGCGCAAAAATAGAAAACGGGTACACAGATGCAATTTACGACTAAAGTCTATCATTTATTAAAATGACAAGTAGGTAGGTAGTCCCTACAACAACAACCTCGGCATCCAGTGAGAACCTTGTAGATGATGAAAACATAACCTTGGGTAATCAAGAAACCACACTGGTTTGATTCCCAAGCATCTCACACTTCACAAGTTCCACTTCCCTCCATGAAGACTGCAATAACGCGCCTGGTGATTAATAAATCATCATTGAAAATCTAAACAAAAAGGTACCCCAAGTTCAACTCCCTGGTGCCGTTTTCCCAGCTCGTATGGTATCATAACCCCCCTCCCATATCCCAAACCCACTCCAAAGAACTCCGAGCTATAACTATACACGCCCAGTAAATACGACTTGTACAAAGAAAAGTAACCCTGTCACCCACCAAAAGAAAAAGGACCAATATTCAGACCCATCACGTAGACATCCGTCCCCAACCCCTGACAAACCCTCTCTGCGCACGATTCACCCTCGCCAGAATCCCCAACCCGACGTCCTCGCCGCCGCCCCAGCCGCCAGCGCGCTTCACACTGATCCCAAACGCCTTGTCCTGCTGCTGCTCCTCCCGCTCCTCCAATTCCACCCTGCGCCGCTTCACGCGCTCCCAACTCATCTTGAACCCCATCGCACGGCTCCCGTCCAGGAAACTCCGCTCAATCTCCTCCGTGGCCATCCACTCGGCGCCGCGACCAAGGAAGCCAAAAACGTTTCCGTCGGCAAGCAGCGCCGCCACGGAGGCGATGCTGCACGGGTTCCGAGGCAAAACGGCATCCGTCCCGGGCGTGAGCAACCACGCGAGGAGAGTCAGCGCAAGGAGCAGTGCGAGAATAGACTGGATGATCCTCGTCGACGCGTTGTCCTGCACCAGTCGCCGCAGGCTAGTCACAGAAGTATCCTCCAACATACCGGGGACGACGTCCTCCGGGCGAATATCAGGGAGTCGCCTCCGGGAGTTCACGTTAATGTTCTGCGCGCGGACGATACGGTGCTGCCGGACAATGGCATCGGCCACCCTCCCGCTCTTCTCTAGCCCGGGGTCGCCGAGGTTACCCGCGGGAATGGCGAACCGCGACGTGACGAGCGAGCTGAAGAAGGGGTCCAGCTGGTTCCCCGTCGTCAGGTTCGCGAGTAGACCGTACTGTAGCGGGAGCAGGTTCAGCCTCAGGGGTTGCGCGGTGGCTTCTTGTACCCTGGGCGGGTACGTCGGGTCGATGTGGAGTGATGCGCCGGTGAGACGGACGGTGGTGGTCACCGTCTCCAGCGTCTCGTTGCAGCCCATGGCCGAGATATAACCCACCTGCGCCGGGGTGGTATCCGCAAGCTGGCCCCAGACGTAGGTGAAATCCGAGCACTGCGACGAGGTGGGGGACCGCGGGGTCGCGATACCAAAGACGCCTGACGGGGTGGTTCCCGGTGGGAGGACGGCGTTGGAGCGGAGAGAAGGGTCGACGCACGGTTCGCCGGCGATGTTGACCTGCATTTCCCGCGAGAACTGGTTGGGCACGTCGGGGATGGTGAAGTTTGTGTTGATTTCGGACTGCGGGTAGAGCCTGCAGTCGAGACGCGAGCGGAGCGCCGGCAGAGTGACGAGGATAGTGCCGGCGCCGTCGACCATCGACAGCGGGGCTGAGAGTTGCAGGGCGTTGAAGTTGAGGTCTTCAAACGTGAACGACGGGAAAGTGAGATTCGCGTCGAGGATGAGAGACGCCAGGAGGGTGTCCGTCGTGCATGTCGGACACGGCGAGGAGGTATTGACGAACGTGTCGACTGTTTGGAGAGTCACCGGCCTCGTGGACGGGATAGGAACCGTGGTGTACAACGCCCCGGAGAATGTCGCAAGCAACGACGCCACGATGACCGCGGAGGTCGTGACGACGACTGCAATGTTCTGAGTTTTGACGGCGTCGTAGATGATTCTGGGCCTGGACTTGTCCATAAAGTCCAGTCCGACGGTCGTCTCGAACGATCCGCTGTACTTCAGCTTCGTGTACGGCGCAAGACACCTCGTCGCGCAGTCCGCGGAGGCGAGATACAACGCCACGATCCCAAACAACACTCCCGGCCCCGTCGTCCATAGGAAATGCCGATCCGTGTTCGCGGTCACGGTTGTAATGCCCTGCCTCGACTCCGATACCCGCAGCACGACCTCAAGTGAGATAATCATGGCCATCATGGTGAACACCGCAGTTAACCTGGCAATGGGATGAAGAGGCAGCGGATGGTCCCAGTTTGACGTCTTGACGAAGTTGGGTGGGATATCTTGCGGGGGAGGGTTGCCGCCGAATATCTTAAAGTAGCCCAGCCCTTTGGATGCCTTTTCGTAAGGTTCCACGCCGGTGTAATAGTTGGTGCCCAGCAATCTCTCCCTTACCGTCGACGTGGCCGCAGCACCTGTACCGCGTAGGCACTGTAGTAATTGCCTGCTGTGGGCGAGGAGAGTGGCCATGTTAATGATAGTATTAGGATCCCGTGGCAAGAACCCCTTCTTCGGGGCGAACACAACCGCAACAAGTGTGAGCACCAGGGAGAACCCAAGGAGACCAGAAAGGAGATGTGCCGGGATGGGCCGGACATTGAGGCGCTCGCCGATAATGACGGCGGTACCAGTCGTCCTTGGCGGCGGCACCGTCTCTGCCATCAACGAGTTCCGCGCGAGTAGAGCCGTGTACTGGCGCCAGTATCTCGTCGATATGCGTGTGAGATTATCCGTCTGAAGCAGGCTGTCAATCGGCGGAACACCGTTGTCCTTGACCTCCATGGCGATTGCCGAGTTCATGGCGGCGTCGGACGCGACGACTGCGATGCCGGGGTAGCGGCTGTTGACGTTGGGCATGGCGGCGAGGATCTGCGAGTCTGTCGGATACGAGTCGAAGTGGCCCTGTACGATATCCGCCGCATTGACCAGGCTGAGGGTGCGGTTCGTCGCGGATCGGGGTCGGCGGATTTCCATGAGCTGCGTGTTGTTCTTCACAACGCGGACCGTGGTCAGGGAGTAATTTGGCCGGCAGATGAGGGCCGCGGAGCGGGTGACTCTGCCCCCGATCGGCACGTTCAAAGTATCGCTGTTTGTCGGGACCGTTGAGCTGTCGATTGTAATGGCGCCAGCCATGGCGACCACGCGGACGTCGCCAGGAGCAGATGAACCCCCGCACGAACCCGGTTGGAAGGCCATGAAAAAGGTGGGAAGGGTGAAGCCGACGAGGGCCATATTGGGTACCTCCAAAGTAATCAAGCACGTCGATGTAGAGACGGTGACGTTAAGCTGGGTGTCCGAGGCCTGAATGAATTGAATACCAGTGAGATTCAGCAACGCGGGTTCGCATTCGATATCCGACTGGAATCCTTGGACTTCAGCCCGCAACTCGGCCGTTGGAAAATCAGCCGAGAAGGACTGGAACGCAAACTCCTTTGACGTGCCGTCGGGAAAATTCAACCCCTTAGTCTGCAGCCCGACCATTGTGAAAAACGGCAACGCACCCGCAGCACGTAGGCCGTTGGGATCATCGACAAACGCGTTCTGCAGATTAAAACTCGCCCCCCTCGCCGTGACAATCTGAAAGGTTGGGCTGACGAGGGCGACGGCGATGACGATGATAACCTTCAAAGTCAAACCCACGGATGCAGCCGCGGCAACAAGCCAGTCTCGGTTCTTGACCGCCTTTGCAACGGCCCATGGCTCAAACATGAAGACGTAGTCCAGCATCAGCGTCCGGTCGACGCTCGCGGGGCCCTGTGCCATGCGGATCCACGGCGCGTTGGCCTTGGCCTGGTGCTCTGGCCGAGCCCAGAGCGCAGCGATGCACGTAAAGATGAACGCTGAGCCGTACTGCCAGAGATATCTGAACCCGTGGTCCGGCGAGCCGAGGCCGCCTCGTTTGTTGGACAGATCTAGTACAGCTTCCACGGTAATAAGGAGACCCGCGAACAGGAATGCAAACGAACTTAGTACCCTCCGCTGCAGGTAAAACGGGCGATACGGAAGCGGGACATCAAGCAGCCCGTCGCGCTTCTTCAAGTCCTCATAATCAGCAGGCGGAGCCGTGATCCTCAGCGTAGGCTGCAGCATCTGCCGGATCGGCTGCGAAGGCTGCAAAGATTCCAACACCTGACCCTGGGGGATCGGCCTCATAGGAGGCACAGCCAGCCTTGCGGTAGGCGGAAAAGTCGACTGCTTTGGCGTTAAAGAATACCTCGGGCCCGGCGTCGGTGGTTTACTAGGGCTGGTCACTGTGATCTCCGGCACCGCCACCGTCTGCGTCGCAATATCTGCCTCCTCTACATCGCCGTCCTTGCTCCCTGGATTAGAAGAATGATCAACGGTGGAAGGCCGAGGCGTGCTAAATGATCTCGAGTTACCGGTAAACGGCCTGGTGGTGACGTCGTCGTCGCCTTTCATTGTGCTGGACTCGGCGACGTAGCGGTGGTAAGAGTCCATGCCATTGATGGTCTGCTTCGGTCTCTTGCGGGGCACATTGGCCCTCGCCCTCGCTTCGGAGTCCATCAATCGAAGAAAACACTACTGAACAAGAAGTGTCGATCTCAGAAAGATGGGCAAGAAAGCCGAAGGGGGGCTAGGAGACAAGAGTCGGAAAGGGCCGACGGTCACCGGATGTTCATCGTCGCCTTTAGGCTGTCTTGTTTATATGAATGTTTTAATGTGTTATGGACCTGTTTTGTTTCTGGATAACCGGCTCACTGGGAAACAAAGTGAGGATCGATGTAGGGTTATTTGTCGATCGCCAGGTCAGAGTTGGGGTGGGTGTTCGAGCGCGCTTGTTGCGAGTTAATTGGAGGCGGGAGAAAAGTATCAATCCAAGGGCAAATTGTAAGTACAGGCCTAGGTGGCAACGTGAGTGTCACCAGCTGGTAGTATTTCGGTTTCGCTATGAGGTGCCGAGGCGCTCACTCCGCAGACGCGCAAGTCGCATGAAAGTAGGTGTTTGGACAAGGGCAGGATTGAGAAGGGGGAAAAAAGGATATGTGATTTTCCAGTTCGCAGCGGAAACCAGTCCAGGAAACGAATGAGAGAGAGTCAAGAGAGACAAGGGTGGGGATGGGTTGTCTGGGGGGGGTACGCAACCAAACAGCAGAGCCTCAGGAACAGAGGGAGCGGAAGAGGAAGGGAAGGCCTTGTTGACGACCCCGCGGGATGGCCAGTAGTTCAAGCATGATATATGAGAAGGGGGCGAACCAAAGGACAGCAGGTCATGACGATCAAAGGACGAGCGCGCAGGCGGGGAAAGGGGCGATCCACGGAGAAGGCGCTGCCAGAATTGCGTTGCCGAGCTGTCTCCGGCTTGTCTCCTGTCACCTCGACGTCGCTTTGAAGGCCTGTTTGGTGCCGTTGTCTGTCTTGTTTTGCCAATACGTCGGCTTCCTTTCGTCCCAATACGAGAAGACCGCTTGGCGCAGCAACAGGTTAAGCCTTGGGAGCACGGGCTGCAAAGGTCGAACCAACCCGGACGAGTTTCAGATGCAGGTCAGTCAGGGCGCCGTAGATGAGGCTGGACGAGAAGCTACCTCTAACTCACTCATATGGAGGGGCGGACAGAGTACCGTAAGGAAAGGTAGTTGCTGATGTGGGATTAGAGGTAGGGAGAGAAACAGAAAGAAAGAGACAAGGCGAGAGTCCTCATTGGTTTAGTGCAAGTCTAATTGGGGGCACATTGAAACTGCCCCGTGTGGCGGCTGTGTGACAAAGTGTCACAGACCCTGGTTTCGAAGGAGGTGGGTGTTCTTTTCTTCTTCTTTTTCTCCTCCTCCCTTATTCAAACCGCAGGGCCTCTTCAGAACCCGCGGAGCAGTGGCTGTGGGAACGGTTCCAGGCGGAGGGAACCGTGGGGAGATCTGCAGCTAGCAGGGAGCATGTCATGAGCTTAGGGAAACCACTTGATCGTTATTTCAAAGCCGTATGGGATACGGATGTCCACCTTTCTTCATCATGGTTTTGCTGAGTGATGAAGAGAGCCAGTGATATGAGGGAGTCAGGGGAGGGGAAGTTTGAGAAATTCGGCTGAAATGAGCGACAGTTTCCCCCTCGATGAGTCTGAGGAAAAGGTGAAACGGGAGAAACTTTGCTCCCTCCGTGTCGGCTCCACATTTTATCCGGAAGGCCCCACAACGGGACGGGACGGTCTGTGCGGACTTCTTCTCGTAGAAACCTCCGGCTTGCCGGCCTGCGATATTCTGCTAGCTTGGACCGCCACAGCCGTAATACGTAATAGTTGACTGAGGTCCCTAGCCGCTTCAACTTTGTCTCCAGATTCTTCCGCCCAGACAAAGTTGCCGCTGTCATTAGAGTTTTGTCACCCACAGGGCTGACTATTTGACCATGACCGACAGACCGACCGACAGGACTGACCGATCAGCCGACAGAATGATCTGTTCAACACCACAGGACCCTACCGAGCTTCACTTGGGATTAAAAGACCCCTCGACTTGCAGAACTGTGAGGCGACACACGTGAAAATCGAACGATTCTAATGAGCCTCTCATGTTGCATATGAGAGTTCAGTCGGGCGTGAACGGCAATAAGCAGGCGTCATTCAAGCCAATTCGATCCAATCTTCATCGCCGATCGGCTCAGTCCAGCAATGATCATCTACTGTCGTGCGCTGGTGCTGGAAAGACGTTGCCGACTTGTCAGCGTACACTGTGTTTGATGTATCTCCTCATGACTTCTCCGCGTTATTACCATCTGGTCGTTGATATTTGGCTATCGCACAAAGAGAAGAGGCGCAAACGATCATGTGCGACGAAGAATTGAACTGGATTCTTCCGAACTGCGCTAGTTCGGATCGACAGACAGCCTTGCGGCAATGGCTAATAATACAGTGCAGGCGAGCCCTCAATAACCCACGTTCTTTTGGTCTGACGCCGATACATTTGTTGTCTGTGTTGTTTGCGCGGTCCCTTTTCTTCCGCCTCATCTAAAGATTCAGGGGCAAAGGCCCCTGGCCGTGTGTTTTTAAAAAACAATACGCAGGCGCATCCTCTATAAAAGCATAAAAAAAATAAAAATAAAAAAGGGAAATTCAATTGCTCTGGGTATATAATGCGAATGGCCTTCTTTTCCTCCCTTCGTTTCGCACAAAAGTGGCCGTGACCATCGTGCCATCGTAACATCGCTTCGTGGTCTCCCGCAAAACATCAAGTGCGTCCGTCTGCTTCGCTAAGTATGCGACGGGGTAAGTTGTAAGGTGGCGTTGGTGTTGTTTGAGAGAGATCGAAAGGGAGGCCTTTGTCCTCGATGTGAGCCTGGGCTCTGACCTGGAGCAGTCTTCAAACCTCCCCAGGTTGCTCCCTCGGTGGAGATGGATTCCCTGACTCGCTGGGACTCAACCGCCCCACGCCTGATGTCCTGGGGTCCGCGTGGGCAGCTGTTTCAATTCGGCTAACCCTTCCGCTGGCACCTCACATCGCCACTGTTGTGAGAGCTCGTCAAAGTCATCGCTCCCACCGTCTGATTTCGTACGGTAATTCGACAGTTGAATGTTCATCAGATTCCGTAGTTCTTGGGGTTCCAGTTTCGAGCATCAATAATGTTGCGCGACTCGGCCTTGACAAGGTATGCCGCATCGCAGTACGACATTTCGGGGCGGACAATTTCTGGCGGGTAATGCTGGAGGTCTTGTCAGTAAAATGCCATCATCACCATCTTCAGTCCAGTGTCCACATACCAATCGCATGCAACAAGCGTCAGTCCAGCCCGTCGCACACGTTCCTAAGTCCTGCCCAAACTTGGTCTTGTACTTTCCACCATTTGCCAACTCGCAATGTGTTCCAACTCTCAATTTGTTGTCAATAGTACCCTTGCAGCAGTGCGGCTGCATCGTGATGAATGGGCTCGCGGGTTTGCCGGTAGGTGGGTATGCGTAGCAGTGAAAGGGTTCGCTTTGGGCGAGGATGATGGGTAGGCCAAACATCAAGAACAGGGCAACAACGGCGGCCGAGAAGCCCAGCGGGCGGTGCATCTTGGTAGGGATCCACGAGTGCAGACGGACGACGATGGCAGAGGAAGCGACGGCAGTGCAGGCGCGCGAGATATGGTGATGAGCCTTGTAGAGAGGCTCTCGGACAGATCGGGGCAGATGTTGGAAAAGTAGATGCAAGAAAGTAGCCGTAATGGCGAGAATTGGAGGCGGCGGCGGCGAGGATTCTAGAGGCGGCATGGCTGAGCTACTTAACCAGGGCGGTAATATTCTCCCTTTGGGGTTTTTTTTTCCCTTGTTACTATAATTGGCTAGACGCTGCCGGGTGGCTTGCCGTGGACCTCCAACGGCACGCTGCGAGCTAGCAGCAATGCTCCGGAATGGGGGGTCACAGATAGGGCGCCCTGGCTCGGGGGGGGTGGAACGGTCGAGCTTGTTTGCAAGGCCGATGCCAGGGGAAATTAGGCCGTGTGGTTGATGAGATGGGCTACTGCAGACTCGACAGGGATTTTGATGATGTTACGGCGTGATGCGACGTGACTATGGGCGACGGGATGGACTCAGGAGTGGTGACACTTGGACTGGATTGTGGCCTCTGCGGGAGTATACAGGAAATGGTTGTGTCGATGAGGGGAGGGGGGCGTCGCAGCGTGCTGAGCTTAAAGTGTGGTTCTGACGGGGATATCGCTGTTGGAGAAAAATGGTTGACGTTGGGTGAGGTCGACGCCGCGTACGACACAGCTAGAAGGGGTTGCGTGGAAGCCAAGCTCACGAAGAGGGAAGATGGCTGTCAGGCTTTGGAATGTGCCGAAGTGTTTCGTGCGAAGAACCTCCAGGCCGCGTGGGCTCAACCAACGGAATGGGAGTGAGACTGGACGGATGACGAGGATGGCGTATGGTGTGCTCACTGGCGAGGACCGGGGGGCTTCGGTAGTGGGACGAGGAAGCGAAATGCGATAGCGACGAAGATATCGGATGGAGAAAGGTTTTTCTTTGTTTGGAAGGCGACGATAGGGACACAGGCGGTAGAATGATGAGCTGGTAAAGAAAGGAAAAAATGATCACGTTGGGAGCTGTGAAGGAGGAGGTAAAATGGATTTCAACCTAGGTTACGGATAATATGTAGCTAAGAGGCACGGCAGCCCGGGGCAAGCAGCGCCGAGGCTAAGGCTCGCTAGAGACAAATTCGAACATGATGGGAAAGCACGATGGGCATTATTATGTACATATTACTAGGCGAAGGTAGGTACGGGATAACCAATCTACGAGCCGAAAAAGGAAGAAGGAAGGTGCGAAGGAAAACACGGGAAAGCGCCGAGACGCAGGGAAGAGCGACGGTATCAGCAACAGCAGGAGCGAGGGCAGGCGCAAGACCAGTGACAGCAAGTCCGATGTGGGCCAGAACGGGCTATCAAGGCTCGGCACGGCACCATTCAAGCGACAAGCGCATGGTCTTGATAGGTACCAGTAGTGCTATGTAGTAAATGAAAAGAAATAACGAAAAGTAATACTCCGTAAGCTACAGAGACAATGCAACATGAGATGGAGGAGATGCTAGCTGAGGGGAAGGGGGAAAAAAAAAGGAAAAGAAAAATTAAAGAGGCCCAACCACACCAAAAGACGTGGTTGCCTACAGAACGGCCCCTCAAAACCATGGGTACTCTGTAATTATCCCCATATCGTACACAGTAAGCATTTACCCAATAAGAACCCATGTTGGAACAAACGCCAGAGATTGGATCGTGACAAAGCAAACCCTCCAAACCAACACGAACCCTCGCCCATTCATCGCCCACTAATTACTGCTCTCACACTAGCACGGGAGTGGCTTGTTGCACTTTTGCCCGCTTAGTCGGGCGTTCCCCCGCCCCATGTCAGTATTTCCCCCCCACAGAACCAAGCTAAACCACGCTGAGGTTTGCCCCCCTCAAGCAGCGCACAGCATAGCAGGACTGGACTTTGAGGAAGGTTGAGTGGTTGAGTTGGGTAAACAGGGTCTTCACCAAAGTACCTCTTGGCGATACCCACCTTCCATCACCAACGTCCTCAAATGAGTGGGAACATCAGCTGGATAACGAGGGGCTTTCAATGACTAATTTGCCCGCAACGTGTTCGCATGTTTCGTGCAAAGGAAAAAAAAAAAAAAAAAAAAAAAAAAAAAGGCTGAACTAGTCTGAACAATATCCCCTTGTAAGGCATCTCAGATGACAGCCCCAGAATCTTTTCTGACACTAAAAAAGGGGGGTGGTGGCCAACCTGCAGGAAGGAGAAATGATAGAAAGACCAGATAATTGAAATGAGAAGAACACCTCCCTCCTTGCATCCTTCAATCCTACCTACTCCGTACATACTAGGTACCATGTAGTAGAAGGCATTTCTCCCTGCTTAAGCCCCCGGCGTCATCCATGCAAGGGCAACGGCGACGACCCGCTTTTCAACAGCCCCATATTTTCCACATACCACCATTGGTGGCTTTCCCGATGTCAAACCGAACCCGCTTTGGTACCCTATCGGGCAAGCCACGATTCAGACGCCTGCCTCAGTCAATAAATATCACCGTTGCGACTACTTGCCCTTTCAGCAAAAAAAAAAAAAAAGCACAGGCCTACCCGCACTCCCGGCGCCCCGTTTAAGGTTATCAGACCGGCCATCTGACCCACAATTCGGCCGTGTTATACCGGGGTTTGCCGGTATTGTCGGTGCTGCCGGGGGATTTGCCAAGCCCTATTTTGTCGCCGGAGTATGCCTGCCAACCTGGCCCGAATACCTCCGTCCGAAGTACCCTTGATCTCTTTCTTCCCTCCACCGTTCTGTAGGGGTTGCTACAGTTTACTCGATCCAGTCCAATTCTTACCAAAAACGATAAAAGTTGGTAAACTGTTCCTTCGTCTGAAGATTGCGACTCACATTGTCCACCCGCCCAGAAAAAGTCTGTTGTTCGTTGAACCATGCCTGTGGTATTAATCAGTTTTACGGTGGTGGGAGAGACGAACATGGCAAGCGTGCCGTACATCTTCATCTCCGTGTCCGTTGGCAATCCCCGTGCTTTGCTGACATGTCATCCCGTAGCTTCCGAATGCACTTTTGCGATCGCCTCTTTAGACTTTTCTGGAAAAATTTTGTTTAAGTCCTACTTTCATCAAAGACTTGTTCAGCAACTGAGACTCGGATTGATTGCCAGCATTACTCGAAACCCGCCTATCAACTCATTTAAAATACCTGCGGGGCTTCCCACGCCCCATCCCAAAGTCTAACTGAACTGACGCGATCATGAACTGTACCTGATACCCACAACGGGCGATGCAGAGTTGACGACAGACAGCCCTATAAATTCTGAAGAGTAACCCGTCCTATCCTTTCCCGTAAAGGATGGCTCTCGATTCATGTGTTCATCTTAGAAGGTTTCGTTATTTTACGGCCACTTTCCCAAACTAGAACCACCATCCCATCACTTGCAGTGCCTCCGCGACGCATCATCATCATCCCAAAGCACCAGCCAAACCTAAATGAAAAAAGACGCAGATGGCAGCGATAAACCACCAACCTGATACCGCCCGTTCCGTGATACTAGGGGACCCTCCTTTAGCTTCAACCATGACGCACGTGTTCCCGTAATCGCAGAATTCCCCATCCTTGCAGCAAATTCCACCACAGCATCTTTCTCCCGCGCCACAGCCGCCTTTGCCACAACACTCCCCGAGCACACACACATTCCCATACAGTCTCTTGTCCTTCGGACAGCACCTCCCAACAACCAAGTCGACGCAATGCGACCCCTTGGTGCAACAGCCCGGTCCGCAGCATTGCTGGGATAAATGGCAGCAGTTCCAGTTGTGTGGTAAATGGCACGTGGCTGCGGGTAGTTAGACAGTCAGCTCAATGACCACTAGACATGAACAGGGAAAGGGGCTGTAACAGGTCGGCCTACTCATGTCTTTGGGGCATGTGGCCTCGGCTCCATCGTGCACCTGCAATAGCGCTGGGCTTGCCATTTCAAACGCTGGTTTCGAAAGGTTCGAGAAGGTCGTCGGTATTGATGGTCTCTGAGCAAACCGAGGCGACACGTGGAGCCACGACATCCCGGTCTCGAAGGAGGTTGCCAAGAGTTGCAATCCTTTGAATGGCTTCATTGTATGCTGCGTACTCTGCACGTGAAAACAACCTGCTGCTAGATTGATTGTGTACTGCACTGTTCGGTTGAAATAGAAGCCGCAAAACACTCACTGTGAATCACCTACTCCCGGAAACTTGCTGAAAAACCAAACGCAATCATTCACTGCCAATTGTTTTGCTATTTGTCTAGATACGGCAAGTCCGACCTATTCCTCTACGAAGCTGTTCGTCGCATCCAAGTAAATCTAATCCGCGTCCGTGCTACGCCCCGACCAACCCCAGCCTCTATTCGGGGTTCGAGAAGTTTTTGCTGATAGCCGTAGACTGTTAAGCTCATCGGTAAGAATGCCAACAATTGGGCTTCCAGCCATGGCGAGGAAAAGAATCACAACTCAAGAACAGAGGCGGAGCCACGGACAATTCCCTTTTGGCATGATCCTTCTTGCTGATCTAACAATGCTTTAAGTCCCTATCGTAATTCATCAATCGAGGTCTACCCTCTATTCCTCTGCCTCGTCATCCTTTCGTCCCAACCGTTCCCTCAGCATCCCCTTTTGGGCCTCAATAATTTCGTTTACTGTAATTTCTAGAAAGTTTGTAGAGCTCTTTCTTTTCGTTTTCCCCTGCTGCATGTACACGTTGCCAATGACGGTTTTGGCCAAGGTCTCAACGTCACGGCCGCTAGCCCATCCCCTCGTGCGCCCGAGCTTCTCAAACAGACGATAGACGGTCCTCAATCTCTCGTCGGCCGGGCCTTTAGCTTCCATTACGTTGATCTTGAGCTTCTTGACCTCATTCTTGAGATGTTGAAGACATGCGTGTGGATTCATGGGCTGGAATGCAATCTGTTCCGAGAACCTGCTTCGCAATCCAGGATTGGTCCGTAACAAAAACTCCATCTCGGCGGTGTACCCGGCCAAGATTATGACCATGTTGTTTTTATAACGTGGCTGGGTCATTGCGTCGACTAACTCACCGACGGCCTCCATGTGGAAGTTGGAACCGTTTGCGCCAATGCTGACTGCAGCCAAACGATACGCTTCGTCGACAAACAAGACCTTTCCGAGACCAGTCTCGAGAGTGTTGACAACTTTGGGACCCGTTTCCCCCATATGCTCTCCGACAAGATCACTGACGGAGCACGTCACCACCTCGTCTGTGGATAGTAGGCCCATGTCGTAGTATAAGCGCCCTATTTTCCGGGCGGTTGAGGTCTTTCCAGTACCTGGTGGACCCTTGAATATGAAGGCCCACGGTATGTGAGGCCTCGGGTCGATGTCATAAAGCCGCATGCCGTCGGCCAGGTGCTGGTAACCTTCAAACTTTTTAATAACCTTGTCGAACCCGACGAAATTCTCAAAGAGCGTAGCGCGACTTTCGCCTGCTCGCGACGCCCGATCCCAATGTGGGTCGATATCTCCAGGTTCCATCAAAACTTGTACGGACCCTGTTCCGTGGTATGCGGATCTAACTCGCGAGTTCATGCGGACTTTTGCCTGATTGAGTAGGTTCTCGACGTCTCCTGCGTTTCCGAACTTTGGGTTGATGCGCATACGGCTCAAAACCTGTCGAGATACCGCCGTAGCGTCCTGTGTCATCTCGAGGCCACACTGGCCCGCTTTCAGATCCATAATCCGGCACAGTTCATCCTCGCTGTAGGGATCGAAGCGTAACGCAGTCTCCATGGGGAACCGTCGCTGAAGTCCAGGATTACTGTTGTTGAACAGTTGGCCCATCTCATGGTCGTACCCGACAAGTATGATGCACCTGTCCTCGGGGTCCGCGGACACGTTCGCGACGATGGTGTCAAGGACGGCGATGCGAAAGACGTCCGTCTTATGACCGGCACCCTTTGCTCCGGGATACAGCATGTGTGCGTCATCAATGATCAGTACGTTCTTTTTGGCGCTGCTTAGAACGCTCTTTGTCTTGCTTTCGGAATGTCCTATGTAGGCGCCGATCAAGTGAGATGGGTTTCGCAATATGACTTTCTTTCCAGAAACAAGTCCTAGATCGATGAGTATCTGGCCGTATAATTGCGCGACGGTTGTCTTTCCTACCCCGGGAGGCCCGAGAAATATCCTGTTAAGACCAATCTTTAGCGGCTTCATCCCGAGAAGTTCACGGCGGTAATTGATCTGAGCATAGTCGATGATGTCGCCGCATTCGCTCTTGATCTTCTCGAGTCCAATCATATCCTGTAGCTTTTTCCACGACTCATTGTCGTTTCTCAGGTCTTTCGGCTCTGGACCTAAGAGGTCCTCTGATGTGAGTAGGCTTTTATGGTCATCGGTTGATCTGGTGAGTTTGCGTTCGTCGCCAACCACACTTTCATCGTGTGTTTGTCGGCCTAATAGTTGTGCTGCTTGAGGACCTCCATTCGACCCCTTCCCAAAAGATTGGGAGTATCCCCGCTGCAGTCGAAGAGCTCGTCTTCTGCATGCCTTGTCCAGCTCTTCCTCCAGTCGATGAACGTTTGAGAACGATTCCGAATCCCGCTCTTGGGCCACTCGCCTTACCAAGGCACGCAGGCTGCTGTTAATGAACCCGCCCTCGACTGACAAGCGCCTTTTCTGAATCATGCGCACAATGAGCTGCTTCAGCTCTTCCTCGTTGTAGTCTGGGAGAGTTAATGGGCTCTGAAACTCCTGCAGAGCTTTCTCGCTGCTCTCCATAGAGTCAAGAAGGGACTTGCTCCGCGAGGATATGATCAAAACAGACATTGCCGCAGTTTTTGTGAGGATCTGCATCGTATCAGAGTTATTGGTTTGATTGTGGTAATCATAAGAAGAGCTACTGTCACTGTCGGAAGAGTCGTAGTCATAGTAATTGTTGCCTGAAGAGGCACCGTTGAGACTAAGATTGTCATAAAAGATGACCTGATAGCTGTCAGTACTCAGTAGTGCATGGTCAAAGATTTAACCTACCGTCGGCGTCGGATTCTTGCGTGAGGCCGGATTTGACTGTGCATTTGGCTTCTTGAGTAGGTTTGGAAACGGCGGCGGCGGAGGAAGATACCGAGGGGGACTGGGACGAGCGGTCGACGTTCTGGAAAATGTCTGGCCACTCACAGCTCCTATAAAAAGGAGAAACTGTGCGTAAAGTTTTGCGATAGACTTCTTGCCTTGACGAGGGCGTTAATGATATGCTCTCTCCTTCTATCCAGGAGGACGTACCTGTTCCATCCTTTCCATGGAGAACTAAGTGAAGTCGCAACTTCGACAATCCAGGGTCAGTTCCCTTGCTCTCTTTAACCCTAGCCTTCACCGCAAGGAAATGAGCCTTCACATTCTCCAGACCAACCAACGACATAAGTTGGTCAAGATATGGGTTCTGTTCTTTGTCTTCTCTCTTCTGTCTCAACCATTCTAGTCTCGAGGGTGAATCATCCTCAACATCTTCTGGCTTCACTTCACTAACAACGAAATCTGCCCATGAGGATACTTCATCGACACTTTTGTTACTCTCTCCATGTTTCTGCTTTGAGTCCCCGTCGAAACTGTCGTCAAAGACCTTCTCAAAATCATCCGGGAATTGCATAGCTCTCCATGAGGCACGCGATTGTTTGAGAGACTTGCTAGGTGGACCTCCAGGACTAGGGGGCTTTCCTGGTTTTTTCTTCGTGTCCGAATCGCTGCTATCTGAGCTTTCATCCTCTTTTTGCGCCTTAGTAGTTCCGCCGGTGTCTTCAGCTTTGTCTTTCTCCTGTTTCTGGTCCGACACACTTTTCACGACAATTTCGAGAAGAGTGTGACAGCTATATGTCTTTTCTCCCTTGGGCTCCGCATCACTTTCTGGCGATTGCTCGCTGTTGTCGCTTTGGTGACGGACGCTGACGACAGGGAGTACAGTGAAGCGTTGGTCGTCGCTTTGGTTCTCACGAGTATCCCCATTTGCCAAGCTATGATGGTTTGTATCGACCCTCGGAGCAGAGCCGTCACTATTAGCCGGATTATGCTCATCCGCTGAGACCCCGTTGGGTTTCTGCTGGCCATTTTTCACCTCGTCATCGTCGTGCTTCATATTGGAATTGCGAAGAAGAACCAGAACGGACGTAATAAAAGTCCCATTTCCAGATAAAATGTGGCTACTGAACTTTAAAAGGCAAATTTTGCTTGAATTACAATTGGGACAACCATAGAGATTCCCTCTAGCTTCAGTTCGCCTAAAAATGGTAAAAGAAGGCAACCAGTGGCACAGCCGATGCAGGCTGTCCAAGACACTCGATTATGCACTTCGGTCACTGCGATGGATCTGACGGGTCAGCCTAGCTTACATTGGCAGTCATTGCAGTAGAGGTATGCGCCGCTAAAAGTGCTACGTATCCTTACCCCAGAAGCTGCCGACTCGAGGTGACAGTACTAGGAGGCCTCTTATTATTTTTAAACGGGCATCGGCCTGTGGCTATGCTGGTAATCGCGCAGCACTAGTTTTCAGGGCTTATGAAGAAGACAGAGCCGCAAAATACTTTCTCAGGACCCGGTCTTCGTCCGATCAATACAAGAATCCGGCAAGGAATAGGTTTTACATTGCACTGTAGGCTTTAAGGCATTTTGAGTTGAATTTGTCAAGGGGTGTGGGGGAAAGACCACCTATCCCAATCGTCTATTAGTGACAACTTCGAGTAACTGAACGTAAAAGACCATGGAAAGTCATGGCTGTAATCTAACCTAGTTTTCGTCGTCCTCATTTCTGTTCGAACCCCCTCCGTTCTCCTGCAACCGTCCCTCAAACTTTTTGAACTCATTTGCGCTCACTTTTCCTAAGTTGGTCGCACGAATTGTCTGAAGTGCCGAGAAGAAGTGCGCCCTCGTTAAGACGCGCTCGGCCGTGTCTCTCGGTTGTGAAGTAACACAGTTTGTAGCAGCCATAACGCAGAGATTCTTGAGATCTGACCCAGTATAGTTCTGGGTCAGATTGGCGATAACACCCAGGCTGATGTCCTGCAACTTCTCGTCACGAAGCAACAAGTCTAATATGCCTGTTCTCTCCTCCTTCGTGGGGATGTCGAGATGGATCTGCACTGGTGCTCTTCGAAGAACGGCAGGATCCAGGTCAAACGGCCTGTTTGTGGCCAGCAAGACGAATGGGGCCCTGTTGTCCGTGACCAGACCGTCCCATTCCATGAGAAACTGGTTCAGCATCGACCTGATGTGTCTTTTCTCGCCGGCTTTGCGCGCGCCGAGCATTGCGTCGGCCTCATCGACGAAGATGATACAGGGATGCAGCTTTCTAGCCATAGAAAACACGGCCTTGATCATCTTTTCATCATCACCGTGGCACTTTTGCCAAATCTCAGAAGTTGAGATGGAAAGCATGTTAAAACCTGACTGCCTGGCCATCCCTCTAGCCAAAATACTTTTGCCTGTGCCTGGGGGCCCGTAGAGAATGGCGCCCGTGACTTTATTGCCCTTGAGCACGCCGCGGGAGAAGGCTTTCGGCCGTCGGAGCGATAACGAAGTGACTTGCTCGAGCTTTTCGATCGTAGAACGGGCAATGAAAATATCTTGGTAGTCTGGAGCGATGTTGTCTGCATCATGAACGGTCATTGTTAGTGGTGCGAAAACTGCTTGAACCTCCATGGCCCAGAACTGACCTGTGTTGACGATGCAATCGAGAAGCATCTTCTCGAATCTTCCATTGGCTAGGCTTTTCCACTTTCTCATCTTATGAGAGTGGCTATTCCAATCTGTTCTGCCCAACGATGAATCCAAATCGCTGTCGTAGACGGTATTAAGCTCGTCGTTATAGCTGCCGTTCTCGTCATCTTCGCTATCACTGCTGCTCTCAATGCCCTTCCTAGATTGCATACGGCGGCTTGACGCCATCTCTCGATTTCGGCAATGAGTTTGGAAGTTGCAAGAAGATGCATCCGAGTACCCTGCGAGTATCTCATCGGCAGGTTGCAAGTGGTGATTGTCTTCTCCCAAACTGTGCTCGCCCTCGACGTGCACGATGGCTTCATCTTCATCTGATTGATCATGTCGTTTATAATACTGTTGTTCGCTCGCCAAATCCGTGTCCCCGTCTGAGCTGGATGCCTGCGTCGACAACTGCGATGGTGCTTGTGTGTCGAGTATTGTAGGCACATAGTCATCTACCGATTGACTATGCATGCTCAGCGCCCTGAGGTAGGCGGCAAGATCGCATGGACTGGCACTGTCGCAAGTCATTTTCCCTTTTCCCTATCTTCTATGTTTGAGATCCTCACGAAATCCTTCATCCTTTCGAGACGGGGCATCGCAAGATATCTTCCTCCAGCACACAACCTAGGCGACAAGAAGGCTAAGCTCCTGCTTTGTACAGCCTGCCTGCATCCTTAGTAGTGTTGTATAACCTCACCAGGTTTGGATCAGGCAGCGGTAATACTAACCAATTGAAGGCTGCAGGCTTGGAATGCATGCGCCTCTTGGCGCATCACTGCATGAGATACAGGTGCATTGGCGGCATCCAACAACCAGTGTCACCGCCCCAAGACAATTCGCCCCCAACATGCTGCCCAGTCCGCCTTGGGGGCCGCCATTCAGCCTGCTCTCGAAGGACGACCGAGAAAATGGGAAAGCGATGGTACCGGTTTGATAAATGAGCGGCTTTCGAGGTAGTAACATGCCAATTGTCATGGTTGGTGAGCGCAAACTTACGAGAGAACCTATACTGGGCCTCTTCGATTCCCCTGAGTTTCTCGTCTTTAGAGAGTAGCCACCTAGCGCCCTAACGTTGTTCTCGGCATTAATAAATTTATCGCCCATCTTCAAGTCATGGCTAAGTCTCTGACGTCCACGAGTTTGGACGGAGACTTGGAGAAACACTCTGGTGCCAATGATCAATCTGGCGGACTATTCAGTCACCAAAACCCTGCCATTCAACCAAACACTCTTTCGGGGTATAATGGGCCGTTTCGCGTGGGATCGAAACTCGAACCAATCGAGCTTCCACGCCCTACCAGAACAGGGTCCGCCGTCAATCAGACCAAACAATTTTTCCGTCGATTCCGACGTCAGCCCGTCGACCCAGCCTGTGAAAGGGGTTCGACCGATTCCCAAAACCATCCTCAGCACAGAGGTGAACCAGCTCGATGCGATTTCGAGGAAGTCTTGAAGAAGGTGTTGCCCAGAAGGGAGTGCGTGACTATATACCCCGAGTTCGACGCCGCTGGGTCGTATGTCCTATCAGAAAGCGCCGTCGTGAGTTTGTGGTGCGACGAAACGAAACGGTTGATGGCCATTGCAAAAAGCCCGGATGAGCCACTCGAATTCTCAAGTAGCGGATTCTTCCAAGGAGATACCGAAAAGGGCTATCGAGACATATCCAAATTGTGCCAGAAGATCCTGACAGCCATCACGATCTGCCTTCTCGACAACGAATGCATCAACGCGGAGCACTGTGGTCAACTTTCGAACCAACAAAGATTGTCGGGTCTCATTAAGCAAGTCTCCAAGAGCCAAGGTGCCGAAGAGGGGTTTGCATTCATGGGGGATTCTGAAGCTCAGCAAGGAGTATCACAACGCCTGGAGGCTACCTACAGCCTGGTCAATTACATCTCCGCAGTCTTGACAAGGCTTATCGTCCAGACCTCGCCAGGCACCTACTGGCAAACAAACGTTTTGAGTGTTCTTATTAAACGAATAACCAAGATCAAGTTGCTTCTGATCGACCTACATGCTAACTCCGCAATTGCAGTCAGGGCAGCAGAAGCTGTTCTGTCAAAAGTGCGCGAATCCGGGGACACGCAAAACTCGGGTGGTGAAATGGACGAGGAGGAGGAGTGCGAAGAGTATATGCGAATAGTCGAGGCTAATGAGAAAGAGGGAACCGCGTCATACGAGGAAAAGCAAGTAGCGGCTCATTGTGTCGAGCAGAACAAGTTCCGGTTTGGGCTAAATTCAGCTTTGAGGGATGTGTTGATGTCCATGAGATTCATCAACCGCTCTGGTCTACCTGCAACGGCATTCGAAATCTGTGCTGTAGCCTACGAGACAGGTTTCGAAGGATTCAAGGTGCGTGGAACACTCTCTAAATCACTCGTTTTGCTTTCCGTGTCCTGAAACTTTCTTTGCAGGCCCTCCTTTACCAAGACAGAGATCTCGAGTATTCGGCAACATCGGACCTCGATAATATGAATACTGCACATTCGGCATTCAACATTCTCAACCAAACAGTCATGCACCTCAACAACAAAAGTCGCGAGCAGAGGGAAACCCCCGATAGTCTGAACACAACCTTGCAGTGGACGTATTGCGGATCTGAAAATAACCGCTGTGATCCGATCAACATTGACCTAGCAGGCCCCAGCCAATGCCTGCGGCTCAACTCCATGGACGAAGTAATAACCGTGATGGTACCCCTGGCCATGACCTGCCCGGCCTTCCTAGCTAATTTCACCGGCTTCCGGCACGTTGTGGCACTGACGGGCTTCATCCTAGACGATGTCCAGCCGCTCGAGGAAGGCCAGTTCGGGGCTTTCTTCCGCATGTACACGAGCCAATTTGACAAGATGGAGAGGCCGGATGTTCTCCATCTTTCTGAGGCCTTACGCTGTGGCCTTTTCTCACGATCCAAACTGGTGCGAAGTTCGGACTCGCCACCTAAAGCACAGCAGGATGCGATGCATCAGCTCAATGAGCTTAACAAGCTCACGAAGTATATGGATGAGTGGGTTGTCGATGAGACGTGCGTGACGGTGCCGTGCCCAGGATACGTCTGGGGCGTGATCTCTATAGCCGTCTTGATCGCCGGCGGCGGCCTGGGCATCGGCTTCAGCGTCGGTGAACGCATCAATGGTGTTGATCCCTCGAACATAGCGACCTATCTTTGGGTCGTAGCCGCTTTCATCGTTCTGATAGGTAAGAGCATGAAGGTAAAGGAATGGGCCTGGAATGACTTTCTCCGGAGAAGAGTTCGTTGCTGCTCAGTGTCCGAACTACAGTCAATCACCAGGATAGACGGCCAGCTCATCATCGCCAAACTGTTACACGATGAACGGCGGGGTAGTGTATTGAACATCCGCGGCCCTTACAACTCAGTTTTTCTCAGAAGATCTACCGAAGGATTCTCAATCGATAAGCCCATCAGCTCCTCAACGCTTTTGCTTAGCGGTTTGACGATGTTGAAGGTTGTTACGGCCAAGGGACATGCTTTGGTGTGCCTCGATTTCCGAAGGGGAACAGATTTGAGAGTCATCGGTCATACACCAGAACCGCAAAAAGAACATCTTATCTGCGAGCAAATCGATAGGCTGCAATCGGGAGCTAGTGCAGATTCGCAGGCTCATACCAAACATGCCTTTTCGAGATCTAGGGGGCTGAAATGGAAGAGAGTTCAGGGAATCTACAAGCTGATGGATGCCAAGTTTGTATGAATGTAGTTGAACATGATGCTCAGCTGTACAGTGTTCAATATAACTAGTGCCAGGTTCTGTGTGTTGTATTCCGTTGAGTTCCAGTGGACTTCCTGTTCAGCAAGCCTCGGTCTGCATTTCTAGGGTCACCTTTTCTCCGCACTACGATCAACACATAGTCTACGCTGGCCGGTTGTAGAGACTGCAAGATATTCACAATGAATCACTAGTTCCAAGGAGATCTGCTAACAAAATAAATGAAATCATTCACTACCACTTTTTGTGGATTTTTGCTTGGTATTTTAACCCCGTCTATGCAACTCCAATGCTCCCACATCACCCATCGCCTTTGACCATCAATTCAACCTCCTGCTTTTTAGTCAATCAGCCCCAGCATGCTAGTTCTTGTTGGCATCCTCCTTCAATGACACAATACGGTTAAGGACAATCTTGTCATCGGTACTGTCGCAGTCGACGGCCTACATAGTATTAGTATATTTTCGATGATTCTGGATGCGAAGGCACTTACAAAGTAGGCAATACGAGTGGCCTGGAAGCGAACGCTCTCCGGTCCACCCTTGCCGAGCTCACTCTCGCCAGCCGCCTCAGGCCAAGGTGCACGGCGCTTAACCTCGTCGAAGCCACTCTCGATAATGGCATTAGGGTAGATGACCTCACTTTCGGGGTTGATGTCGTTGAGGAAACCGCCCTCAGCGTCGTCGGGCTTCTCGCTCTTAAACAGCGAGTTGTGGATGCGAGCCTCAACTCTCTTGGAGCCATCAGTGCCAACCCAGTTGATGTAAGCCTTGGGCTTCTTGGTCTCCTTGTCGAACACGGCACGAATCTCGGTGATCTTGCCCGTGGTCTCGTCTTTAGTGTAGGAGGTGGCCTTGATTGGGAAGGGCGCGTTGAGCAGACCGACCGTCTTGTTGGGAGCAAGGCGGAAGTAGTCCTTGCTGTCGACCTCTCTGAAGTCGGCGCTGTCGATGTAGACAGTAGGCGTGAACTTGACGGTATGAGAGCCCATCTTGGGGTCCTTGGGGGAGAAGGGAAGCTCGACGTCAACGGGCTCGGCGTCCTCAATGACAACTGGGATTGGATCCAGGACCATCATCAGTCTGGGGACGGTGCGCTCGAGATACTTGCGCACAGTCTGCTCGAAACGCTTAATCTGGATCACAGAGACGGAGGTGGTGACACCCAGCTCGTTGACGAAGTCCAGAATAGCACCAGGGGGAACACCTCTCCTCTTGATGCCAATCAGAGTGTACAAACGAGGATCATCCCAGCCGCGAACAATCTTCTCCTCGACCAACTTCAAGATCTTCCTCTTCGAGAGGACAGTGCCAGTGATGCCCAGACGACCATACTCGCGCTGCATGGGCTCGTAGACACCAAGCGTCTTGTTCAGCCACTCGTAGGAAACACGGCTCTGGACGAACTCAGTTGTGCACAGGGAGTGGGTGATGCCCTCGAAGCTATCGCACAAGCAGTGCGTGAAGTCATATGTGGGGTAGATCTTCCAGTCCCAGCCAGTGCGGTGGTGAGGAGTGTCGGTCTTGATGCGGTAGGCGGCCAAATCCCACATCTGGGGGTTGCCATCGGTGATATCCTGCTTCATACGAAGGAAGGCCTCCCTGGGCTTGTACTTTCCATCTCTCATATCTCTGAACTTCTGGAGGTTCTCGTCAACGGTGTGGTTCGCATGGTCGCATCGGTAACGGGGGGTGGCGCCCTTCTCTCCGCCGCGCTGGAGCTTAATTTCGGTATCTAGTAAACAAGTCAGCAAGCCGGATTCATTATGCGCTTGAAAGCAACCTACCATTGCAGTAACAGACATAGGCCTTCTCCAGTGTGATGAGCTTTTCTGCCAGGTCGTACAGCTTCTGGAAGTTGTCGCTCGAGTAGGTAATCTTGTAGGGCGTGAATCCGAGCCAGCGAACCATCTCCTCAATCGCCGTGAAGTATCTCTCCTCCTCCTTCTCGGGGTTCGTATCGTCGTATCGCAGGTAGCAGACACCGCCGTGGTACTTGGCGAAGCCAAAGTTGACGGCAATAGCCTTGGCGTGACCGATATGCAGGCAGGGAGGCTGTTAGTGGCGTGATGTTTACGGGGAGGAGCTTATCACACTTACTATCCATTAGGCTCAGGAGGGAATCGCGTCACAACATTCTCAGATGGCCTCTCCTTGTAGACCTCCTCCAGGAAGCCCTGCTTGAACATAGCCTGCGGGTCCAGGACAACCTCCTCGACCTTGGGCTTAGGTGCGGCCTTGGGCTTGCTCTCTCCACCACCAGCGGCCTCCTTCGCAGCCTTGGCCTTCTCAGTGGCAGCCTTCTTGGCGCGCTTGGCCAATCTCTTCTTGAGCTCGCCCTTGCTGACCATCTCGCCCGTTTCCTCATCGAGCTGGAGCTTGGCCGTCGACTCGGCCAGCTTGGTTGTGGGGTCGGCAGCAGCGTCCGCCATATTGTCGAATTTCAATCGGAGAGAACGACGGTAAAGGAAAGTTCGAGAGGTGCCGTGGTAATCGTGCCGTCAGTTGAGGTATCGCGATCGGTAGAATTGGACGTTCAACGTAAAGTTGAGGGCGTCAAAAATGTGTGGTTGTGGTGGCGGGGCAACACTTCTTTTACGGCGGAGATGACTCAAATGGGTTCGGAAACGAGGGGCGAGGGGTCAGCCGCTGTGGCTTCCCTGCGACACGCGACAGAAGGCCGCTAATGATAAGATAAGAATCACCTACGATAAGACATCCGGAAGATAAGCCGGTTCATAGCCAGACGGGGACGCCTTTTCCAAATGATTTCAAATGCCTTGTATCCAAAAAAAAATTAATTTACTTCAAATAAGAAGGGATCATGTAGTTTTTAAATCGATCTCAGTATAATCAAACAAGATTGCTCATTGACTAGGGAGACAATCTCTTCACAATAAGGGTGGTAATGTCATGCTCACCGAATACTTCCAGAACAATCTAATCTGATAAGCCGATAAGCTCCGATAAGCCAAAGCTCAAGCTCAGCTTCGCGGGGCTCCTCTTTCGTCATGGGCTCCCACCTCTCCTGTTTCCGGCCAGCCGTCTTTTTGTCACCAACACCTCAATCTCTTCCTGCCCTACGGAAATCAACATCGCATCTGAATCAGCCTACGAAGCCGATCACAAATAAAGAACAATAAATTCCGTCTATGCCAATTAGACAAGCCGCCAAAATGGCCACCATCGCCGTCGCCGACATCCCGACCGTTGAGCTTCTGTATAAGCTCGGTAAGCTCTCAGCACCCACGAAATCCCTTCATCCACCCAATGCGTCACACAACCAAAAGGTTGGCGTCATTCGCGGCGACATTACGAAGCTTGGCGTCGACGCCATCGTAAACGCCGCCAATACCAGCCTTCTCGGCGGCGGTGGTGTGGATGGTGCAATTCATCGCGCCGCCGGCCGCGGTCTGCTGCAAGAGTGCCGCACCCTCAACGGCTGTGCCACCGGCTCTGCCAAAATCACCAACGCCTATGATCTCCCTTGCAAGAAAGTCATTCACGCAGTCGGCCCTGTCTACGATGAGCTATCACCTGGGTCGTCCGAGGAGAAACTGAAGGGCTGCTACCAGACCAGCTTGGAGCTCGCTGTCCAGAATGGTTGCCGCAGCATCGCCTTCAGCGCTATCAGCACCGGTGTATACGGTTATCCAAGTCGTGAGGCTGCACCAGTGGCTGCTGGTGTTGTGAGAAAGTTCCTAGATGGCGAGAATGGCAAGAAGCTAGACAAGGTTGTGTTCTGCACTTTCGAAATGAAAGATGTCAATGCCTACAACGCAACCCTTCCGTAAGTTTGGCATGCCGCTGCTTTCATCAACCCATCACTGATATCCCTACTAGGAAATTCTTTCCTCCTAATGACAGTACGGCCGCTGATGGAGAAGTCTCTGATGGCCCCTCCAAAGAGGAGACTGAAGAGGCCAAGGCAGTGGCTGCTGAGCTTCCCAGCGTCCCCAAGGGCGACCCTTCTTCATAAGCATCCATGTCGTTTGCGCAAAACAACATGACCTGATGCTTTCTGGACGGTTGTCGTTTGGAAGGCAGCGCTTGTTTTGGAGTTAGTGGAGTCAGGACGGACAAAAGCAAGCCGGATTATATACAGTTTTTAGTTGCATTACCTATGATGATTACTTTTTCCCATCGCATGACATTCTTCCGCGATAACCTTAGATACAATCTCCTCTGTGCAACATTCTTCATTACGTGAATGCTTCACACTCCGAACGATGACTATCGAGCAATAGACTCTCCGCCCAGGTTTGGGAATATTCTCCAAACTGGATCAAACATTGATAGCATGTTCTGAAGCGCTGTTTGTGAGGGGAAAAGCGCCTCCAGATCCTCCAGATCAGTTGCCCTGAAGATATTACTAGACTGCAGCATGTCTATCACGTCCAACCTTCCATACTGATCTACCTTGCTCAAAAGGGATTCCGGAAGATCCACTGGCGAACCGTGAGGTGGCGGCGAGATGAATCTAGGGGCCCCACGTTCGACAAACACCTTACAGGCTTGCAATAACTGTCTAGTGAATGCAGTATGCGACCGAGTATCAGCTATTAGCTGCATGAGAACCCTCCAAACAATATTCATGTGCTTCCTAGAGGTGGTGAGGTTCGCATTGTAAAAGTCGAGTAGTGAGTTAAGAAGCCCCAGGTCGATTGAGTCTGACCAGTGCACTATAAAACGATCACCCGCTTCGATGAACGGGGTCCCGTATAAGAGTCCCGGCGTGATTATCAGATGTGAGGCAGTCAGTTGGCTGTCGGGGGGGATTTGATTAAGCCTCAGCAACACACGGGCTTGAGCATATGCTACAACCCGCAAGGCATTGGGATGCGGCCCCTGGAAGATACTCGTAAAACCACGCGCCGTCACTATCGTGGCCTTAGCTTCCAAGATAAAACGCAACACCAATAGTAGTCTCCACAAAAGCTCATCATATTTCTCTTCGGCGTCGCTTTCTATTTCTTGCACCAAGTAGCACATTCTGAAAATGTAATCCTCGTCGATTGTACGGGAAGCATTGCCGCAAGGCTGGGCTTCAAGATAATAGGCTGCTGCAAGCAGAAGACACGGACTCACGGGGAGCTGGTCAACGAAGCGCTGCAACATGGGCGTTTCTTGAAGAAATTCGACCACAGTTCGATGAAGGAATCCGAGTCTTATGTCATTGTGGCGTGGTAAATCCAGGGCGCCCTCCCAAGATTGGACGAGATCACGGCATCGAGCCAGAATCCGGTTCTCTTTATCCAACGAATTCTCGGGTATGCAAGTACCTCCATAGTAAGGGGTGCCCCACTTCATGTTAGAAGCTAGAATTTGAAGCTCTGTCAAGCTTCGGAAGAATTGGACTGGCAGCGAGGACTTCGCAGTGAGCAACAATGTAAATACAAAGCTGGCTTCTTCTCTGTGAATTTCTTCAATTGAGTCAAGCATTCTCTGGAAAAGCTGATCAAGATCTGAAGGGAGCTCAAGTAGTCGTTTTTGAAGAATCTTGAGGTCGTCGCCACTGTCTATACCACGGACAAGACCCTTCACCACCAGGGAAACCCAGAAAAATACTCCATCTGCTTTTTCTGAAATCTCTTGGATGATCTCATCCGATAGAATCTGTTCTTGAGTCCTTAACTGTTGGAACCTCTCATTCTTGCTAAAGCAATCTTCAATGTAGGATTGCATGTCGGCTTTCGTCATTTTGTGCATCTCAACTTGCCAGGGAGTATTTTTGAATGCTTTGAGGAAATGAGGCCATGGTCTGCTGGCACAGCAGACTTTGATATCTGATGAGTTTCCAACGGAATGGAGGAACTTTGTTACATCTTTCGCCCCTCCGCTGTACTCATCGAGTCCATCAATAAGAAGCAACACTCGACTAGGGAGTTCACTTAAGCTTTGAAGTTTGACAAAAGCTTGCAAAAGTTCTTCAACACTCCAAGGTTCAAGTAGCTTAGATGGGTTCGTGTATCTCTTTGCACAGATTTCTGGAACCAATTCCGGGCAGTGGACAAGAATCTGGAAAAGTAGTGTCCTGAGCAAGCCCTCTTGAGACTTTTGCAATCGTGTTCCTGCACTCCAGAAGAAGTGACTCGCGATAATGAGCGGCTTCGACCCAGCCCATGCCTCAGCCAGTGATCGTGTCTTCTCATGGTCTGAAATGAGCTTCATAAGTGTAGACTTGCCGGACCCAGGCTTTCCCGTCACCCAAAAAACACTATTGCTTGGTTCTCGTAGCCAAGATGGAAAGCTGACGGCTGAGGATTCGCCAAATATCCACTCAAAAGTGCCTTTATGTGCTTTGGCAATTCCGCTTTGCCTCTCCTTAGTCTGAATGAAAAGAAGACTTTTAAGGATGGTCCATGTCGTTTGTTTTTTTCCGGCTTCATCTACAAATTCTGACAATCTTTTGGCAAAGGATGCGAGGTCATCAGAAAACTCGTTTAATTTCTCATCGTTCTCAGAACGAAGCAGGTTTGCCAATTCTCGTGCCATGACGTTCAACCTCTCTTCAGTGGCGCTGTTCCAGTTTGAGGATTCGTCTTTTAACGAACGAATGGCCTCTGACAGCGACAGGTGGTATTCGCTGCACGAGAATTAGCTTTCGCTACACGACCGGAGAGTTTTGGGTCTAATTCACTGGAGAAGTGTTTCAAGTCGCTCAAAGGTTTCATTTTTGATTTGGACCAGTTTCTCTTGAATACCATGGATGTTGCTCTTTTCCCAGTACGCTTTTAAGAACGCGGGAAATATCACTTGTCTGCTTTGGCGCTTTTCGTTGTTCAGTTTGATATGGTCGAGTTCCGAAAGCAGCTCTTTAGCTACATCTATGCAACGACTCAAGAGGCGCATTGTGATAGCGTCGGCCTTCGAGCCAGTGTCATTTTGAAGCACAGTACATTTGTTCTCGAGGCTGGTTGTCATCAAGCACAAGTCAGCGTTGCGGTCAGCCAAGTCGTCAGGATCAACGCTTTGATGCGTCTCAATGACGGCTTTGGATACCTTGAGGCCTATCTCGACGAATTGGACGATTTTAGAAGCGACGCCAAGGGCTGTAAGAGATTCAGCCATGGCGAAGTCGCTTGAGGAAGTGCTTTCCGAGAGGTGAGGACAAGACTGTATGGCCTTTTCTTGGGTGCTAGTCAAAGTTAATCTGGAATGATGATTACGAGTTTGAAGGAATGCACGACCAGGGCTGCTGAACTTATATTGCAGTAAGCAGGCAACAGGATTCGCTAGCGTTGGTGCTCCACCACATTTCTGCATCTGCCTGTTCGCTGTCCAAGCCTCTACCTCAAAGGGCATTAAGCACAAATGACCCGAATTAAGACAACATATTCTTACCATCTTCATGGAAGAATTCTAAGAGACCAGAAGAATCTTCAAATGTTTTCGCTGTTTTACATTCAAGTAGGATTTGAGACTCTTTTCAACCATCTGCCATTACAGTACCTCATTTGGACATAAATCGTGACTGCATGACCATTTTGTTACTTCCCCTCCCTGTGGTAAAGAGATAATTTGAATCAAAGTGAGATGGAAATTAGATATTGCTGTAAGACAAATCTAGTCAAGAACTCATTCGACCTTGCAATAGCAGCTGCCAAGTACTGTGCCGCAGTACCTATGATAAGATTTGATCTAACTTTCAACCAACTTCACAATGCGGAATTTAGGTTGTGAAATCTAATGCTACCAACGACTTTACCATGTACATAAACGTCATCTACTGTTGTGGGTTCAAGATGGCTTCGTGTTCTGGAGAGGAAGATAACACCGAATGAAGTGCTACGCCACACTTCCTTGCACCGCCATGGTGTGGCGTCTGCTGACTAAAGGTCAAACTAACCCATCTGTCCTATCGGCAAGGGGTCCATCTTCAGCAAGCCTATCAATACGCGTAATGAGACAGCACGACGATCAAGCAAGCTGATTCGTGCCTGTCGAAGCATTCCAAGATGTCACCGCCTCTCACCACAGCAGCGAATTATGCCGCTAACGACCTCTCCGAAGCAGCATTAGGAGGCCCAATTGCGCTGAAGGATGGCCTTTTTATCGATGGATACGGCCGCACACTATCTCTCCATGGCCTCAACATTTCCGGAGCCAGCAAGCTCCCCACTCAACCCAACGGTCTATCTCACCTCACGGAGGGCTTCTTCGAGCATCGAACCGTGACCTTCGTTGGCAGACCATTCCCTCTCAAGGATGCACCTCTGCACTTTCGCCGGCTTCAGGCCTGGGGCCTTCCGCTTATTCGCCTGCTTGTCACATGGGAATCAATCGGACATGCAGGACCTGATCCTCTGACTGACGTTGACCTGGAGTACATTGAGTATCTCCGGAAACTCATTGAAATGATGCCTGCTTACGGATTGAAGTGCTTCATTTGCGCACATCAAGATGTCTGGAGCAGGTATAGCGGCGGTAGCGGTGCACCAGGATGGACCTTCGAAGTCGCGGGGCTGGATGTTGAGTCCTTTACCGATACAGGTGCCGCCTATGTTCATGGGCAAGATGAGCTACGGCGAGCATCTGCGCCGGTTAATGAGAAGGAGCCCAGTGGTCCGTTTGTTTGGCCCTCTGGTTATCAAAAACTGGCTGCATCGACAATGGCAACGCTGTTTTGGGCTGGTGAAGCTCTTGCACCCAAGTTGAAGTGCCAGCGACGGTCCAGCAATGGAGGTAAAGAAGAGACTGTCTCTGCCCAAGAGCTTTTACAAGGCGCCTTGATAGAAGCTTTTGGACGGCTGGCGGATGAAGTTGTTGGCCTTGAAGCCTGTATTGGTTTTGAGCCGATGAACGAGCCGCATCGCGGCTTGATCAACCTCCATGGCTTCCATGGCTGGAACTACGATACCGATCTCCACATTGGCCATTATCCATCCCTGACACAAGCCCTTGCCCTTGCCAGCGGGTACGCCCAAGAGGTTGACTACTATGTCAAGTCGTGGCCTTTCCCAACACGCGTCTCTCATCGATCTCTTGTTGACCCGAAAGGGCGATCCGCTTGGCTGGCTTCCAAGGGCAAGAATCAAGGCCTAGGCGAGTGTGTGTGGCGTGCTCATGGCGCGTGGGAGTGGGATGACAGCAAGAAAAGCCCGAAAGTTCTCCAGGCGAACTACTTCGAGGTGGACCACCGGCCTGGTCGTGAGGGCCAACCAATTGAGTGGTACCGCGACTTTTACGCTCCCTTTCTCAGACGGTTTTCGGAACGTGTCTCGCGAAAATCATCGCGCCAGTTTTGTTTCATCGAGCCGATACCGAATGAGTTCATGCCTCCGTGGATTGAGAAGGACTCCAAAGATGCGAAAAAAGTACAGAAGCAGAACTATGCCACCAAAACTGTTATCGACACCAAAAAGCCGGACAATCTGGTATTCGGGCCTCACTTCTACGATCTCAACGTGCTCTTCAGCAAGCACCATTCGTGGATGAGCGTCAACGTTCAAGGGCTTTCTAGGGGCATGTTCGTGCTTAAGGCGCTCTACTTTGGTGCACGAGCCCTGCGCAAGAACTACCGTCTCCAAATCGGCAATATTCTCAAGTATGGCAGGGCATCGCTGGGTGACCATGTGCCTGCTCTTATTGGCGAAGTAGGCATCTCGTTTGATATCAACGATAGAGAAGCCTTCGCCACGGGATGTTACGACAAGCAGCGAGAGCTGATGCATGCCCTTATAGCAGCCATGGAGGACAACATGGTCAGCTTCACCTTGTGGAATTATAATCCTGACAACCGAGTTGAGTATGGTGATGGCTGGAACAAGGAGGATTTCTCCGTCATTAATGGTGATACGGAGGAGAAACCTGGCCACATCATGCAAGACTACGCCAACGAGAACCACGCAAAGGACGAATTGTATCGCGGTGGACGGGTCCTCGACGTTATCATCCGCCCTTACGCCGTCAAAATCGCAGGCCGCCCTCTGCGATCTGACTGGGATCCTCGCACATTGAAGTATGAGTTCGAGTGGACCAGCCAAGACCGGGTTGGTGAAAAGCAATCGGACAAGCTAAGGACGACCGAAGTGTTTATTCCAAAGTATCACTACGATGGTGGCATCAACGTTAAAGTAAGCGATGGAGATTGGTCGTATGACGCTGACTTACAGACGCTCTACGTTCGTCACAAGGCTGAGGTGTACCGCCACCGTCTCGTCGTCGAGATCCCTAACCTGGGCAGACACCTCTTGGAGAGGGTTGAACGGCGTCGCCGGGCAGTTCCGCCAAGGTTCCCACTAAGCCTCATCTCACCCAGCAGCGAGCTTGCTTTGGAAGAGCTAGACCCTGGCTTGATTGTCGTTATGTTACTGTTGCCAGCTCTTGCACTTCTCTTGGCCATTTTTGCACAAAGAATAAGCTAGATTAACAGGATAGGATAGAGATTTACATCTGTTTTAGAAGAATAGAATGCAGGAAAGGACTGTACGTAGCAACTCATCTAACAGATGGCAGGAAAGAATGTTTGAAATCAAGTTATTTTTTAGTTATCTTACGGACGGATCATGATTTACATTGTCAAACTTAATATTTGATGGCTGCCCGTTGTTGCTCAACCTGCAATCCATGACCGACATAGGCTTTCTTATTCAAGTTAATAATCATCAAAAAATCGAGATATGTCACCTATATGTTCTTGGTGATTAACAGAGGTCCTAGTCGGCGAAATCTGGCTAGATATTTTATGGCAATATTCACCTTGGTTGTCCTAAATCCAGGCGCTATGTGCCTCACACCACTGTGGAACTTGGCAACCTCTTTTAGCTGTGTCATTCCAGAGAATACGACGTTTTCACCAGCTCTGTTTACTGGTTTAATCCCCTCTTGCGGTGGAGCCACTGCTATTCATAGCATTCCTCCAGCCTATTCTCTCTGTACCATTCAGGTGGTTCACCTGTGTGCTGTCCACTGCGATGGAATCCGCCCACTTATTAAAGTTTCTAGAACGTAAGGCTAACCTGATTCGAACATCTTGCAGCGACGCTATGGGCAATGTAGATAATATGGTGCCGGAAACTGCAGTCCTTAATGACTAAGCAGTGCCGTACCCGATCATGGAGATTCCGGGTTGCTCACGTTGCTTGATGCACTTTGTCACTTTTGGTAATTCACAATTTGCGTTTCACCAGAGATCTTCTCCCTTTCAGTAGCACATCATCGGCGCTACATTTCTATTTTGAGACGACTGAAGACTAAAACACGATGGTCAACCGCGGCCGGTTGTCCCTAGCCTGTGCACCCTGTCGGGCAAAAAAGTTGAGGGTTAGACTCCTGGTTATTCCCATTGACAATACCTCTTCTTTCTTTACAGAAGTTTTACTAACTACGGGATGCTATGACTATCAGTGCGACCTACAGCCTGATACCTGTGGGCAGTGCCGTAGGGCTAGAACCATATGCCACGGCTACCGCAACCCCGATGCCCTACAGTTCCATGATGAGTCGCTGTCCATTGAGACAAAGGTAGTCGCGCGGCGTAGTAAGACCCCAGTGAAGCTGTTGCCGACTCAGCCGACCGGCTTCGAACTGAGCTGGGATGCCAAAGCCCGTTACGCTTTTTTCTCAACATACATCGCTAGCTTCACCCGGAGCATGGGCGAAGTTCCATTCTACTATCGGACGGCGCAGGCCTCTGATCACCTTTCAGCCAGCGTCGAGGCCGCCAGCTTAGCTTTCATGGGCTCGCAACTTCATAGTGCTCAACTCATAGGCTTGGCAAACTCGAGATACATCGTGGCGATCCGGCGGCTGAACCACGCCCTAGTGTACATGGATCCGCAGCAGGCCGAGAAGCTCCTCCAGTCGGTGCTACTTCTCGACATGTACGAAAAGATGGTCCACCGAAAGCCTGGGGCAACACAGTCATGGATAAGCCATGCTAAAGGCGGTTTATCGCTTCTTGACACCCATGCGCGCGATATTATCTCAACGCCTACTGGTTGTCAGCTCGCGGCCCGCCTTACCGCAGCTGTCACCGTCACGTCTATGACAGTCGGAGAGTGTATTCCTAATCAACTAATGGCGCTACGCCGGAACATTCACCATCGGGTTCATAGCCCCAAGTGGACTTTCTTGGGGATTTTAGCCCACATTGCCAACCTTAAAACGCAGGCTGACAGAGGAGAAATATCGAAAGCCCAAATAGTTGTAAAAGCAAGAGGTTTGTACAGCCAGCTGGATGAACTTGACAGGATGCGGACTTCCTCTTGGGAGCCTCAAAGGATACAAAATCCAGGGGAAAACACGCTGGTATTGGGAGACTACTACGACGTTTATCCTGATCATTATATCAACCAAGTCTCAAATGCTTTTCGAACTGCGCGTCTTCTTCTTCATAAAATAATCAGACAGCATGCACCGGAGCACTTTAACCAGTCAGCAGAGGATTCTTGCGGGGATATTAATAGGATGGTGGATCAAACCTGCGCCTCAGTACCGCAGTTCATACTACGTGGCGTACGAGATACAAACGCCCTCCCGTTCTCACCCCTGCAGCAACTACAATGCAGTACCTTACTTGCCCCATTGTTTTTTGTTCATCAGATGACTGGTAACCCCCTGGTTCAAAGCTGGATCGGACGGTGTCTGAATTTTATGTGGACATCGGGAGGGTTGAGAGCAGCTAAGGAAGTTCTCGAGCTGATTGAGACACAGCCCGACTTGGATTACTGGACAGTCCATGCAATGACCGGTAGTTATGCATTCACGGCTTGATAAGAAAGAGGTCTACCTGAGTAAAATCATTTGCATCTTTGTATGATTTTACATGTAGATCAACATCCCTCTGTATTCTGTAGACTCACTCTTTCAAATCAATGAATGTCTTGACGGAATCCACAATCGTCTTCTCAAGCGGCGTCCACTCCATACCCAGCACAGTCTCAGCCCGAGATGTGTTAATGCCATATGACTGTATGCTCGGATCGGGCATTCCACCCATATTTGCTGGTTCGGGAATCCTGTCCCTCAACTCGGGAAAGTTGTCGTACACAATCTTGCCCTTTTCAAAGTTGCTATACAAGCCACCAGCGCAGAAGAAACGTTTTCCGGCAGCCGCCTCATACAGTTCCATAGCCTTGACGTGGGCTAGCGCTGCATCGCGTACATCAACCCAGACGGGTGAGTTTGTGGGAGGCAGGCCGGTCTTGTGTTTCCCGAGAATGAGTTCAGCGAACAGTTGATTCGACGTGTTTACTGCCGAGAGATTCTTAACTGGCAGCCTGGGAGGACCGAATATAAGGGGTGGGTTAATGACTGTCAGCGTATAGGCAGGCTTCTCATCATTAACGAAAGCCCAGGCAGCCTTTTCGGCCTCGATCTTGGAAACGCAATAAGCCATCAGACCGTTACTGTAGGCATCCTCAATTTTGAGAGGGCTCCAGTCATCCTCAGAATATGTCTTCACGGCCTTCTTAGCAGCAAGACTAAAATCGAGCATGTTGACAAAAGAAGCTGTGATGATAACGCGTTTGACAGTGGGGCAGGAGTCTTTCACTGCCTGAAGGACGCCGGTCGTGCCCAACACAGCCGGGTCGATGAGATCTTTCTTGGGATCCGTGACGTTGTAGTGAAACTAGGATTCAGTCAGACAGATCTTCTTTCTAAGACAATGCATACTTGGATATGATTTACCGGGCTGGCGACGTGGATCACGGCCTCAAGATTGTGTGATGCAAGCGACTCAAAAGCTCCTTTGGCTGCAATGTCTGGTATCACAATCGTGCTGAGGTTTTGTTGAGGACTATCTCGAAAGGCTTCCTTGATTGAGGCACCCTTCTCTTCGGATCTGACGGTAGCAACGACAGTGTGCCCTCGTTGCAAGAGAATGTCGACTACATGAGCGCCAAGGAAGCCGGTTCCTCCTAAATAAATGTTAATCAATCATGAGCGTTGGTATAAGTGAACCGAGACTACCTGTAACAAGAACTTTGGTCATTGTGAGGGTTAGGAAGGCGTTGGTATTGTAGTTTGAGACTTTAGATGAGCCGATGATAGCAGGGAGTTGAAAAGAATTGCACGATACAAGAAGGTTCAATATAAGCGCAATAAAAAAATACAATCTTTGAGTTTGCCAAAATGCAGAACAGAGGTCAAATTATAGGAAAACGGCTTTTGATACTGAATCGTTACTGAAGGCACCTCACCTTATTGTGGACAAGCGGTTGCTCCACAAAGCTGCTGACGCTTTCCACACCCATACGGAGATGTCCTGTTCCCATAGCCGGAGATAACAATAGAGTTTTCATAAAATGCTACTTAAATATGCAGGCCGAGTTTTTACCTATATTATTCAGCTCGAAAGCATGTTTATGTTACCTTAGCTTGGGTTCATTGTTGCAGTAGGAAACAGGAATCCGAACTGCGAGTCGTTGGATTTGTGGGAGTTTCATGCACGACGTAACACTAACCATTTTAGGTAAGATGAAGGCGGTCGTTTAGTGGGGCTCGACGACTGTAGTATCACTAACAATGATACCTGTAAAGCCAGTCTTGACACTTTCCTGTTCGCGCCTCGTGCCTCATCTTACATCGTGACGAGGTAATACATATTTAGAGGAGTATTTTAAACTACAAAACTAAGCACCCTAAGAAGAGGTAACAGAAGAAGAACTCAACTGGTTGAAATTACTTGTTTCTCGCCCCCCTGCTATAAGTCAAAAGGAGACAGATTCTTTGGAATGCACTCATGCATAAGGAGCATCTACACAATACAGTTTCAAATACACCGTCAAGGTTACCATACGGGTCTGTAGTACGATCGAAATTTCTTAAAGCTTGAAGGTCGTCATGTAGACTACGACGACAACAACAAATGATCTTCTTCAGCCCTTTCTAACTGAGTTGTTAATGAGCAGCACGATGCCAGGTAGCCTAAGCTCTGTTCAGCTCGCACCACCCATGCAGTATTGTCATGCCAATTAAGCCATTGTTACTGTAGCGAACGCCTCTTAAACCTAAGCTGGCCACCAAAAGCGGCAGTCTACAAGCTGGTATCGTCTCCGCACTCAAGTTGAAGTTGACTGATTGGACAGTGTTCTAAGTTAAGATTGTTTCTTTAGTGTGGGGTCAGAAAACTCGGAGGGCTTTCCATTGGAAGTGAAGCTGGGTCCCTACCCAAGCTCGGATCAGTACCGAGTTTTACGCAGAATCCTTATGCAGGCACGCACGGATTTAGGTCAATATTCCCTTTTCCCCGGTAACTCCATGAGCCGGTTCTGAATCGTATTGGTAGAAAGTTTCTTATTGCATGAATACTAGTAACGTAAGGTTATAAAGCCAGTCAATATGTGCTCCCTATTCTGTATCTATAAAGCTCGGCAGATTGCCAAAGCTTGCGAGCCTATGGTGCTGATAGATCTACCTCTCAAGAAGTCCGGTGCAAATGAGATTTTGTAAAGGTTCTGGCTTTTGGAGTCTGCTATTCCAACTACGTCGTATCCAGTGGCAGGTTCGGCCCCATCAAAGATCGTGTTCCCGGTCACGAGACGGTAGGCGACATTGTCTCTGTAGATGACAGCATCACTCAATTCAAGGGCGGAGAGCGCGTTGGCGGGCCTTTTCATACAGATGATACTCTAATGTGTCTAAGGTAATGGAGTATGATTTGAGAGATGTACTAACGAAATCTAGGCCACGATAGCACCTGCCGCTTATGTCAGCGCGGACAGTTCCAGTACCGTGATGACGAGGCGATCGAAGGCACTACCAAAGATGGTGGCTACGCGTATTATGCCTTACTTCGTGAGGAAGCTGTAGTTCATGTTCCTCGCGACCTCGATCCGATTGAGGTTGCGCCTCTTTTTTGCGCCGGTGTTATTGTCTTATATGGGATTCGCAACATGAAGATTTCCCCCGGCACCACTGTTGCCATTCTGGTCATAGGGGGCCTTGGTCATCTGGTTGTGCAGTATGCCAGCAATATAGGCTACAAAACCGTTGTCTTGAGTTCTGAAGACTTCAAGTGGGCTATTGCTTGTGAACTCGGCGCACATATCTACGTTAACACTAAGGCGGAGAATGCTGTGAAGAAGCTTCAACCGTTGGGAAGAGCTGATTCGATTGCTGCTACGGCGCTGAAACTGAAGGTCATTTCGGAACCGTGGCCCTTTTCGCCATCAGCATGGCATGCCCTCCACACGCGAAAGGCATCCTCTCAGCCACTCTCGCACTTTATCTCCTTCCACCGGTACGAGAGTGTATAGTTTACCCAAGCGGAAGCTTCTTGCCTTGGCAGCTGCCGGAGCGACCGAGATAAGTTTGATCTATATGATCAACACAGGGAACTCAGTGGAAGGCTGGGCCAGCGGTCATCCATTGGACTCAGCGGAGGCTATCAACTTTGAACAAACTCCGGGAGTCAAGGCTAAAATCGAAAATCTTCCGTTCGAGAAGATGCAAGATGCGATGGATCATATGGTCTCAGAAAAGGTTCGCTTTAGAACTGTTTTGTATACAGAGGGGAACGTTGATTTCGATTAGCATGCAAAACATCAGAAATTATGACAATTACTTTATGAAGTAGATTGACAACTGCTCATACTATCTGTAGTGAAAAACGTTCAGACCCTCTAGAAAGTAACATGAGACCGAGGAGGTCGGTAGTCTAATTGTGCGCGGAGGCTGAGCATACTGCTCAGGAAGCAAAGTGCCACAAATTGTGTCATCATTGATGCCGACGGGCTTTTGAGGAGTACTGTTCTTATTAAGACTTGTGACACTTGGGCTATGTCAGCTTCTCCAAATTCATGCGGGTCATTGGAATAGGTTTTGTTCCATTATTCTGAGTCAATAGCTTTGTTCTAGTCTATTTGCGTTTTTCTCATCTGGTACCGGGGTACCAATTTGTGCACCGACTTCAAGTTGGAAACACGCCAACAGAGTAGCCATAGGAAGCGTTCAAGTTTTGTTGCATAAATGACAGGTCAACAACCATACAGTAGCCAAAGAGCTGGGAGGTCATCATTCAAGATCCTCACTCGAGTTGTTTACCAAGCACGTTTGCCTGTTTAATCTTGGAAGCCAAGTATCTAAATTAAAGCATGTCCTTTAACAGATGTGTGCTGATTAGGACCTGGAAAATGAAGAAGGTGGCAGAAAGAGCCGATAATTTGAAAATAGAACAAGGTTGCATGATAATATGAGAAAGAATTGCAAGGATACTGAAAACAGTTATCCTAGGGTTTGCAAATCTTTGAAAAGAAAACTGATATCAGTTTGAGTACATACTGTCTAACTCTAAAACCTTCCTTGTATGAGCACCTGATCAACGTTGAAAACCATGCGTTGTTACTATGAGCTGACAGCAATTCTCTCGCCATCATATATCACCCGCCCCTCTACCTGAGACAATTAAGTCTCTCCAGACCTGTTGATGAAGCCTATAACTCCGTCTAAATACTGCCGGACACATAAGACACCCAACCATTCGAGCTGTTCTGGCAATATGTCCCGCTGCTGCTCGCCGCAACTTGGTACTTCTGTTACGGGCTATGCCCGGTTGATAGCAGTGCCATTATCCCTAATCAAGTGCAGTCAAGCAAAAATCGGACGGCTTGTTGTTGTGTATCCTTTTGGGCGTTTAGCTCAACGTGGTAGCACCTCTATTATTAACATGTGCTGGAGGCTAGTGTGCGGCTGCCACTGCAACCCTGTAGGCGGGTTCCGACCCTTCACAACTTCGTCGCAGCTCCTTGGCGGTTCGATGAGGGATGTTCGTGGCGTGACAAGGCGCCCTACCTGAAGTCTTCAAATGCGAGGGATTAATATCCTCTGAGAAGATTTATGCAGACGTTAAGTGGGTTGTTGAAGTGGTTGTATGTAGCGCCTCCTTCATTGCAGTAGTTCACGCTACCGGCGAGTGTATACGCCGAGGTGAGGCAATTGGTGCCAGAAGGATAACAAATGTTGTAAGCTGCATTTTTCTTTTGGGTTGAACGGTGAATATCTTGACGAATTCTGATCAAAGTAGTAGTTGCTGGATCAAGGTTGAAGTGATGGATGAGTGAGTGAGACTTGAGGCGTTGCTGAGAATCTAACATTCTGTATGGAGGCGCAAGCAAGCATTTATAGTACTTCAAGACTTGTCAATCTCTATCTTTGTCGTCTTAAAAAAGATTTGGTTCGAATGTGGCGCTTGATTTCGATGAAGACTTTTTATTTCCAGGTCGAAAATGCCGAAAAGGCTGGCAAGCGGACCCAGGATCATCTTATCTCACTTTATACATGAGCATACCTTTCAAGTTTGTTAAATGATCCCCATCATCATTAAAAATTGAACGGGGAGGATGCATACAAACCAGAACTTACATCACGATATTTCTTGACCTTCCTGAAAGGACTTGAGCAAGTAAAAACGATTTAAACCAAGTTTGTGTCTCCACGTTCATGAGTGAAGTAGCTTAAGAACCATACAGATTATGAAGAAGCGACAGTTTGACATGAACGGCAAATGCGTTCTAAAAACCAAAGTATTTCTGACATAAAGACGTTGTAAAGACAGACGAGACTACAACGAATTTCCATGTACATCGTCGAACATTCACCGCGGTATTTCTAAAAGTTGATTGAGTAGGGATGTAGTGGGTCGTTAGGGACTTAAACAAGCTTACACGATTGGTTGATACAGTTTGCCGATAGAAGTGGTATCAAGAAGCAGGATGTAAGCTAGAGGTCGTTGCTTTTAAGACTGTTTCTTCCGGGGGTATCAAGAACTATCCCAAATTCCAGCAGCCCCACTATTCCCGTAGTCGGACTCTCGTAGTCTTCCGGAAGTTACCCTGCATGATCTGCGAGACGCGAATCGTAAGAGGTTAGTTCCCTCATTGTCTTATTTCCCATTCGTCCATCGCCCTTGGCGATGAGTCTCTAGTGGGTCTACCCGTGTCATTTTCGTAATATGGTATAAGTCAGGAACTTCGAGATGGATTAGTCCGAGACGTAGGGGATGATGCCCTAGAAAATGAAACCGCCGACGAGCTCAATGCAATCAATTTATCGGGTTTATTAATATAGTGGTGATTCTTGAACAGAGTCGTAAATTTCACCTATAAATACTCCTGAAATTCTGGTCATCGACCTCTTTTGTATCAGTTCATCTCATGATACACTTCGTTGCAAAACTCATCTCTTAGATTTTCAAGCGTTTCCAATTATTCAGACATGGAGATTATCGAGACTCCAAAGCACCTCCTTTCATCATGGTCAAATTCTTTTTTGTTCCGCCGAATGGATGTTTGGACGTCCCTATGCCTCGGCGTGGTTCTCATCAGTATCTTCAGCTTGATACCTTCCTTACGCAAACCCTCCCGCAAACTACCTTATATCAACCCTCGAGAGTCATTAGACCTCTTCAACCAACAGGGAAAAAACAGCTTCTTGTTCAATGCCAGAAAGTTAATGGAAAGCGGCAGGCAGCAGTTTCCAGGACAGCCTTACAGGATCATGACTGATGTTGGCGAGACAGTAGTCATCCCGTCCGACTTTGTCAACGATATTCGCAATGAACCTGGACTTAGCTTCATGCAGGCTTTTGCCGACAATTTCCATCCGCATTTGCCAGGTTTTGAGGCATTCGCAGTAGGCAACAGGCCAGATGGACTCTTTCAAAAGGTCATCATGAAGTACATTACCAAACTGCTGAGTATGCTATCTCGCTTATTATTGGCCCTTACTCGATACATCCTTTCTTGGCTAACACTTGCTCTTTGCTTCCAAAGACCAGATTACCGAACCCTTATCATCCGAAGCCAAATATGCTGTCGACCTACGATTCGGAAACTCCAACCGTAAGCACACCAACCTACACCCCAGAAAGACACCATCAGAGTCTCGAACATGTCTAAACACTCCTCCACTATCTAGAATGGCGAGAATTCAACATCAAAGACGATATACTAGATGTTATTTCCCGACTTTCCTCTCGTGTGTTTCTCGGCGCTGAGGTATGCCGCGACGAAGCTTGGCTTCACATAACCAAGTCATACACGGTCAACGGGTTCCTTGGCGCTGAGATTATGCGCGGATACCCCATCTGGATTCGCCGAGTAGCACACTGGTTTGTCCCACAGTGCAAAGTCCTCCGACACCAGATGGCAGAAGCCAGAAATATCATCGAGCCAGTGCTTCAGAAGCGCAGGGATATGCGTGCGCGGGCCCAAGCCAACGGCGAGCCGATTCCTAGGTTCAACGATGGTCTCGATTGGTTTGAGGAAGCGAGCAATGGCTGCAAGTATGATGCTGGAGGGGCGCAACTGGGACTATCGGCCGTCGCTATACACACCACTACCGATCTGCTAGTCGAGACCATGCTGCGCATCGCCGAGAATCCCGACCTCTTTGGAGCCCTCAGAAAGGAAATAGTAGACGTGCTCAGCGTCGAGGGTTGGAGGAAAACGGCGCTTTACAATATGAAGATTACCGACAGCGTCTTGAAGGAAGCACAGAGGCTGAAGCCGGTAACTTCAGGTAGGTTTTTTTAAACCATCATTGCTTGCTCTCGTCCAAACCAGAGTAGTCGCTTCTAACACTGATCAGCTATCATGAGCCGTGTCGCAACCCGCCCGGTAACTCTCCCCAACGGCCTTCAACTGCAAACAGGCGAGCGCTGTGTTGCCGATCTCGGCGGGATGTTCGACCCGAGCCTTTATGAAAACCCCGAGGCGTTCGATGGGTATCGCTTCGTTCGCATGCGAAGGAACCCGAAGCTTGAAAAACAGGCCCACCTCGTCAGCACTGCTCCGTCCCACCTAGGCTTTGGCCACGGTCAGCACGCTTGCCCCGGCCGCTTTTTTGCGTCGAACGAATTGAAGATTGCGTTGGCGCACTTGGTTATGAAGTATGACTGGAAGCTTCAGCCAGGATACAAGCCCTGCTGGCAAGAGTACGGCTTCGTCTGGTCGGCAGATGGAGCGGCAAAGTTGCTAATGAGAAGACGGGAAGCACCAGAGATTGATATTGATGCGTTGTGAAAAGTCTTGGAAAACTGTGGAGTCTCGGGGACAATTAAGGGCAAACATTAGGCTTTAGTCGATTACCAGGTCATTTGACACGATCTGTTCACATGCCGGGGTTTGCAAGAAAAATGTAGAATAGAACAGGAACCTGGAAAAGCGATTTCATGATTCGATGTAAGATATAGATTCTCGTCAAAGTTTCGAGGTGGAAGGGGATGATCTGTAAATCAGAACCAGGCCGATACACAAAACTTCACTCACAACAGTTTGTTCTCAGTTGCAACTATTTTATGTGATTCAATCTTTGCCTTGACACTCCACGGTATCTCCTGCGAGAGAAAGCACCAAGATAGTTTTGAGGCCTATTCAATTCCCCGGGGCAAAACGCAAAAATCAACTCAAGGATGGATAAAACTCTTCTAGTCAACTTCCATCTGCATGTCATCTTTCTGCATCCGCGCCTGAGTCGACTTTGCTGACCACTCCACGTCTTCCGCATCCAAGTCCATATCATCAGTGAGAAAGCCCTCTGTACCGACGAAACACCCTGACGGCATATGTCCCTTTGCGCTTTTCTGCGCCACCCCTGAGCCGAACGCAAAAGGCAATTTGCCACCAAAGGTTCCTTGATTCGCTGAACTGACAGTCTTCTCCAAGGGAGAAGCCTTCGTAGCTGGTGGGAAATTCCGAACAACACCAGTCTCCCGCGGTGGTGTACCCTCATTCGGATCCCAAAACCGGCTCAAGAAACCCCCTCGAGATTCCGGTGACTCTAAGATGGTAAACAGTTCGTCCCTTGGGCGACTTCGGGAGACAGGAGGTGGCTGTGGATGATATCTAGCAGCTTCCTCGGTGAACCGTGCCTCGTGCTGGAGATCATCTGTAAAAGACGCCGTTAGGCCATATGGTGCTGGGAAGATCCCAATCGAAGCTGGCGTGGCGGGGCCCGTTTCCTGGACTTCCTTCATGGGGGACACAGCAGGAAGGCCTGATGGTAAGTTGCTCGCGAAGGCAGATTCATCCCGCCGAGCTGGCGGGAATGTCACCGAAGGAAGTCTGGCAAAGACGTTATCTACGTCTCTGTCTAAACGGTGGAAGCCACTTCTTGGCTTGTGTTTCGAAGCGGCTCCGTATTGAGGAGGGCTGTAGTTGAGGCTGAGAGCCTTGGCCGGTGTAAGGGCCGTCATGGTGGAGGGATGTATCAAAGTCGGATGATGCAGACTCGGCGGAACGGTATATCTGACTCGCTTGCGATCTTGATCTGTATTTTTCGCCATCTCAATCCTGTTGCACAGGAGAAAATGACTGAGAGGATCCCCGTCTTGAGCGTTGCTCTCCACATCATCCGGCACGTCACCATAGACACCTCTAAACTTATCTCCCACGTCTTCAATAAAGCGGTCGAAATTCCTCTTCGTCTCGATATTGATCAGTTTCGCGGCTGGGACGGAGAGCGACTGCATACACTTTACAAAATCCTGGATCCTTTCCAGGTCCGCCACGGGCATGAGCTCGATCTCCTTTCTTGCAAATTTGACTAGCCTCATGGAAGCCGTGCGCTTCGACTTGTTGATGTTTGGGACAAGCGGCAATAACTGCGTCCAGTTATGGTTGCTGATTTGACGAATATCTCCGGCCCATCTCAGCAGCTCGCTGGCCATCTGCTTGAGCGAGAGATACTTGTTTCCAAACTCTGTGGGAACGTCCGTCGCGAAGTCCATTTGATACATCCATTCTAACACGGCGAGCGGGATATCATGCAAGTCAATGATCTTCCTCACTCTGGCATTGAGCGTCTTGATGACTGGCTGTTCGGCAAATATGGTTTTATCCAAATCGTTGAGCTTGAAAATGTCCAGATACAAGGCCTGAATGCAGCGCACTTCGTACAAGAGCTCGTCATACATTGTGCGAAACAGGGCTCTGAGTCTACGCGGTGCTGTTTGCGCCGCGGCCGGGAGATTCTCCCAGAAATCTTCATCTTCCACGAGCGCTTCCGAACCCTCGGGGAGCTGGAAATCATGTTGGCCGTGTTTCCCCTCAATCCCGGTGATGTTTTCTCTGTACTTGGTCAAGAGGTCAGCCTTCAAGGCCTCCATGGCAGTGGCAGGGTTTAGTTGGCACAGCTTCTCGTAGCAGCATGCCGTTCTAGCCTCGAGGAAGACGACCATTATCTGCAATCCGCTCTGCTGAAGCAGCCTGCGCCGTGTCGGCCAGCTGCAAACGTCCCGATGCCATTTGAACTTGGCGACAGCCAGCCTGAGAAACTCTTGGGCCAGCATCTCGAGAAATTCTCCAACGAGTGGGTTTGTCTTGTGCAAGTTTTCAGGCCAGTCCTTGAAAATGAGAGCATCCTCGTCTGGTATGGAGTTAAAAGCGCCCTGCAAGAAGGTCTCGTCTGTAGGAAGTATTACTCTGGCTGGCAAGTCGGAGCCAAGCCGCATCGCTGCGTTGCCGTAACGGGGCACCTCTGTCTGCCAGAACTCCTCGGTGAAGAAGCGCGCAATCCGGGCGACTTTGATGCAGGTGCTGTAAGTGGCTGCCACCAATGGCGGTTTCTTCAAAACCAGGCTTGAAGGTGCTTTCTCGGTGGCATCGGACGATGGACGATCTGACTGAAGGCCGGTTGGCCAGCGCCTCATAACGATTCCCGATGGTAGGAAGAACAAATGTTTGGCGAGAACTGTGTGGCCTCCCAACAATGACCAATTGGCGCCCCCAAAAAGCTGCGATATGTCAGAAAGGTTCCAGACCGAGCATCATGTCTTTGGAGAAACTTACGTGGCCCTCTATGCAGAAGCCTAGCTCAGCCCTTTGTTCTTGCTCAAAGTATGGTTCCATGCCCTCATCCGTGTTGCCAAATATCTTCGTTCCAATGTCCTCGAGCCTTGCCTGAACCGTTGGAAAGTCCTCTAACTCACTCAAGGCCGCTGGCCCAGGCCTTACGAGCCAATGGTAATGAGCATAGTTCACAGCATGCTACCAAAATTCTCAGTACGATTCATAGCAAACAGCATTGCGATGCAAGTAGCGTGGGCCCATAATAGAACAATTGACTCACCGCAAGCTCATGAATGAGAGTCGACGCGATTGTAAAACAAGTCATTAAACGCTCATCCTTGCTGTACCCGTCGACAAGCAACGGCCAGACGCTGTCTGCCGAGATGTTCACCGTGATACGATCCTGATCCCAATAGGTAAGTCCTGCGGTGGGTGCCGTGGACTCTCCTTTTTCGTGGTAGGCGCTGCAGATTTGGAGTTCGAGCTCGTCCAAGATTTTGGCCGTTGTCTCGACAGGGTCAATAACCGTGTTCATATGCTCAGGCACGACAGGCGTTCCCGGCGGATCGAGTTGCATAGAGAACGAATGCACGGGATACGTGACTTTTTGATGCTTAGGCCGGTCGTCCCTATCGTTGCCGATGCGAACTCGGTTGAAAACATCAAGGAGGCGGTTCCAGAACGGGTCACTCTCCTCGAGAAATGTAAGGATCCGGGAGGCCAGTTTGAGTGCGGGCTCAAGACGTTTCCAAAGGAAATCGTCAGTCTTTCAAGATGGCAGATTAGCGATTTGATCAGGAGAGTGAAGATGCCCTCGACTTACTCCCGGGCTCCATTCGCCTTTGCGCTCGCCCGTCTGATATACCAGCCTCGGGAACCCGTCCGAGTCCCCACGCCACAATGTCGTCGTCCACTTCTCTCTTCGTAAGTACCTAACAACGAACGAGTTAACAGACAAGAATAACCTGAAGCCATGGCTCATAATTTTACCGATGAATATCATTCTGCAAATTCACCTCAAAAATGTTGTCTAAAGAGAGTATGCCATCATTAATGAGCTGTAACGTAATTAGTAAGATTCGTATGCAACCCTGAACGCGGAACTCACATCATTAGTGGTGATACCGAAGAAGAAAGTCGACTGCCAATCTTCATCGTCCTGCATGTCTTGCATCGCCTGGAGGACAAACTCATCTCGTGCCGATATTCGACTTCTCGCATTGGAGTCCATGGCCGAATATTTCTTCAGGAGATCGTCCACGTCACCAACTCCAGATCTCACCGCCAACGCTTTGGCCTGCTGCGCAATGTACAAGCCATGTATATCATCACGCGGGACACCCTCAACGGCAAACCTGCGGAAGGTACTCCTGGTAGGCGTCATCCGGGATCGTCCATCAGTCCGTCCCGGAAATATGCCATATCTCAGGGCCATGGCAGTGGGGTTATGGATGCGGTCCATCGGAAGCTGTGCCGGCCGCAAGTGCCGCAGGAGGTTATGCGGACGAATGATTCGATGGTGAGGATCGGAAGCCTCGACCTCCAGTTTGGAGTCATACCACAACGGATCTGTCCATTCTGGGATAAACTCGATGAACTTCCAATCTCCAGAGTGCTCCAGCTTCGGAGGGGGCCTGCCGAGGTTTACGTTCATGAGAGGCGCATGGAGACCCCCGTGTCGTTGACTCGCAATATAAGCTGTCGACAAATCTTTGCCTCGCTTCGCTGTTTTCGTCTTTTCATCGATAGCCGTGTCAGGGCCTCCATTTTGGCCGGTAGTGTCGATGGGAGTCACCGTGGGATCGATATCTGCTGTGTCCTCGGGATCTTCGCGGCTATTGCGTTTGTACCAGTCATGGTCATAAACGCCAAGTGTAGCGGGCACCGATGTCATGTTTCTGGGTCTGGCTTATTTCAACTACTGGGCAGGAAATTTCGACTTGCGGTGAGGCAGTTTGGTCGATCGACGGAAGGCACATAGCCAGTGTTTGAGAAGATTAATGGGGATTTCTCAGGTCTGAAGAGATGCTAAGATCGACTCGAGGTTCAAAACCGTAGCACAGTCTTTGTTGCTTTTATTAATTTACATAAGTAAATAAACACAAGGGACATCTAATCATATCGTCCTTGCCATCTTCAGTCACACTCAAGAGCATTGTTACAAGATATTCGGATATTGCCCAACTAGTTTGAATTGCAGACAAAGGCTACTTATAAGAAAACAAGGAAATCCAGGTTTTCTGGGATAGGAAAAAAGAGCCACAAGTTTTTACAAGGAGTAGATCAGTTTTTGCTCATCATTATCAAGTCAGTGTATGGCAGCCTGGAAGTCCCAGACCGTACCCCTTGAGGTGCTTTAATTAAAGAAGCACAGCTCTGAGAGGGAAAATCGCTACCTCGTTTAAGCAAGAGAAAGGCATGGCCGGGACGTCTAAACTGTGACTTTCAGGTGTGACGAGCTGCAAGGGGTGAAAGGCCACAAGTACCACAGCCGGAACAATGCAATCGTCAACCAAGCACAATGTTCCGCTGCATGCGTAGCAAAAAAAACACAATCAAAGGTTCCCCTTGACACTGGTAGGGATAGATTTTCAAGCTGGGGGCGTTGTAAGTGCATTAATATTGGGACGAACAATAGCAAGGCGCCGCATCCGGTTTGAAACCAGATTCATCCGGTAGAATGAAGGTTACCGAGAGTATAGTATTCGGACCAAGAAGAGCTTTCTATTGTCCGTAGGTGAGGCATCAGGCGAATGAGATTTACATAGTTGCAAATACCAGAACGATATCTTGGGTTTCCAAGGTAACAAAGGTCTTGAGACAGCTGAGGACTTCCAAGAAGGCGATCATGCTCTCCCAATTAGACATTCAGCTTGTAAAGAAGCTTGGGACCATACTTAGTTTGCGGATAGACGCACGAGGGTACGTGTTGGAAGAAATTGACCAAATCCGGCCATTCTTCAAAAAATGATGAGCACGACGGGTGACGATAAGCAGGCTATGGAGATTTTTCCGATCATGGCTAACATGAATGCGGATTCCCGAGTAGGACACAAGGTGTCCCTGAGCCAGAGCTACAACATCAGGGAAGATTCATATCAAGCGGAAGTGGCAGACCGCCGCAGCACAGCCTTGCCGACATCCCGCACACAATGATCGCATACTTGACGGCTATGTTCCATTGGAGGAACTGGCAACAACGAGTCGTTGCAAAATCGTGCCGCTGCGTCGGAGAGAGCGAGGAGCACATGCTCCATGTAGAAATTCGTCGCTGGTCTGAAGTCGAACCAAGGGTTATCCTTGTTGTCTCGCACCTCTTTCAATCGCCCGCCGTTGCATTCTCGCGAGTATTTCAAGCTTCAAAGTATATAATCGTTCGTCCGGCTCGGGGATTCGTCGTAGAGGGTTCATTCGTAGCATGGAGGGGGGGAAGGTTGGTGGGGACTTAAGGTACCGTTTCGTGAGCTGCGATTGGAAAGTATCAGTACGGGAATGACGTTTTGGAGGGCGGCAAATGACTCTCACTTGCAGAATTTCGGAAGCCACGTCTTCTGATGACGAAATGCCGTTGCGGGAATGTAGGCAGTAAGGTTGAGATGGCCGCTGTCAGGAAAATAACATGTCTAGTAGACAAGGGCGGCCGTTGAAGGTAACAGAACCGTGTGACTGGGTGTCATGTTCATGTTTCCTCGGCCGTCCAATAGCTACGCCGATGAATGCCGCGTTGAAGACTGCGTCGAGCTAGTTAGACTTGAAAACAAACTGCCTGATAGTTAGGTTGGGTATCATAATCTTTGTGTATTAAATGGGAGTTTGGAAGAAACGATGCGAATGCCTCATCGGGTGAAGGTAGCTGTAGAAGTCAGGAGAGGACAGAGCTTGGTGGGGTGAATGGCTTTGGTTATTAGCTATGGGCCTGCTTGAATCAAGCAAAAACTTGGCCAGAGAACGCTGAAAGCTGGCCACTGGCTGTGTAGTTCCAAGCAGAAGTTGGCTTCTCAGCGTCAAGCAGGAGTTGAGCGGCCATGGAGAAGCGCGAGGCTGCGAGAGGCAACGTCGTTCAACGCAAGGCTGCCCAACTGGCTATTGTATGGAGGGGTACAATTCGACAGCAACGTCACGGTGGGGGTAGCGCAAGACAAGAGCCAATGGTTAAGTGGTCAAAGCTTGGTAATGGCCGAACTAAAGCCGCAACCAGTAGTGGGGCATCTAAATCGTTAGCCTGGTGGATTGGCGCCTAAGGCAATAGTGGAATCGATGACAGGGGGGTGAAAAATGTTTGAAAGAGGGAGGTGAAAAAAAATAAAAAAAATGACACGCCCAGACGTCAGGGGTTTTCTAGTAAAAAAAAAAAAAAGGAAAAAAAAAAGACAAAAAAGAAAGAAAAAAAAAAGGGAAAAGATTGACATGTGCCTCAAACACTGAACCTCCGCAAGAATCACTGGGCTCGCGCAGCGCTGGGTATTCAGCATTTATCACCAATTCAAATAACCCCTCTTCTCAACTGCCCGTCAGATAAGAAGGCGGTCAGAATGAAGCGGGAGGGCGTGCGGCCCTTGCAACCTCGTTGCCCGGCTAAGAAATGACGGGCTTGATGAGAGAGAGAAAAAAAAAATTCTACGGGGCCCCACGATTATGTGGAGTGTGTAAGCTACATGCTGTTCTCGTCCATGATGGCGGGGGTGAGACGACGGCAGAACCAGGAAGGCGCAAGGAGCGGCTTATCGATACGTTCAGGCCATCCTTTGACAATGGCGGGGTGATAAGACGGGCTGACGGTAATATCGACGACGTCCCTTGAGATGCCGGGGAAAAAAGGAGAGAAAGGAGCGCAGATAAATGGCTATGCGCTGACCAGATGCGGTCAACAAGCCACCCCCTACAGGTAAAGGGCTGCATACAGAGTATCCTTACGGACACATACACACACCCTTTGTGCAGCCCATCCACTAAAATAGAAAGGCGGTGACAACGTGCTTGAACTGTTGCATCGGGCGTGGTTGTCATCTACGGACAACACTTGACATATGACTACCATTCCAAGTCCTTAATGATCGAATGCCTTCATGATGGCAAGACAGAAGGCAAACAAGCTCACCGTTGAAGTAAATCTAACCCCTCAGGAACGTGATGCCAGGGGCGAGAGTCAGGAGGTCCCAGAGATGTTGTCAAGTACAGCCACGTCGTTCGAGACATTCCGATTCTGTGGGATCGACGATCTAGCTCTGGCCTTTGGGGTCTGGGCTGGATTTCTTTGCGGACAGCCTTAGCAACTTTCGGTGTGCATCTTTGCTCCAGCCTTTTCCACCAATCCGTATTCCCTTTTGCGTTTAGTTCTGGATCTCCAAACTGGATCCAGAACTTGGAGGGGAAAGGAAAGATTGGATGTGTAGGCGGACAAAGACCCAGATGGACTCGGACGCTGTGAATGAATCAAGTCGAATCGGGCAGGCCGTGGCAAAAAGGGACGATCCGAGTGGTCCGGAACGCCAGAGAACCCAGAACCGGCTTCCATGGGCGAAGCGGAAAGGAACAAAATGCAACTCTAAACTGATTTAAAAAAAAAAGGAATTGCTAGGGAAAAAAAAGTTGAGACGACAAGCCGATGTCGCCGCTAATTTCACATGGCGCCGCAAGATATGGCGTGCAAAACTTTAGAGACTTGATACGCCTAGCCGTCACAAGCGGAATGTTCGAGGAGGAAATGGTTCAGGGGGCGATTCCCCATGGGAAAGTCAAATTGCTGGAGGATTTCTAGCGTCCTTCTTCGCATATGTCGCTTGGCTTTACAAACCAGCCGATGCCTACCAATGGCGAACAGAAGAGGGTGTCGGTGAATGATGAATGATTAAGAGCGATCGGATATTGAAGGCTTCATGTACCTGGACCAACCATGCGCCGTTGAGAGGTGAGAGGTGGAAGAAGAGCCAGGGTGGCGAAGCCGAGGCGCAAGGGTCCTGGTGAGATCTGTCCCACGGAAGTTGCATTGTACCTCAGTATCCGTACCTGGAGTGCTTGACTACGAATGGCCACCTCCTGGATGTCTCTTCGCACAGTAAGGATGTGTCTCTGTTGGTGGTTCACCATCCACGGCGACGACTCATACGGCCCAAAAACTGCAGGGGAGGGTGCGGTAACACATGGAGGCCGGCCGTCTCACCCCCCTTTCGTCGTCGTGACCCTCGCCTCCCCCATAATACGCTAAACGCACGGAATACAGGGCTTATCGTGAGCCACTCACTCAGCATTCACGTCAGCCGGCTCTGTGCGTCCGTCCTTTAGGCGTAAGATATCGAGGGCGAGGTGCTGATTGGGAATACGACACGGGGGGCCTTGACGACATGACGGTTCCATCGTGGCCACCACCCGTGGAGCTCTAAGGCAGGCTGGTTGTCGTTAGTACATAGTTAGCCACCGCAGTTTAATGTCAAGGTGACCAGGGGCGAAGTGGCAGATAACACGTGTAAGGCAGCTATGGCAGGCCACTACAGGCATTGACAACAATTGTCAATGGCAAAAACACCGACGTAGTCCGAGGACCGTTGAGAAAGTTCTAGATCCGATTGTTGCAGCTTTTGCAATATACAAGGCGAAAAGCGACGACAACAATAACGTAACATGGGAATATCTCGGAGGTCTGCTCCGTTCTGGAGGGACCAAGCGTCGGAACTTTAGATTGTTGACAAAGGCCAACTAAAACAGGCTTATGTGTTCCTACTACACCAGCCATAAAATAACAATAACGAGGGGATGGTGTTTGTGAGAAGTTGGTGGTCTGTCCCCCTGTATGAGACTAACAACATACGTACTGGGGGACCCTGGGTGAGGACACCTCAACAAGAAAATAATAATTAAAAAAAAAAAAAAAAGGCTCAGGAACAGGCGGCAGCATGCACAATGGGCAACTGCCACATTCCTGCTTTGCCCCCCTCCTCCTGCCTGAAAAATCCACGACTGCAGCCAGCGCATGAACGGGCATTTCCCTCACCGCCCTCCAGGATACAACCCCTTTTGGACTAGCGCGGGGTCTGATAGCCCCTCCGATAAGCATTACTCGCCAGGGCATGTTTTTTTACTGGAGGGTTTGGAGGGGCACAAGCCGCCGCACTGCACCAAGTTTCCAAGACAAAATGACACCCAGTCAGTGGACAGTTTCCGCAGTTTCTGATTTTTTTTCTGGGGTGGGGCACCCTTGCCGCTAGCGTCGCCGTCGCCGGGCCAGGAAAGTGAGGGACGCAGCCCGAAGGAGAAGAAAAAAAAAAGTTTTTGGTGCGAAGGCGGCGGGACAGCCTGCGCTTTCAGTGGGAATGGAGGGGTGGGCTTGGAGGGGGGCGTCAAGGAGGGACGGAGGGGGCAAGAGCGATAACACAAGCCAGAAAAAAGCGATTAGAGATAAAAAAACTCCTACCCGCCTCCCCATCCCTCACAACTTTTTTTTCCTCTTCTCTCCTCTTCCTCCTCTCGAACCTCTCTACCTCCATTCCCTTTTATTCCCTCCTGGTTGTTCCGTCTTCCTCCAGACGTAGCTCCACTCAATCATTTGATTTCTTTTCAAATTGTCCTGTCCTTCGCAAGAAGCCTAACAGCGACACCCTCCGAAGTGCCATCTTAGAGCAGAAGAACACGATCCTCCAGTCGTCGTCTCTTCTCGCGGGCCTTCCCCCCCAAAATCCAAGAAAATCGATATCAGATTCGCCTTTCGGTTACACGATAGAGCATAGATTTCGTATCTAGACGCTTTAGACGTTCAGATTCGATCCAGCTTCCACAAAATTTGAAGTCACCTCCCAGCCGACTTAATACCAACCACCATAATGTCTTCCGAAAACGCTCAGTCCGTCAAGGTTCTTGACGAGCTCATGCAGAAGCTCACCATCTCCAAGGAGGCTGCCGACATCAAGGAGTCTTCCGCTGCTCTGGCTTCCTTCATCAACGGCCGCATTGAGGACCAGGATGTTCCCACCAAGTAAGTTCTTTTTGCCTTGATTATCACCAAGCAACCTGGAGTAGAGAAGAGGATTTTGGGCAGATGCGATCCCTGGTCACCTTGTCCGTGGCCTCGGGAATCTCACTCCTAAAAAATGTCTTATTTTTTTTACTCCCCCCTTCAGGTTGCTTATTCTCGCCTCGTTTCGGGTGGCCTTTACACCGACCCGCTGTACGATGTACTGCAGTCGGCCCTGGCCACTCAGCGGCGAGCTATTTTCGGTTCACACAAATTTTTTTCTGGAGTACCAGAAGCTGACAAGGGTTTCCCCGCAGGAGCATCGAGGCCATCCGCAAGCTGTTCAACAACAAGAAGGATGCCGCTGCCCGTGAGAAGGCTGCTCTGGCTATCACTGCCATTGCCCAGCACTCCGAGGTCTCCGCCCACGTCGAGCCCTTCCTTGTTGCCCTCCTCCCCAACGTCCTCGCCGCCGTTGGTGACAAGATCACTGGTGTCAAGAATGCCGCTCAGGCTGCTGCCCTGGCCATCGCCGAGGCCGTCAACCCCAACGCCGTCAAGGGTGTCTTCAACCCCATCAAGGAGTCTCTCCTGACTGCCCAGAAGTGGCAGGAGAAGATGGCTGCCCTCGACGTCCTTGAGACCGTCGTCCGCACTGCCCCCGCCCAGGTCGCTTTCCGTGTCCCCGACTTGATCCCCGTCGTCTCTGAGTCCATGTGGGACACCAAGAAGGAGGTCAAGGAGCGTGCCTACAAGACCATGGAGCAGATCTGCCAGTTGATCGTCAACAAGGATATCGAGCGCTTCATTCCCGAGCTCATCAAGTGTATCGCCAAGCCCGAGAACGTCCCCGAGACCGTTCACTTGCTCGGTGCCACCACTTTCGTCACTGAGGTCCAGGAGCCCACCCTTGCCCTCATGGTTCCCCTTCTTGACCGTGGTCTTGCCGAGCGTGAGACCGCCATCAAGCGTAAGGCTGCCGTCATCGTCGACAACATGTGCAAGCTCGTCGACGACCCCAACATCGTTGCTCCTTTCTTGCCCAAGATGATGCCCGGTCTTGAGAAGAACTACGACAACTTGGCCGACCCTGAGGCTCGTGAGAAGACCCGCCAGGCTCTCGACACCCTCATCCGCGTCGGTAACGTCAAGGACGGCAAGATCCCCGAGGTTCGCCGCGACTCTGACGTCGACGTCGTCCTCCCCAAGCTCAAGGAGGTCATCCCCGCCAAGCACAAGGCCACCGCTGAGAAGCTCAGCATCGTCCTTGAGTACATTGCCGCCATTGCTGGCCAGCTCATCGACGAGAAGGAGCTCGAGAGCGCTGTCTGGGCTGAGGCTCTCAAGCCCTACGTCAGCGTCATCGTTGGCGATGCTGATGCCGAGAAGGTCACTGACGACCTCCGCAAGAAGGCCTCTCCCGGTGCCGCCGAGGAGGAGGAGGTTGACCCCGATGATGAGGAGGGTGAGGATCTCTGCAACTGCACCTTCTCCCTTGCCTACGGTGCCAAGATCCTTCTTAACCAGACCCACCTCCGTCTCAAGCGTGGCCAGCGCTACGGTCTTTGCGGTCCCAACGGTTCCGGCAAGTCCACCCTCATGCGTGCCATCAACAACGAGCAGGTTGAGGGTTTCCCCAAGCAGAACGAGGTCAAGACTGTCTTCGTCGAGCACGACCTGGACTCTGCTGACACTGAGATGACCACCATTGACTGGACCATGAAGAAGCTTCAGGATGCTGGTGTCACTACCGGCCAGGCCGAGGTCGAGGCCAAGCTCAACGAGTTCGGCTTCACCGAGGGCATGATCAAGGGTGAGATCTCCGCCCTTTCTGGTGGTTGGAAGATGAAGCTCGCTCTGTGCCGTGCCGTCTTCGAGGCTCCCGATATCCTGCTTCTTGACGAGCCTACCAACCATTTGGACGTGAAGAACGTCAAGTGGCTCGAGGACTACCTCACCACCTCCCCCTGCACTTCCATTATCGTCTCCCACGACTCTAGCTTCCTCGACAACGTCTGCCAGCACATCATCCACTACGAGCGCTTCAAGCTTAAGCGCTACCGTGGTAACCTGTCCGAGTTCGTCAAGAAGAACCCCTCTGCCAAGTCCTACTACGAGCTCGGTGCCTCCGAGATGGAGTTCCGCTTCCCCGAGCCCGGTTTCCTCGAGGGTGTCAAGACCAAGGCCAAGGCCATCCTCCGCGCCAACAAGATGTCCTTCCAGTACCCTGGTACCAGCAAGCCCCAGATCACCGACATTACCTTCCAGTGCTCTCTCGGCTCCCGTATTGCTGTCATCGGTCCCAACGGTGCCGGCAAGTCTACCCTCATCAACGTCCTCACTGGTGAGCTCGTCCCCACCGAGGGTGAGATCTACCAGCACGAGAACATCCGTATCGCCTACATCAAGCAGCACGCTTTCGCTCACATCGATAACCACCTCGACAGCACTCCCTCTGAGTACATCCAGTGGCGTTTCCAGACTGGTGAGGATCGTGAGACGATGGACCGTGCCAACAAGATCATCACCGAGGCTGATGAGGAGGCCATGAACAAGATCTTCAAGATCGAGGGTACTCAGCGTCGCATCATCGGCATCAACTCCCGTAGAAAGTTCAAGAACTCCTACGAGTACGAGTGCTCTTTCGCCATCGGCGACAACGTTGGCCAGAAGAACGAGCGCTGGACCCCCATGATGTCCGCCGACAACGTCTGGCTGCCCCGTAGCGAGCTTCTGGCTTCTCACCAGAAGATGGTTGCTGATGTCGATATGAAGGAGGCCCTTGCCTCTGGTCAGTTCCGCCCTCTGGTCCGTAAGGAGATTGAGTCCCACTGCGCCAACTTCGGTCTGGATGCTGAGCTGGTTTCTCACTCTCGCATGCGTGGTCTGTCCGGTGGTCAGCGTGTCAAGGTCGTCCTTGCTGCTTGCTCTTGGCAGCGTCCTCACTTGATCGTTCTTGACGAGCCTACCAACTACTTGGACCGTGACTCTCTCGGTGCCCTGTCCAAGGCACTCAAGGCCTTCGAGGGTGGTGTCATCATCATTACTCACTCTGCCGAGTTCACCAAGGACTTGACTGAGGAAGTCTGGGCTGTCATGGACGGCAAGATGACTCCTTCCGGCCACAACTGGGTCCAGGGTCAGGGTGCTGGTCCCCGTCTCAAGGCTGACGACGGCGAGGAGGAGGAGAAGTTCGACGCCATGGGTAACAAGATTGTCAACACCAAGAAGAAGGTCAAGTTGACCTCTTCTGAGGCCCGTAAGAAGAAGAAGGGTAAGCTTAGAATTCCTGCCATAACTTGATACACAACAGATTGCTAACTATCATTGCAGAGCGTATGGCCCGCCGCAAGCGTGGTGAGGAGGTCTTCTCCGATGAGGACGACATCTAAACCACTCGTCACGGTCGCTATTGTTCCATTTGTCACGAGCCTTCCAAAAGTCTTTTTTCGGTAACGCGGGTTGCATGGTTACGGGCCCTGTTTATGATTTCTTTGACGAGCACCCATGAGATTCCCCTTTGACATGAATCGCCGGATGAGGAATGACTATCTCGCTCCAGGATTGGAGGATCCTGCAGGCGAGGAGAGAGGTTCCTGGCGACAGGGAATGTGGGGTAGAATAAGAGGTAGAAAGAGTAAATAGACGGCAATACAAAGCCATAGACACTTCAATTCTGTTCAGATGATTGTGATGATTCCCATGTTTCTGTAGAGGTCTACAACCTTGACCAAAGTATGACTCGTATTGCCTGGCAACTGTCACCCAAGTCAATGGCACCCAAGTCAATGGTTTACCATGGTCGCACAATGGTCTTTTGAGATCTGATTCAACATTATATCTCTTTGCAGCCGGTTATTGTTGTTCCTGATGAGGCTATAACATTATTCAATCCTTTGTGCCATGTTCCTTGCATACTCCCTTGTACATTCTTAGCAGCTTGTCTACAATACCTGATTGTTCATGGGCCCGTTTTATTCTTCCAAGTCCGAGAGTTTCTGAGTTACTTCTTTTCTTTGTTAAACAGTATGGGTGGATTATGTCTCTCATTCCAGTGTTTGCAATTGTCTCTGTACCCGTTTTATTTACGTCCGAGTGATGTCGGTAGACAGAACCCTTGCAGGTAGTAAATCAGTATACCGAGAGAAAGATGCCCTCAGTCCTCATTAGTGATCCTAACTCGTCAATCACGAAACTCGAACTGGTATCCAGCAACATCCATCAAACCTCGAAAAAACATCAATCCATAACGCAATGGATCCAACGGAACTCCCGTTCACTCAGCCAAAGTTCCCGCCCATGAACGAGTCCGGTACAGACTTCCCCGAATCCCAATCCCCGGTCCCATGCCCGAACCCCGCAGACCTCGACGAGCTCTTCTCCGAAGAACACGGTCAACTCCTAAGCCTAAGCGGCCTGCGTACGTCCGAATCCCTCCTTCTGCAGGAACTCGACGCCTACGCGCCGAAGAACGCAGACGGAACAACCCAGATCCCCTGGTCCCAGCGCGACTTCGTCGACATTGACGAAAGTATATGGTTCAAAGTCTTTCGGCGGGAAAAATGGACCAACTACGACCTTGCGATCCCTGGGTTTTCGGAGAATAAGTTTGACGTTGACGACGAGTTCTTCTGGGGGCGACTGAGGCGGAGTATCGAACTCGCGAACCGTATGCTCGGTGAAGCGCTGCGTCATACCTGGTTTGTCCCCCCTTTTTTCAGATAGATGGGTGTGTATGCAACGAGTTAATGGTGTGACTACCTAGGCTCGCGTCCTTCTTGACCAAGTCGTCTAGAGAAGCTCGTGAATCAGTCTCGACCACCACCGACGGGAAACGGCATCCTAATTCGACTATATACCGCGTCGTTCCGGTGCCGCCTGATGCGCGGCAGTCGGTGGAGGCGGCGACGGCGGTGCTGGACGAGATTTCGGAGCATGTGTTCTGGGGGTTCCATCACCGTAATGAGTATCCTGATGTCCTCGGAAAGACTTTGGCCGTCCCGTGGGAGGGAGGCAAGACGTTGTACTGGTGTACGCTTGACGTCGTGATGCTGAGGGGGTTGATTGCGGGGGATACGCCGTGGGATGGGGAGGGACGGCAGGCGGCGTTTAACGTTGCTGTTATTGTAGGCCCTGAATTCCAACCTTCTGGTGACATTGACTGACTATGGTACAGATGTTGCATGAACTCATGGTATGTGGTCCATGTTATTTTGCAAAGCAAAGTTGTTGACTGATTGGCAAGCACGCGATATCAAAACACCTACTCTTGGAAATCACAAACAAGCAGGCAGATAGATGCCGGTGCTGGGAACTGGTGCGTTTGTTCTTTTGACCTTCATACTTTTACTTCTAGTACGCAATGCATGAATCCTAACCACGTCTCAGTTCTTCGACGAAGAGAGATGGGCCGAAGCAGGCATCTCGTTCGAAATGTCCTTCTTCGGGACCTGTCTCCGCAACGCCTGGCCGCTTAGTCGCAGCCCAAGGCACGCCTTCCAGGCCTTGCGCGGTCCGCACCCGTGGATGAACGGGCAATTTCAGTATTACGGCGGCTGGAGCTTCGACGACCCGTTCGTAGAGGACAAGTTCGGGTTACCCGGTTCAATACCCGTCGCCATGTCCACAAAGGACTTTTGGGAGTGCCAGGTCCGAAAGTTCGGCGCCGAGAGTCTAAGATTGGATCGCGGGGCAGTGACTGTAGCGGGGTTCGAGTTTGGGAAGATGAGGGGGGTGAGGACTGGACGTGCAAAGTTGCTGGAGGGAGGCGGCATGGAGGAGACTGAGATGATAGCAGAGCGGATCCGGCTTCGGAGGCTGAAACTGCGCGAGTTGAGGCCGTGGTATGCGACCGAATACGCAAAGTGGTGCGAGACGCCGTTCGCAGAGAGGCAGTTGAGGACTCTGTTGGCGAGTTTGCAGCGTCTCTGCGTCGGCAGGTCGGTGAAGCATGAGAGTGGTATTTTGGCGATTATCCCGAAGCTTATTTTTCCGTTCGTGACTACATCTGATCTCCGCACTGCGACTACGAACGACGAGAGGATATCGAGGTGGTTTTTCCGGGCCGTGGGGTATCTTGTCCTCGCAACTCTTCCTGTTCGGAAGGTTGTCGAGACGTGGATTGAGCAGACGGTGCCTGAGTACCCAGACCGATTACGACCGAGCAGGGACTTTGCGGGCCCGCCTGGTTTTCTCGAGGCGGTTACGGAAAAGGGGCGCAAGAAAAAGGATAAACAGAGGACGAAAACGATAGGCGTTCATGGGCGGGCTGTCCATGACAGGGAGCTGTGCCTTGCCAACGCCCGGTTTGCGTTTCTGAAGTGGAGGATGTGTGGGGTGGTGTGCGCTGAGCTTGCAAAGGAGTTTGAATCTGAGCTGAGAGCCATGAGAGTGAGGTTGGATATGCGGCCTTTGGATAATGTTTGGATGGAATTTGATTTTAGAATGCCCGAGTACGAAGGGACGGTATACTATCCGCCGGGGCTTGAGAGTAAGGAGAAGACACATCACGATGAGCAGGATGCGGATATGCCCAGCTGGGCTATTGCTTCAACCGGCATTGCAATTCGGGTGCGACAAGACGACGTGATGAGGTATTTTACGCCGGCGGAGATCGGTGATCACCAGGGCCTCCAGAGCAAAGTCAAGTGGGTGCTACATCCATCTCCTGACGGCCTGGAGGTCGATGTCTATGATGCGGGTGACTTTCTACCTAATAATACTTGGGACGCGGCCTCGCGAGCCCGGATCGTTGTACCCGGCCCCGAAGGCCAGCCTGCTGGGCGGGTGCTTCGTCCAGGTGTCCTCGGACAAGGTCAAATCAAAGAACTAATCAGCAAGCCACCACTGGGAAGGGCGATGTTGTGGAGGCGAGAGGAGGATGTGAGGATTAACGATGGAAGGGAAGGGAGACCCAAGTGGATTTCTGTTGGAGCAGATGTATTCGATGTGACGAGTACGTTTGCCGGTTTTTGTAACGACGACTGGGGCTGACTGTCCATAGACCTTCAACTGCCTCCTTACATGCACGAATTGGGGCAAATGCTCTCGTGCGCCAGCGGCGGAAACCCAGTCGCGCAAGCTATCGACCGCGGATATCATCCGGATTTGATTCTAGAGCACCTTCGTCAATATCAGATAGGTTGGGTGAGGGATGAAGTGTCTGGGCCTCGTCGAAAGGATCGCATATTTACTGCGGATGAAGTCAGATGGCATGCTTTCCCCGAGGTGGGGATGTATCTCATCATTCATGACAGGGTATACGACTTTACAGGTATCTCTCCCACTCTAGGTTATTTGAATTAGAAAGAACTAAAAAGCTCAGAGTATTGTGGTATGCACCCTGGTGGAAAAGCAATCCTCGAGGAGTTTGCTGGTAGAGATGCCACAGCAGCATGGAACCAAGCCCACGCGCACAACCAGTCCGACTTTGGCATTGACATCCACGCCGGTCTCGATATGCTGTGCATTGGAAGGGTTGTTCCAGGCCAGTCAGATAAACAAGAACTTTCGGCGTCGCAGATTCGGATTCGAGATCTCATTTTTAGCCGCGACAGCAAGTACCTGCTTGGGATAACTGCCCTAAATCCAACGATCACTAACGAAACTGTCCAGAACTCACTCTTGAACAAGCTGTTCTTTTGGACCCTCTGGCAAACCACTGGGGAAGCGATTGCACATCATCTCTCGAAAAGCAAGAACTACACTCTTCCCTTGTAACTTTGTGGAAGTCCCGCGACCTGGTCTCAGCCAAGGTGGTGACCGCACCTACAAACCTGCCAGTCATGACATGGGAAGTGCTTCGAAAAATGAAGGGTATAGAGATAACTGACGCCGTTAGGGAGGCTTACATTTCCGATGGGACGTTTGTTTACAACATGACATGTGAGCGTCCCGTTACTACCCTAGCTCTGATTGCTAACCTTACCTAAATTGCAGCTTTCATTCGATTCAGTCCACCAAGTCTTCTCATCGAGATGTTGAAATTGAAGTGCGGACAGTCACTAACAGCTTCTGCTGATGAAGCCCAGTTGAGGGACTGGTTGCAGAGCAATTGCCAATACCGGATTATCGCAAGGTACTCTCGTATGACATGGGGCGACAGTACCGACTGGAAGATGACCGCACATCACAAGCCAGATGTTCCACAGCCCGGGGAGTCCCCTGACATAATCAACTCTCTCAAAGTCAGTCGAACATGGGCTCAGGTTTTGCAGGGAGACGCGAATAATCCGGGCCCAAAAAGTTCGGTTCGGCCTATTCAGCAAACCACAAGCTCAGACGGTAGACAACGGAGGAGGGGGGCTCAAAGAGGCGAGATACCTGGAGCACAGAGTAGAGGTGAAAACGATGGCTTGTATAGAGATAATAGTTTATGGAAAAAGAAACCTAGTGCGAATCATCAGAGTGATAACGGAAACGGCCAGGGGCCAAGATGGCCTGCATTTGGGAACAACCCAGGGGGAGGTGGACTTTGGTCAGGACAAAGTTGAGGGCCTTAGTGGTCTATGCCGGATTTCGGCATCAGGCAGTGTTTCTGAAATTGACACTCAAGCCCTTTCTGTTATTTAGGTTTGGAAGCACCATTTTTCAAGCAAAGGCAGGCTCAACACGGTTGCCGTGAATTGTAACAGCCTCGAGCAATGTCACTACGAAGTGACCGTACAGAACGAATGCATCCTTAGTAACATTTGACTTGTGCAACTGCTTCAAACCTCAATTTGAATCCATCAAAAGTACATGACGAAAAGAGAAACAGGCAAATTGTGACTGAGGAGCTGGCATGTTACATAAACTAGTCATGGCCCAAGAAGCCTATCGTCTGCAAAAGTACTGATCCCATTGAAACGGGAAATTCTTTGTTCCAACAATGCGTCAGCAAGGTTAAGCCAGCGGAGTTAATGATCAAATTCCAACGGGTAATAATATTTCCAGCTCGATTTTGTGGATCAGTCATCAACGCGTGCAAACCAGACGAGTGGCCCATCGTTACCTTCCATCCTGACGTCCAGGCCAAAGTCGGTAATTCGAGCGTCGGCACCGACTTTGAACGCCGCCCGCAGGCACCAGAAAGGCGTCTCAATTTCTCTAGCTGCAACAACCTCAAAATAGGCTCGTGCAACCCAGTAATTGCCCGACTTTGGTTCGAGATATACTGTTGGATTGAGGTACTGGAAGCTCACGCCCGCAATGCCATGAACCCGAAGTTGACACTTTTCAATGCTTCTGCCCTGAGAACCCCGGGACTCAGCGTTTGAGTCTGGGCAATATAATTCCACCTCCAAGGTGCCGTAGCCTGGATCGTGGTACTTGCCGATGTGCTCCGAAATGGGAAGTGTAGGAAGGAGAGGCGGCTCCGGCACAGAAGGATAAATATGCTCGCCACAGCTCTCGAGATATTTCTGCTGGGCCTCTCGATTTCTTTTATATCTGCTTTGCCGTTAACAAAGATCTCAACATCAACAAACGATCATAGAGAACCCACTGTGCATTTAAATCCTGACGCTTCTCTACGGGGACGCCAAAGTGCTCATACAAGATGTGATAGGCAATGAGCTCTGGCGCATATGACTCTGTGTTCGACATGACCGTAACAGCAAGCTGCTTTAAGGGAATCATGATCATGATCGACACAAACATGGTGACCTGTCCCGAGTGAAAGTATGCTTGCTCTCCCTCAAAAATCCCGTGATTCCAACCAAAGGCATAGGACACGGGCCCGGTGAACGGAGGTTTCGACATGGATGAGAAGCTTCGCGGAGTTTTTACTTCCCTGTGCCCATCTTTCGAAAGTGGCGCCCCATCGTTCATCATTACGCGGAGGTACTTGGCGTAGTCGAGCACGTTTGATATAATCGAACCAGCCCCTTCTTCACCGGAGCTAGGTTCATGTGGTGTTTGATAAAACCCTTTGCTGGTATAGTCGTAAAAGTACTCATTCGCTAGCAAAAGACTGCTCTTTTCGACATCTTTGAGGGAGAAATACGTTTCGTTCATTCCCATGGGTTCCCACAGCCGCTCACGGAAGAAATCGCCCAACCACGATCCGGTTACCGTCTCAATCAGATAGCCCATGGCGGCGTACATCTTATTGGAATACTGATGTTTTGCACGCGGCTCTGCTGTCATTGGAAGGTGCCGGAGCAGGCGAACTGTCTCGCGCGCCGTACGAGCTGAAGCAAGATCGTGGCGTGGGTAACCCGTTCTATGGCTAAGTGCGTCTTCGATGGTGACATGTGCTGTCGCCCATTCGTCACTGAGGACGAAGTCATCTCGAAGTATGCTTGAGACGGGAGTCTGCCAGGTCAGTTTGGGGCTGGCGGTAGCATTATCGACTAGAAGAGACAGGCCGGCAGCTGTGAAGGATTTCGTGGTGCTGCCGGTATAAAAGAGGGTGTGGGGTGTGACGGGAGTCGAATTGAGGATGGCATAACCGTATCCCTGGTAGAGTGTCAGTTGTGGTTCGAGTAAACAGATGAGATGACTATTTTCAGACGAAAAAGGTACATCATAACGGTATGATCCGCTATCAGTTGGTTGCAAGGCTCATATCAGACACCGAACAGTGAACAAGAGTGCAGCGTATGACAATTGCCATCTTCCGAGGAATAGAGGGAGGGTTACCTTGGCCCACGTCTTGTCGCCATCAACGATTGCCACAGCAAGTCCTGGGGCGTGCCATTGATCCATCCAGCTCTCAATGTAGGCATCTAAATCTTGTGAGACGGCACTGGGGTCATTACTGGCCGATTGACCACCTCCGCTTAGAGGTCTCTGTGCCGCACCATCTCCGACTGTGAGATCAACAAGGGAGAGAACAATGGAGAATTCCAAGAGCCTCATGATTGGTATTTTACGTGGGCAGGTTGGAGTTTGCAAACGATGCAATACAGTCAAAATAGGCTGTGAGGGGATTTCGTCCCTCGAGGTACGACAAGAGTTAAACAGGGGGAGAATGACGTTACCGTTGGTTGACGCGTCTCAAACCAACCCCTGTCAGACAAGTGAGCGCAGAAACCTTCGTGCAGACTTCTGCGCCTATTGGGGCCGCTGCATTGGTCGGGTAAGTCGCCAGCAAGACCAAGCGCCTTAAGTAGGCGAGCCGATATAATACGTATTAGGAAGGTGGCGGAGTTCTAGAGATCACATAATAGTCCGACAGCGAATATCCAAACTTCTCAATTCACGAAGTCAGCGATTCTACCCAAATATATTAGTTTAACTTCTGCTTTTACCCATAATAGTAGACTAAAAAGTGCGCAGTTTCCAGCTTTTAATGAATGCTACATCTCTTTCGCAAAATATCACCCGATATCGTACGAATCATGATTGAAGACGGGACATGTTAATGTCGAGAATAAGTACATTTTGAACCTATATGGCTATTGGATAGATAACAAGACTTATGCTCCCTGTCTTGTAAAACAGCATTTTAGTGCAATGCATGCTCTTGGTGACATTGGATAGGTTTTGTGTCAGGATACAATTCGCGGCTAAACTGGCCTACAAGGAATTTGTGATATGCCTCGACGTCTTGATCATGTTTCTCAACTTATCGATAGAATTGAAAACTTCCAAGACATCATCTACTTCGCTATGCTCTGCTCTGCTACCCCGGGAAATAACACATCGTTGGCAGCATAGAACTCGTGAAATTCTTCAGCAGGGCGGATGTTCACCGGGGTTGTTGCAGATAGTGTTGACAAAATTACCGGTCTTGCCGTTCTGACGGATAGTTTGGGGGCAGTTTTTAGAGTCACAAAAGAGGTTTCCGCCGGCTGCCATCAGATATCGGCATGTTTGGGATGTCTCCTCAAGCGAGTCGCCTCTTCCGGGGCATTCGGCCAGCGAAGTTCCTACAAGAGCGAGGGCCATGACGGCAGAAATAATGGAGCGCGCTGAGAATTGCATGATTGTTGGCGATTTGGAAGATCTGGTAATATAACTCTTTTCTGTTGCAACGATGTGGATGAGTTGAGAGATGACTTGAAAATTGAATTATGACCAGTAAAGTGCAAAGGCAAAATATTCAGGAGAAAGAACATACAAGATGATTATGGCCGAGTCTGTCTTGCCATAACAACTAGAGAGTCCTTTTATAATTTCAAGAAGTTCATCGTTTGTCCTCCTTGGAACCTGCCGAACTCTATTATCTGGGGGTTCTGGGTTTCAGCAGCTAGGAACAGAGTGGAATACATGTATCATGGTACTGAAGGCAACTCCGGCTTTGCGTCTTAGAGTACCTATATTGGGGATGGCATGCTGGGAGTGCGACCTGCCAATTTCACTCTTAAACGGCAACTGCCAAGGACTTAATGAGTCGTATGTCAGCCATAAGCTCTAGAAAATGGACCTCGCTCATGTGACAAGATAAAATATAGGTTTTTTTTTTTTTTTTTTTTTTTTTTTTTTTTTTTTAAGATATCTATTAGCTGTTGTATACCTAACCATTACCCCCGGCCTAATGCAGGTTCCTTGTTCGTGTCAATTTCAAGTCTAAACCGAGTGCTTCACGGCGCTGATCTGAAGTCCGACACACGCTAGCAAGCGACAGCAGGTACTTTTTGAAGTATTTTTAGGTTTTCGAGTCATGTTTTCCTTGTTTGAACTGTCTGGAGTTCTCTTTCAATACTATAACTAAAATCAAGTCGTTGTCAATCATCAGCTAGCTAAGTAAGGGTACTATACCCAAGTTTTGAGAACAAGGGTAGCACATTTTGAAAGGTGGTTGATTATAGCAATGCGCCTTGTAAGCATTCTGTTTTTTTACCGCTGCTAAAATAATTTTCAGCACAATGAAGGAGAACAATGCCATTGATCGATTTTTCATCGAGTTTTTGAGAGAATTTATGGTTCTTTTGAACATTTAACTGAATACATATTTCCGTCCACTCTTTGTTTCGCCATTGATGCTTTCAAATTTTTTCTTGTTTCCACGCCATCCAGATATTCTAATGTTGCGAAGGAAGTAGGTTCAATTTTTAGTTTAAGATGCCGCGAGCGTCACAAATAGATCTTATTCTCGACACACCCTCTCTCATGATTACACCAGCAAGTAAGGTACTTGACATGATGACCAACCACGAAGCCAACGAAAACACTGCACAAAAATGTGGGGTGGAGGAACTAGCGAATCTCATGCTACTGGCGGCTGCTGCGCAAATGGATATTGCCCCCGGATCCCAAGTGCCAGACGATAACAGAACCTTGTTTTCCACCGGTGAAAGTCGCACAAGCATTTCCAAGGCTTTGAGCTTATCTTATCCGACGAAATATTCGACTGAGGTCTGAATAATCACCTTGCCAAGGTTCCTTATGATATCCGAAATACAGTCTGGTTGCGGTGCAAATATTCTACAGTATGTAAACAGCCAAGGTTCAAGATCATTTCTCTTTGTTGTTTGTCTCGATCAAGTTGATACTCACAATAATGCTGTGCTTTTGTGTGAGATAGCATATACTTAGATGCAAAAGTTATCGCTGCAACAAACCCAGCTTTCAGACGCCCAAAGTCATTCTTCTTACCGAAGGAGGATATGTCCCAAGTGAAATGTTACTTTCTTTTTGAAGCACTTCTTATTTGCATGTCCATCGGACTTGTCCCAGGCATAGTACGCAAGGGTCGCGTGTGAACACATTACCGGCCAATTCTAAGTGTATTCGGAGATAGCTCCCACCTAGGATTGATTATTGCGGCTTCCGTCCCTAGACTCGAAAATGATCTCTCATTCTCTCACTCGTCAGTCATCACATTATCTGTCCACTCATACACACTTTGATCATTCTACATCTCTATTACTACACCGACTACCAACACAACAAATATCAACAACATTATTCCGATAACCAAACAAGATTCCAAAAAATCAAATCGCAAAAATGCAGGTCACCATCGCCACCATCGCCGCCACTCTGGCTTTTATTGGCACCGTTTCCGCAGGCCAACCTAAGATGTTCTTCGACATTAACTGCTACGGGAAATGCATTGAATCTTGCATGATGACACCTGAAGATGCCAAGAACGGTTATCCATGCGAGGAAATCTGCAGCAGAAAGATCGAGTGCTTCGATGAGAAGGAACATGATCGCGACATCTATTCATTCCACCAGAATCGTCAGACCTGGCAGGCTAGAATCAAGGCCATGGGTCTCTCTAAGAACAAAAATGCGCCCCTCAAGAATGTCAAAGCCCATTCTTCCGACGACAAGAAAACAGAGGCGGCACAGACAACCCCCGACCTCTCCAAGAACATAATTAGCGAGGTCACTATTGTCCCTTCGCCTACTAAAGAGGCCTCGGTCAGTGTTACCGAAAAAGCTGCTGAGAAAGTCCACACTATGGCAACTAAAAGCTCGGCTACCCGTTACGACAACAATACTCAAGCCTAGACATCAGACATGCCTAGGGAGTTTTCAGGAAGCTCTCGATTATGAACACAAGTTCAACAGAGCGATAAGTTTATCGGTGGAGCATAAGATGTGATCAGGGAAATAGAATGATGGTCTCTTAATGCGGCTTTATCAAGTCTCAGTCCGCTGCGACGGAAAATGGGTCTAATACGACTAATTTGGGGTCATTGAGACTCTAACATCTGCGTGAGATGCAGAGGATGTCAAAGGAAGAGTCTCAGATGGGTTGAGGAAAAGGATCAGGGATTTGGATTGTAGGTAACAGGTTGCTACCCATTCATGGGTGGAGATAGCTACAATTGATATAAATCTGAGGCTACAAGCTTGTGTGTTCTCCAGGTGGTAGTTGCAATTGTTATGAGGTTGCAGATAATTTCCTTCTAGGCTGTTCTCTGCAACAGCCCTTTTCTACTGTGATAGATCTCTCGCTGATAGTCAAGCCGAGGATTAGGTCTCCATAATTGCTAAGGCATCATTGCTACGCATTCCTCTGAAAGCCAGACGCAGTGCAGGTATGCGGCATGTAGTGCTAAGAAATCAACCCATACAGCAACGGAAGCCGAGTAAAGTCAAGTGTCATCACCCCGGCAGTTGACATCGACATGTTGCCATTGCCGAAAACTTATGGCAGGCTTACAGTAGCGCTATGGCAGAGTTTTCTTCTTATCGAGTGATTACCTCCTAACTGGTCGGAAACTATGGAAATGCACCTGTTATCCAGTACCGCAGTATTTTCATCTTTCACATCTCCAGAAGAGAAAACTTTCAATTTATAATCTTCGACTATAAAACATACATAAGGAAGTCTAATCATCATCATAATCAGCCTCCTTGCCTATGATAGTTGATGATCTAATTTCCAAAGTTTTGTGATGCTGCATGTCTTGTTTAAGCAGCCAATGATGTAGTTTGAAACCTTTGTCCTTGCGAATAACTCCCTCCTTGATGCTGTTGAAATGAAGCTTTGGAAGCAGTATGGCCGGAGGACGAAATCCTGTGGGCCTTCGTGATGCTTGAAAAGTTGCCGAGCCTCTGTCTTAACTTTGCAATAAGGTATGGTTACCTATTGTAGCAATTGAGTTTAGATTGAGCCTGATGTAGTGCACGTTCTTCTATCGTAACCTGATCGACCATTCAACTCAACATACGACCACGATTATTTTGTCCCGTTCTCCATCGACTCCTGCTGAACCCCAGGTCCCCCAGGGTGGAAATTACCCTTCAATCGCCGCCTTTCCTGTCGCACTTCAATCAGTTCGCCAGTGGTACGCTGTTCACTTCTTTGCAATGCATTTTGTTTCAATGCAACATTTTGTGTTAATTTGAGTTGCTCGTACCTTTAGCTTGCTCAAAGTCAATAGAGAACAGATATCCCACAGCCATTGGCTTCTTATGAGCCTGACTGTCTTTGCTCTGCACTTTCAAAACCGAGATTCAGCAGAAGTCAATGAGACAGTTTTGATACAAGGCAGAGAATTGGGGCAGTTGAAATATCCGAATTTTTCCCAACCTCGCTTATAAGCTTGGTCTTTTTCTGTCGTTGACTAGTAGATCAAAAACATATCCCGGTCTCTGGAGCAATGCGGAAAGAGCTGATGTGCACAGGAGCATGGTCCATTTCCTATCATACTCATTAAAATACTTTGAAGTGAAGAGACACCCAAGATAGCATGGAGGTGGGGTTTGGAGGCATTGCTTATCATACTGGATGATAGGGGCGAGTGAAAAAGCAGGATGAAGATAAAGATACCTACATCTAGATGGACAACCGTAACACCGAAACCCGTCACGCCAAGGCTGACGGGCTTACAAGGAGTCCTTCATCAGGGAGATCCTTGTTTTAGATGTGGGACTTCTCCGCGGTCTATTTGTGATGTTGCTGCACTTTATGTCGCCAAGACTTTTGCTGTCACCCGATCGAATACGGCGACTACCTCTTTGTCATCAGTTGTTGTCTAGTCGGTTGGCTCGGGAGACTACTGTAGGATATCCATGGCTGTATTGAGATACCTTAGGAATTACACACTTTGTATGAAGGAAACGATTTGAAAATAATTTTCGAATTATTAAAGCACGAAATTGTGATAAATCAATTTACATACTTTTGGGATAAAGCTGATAGTCTATCACCATGAAACATAAGAGCGGAGCTCTTCTACCAATAGCGCCTTGTTATCTAGTATCTTGCAAGAGATTTGAACTGAGGAAGTCTGCAAGTGCTTGGCAGGTTGTCTCACAAGGGTTTTTGATTTTCGTATTAAGCCCAAGGGCATAATTCGGAGCATTCGGGAGTAGTCTTGAACCGCTGCCGAAGGAATCTGATGCTTCCTAATGAGCTGGCGCAGCTACGTACTTGATTTATGTCACGTAGTGCTTCTGGGCTGTACGGCAACAGATGCATGGAGTCTTTTACCTGGTGAGATTTAAATTGTGATGGACAAGACACCATGTCTCGGTACAATTCTTAATTGGCTGTGCTCTTCTGCTCTCTTTCGGATTCGGTAACACTCGATAGGATATGGCTGGAAGTGGATGTGAGATTCACATTGTAAACCTTATTCCATGAGTTATAGTAGGCTATTTTGCCTCTGTCCCTGTTCTTGTACCCACTTTCCCCTCAATACGGTGGGACACCAAGAATGTCAGCTGCACGGGCCTATCAGTTGTAACTCCGCAATGCCTGGTTCTTCCAGCACAGTTAGATATGTCGGTGGCAGATGCATGCTGTTTTTGATAGCCATATTACTCCTACCCGGATTTGAGCGACTGCTACTTTTCATGGGAGCGTATGTGTAGCCTTAAAGTAGCTCGTAGGATAGTGATGTTAGATTTGGGCCTTGCAGTAAACCATAGGGTGTTGAAGGTGTGCCAAAACTACTCAAAACTATCGAATGAAACTCGTTCTAGGGAATTCGTGGAGTCTCGATACGACAAAGCATAAGTATTAGTAACGGCAAACGTATTGATTAGATTACAATATATCACAGCTGTTGACTCTACCCTTCCCACAGTAATACACGATCACCGGTAGGACCGGAAAGCTTATTAGCTGTACCTACCCATGAATACCCCATCCTAAATCTTGTGGGGGCATGCACGAGTAGAACAACTGACTCGCTAATGAATGCTATATCATGGTTTGATTGTGTATGAAGACAGAAGAAAAAGGTATTTAATGGGATCTACTCCTACCTCGCCAACCAAAATGTCGATACACAACTCATAATCATTGTGGTACTCCGATCTAGATTGCAACCTCTGATCACCGCTATTCAGTTTCTCTATCTCAACACGCCAAGATGAATATCAAGACTGCCATTACTCTCTTCTTTGTGTCTGCAGCTCTTGCAGTTCCTGGCCAGACCAACGACAACAGCAATGTCCTGGCCCGTGACCCCCAAAGGGGCCCCGTACGCCCCCCCTCAGGCAATTGCTGCTCATATATCCCTGGTACTTGCAACTGCGGCTGTGTAAGTTCATTCCACTTGTGACATTGTCTGGGCTACTTTGCTAACGTGAAGGTGAAATAGTGTTCCGGAGTAGGTGATATTGTCATTTCAAAGTATCAGTACTGACCATGATTGTCTAGGGGCCATGCGCTACTAACAGTGATCCCAACGCTACTTGTCCTTAAATAGTATCAAAACTTTCGCACATTCACCTGTCAAGATAAATAGGAATGAAAGTTTTCCATAAGACCAAACATACTCTTGAGACCGCGCGCCTACATGTGAATGCCGTCAGCATCATTTTTCAGTGAAACCTTCGTCATTTCTAGTTGTCAAGATGTTCAATAACGTCCCACACCCACTTCTGGGCACCCCCCACATTTGGGCACCCCATTTACACCAAAAACGCCGTTTTTCGAAATTCTATATTAAACTAACTACTATACTTACTAAGAAAAGAAAATATATATAAACTATGTTAAGTATAATTATAGCCATCTAAATTTTTATAAAGGTTTAAATATAATAATAGTTATAATATAGAAGTTTAAAACTAAAAGCTTTAAAATGTTAGTAGATACTAGTAACTTACTAGTATTCCTTAACATTAGAAAAATATATTTTCGCTCATATATACTTATTTAAAAAATCTAGGAAATTAATATTTATACTTATTAAAAGTATATAATTATATCTAAAAGAGATTTAAAAGTATTACTTTAGTAAATATAGTATAATTAAGGGTTAAAATTCTATAATAGAAACTTTTCTTAAGGGAAATTTTAAAATATTATTCTAAGCTTAAAGAATTTTTTACTAAGTATAAGAATATATAAATCTACTATATCTTACTTAAAAATTCTAATCATATTAGTTAAATATCTCTACCTATTTTATATATTAAGATATAGGCTAGGTAAATTAGTATTATAAATGTTAAACCTTGAATTTATAATACTTATTATCAATAATACTAGTATATAGCTACTTAAGTATTATAATTAAGTCTTAATCTATTTAATATATATTTATTCTCTTTAATAAGTAAAGTATTTAGTTTAATATAGAATTTCGAAAAACGGCGTTTTTGGTGTAAATGGGGTGCCCAAATGTGGGGGGTGCCCAGAAGTGGGTGTGGGACGTTATTAAAATTCATTGAGTCAGCGTTCCCTAAAGCAGCACAAAAGAGCTAGCTTGGTTCAGCGACCCCCCCTGGCTAATCCAAACTATACACCTTCATGAGCAGATGATTATGAAAACTGGAATGCTCCATTGGTGTCATTGAACTCGGTTGCTTGCTTCTCCTTCTAGACGCCTATCGTCATCGTCAAAGTTATCTCATCTTTGAGAAAAGCAAATTGAAAGATACACATTCTCGACAATCACATTTACATATACAATTTTGCATTGAGCACTGTGAATATCATTATGTATCTGTGCAATTAGATACGACCAACACAAAGACGAGCGCGAGAAGTTTTGATACTAACCCCGCGTGAAAAAAAAACAAGAAAAAGGAAAGCAAAACAAGCAATGCAAACAAATGAACGTAAAGCTAGATATGTCGCTTTAACTGGGGCACGCGGCGTAAATTTTGTTCATTCTTGTTTCTTCGCAGAGACGCTCCACTCCATACACAAACCAGGACGGGTCCCTCCAGCGCAATGGTTTTCATTGTCCTTTCCATTCCATGTACCTTTAATCGTATTAGCAAACTGTTAATAATGCAGAGGCTTCATGACTTACAATCAAGTAGTATACCAAACTGTTCCTCGCAAGCGCTGGGATTCTTTTGCAAGAGTTCCAAGGCCGATTGTGGGTTGCTACCCTCCCCTTCGGCCTCACAAAATATGTTCCTCTCGTTGGAGCGTCTGAGGACCTCGATAGTGAATGTATAGGAGAATTCTCTTTCATCCAGCTTGTTGTAAATGTTTATACCCTTGGTCTCAACTTTTCTGTTTTTTCTGTCATAAAACCACTTATTGCTCCATTTGTTCTTGTGAGCATCTTCGCAAAACTCTTTAACCCACTTCGAGGCCTGGCTCTTGTCGAACCTCTCGCCCTGGGTGTTACAGAGTCCAGTATACCGAGGTGGAGGGGCTGTGGTTGTCGCGGCCAGCGAAGAGCTTGTCATTGGACGTGAACTTCTTATCTTTGGCAGACAAACACAAAGGGAAGGCCCTCGTATCGGGAGGGGGATACATTCCCCAATCTCGTCAGTTCCACAACCTCTACAGTCCTCATTTGTCATACAAGTAGGCTTGTTAGGCCTAATTGTGGAAGCCACCTGGGGGACGCTACTGCTGCTGGATGATGAATACATCTCTGTCCAAGTACGAGGCTGGCATCCGCAAGCATATCCTCGACCCATCGGTTGAACCATGCATTCGCCAGCTTGTCCATCTGGACAATTGATGGTAGAGCACTGGTTCATGTCGCAGGGGGATTCCAATGTCGACGTTGGTGATGGAGCCGAATGAGTGCTCGTAATCGACTGGTAGTGCTCCGTCCATGTGTAGGGCTGACATCCGCAAGCATAACCTCGGCCCATTGGTAGGACCATACAATCGCCAACCCGTCCATCAGGACAGCTTAAGGTGCCACACTGCTGCGTACCACACGCATCCATTGGTGATATGTGAGGTTGTGATAGCGTTGTGGGCACGCTGGACACCGACGGCGGCGTGGTGGTCTTGGCTGACTCTGTGGACAGGGAAGACGTGATTTGCGAGGTGGTTTCCAAAGGAGGTAATTCGCACAAGTCTGGTTCTGAGCCGTCTCTACGCGCGTTACCACCGCATGTTGGCCAAACCCAAGAAAGCTCAATTGTCCAAGCAGCGTGTCCCAGCGTGTTGTACACCTGCCACTTTTGCATGATTTCTTGGTACTTTGAATCACTTTCATCGAAACCTTGAGCCAAAACCTTGACTTTTTCCAGTTTTTCTTCTAAGTCGGATTTGAGAGACAAAGCAGAATTCAGAAATACTGCTTTCGCCCCATTGGTTGGATGGTTAATATAGTCATCCATGAACGTCCGAAAGTTCGGGGCAAAAAATCCTTTTGCGAAGGCCTCTAGTCCCGTCTCAGCTGCTAGGTGCTGGTCAAGCTTTCGGCTATTATCGTTTGTTAGCATAATGAGATTCATCTGCTGAAAACTTCATCGTATTTCTTTTGAAGTCATTTCTACGATGATTTGGACTTAATGCTTTGGCAACTTACAGTTCAAGGTAAATTCTCTTGTTAGTATTTTGCGCCATTTCGATAGCAACTGGCAAATTAATTATCTTTACTGCCAGATTAATTCGTTGTAGTACGTCTAACTCTTTATTCAAAGTGGGAATTGCAATTCGGTGGAATGGGCCCCGAATGGAAGCTTTCAATGCTCGTTCGACGACTTGCTGAAAATTGGCGCCCCAAAAGAATCCCTAAGTATTGTCAATCATCGGGCACTAATTTTATCAAGAAGATAGGAGGAGAACAATAGAAAGATACAAAAGGGAAATAGGGTGATCTCACCTTTGCAAACTGGTTCAGGAATTGTGTCATTCCGATGAAATCCACGTTATACTCCGAGGGCAAGGCCTCGTAGACAGCCTCAAGCAAATTTCTGTCCCCGCGACCATTTTCAGGAGCGTTGAAAATATGACGCTTGAATTCCAGGCAGGTGATCTTGGATGCTCCGTCTTGTGCATTAGTCAATAATGGTTCTGATTCCTCGACGAGCAGTTGGTTAAAAAATTCTGTCAGCCAGCTCTTTTCCCAAACATGGTCCAAAGTAGGCGAATGCTCGCCACTCCTATCCTTCCATCGGTATTCATTAGCCGACATCTGCTCTGTACCTATACGTACAATCTAGGGAGTGCAAGCCGGTGCAGCTGCTATGGTCTTGCTGTACCACCGAGGCATATCCTGGTATGCTTGAACGCTTATCGGATCCATGCCAGGGAAACCAGCTTTTTCGCATTTTACCAGCGACTGGCCTCCAAAGTACCTCGGAATCCGAACCATGCGGCCTTCTGGCCAGGATTTATCAATACTACATTTCGAGAAAGAAATGGATTTTCCGTTGTTAGCAACGTGGCAAGGACCATTTGGTCCCTCGCCAACTCTAGGCACCAAGACACGCCCAGCAACTGCCAGCTGTCTTGGTTCAATCACCTCATCATCAGGCACAGCGTTAACGGCAACATCGTATGTGTCCAGGTCTTCGAGGAGATCCCAGTTGGGACAAACAACAGGGCAACCTTCCATCTCAGGATTTCGTTTTTCAGGTCCCTTGACAGTGCTTGTAGGGCAACTCCGTTCAGTGATTGTCGCAGTAGTGCCACTGACGCTGCATCCTGTTAGTGTCTGGTGACACGCAGTGGTGTAGCATGTAATTGTGGAGCTTTCTCCAGCTTTCGTAGGACTACACGTAGCGATACAGTTACTAGCCGTTTGAGTGATGCTGCAGCTTTGAGTTGATGTAGTTGAAACGGTTGATTTAGTCACCGCAGTCTTAGATGGCGTAGAATCGGGACTGGAAGTACTGACATGTTCGTCCCCATCTCGATCCTCGTTTGTGTCCTTATCTCCGCCACCAGATGGTTCTGTAACTGGGCCGGGGCAATTCCCTAAGTTGAAAAAAAGAAGCCTGATACACGGCAAGGCAAATTGAGGCAAATTTGGTAAGTCGGGGAACTTGAAGGACACGTTCGGGATATGTGGCAAATTCCAAAGTACAATGCCGCCGCCATCAGTCCCGCACTCAGAGCACCCTACCAGCACAGGGACAACTGTCTGGGAACCATCAGATGCCGTCGTAGTGATCCAGGTGTTGGTTGTCCACTCAGACTTTGTCAAGGTTTGAATAAAAAAGCCTGGCGGCAGAGTAGTCATTGTAGATGTTGGAACCGGGTAGGTAGCCAGGGCTGGCAGGGTTGATAAAACATTACTCCATAGATCGGCCTCCGAGTTTGATTTTGAGATGCCATATGTATACGGTGGGAGATTTTCATAATCCGGTGTGTGAGATTGTGTTTGGGTTGCCGCTGAAACCACATTAGAAACTGGGAGAGTTGGAAACGAAATATCCGCACTAGATTCAAGCCAGGTATTGGAAGCCTCAGAAAATGAAGGACTAGTAAAGTCTGGTTTTGGTCTTATTGTTGGTTTTGGGAAAGTCCAAGATAAATTTCCCGAAGGAGTGAATGCAGGAAACGATGCCGTGGATGAAACGTCTTCATAGGTCACGGTGACCTGTGTACTCCGGTCTATTATCAGAGTGTCTGGATCTTGCCCTGGAGGTTGTTCCGTAACTTGGGTCAATGGCAGATCATTTTGCTCTTCAAGTTGCCAACTTGCCGCATGCCATAGCAAGCCACACAAGATGTTGAAGATGCTGATGAGCCGCATGAGTGATGGCCTGCCTTAGCGGTGACTAAAGACTGGATATGGGGCAAGAGTACTTGTAATGAAGGAGAAATTCGACGACTTGAGTTGGTAAGCCAGCGTGAACGAAAAGATTTGACTTTCCAGCTTGATGTTATTCGAGAAATTATGATTTTCGCCAGTTTTCTAGATTCTGGTATCTGGTGTCTTTATACATCCTAGCACTGGCTACAGTAGATATTTAAAAGACCCTCATGACTATTTGTTCTCTCCCAACACAATGTTGCTCTGATGAAGTCTATTATTGTTAATGAACACGTTCCGTCCTCCTACCTCCCCCAATCTCAGGTCCACTTTGGGGGTACTGCTAGCTGCTGCGCATCTTGAAACAGTCCTTTGGGGGGTTATATGCCAAGGCGGTCATCACCATGGAGGAGACCGGTTGCCCAGCTTTTGAGCTCACTGTTATCTGCCGTTTCTTTCTTACCAAACGCCCGGTGCGATTATTATCATTCCAATCACTTAGTGGCCATAGGACCGCCATTTGGGGGCATGTTGGTTGGTATGCGAGGTTCAAATCACTGATGCATGTTGGAAGTCGTGCTGTCAATTTTGTGTATGCTACACGATAACAACGCCTGAGCATCTAAGGTCGCGCAAAAGGTCATATTTGCCCCTGGTTCCCGCCCCGGCCGCCAACTTGAGTAGTTCGATTTTGACATTTACAGCCCCAAAAGGGTTACACGTCCTCCTTGGGTGGTGTAACACGTACATTCGGCTGAATGACTTTCCCTATGTCTGGCCCCTAGGTTAGCAACAAACTCCCAGTGGGGGTTCAAGAAACAAGATTTAAGCGCTGACACTGGTTGGTGCGATTTAGTAACTTCTTGAATCACAGACTTATATTTTATGTTCTTGCCCCCTCTTTCCCCAGTTTCAACCAACCAGGTTTATAGGGCGCCCGGACGTCACAGCCATAGCCCCCCAACCCCCTTGACCATGCATCTCTCTACCTACGCACATAAACGCGTGGAGGGATACATGACACCCCGCCCCAACCCCCAAATAAAATCGTTGTAACCGACGTATCCCTCCCCTTATAATTTCCACTCTTTCTCTTCAAGCACATCTTTGCTCGCCTTAACAGTTGGTTTCCACCTCGCTTCGATTGTCTCATTAAGTCTAAATACTGCAGCTCTTTACACAAAAACCATGATACCTAAGAATGAGTTCTACATTTGCCAGATCTGCGGAATAGAGATTCCAGACTCATACTGGGTTTACAAACTGGTCGAAGAACTTGAAAATGGCGGACCAGATGCAGATCCTTTAGAAATGGAGGGAGATGCCAAGGATTTAGAAACACAATTGAAGTGGCTGTACGATGCACGCTTACTCTGCGATCCTGATGACGAGTTCGGACAGTTTCTACCTGACTTCCAACATGAGACTTTGGAAGATGACATAGAAGACCCAGAATTCCGAGAGACTCCAGAAGTCCGGTCAAGGTCTCAGGCCTCTGATATCGAAGTCCACATCGGCGAGGCTGACGAAGAATACAAGTTCTGGAAACCCTACCCAAAGCATCTGCCAATGACTAGGGTCGGCATGATGTACACATCCACTTACACAACGGATGGACGGGTGTATGCAGTTGTCCATGCTGCTTGCCTGGAGATAGCAAGAAAGATTTTTGTATCATCTGAACTTGCGCATGTGAGAGACTTGAGGGGGTTATTTATGGCCCTTCGGTGGAGAGAGGGGATATCCTATAAGTGTGGTGGTGAATGGAAAAGCCTACCCAGGGCTAACTACAAGCTTGCAGTTAATGGCTACTACCTGCCAGACTGTAACTGGGGTCAGAGGGAATGCCCTGGAATGGAATGGCCAGGCCCTTACGCATCTCCAAGAGCAAACCTCTTCTATGTGAGCCTCATCCACTGATTCATTGTCGATGTACTGACAACGACTGTAGTCCATCGGCAGAAATCCTTTTGAAATCGAGAACTTGACGGAATGCCTCCTGAAAAATCTTCAATCTTGTCGAACGCAGGTAAACTTCACCGCTGATTTCGCCAAGGTTGCTAAGAACCTAGCAAGAATGCCGGGGGAAATCATGAACGCAATTTTTGCCAACATGGGTCAAAATTTACCGCGGCTTTCCTCCCGCTTAGTGGCTCAGATGTTTTGGAAAGAACAGCTCAAAGCGGGCAGTCACGGACTTCTCCCATGGCTCTGGGATATAGATGCCGCTCTAATTGATGATAAAGATGCTCAGCCATGCCCTGAAGGGGATGATTTTGAGTGGGACTGGGAACTGTTAGTCCGCCAGCTAAGTCGTGGGGTTGACTATGGAGTTCGTCCAGGTTTACCAGAAGATACGCTTCCAGAACCGCGTTGGGAAGAAGACAGTGAAAAGTCGACCTGGGACACCATCTGCACAGGATATCACACCGATCTCGTTCATGTACCTGCTGGCCTTCACAATCGCCGTCGCATCTGGCAACTTCTCGAAGAGATGTTCGTCGGCGACGCTCTGCCCTGGCCGCGAGTAACTCCATTCTGGGAGACGTCCTACGTACATCCACCCGAGAAGAATTTTATACCATTGTGGTGGAACAAGTCCGGGGAAATATTATCCTCTCCAATATGGCTTCCATCAATTAACTTCGCCTCTTGGGATGCGCCTTCGGGATGGTATGGTGGGCTTACTACCTTCCGGAGAAGACTTGGCGGAGACATTTATGTATTCAGGAACAAATCAAACTTACAATATTGGCAGATCAATATTGATGAGAAGAGCCGCGGCAAACCAACTACAGGAGATGCAGCTAAGATACGACCAGCAACGGTAGAAGAGATCTACGCAGTCTTGCGACCTTTAGGCTACCCAGTCTGAGGGTTTTGTCCGGGTTTTTTCTATTGCTCCATCATAACAATGATTTGGAATAACATAACTCCTTTCGAGGAAAATCAAAAATGAGAATGTGTCTGCGTTTTAAAGAGTCTATTTGTTTGATGATTCCATCGTCAAAGACTAGTCCTGTTGAGATTAGTTTTGCCAAGTACAGTGGCTGAGCGAAGAACCATGATACACGGGAGTGCTAGCATCGAAAACAAGGCCAGGTTAGTGCATTTCTTGCAACCGAGAAATTCTTCACCAAGACGGTACAAACACAAAGAATCAGAAACTAAACAAAATTATGTTCTTACACTGGTCCATAACCGCATTCGAAGTCGCAATCTAGGTAATTGACCACGTTTAGGTCATCCCGCTGGTGGCACAGAAGGCAGTTTTTAACCTTCAAATAGGAGCGCAGTTATGCAAGGAACAGCGATTCTGCTTGGGGCGGGCCTTGGTCGACTTTTAGAGCGTACAATGGATCATGCGACAAAGCTTTTGAGATCGTAAAACCGCCGGGATATCTGGGTATGTGGGATTTTGTTACTCTATGGTGTAATGTTATGGAGAGCCGGTAAAATAAGAACCCAGATGATTTATGCGTCGAAATTCAAAGTGAAAACATTATGTTTTCAACGTTGCAATATCCACACTGGTAGGGTTGGTGAAAAGTAATGTTTTGTTATGTTCTATTTTGGGCACAAGGGTGGTTGTCTTTTGAGGATTATTTCCCAGCAACAAAACATCTGCGAACTTACCTTGACTTTCTCCAAACCTTTGACAGGACTATCTTTCCTACAGGGATGGATCATACCTTTGGAGTTTTGCTTAGACACCTTTTGGGACATGGATACTATTGGTGTACTCCCCACTACCAGCCTTCATGGCAGTAAACCTTGTATTGAAAAAATCAGAATTCGTTCCTTTTTGTCGGTCCTTCGAAGCCCTCAGCCAATTGCCAAGTTCTTATGCTCAATTTCTTCTAGCTTTGTTCCCACGTCATATCAACTTTAACAGCGCATCTTGTCTTTTTATATATTACGAGCAATATCACATACAAATCATTCGCAATATGCGTCATGCTATTCTCACCAGCATCATTCTATCTGCCTTGCTCTTCCTTCAACCTATATCCGCGGGAGCCGCTTCAACCAGGCCCGTCTGCTGGGAGAAATGCATTCAGCATTGCGTTAGGGAGCTTGATCCAAACGAAGATTGGAAAATGTATAGATGCTGTACGTTTCTACTCCCAAAGATTCATGACATCAGACGACAGTGGGGACAAGCTTATACTGACATTTCCTTACTAGTACACTTGCTTTGTAAGGATAAGCCAGCATGTCTAAACTGGGAGTAATTAAAATGCAAACTGTTCGAAGATTGCGTCTGAAGGGAAAAGAAGTGAGGGGGATTATGGCAGAGAGGATTAATGACCATCTCCCTGGTTGCAAGTGTAAGCACAGGCCCTTACTTGCAAGGGCTTGGAGAGGTTCGATGAAATGCCTGGATTCTGAATGCAAACAAGAATGCTGAGTCAACAGTTGCCACTTGCCAAGTAGCCTAAAAGGATGTTCAATTGAAACACCTACCCAGATCGTGGTCGTCGAGATGTTTGTTCACCGGAAACCATCAGGTTAATTTTACGAATTGTAGGCCACGCATCAAAATGCCGACAAAGTCCGCAGGCAATGACCTCAGAGTCACTTTCAGAAGTAATATCATGTGATTAGATACATCAGTCATGTCGAATAATTAGCGAAGTGATCTAACCTTTTGCCCTTGTTACAAGTACCATGCCAGAGTCAAAATCATCTCATCTCAACAGCAAAATGATATCCACATACAATGCTAATTCTGCGGGTATCGAGGAGCCAAAATGAGAAAAACGAAGCCACTGTGGTTGGTTCTCTTCTCCATCCTGCAAATCCTGGGCGTTCTCTTTCCGCAGCTGCAATGCCTCAAGATTGTTAATAGTGTTCATGTCCAAGCGGAATGATCGCCGTAGAACTTCAGTTGCACTTCTCAGTAGCCTTGTAAATCCAATCATCGGTTTCCAGCAAAATGGGGAGCATCGCTGCTTGCAGTAAAGACTTGGAGGTTGAATGGCTTTGCGACTGGTCTGTGGAGTCCAAGTCAGCTAGGACAAGCATGTTGTGACGATAGTGTCAACGCTCACCGAACACACCGAGCCAGGTGTGTTTTATGTAAGCTATGTGAAACGCACTCTGTAGGCGTATAAGTACGCGCTTCCTCACGCACATACACGCTTTCTAAATCAAGTCACTCTTTTACACCTTTCCTAGCCTGATTGCTATGTTCCTAGTTCGTCACATCTTAGGTTATAAACTTGAAATTTTAATACTTTTAGTAGAACCTTTCTTTTAAGTCTAACCCTAAGAGCCTTAATTCATAGTTAGTCGTTGGATAAATTCGATAATGTCCTTGTTTTCCGTTTTTGCCCAGGGATCCATATACGCATTGCATCTGAGCGAGTCCTCAATCTCATCTGCCGTAGGAATACTAGTCCGCTCATAGTTTAATGGTCCGTCCGAGATAGAGTGCGGGATGAATTTCGACGAATTGGCTGTAATAGGCTTATTATCTTCGCGAGTTGCCATCCCTGCCGGTTCGCCATCAACAAACCAAAGCCCAATGACCGGATAGTATAAGACGCCCATTTCGTCTTTAAATTCGGGTAATACCGCAAGCTCCTGGACGACATAACCCTCCGCTCCGTAGTATCCTGTAGATAGGTCGTTAATAACTTCGCCGTCCTTTATTAGCGTTACGTCGCAGCCCTCGCGCGCATAGATAGGCTTTCGCGCAAAGCTTATCAAAGACTCAGGCGCTTCTCCCTCTAAATACGTTGGAAGAAGCCATTTTGACCGCGGGTCATCCTTAAAAAGATCCCACATAATAGCGAATAACGCCTTATTGCTCCATAGCATCTTATATGGCGCTTCGACCCAGATAGTTCCCCCAACGTAATTCCCAGCGTCGTCATGCTTGCCGATGTTATCCATATCCTTAAAACACGCCTCTGCAAAAGGCTCCTCCACCATATACTCCCAAGGATACATCTTAAAGATTACGTCGATATGTTGGCCGTCCGTATCATAGAATCGCCCATCGCGCTTATTGAGGGATAGTTCCTCTAGAGCGATATATTTCACCTGCCAGCCTGCGTCTCTGCATGTCTCCCCAAGCAAAAGGGTATTCATAGCGTCCTCGCCACTAGGCTCTTTGCAGGATGCAAAATGAACGACTGGCTTGTGGCCGAGTTCCTTCTCTATAAGCTGAAGGTTTCTCTTCCAGCCCTCCACTAAGCATTCAGTTATGCTATTGAATTGATCGTTGCCTAGGCCTGTTTGCTGCAGCCAAAGCCATTGGATGGAACTCGACTCAACAAGCGTCGTTGGAGTATCTGCATTGAACTCGTAAAACTTAGGCGTTCTGAGGCGCTTGTCCGGATGGTCTAGGCCGCCAAAACAAACATCGAAACGGCCGTAGATGCTACCCCAAGCAGGCTCCCGGTTCCAAGACTCAGTTATATGCTTCAGCGCGAACGCAGGTATGGCCATTTTGCTGGTTATCACATCAGGATGAAGAACCAGATAGTCGGCTGCTTCACAACACATGTTAAAAACATCTTGGGATGCTTTCTCAAGAAGTTCGATTTCCTCGGATGTGAAAGAGTAATACCGATTGTCTGGCCAGTAAGGATCTGAATGTTCTTGGATTACGCTGTCAGCGTATACCAAGCCCTGACTGTTGATGAGGCGTGAGAAATTAGGCCTGGGCTTGCTGGGAATGCGCCGCATGTTTTCTCTTTGAATAAGTTACTTTTGGAACATAGGTTGGTATTGATGAGGACTTGAAAGGGCTGTGGGCGAAAGGCATACGTAGTGCAAAAGAAAGGGGAGGGTTATATTTCTAAGAACATGCAGCTTCGAAATCAAAGTTCTAGGCCCCGCAAAGTGAGCCGAAGGCAATGTTGCAGCCCTCGAGTCAGTTCATGTTGTGGTCACGGTGTACCGACTCAGCCTGTACGAGATCGGCGGGTTCGTCAGCTTCGCATGAATTATGCTAAATTTCCAGCGAGATCTGTCCTAGGTCCGGAACGGACACGCCGTGAACAATCCCTGTCTGCCACAAGTTGCAAAACTATCTGAAAACGATAGTGAAAGAAACAAAGCCCGGCAACAGATCAATCTGCGGCGTCCGACCTCAAGAGTCTTAAAATAAGTTGAAGCCAGGATCTGATGAACGACATCTTACTTCAGTGCTTCTAGGTTCCCATCTTTTCGTCTTGGGCGTAACATTATTCTCTCGCTAGCGCAGTCTCCATGGTTCACTAAGTTCTCAATGCATATGCCCTGAGCCGAGCTCACGATACATGTCTTATAGTCCATGATGCAAAATATGTGAAGCATATCATCATTAGTTAAAAGTAATAAATAATCCATGTGACAAACGTATTTGCCAGACATGCGTCCAACCACATCTTCGTCTCTAACCCCCTATAACAGCGCCACCACCGACTATGACAACAGGGCGGCCGCCTCCATTGCCGCCGCCTTGACCAGGGTCGCATTGGCGTTTTCCAAAACCCCCCGATTCTAAACCTTCAATATCTTGAGGAAACATGGCATTTGCCCGGTCAATCGGGTTGAAGCTATCATTCAGTTGCACTTCTTCGTCAATTTTCGTGCCCACCGGTAGGTCTATTTCGCTGGCCACCATGTAATAGAGGCCGGGACCCTTGGGATTTTCACAATTGGATTCCAGAACGAGCTCTCTGTTCGGGTTGGAGCACAAAGTGCGGCCCTCAGCAGTGCGGGTAGCGAGAAAAGCGATGGCCGCGATCCGCAGACCTGGTAGAGGGTTTTGTTGTCTGTTCATATCCGTAAGATTTGATAATCTTCATCCACAGAATATGAAAGGGATGCCGAGCGATGAAGGAATGTTAGACGAGGGACAGAGTGGTCGTCTCAGTACGCAGAGTGAAGGCGTGATGTGATGGTGGTGACACTTAGGAGAACTGGCTGGAGATGGCCGGTCTTGTATACTAATTCGAAAAATTTTCAAGAACGGTCTCTCCTGACCAGATATCTCTGGAGTGCTCGTTGGTTTAGTGATCGTCGGTGAGTCATTAAAGCAGGCGGGCACGGATATTGTGGCTTCAACGAGAAGGAAAATAAAACTTATCACTAGCATAAATTTCTGGAGAAAGTGCAACCTCAATTTCAAACTCTAGGTGCGTGAATTGTCAACGCAATACGACACTAGGGCTATGTCAGACTAAGTTTGTCTCGGCGATCACAATTATCCATGAAACTTTACATATCAACAAAGACGTCAGGTGTCATATCAAAAAGGTTTCGCACAGCTATCCAAAGCCGCAGATCGTAACATACATCAACTTAATTCGCTAGTAATGGCTCGTTAATCAAGTTACTAATAATATAATAGGTTAGATAAATTAGTCATTGTAGTTGTAAATCATTAATTACCTTCAATGCCCTGCAGTGATCTACAGATAGGAACGGCGTTCATCCCTCTTTACTCAGTCTATCAGACGCAGACATTGGATATCCGAGTCATGCGTTCAGCTCACACTAATTTCCGACTGTTGTAGGTGATATAGGCATTCTTACTGTAAAAACCTGTTCTATTTTCTATTTTCGGTTAGACAAGCCTCAACAATACGTCAATCATTCAAAAGGTAGTAAGTAGACTGAATGTGTTTATAACAGTCTAATATCATAGTAATTGAAATCCGCAAACTCAGATCTTATTACTCACCGTTATGACTAAAGAGATTTCATCGCTAATTAGAATCGGTGCTCTTGACCTACATATATATATATATGACTTCCCCTTGCCCTTCATCCTCTCGCTTGTTCTTGATCATCTACGTCCAGTCATATCCCAAAAGTCGGTCTGAATTAGTAGGCATTTAGCCGTCCAGTCATTCGCTGTCAGTTTTCGTTCTCATAGGCGTTTAGTCCATATCTGATTGCCCTAGATGCATTTCCTCATCCTTCTCACTATCACAATCTTTAGCGCCTTCGTCCTCGCAGCCGACTGTGGCGAAGCGCAAGTCACCGGGGATGCTATTACTGGCTTCAGATTCTCGCCCGGTTGCAACACATGGCAGTGGTGGTCCCGCGACAAGCAAACTACTATCACCCTCAACCCAGACTGCCAGCTCCGTCAGGCATGGCCTAACCCACAAGCGGTCAAAAGTGTTTGCATCCGCCGTAAACCTGGCGGTGACAAATGTTTCAACGCTCCGGATGCTGCTGCGTCTGGCGGATTTTGCGGCATTCCTCCGGAATGGTGTAGTGACATAGAGAACATGTGGGGTTGGTAAACGTCGAGGTAGCGAAAGAGGCACTGGCTTAGCGAACAATCGGGCATCAGGTATAATCGTACAGCAGCTGACTGCATACGAAAAATATTTGAGCAGATGGCGTTTGGGCGCACGCCTTGTGCGTTGAGGGTCCTATCTCTGGCAAACCCCGGCCTCCACCAGATAAAGCGAAATCTCAACAAAGCTGCTTGTCAGGACCATACGAGCTTTTTTCAGAACCAGCAAGATAGCGAAGGTGCAGAACTATACCAAAGCCATTCAGTCCAGGGCCTTTCGTTGGATATGCAGGGACTTTTGGAAATGAGATAATTGATTATCACAACACTTTTCGGAGGCTAGGTCCCGTAATCCTGCGCAATGACATTGTGTATGGATTGAAGTTGATCGGAAATGTCATTTTCCACTCGTTGGCAAATTGACTGAAGCTGTTCCTTGGCGATATCGGTCGAATGGCGGAACATGCTGAGTCTGTTGCTTTCCACGTAGTCAATCATGTGGCTCTTCATGCGAGCATAGCTACCGGCACCTACTTACAGAATTAGTAACAATTGAAGATAAATTGACGAGTTTCTTATACCTCTCTCCATCAAGCAGTTGGCATATGCCCTCCGCATATCTCCTTTGATGGTAACATGGAAGCCTCTGTTGGCAATTTGCTGAAGCATTTTGATATTCGTCCAAAGCATTTCTGGAAGGTCTTTCAGTTTTCTCTGTTGGGTTCGAACCTGCTGCTTTAGAAAGTCGATGCCAGTGTGGCTTTTGTGGCGCTGTTGGCATTTTGCAGTGGCGTCATAGTAGAAATTCCTCAAGTGCAACCGGCTACTTTCAGCAAATGTTTTAAGTGCCCTTGGAAGGAGACACTGGAACACCCGTTCCCATACACTAGAAATATGTTTAGTTAATGGCTCAGTTAGCTCAGCATTAAAGTCTTGGGGTCCATATTGGCTGGCAAACACGCTGTCTCGACGACACGTTGCTCTGTACGTAGTCCACAAAAGGCCACCTGAATCTCGAGAAGCGCCCCAACCCATCGCAGTTTGAATTGCTGCGTTTGAAGCATGAGAAATGCTCGACTCAAGTTGGGCGTGAATCTTTTCAGAGATAGCATTCTGGATCGAGCAGATGCATTCCTTCATAGCTTGGTCCAGATTCTGTCGCTGATTAGTACAATAAGTAGCAATGTAGGAAGGCGCTTACTCTAGCCAATTGTAATAATTGCAGACGAAGGTAATCCTTTTCCTTTTGCCTTTCCATGTCGCTTAGCTGTTCATTGCTGAAGTCAATAGCCCACAATCTCATGGAATTAAGAAACTGATTGAGATCATTGAGAAACTGCCGGCAGGTAGTCATCCTACCCTCTTCAGTTATTTTCCTTGCGTGTAAATGTAGCTGAGGAATCTCAGTCTTTTCAAATTTGCGGAAGCCATCATCGTTAATTTCGTCTTTCTGCAGACGGCCTTTCATCTTCTGGTAGGCACGGCTACTGACGCAGAACACAGACAAGTCTCGTGCTATCTTGTCGTAGTGTCTGATATGCTCGTCGGGGGTGAAATTCTCTTCATTTTCCAACATAGCGGCCTCTTCATCTAGCCTTTTCTTGTTGATATTGATAGCAACGTGTAAAAATTTGGCATAGACTCACTCTTTGATTCCCATGGCAAAGTCTTGCTGAATAACACATTGAGAATACTTGTTCCTTGCTTTAATGCAGCAAGCCTTGACGGAACTTTGTAGACGGACTTTGTCATATGTGACATTGTTGATGGTTTCGCGGAGCTGTGACATCTTCTCGTTCGCTTGGTTGCGCATATCTCGGGCTTCCCTTTTCTGTCTTCTTAGATGTGATAGCTTTTCCCGGATCTTATCTTCTGTCAGCGGCTGCTGATCTTCATCCTTATTCTTACCCTGTTGATGATCGAATGAGGGAGATCTTATTTCAGAATCATATTCTTCAAGAATAGCAGACTTGTGGCTCTTTCGACTCTCAGCAACAATTAAATCGCGCTTGCGTTTCTTGCGATTATCAGAGGTACGATATACATCTTTTCCCTCCAGCCTGATCATCTGCGATTTCATCCTAAATCTCGCATTGGTTTTCAAGCTCTTCAACTTTGCGCTTGAGAATTAATGCTTCACACTCAAAGCTCGCAAGCTGATTTCTCAATTCAAGAAGCTGTAACTCGAGATCATCGATCTTATTCCAGCAAGCAGAGACATCAATTTCAACACTGAGACTCTCAACAGCCTCAGTAATCGAAATGTCGTCCGTATATGAGCATATGAAGGTTACAGCAGAGTAGATGTCATCGTACTTGAGTTGACGCTTGAAGGTATTACCCAGTAGAGACTTGGCAGTCTTATCGTCGACAGCGCGGTTGATCGGAGAGACAATCCAAAGCCCAGTGCAAGACTTTATGTAGTCCTGAGCAACAGCTGCGCGGGCGGCGTTGGAGTCTTGTATGCCGGGCAAGTCAACGATGACGGCGCCAGTAGCCAAGGCGGCGGCTTTGGTGTAGATTCGAACGACCTTAACCAAGGGCCAGAACTCCACGTCGACATTTCTTTTCAAGTGATTGTTTCTCTCTCTACTTTCGACATAGGATTGAATGTTCTTGTACAACTCCTCGGCGGTTGGTGCCATCAGCTGTTTGACGCTGCCGAGAGCTCCCTTCACAGTGGGGCATTCGACCAGTTGCTCAGGACTTCTCTTGATGATCATGTCCCTAGTCAACTTGGGGTAAACTGCTTTTATTTTCGCATAAGCGATACCCGCCTCGGTTTCCGGGTTAGTGCAAAATTGGGACATTTTGCCAGTCCCATCCAGAAGTCGAGGAATAAGATTTTCAGCTCCTTTAACCAGCAATCAACATTGATGAATTCAATGTCAGCTCGATATATTTGGGCCGGGTCGTCAGATTCGTTGTATGAAATCTCAATGGGAGAGGCAGTGCAGGCTCGCAAACAGTTGGTAGGGAGAAGTCTCTCTTCGTCGAGCAATGCGTTGAGGACGGAACTCTTCCCAGCACCCGTATTGCCTACCACGCCGATGACTGTCTTGGACGGCGTGGAAGGATCTTGAAGATCCTGTTGTTTTTGACCCATGAGGCTGCTGGGGTATCATTGGTGGATACGACGGAATTGATGGCGAACTTGATCTTGTCGAGAAGTTCCATTCCCCGTTTGACGCCATTCTCGAGGACGTCTAAAGCTGGTTCTTCCGCGAGTGCCTCCAAATTCTTCATGCCATCTTGATGAACCTCGTGCTTTTCTTCAGGAACAGGAGGATTATCTGAAGAATGGAGGCGACCGTTGTCGCCAAAGCGCTCTTTCTCCGTCGTCAAAGTTTCGAACTCAGACTTAGTCGGCTGGGAGGCGTCATCTAAAGAAATAATTAAATTGATACCCGAAGCGGTTACTTAAGTAACGTAAGGAAGCAAAATCGAAGTGTAAGATGTACGCTGAGGGCAAAAGAAGACTTACTGGCATCCGATGAGTTGGCATGTAGGCCTTCCGCCATGCCTGAAGCCATCTCTGCTGATGTGAGGTCCTCAACTTGGATAACTGCAAACGCAAGATGAGATGTTGAGAGAGAAACCTGTTGGTATATTATGATGAATAGCGACAAAGTCTCTCTGCAGCGGTTAAGCAAATAGGAAGAGACTTGGCTGATAGTTGAGGTGAAGGTGAAAGTAGAAGGTTGAAGCGGTTGAGAAGCTCGAACGGGGAGAGCGATATGGATGGGGAGGAAGGGGCAACATTGGCGACCTAAATTTAGGCAGAAAAATTCTTCAAAAGAGGTAAAAGCATATTTGTTAGTAGAATTAGGCAAGAGGTAATCAGTATGTGAGTTCAAGAGAAGGCACCGCCATTGCAACTACCGTAGCAGCTTGTAGCCTTTCTTGGGAAGGAGTATTGTTCTTTCCTGAAAGTGAAACAGGCAACAGCAGCCGCGGTTGTCTGAGAAGTACCTTATCACAGTTGCTCAATTGGCTATGTTGCTGTTGTTTTCTGTAGGTAGTTGGTATTTATTTACAGGAGCACGAAGATCGCCAGGAATTCGAGGGTAGGAAAATTCAACCAGAATGCTAACGTGAAATGTTCTTAGCGATTGCTGCTTTCCAAGCATCGAGATCGTCGCTTTCGGGGTATAGCATGATGTCTCCAGCTCCAGCTCGTCTCTTCAAATCTTCTGGCACGCAAATGAACAGCTCCCAAGATGCAGCATTAGCTTGCAACTCGCTGGGATAAATTCCTTCTACATGACTCTCAATCAGAGCTCCCCTATACGCCCGGATTTCAGGTTCGATGGCTAGCGACGTTGGCTCCTTGGCTGGCCTGGTCCTGCAGGTCAGGTGCGTCATTGGATGAAGGTCAATGTTTCTCTCACTTGCTCGCCGCTCCAAGTCTAAAGCGTAGTGGGGATTGTGGCTCATACGTGCCTGTTGGTACGTAATATAGTGCGGAGCCACATCCAAGGCGTCGTAGGTGTGCTGATAGTCGGCGGCGATGCAAGCCAAGGCAACTGAAAACACGGCGTTGGGTCTCCTGCGAACGAGTTCGCGCAGGGTTCTTTCTTGGGGTATGAGGGGGTACCAAAACATGTCAGGAACGTCGTCCTTGTCGGCCGAGTCCATGCGGATGCGGGATAAATCATTATTCATGATAAAGCGCGCGTTGATGGCTTCAAGAATGAATCGGGAGTCTGGGCCCAGGGTTGCAGGATCTTGGAGAGACCACCACTTGGCAAAGGTGGTGTTGTGATAGATGCCTCGTATGACGGCACCCCACTCATCCGCGACCATGACCGGACGTCGAAGGCGGAGGTAACGGTCCAAATTTCCTTCGTAAGCTGCCATGATAATGAGGGCATCTTTGCGTGTGGTCGGAAGGTCTTTCGGGAGTGGAGACCAGAGAAGGTATTCAAATTGTGGCGGCAGAACTTGATGGTCCATGTTACGATGGCCAGCGTGCCTCCCGCTAGGTCCAATGTCCTCTGTAATGTCAAAATAGTGAGGATCTCGCATCTCATCGCTTATTTCGCCTTCATAGTCGGTCAAGAGAGACGCACGAACAGCGGTGTCGCCGTTTAAACATGCCCCAGGATGAGGGTTCGAAATGCTGATCGTGCGCGTATAATCGTCCATGACCGCGTAGCGTACCGGGTGACTCATGATCTTGTCAAAAATTTGCCGACTGCCGCTGATGTTCGCCTCTCTTGCTTCCTCGGCGATGGATACGTCAGGCAGAAGATCAAGCTCGTCGTAGAGGGAATCGTAGCCAGCAGCAGCGCAAGCTCGCCCGACTTGGTACCTCATGTCCGGGTAGCGACGGAATAATTTGCGGTAGGTCTCCTCGCTTGCCAGCTCTTCCCATATACAGTAGGGCTTGGAGTCTTCGGTTGGCATGTCGGGTATGATTTCGTCGTACATGATAGAGGTGGCATTTGCCCTGCGAATCCATCTAGGATCCAGTGGCTCTTCGTCGGAGTCCATCTCGGAAATAGTGTGGGCAGCGTCCTGGGAAAGCGACATATTAAAGATAGAGGAGAATGTCCAGATAGGATGATTGCAAGTTTGCGATACGGATATGAATCGACAACAGATGAGGGAATAAGGTGCATATAAACCAATGAAAACAAAAGAACCCTGTATTCTAACCAACAAGAAGACAACCCTGCATTTTAACCCACGAAAACAAAAGAACCCTGCATTCTAACCAATAGGAACATAACGCTTCATTTAACCATTGGGAACAACTACTGAGTCCTCAAATCTTGAGGCCAAACCAAAGGCAGCCGCACACTTTTCAGTCTACCTTCTGCCAAGACCCCTGCTTTTGCTCGAGAGGCGGTCTCTGTGGATACGCATGCGATTACGGATACTGCCCGCAGGATGTGTGCGACACCGTTGAGCATCCTCTTACGATATCAGATGTCTCCCCGTTCACCACAGACTCTTGTGCCAGTGGTTCCGGAGTGGGGGAATTCTACGACTTATGCAAATTCTCATGCAAGCATGGCTACTGCCTCTTCCATGCCTGCAATCGCAATTCTGTGGGTGTTCTCAACTTGCTGGATCCCACCAGCACATCTCACTGCACAACCGCGTCGGGTAACGACTTCGCACTCTGCGCGTTTACTTGCTCTCACAGCTTCTGCCCGCCTGTATGTCTCTCAGGCGACCACACCAGCGAGGGTTATGATCCTGACACCGGCATATACACTGACTCCTTCGTCTTGGAGAACCTGCGTTGCTTCTCACTTCGGTTGCCATGCCCGTGTACATGCTCCAGTCGGCTGTCAAATCGATGAATGAAATCAAAAGAATTGGCGTTGAAGTTCAAAAGCGTGACCAGGAGCATCTGATCATCATGGTTCTTTTAATAGCCCTCATGGTCGTGCCTTTCATTAGCGAGGCAATGGGGGGCATGTTCACCAGCGTTGCCTGGGTAGCGCGGCTGACGCTTCTCATTGACGAGGCAGGCAACGTGGCATTGACGGCTTATGACATTGTGAATCATCCCGCTTCAGCACCAGCTGCCATCTTAGGAATGCTCGTTGGACCGATGGAATTGCCATCCAAGGGTGAGCGAGTGGCGTTCAAGCAGGCCGGCGACACACCGAGGGCGACCTGGACTTGTTCGGTACTAACTTCGTCGAAAAGGACACCAAGGTGCAAAATTTCATTACCAACACTTGCAGAAGGCGGTAGACGATAGACTGTCTCAAAGGGGGCCGACCTTTGCTTCTCACATTGTCATCTAGGGTAATGTAGCTTTTCGGCAATAGGTCTGGTCTACGTACCGTGGTAATGGTGGTATTTTTCACGTTGCTTGAGTAAATGAATGTAAGTAAAGCGGCTGCATACAAAAGGAAATATTGGTGTTGCATTTGTAAAGTACCGTACCTTAATTGCACTAGTAGTTGTTCATACGGGAAAGTCGACTTTTGTCGCTCGTAAAGACAACGTTAATAGTTAGGGGGCGTTAGTATATGGCCAGCATATATTTGAATAGTAAGCTTCGGTAACCTGTTCCTTTCAATGGTTTTGTTGCTGTAGAATGAGAGGACTCTTCCGCTACCCAACACATTCAGCTACTCTGAAGTCTAGAAATGTGCGGTTCATTTCACTTAGTCGGCGCGTGAATGTTAAGTTCTACTGCCCTGTAGCATGACTGTTAGAATTACATATAAATCTGAAGTTGATGGAACGTTTGAGCAACTGTAATGCAGTTTAAAGAGTGTCACTCAACAAATGATGGTTCAAATAGTTTTCAATCGGAAATCCATTAGTAACCAGGTAGGTAACTTCACTTTATCTTCCGCCATATCATTAAACAAGAAGCAAAATAAGTCCATTCAAGGCTCCAAGACACATGCTAAAAAAGACTCAACCAGAGGGTGCTCAAAAAGAATGCGCTGAAAACCACACAGCTGGAAGTGATCTCGGTGAGCTCGGTGTACAACGGGCAGCTGACTCGCCAACTTCCCAATCCGTCGCGAGACATTCTCCTGCCACAAATAAAAAGGGTTTGCGCATGGTTTTTCCGTTCCGCAGGTTACTTTACACTTACCGATATGACACGAGGCACTTGACAAAGCCTCACTTCACCCGAGACATCGACAACAAAAAAAAAGTCACATTCATTTGCATCGTCGCCCGTCACCCACCCCAGAGCTCACTCTCACTCAGCTCTCCACAAAACTCACCGCCACCGCCAGCCACCTCAATCTCAAATCCTGCATTCCATCATAAAAACCTCCTCTCTCTCCCCCTCTAACCGCAAACAATGGGTTTCATCGGCGCCACCGCAACGGGCCTCATGGCCGGTCTCCACGGCTACATTCTTGTCCTGGAGATGTTCCTCTGGACCTCGCCCCGCGGTCGCAAGGCTTTCCGCCTGACGGCTGACTTCGCCGAAAAGACCAAGACGCTGGCTGCCAACCAGGGCCTGTATAACGGCTTCCTGGCCGCCGGCTTGGTCTGGGGCTTGGCGCATCCCGTTGCCGAGTTTGCCGACCAGATCCGGCTCTTCTTCCTCGGCTGCATCGTCGTTGCTGGCGCCTACGGCGGCGCTACGGCGAACCCGCGCATCTTCATGATCCAGAGCGTGCCTGCTCTTGTGTCCATTGGCGCCGTTCTGTCGGGTTACTAAGCACTGGTCAGCCGTCTTCGTGGCGAGGCTGAGGGATGGAGTTGAATCATCGCGGGTGGATTGACGATAGAGGGTTCAATTGAAGGGCGGCAGGGATGTGTCTCGGGATAATCTTGTATTTCAGCTTCTGTATGTTCCTTGTGCTTGAGCGATGACTAGCATCTGGCCTGTATAAAATAGCGACGTCTGCGGTTCCTGTTTCCCGCTCGTTGTGTGTAAGGAACGTGTGACGAAACCCCATTAGAGCTCCTCTTTGTCCCCCCGCTTCCGCCTTTCCTCGGCCCTCAGCTCCTCCTGGAACTTTGCTTGTTTGACCGTCCTCTCCTGCCTCAGGCGAGATTCTTCGCGGAATGCCTCCATCTCCTTCAAGTGATCCTGCTCGTTGTACTCTTCCACAGGTTGGCTCGGATCGACCCAGTCATACGGGATACGCTCCGTGATGAGGTCCCGATAGAGGGGCTTGAACATGGGGTTTCCCGCCAACTGCTTTCCCATTACTTTCCGCCCAGCCTGTGCGAGCCCGTCATGGAATAACGTCCCCCAGACACTTCGTTCCATCTCCGGGCCAGTCTCAATTGGAGCCCATGCCATTGGCTTGGGCGGGTTTTTCTTGAGATACGCGACGGCGCGGTCTCTTCTCTTGCGGTAGGCCTTGTACTTGGCCTCAGCCTCGGCCTTTTGGGCAGGTGACAGGTCCAACTTGAATCCTTTGGACTTTTCGCTTGGGTCCAGGGCGCTTCCGCTGAGTAGCGATGGCAGGTAGGTCGTGTCGAACTTTGCTTCCCACCGCTCCGGCTTGTCCTTGGCCGAGGAAAGTGCCCACCAGTGGTTATCGAGCTTTGATATGCGGTCTTGTAAGTTGTGGGGTTCATCTGGAATCGGGCTATAGTGTCCGCCACGGTTGGCAATCGCAGATATCGTCTTGTCGATGCGCGTTTCTTGAATTATGAGCCACGTGAGGTCCTCCCTGCCTTCCAGACTCCGCAGCATGGCGGAATAGGTGTCATAGTCATCGTCCGGCAGTGATGTCGGCAGCATGCCATCCCGGAGCGTGTCTCCAATGAGAAGAATCTCTCGGAGAGTGTCATGAATTGCTGGGTCCGCAGGTAGATCTCGCCAGGGATTAGTGGCGGAGAAGTCTGCCGGAGTATCTTTGAAAAGCCCCAGTGAGCCAAGCACGGTGGGAGACAGCCACAAGACGAAGAGGACCGCCACGACGCGACTGAGCCAGCCCAGAAGCGAGCGAGTGAGTAGAGCCTGTGCCATGTTGTTAGAGTCTAACTAGTACATCTAGCTTATGCTTGATGAATTTTTGATGATATGTCGTTCAACGAAACAGGGGGGGTGGGAGGAAGCCTGTGATATTCAATGTCTGAAGTTGACTTTCAGGGGCTGTTTTAGCCATGAGATGACGCCCTAGCGACTGGCGCCGGACCCGGCTCGGCCGAGACGCCACGGTGATATCTGGTAACATGGCGATTCGACCGTTATTTTCCACAAACGGCCTAGACTTTAGATGATAGGAAAACAATAGTCACATGGAAAATAACAGGACGATGTTGTGATGAGACTCCTTTTTTGGCGAGCAATATGCATAGACACCTGACGTACCAGAGGCTCCAGAGTTCCATGCTTTGAGGAAGTCAACGGGATACCAGTATCTGTCTCCTGCACTACACCATTAACAGCGGAGATGCACGGACATGTTGTTGCTAGCAAATTAGCTGGGGATGCTCGAGTAATGCGTGTTCAAGAAAGGCGTCCGGCACACGAGGAAGTGGTGAACATGCTCAAGTGAGGGGTGGGCTTCGTCCCATTCAGGTGAGTGATCGTCGCCATCATGCACTCCCTTGCCAGCCACGGCGCCATTCAGAGGCTGCTAAGGTGCATGAAACAAGGTGTAAAAAAAAATATTAAACTCTCCCTTGAGCTTGTTCTGAAACTTTTGGCCAATGACACTTGTAGTGATAATGAGGAGGTATGCGAGTCGTGGAGGGGGGAATGGCATTGGTGTAAAACATGGGATGATGAGGAGGTCGGCAGCATACTGAGTTGAGGTGAGAATATGAGGGGATTGACTGACCATCTTAGTATGTGAGGTGTGTAAGTAGCTGTTAGAGGTTGGCTGGCTATGGGTGCTCAGTGGTGGATATGTGCTTGCACCCGAGCCCGAAAAATGAAGAAGGATAAGGAGAATGGGCTATGATGGCTAGAAGGAGTGTTGTAGACATCAGTGAGCTCTAGGGGATGACCCCTGAAGCTTAGCCGGATTTTAGCATCCCGATCCAAGTGGCATCCCAGCCCAAGCCCTGCAGCACAGCCCGATCAATTGGCATGGGGACTGGCCCTCCTAGCCTGGGGGGGAGGGGGAGAGTGGTACCTAAGTTTAGTGCGGGGTCACGTGTGACGTACCACGTGACGTGATTTTCCGTCATTGGACCAATAGAGGGTTAGGGATGCAAGCAGCTGTGAAGAAAGAAGGGTTCACACATGAGTATGATTTCTGCAAGTTTATGAAAACAAAATGAAATACAAACCGGAAATATGAGAAAAGAAACAAAACAAATTTGAATAGATAAGAACACTCATGAGATGGACATCAAAAAAGAAACAAAAAAACAAAGACTTAATATGAAATGCACACAATGACACAGAGGGTCAAGGACTCATCAACGTCATTCGGCACTGCGCTTGAAAACGTGTGGCCGGGACCGGAGAAACCCCGGATCAGTCCCCGTTAGGTCTAGCGCGGCCAAATGTTCCCACAGTTCTCCCTGGTCCACACCATCGTGGGTCTTTCCGAGCTGGCAATTTTCCTTTCAAACCTTTGATTTTTTCGACGAGACAGCTCACCCTCACCACCCTCGCACGACGACCGCATACGCTCGCGAACCGCCACCCCTCGGTCTCTCGATCAAACCCATCGTTTAGCAAGCCTTCATCAGCTATCTGTACTACGCATCACTCACCGTGTATCATCAACCTTTTGTCGCGCGCGACACAAAATCAACCCATTAACAAGAATCCCTTTCGTGCCCTTGTCCACGAAAGATCGATCAGACCAAATACCGATCCTAAAAAAAATATCCCACTCAACCTGCGCGTTGTTGCAACCCCAACTTTTGCTCAACGCCAGCAAACTTGTTTGCCCTCCCATTATTTTTTTGCGCATCAGCCATGCCTTCGAATCTACCATCGAGCTTTGCCTCGGCCGCTGCTGGCCAAAACGCCAACGCGAGAGGCGGTCGAAATGATGGACGCGGAGTAGGCAGCGGGGAATGGTGAGTGGCCGCTTGTCCCTTTACCCCCTCCTTCCTCCCAAGCGCATAGTCGCCTTGCAGTAGGAGTCTATGGCCCTGCGATCATCATGATGCTGTATCGCTTTTTCTTCCTTGCATTAGCTGCGTTCGTCGTAGCTCGGTCGGTGGAGTCTACTCCATCATTCAGCCTTGCCACAACGTCACAGCACAGCACAGCACAGCATCCCGACCTTATATCCCATCTTTGTTCAACAACCCCTCCTTCGGCATCAAAACTAATTCATGACGCAGGGCTCGACGTGACGGCAGACCTAACGGCACTCTGACTTTCCGACGATCCTCGACGACCCCCGGCCAAGCGTCCCAACCCGTAGCTTCATCCGAAAATGCGTTCGCCACGACAAACGTCGACTCCGGCGCGATTCCGCAGACCCCGGGTGCCGCCAGTTATGACTACCCGTCTTCCTCACAGTACCAGAAGGAATCAATTCTCGGATTGTTCAGAAACGGTGCGGCGGAATCGGATTCTTCCGGCGTGTTAGAACCGGGATGGACTCCGGGACACACAAACGGAAATGCTACGCGGGGTTGGGGCAAGAGCAATAATAACCATAATTCTCAAGATCCCGCAGCTTGCTGGAACACCCGCGGCGATAGCCATCCTGTAGGCGTCCTTGGTTTATCTGACGAGGAGGAAAAGGTGCGTTGGCTCCAAGGAACCAACAGCCAGCCAACCGAGACTGATATGAGACAGGCATTCGCATCCGATGTCAACTCTCCTCTGAAGCCGCCTCTTCAGAATAAGGAAGGGAACCAAGGGCCTGGACCGAATGGACGGAAAGCTTCCCTGTCGCACGGTAGCGCCGCCGGATATGGACTTTCATCTCCGGTATCTGCTTCAAGACCGGGAACCCGACGCCGCGAGACGACGGATTCCAATCCCTTTGGCGGCGGTGCTCTTGCTTCACCTAGTGCTGCACGGTTTTCCCGCGACGACCCGGCGTTCTTGTTTGGCCGCAAGAATAACGACGTGAAGGAGCAGGAGGCGGGCGACGACGAAAACCCTGGACAGGCCCAGTCCCAGTCCCAGGGCAAACCACCTTTCGGCAATCTGACTAGGAGCAACACAACCGGAAACCCCACGATGGGTGCCAACATCAGCTCTCTTTGGGGAGCTTCTTCCCAGGCACCTGCCGGTGGTAGTGGCGCCGGCGCCGGCGGCGGTGGTGGTGGTGGAATGGGCAGTTTTGGCCAGTTTGCCCTGCCGACCCCCACTTCTACGATCGGTAGCGGAGCTCGTGGTGGTAGCCGCTTTGCCAACCTAATCAACAAGGAGGGCACCGAAAGTTCCGCGAAACCGAACGAGGCATCCACCCCCGAGGCAACTCGATCCTGGCGCTCCCGCCCCCGCACCGACACCGATCCCTTTGGAGCAGACGATGGACTGTCGGGCAGTGCGGCTCTGGGTGGTGCCCAAGACACGAGCCCCCCCGCCATTCCTAACCCCAGCAACATTGGAATGTTCGAGACGCCTGTCAAGGGATCGACTGGGGACTTTGGCATGTCCGGCCTGAACCTTGGCCGCCAGGCCGAGCAGGAACCTGGTCAGCAAAGCCCTGCCGAGACAAACCCTTACCGCAGCCCGCCCGCCGATCGCGGCGAATCCCACGACGATGCCGGTGCTGATAAGCCTCTCGGTGGTGGAGTTGGTGCTGAACAGAATGCCGGCTTCAACTCTCTGTCACGTGGCTTCCCTGGTCACGCTTTCGACGGCAGTGATCGCAGCCAGACCAGCAGTGCTGGTCCTCGTGGATACACATCCGGCTGGCCACTCCCCATGTCGACGGGCACTCCTGACCGTGAGCGTGGTGGCTTCGGCGGTGTCTTTGGCAACTCACTCTTCAGCCCAATGGGCACTGAACTTCAATCTCCCGGTTTGTCGAGCATCGGAGCTGGCGTCTTTGGCCCCCCCAGCGCCGGCGGCCTTGGAGGAGCTGGAACTATTGGCAGAAGCAAGCTGGGTTCTCTCTTCCCCCCTGCTATGCAAGCTCAGATGCAGGGACACGAACAGGAGAACCTGAGCGATTCGCTGCCCGATCTGCGCCAGGCCAACCCCCTCGGCGCCATTGGCCGCAGCAACTTTGCCGCTCAGCCGCGCGACACTGGTAGTCCTCTGCGCAGTGGTCGTGGCGGCATCTTTGAGGAGATGTTCCCTTCTGACCCTACCCGCACGCACAGTGGTTTCGGTGGTGCCGACCCCTCTCACGCAGGTGTCGCAGGCGTCGCAGGTGTCGGACACCCTCAATCATTTACTCCTGGCGCCTCTGGTGCGGACTTTGGTTCGACCCAGGTTCGTCAAATGGTTATGCCCGATCGTATGAGATGGGTATACCTGGATCCCCAGGGACAGGTCCAGGGTCCTTTCAGCGGTTTGGAAATGAACGATTGGTACAAGGCCAACTTCTTTACACCTGACCTTAGGGTCAAGAAGGTTGAAGACCCCGACTTTGAGCCTCTTGGTCAGCTGATCAGGAGAATCGGTAACTCGAGAGAGCCTTTCCTGGTCCCCCAGATTGGCATTCCTCATGGGCCCCCCACTCAGGCTGGCCCTTTCTCACCTGGTGGCAGCACCGGTGTTATCCCTCCTCTCAGCGGTGTCTTCCCCAGCTTTGGCAGAACACTGACTGCAGAGGAGCAGAACAACCTCGAGCGTAGGAAGCAGGAGGAGCAGCAGGCGATGGCTCAACAGCGAGACTTTATGATGAGGCAGCAGGCTATTTCTAGACTCCAAAACCAAGGTCCTGGTGTTCCCGGTCTCCACCACCAGCACAGCGCTCACAGCCTGCAGAGCCAACCTAGCTTCGGAAGCATCTCTTCTCCTATTGGTGCTCACCCTCAACAACCTCCCATCGGTGGCGGTGTTGGGCCTACCTCTGGAGGATTCTTTGACGCTGCCATCCAGCAAAGTTCCAACCAGGCCTCCAGCGGCGCTCAGCTCGACCACTTTCGCGAGGAAGATCTCGCGACGCTGAACCCCAGCGAGCGCCAGATGCTTGCCAGTGTCCAAGCCCCTAGCAACCTTGCTTCCATGTTCACTCAGCAGCCCATCGGCGCGCCTGCAAATGAGAGCAGCCTTCGTAGCAACCTGCCCGGAACTGAGGAGCTCGAGCAGGACGAGGAGGGTTTCAGTGACCGCCTCAAGCAGTTTGAGGATCTCCGCGCTGAGCATGATTCTCAGAAGGCTCAGGAGACGGCCCAGCAGACTGTCGAAGAGAGCCCCGAACAGGAGACTCCTGCCCCGGCTCCTGCTGCCCATGCCACTCCCATCAAGGAGCAGTCCAGGTCTCCCGCCCCTGGAATGAAGGAGATTATGGAGGAAGAGCAGCAGTTGTCTCTGACCCAACAAGTCCAGAAGGCTCAAGCTGCTGCTGCCGCCGCCAAGAACGCCGCCGCCGGTCTTCCCATGCCGTTCCCTCCCCCCCTGCCCACTTCTGGAACCCCTCTCCCGGCCCCTACCGCTCAGCGCGCTCGCTCCAACCTTCCTGAGCAGTACAACCGCTCCCAGACCGGAACGCCTGACACCGGCTCCGCCACCGAGCCGCCCCCGTTGGCCCCTTGGGCTAAGGAGGCTGCCAGCCGTAAGGGTCCCAGCCTGAAGGAGATTCAGGAAGCCGAGGCCCGCAAGGCTGCCAAGGCTGAGGAGCTTGCTGCCGAGCGTCGCCGCCAGGTCCTCGAGCAGGAGGCCGCTGCTCTCCGTGAGCGCGAGAAGACTATCGTTTCTGCCACTGGCCTCCCTACCACGAGCACCTGGGGTAACGGCTCGCCAGTCGGAGCTGCCAGCCCGTGGACCAAGCCCGGTCCTGTCAAGTCGACCCCTGGCACCAGCACTCCTGGTAAGCAGAAGACGCTCGCTGATATTCAGCGCGAGGAGGAACTCCGCAAGGTGAAGGCAAAGGAGATCGCCGTCCAGACCGGCCTCGCTACCGCTGCCGCTGGCAAGCGCTATGCTGATCTTGGTCCCAAGCCCAACAACGGTGCCAGCCTTGCTCAGGCCAACTCCCCCGCCCCCCCTCCGGGAAGCGGCTGGGCTACCGTCGGAGCTGGTGGTAAGGTCAAGGTGCCTACTGGTCCTGCCGCGCAGACTCGCTCTGCCAGCACCGTTGGCGTGAAGCCCGCTCCTGTTGTCGCTACGAAGCCCACGCCCAAGCCTGTTGCTGCACCCAGTTCGCCCCCTGCCAAGACCGACGTCGCAATGGACGAGTTCAACAAGTGGCTCAATCGTGAGCTGTCCCGAGGAATCACCGGCGTTGACAGTAAGTCTGACCTAAAAGTATCCTGCCGTGAACGTAGTACTAATCGACCCTGCAGTTGACACATTTGCCTCTACTCTCCTGATTCTCCCTCTGGAAAGCACCATCATTGCCGATGCCATTTACGCCAACTCCAAGACGATGCACGGACAGCACTTTGCGGAAGAGTTTATCCGCCGCAAGAGGCTCGCCGATAAGGGTGTCGTCGAGAAGCAGGGCACCGGCGGAGACGCTAAGGCGGGCAGTTCCTCTAGCGGATGGAACGAGGTTGCCAAGAAGGGCGGTCACAAGGAGCCGTCCCCCGCGGGAGATGCGGCTATTCAGGCGGCTGGATTCAAGGTCGTTCCTACCCGTAAGAAGGCGGGCAAGAAGAACTAGAGATGTCTTTTTGATCTTGGCGGAGGAATCGTGCGACCGTAATCACGTATTTTACTAGCAGAGCGATGTTCGAGAAAGTTTGGACAGCGTTATCATGTATTTTATGATTACTGGTTTTATGACTGGCTGTCATGATGTAGCGGGCCAGTGCAAGCGATAGGGTAGCATTGTCAAAGTCTTGTGTGTTTTCATGTGCCTTTTGTGACTTTGAAGATGAGTGAGTGTATGAGATGAGGTAGGGTGAGATAAGTGGAGTTGAAGAAGTGTGATGAAGTGGCTCGGTGAGTTTATCGGTGAGCTGCTTATGTAAAAATGATAGCGGGTGAAAATTTGCCCCGCCCCCACCATGGAAATTTCGATTTCACAGGGCAGCAAAACATCACAAATCACGCCGTTTGAGTCACCCAACGGTCAGAAAAGACAAAAGTGTCTGTTATCAAAACTTATCAGCAGACTGATATCCGAATTCTCAAACCCTGCAAAATTCGTCATATTTTTTCAAGGTGAATTGTTGCAGAAATCAAGGGTATTCGACTGAAAAAAATACCCCGCCGCGGGGCAGAGACACACTATCTCGACATCTCGCATATCGCAAATCGAAATCTCTCAGTTTGCGACAACGACGACGACCAATCATGGCGGACTCGCAAACCAACAACGACCAGACGGGAGCCTCCCTGCTCTCAAGGGTCAACAATGGCGCATACATCGAGGTCCTGACGTCCTCCGTTGCCAAGGATCTCATCACCAGATTCACTTCCAGCCTCGCAGCACAGACCACTTCTGCATCAAAAGAGTCACTTTCTGAAGACGAAATCGCCGTCGGTCTTGCTGCCCTCAACGCCTTTCTGCAGTCCAACGTTACGGGACCCGTGTTGGAGGCCGTCGAGAAGGTTGAAGTGCTCTTTACTGATGCTCTATCCGCCGCAGACAGCTCGGCAGACGGCCTCAAGACACTGAGGAGACTCAGTCTGAAGGCTCTTGAGGTCGATGGTGTCTCACCCTACCCATACATCCCCAACATCGAGCTCTTCGCCCTCACCCGCTATATTTTTGCAGAATATTCTTCGGCCAGCGATGCCGTGCTCAACCTCTCTTCCACACGCCTCAGCCTTCCATGGACCCGTTTGAGAATCAATGTGTGGCATTTTAAGCTCCTCAGCCAACCTTCCCTCGGCCCTGGTTCCAACTTTGCCAAGGCGTCGCAGTGGATCGACGTCCCGACATTGGCAGAGCAGATTAACATCGGTCTCGACACCGTCCGAAAGCAGATCGTTGAAGAGGATGTCTGGTCGACGAGTGAGAACCCCTGGGGTCGCGAGGAGAAGGTGCAGTTCCTGCTCGAGGCGGCGAACACGCACATCATGCTCGGCCGCGATGACAAGGCGCGAGAGGCGCTCAAGGAGGCCGCAGAGCTCAACAAGTTTGCCTACGCGCTCTCTGGTGCGCTTGGTAAGAGGACCAAGTTCCAGGAGAAGAGCACCAGTCAGCTTGTTGTCCTGGCCAAGAGCGACACTGCACCCGAGGAAAGCTCCGGGGAGGACAACGAGGCAGAGACGAAACCCGAGGCTGTTGCGCTGAATGATGATACCCTTCTGGAGGAGATTGAGTTCTCCAAGGACGCAACTGGAAAACACGGCGAGTTGGCGGCCTCCACCTCGGGGCTTCCTGCTGCCCTGGCAAACCTTTCTCCCGACGACCAGCCGCGGCTGTCTCCTCTGGATCAGATCATCCTGTTGACCGAGGCGACGCTCAAGGATACCTTCTCACCTGTTGATACCCTGACCTCGGAGGAGGTCCTCCCTTATGCCGTGCGTGTGGTGTCGGATAAGCCGACCAACTGGCAGGTGTACACCCAAGCGCTGCTCGTCCGTTCTCGTATCGAGGTCCACCGCAGCAGAACCGTCGAGCGTGGAGTTCTTCAGATGCAGGCTGTCGTTGACCAGGTCGTCGTCGACACCTCCGAGCCTACCAAGATCAGAGCCGAAGACGTCGCCAACGAGCCCGAAGTTCCCGCCATCGCAGTCAGCGCTCCCGGTGAGGCCCCGACCACGTCCAAGGTGGAAAAGCCCACATCCTTCTTCCCTGCCGCCAAGGAAACCGAGTCGGCGCCCGCACACGTCCGTCTGCAGTACATCCACGCCCTTTCCTCGCCCCCGAGATGGCATCTGGAATCCGAATTAGCCTACTCCTGGGCCGGCGTCGGATCGCTCGTATCTGCTCTCGAGATCTTCAAGCGTCTGCGTCTGTGGGCCGAAGTCGCACTGTGCCTCGCCAGCAGCGCCGCAACCGAGGACGAAGACGGACGCGGCAGCGGAGGCGAGCAGAAGGCCAAGGCCGTCGTCCGCTGGCGTCTGTTCCACAAGACCGGCCAGCCTGTCGTGGAGAACGCCGATCCGGATGCCGAGGAGCTAGAGTCGGATGTCACCTACCTCAACCCCGCCGATTTCTCCGGACCGGAGCGCGTGCCGCCGCCGCCCAACGCGCCGAGATTGTTCTGCATTCTCGGAGACCTGGAGAACGAGCCGAAGCACTGGGAGCGCGCGTGGGAGATTTCCAAGCACCGCTTCGCGCGCGCGCAAAAGTCCCTGGGAGAGCACTACCTCCAGCAGAAGGACTGGTTAAAGGCCTTGGAATCGTACCAGCTCGCTACCAAGTGCAACCGTCTCAGCCCGGAGCTCTGGAGCAGACTGGGCGACATCAACCTCCGCATGGGCAACTTCCCGGATGCCGCGGAGGCATACAGCCGCGCCATCGGCGCTGCCGGAGAAATCGTCGGCGGAGAAGACGCGAGGACGTGGAGTAACCTCGGTTCTTCGCTTTGGAGCATGTACCTCGAGACCGTAGAGGACATGAAGAAGAAGCTGATCGAGGAGAAGAAGAACAACAAGGACGACGACGAGACGAAGAAGTCCGAGAAAGATGACGAAGACGAAGACGAGGAGCCGCAGCAGCACCAGGAGAAGACGCTCAAGGACCCCGCTACGCTGTTGTCGCAGTCTCTGGCGGCGTATAAGCGCGGCGCGACGATATCGCAGGACAACTGGCGCATCTGGGACAACGTGCTCACCCTCGCGTCGAGGATGAGGCCGGTGGCGGTGACGGACATGGTGCTTGCGATGCGGGCCATCATCCGCATCCGCAACACGGAGGACGCGCTCGACGACGACGTCCTCAGGGCGCTGCTGCAGGAGTCGCTGCTCACCAAGGACAAGACGGACGATGCCAAGAAGGAGGGCGTGTACACGCCGCCCCGCGGCACCGTCGAGAAGGCCGTCGTCGCGCTGTTCGAGGAGAGCGTCGTGCCGCTCATCACCACCCGCTCCGAACTCTGGGAGCTCATCGTGCAGCTGCGCGTGTGGAGGAGGGATTACGCCGGCGCCGTCGACGCGGCGGAGAAGGCCTGGCGCGCGGCCATGGGCGCCGGTGCCGGTGGCGGGTTGTCTGCTTCTTCTGCCGGGTCCGGCGGCGTTGATCAGAGCAAGAACTGGCTCGTTGACGCCGGCGCGTGGAAGGTCGTTGTTGCGAGGACGGACGAGCTTGTTAGTGTGCTCGAGAACTTTGGCAGCGAGGTTGAGAGCGTGGGGAGCAAGTGGAGGGGTAAGGCGAGGAATGCGGTTCGCAGTGTCATGAGCCGTGGAAAGGAGAGCTGGGAGGGCAGCGAGGAGTGGAGGATTTTGGAGGGGTTGATGGAGGGGTTGAAGTTGTAGATGATGAATCACGTTTAAAAAGAAAGATATTTAAAGAATAGAGCCAACTTGCATACACTCGCTGTTGAGTATGAGTGAAGGTGATTACTCTACGGAGGCATAACGGATGCTATAGAATTGATCAAGGCGGCTACTTGCTGCTTTCTGATTCCTACTTTAAATGTCCATTTAGCTTTTCGCTGCAATTTGCCTGGGACCCTCTTGCTCTATCATTTTCTTCATTCTTGGTTTAGCATTCTCGAAACATCGTGACTATTTCAAGAGTTCACAGAGACTTTGGGTGACAACTTGCACCAGATCTCCCGGAGCATACTCCATAGCCAATAACCTTGGAGAAGTGACCATCGCCTAGTGGGATAATCCCAGGCTAGCATCGTGACTGGACCTCGACCGTGAACATCACCAATACTCTTCGTCCATGATATGCCCCTTTCGTTGTGCACATATATTGATTCACAAACCTGTGTATTCGAGTTCCTTCAGTTGTTAAATGTAGTGCTGCCTAAAGATTTACCAGCTAACCAACCTCCAACCCTACAAACCACCAAACAACAAACTATCTACCAAGATTGTAAAATACGATGGCACAGGGATGAGGCATGGGTGTCTAGGCAGGTCGGCTAGTGCGGCGCGGCGGCGGAGACACGGACCAATCAGAGGCCGGTTCTGCCTAACAACATGGCGAGACCATCACCAGAAGTCTGGACCATGTAAGTCTCGATTCAGATATAAAAAACGGCAACTCATCTCATGAATTTCAGTTCGAAATGCAGTGCATCAGCTTCATCTTCATCATCTCATAGTGTTATTCAATTTGTCTTCTCATCTGTCTACTTAGCGTCATCACCTCCATACTAAAAATCAACATGACCGTCCAAACTCCTCTTCCCAAGCGTCAGCGCGTGACGCTCGAGGATGAACCCATGTCTGAGGGTATACTCAGAATCGAGAACTTTCACGATAGAGAGACTGTTCACCAGGTAATTGGACTCTATTTAAAGTCAACCGAATTAGACTAACAACCATTCCTCAAGCGTTGCGTTATCATCAAAGGCCTTTACACCACAGAGGTAACCCGCGGCTCTGGTAACAGCTCCTTCATAACTGTAGAGGCTACAGATGGCGCCAACTCAACCTTCCCAACTCAGACTTGGCCAGTTGTCGACAATCGTTTCAAAGTCATTGCCTTGCTCTCTCCTGGCATCAACAAGCTCTCCATCAGACGTACCATCAACAACGTCGCCGAAGACGCTACCAGCGAGTTAACGCTGAACTATGTCCCCCTGCTCCAAACTCCAGCTCTGCACCTCGCTATCATGGTTTCAAAGGACTCCCCGCTCCTCATCGACTGTCCGCCCGTCAAGTATGGACCTATCTCCTCTGCCCACTCTTCCCTCGACGCCGCAATCGCCAAGCTCCGTATGTCAGCCTACATGTGGCAGGCTCTGACTGCCGAAGACATGCGCATGAAGGGCCTCGGTCGTCGATCCTTCAGACTGGAGGAGGAATGGACCGCCGACACAACTAGCTCTTCCTTCTTAAGCAGCTTGCACGGCGCTGCCCTTGAAGAAAGCGGCGCGATGAGATCGACCGCCAAGGTCCACATTATCCAGTCCGACAAGACAACGGCAGAGATTCGCGACGAGGACGTTGCACAGCAGAACGAGTCGGGGCGCAATCGCGACAAGCTGTTCGACTACTTCCTCGCCGCACTGGGTAAGCACGGCGCACCTTTCGAGGCGTCTTCTCAGCCCATCGTCGCCGGCATGATTCTCGACTCCCATTACTCCATGGACAAGAAACTCATTCTCGGCCATGCTGCTCTCGGCTGCCACAACCCTCAGGGTATCTCCCTTGGCATGATGGGAAGTCATCTGGCGTACTCTTGGCCTCGCTTCCTGGAAGAGGTATCTTCATCTCTCCTGGACACACGTCTCCCCGGGCAAACCGTCGGAAACGACAACAACGAGTGCGACTCCCTTTGGGAAGCCTGCTCCATCGGCCAGGGCGCTTTCCTGCATGAAGTCGGACACGCGTTTGGCGCACCACACACAACGGGCATCATGGCCCGTGGCTACTCGCGCTGCTGGCCGCGTAACTTTGTCGTGCAGACGGCCTACTCCCAGCACTTCAAAGAGCAGGGTATCGTCGTGGTCGACGGAGAAACGGAAAACCAGGCACGTTGGGATTTGAAGGACGCACTATCTTTCAAAATGTTGAGTCACTTCTGGCTACCTGGCGATGTGAAATTCCCAGCCTCTGCTCGCTCGAGTGCTCCGATAGTTTCGGTTGTCAATATCGACACGGACGATGCCGGCATCGAGATAGCATGCGCTGCCAGTGTAGCTAGCATCGAGTTCAACGGCGACGCCGAGCCTACTCCCACTGTCGCCGAGCCACGCAACAAGGTCTTTTACAGCCTCAAGACACTTGAGTCCCGCTTCTCTCGAGAAGATGATTTGAAGCTTGCTGTCGTCGGTATGAACGGCAAGAGCAAGACTATCGGAAACCTATGGAAAATCTTTGATTTGACAACCGTTCGCATTCCTGGCTCGAGTATCGTTCTCTCAAAGCGCTCAGTCATGACAAAGGACCTTGAAGCGTCAGAAGGTGTCGAATCAGCAGATGATCGCCTTTGGACCTGGTCCACTCTCCTCACGAAGAAGAAGAAAGACGGCTCAATCGTACATGCGTCCAGCATTGATGTCCGAACGGGATGCATTCTTGACGGTGCATATGTGCATTTCCCGGATGGCAAACGCATCAACTGCGGCCCGAGGGTTTGTTCTTACAGTGGTCGTAAGCACGAATTCGGCGGACATGCGTCGGAGGATGTACCCGTGCCCAAGGGACAGGAAATTGTCAAGATTGAGGTTGCGAGGGAGGATCACGTCCTTTCTGGTATGAGGATTCACTTCAGCAACGGCAAGTCTGGCGGTGCTCTGTCCGGGTATGGTGACGGTAACGAAGAGGAGACTTTATCTCTGGGTAGGTGATGCGAAAAACTGCGCGGCAGTGAGACATTTGCTGACGATGAACAGAGGTGCAATCGAACGAGCGCATTATCGGCTTCTACGGTCGGAGTTGGTGGGGCCGCCATTTTGACGGACTCGTGGAGTTTGGCATCATTACTGCGCCAAAGGACGTAGAGCTTCCCGAGAAGATTTACAGCATGAAGGAGCTGCAGAATACTGATGGTGGAAGAGAGGTAATTACCAAATCCATTGAGAAGCGGCTACATACTGACTTGAACCAGAGTCATGAACTTCAGAAGAACAGGTCTAATGATGAGTCTGATGATGGAAGTGATGAAGAACGCGAGGATGAGGATGATGACATGAACTAGGAGAACGAGAGGAGCAGAAACTATGACACCTAAAACACGGTATCAGGTGTTCGTAAGGATAAGAGCGTTCATCTTCAGAATAGGGTTTGCCGAGGATAATTGGAATTTTTGGAGTGTCTTGCATCGAGTAGTGCATTATGGGAAATTCTTTACATAGTATGAAGCTTATTGAGGCTTATCTAGAGGTTGTTCATTATTATGCGTTAGGAATCTAATATTTCTGGTGTATTTCAGGGATTGAAAAATCATCATGTTGAAACCAACCTGCTGATGCGGATCAACTCTCTAGCCTCATTCCGCACCTGTTATAGGCCGTCCTATAGGCGGTAGTTACCGAGTTTGTATGAGCACATGAAGAGAGTCTGTGTTGCAATGAATTATCCAGAAAGAACAAATACCGAGAAATCAACCTTGCCCATTTAGCCTATCTCCGATTGATTGAAAATGACACGAGCAACCGATTCCAGACAGCAAGCGGGGACTACATTCGCCCACCATAAGCGCCATGGCGGCACAGCTCAGAAACCTCTTCGTCGCTACCCTTAACAGAGGCCTTGGCCGTGCCTAGGCTGACTGCTCAGCCACAATGGGACGTTTGCTGCTGCGACCCCTAGACGCTCGCTTACGCCCAATGACCTTCTATTTTGTTGCTAGGCTCTTAAGCCCTCTAATTTTGCAGTAAATAAAAACCCCATGGGCAGGCGAGGAATGGAAGAAGTTCCCACCTAACTAAGCTTAATATCCATACTTTGTCTAACGTTCCGTCTAGTTCCGCCTTCCGCCGTCCAACTTGGCATGATGAAGCCGATCGCTGCATTCCTTTTACTGGGCTCGCCAGCGATGGCCCAGATTATCAAAGAGGACTGGACAGGGCCCATGGCTATCCTTGGCGGATCCATTCCTTATGGACTTGAGGGCCGCTCAGCCGACGTTGTAAAAGATGCCGTCACCCGCCCCAACACAACGAATTCACAAGAGTTCTCTTTGCTTTTCGACAAGACGGACACTGACTGGACATGGCGTAAGGATCTGCTTCCTAGCTGACAAAGCCGAGCTCATCAGACGTGGCTGACCGCATTCCTCATTTTGTAGGCATTAACGTCACCGATATCGCGCTTCCCCATCTAGAGGGCCAATTAGAGGGTGACCTTGAGAGCATTGTCAATCCTCATCTCATCAGTATATCCTACGACTTTGAATGGCCTGGGGGTGGTAATATGTCTCAAGCAATGGGAGACTTCACAGGTTCCTTTTGCGTCACTTCAATCGTGAGCCCCATATCCCCATACGGCGACAATGGCCTTCCGACTACAGATGGAGGCAACGGCAACGGTTGCGAGTCGGTCTTGGGGCCAGATTGCGTTAAAGCAATCCTTAAAGGGTCAAACAGCAAATCTTCGAACGAATGTGTGGATCCGAGCTTGGAGTGGCACCGTATCCCCGAGTGCAACAGCGCGTTGGACTTGCAACTTTATTCAATGTCCACTTTCGATGTTCACGGGAAAATCGATGGCAGCTTCTACACCGCACTCCGAGACGGCAGCGCCAACACTACACGCTACAGTGGTAGCGGCTTCTACGGACGTAGCACCGGTGTCGTAAATGGATCGGAGGCACCTGGAATGTACGCCGAGTTTTATGACCAGCTTCATGTCATGATGGTTGGTTATGCCCACGAAGGTAAGAATAATACACAGCTTCTTTGCATGCGGCCGAATGGGACAACGTCTTCTGATGAAGAGCCCACGCCTACGGGAACCTCCACTGGGACCACGGCGGGCCCAGCAAGCCCAACCGGCACGTCTGCTGCCCTTTACTCTACTCGGATGAGTTGGAGTGTAGTTGGTATATCTGGTGCTGTGTTTTTGGCCATGGTTATCTGAGAATGATGGTTTTCTTAACCGCACTCTTTTAAGCATGGATGAACTGCGTAGATTTAACGCTTCAAGAATGTGAAGGGCGTCTGGTTTTCAGATTAGCGACGAGAATCTTGTAATTGTACTCATTTGTATTCTTCAGCTATATGATGGCCATGTGAATCAGGTACTCTTGGACTATTACATTGTGAATATGGAAGATGGGGTTTCATTAGATAGGAAATCATGTATTCCTCTCTAATTCGCGTAACAGGAAGCTCCTCTTTAGTTCATTCCAGTCGACTAGAAAATCCAATGTTCCGTCTTGTACGAGACTATTTGGAAACATTAAAACGTAGGATTAGTTGAGAACAAGAGCATGACATTCTCAACATAGTGGGTGCACCTGCGCCAAAAAAAAAAAAAAAAAGGTTGGTAATATGCCTTTAGAAGCCGGTTGGGCCCCTAGTCTCGTATTCATTGGGCATCTACACAGTCGTAAAGCGCCCGAACAGTGAGCTTCTATTGTGCGAGCTTCCGTAAACGGTTAAATTACAATTGTCTTGAAGATTTATCCAAGGTTATCCTTTAGATGCTGTCGAGATAAGCCACATTTGGAGCACCGGCAATTGTGGATCCAGTTTTGGCACCCTTTATATGCCAAATACCTTCTTTCTAGCTCGTTCTCTCCCCGAAATAAGGAGTACCAAGCCCGTGAGCTACTCATACTTTTTGTTTTTGACCAAGTTATGATTTATCATGCTAGAAATAGTGTATGGTAGTAAACTCTGAATCCTGGCCATCTTGTTGGCGACTGTATTTCGGTCTACGTCTATTGCCTGAGAAGTTAATCAGCCACTGTGTCCGCCTCTTCACCGCGATCGACGGCAACAGTTCCATTCTTTTTCCCTCGTCTTTCGAGAAACGCAATTAACAAGATCACCGGAACGGTCAAAGCGCCTGTAACCAAGCTGGCGATATAGCCTTTTCGGTAGTTTGGTGCGTCCGTCACCGGAAAGAAGATCAATGGCCACCAGGTCTGTTTTCATTAGTGACTGAAATTTCAGCATTATCGGGCTACTGAGCCACTCACGACAAAGGCAAAATCAAACGAGTTCATGAATCCTGTCGTGATTGCCCGCAGTTGTAAATCATGGGCCGTCAGGTCTGCCATCCACGAGTACCAAAGCGCCTGCGGTGCATAAGTAGTGCCCATCAGGTAGAAGGCGAAAAAGTAGCCGGCATCTGGGGGATCCGAAATCAAAATGGCGCTACTGATGATGAAAGTGAATCCAATGCACAGAGACGCCTGCCAACGAGAGCGAAGTTTGTCGGAAACTGCGCAATAAATGAAAGTTGCAACTATTCCCGTCGCGTAGGTTGCAGTCGGGTAATTGTTCTGCTGGATGACGCTATAGCCACGGGATGCCATCCAAAGAGGAATGACGTTGTTACCAATGGTTTGAACACTGAGGGAATACACTGTTCATGCACATTAGTATCATCTCATGGTTTACTCTCTGAAAGCAGCCTTACGCATGAAAACAGTTGGGAGGAGCCAGAATTGCCAGCTCAGGAGAACACGTCGAAATACGCTCAGGTCCCAGTCCTTTGTCTTTGTTCGTCCAAGGCGACTCACAGCCAGATCCCTCTCTTCGGGAGTGAGAAATCTGGCTGTGCGGTGCTCTGGTAAATCTGGGATAGCAAACCAGCCTTCAAAATGTCAGTCTGCCATGTTCCACAACAACGATGCGCAGGTACTTACCAAAACCAGCAAATGGAATAGTGACGCAGGATACAACCACGAATATGAGTCTCCATGGGGCGATTGGTCCGTCTGATAATGAGGCTAGGAGTCCAGCCTGGATCCAACCTCCTGCCATGTTGCCAAGATTACCAAAGGCGCAGAAGACTGCTGCGCGTGTCGCAAGTTCGGACTGTTTAAACCATGACCCGAGAATGAAATGCGCGCCGACGCTGAGATATGTTGTGAGTTTTCTGTGATTCTCTAAGGCTCTGATGCCAACTTACTAAACGATAGCTGAAAAGGCACCTTCAAATCCATTGAGAATAAAGATTTGGTATACGTGGGATACGCGAAATGTGATCAGGGTGAGGACGCTCCAGATAGTGTTCGCCGCAACAAATACGTATCGGGGTTTAACGACAGTTAATAAGGAAGTTGACGGAATTTGGAACACCGCATATGTGACTAGATAAATTGTGTGCATGTAATTAAAGTCCTACGAATGGCGATGTTAGAGGGGTGTCACAAATGCGCCCGTCCAGCCGACTTTTGATCCGTTTCAAGGAGCTGCTTACCTTGCCTTGGAAATTGAGCTCCTCCTTCATGCCGCTAATGTATGCTGTGTTGTAGCTTGCGCGATTGATGCCGAACAGGAACCAAACAACTGAGAAGTAGATGAGAACGGTGAAATCTAGCTTGATAAGCAGCGAGCGCTGGACCGATGGCGGGCCCCAGAGGGCGGTTTTGATATTTGTCGCCATGCCGGAGACAGTACGCGACGACGACCTTGAGCCAGGAAGCAATGGCGACGCCTCCGAAGTTGCGTCCGCCATTTTTATCGATGTGCGGCCGCTTGTGATTCCATAAATGGTTCAAGGTTCCACAGGTTACGATGTCGTCTTGAGGGGTTGCGGATTTCGCCATCGTAAGCACGTGCGGCAGATCAACCAAGGCCTGCTTGGTTCACCTAATGGACCCCGCTTACGCCTAATTGAGCGACACTTAACACAAGCTTGATTACGGAGTAGATGGACGAACAAAGGAAAGTTCAGTCCTTATTTTCCCACTCCAACCACGCAGTTTTGACGATCAGTCTATGCAATTTTTCAATATTCCCCCCGCCTCGCAGTAAGGTAGAATAAGCAATTTGGACGAAGTTCTCTTCACAAAAAAGGCCATAAGTTGTCATTTAGAGAACATCATATGCAAAACTGACTAAAACGGATAGATGCGGCTTCCAGTTTTCCATTGCAGAGAATTAGATATCCGTTACAAACGGTGATTTCAACCCCCTGGACTTACTATAAAAGTTTGGAAGACACTGAATGTAAGATTTTGGCTCTGACGGTTTCCTTTTTTTTTGCATCGCCTCCAATCCCTGGTCTTTGCAGCTTTCCCAAGGAAAAGATGCAACAAAGACTGACCAATTGGATGAAGCTTTTCTAAGGAAGCATCTCATGGAACCCCTCAGCCATATTTAATAGACTCTACTCCGTTTCGTTATTGGTTTGTGAGTAATTTATCATCAGGAACAGACCAATCGGAAGACGTTCATTATCGAGACCTCCCGTTGACAAAAAAATGTTAGACACTCCTTTTGGTTTCTTTAGGTGAAGGGCTCGTCTTATGCTTGCAGACATCATGGTGTGGTGTTGCATCGTCCCAGGTTCCAAAATCATTCTCGGAGCTTGCAGGTAAACCCAACTCAAACTTATTTCCACGCCAAATGGTATTTATTATGCTAGGAATTAGAAGAAACGTTATCTAAAATCCCTGCTTCTTCACCTGATCAGCGGCTTCTTGCAGAGTAAGCTGCGCATTAGGATCTTGGAAGCCGCATCCAGTCTTGCCCTTCTGGAACTCAACACCACCGCCCTTACCAGAGCACACACCAACTCCGGCACGACCAGTGCTGCCGCTGACGGCACCTCCAGCGCAGCAACCGCTTCCGCAGTCCGCGTCATTGATGCAGCCGCCTGTGGATTAAGTCTTCCGTTAGCCATGTGATATTTCGACAAGACTGAGGAAGCATGTAGTGGTACTCACCGACGGTAAATTGGCCGCCATTTCCCTTGCCAATAGCGTTTGCGCCAGCGTTGACAGTTGTCACTTTACCCGAGTTTTGGTTTTGACGGGCAGAAATAAGGCTCGACTCGCTAAAAAAGGAGCCTGGCGCAGCCAGAGCGGTAGAGAAGGAGACTATCGATCACGAAAATTTAGCACAATGTCTAAAAGCTTTCTGGCACTGGGAGTTTCTAACCGGCAAGAAGAGCCGCAACGCAGTTGATGCGAACCATTTTGACTGGTGGGGAAAAAAAAAAAAAGATTAAAGCGACGCCAGGTCGATAATGAATGGAACTTCAAGGAGAAGAAAAAGAGTGGTAGTTGGGAAATGATAGAGGCAAAAGTCAGACTTGATTCAGCTGATGGCGACCATTATATATGCGTCAACAGACTTGACAACATTATTCTTAGCGTAGCTGAGTTGGGACGACTGAGTCTCGTCTCGTCTCATGAGCTTCGACAAGTGGGTTATTATGGGGGGTTTTTGCCAGTGAAACCTGACATCAGACGAGTCTCAGCTTTGCCGTACGACACATACCGGGGTCAAGAAAATTCGGCAAACGCTTACGGACAGAAATTTCATATTACGTCGTCAGGGGGGGGGGGGGGTTTCGGTGCCAGGTATCGATTCCCTATGATCATCCCGCACACGGGTATATCGGCTCGTTTCTGGCTAGGTGGTCCTTGGTTCGCTGCAAAGCGGGTGGCAGAAGAGAGGTATACTGATCGAATGCAGGTAGACCTGCTGGGAAATCACTGGCTTGGCTGCGCACATATGAGAATCATTAATGGCCTCAATTGTCCATCTCGTCGATCGACGTCCTTGTTCGTCCCGTCTCTAGTCTTATCAGACCAGCTGCGCGATAATGATTTCCTAGTGATCTACTTAACTTAGCCCCATAGTTTATGTTGATGGGTGAATGGGATGAATGCTTGTGACGTTGTCTCCGACAGTGGAGTGTTAAGGCTTAGGCTAGGGGGTCAAGCTGTTCCACAAGTCAGTGACTGAGGGACAAGTCAGATGATTAAGACGCCTCCTTGATGCTCAGTCATGCAACACCAACGCACAAGGACAAGGCGGGATGGAACAACACCTTCAAGAAGCATATTCATCATTGAGTGTGTGTGTGTAGAGTTCAGTCGCTGTCAGGCAATTGAGCGAAGTAGTCCGAGCAGGGATAAAGCTCAATCAATGCCATCCATGGAAGACGCCAGGATCAGTCACGGAGTAGGTTGGATTTTACCTTTGGCACCCACCCCTCCGTCACTTCGTGGGCAAAACACAACATAAGATGAGAGGAAAATTTGTGAAGGAAGTCCTTGCTTATCCTAGATAATTCGTATGGGTCAGGAACCAAAGGAATCCATCTCAAAGAAGATTCAAGGATAGCCAAAAGGGTGCAAAAGTTAATTTGGTTCAAAAGTTGAATGTGATAATGATCTTTGCAGTGTCGCGTGGACATTAAATCCACCTCACGGCCACCAAAATAAAAGAGACTCGCTACTCATGATCAGCGCAAAACCAAACCAAAAATAGTTCGTGGTAACTGAAGATGTTATAAAAGATGTACCGGTGAAACCACTGCGTTAATTATCGCGGCAACCCACAAACTCCCCAGGCGTGTCATTGTAGTGGAGACATTACAAGGCGTCTAAACAGGGACTCATACATTGGAACCTACCGGATTATAGAAAGTACTGGAGCCTAAGTCTGACTAGAATAACCTTGTAAAATAAAATCGTTGCAATAGAGATACAACCGTTGGAAGAACTATCAACTTCCCCAGGGCTTGGTGAGCGGGAGTTGAACAAACTTGATTCTTTTCCCAACTGAAACTGCTCGCATCCATGTCCTAACAAGAGTTTACACACCTTCAACCCAGTTCGACGGCTCGCCTCTCGGAGGCCTGGGAGTTCCATAGACTGGCCACCATTTAGAATCTCTGAACCCATTTAAAAATTCATGGCTGTCGGCAGTCCTGTAGCCTCTCCCGCATGTATCCCACTGCCACTGCGCCGCATCGTACCAATCTTCAACAGATTTGCAGTGTTTGACTTTGCACGAGTCCAAATTTTCGCCAAACTTGCGCCACCAATCGTTCCGGCGGATACCGGTCATTTCGCACCATTCCCACCCTTGGCTTGGAAATTGCCATCTATCGGCCTCGTTAGTCGGTTTGTTTTCTTCGATGCAGAATTGCACACATTGAGGGAGTTTGTAAAATTCAACTCTCTTTGGTGCTCCTGCTGATACTTTAAGGGCAAATAGCAGCGATGCGAAAAATAGACATCTGGATCTCATCTTTACTGTAATGCGCGGATGTGATGTTGTGGTTGAAACACTTTTGCAATATTGCTGTAAAATAATGTGGAGATTGAACTTTGACTGCCGGTATCGATTCAAGTTTCAATTTGATTGGGAGATAGTAGTAGGATTTTTGTTTCTAAGCTAGACGTTTTCTCCGATTTGGGTGATGATTTGGGCCGTACCAAGGCAGATCATGAGCCTGATCAAAAACTCATTCAAACAACTAGTTCCACGTGACCAAGTCAAGCCTGACTGAAATACAATATCTTTACGTTTGGTCCTTTGATGGTTGCTAGCTAAGCTTCTTCGAGAATTCGTCAACAATCAAGTCAAGCCACGTTTTCCGCGGTCTACCTGGTCCACAGATTATCTTGATTCAATTCGATCTGCTGAACTATATAGCCATAATCCCTCTAAGGCGATGGCTTGTTAATCAAAGTCATTTTGAGCTCATTTGACTGATCGTGCATGTATACAATCTTATTTCCGATTTCCTATGAGTCCTGAACTTTTATTGCCACTAAAAAAAGGCTTTGTGGCACAGTGGGCATACATCGTCCCTGGCAGGCAAAAAGGCGCTTACGGTTACTCTTTTAGGCTGAATCGCAATTTTTATCGTTTGACTTGAGGTATTGTTGTCTTGTTGGACTCTCCAGTCAAAGGTTATAAGGAACGGGCAAGTAGAATGAGCCAGTACTCTTGATTGGTAAAACTTGTGGTTTTGTTAAACATGGTCAAGTAAGCATTTTATACGCTGGGAACTATATGCCGCAATTCGATTGTAGGTAACAGAATACGCGACCAACGCGTTGTGACCAAACATGTAAATAGCACAAGAGGCTGCCTCCTCACAAGTCACCTTATGGTTGTACTCTTCCTTGCCCGCTGAATCCTTCTTCAGTGCCGCAGATAGACCTCGAGCAGTCCCACAAGGCCGTCAAGACGAAAACTTCGAACTTCGTACCTCTCATCCGCCTGCCTCAAAAGAGCCTCAAATTCTTTCTGAGTTCTCAGCTTACCGCCAAAGCCTACCATCATGATGAGGTCAATCTGACGCAAGCCGCGCTCCATGCTACGAGACAGAGTTTCCTGAGGGGGCAAAATGAGGTCGTTAATGAGCAGTGGTGTGTTCGGTTTGGAGCGCTCAAGCCCTGGCACTAGGGCGCGAAGCATAGTGACAACGTCCCGGTCGCACCAGTTGAGCGCACACGCACGCAGTATATAAGCTGCGGCGTCGACGACGGGCTGTGGCTCAAAAAAGCTATGTTGCATGAAGGAAACACGGTCTCGGATATCATCAGTAAGGAGAGACTTGCCTGCCGCATACATGTCGATAGAGTCTTGCACAATGAAGTTCAAATTAGGAAAGTTCTGCGGATATTTACTCTGTCAATCACACCGTCCGACATTGGAAGGATGGTGCGAAGGTCGACTTACCTGGGCCAAGGTAATGGATACCTTGCCGCTACCGCCGCCAACATCGACGACTGTGCCCTTCAAGTTTCCCCATGGGAATGAGTCTTTCAGAACGTTGATATTTAAGTTTACTGGATAAAGTCAGCCAAAATTGAGACCCCTTGAGAAAGAAAAGCAAACTTTAGAATAAAAGAAAGAAAAGGTGAGCATTACACTTCGCCCAACCGGCCATTGCCTTGGCAAATCGAAGTGAACGCTGGGGATCTTTCTCATAGTAATCAAAGATTGGAAGGCCGTGGCGCGTTGAGAATGGTGTGAGGGCACTGTCATAAGCATCCGGAGACGCCCTGACGTTATCGGCGGTAGATGAAGCTGCCTTAAGCATCTCATCGGTCCTGATGTCGTAGAGTTCAGTCACAAGCGATGCAAAGTTACGAAAAGATCCCGGTTTACGGACAAAATGTAAATACTTACGTGTACTGTAACGTAGACCGTATCTCTTCGTCTTTGTAAAGAAGGTAGGAACTGGGGTTGTGTGAAATGTAACCAGGAGTAGGTTCTTTGAAAATGGATTCCGTAACTAGCAAGCGAACAACGCGAGAGGTTCTGTCAAGGTCAACACCGGACCTTTTGGCGAGTTCTTCCAGAGAAATTTGTCCTTCTGCAGGAACAAGGGTGAAGAAGTTGAACTCGAGAGCCACTTGAATACCAGCAAGCTCATACCCCTGGCAGCAAAGGGCACGAAAGTGCATCTTTGGGCCCTCAACTAAGTATTTCAAGTCTTCTAGAGATCTTTTCAGACCATCATGAAGCGTCAAATACTCGAGCGTCTCAGGGCGATCAATGGACTCCACTGCAAAGGTGGGGGAGGGGTAACTGTTCAAGCGTAGATATTCCACGATGTCCTGCGTCTGCTGCAAGATGCTGTTGGCGAGAGCCAGCAAATTGCCCCCATCACTGCACTCAGACGAACTGCCGTTAGTAGGGATGTTGGGCATGATGTGGTCTGTGAGTAATTAAAAGGTAGCGTATGTGAAGTACTGGTTATATGTAGCGAAAGGTCTTGAAGGCACAGGTGTAACGAGCTTATTTATGCTAACTGTAGTTACCACGTTGAACTACCCTGCTGGTCCTTTTACCGGCCGATTTTATCAATTTCTAAAATGCTCCCTCTTTCAGTCGTTGCGACCTCTGCAATTCGTTACGTACGTGATTCAGCGATAAGGACTAGCCCGATCATACCCGGCCCGGCCCGTAGTTTGTTCTTTTCACAGTTGGTGTTGTAGGGTCTGTTGGACCGGCTGCGGGTTTCCCCATGTTTCACTGCATATGAAATACGACAGACGGTTGGGAGTGATGCAAACAAGACTTGGAAGGTGGGGTACAGCATCAAAATAGCACATCAGGCCACACAAGCACAGCAGCAAACATCAACAAGCCAGTTGGAGGTTAACACGTAGTTCCACTGTTATGTCCTGCAGGATTGCTAATGCTGATATGCTTTGATTACTGCAGCTCATCGGATAATAGCAACATCAACATCTCGATTTACGGCGACTGCAGCAGAAACAGGGTCGTTGATGAACTGGGGGCATAATATTTCATGTCTTCAAATGTTCTCTGCTTCCGCAACAGGAAGTTGCTCGGTAAATCAAAACAGACAACACAAGTTCCTGAAATTAATAGCTACGTTCACGCAATTGGACCTAGATGGACATTGACATTGCCAGTTTCGATATGCTGCCAATATGCAAGTACAAGTGCATGGAGACAACACCCAAATACATGTATATAAGACGGAATATTTCTGTCTGGCAGCAGCAAAAGGCTCAACAAGCAGGATAATCACACAGTCAGCCTTGCCCTCAAGTATTATTTGACCATCGTCAGTTTAACGAACATCAACAGGTACAGTTTCTACGCCAGAACTTCTCGAGTAAGCCGTCTTGTGAGACGCTGACCATGATCTACTTATTTAGAATCGAAGTAAAACACCAAAGACACAGCAAATATGCCTCAAACAAAAAAGCCAGAGCCTATCGCTATCGTAGGAATGGGCAAGTCACTTCAATGATTACACGCCGTCGTAGTAACTGGCTAATGCTGCCCTCACAGGATGTCGTTGGGCTGGGGGAGTCCGTGATGTGCCAGGTTTATGGGAGTTTTTGACGAACAACCGCTCTGAATACAAAGACTGGGCAGAGCCTCGCTTCTCCGTCAACGGATTCTACCATCCAAACCCCGATCGCCCGGGCACTACAGCTGCTAAAGGCGGATACCTGACTGATGACCCACGGCTTTTTGACCCCGCGTTTTTCGGTATCTCGGGCCTTGAAGCAGAGACCATTGACCCCTCACAACGAAAACTTCTGGAAGTGGTTTATGAGGCATTTGAAAGCGCAGGAGAGACGTGGGAGAGTGTCAACGGAACTCGAACTGGCGTCTACGTTGCCGATATATCGTATGACAACGCGTACGCGCAGACACGAGACTTCGATTATGCTCGACCCCACGCCACTACAGGAGTTAGTCATAACATGCTAAGCAACCGCATCAACTATGTTTTCAATCTGTCTGGTCCGAGGTGAGGAGAAACCTGTCCAGTCAAACCCCTGTTCATTAGCCTCAAGCTAACGACGGTCTGTTGGACCAGTGTCACAATTGACAGCGCCTGCACCTCCTCTTTGTATGGCCTGCATATTGCCATGCAGGCCATCCGGGATGGAGATTGTGATTCTGCAATTGTAGCCACATCCAATTGGATTATGGACCCATCTATGCAGATTGCCATGGACAAACTCGGCGCTCTATCGGCTACTTCTATGAGCCACGCCTTTGACGCTGCAGCCGACGGGTATGCTAGAGGCGAGGGCTTTGCTGCTATTTATTTGAAAACCCCGGAAAAGGCCATGCAAGATGGATCCCCCATTCGTGCCCTGGTAAGAGGTAGCGCCATTGGTGCCAATGGCCGCTCGAGCGGTATCACTCATCCCAGCGGTTCAGCACAAGAGGACATTATTCGCAAAGCATACGCCAACGCTGGCGGGCTACTACCCTCCAACACCCCATTTCTCGAATGCCACGGGACTGGAACCCGGGTTGGAGATCCCCTTGAGGTAGAGGCGGCTGGCAATGTATTTGGGCTGGGCCGCTCCGATGACCCAGACGACCGTCTACTCATCGGGTCAGTCAAGACGAATCTGGGACACACTGAGGGTGCTGCAGCACTTGCCAGTATCTTCAAGGTGGTTCTTGCCCTGGAGGCCGGGATGATTCCACCGAGTGTCGGTGTCAAGACACTGAACCCTAAGATCGACTTTGACAAAGCCAAAGCCAAGGTCGTGACAGAGCTTATGCCTTGGCCCAAAGGAAAGCCAAGGCGAGCTAGCGTTACTTCTGCTGGCTTTGGAGGCTCTATTGGGCACTGCATTATTGACCATGTCAACGTTGTATACCCTGAATACACCAAGCCGGACTTTATAGTCCATAAGGCTTCAGTGTTTGCAAATGGCACACAAAGCATGGACATTACTAACGAACCCACCAGGCTTCCGCATGTTAATGCAGATGCTAGATTTCCCGAGACTCAGCATCAGAATGGCTTTGCGACAAATCACCACCCTACACTCCTCTGTGAACCACGGACAGTTGGGAAGGCTGATGCTGTCACTCGCAAATTCGTTCTACTTCCCTTCTCGGCCCATAATGATACCTCACTCAAAGCCAATATTGCCATACTCTCACACGACATTGGACGCCATTCACTAGCAGATGTTGCATACACTCTTGCAGCCCGACGTTCCAAGCTACCTCGGCGGACCTTCCGCATCGTGGATCATGAGAACAGTGGCAGGGAACTTGTGGAAGACGTACAACAGATCTTCACAAGCCCATCTGAGGATGCTCGTCTTGGCTTCGTTTTCACTGGCCAAGGCGCACAATGGCATGCGATGGGTGCCCAGCTTCTTGAGTATAAGGCTTTTCGCGCCACTATCAAGCACTTGGATCAGGTTCTAGTAATACTTCCGGGAAAACCTCCCGCCTGGACTCTGATCGATGTTCTTTCCGGAAACTACAACGCAGAACATGTCCAGATGCCCGAGATTTCGCAACCAGCATGCACAGCCGTTCAAATAGGACTGGTAGATCTGCTTGCAACATGGTCTATTCGGCCCTCAGGTGTCATCGGGCACTCCTCCGGCGAGATTGCTGCAGCATATGCCGGAGGCTTCATAACTGCGGCTGAAGCAATCGCAGCAGCTTACTTGCGTGGGCATGCTGTCTCTCGAAACAAGCGGAGAGGTGCCATGTTGGCAGTTGGCCTAAGTATTGAAGAGACCCACATATACCTCAAGGGTTTGGAACAAGACATCAAAATCGCCGCCTATAACTCGCCGGGCAGTCTCACTTTATCTGGCGATCAAGACTCAATTGAGGTGCTCGCCGCAACCCTAACTTCGGATGGCGTCTTTAACCGACTACTAAAAACAGGTGGGAATGCTTATCACTCACACCATATGGGTGCAATAGGGGAAAATTACGAAGCGCTGCTTACAGCTGGGTTCGACCATCTCAAGAAGCTCGGGTTACGCGATCAACGCCATCGATACCCTCTCACCCATTGGACTTCATCTGTCACTCCAAATAAGAAAATGACTGCCGAAGAGTTGCGCCCATCCTACTGGAGAGCTAATCTTGAGTCGGCAGTTCGTTTCACAGAAGCAATCACCAGTCTGTTAGAACAAGAAGACCAGGGTGTTGGAGCATTCCTCGAGATTGGACCGCACACCGCGCTGAAGAGTCCCCTAAACCAAATAAATAAAGGCATCGGAAGAGCGCTTCCGTACGTTGGTTCTCTGAAAAGAGATGAGGATAACCGCATGTCCTTGTTGAATCTCGCTGGAAACCTATTCTGCCTTAACACGAAGATCAACCTTGCCGCGGTCAACGCAACAGACGACAATGATACAGAGGCTCAACAGACACTCATTCATGGTGTCACTGCTAAAGATCTACCGCCATATCAGTATACATACGGTCCAATCAGCTATTTCGAGAGTAGGCTAAGCAAAGAGTTCCGCTTGCGCAAAGTTCCCAGGCATGACCTCACAGGATCTAAGTTGGCAGGTAGTGCAAAGCTCCGTCCGCAGTTTCGTAACATCTTGCGTTTGAAGGATCTTCCATGGTTGGGCGAACACCGACTGCTTCCAGATGCCGTTTTCCCGGCAGCTGGATACATGTGCATGGCCATGGTTGCAGCATCACAGGTTTACGACGAGTTTCCGAACGCTCTCTCAGTATCGGGCTACTCTCTGCGCAACGTGGATATCAAAACTGCTTTGAAGATTCCTGAGGATCAGTACGGCATTGAGATCATGCTTAGCTTGGAACTCACCGATACAGAAACAGCAAAGAAACCAGCTTGGGCTACCTTCTCTGTCAGTTCTGTCGCCCGGGACTCTGATCAGTGGACTGAGCATTGCACTGGGCAAGTCATGGTGGACGTCTCAAATGATTGTCTTCATGATAAAATGAGAGTCAGCGATACTGAGGAATCTCGAGCTGTGAACACACAGGCGTGGTACAAGAAGTTTGCCTCTATCGGTCTGGGTTACGGAACAGCCTTCCAGGCACTATCGAATATCCGTGCCGACCCCATGGAAAACCTTGCATCCGCCAGGCTGAATCTCAAGACAACGTCTGGCACAATCAAGGGCGGCGAATCCGGCTATCCTATTCACCCTGCGTCTTTAGACTCTGTAATCCAGCTCGGGCTTCTGGCATCTCACGGTGGCCAGACTGAAAGGCTCAGCAGTGCATTTGTGCCAGTTCACCTGTCTCAGCTGTACTTGCGAGCCGGAAATGACCAGGACTGGGGAACGGCTGTTGCTTCCGGTGAGCTGAGAGGGCTCAGGTCAGCCTATCTCAAGTTGCAGCTGCAAGACCAAGCTGGAGGTATCGTCCTCAACGTTGAGGAGCTCCGTTGTGTCCGTTACAATCTTGACGAACAGACGGCTGGGAAGAGCCACACGCAGGCCTTCTCCAGCCCCTTTCTGCGGATGATCTACAAGCCTGATTTCCGTACGCTAAGTAAACGACAGATTCAAACACTTTTCAAGCCACCGCCAGAGAACTTGTCTTGTGTCCCTGCCTTAGAGCATCTAGAGTTCATGGCTGCACTGATCGCTGTTGACGTATATGAAAGACTAATTAACGGTCTTGATCCGGCCACGTGGATAAACACGAACTCAAATACACACTACATCGAATGGATCAGGAGAATTGTTGAAGAAGGCGCCTCAAAAGAAATTCTTGAAGCTAAAATGAGTCCCGCTCTCCAGCGACTACAATCAATACGGGACGAGTATCAAGAGTGCAAGAATCTTGTTGAGGCAAACGCCTTACTACGTCTGCATGAGAATATGGAAGACATTTTGCAGAACCGTAAGATGGGAGAGGAAGTTCTAGGCCAAGGAGGTCTTCTGGCTGACTTCTTCGACAAAAGCCTGTTATTAATCGGGGCCTACCCACAGCTCGTTAACATCTTTGGCTCCATGAGCCACGCCAACCCGAGTTTACGGATTCTGGAGATCAAGGGAGGCCGAGGACGTACGGCAAAAGCGATTCTAGAAAGACTTACCTCGGAGAATGGTATCAAGTTTTACCGGGATTATACTGTCACCGACATTTCCGAGGCTGCTCTACAGACAAGCCAGGAAGAGCTTGCAGGCTATCACGACGTCACTTTCTCCATTTTAGATATGGAGCAAGACACCTTGAGCCAGGGTTACCAGGAAGCAGCGTATGATGTGGTGGTAGCGTCTCAGGCCATACATACAGCGTCTTCCATCACCAAGGCGTTAGAGAATGTCCGAAGACTTCTAAAGCCAGGCGGCAAGCTCGTTCTCGTTGAAGCAACAGGTAGTATCAACAGTAACTGGGTCGGCTTAGTAGGTGGAGCACAAGCTAGTTTCTGGCACACGTTCGAAGATGGCCGTATCAACAGCCCTCTCTTAGACGTGCAGGCATGGGATTCAGCTCTTCTATCGACCGGCTTCTCGGGTTCTGAGTTGGTGCTGGACGACTACCCGCGCCCGAGGACCCATTCCACCGTCATTGTTTCTACTCTAGCCGAGCATAAGGATCCAGGTCGTCAAACTCCTGACCTCCCAGTTGTCTGTCTCCTTCACAGTCAAGAAGGGGCCCCAAAACTCTTGGATCAGTTAAAAAATACGCTACAAGGACGAGGACAGAATACAAAGACCATAATACTCGAAAACGTATTGAGTGAGATGCCCGATAACGCGCGGGTTATTGCGTTTCTCGACGGTGAATATCTGATGCTTGACGCCGATCAGCGCCGGCTCGACGTTTTCAAACACCTAGCCCGCCACACAGCTAGCATGGTATGGATCACTTCTACAGGCATGGCACAGGGCCGCAGCCCGAACGGTTCTGTCTTGGGTGGACTCCTACGGACCATCGCAACCGAGGCTCCGACAGGACGGTTCTTCTCAGTTGACGTGGATGCCGATAATTTTAATATGAATCCTGCTGATACAGAGGAATTCTTACGCATTCTTGTTGTCCGAGAAGAAAATCTTCAACAATTGGCAAGAGGTGATAACGTTGAAGATGGCGAATTTGCCTGGCATACTGGCTGTTGGTGGGTGAGCCGACTGGTGCCTGAGATGGCGTTGCGTGGCTACGCAGAGCAACATGTCCGGCCGGCAACGCACAATTTCAAGGTTCTGCCGCTTGACAGCCAAGGGCCTATGAGAGTTGATTTTGAGACTCCAGGAATTCTCAGTTCAATCTTCTTCTGCCCGTACACAGAACTGCTTCGACAACCGCTGCCACCCAATTTTCTCGAGGTCAAGGTAGCCGCTGTTGGTTTGAACTGGAAAGATTTAGCACTTTCTGCAGGCCGCTTTGATGGGAACAATCTATCTTCAGAGTACGCAGGTGTTGTTACACAAGTCGGCACCAATGCGGGAGATTACTTTGCTGTGGGTGACCGCGTGTATGGCTTAGGCAAGGGTCATTTCGGCAATTATGCCCGCGTACCTATGGAAATGGCGCGGAAGGTCGGCCCCGATGATGATCTAGTCAAAGTCGCCACTATGCCTGTGGTTTACATGACCGCTATATACGCCTTCGAGCATTTGACACGACTGCGCAGAGGCCAAAAGGTCTTGATCCAGTCAGCATCGGGCGGTCTGGGACTTGGTGCCATCCAGCTGGCGCGTGCCAAAGGTGCTGAGGTCTTCGCGGCGGCTGGATCACCTGAAAAGCTGCGCTTCCTGGTAGAGTCGATCGGGGTGTCACCTTCAAATGTATACCTGGCACGCGAACCAGCCGAGCTCATACGGACGATAAGCGCGACCCAGAATGGAGGCTTCGATGTCATCCTCAGCACCGCTCAAGGCGAGATGTTATATCAGACCATGAAGGCTCTGGCGCCACTTGGCCACTTGATCGACGTCGGGCGTATGGATGTCAGTGATGCCAAAACAATTGGCCTGGAGCTCTTCCAGAAGAGTGCCAGTCTTTCCTCGTTTGATCTTGTCCGTGTGGTTGACCACGACCCAGAGCTTGGTGCTCAACTTATGAAGACGGTAGACGAACACTATCGTGCCGGCCTCATCGGCCCTATTCTTCCTCTGGCCACTTCAGATATATCTCAGCTTGATCAAACAATGCTTGCATTCTCCAAGGGCAAACATGTCGGCAAGCTGGTGGTTACGTTTCTCAATCCTGACTCTCTCGTACGTATGGTACCAGCAACGCCAGTGTCTAAATTCGACACCGAGGCATGGTACATCGTGGCGGGGGGACTGAGTGGTCTTGGTCGGTCCATTATTCTATGGATGGCTGAGCGAGGTGCTCGGTATATTGCCATTCTATCCCGTCGTGGTGATACTGCTCCGGAGGCACAATCTCTGGTCAATGACATGGCCAAGCGTGGCGTTCAAATGTGGCCGGTCGCCTGCGACCTTGCAAATCAAAGGCAGGTTATGCAGGCAATCGAACAAGCATCAGCCACAAAACCTATCAAAGGCGTCGTGCACTGTGCAGTGTTATACGAAGATATCTCCTTCGATCGGTTATCACTTGAAGGCTGGCGTAACGGCCTCGCCGCGAAGGTCACAGGTACAATGAATCTACACGAGGCTACCAAGGGTTTGTCACTAGACTTTTTCGTCATGACCACGTCCATTCTTTCGGTGGTCAGCTTCGCGACCCAATCTGCGTATAATGCAGCAAACAATTTTCAGGATCATTTTGCGCGTTACCGCCGCCGCCTTGGTCTCCCAGCCACAGCCGCTCAGTTCGGCTTGGTCAACGACGTCGGCCATCTGAGCACAGTTGCTTTAACGCTCGATCTTATGAACCGCAACAAGGTCGTTACTATATCCGAGAGCCAATTTCTACAGCTTTTGGAGCCGGCGTTTCTCAGCCAAGAAGCCACCCAAGCCGGTTCAACATTCACCGGTGTCGCGGACGATCCGCTTGCTGCAGCTACGTACGTCACTTGCGTGAACCCGGCCGATATGGCCGCTAGGGAGCATGACGACGGCGATTTGGCTTCCTCCAATAGCCCTTCACCTCGTTGGTACAGCGACGGACGTGTTTCGCATGTCATTCGCGCCTTTGAAGACGCGCTGCGGCATCAGCGAGAATCAGGTAATACTAGTACATTTGGCCCTGACGGAACCGACAATGGACCGCGGGCAAATACAGCTCGGCTTCGGCGTGATTTTGATGAGATAATGAACCGTACATGCGCCGCGGCAGATGGTGGATCTGACCATCGGTCTTTGTACCGCTCTAACGCAATCGAACTTGTCACGATAGCCATCTCAGGAGCGGTTGCAAATATGCTGCTGATGGATATTGCAGGAGTGAGCACAATGCGCAGTGTTGCGGATCATGGTGTTGATAGCCTGATTGCTGCTGAACTACGTCATTGGCTTCACCTGGCTCTGGGCTCCAAAATCAGTATGATAGATCTACTGGATCCTCACATGAACATCAAGGCATTGGCAGCTCATATTGTGGACGCAGCTATGACGGCACACAAGTGAGTAGCGTAGACTCCTCTCGTGTGGTTGGACAATTCAACTAGGAAGACCGAAAATTGGAACAGTTCCATTTATATGTATTCATGCTATCCCTAGCAATTTCAATGGTAGGCTTTCGTTCACTCAGCTTACACTAATGTGACCACAGTCATGAGAACACTGGCGTGAATGGGGTGATGATGAGTCGAGAAAACGGGCGAAGATTTGAGTTTGAATCCTAAAATAGCTGGGAAAACCTACTCAAACTAAAAAATTTTCCTCCAACTGCGTATTTTGAGAGTAGAAATTTCTGTGGGATTTCAAGCGCCAGCCTTCGTGCCAAGCCATGATGAGGTGCCCACATCCAAACATCACACTAGTAGAAACTAGAGTTTAGTCAGTGTTACTTTATCGGCTAAACGGATTCGCTGGGCTGCCCAATACTTAAGCCACATGGTGACAGGGCTTGGCGACGGTTGTATCAGGCTGAACATCTGACCAGTGATCCTGCACCTAAAGCACGACCGCGGAATATGCGACTGCATGGTGATTTACCAAAATTTGTATGTGGCGATCAGACAATGTGGCCCCTCGCATTTTAGTCTGGTCGACCGTAGTCTGGCTAGGGCTGAGAGTCATCCCCAAGAGTTAACGTGCTATGACTATAAGAACGCCTACAGTACAAATAAGGGAAACTCTATGCAAGGGACAACAGAAACATTTCTGCTGTAAGGGTTGAAGGAAACTTTCGAAGTCGGAAGGTCCCAAGCGAGGTAGGCGAGGGCATCACGGGATGGACGAAGTGTCTTACTTGATGTAAGGGCTATTATTAGGCCTGGATTATATAAAGGAGCTCTCACATCTTCCAGATACTGGGTAACACTTCAAAAGACTCAAGTGCCATACCAAGAACATACAACAACGGTTACGAAGGATTATTTCAATTACTTTACATTGACTCAAGTTATCCTCATTGTTCAGTGCCTACAATCTTCTGTTAGGATTATATCTATACACCATCAACATGAAGTGCGACAAGGCTCTCCAGTGTATTGTTGGGGGGTGGGGTTACCTCAACGCTACTTTGACGTCAGTCAGCATTCCTATTAACTTCCTAACTCGACTTTCCATCCTTTTCCAACACCCGCTAATATTGTTCCAGAAACACAAACACTGGCGAGCTCATCCCCGAATGGCATAGTATCTACCCTTCAGGTGGCTCCGTATACTCTCCTTCTGGTCATATTTCGTTTGTCATTACTGCCAACGACACAACTCAAACCGACGTGCGCCCCAAGCAAGTGTCACTACCCGCCAAGCCCACGGATCCGGATCACCTTTGGGCTCTCGTGGCGCAACACAGCCTTGGGGTTTTCGGCAACTATCGCTTCTCTGACGTGAATTGTGACGGCGGCAACGGCAAAAAATGCAACAAGGGTAAAGGATGGTATGGTCAAGGCAAGGACTGTAAGAATGGGCCATCCGGTGTGTTGACTGTTGACGTCACGTCCGCGACACTTCCCAGCTACGTTGGACTCCAACTTGTGAACACTTTTGAGTTCACAGACGATTGCAACAAACATGTTCTTAAGGCGGATTTCGGTGGGGGCTTAGTTCAAACCGTTTGGTTCTATCGCCTTCCCCAAAAGAACGTTTTTGCCTGAACATCAAACCTGGTTAGACGATATTCGGCCTGACATAATGCAAAATGCTAGCTCGGACTCAAATAATTCATTATCACAAATATTTCTCTTCAATAAATAGCCTCTTGATGTATGGCTTTCTTCTCTAATTACATGTTGAAGTGAGAGGTATATGGAAAATGCTTGATCTGATGATTGCCAGTAACTAGATAACTCGTTTGGAGCCAAGATGACACCTTAGGCATGAATCGGGAGGCCCGACCCTATTCGTCTCAGACATGGTATAGGTAAGGGAAGATGGAAAAGAGACGGGAAAAAAAGCTTGAAGTCAAACATAGATAAAGTACTTTTTCGCTGTCTTTCTTCGTGAGTAGGGGAAGATAAAAGACACGGGCGGGAGGTTTATCGAGTGACTGAAATCAAGGATTCCCGCCAGATTGAGGTTTGAAAACAAACTCCAACGATTTCATTAATTTATTTGACATCTTCCATTGCCCAATTACTGGATTCGCCCATTTATACGACCCGACTGTTAATCGCTCAGTTAGGCATCTGGTGGAGGTTGGCGTTATGCGAAGAGCATCTAACATGACAAAATCATCTAAATTCGCTGGGGTTGCCCTACGGTTAATCACAAAGTTGTTCTGCACAATCCCAGATCCCTCATGAACGACTTTCAATGAGTGCATAATAAAACATTCCATGTGTCGTTACTTGACTCTTACCCCCTGCGCAGTGGTGAGATAACTTAGGCCGCCTGTAACATGCAAAGAAATACGAGCAGCACATGAATACAAGAGCTCTTAAAAAATACACTGAGAACGCCTTCTTGCTATTCATTTTCATGCCCCTAGATTAAGTATTTTCTCACTTGGGTGATGTTCACTTATAGGACTTAGGAAGATAACTTGAAGGTGGACTGACCATCCTGGGCAGTTTTTTTTTTTGGGGGGGGGGGGGGAGGGGGGAGGGGGGGGACAAAAAAAGGATGAAGAAGCAGGGTAAAGAAAATGGAAGGAAAAAACAAGAAACAATGCAGATGGAGTACTCCAGGGGTGTTATATTAATGAGGCATGCTGCACAGGGCCAAATGTGAGAAAACAACATGGCAACGTATTGTGGCTGTTCAGGCTGTCAAGGGATAGATAGGTATAGTAAGAATGGTTCCCCATTCATGAGAGCGCTCGACATTTGATAGTAGCATTTTGCCTGACATCTGGGACAAAACACAAGATACCATACTTTTTAACGATCAAATTGAAGTGGTCAGTTTGATCTTTTCGTCGCGATGAACGCTTATGCTAAGGGAAATTGGGCCCCGCACTGCTGCATTACCACGTAACGTTGAAACATCATCTTGTGTTATTTTGCTGTGGGTATCTACAGAAGTCCCTTGTTGTTGACCGTAAGATGTTTAATTGATGCGGTGTGATGGCTGGGATTCCACGCGGGAACCTGAAGACCCGAGTGATAGTTCGTAGTACTGCCATTCAGATGACCTACATGCGCCTGCTAGTCCCCACCCGGACCTCGGAAATGGATAGATCATCCCCGCCGTAGTGCATCCCGGAAAGGTGCAATCCGCGCCACGACTACATTACGCCGCTTGCGCTACAGGCTGTCGGGAGGGATACAACACAACAAGTCCATCACGGGATGTATACTAGTGTTTACATGGATGCGCGGCTCCCATGTGCATTCAATCTAAAATAATTAATCGGTATGCTGTGGCGCTGGAATGCCAACGGCGACCAGCACAATAAAAACACATGGCTTCCCGGGATGGGCTCAGAACTACTTTGCCATGAACCCACCATTTTCTTTTCAACAGCCTAGTAGTAGACAAGCTGCCTCATAGAGCCTACAGCTCTCTCATGTTTGCCTAATGAGGCTCTTGCCAACCAGTTTGGCTGTTCTAGCCGCGACGCAGCTTGATGTGTCCATTGCACAATCGACTTCCCCTTCTGAAGAGACGGTATGTCTTACATGTCCTGGTTAAATCTCAAACTTGCCAACGATTTGTTTAGTGCATCGTACTCGCTTCCAAATTCCCTGGGAAAGTATCCTTTCCAGGTTCACATCAATATTTCATCTCCAACATCTACTGGTCAGATCGCCAAGCCGAGTTGCAGCCTGCCTGTTTCATTACACCAGAAAGCACCGAAGATGTCTCAATCACTATCAAAGTCTTGGCATCATTTTCTACTCCTTTCACAGTTAAGAGTGGTGGTCACACTGCATTTGAAGGAGGTTCAAGCATAGAGTGCGGAGTTACGATTGACCTAGTACGTCTCAACAAGATCGCCCTTTCCGACGACCGTCAAACCGTCTCTGTCGGCCCCGGAAACCGATGGGTAAACATATCCGAGGCACTTGATCCCCTCGGTCTCGCCGTTGTAGGTGGAAGAGTCAGCGATGTTGGAGTCAGCGGCCTCGTCCTTGGTGGTGGTATCTCATTCTTCTCCGGTCGTTACGGCTGGGCCTGTGACAATGTTCGCGAGTTTGAAATCGTACTGGCATCTGGGGAAGTTGTCATTGCATCTCCGGATACGAACGCAGATCTCTTCTGGGCTCTTCGTGGGGGCGGTGGCTCCAACTTTGGCATAGTTACCCGTTTTGATCTTGCCACATTTGAACAAAAAGATGTGTGGTTGTATAACTCTATCTATCCTTTATCTTCAAGCACCGAGTTGGTGCCGGCATTCGTTGACTTATCAGTCAATGGGTTGCCTGCAGACCCCGATGGTCACTCGTTCTTCGTTATGACCCACGTCTCTGCTCTAGGGGGCCATATAATTGCGAACTATCTCTATCACGCTAAACCCCCTCAGACACCCAAGGACACGCCTGCGATATTCTCCAGGAGCGCTTCAATCAGCGGATCCTTCATAAATACGACAACAATTGCAAATGTCACAACCCATTCCAAAGCCATCTCTGAGAGATATGGGGGGCGCAAGGCTTGGGCCGGCACATCAATCTACCTGAAGGAAGGCTCAGAACGGCTGCTCCAAGATCTTATACCCCTCTACGAAGACTACGCTAATCATTTGTTTGCTGCGGCGAAGAACACAAACGAGACAGCGACTCCTTTCTTTGTGTACCAACCTATCACTACCAATATCCTAAAAGCAATGCAAAAGAACGGCGGAAACTCTCTTGGCCTGACTCCGGAAAAGGGGCCCCTTGTGCATATCCAGATTACATCGAACTGGGAAACGTCTCGTCTAGATTGTGTTGTTGAAAAGGGTGCTGCGGATTTTATTGCCAAGATTAACGGCCTCGCGAAGGAGAGGGGTCTGGCTGCAGGATACACGTATATGAACTACGCGGACAAAAACCAGGACGTGTATGCTGGATACGGGGAAAGTAATCACGAACGGTTGAAAGAAATTGCAGATACCTATGATCCAGAGGGAATTCTCCAGAGGCTCTGGACTGGCTATTTCAAGGTGTAGTGAGTGATGAACCGTTGAGTACTATTCATTATGATTCTGCAGGAATAGAAGGAGAGTAAAGCCGGGTCACAATGCTCAAGAGCTAGAATTTTACAGCTTTCATTGCTGTCAGGCCAAAGACAGAGGGTTGCCAGTTGCATAACTTGGATCGCCTTATCCGAACACACGCCTACTGTGATCAATACATTGATGTTCTAACATGTCGAGTAAATAATTCTGTGAGATGACATTGGAGTTTCCATCTATCAAATCGAGCATAACCGGTAACTAGGACCATTAAATGAAGAATTAGGATGATGATGCAGAGCCAGAAGTTGGAGAAAAAGCAGATTCATCTGTCATTGGGAATTCACTATATCATTCAGGAACGCATACCTTCTCCAGTTTCTCATCTTAGAATTGATTCTATCAAGCTGGTAAAATGACGTTCGGGAGAATTTGAGATAATACGGGTGAGAAGCCAATCAAGTTAGCCTCGATTAAACTGCCGTCATGCAGTACTCCATGTGATGAGCCATTCCCTTAATTCTAGGAGCCGATTTTTCGCCATTTAGTAAGTGTGTTCCGATGAAACTACTAGCGCGCAAGCAACTGGTGGGACTAAAAGTGGCGTTGTGAGGCTCGCTCGCTCACTCGGCTCACTCTGCTTCGCGCGGTCTTAGAGTAGGGAGTGATTTTGCTGTATGTCCATGACAAGAATGGCATTTATATACTGCGACTAGGCTGCTTTTGACGTGTCTGATATATGATTTCTTGAAGGTTGTTACGCTCTTTCACTGATTTTGCTCCAGGCGGCTTGAACATCTCATGAGGATTCAAGTCTCTCAAAGCAATTTTGTCGAATTCCTTCCGGAAGCCTTTGAAATCCCAGCACTTGCCCCAAGTATTGGCATCAGGTAAAGGAATTTCGGTATGTTCATACCATTGGTACACTTGAATAAGCTTGGTTAGTGGAAGTTTTGAGCAAGTGAAAACAACATATTTGGTGAGTCTCGCTATATCGCAGCTCTAAACGTCGCGGAGCCAATCTGTGCTATTATTTGAATCACTTACCATAGACTCCAGGATCCCCTGCACAGGTGATATGATCCAGTACCATCGCTATGCAGTGTGCGATATGGTGTTCATGCATTGGAATTTCCTCTGTGCCATTTGGATAATAGTAATCTTTGTAAAGCGCTTTTCGAATATAATTTAGGCAGTGAAGCCGGTGGAAAACGAGCGCGTGCCCTAGATATGTCTTTTCGTCGCCGAAGTGATACTGCTCGGGTAGCTGCACAGCAACCGAGGGATCTTTGTTCATACCAACGATGTCCGATTCCGTCACAGCGATGGCAGATTCGGTGGTGATGTCCGCCCACATCTTGTCAATCTCCGGGTTCGGTTGAGCTCCCCAGGTCATATCACCGCTACCGCCGACAATTGTCTGTGGTTCATCGAAACGCAACGCTAAAGGTATATTTATTCTATTCAGAAGAGGGGCTTGTAGGAGGAAAGGTTAGCAACGCATCATTAAGGCGCGACTGTTATGTTACTGACAGTAGAATGATACATCTTTCAAGGCTCTGTTCATAGGTTCGTCGCGCCCCAGATACCATAGAACCGCCCCAACTGGAAGGAAAATGACCTGAGCGACGACAAAAACTAGGAGTAGTCTCTTGATTAGTTGGGAGCGGCCGTTTTGGCGGATTGGAAGCGCTTCTGTATCTTCGTCGTCACTGCATCCCTTGTCCAGAGGGGCGTACAGCCCCTGTGACTGCGATTTATAAGCTTGAAGTAATCCAAAGAACATTGCACGAAGTCTGGAAAAGTCCAGAAAGGTGTTTCAAGCCGACCGAGTATTGTCCTACTCGAAATGGAAGCAATTCCTGTATAAAATATAGAAGCCACTATCATGTCAGTTATTCGACGCCTTGCAACTCGTGTTTGGTTTTATATGGGGTTCTCCATGCTTTTTCAAGCCGAAAAGCATCAGAGATCAGACCATTTTTTGGTTTGTGCATTTATAATTATTATTGTACATATAAAGTTGACTGTTGTACGAAGTATACTTTGTTTGGATGGTATGCATTCGAGAAATCCCTGTGTTTAACCTTCACGAGCCCTCAAATAGAGGTCCTCTGGTTGGTTTTAGTAAAAACTCGATTCCGATCCTCACGTAATAGATATCAAAAGTTCAATTGGGACGACGCATGATTCAGAACTTGCATATTCGAAACAGCGGGAGCCGGTGCAATGGTGCGCTAGTAAAAATACTCGGAGGTTTAAAAGGATAAGTTGTGCACCATGTTTCGTGTTCTTTTTCCGGGCCCAAGTCGATATTCAGGCGTTTTTAACCCCCATGTGCTCATCTCAGTCACAATCTTCGCTTTCTGAATAGGTATCCCAGTAACAGTAAAATCACCGGATTAGCAGGTAGGTGATCTTGTTGAACTGAGGTGCGAACTTGTTAGTAATGCCAGCATGAAACAGATAAACATTTGATAGCATCCGCGTAGATGAATGGTCACGAACTATAGCGGACGCGCTATGAGCGGTTATATTACGCAATGGGGAGGCTAGCACTATGCTTGGTCAAGGGGTACTCTTGCTAATGCCGTTAAACAACCGTTTCTTAAAATTAATACCTGGCTAACAAGATAGGCCGAGGACTAATATCAGATTGACCTAACGGAGTCCATTGTGGAGTGAGTGATGGATGTCCATGTGTGCTATCTTGTCGCACACGAGCCTCCTGGTTAGGGAGCTATCGAAGCCAGGCCGAACCCGTGTGCTGTGGAGGCAAGTGATCACCTAGGTCGAAACTAATGTCCCCGAGAAAATATTTGAGTAACACGATATCTCAGCCTAGTCTTATGAGATAAGAGTATTATTCAACTGTCTTCGAATTTCGCTCATTTAAACACAACTTGCTTGTTGTCAGCCTTGGCTTATTGAGAGATATTAGGCTGTTAAAGTGGACATTGTAATATAGTCAAAAATTAAAGTACCGAAAGCAAACACTTTATACAGTTAAAATACCCTTCTTAGGTCCATAATCTTCCGATCGGGCATTTTGTGATCCGAATTCAAACTTCACTATCTCGGTCTGAATAGGGTTGACCCGCCGCGTGGCACCGAAGAAACGATGTTCTCGCGTTATGTGGCACATGATATCCTGATTTTGGGTTTAGAATCTTCCGAAAGAACAGTAAAACCTGGTTACACTATTGGTGTAGCCAGAAGTGTGATCAGTGAGACGAGGGGTAGCTCTAGTAGCGGTTAAGCGACTCAGTACATATAGGTAGTGTACGCAGAGGTTAAGGTGAACCTTGTTTGCCAATGTCTAATCAACAGGACAAACGCCGAAAGTGCGGGGCAATATCGAGAAGGCGTGGAACAACTTTCAAAACTCAAATAATCTACATTGCGGTGCATAAGATGTAGGTTGAAATCAGCGATCATAGGATTCGTTATCAGAATCGGACTAGTTCACTCCTTGGCCGTTGAGATAGCATCAGATTCTCTAAGCCGGACAACGCTAACTCCTACTCTTTTCAAACAGAACTGAAGTAGAACACGCAGGTATAACATTCTCTGTCTTGGTTGTGTGAAAATTCAGCTCGTTCTGTTCAAATCTAGTCTCAACACTTGGTACCTCATTGAGGGGCATAGAGTTCCAGCATGCGTTAGGCCGCGTTATCCGCAACCCAGGGCTAGTCGCTGACACAAGCTAAAGGCGTTTGAACATTTCCATGCACCGCTCTAGCGAGGCCACTGTGGAAGATCTCACTGAAGAGCTTAGCCCATTGAACATGCTACTTGCCAGACCCCGTAGACACAAACGCACACCGAACCATCTTCTTACTCATTGGATGTTTTTGTCTCTCTTCTCAACTAGACATGATTTTAATTGGGCGATCTACTGTTGAAGGACAATTGCTTAGTCAAAGGTCACAGGAAACCGTCGAGCAGGCGACGAGTGAGTAGCTTTCCAGATCTGATGCTGACCAGGGAACATGACTCTTTAAGCAAAATATGGTAACTTTGGAACAGCCGAAAGTACTAAACTTTTACCGCAACCTCGTTTGATGGCTAAGCCAAACTCAACTTTAGCCGCACCTAGCTAAATTATTCCATTTAATCATACAAAAACATGTATGCCAGTCCAGTCAAAGTTTACCAACCTCTGTGCTGAAACCGTTTAATCATCCATTTATTATAGCAATCACATTCCTTCCGTTCACTAGCATCTGATTACGCTTATGTTGAGTGTCAGTCAATGGGTTGACTCGGTCAGCGGTTGATTGGTCTTACAATGCCACCCCGAAGCAGTTTCCGATGGAAGATTAGACTATCGGATTTTCTCCAGATGTTAAAACACAGGTGTCTTCCTTGAGGCAGTCAAAATTACTCCCACGACGTGGATGCAAATCCTCGTTACAAACTTCTCTTCTTCTCTGGCTAGCAGTTCTAACAAGAATTCATCATGCTGTTTACTTCTTCTTCCAAGTCTCCAAGAGTGGGAGAGGCTCCTTTTAGTAATGCTTCTAGCAAATCCAGCGAGGAAAAGGCCGCAAGCTCCCCATTCCCCTCATCCAACAAAAATTTATCTCGTACTTCCCACCCACATTGGTGGAAAGAGAAGGGCCTACGAAGTTTGAATTTCCGACTGCTGGCAATTTTCATTAGCCCGTTGATGATAGGATATGACGGCACTCTCATAGGATCATTATTTACTATGCCTCACTGTAAGTGTGATCACAGATTGCGGTCCAAGTCTTTGATGCGCTGACGTGAATTGGAGGGTACCGAGGTAAGAAGACAATATGGCAGTCTGATGTTGGAAGCAGTCCATAACATAAACCATCAGACCTGAGCCTCAATCCTAAAGATAGCAATCTCATCGGATTAATGGGTGCTGGCTACTCGTTTGGTGCAATGATTGTATTTCCACTTTTGAGTTGGGTCGCAGACACTTTTGGCAGAAAGATTATGATCATACTGGGCGATACGATTATTATTGGTGCTGGTGAGCTCTATCCCCACGACGGATTTTGAAATATTGGGCACACAATTGACGTGAATTCTACAGTCCTGGGTCAAGTGTTCTGCTATAATGCACGAATTTACGTTCTCACACGCTTTATCGTGAGCAATTAAAAGCCAGACTACTTGGGGGCCTGCTAATACAAAGTAGCTCGGAATGGGTTCCATGTTTGTTTCCGCTAGCTGCCCCGTCCTACTCACCGAACTCGCACATCCACGCCAAAGAAGCTTTATGGTTAGTGGATACGGTTCCTTATTCTTTGTTGGATCACTCGGTAAGTGGAAATTGTAGCTCCTTCTTGATGTTGCTAACATTCATGATAGTTGTGGCCTGGATTGCTTTTGGAAGCCTTCATATCCCTAGCCAATGGAGCTGGCGAATCCCGACAATTTTGCAGCTCTTCCCACCGGCAACTCAGCTTTTGTTAATCTTCCTAGTTCCGGAGTCACCCAGATGGCTTGTGTCCCATAACCGCCATAGCGAAGCCAAAAATATCTTGGTGCAATTTCATGCTGACGGGAAACCACATGACAGCATCGTATCAAGCCAGTACACCGAAATCTGTCAAGCGATCGAACTTGACCAACAGAGTCAAGCCATGAGCTGGTTTTCTTGGTTCCGAGGATCTGGAAACCGCCGAAGGCTTCTCTTAGTCGTCTTTTGCACCATTTTCGGATCATGGAGCGGAGGCGGCATCATAACAATCTACCTTTCTGTCGCCCTGAGACAGGTTGGCATTACAGCACCTGCGCAGCAAGCAGGAATCAACGGCGGATTGCAAGTATTCAACTTGTGTGCTGCTCTTTTGGGTGCTAGCCTAGTGGACAGACTTGGCCGCCGTATTCTCTTTATATCTTCCAGCGTCATCATGCTTTTTGCCATGGTAGGGCTTACAGTAGCCACAGAGCAATTTACCCAAGAGGCCCAGGCAGCAGCAAGCAAAGCCCTAGTGGCTATGGTTTTCCTGTTCCAGTTTGGTTATGACCTTGGTTATGCTCCGCTGACTCCTATGTACATAGCTGAGATTTGCCCTTACCATCTCCGGGCCAAAGCAATGGCCCTTCATTATGTCCTCATGTATGCGTTCAGCGCTGCAAGCCAGTATGCCAACCCTGTAGCATTGCAGGATATGGGCTGGAGATATTACATTGTTTACGTTGCGATTTTGCTATTTGAGGCTCTTTTCACTTATTTCTTGTTCCCGGAGACAAAAGGATACACTATTGAGGAGGTTGCAAGCATTTTCGACAAAAGCGACTCTGAAACACCAGAGACTGCTTCAGGGCGAGACGCTGGAAGACAGCACCACTCGTCAAATCATCAGAACAAAGGCATGGAATATTGATATATCACTCTCTCTGTAAGCTTCATTTAGACACACTAGATTCGACGCATTATTATAATCAAGTGGGGTGGGTCTCAGTGTCGATACAATGAGCTCCTGTTAAGGCGACATGACCAAGACCCATTACTTGCAGTAATCTTTCCCAAGCCAAATTGGCGCTCAATCTTACTTTTTGAAAAGTTAGAGATCAAAATGAGTTGAAGAAAATCGAAAGACTGTTGTTATTTGATTCTAATATCTATCCCTTGAAGCGCTAAGGCCTTGATATGATCTTAAACAAAAACAAAAGAGCAAACAGTATTGAACAGCTTGTCAAACGAAATCCATTGAGTTGCTCAGGCGAGTGTCCATCCCTCGCCTTTCTTGCGAAACTCCCCTCCCACACCTTTGGGCATTAGCCTGTGATCGCCTTTACCCATAAGAGGCTCGCCTTCTGCAACACGGCGCTCCAAGTCTGCTTTCTCTTTCGCATTGATAGCGAATAACGCTGGCAGGAGCGAGCTCTTGATGATGTCGATATTGGCGTTTGCTGTCTCGATGACAATGACAATCAACAGGAGGATAGATAAAAAGACTTGCCCACCTAGGAGTGCCAACCACTCCCATCGGACCTCCACAAACACCTCAGTCCTCAAAGAGGTGCCTTCAACATTACTATCTACTGGGAGCATTCTATAAGGTCAAATGTAAATGGTCTGAAACATAGGCGTATAAAAGGCTGAGGATGAACTTACACGTTTGTGAGGCCAATACCCACATTTCGCGCCATGCCGTTCACAGCTTCCCACCACGGCCTCATCATCTCTTCCCCAGTGATTGATCTGTTTCCTTCGGCAGCCTTTTTCAAGTACGCTTGGCGAATCTCCGACATTGACTGTATGAGCATATGGGTTCCGTTCCTCCCATAAAGAGGCCTGTCGTTGGTCTTACTAAGACTTCCTGCCATGGCGTCTTCGAGGTTGCGTAAGATAATACTTCTGCCATCGCGATTGTAGTTAAACTTAGCTTTTCTGTCAGCTGAAGAGACAAGATAGTACAGCGATTCATTCGTTCCTGTGGTGTACTCAGCCAAGGAATCAATCTTCTGCATAGAAAGCAAGTTGTCCACCACCTCTGCCTTGTAAGTGCTGCTGCACCAGTGCAGTGAGATCTCAATGGCTTGTGGACTCTCATTCGCAGTTCCATTCCAATGTATTGCAAAGTAATTCCAGATACTGATGTTCTGTAGCTGAGGATAGGATATAGTATTTCCTTCACCAACGAAGAGCGTCTCGGCACTAGTGTATCTAGAATTACCTCTTGCAAGAGTCATAGAAACCCCATTTGGCAGTTTTACTTTGGTGTCATAGTTATAAGGAGAGTCAGACTCAAGTAGATGGGTCACATCTAAAAGAAACCCAAGTTAGAGAAGGACCTGGTAGAGTTTCCTCCTGGCTTAAACATCCACGAGGAACCTTTTATACGGGTCATTTTGTAAACTCACTTGTGGCCTCATGGCACACAGATAGTGTGGTAAACGGGTCCCATGTACAATTAGATGAGCGACAAAGAGGCTCTCGGTAAGGTAGGATATCGTTTGCCGGCCTATGAAGCCCTAGCGCGATACCTCTGACAATAGACTGCTCATTATCTGCTGGATTGTTAGTGCAACCGTAAATAGATTTGGCATGTTACAAAAATGTGAAAAGCTTTTACGAAGGTCGAGAACATAGCAAGAAGAAATGACTTTGGGAAGACTGCGACGTACACACCATCCAGTTCGGGTTTTCTACCGCCCAGGTTTCAGTCACCCTCCATGCAACTGCTTCTCTGCTTCCCGTGGTTCCGACAGCTTTGGAGGTGTAAGTGACTGCAGACTGCGTGAGTGTCGACGTTGCGATGGTCGAAGTAAGTAAAATCGCCGCGATGATACCAACCAACCTACGTCGTTATAGATTAGCACTAGTACAAGTGAAAATAGAAAGATAAAATGACCTACCATCCTTTGGTCCGGGAAAGAAGAGTCAAACTACCCCATGGTCCTCTAGAGGCCTGGTTAAACATCTCAAAGTCCTCAAGCGGACGCGGCTTTTTCTTAAACCAAGTCCACTTGGCCTGGGCTAACCCTTCCGTCACTGGAATTATGAAAGCCGTGCGAGAGACCGTTGATAAAAAGGCGACAACAGCATTGATAGTGATGCCAGAAGGCCACTTGGGCAGAGGCTTTCCGTCAAATGTTGACAGCACTATTACTAATGCTACGAGAGCCGCAACACCGAGTGCGCAACAGAGAAACTCTTGCCACCACCCATCGATGATGCGCCATGTTGAGGCTTTGAAGCCTCCTCCTTTTGACGACGGGCGATTTCCGCTAGGTTTCTCCTCGACTATTTCCTGCGCACTCGTGTCCGTGCTCGACCTTGGGTGATGGTTGGTATTGTCGGTTACTATAACGCCATCGTCTCTGCTTTCATTCTGGGCGAGCGGTGTTGCCACATCATCATGGCTGTGATGCGAGTTATTAAGAAGAGGTTCGCTTGCTGGCTCTGCTGGTGTGGTCTCGGTTTCTGTAGGCACCAGACTCGATCGGACGGGTTTTCGGCTGATTTGATGTCGAACATCGCTTTCACTGCGATGTGCGTCCATGATTGACCGGTATCTGAACGGAAAACAGCGACCGCTGGACAGAATCTGAAATTGATGGGGCCGCAACACTTTAAGTGTTTACGTGCGATCATTTATTGCCAGGGGTATTAATTTTCAATGGCCTGGGTTCCTGTGCGGGGAGCCGCTTACAGGCAGGCTATGCAGTAGATGGCAAACCACAAACCAATGATAACCTCAATCTTTGTGTGGCATATTCGTTGAAAGCCAGGCTTATCGCAAGGTCGGCAGGGGCCTCACTAAAATTACCTACCCAGCAAGATATACTTGGCGCATAAGAAGTCAAAACTGTAGCACGCAACGGTTGCCTGGGACTTTTGTTGCGGGGATTGGAATCCTTCAAAGTGAAGTGTCGTGAGTGTGTTGGAATTCAGTTGAACAATTTTCATGGGTACACAGGAGCTAATGCAAGGCTCCCAGGTTCAAATCCAAAATCCTCTGCCACCAAGCATTTGGCCATTCTTTTAATCCTTGACTGATCCTGAGGTGACCCTACCCTGCTTCTCGCAGTGGCTCACGCAGATCCTCGCCACAGATCACTTGTCTTCCCAACACAAACCATCGAAAACAGCGAGCATGTAACGACCCATGCCTCAGTGTGATGTATCTTGAGTTGTTTCTGGCTGGCGTTTGAAAAGCAAAAAGGCGCCCCGATAAAACGCCAATGCGAAATCTGAAAAGTTGAGAGCATCCACATATGCGCGCCACCCGAGTAACCCACCTTGACAGCGCGCGTCGCGCCTCAGTACACCAACCAAGATCCTGATGCCCTCAGCCCCTGGTTTTCCGCTTGTTGCAACGCTAGTAGCAGTGGGGGTGGGAACTGCGGTGGCAGTGGCGACATAGGGAGACCATGGGTACGCGAATAAGTGCAGGACACCAACTCCAAACATTTCCAAGCAGAGAATCAGATTAGGAATTCCTATTTCAAGGGAAGTGTAGGATATTCTGTCTGTGGGGCCGAGAGGCTGGTCTTCTCTGCCTATGACGGCGTCGAGGATAAACTGTACGTCGGCGTTAGCTCTTTAAACCAGAATACACATACAGCTCTGACGGAGAACGCCGAGCCTGAATAGGTCAATAAATAGCTTACACCCTGTACCAATACAAGAAAGACGACAATCTTGATGGCTAGGAACTTTAAAACTGGTTTATGTGGCGATAGTAGTTCCTGGGATTGATAGTAAAACTGAAAAAGACAATTCATCGCTACCGCCAGCGTTGCAATTGTCACAACTTTGTTAAGCTACCGCGGCAATGTTAGCTGGTCATCTGCTTAGTCTCAACGACCCAGGCTCAACTTACCCAGAAGTCAGCATACTTGGGCCCCCCATCCTCAGAGCATAGCATGCCATTGGCTTCCGTAACGTATGATGCTATAGTCACAAGAAGTTTGACAAATGGGTACTGGTAAATACAGAACCATATCCGCTACCATAAAATTAGACTAAGTTTTCTTATTGTCCCGGTAGGGGTGATTCAGCTTACGTTGAACCGCTTCCAGCCTTGGTTGGGTTTCTGGTGTGTATAGTGCGCGCCCCCGAGAGCGGGAAAACACGCAGCGAATGGCCGTGTGAAAAACCACTTCTTCAGTCCATTCTGATCCCACGACACCGCGTGTTCTGTTCGATCGGTTTCGACGTATTCGCAGCAGAGGGCGTAGAATGCCACCAACGCAAACGCCTCGTAAAGAAGATGGACGCCGTTGAGGTAGGCATGCTTCTTGTGGAATGCAATGGAGAGTAAAGCCGATATGCTGTAGACAGGTACTAGCAAACATATACGGATGATCCTAGGGCTAGTCAGCAACGTCTCGGAATCGAAACTGGCGAGCATAAAGAGAGAACTTACTGCCGCTGCTCTCCTGGCTTCGTGTAATTAGTTGCGTGCCGGAACACCTGATAGAATGACATAGAACATGAAACGACTGTCAAAATACCCCCGATAAGAATCAGAAAGTTTTGGAAGCTGAGGATACCAACGAGCGGCTGGGCCGAAACTGGGAGATCCAGTCCGGTATCAGGACACATTTTGTTCCGATTCTATCGAGACGTCGAAAATCTGCAAAGACTGACTGACTACAGAAAGAAAAGGCGAAACTGCTCGAACACAAGAATTAAAGATCAGCCTGATCATACCGAGTCCCCCGAGACTCTGACCTAACAAGGCAGCCCAGAAAACAAACTTCGGCACGACATCTCTACCTCAAGGTGCGGGCCGTTCGCCAAGATCACAGCCATCGTAGCGGGGTGAGTCTCATGCCCAATATGGCCGCCGGTTAACAAAGACCGGCGGAGAGTTATTGCATGAGCGGGTCTCACGAGCTTAGCATTTTAAAGTTGTCTCGCTTTCGATACGAGGTACGAGGGGGGCTGAGCATGTCCAATCGAACGCAAATGTGTAATTTTACGATAACTCTTGCATCAACAAAAGGAGAAGATCGATCCAAATAGCGAAGTATGGTCGGTAATAGGTAGGCCTAAACTCAACATGAAGAGATTGGCATGACGAACGGTGAGTAAATACGGTGAGTAAATACCTGTGTTACAATCAACACCAAACTAAGCAAGAATGTGCCAGTTTCAGTACCTTCGCCAGCACGAACCATCTCCGATGGCCCTGGTAAGGTGATGGGTATGAGAATGTCAATTTACCAATGACAACCTTCGTCTTCACTGCTGAAGCGGCAGAAGCCAGACAAAGCAGGTGCCAAAACTAATTGAGACAGAGACGAGGTGACGACCCGCAGTTCGCAGACGTTTCACCTGTCACATTATCAGGCTCGCCCTATGTGAGAAGCTGTCAACGAGTCATGGGAGTGACCTATCAAATGAAGCCAGAAGGCCAAGGCGCTATTGCAACACCTGGGTTATTTTTGGCTGCAGCTATACCTCCTTGATAATGTCTTCCTGTGGAACTGTAGCACTGCGCCGGGGTTACAAATCAGGACATTGCCTATTGCACAAATACATGACGATGAGATTAAGAGTATCATGAAGCATACAACTATCGGTTTCTGCGCTTGGAGGCCTCCTAAGAACTAAGTACTACTCTGGGGGAAAAAATGCGTCCGTCTAAATCATTGCACACAAAGCAAAAACTAACCTATCGGCTAACTATAGCAAATTCAATGCTTCTGATACTCGATTCAGCTTCTGTACAATGATTCTCATATCCCAAAAAGCCTATAAAAGAGTTTTCAGTAAAGCAGAGAACTTGGTCTAACTCATATGGACTAGTAGTAGCTGCGCAGAGCATCCTGATAGCCAGTGCCGCCCTTCAGATGGATGTCGAAGCTCTTCTGAACGTCAAGGACCTGCCGGATATGCTCCATGCTAAGTGCCTCACCCTTGTTGACAGCCAGCGCTTGAGCCGTACGAATAGTGTTCTTGATCTGCCGACCATTAAGATCATATTTCGCGAGGTCGTTGTAGTCTTCCTCGGAGAAAGGCATCAGATCAATCTTTTCGAGGACGCGAACTCTCTCCATGAAAATCTTGAAGATGGTCTTCTTGGCTTTCATAGTAAGGCTGTCATATCTCAGAGCAATGTGGATTCTGGACTGGAAGGCATCATCAAACGTCTGCAAAAAAAATCAGTACGGATATTATAATATGAAGAGTATCATGAATACCTCAACGCGATTTGTGGTCAAAAACAGAATGCCTTGAAAGTACTCAAGCTGACGTAGAAATATGCTGACAAGAGCGTTTCTGTTGATTTCGTGTAGATTTCTTTTCTCCATGAAGACATCGGCCTCATCAAGAAGAAGAATAGCTCCCCAGGCATGGCAGATGTCGAGAATCTTCTGAAGCTCCTGTTCCAAGTAGCGGGAATCGGTGCCAAGCTCTCCGGCGGAAGCCATGTAAAGCGGGCACTTGAGAAGCTCACTGATCCCCTCCGCTGTGAGGGTCTTGCCGGTACCAGGTGGGCCATGGAGGACCGCTGCAATATGGTCAATTGACATATATCGATCATGAAATAATTACGCAATTACTTACCAACGAGCCCTTTGCCTTTGCCCTGGATGACATCGTCGATACTCTCGGTGGCGTGGTACTTGTGGGATTCAACTAGAGCCTTAAACAACGTTAGCATAGGGGCCTTTTCCGACTATCAATGAGAGGTATCAAGTCGGAACTAGTCGATCCACCCTTGCACTCACCTTGACAATGTCCTTTTGCTTGGGTTCGAGCACCAAGGATTCATATGCAGTCTCATTCCACTGGATCTCTTTGACACCAGACACTGTGAATTCTAGCCACAGCTTTTCTGAAAATGAGAAGCCAAGAACGACTGGAGATGCAATGAGATATTCTTCATCGGAAAATACCAGCGCTTCCTCTTCCTCTTCAGCATCCTTTGGGATATTTTCCGAGCTATCTTCAACTTCAGCTGTCTCTTTCCTGGTCTCGTCTTCAAGACGTCCTAAGGGCTGCTCGGCGGCGGTGGGCTCTTCAATTTCTGACTTGGGGACTTGGATGATAGTGATCCTACCCTTGGGATCGCGGACAACTTTCTTCACCATCTTTTCATCGCCACCATCATCGCTACCACAACAACCTTCTTCGGAGTCGTGTTGAGACTTCTCGTCCTCCGTTTCCTCATCTTCTGACATGACGTCATGATCCTTCGGCCGCACTGCAGACACCTGGTAGTTGGGGTTGATGCGGCGGTGGACGGCTGGATCAACCATAATTCGACCATTGATGTTGACCTTGATGATGCTCTTTTTCTTTTTGTAGTAGGCAAGGCCTTCGTGGCTCTGGTAGTGAACGCCGCCAAGTTGTACAAACTTCTTGCCTCGTTCAATCACAGCGGCCATGACAGATTCTTTATTCTTGTGGTAGTCCAAAGGATAAGCATTGAGACTGGTGATCTTTCGCGCTCCTCGGAACTCTGGGACTTCTTCCGCAAAAGAGCCGTAGCCAAATTGTTTGCCGTCGAATTCGAAATACTGCAACTCATTAACAAGCTGACAGGATACAAGGCTGGAAAATCATCATACCTTTCCATCGACCCAATAGAACTCGCCTTTTAGCATATTGTTATGGCGCTCGGCCTGTTCGACTTTGAAAACCCGAGCTTCATCGTGAGTTCCGTAGGTGGTTGTGTAGACGAGTGTGTTTGGCTTCCAAAGTGCCCAGAGAAGGTCAAACGTAATGAGGCCGTTTTCTAGCATGGGATACAGACTAGCCGAAGTTAGTAACTGGTATGCTGTCAGGGACATATTTTCGACCATACCTCTTCTTGATGTGTGCATAATCCTTGTCGAGGTACTTAAGAAGCACTTTGAGATGCAACCGCTTGTTGTCAATATGCTTCTGCTGCTTCTTGCGCTCCTTCTTGTCAGAGCTGGTTGGCTCTGTCTTCTTTAGTTTTTTACAATAATGGCGGAGATCTTCCAGATAACTAACAGTGTTAGCAAGTTTTCTGAAGCCGGCTAAGTCGTGTCAAACTCACAGGAAAAGCAAGTTGGGATCCAACTTGGGCGCTTCATCGACCAAACTGACACCCTTGATATTACCGATAACATCTTGCAAGCACTCACGAAGAATCTTGCTCTTAATGTCAACGATAGTGGTCTTATATTTGCCTTCCCAGTCAAAAGTACGTCTGATCTGCAGGACATAGCCGTCATATTGAGAATCTGAAGTGGTCTCGGCTGTGTCTTGAAGCTTGAAGTTGTGAATAGTGCTGTCCCACACCTGATCGACTCTCTTGTAGTCTAGCTTGGTTTTCTTCTTTTGAGAAGGCGGCACCATTCTTTTCCCAAGCAGAGGGTTGGCATCGAGCATGTTTCCGCCGTCGAGGAGACCCAATCTAGGGGCAGCGCGTCTGGTCGGGGGAGGCATGAATTGCTGTCCAACAGCCAAAGCGGTGTTGTTTCCGTATGATAGTGCATCGTTGCTGCGCTGCCACTGTTGGAAAAGCTGGATCTGCTGAGGCGTCATGGAGACTTTGGTCAAACCATCTTCGTCGTCTGACGAAATAGACTCGGTATCGGATGAGTCGCTTGAATCACTCGAGTCTGATTTGACAGCAGCGCGTTTCTTGGACTTTTTAGTCTTCTTAGCGCGTGAGCCAGAAGGAGCTTTTTTGGATTTCTTCATCACGGAGTCCTTCTTAGACTTTGACTTGCGCTTTGAATCATCAGCTGAAGAGACATCGAGGGCGTCACTGTCCGAATCGGACGAGGAAAAGGAATCAGTGTCAGAGTCCACGTCATCAGTGGCTGACTCAGAGGTGTCATCAGCCAAGGTGGGCTTCTTGGGCTTCTTCGTTTTTGTTTTTGCCAGCTTCTTAGGCTTCTTCGTGACGGGTTTCTTCTGGGAAGTAGTAGAACGGTCGGAGCTCTTATGGTCCGCATCCGGTTGCTTTGATGGGGAAGCGGATGGATCAGCAGAGGCCTTGCCAGTGTCCACGTCGTCGACAGTGTTGTGAGCAACGAGGACCCCGGCAGTTTGCCGTTCAGTCGCGGTGTTAATGGTATCCATGAGGGACGACGTGTGAGCCCGATCGGCCGGGGACCGACGGATACAGGTATGGATGTAGCGTACAAAATACGAGAATGTGAAAACGGCGTTTGTTTGATGTTATGTAGGCTCACATAGAGGGAGGGTGTCAGAGGCTGGCGAAGTCAGAGGCAAAAGCCGAGTTCGAGGTGGGATAATGGTGAGGTTCACACGTACTGGAGGATAGAAGGCTTAAATAGACCTCAAATCAGCCGCTACACAAGAAAGAATGAGGAGAATAAAGGCAGGAGACAGCCGCTGAAATGAGGTAAATAGTGAATTCTCGGGAAGTCGGGAGATGAATGTGGTTCGCCTTGTCTGGGTTTGGTCCCTTAAGATGGTGTGGCGCTGAGGCGTCCAGTGAGCATCAGAGGGTGGAAGTAGCGGCCTGCCTACTTCACCGGTCGCACCTGCCCCAAATTCTGACAAGTCACTTTTTGGGGGGAAGGAACAAACCGCCTGTAGCTACTACATATTACTACGTAGTTCCTTCCATTATCATCCTGGAGCGCTTTCCTACCACAGGAGCTGCAGTTACTGCAGTTGCGTCCCTAAATGCCTAATTAGTACCTACCATAAATGCATACATGCAGGTAGGGACAGGACAGGACGGGGGACACCACACCCCACCCACTCGCTACCTGCCTTGGTAGGCACGTACACATGAAGCGTTATGGGCAGTAGCAGATGCCTATGCATCATTGGACAGGTGCCTCTGGGGAGTGTCTCACCCAGCTTAGGGGCGCCTGCCTGCGTCATCGTCCGCCAAAGACGTCGCTGCAAATATGTATACTCGTTGCTTAGTAAGGCTAGACAAGTCCCTTAAACTTTGCTGTGTACTAGTATGCTATCTCGATTAGCTCCTCCCCACAGTTGCTTGGAGGCTCATCGCTCACTTTCTTCTTCCCTGGTATCGTACCAACAGCCTGTGTCAGTTCGATCGATTGTCTCACGTTGCAACGCAATAGTCGTTGGTACAGACCATAGCTATTTTTCTGCTCGGATTTCTGCAAACAGGGAGCATTTCCACCAACATTAGTCAACAACATCTGATCACCAACCAGCCCATCGTTTCGATAATGTTGGATTGTCATCGCTGCACCAAAGAACAGCGAATGAAAATAAAAGCCGACTGAATCAACATGCCCATCCAGAAAGACCATGATGCCAGTTTGCAGGTACTAAATGACGCCTTGCAACTTATCAGGCTCTAGGCAGTCAGTGCTGCCTGCTCTTCAACGACCGCCGCCGATGACAACGTCTTACGGATGACTGTCTTAGTCGTTAGTGCTGTTGAACACTGCGGGCGAACCATCAGTAGACACGATCATCAGCCTCATCTACTGTTCGTCATGTGGCCTCGGCGTCTATGCTTCGGCGCATTGGAAGCACGCAAGAAATGTTTATCGAGTGCTTTTTCTCTGCTCTCGTAAAGCATCGACCAGTCATCCCTGTTTGCCTTCGTCCGCTGTCGGCTCCCCCAGGCGACGGGACATCCGATAGACAGTTCATCTTGCTTTAGGTGGGCAACCACTACGCCGATGCATTTACTGCATGTTACTACTGCATGTGCTGCTGCATGTACTCGCACGGCCAGCGGCTGCAAGGCGGCTCGAAGGCACCCTGGGAATGGCGGACAGCCTGCCAGCGGGCACGTCTCTGCAAGAGTGAGGCGTTCACTGAAGCGATTGGGATCCGGATTTCCTTGGCCGTGGCTGGCAGACTTCCTCCTACATATCTGGCCTGTTCAACGATTAACCAGGACTGTTCCTCGTCTGCATCCAGCCACAAACTTCCTTCTCACTTGCACACTCAGTTTACACCGCAAAGCTGGGGTTGCTCTGCTGATTGGGCAAACACTTTCAGATTAGCAGCTTTGCATTTTTGCCGCTCTACCTTGTTATTGCATCACCAGTGCACCAAAAATACCTCGTGTCTACTGATCTACTGACCAAATCAATCCGGCCTTGGGCAAAGAAAATGCGCTTCTCATCAGTGTCCTATTAAAGGTATTCGATCATCGCACAACCCCATCATCATCGCCATTTAGAATAAATCGTGAAAATGACAGTTTGTTATACCACATTGGAGCCATTATAATAAAAGGCCATGCATGTGACTACTAACGGGGTTTGGATGCAATTTAACAACACTTTACCCCTAAAATTAACCCTCACATATCCTTCAACTCGAACAATGTGCATTATTCTTTCATTCGTGATTTATCTGTACAGTGCATTCCTAGTCACGGCAAAGTTAGGCAACTACAGCTCAGAGCAAAGGTTGCCTAAATTTCTCCATTGGCCAATTGCATACCATCTTCGCAGCCTTGCCCTGATGAAGGCTTACATATTAAGAGATCCTGGAAGCCCGGGTAAGCAGTGGTTGAATACGGCCTGCTCATCATTGACGTCAACCTCTTTAAAATGGCTCTCGAGAAATTTTCTGCGGTTTATCATCAACTCCCTCTAACGGACGGTGACCGATATATCCGCGTCCTTATCCTGCACCCTGGTTTACGTGGTAGCCCAATAAGTGCGTCCATGCGACTGCTCAGCCTTGGTGATGGACAGAATCAAGAGCCATATGCGACCTTATCATATACTTGGGGCGACCCTGCCGTGAAGAAGCCGATTATTCTTGAACACGAGCTCTTCGATGTGACGATCAACCTTTACAACGCGCTTCAGCACATTCGGTCGCCGTCGCGGCAAATCCAGATCTGGGTTGACGCTCTGTGCATCAATCAGCAAGACATCAAGGAACGATCTTCTCAAGTTTCTCTTATGAATGAGGTATACGAACTGTGTGAGAAAGTTTACATTTGGCTAGGCTGTCCCGATGATGATGATGCCGTGACATCCAACCCTTTTGCGATTGTGGAACACTTTAGAGACAACCAGCATTTCTTCTCATTGCCCGGCTACGCTTGGGATCGGTCTAGAAACCAATGGATTTGCGATACTGAAAACCCTCAGTTCAAACTCATGTGGGATAGTTTCTCTCCCGTGGCAGAAAGCCCGTGGTGGACTAGGGCATGGACAGCCCAAGAGACGATATTGCCGTCTGAAGCTTTAGTCATGTACGGTGACTGGTCCATATCTTGGACCGACATTGTGACATGTCGATTCAACAGGGTACGCCATTTGAATGACTACAGTGGCACGTGCTGTGGACATGCTTATGAAGCGGTCGGGCGAGAGAGAATAATGCCGCTGGACAGCGTGATGGGATCCGTGATGATAATGGAGAGTATACGTCGAAAGACTGGCTACATCAGATCCTTCTCTGATGTCACTCGCGTCTTCGCCGATCGACATTGCAAAGACCCCCGGGACAAGGTTTACAGCTTGTTGTCCTTCGTCAAGGGACATGAAAAGAGCTTTCTTCCCGATTACGAAAAGTCTGTTGCGGACGTTTACATTGAAGCGTTCAAGTACATGCTAGCAGAAGTCGACATGAGCCCATTCTGCTTGTTGGGCCAGGGTTTCAACAGCACAACATGTATGGGACTGCCATCCTGGGTCCGCGACTTCTCTAAACCTCTAGAAACAAAGCACCAGATTCGAAGAGCGTTTGAGGCATATCCTCTCTTTAATGCTTGCGGTGGGAGAACTGGAAAAGCCGTGGTGTTGGATGACAACAAGTTAGGCTTGACCGGAATTCAAGTTGACAGTGTCAAAGACAAGTCATCCATATCTATGACTTCCGCTTCTACAGATTCATGTCTGCAGGATTGTATTTCTGACTGGGTAAGGACTGCGACAATGAATGGAATTATGGTGTCGACCAAGACCGTGGACCAAAGGTTTGCTCGCGTCCTTTGCGGTGGGGTCATTGATGGTCGAGACGGTCCAAAGGGATCTTGGCGACTCCTGGAGCAAGACGACCACGACCTGCCAGACAGTACGGAGTGGGAAGACTTTCTCTCTGGTGTTGGACGAGCTTTACCTCGGAAATATCGCGTCGGTATGGGAACAGCAACTGATGGGCAAGCTTTTTACGTAACGCAAAAGGGACGCATGGGGCTCTCGTCTCCTGACCTGGAGATTGACGACGAGATATGGTGTATTGAAGGATCCAAGGTTCCATTCATATTGCGAAGAACGGACAATCCTGATTTCCATCGGTTGATAGGAGATACATATCTGGAAGATGTGATGCATCGGCAAGATAAAGACGGCTGTGTCGATGGTCTGCCTGTGGTACTTGTGTGACAAAGCACCAAGCATCGCTTTCGAGTTACTTAAAACCTGCCGCAGATTGTTTAATATCATATTTATAATATTCCTCTACCTTTCGCAATCTTGTCATTTCCCCCTTTTCTCGTGTCTGAAGAAAGAAGAGACGTTGGAAGCTTTCGAAACCAACCTGGCGGGTTTTCATCGCTTCTAGTTAGATCACTATTGAGCACACGAATACATGGTAGATGTATTATACGTCCTATATATCTCACGCTGCTACGTACACAGAATTGTCAATCTTAAAGGCAATGATGGTGTTTCAAGTTTTGAACTAAACCTCCAAACGACGCTCAAATGTTTAACTAGGCAGTCCGAAGAGTACCGGTAACTGCAATACCGAAGGCGATCCAAGCTCCCAAGTCAGTCGTCAACAAACGTTGCCAGTTGAGCGAAAGCCAGCTGTCAAGCGTGTCGTTTAGATCCGTATCCTCCTTGGCCTCCATCAAAGCTTGAAGCTTGGGGGCAACAAATGGTACATACACAAGATGCCCAAGAGACAAACTTGCGCCGGCAGCGTACCACCAGAATGTTCCCTTCGCGCGGAGCAAATTCGGATTCAAACGAAGGTTCGCAACGGCTGTCGTAGCGGAGACGGCAATGAAACCCAATACCATGGTCAGCCCCCTTGGGAAGAAGGTTTGAAAGTACGATTGCAGGACTGGTGTGCTCTTTTTGCGGGTGTTGGGTGCGTTGAGCATGCCGAGGAACAGGTTTTGGTCCCATGCGAAGAGAAGGGTGCAGGTTGATGACACGAGAGGTGCTGCACGTAGCGCGACGAGGGGGTCAAAGATTACACGAGAGGCCATGTTGGATGATTATTTCTGCTGGTTCTCTGCGATGTGTGTTGGTACCAGAAAGAAGAATGAAGATTGAAGAAACTTGAAAGCAGTGGTCTGTTGAGACTTGACCGTCTGACATGGTGGCTGATATAATCTCTAGTTCCTGAAGTGGGTCAAATCCTTCGGCGAGTTTCCCGTGCCAAACCCGCCGAAATGTATCATACGGTTCCCCACCGAGGATCCAGAAAACGGCTTTCACCCGGGTCTCCGGCCTCGGCTGGGCTGTCGATGCTCGATCCGGATGATCGAATTTCGATAAAAGCGTCCAATCATCATTTCTTTCTGAAGGCTCCGAGCGATTCAGCTAGCCATATGACTTTCCTTGGACGAAAGTTGCACGAAACTTCCCGTAGCATCCCGCTGACGAAATACCATCCCCGGTACCGATTCCTTTCAATTACAATCATTGTCTGTTGGATCCTTATGGCCGGCCTCGAAGTTCGTTTCAGTTTCTGAAGACGTGACATTATATTCTTCGAAAGAATGAACTCATCCGCCTCACGTCTCATGTTAAGATTCTGTTTCTTGAAGGAATTACTTCGTTCTCTTACTCTCAATAAACAACATCAGTCAGTAGAGCTCACCATCCTCAAACCATACTATACGACCGGAAGCACAACCAATGTAGATTGTGGATTCCCTCACGGCGGATGCAGTAGGTCGGTAATCCGGGGGAAGCCAAATAATCTTCTCGCCACCTTTCATGATCCAGGTCCTGTCTGAGCTCAATCTAAGCCCCCCAAACGCTGCATTATACTCCAAGCTCTCAGAATAAGGAACCATATCCAACTGGACAGGCTTGAAGAAATCAAAAGTTCCTAAGTCTGTGTGCAGTCTTGTCTCAATCTTTGGATCAAAAACAAGGCTCCGTACTGAGCCAATGTTAAGCGTTGCGTACTGCACTCTTTCTGTCACATCCCAAAGGCGAATTTCAGTCTCCGATGCTGCTGCTACCAGCCGATCGTCGTTAGAGAAGGCGACCGCTCCGATGGAACTTTGTTTTCCACTTTGAATCGTCCACGTGGGCGCGCCTGTCTTTGTGTCCCAGATACGAAGCACCCTCTCTTCTGGCCTCTCCCCCATTTCCTCTGCCGCTGATACGAGTAGACGGGTGTCGTTTGAGAATGAAATAGCCCTGACTACGTACTCCTCATCTTTAAAATAGCTGTGAGCAGCACCTGTCATTATGTCCCAAATTTGAAAGATTCCATCATCCGATCCTGATGCTAGGAGTTTGTTGTCGGGGGAAAAGGCAATCGCCCTCATCCAGTTGCCAACCCTAAGTGAATAAAGAAACTCACCCCTTGTTATGTCCCAGACATTAAGTGTGTAGTCCGCTGAAGATGTTGCTAAGAACAGGCCATCAGGCGACAAGGCCACTGTTAGAACTGGTCCTTGATGGCCTGTGAACATTTGCAAGTGCGTATTATCGAGAGCATCGCCAAGACGGACTGTGCCATCTTCTGAGGCTGACACGAGGAGTTTACGATCGGCTGAAAGTGTGAGAACGTTGATCTTGTCGTTGTGACCCTCGACGGTTGGCTGATATGTGTCTCGATACATATACCACACTCGCACCGAACCGTCGTTTGCAGCTGATGCTAAAAGTTGGCCATCGGGTGAAAAGGCGACTGAGTTGATTGAATCGGTATGGCCCTGGATTGTTGATACATGGAAGCCACTTGCTACGTCCCAAAGCCGGATACAGCGATCTGTGGAACCTGACGCTAGGAGCGAACCATCTGGCGAAAACTTGACTGTGTTGGCGGAGCCGCCATGTCCTTCTAGTCTTCGTAGGTTTGTGCCATCCAACTCACATAATCGAACCATCCTGTCGCCAGACCCTGATGCTAGTAGTGTACCATCGGGTGAGAATGCAACACTGCTGACAGGTGCAGGATAACCTTCAAATGTATGCCGGTGATTACCTTCCATGTCCCACAGGCGTACTGTCTTGTCGATTGAGCCCGAAGCTATCAGCTTGCCATCTGGTGAGACAGCTATTGCGGTAACCGCCTTATCGTGACCTTCAATTGTCTTTTGGTGGATTCCATTGGTGCTCCAAATGTGCACAGTTTTATCCCCTGATGCCGAGAGCACTAGCTGGCTATCAGGTGAGAAGACAACTGCGTTGACCGAGGAGGTATGACCCTCAAGCGTATGCCGACATACGCCATTCATGTCCCAGAGCTTTACTGTGCTGTCGTATGATGCTGTGGCTATCAGCTTGCCGTCCGGAGAGAATGCGACCCCCTTAACTGGATAGCCATGGCCCTTGAGAGTGCCCCGATGCCCGCTTGTGGTAGAGTCCCACAGCCGAACTGTCCCATCATAGGATGCCGATGCTATCAGCTGGCTATCTGGAGAAAAGGTGACATCTCGAACCCAGTCGTTGTGGCCCTCAAGTGTTTGCTGGTTCATATCCCAATCTTCTTTCACACCATGAATACCCGCAATTCTTGGCAGTTGTTCATGCCAGTACCTCAACCGCACCTTGCTCGAAATTGGGGAGAACAAGAGCGATGCGGCGTATACTTGCAGAGGAACACGTCCGATGATGGGTCCAAAAGTTGAGATGAATCTGCTAGTATCCTTGACTAAGTCTATAAGTTCTAGGGAAGTGTCGGGGACACTCTGTTGCGGGTCAGCCTCGGTATGAATGAAAACGGCAGTATTGACTAACCTGCAGCGTTTTGAGTAGTCTTTTGATGGCAATTCCACCATCTGACAACCTCCCTAGAAGCGAAAGGGCTTCTATCCAATGGAGAAAGTGTTCAGTGAGAAATATGGAAACGGCATTGTCCATGGGTCCGCTGTGCTGTAGATGATGAATCCAATAGCAACAGGCATATTTCAGGTCTGCAGGTATACGACTTTCTATAACCCGCTCATCGATCTCATCTTTGGCCTTCCCTGTGCTTTTGATGCCACAAATGTCTCGCCGAAGACCCAGTCGCATACGTTGTATGCACCTCAACGTTAGCATAGCATGTATGTTTCCCGGATCTATGCCGTATCTATTCGCTCCGGGGCCTTCTTGTCCAATAAGGAAATCGCTGAATGACTTGTGCAATAGCCTGAGGGGCATTTTTTCGTCACTAGGATTGTCTAAAACTGCATGCAACTCCTGAAGCCACCACTGAACATCATCAATGTCCATGCCAAGAAGAGATGCAAGAGATGTAGCCGGAAGCGGATCCGCAAGAAGAACCAGGGAGGCGAGGAATTGCAGCTGGCGCTCTGATTCTCCTTCTTCGTTACCAAGAAAAACTTGGTTTAGAACAGGTTCGTAGATTTGACTGAGTTGAGATTGATTGCCATCACACTGTTTAAGCCACAGCTCCAATTGCTTTTTTTGGATTCTTTGGGCGCTTTTCGTCGTAAACAAATCTGCAAAGGGTCGCCGCGTAGATGAAAAGCGGTTCCGGATTGGTAGCTAGCTGCAACAAGCGACTGAAATCCTCAGGGGCAGGCCAAGGGTCCTGTTTGACCTTGCGCTTCAACCTTATCTCCTTGAATCTTTTCTCGAGGAAGGTATGTATGTCGACTTGAGTTTCCTTGGAGAATTCGCGTTGCAGGAGCTCTAGACTGCGAAAATCCTTGTTTTTACGGAGTTCCTCAAACGTATTGACAATCTCAGGAGCCGATCTGCTGGTGAGTAGCACACGCAAGCGTACTGAGCTGACAGATTGAAGCTGACAAAATAGATTGAGAACTTGCGAGAGGTGTTCAGGGCGCTCACACTCATCCATCGCGTCAATGATGATTACCTTGGTTGAGATACCCGACTGTTCAGACGAAATGTCGACAAGTGGGTGTAGAAGAAGCTTTTCGAACTGAAATTTAAGCCCTTGTCCTTCTACTGTGGTTTTATCCGAACCATCGAGAGATTTCCGGAGAGAATTCTTGAAATGTGGGATTGTGTCGACCAGCTGCATAGCAATAGTGGGAAAAAATCGAGCCGTGTCGTTGCGGCCTTTCTCGCCTCTCTTGAAAAAGTAGCCAGCAGCTAGTCGATTGTTCTCGTAGAGAAAGTCGGCAACGGTGCGAGCGATGGTTGATTTACCGGTCCCCGCAGGACCGACAAGCCAAAAAAGAGGCTCAGCTGACGGCTCATCGATCCATTGATGTATCCTTTTCAGGATACCTAATCTTGTACCGCTCTCGCATTTGGGACTATCCTGGACATCGGCACTGTCGTATCGTGCCTCATTGACGGTCGGAAGGTCTATCGGGCGGTCTTCCAGTATTTGGCTGCATCTTCTTCAGCATATGACATTCAAAGTGTACCTTAGTAATTGACATACTTTGTGCGTTTATGTACGGCAAGATGCTCGGATGAAATATCGCGGTGGTCTTGAGACACTTGCAGGATTTCCTTGGTTACTGACAGTAGTGATTGCATCTCAGCATAGTGTCGTCCCGCCTGCTTATTCGCGGCTTCCAAGGTTTCGCGCGAAGATATGGTATTCAAGGCGCTGGATTCGTCTTTCACAATCTGTTCTAGTTCTTTGATTTTTGACACCATTTTCTCCCATTCATCGTAGCGGATCACATCTCGCCCTATGTTTAAAATCCACTTCCTGTAGAATCGGAGAACGGATTGGATCTGAAACTTGAGAATATGCTGGTATAGATCGGTGATATGAGTGTCAAATTCCCCTTTTAGCTCTGAATTGTTCAAATTCCGTGGCCAAAGGAGGGTCTCAAGCTCAACATAGTAGCGGATGCGAGAAGTGACATATGTCAAGCCGTCTCGGTTCGCCTCGGCAGCTGCACTTGGGTTCGTCAAGATTGGGAGAAGAACAGAGACCCCGGCCCAGGCAAGGGAGGCTTCGGGGGATCCCTTCACTGCCTCGTCAATGACGCCCTTCATACTTTGAACGAGGTTTACGGTTTGTGAAATCTGATCACGTAAGACAAATTCGGTGCCGAAAATAGTGTACTTGGTCTGCTTCTCATCTATCTTCTGCAGACCACGGTCCATGATGGATTTCAACTGTTGTTGTCTCTTGTCAGGGTCGACATTGTCGATTTGATTTCCAATCTGACTGGTGTTGTGTTGAAGATTTCCAGGCAGAGCTAAAAACTTTAACTTCGTTAAATTCAGTTCGGCTGTGGTTGTGACGATGAATCACCTTGTTGCAACAGTTCTCTTGAGAGTAGTTTCTCATATTCGTCCACCAGTTTGGCATCTTCCGATTGGAGCGCAACATAAGCGCGGCTCCATAGAGAAGCTGCATTTTCAGACAATTCTGGAGATTCGACCGGTACAGTAGATGGAGGTGAGCCAGAAGACTTCTCAAGAACGGAGGTTTCTGCAGGCGTCACTAGAAGTAACGGCGTCGTCGCAGCGGATAAGGCTACCTCGGTGTCGGGTGCTTCCTGATTAATACCAGATGGCAAGCCTGGAGTGTTCCCCCGTCTTGAGACTATGGCATCAGCGGGTATTGCTAACACTGTATGCGGGGTACGACTGTCTTTCGCTTGGCCGAGACTGGTGTCGTCTTCCCCATGATGCGATGTTTTGCTAAATCGATGCAGGAGCTTTGAGAAGCCCATGGTGTGCGCAAGTCGCTCAAAGATACAACTGCGAGTGGAAATATCTGAAGAATTAACGGTGGTCAGGCTGCGAGCCTTAGCAATGAGTAAGATCACTTCAGCCCTGGATAATAAGATGGCCTTAGCGAGGCTGTGGCTATGCAAGCTGGTTAGGCTCCTGGGCCAATGAAACCATCTTGATTGGTCTTACAGCGGCTTCAGCCAGCTGAAGCTGAGCTGCAAGCTGCGCCCCGATGCAGGCATACTTGGGATGTCACTCGAACAATGCGTGCAAAGGCTCGAGATTTGCAAAAGAGACTGTGTATCTTGATTAACTCGACATGGATTGTTCATTGTCGTGTGTGCCAGCACACCAAGACGCGATCCTAACCCTGTAGAACTCCTTCTTTACACTATTTATGAGACCAATTCAGCAAGTCATCTCCACGTGTGGTTGGAACTGCGAGTCAGTGTCCCAGTTGAAGAGTCTCACATCAACTATCAGACGTTGCTTATGTAACAAAAGTACCGAAGCAGAGTGTCGGAGGTTAAACCGGAAGGCACCGAAGGTCACCGAAAGGTGTCCACTTTTCTAATCTTAGGCGCCGACATTGAGTTGCACACGTTGCGCAAATCTTAATATCAGATCTGATCTCACCAACCACATCCTCTGTCACTACCTGCGTGCTGCTCTCGGCTGCTGCTCAGTTATTTTCAACCTTGGAATTTCCGCCTTGGAATCTTTCAAACGGGTGTGATATTTCTCAATAATCAGCTCAGCATGACAGACCAACGTCCAAAGCTGCTGTGTCTCCACGGCGGGGGCGCAAACGCGATGATCTTCGAAATTCAACTCATAAGGCTGCAACGGGCACTTAATTCTCGCTTCGACCTGGTTTTCCTGGATGCACCGATTGAAACGGCACCAGGGCCCGGCGTGCTTCCGGTATTTGAGGGCTGCGAGCCTTATCGGCGTTGGGTCAGCGACGACACCGCCACCCCGGAGGATGAGTTTCAGGCGCAGAAGGACAAAGCAATGGATATTTTGAAGACGTACATGAAGGAGAAGGGTCCCTTTGCCGGGTTGGTAGGATTCTCCCAGGGTGCCCGCGCCGCATCGAGTCTGCTCCTCGAGCAGCAGCGAGAGCCTTTCGTTGACGGCAAGTTGTTCGGCGTTTTCCTCTGCGGGACTTTCCCGCCATTTGTGCCGCATGAGGAAATCATCACTGCGCCGACCGTCCATGTAATTGGACTAGAGGACTTTTACAAGCCGCTCAGCGAGCAGTTGTACGAGCATTGTTCGGACAAGGTTATGCGGAGGGTTATGAGGTTCCCAGGCGGGCACCATTTGCCCACGTCACCCGAGGCGCTTCAGGTCATTGCCAGCATGATTTTGGGAGCTTACAAAGAATCAACGAGGGATTGAGATGCCGGCGGTGGGGTTGGTGGGACATGTGAATCTGAACGACACAAGCTGGAGTGAGAGCAGTTCGAGGAGAGAGAAGAGTCAAGGCGTTGATTCGTTGCTGTGATTGTTTTTGAAGATGGCAAGGACAAAACACAAAACAAATTTCAGAATTTAAGACAAGGGTATTACGACCTTGCAAGTATACCTAGGTAACCAGAAAGCTTCCTATAGACACTTAGAGGCCAGACAGGACATGAATAGAGGGCTAAAGGATCCTACGACTTGCTGGGAACGCAATCCGATGTGAGGATACTAATTACCGAACCTTATGCTACACATGGCTGTTTCTCGCACTTGTAGTGGCACTTGAACTGCTGAGCGACCTTGAAGTCCTGTCCAAGAGAAGAACCAGAGATTATTGTGAAGCTATGGGAATCTCAGTCTCGATCTCAGCCTGCAAGATACTACGCTTGAGCTTGTATGATGTAAGCCATAAGAGGGCCGACAAATTTCAACTGGAAGGGCTTTAGGAATGATTCGATTGACTTATACTATTGCAGTGCCCAATGTACCTTATGCCAATCACAATTGTAGTAGCCTAATACGTTCTTAGCGGTACGAAGTGGGCCATATAATACTAGGTCATTTTGTCTTGATGTATTTGAGGATCTTGATGAAGCTTCAAATTCGGTACGATTCCAAGCCTCTCTGACTATCACTTTCTTCCAGCTTGGAACTAAACTTCTCTCAAATTTTGGGACAAAGCGAACAACTTTGAAAATAACGCGAAGTCAAAGACTGCAGCTACCTGGGCGACGGGCCATCGAAACACAACTTACCGGCACAAGAACAAATATGGTAAAAATCATCTACAACCTAGAAGGTCAACCGCAAAGCAGTATGTGATCCGAGTAAAAGATGCAGCCCCAGCGAAAGGAGGTTTACTACGTAGTAGGTTCTGGCTAGGTAATTAATGAATATATATGAATTTGCCGTGAATCTGATAAGGAGCTGGGTGAGTGCCTTAGCGGTAAAACCTTCGTGACCCGGCATTGCTCAGTGAAGCAGTGAAGCTGAAAACGCGAAGGCATGTGGGACTTATGAATGACCATCATGAGACACATTAAGACCAAATGATTGGACCTTTACTCGTTGCGATTGTGCTCATGAAGATGCCAAGAACAAAATTGGCTATTCAATGGCTTGAATTCGGTACATTGTGTAACCATTTCCAGCCAACGGCAGCTGTCTTGGATTTTGATGGTGTGAAATGGAAGCGTGGCAGCCAAGTTTTGGACAGACGCCATGTGGGGTAGTCCACATACGGTTAGCGTCACTCGCTTAGCTTTGTTTCTGATTATCTGTGCTCAATGTAAAACAAGTGACGACACGATAAGAAGATACGGACCCACCCCCGGCCACTCTCCATGGTGGCCCCGCCATCTCTCTACGTCACTTGCAGCTACTCGAAGCTGAAGCTTGCATCTCCTGAACGCCCGCCAGTAAACAAGGAACGGGTTATGCGACAGCCACCCCTGTACTCCGTAAGAAGCTACGTGCTGTTGCTTCTTTTCGGCCTTGGTTGTTGGAGAGTTTGTCCTATTCTTCTCGGATTCAAGAGGGTGTCTTGCCCGCCTAGCACTGTCAATTGACGATCGACCTCTACCTCTTCGCCTTAAAATTGGCCCCCACGAAGCCAGCACCCAACGCTGACACTGCAGATCACGACGATACTGCTAACGGGGAGACGTGGAGATACCATAAAGAGGTCGTCGTATCCAAAGTAGCCATGCCGGGCAACTGGGCTACCCGCCTGCTAGGCTGGGACCGACACCCCCGAAGACACCACCACGACTTCCATGCGGACTGGATTCGCGATGACCGCAGGCGCCGTATGTGTACTCTTGCTGTTCCTGGCTTGGTTTCCGAAGCTAACCAAAGGCATGTTGTCTTATTCTAGTCCTCCCACAGTACCGATCCGAACACCTTCAGTCCGCGATTCCCGCCCCCGATGTTACAAAGATTGCCTTGAAGCTTCGTCACTTGATTGAGCTGGCTGTTCCTTGCGAGCTGGATGAGGAAGAGATCACAAAAGCGCACAGCAAGGTCATCACGACCAAGGTCATTAAGGCAGCCAAGGAGGCCGGTGGTTCACACTATGGGTCTTGCGTCGTCTTTTGCCTGATTGTCTGCAAGCGATGGTTCAAGCACCAGGCCCTGGTCGAGCTATGGGATGCCGACTTGCATCGGGTACGAGCTGTCGCATGCGAGGTGATTGCCAAGCAGATGTAAGTCTGGATAAACATTGTTATGGCGGCTTTCAGAGGGATCTTTACTAATGTAGCTTGGCTACAGCATCGAGGGAGAAGAAGACTTAAACTATCTTATGCACTCCGTCCTGCTCCGCCGGTACTCCATCATCGTTGATGGCGAGGCTACTCCTCCCGCCAACGCTATCGAGAAGGCTGTCGACCTCCACGCCGTCAAGGTCATCGGCTCCTCGGGCTACCAAAAATGCATTTCATACCTTTGGAAGGGCTGGCTTGTGCAGGATGAAAACGACCCGGCTGTGTTTGTCGACTACAAAGACAAGGACAACACCAACTTCATCGTCCACATGGATCCCGACCGCATCCGCGCGCCCATGTACCAAAATGCCACCCAAGTCCTCATCTCCTTCGTATATATCGGTCTCTTCACTGCTGTCGTCAATTCAGCCAACCCTTCTGGTGTTTTTGACACGGCAGAGGTCCTATTGTACATATTCACTCTCGGTTTTATTTGCGAAGAGCTCACAAAGTTCTACAAAGCGGGCTACCACATTCTGGGTTTCTGGAATGCCTTCAATGGTGTTCTCTACAGCTTCATCACGATATCTTTTGTCCTTCGCATCGTTGGATTGACGCATCACGAGGGCGACGATACACGCCAATTTTACAGCAAATTGAGCTACAACTTCTTAGCCTTCAGCTCACCTATGATTTGGTCGCGTTTGCTGCTGTATCTCGACAGTTTCCGCTTTTTTGGAGCCATGCTGGTGGTGCTCAAGGTCATGATGAAGGAGTCCATCATCTTCTTCGCCTTATTGATTGTCCTTGTGATTGGCTTTCTCCAAGCCTTCATTGGCCTGGACCTCGCCGATGACTGGGTTTTGGACGACATTTTGTTCATCTTACAGGCCATGGCTAATGCCGTGATGCAGAGCCCAGACTTTGACGGGTTTGACCAGTTCTCGCCGCCATTTGGCATCATCCTGTACTACTGCTTTACTTTTATCGTCATGGTAAGTCCTGAAATCGCATTTACTTGTCATTTTTCCTTGTCCCTTCGGAGAGCTAACCCGACGCCAGGTTGTCTTGCTCAACATTCTCATTGCGTTGTACAATTCCGCGTATGAGGACATTTACGACAACGCGAATGATGAGTACCTCGCTCTGTTCGCCCAAAAAACAATGCAATTCGTGCGTGCTCCGGACGAGAACGTTTACATTCCACCGTTCAACCTCATTGAGGTTATTGTCATCTCCCTGTTCTGGTGGATGGAAAAGTCCAAGTTCGAGCGCATGAGCGACGTGATTATGGGTATCATCTACTCGCCCGTTCTGGTCGTCGCAGCGTGGTACGAGACCCGCATGGCTGGCGAGATCAGGAGCAACCGCGCTAGAGGCGAGGAGGACGACGACACGGTTGAGGAATGGGAGCAGATGATGGACCAGGTCGACTTTGAAGCTGACGGGTGGAACAAGCTGTGCGTTAGCGCCAAGACCAACCTCGAGACCGACCCTACTATTTCCGAAGTGCAGAAACTGCGCAGCGAGGTTGAGGAGCTCAAGAAGATGTTGGTCGACATTTCAAAGGCCGTGTCCGTTGGGAAGTCTGGCAACGAGCAAGCGTCCAGCCTGATTGAGCTGGAGGAGCCAACCCAGAGCCAGAGCAAAAAGAAGAAGAGCAAGAAGGGAAAGAAGGGAAAGAAGACGGGAGGTGACGGAAATGCATCTGGATCCTCGGGTTCGAGCGACGAAGAGTGAAGAGCCTTCGTCTGATGGGGTCCGCAGCTGGTCCATGCGCCGTACTTTTATTGTGGTCGTTTTATTGTTGGATGTACATGTCATGACCGTCATGTCACGCTGTCATGAAGAAACTTGTTTTGTTTTGGGACAACGATTTAATTAGTTCGGATGCGAGTCAGAAGCGTTGGCGTTGATCATCAGTAATCATTTGTCAGATTGGATTGATGTGCATAGCAAATACTACTAATACGGCGATTTGATGACAATTGGAATAGCCAAGCAGATAGACTCCGTCGAGTCGGGCTCACGGGTGATGCAAATAGTGAGCAGCCGTCATTCCCGCAGTCGGCTCCGGCCAGACTGGTTCGCCCGACCCACGAGAAGAAATGAGCCCGTCCAGTTGGTGCAAGTAGTACAGGACGCAAATTGTCCCGGATGCCGGTTCGGGTCCTACGCGAGGGGGGCTGTGACAACCTCAGCGGGTACCAGCACCACTCAAACTGGGGTCATTTTTGAAGACAAGCCAGAGGAAGAACCTTATTTTTTACTCTTTGGAGCCGACCTTCTTTTGACCTCCCCAGGTGGGATTGGACCCGTGGAGATGTTGACATTGCAGATGGGGGGAGACTATCCCGAAGAGACCTAAGCTGGGCTTGGGAAGAAGACTATTGCTGGCCTGCCATCCCTACCTTACCACCAATGTTTTTGTATTGTAATACTCCATGTGTCTTCCTTTTTACCCCCCCCTGGTCCAAACCTGGATCTCTAGACGTTTTAAAGTTTTGTGGCATCCAGCGATACCCCAACCCAATCAATACCCCTGACCTTAACAATCAAGAGTGGTGAGTGGTTTGTTACCCCATCATCAGGAACACTCGGCACAGGTAGCGAGAAACGCCAACCGCTGAGGCCGCTGGACGGGACAACTCGTCCTCCCCCTTCCCCCTGTTTTGCCTTGGAGAGATGAACAGTTTTGTCTTTAATTCTGCCGAGGACGGGGGGATAGATGACCATCTCGACCCTTAAAAAAAGAATTTGGCAGGGGGATTTGGGGTTGGATAGGGGGCCAAGTGGCTGCTTATGGTATTTTCTGTACATTACCATTCAAGTCTGGCTGGCTTTCTGATCGGTACCAAGGCTCGGAGAGATTCATAACCTACCCCTGGCGCTTATCCGGCATGATTTTCGAAACATGATCCGAACATTGGCGCGGGACCACGGCACCAGTGTAAACAGTTTTTTCCTGTGTGTATGTCTCTCCTCACAGATTCAGATTGTCAGGCCCATCTAGTTCCTCGGGGATTGCTTGGCTGGAATGTCAAACGCTGTGGGCTTAGCCTGATTTCAGTATTGCTAGGGGGGGGGGCCAGATTTGGGGCAGTTTTGTGAGGGAGAGCTTGGACCGTGTCAGCTATCGAATGGCGGCGTGTGTGGCACCGCTTTTAGCTCGTCCCAAGGATTTGCATGCTGCGTTTAGACTCCATCCGAAGGGGGAAAAGCTTGGCCTGCAGGGCGTACAGAGCCTGGGGTTGGGTAGACAAGCGTGCAACCTCGGATGTCAGATCCCCCGGTCGATGGAACGACTCCCTTCCGCGGGGCGGAGCTTGTTTGTTGTAGTATAGCAACGACTTTTTTTTTTTTTTGGTGAGAATAGAGCAGCATCAAGTATACTTCCGTCTATTCCGCGGCGCTGTTTGTGAGGCCGCCACGCTCGGCATCCTCGTACCGAAAAGCGGCTACACGCCCTGGACCTTGGAACCCTTGGGAACGGAAACACAGAGGTCTGGGGTGGCTTGCGGAGAGATTCTTGACTGTTACAAGGAGTCCTTCAGGAGGTCCATCATGTTTCTTCAGTCTTGGTATTATTGAAACCCAGACTTGTATAAGTAGACGACCGTTTTCCTGTCTAACTCGGATTTTGTTTTCATCATCACTTCAAACAAACTCTCACATCATTGGTCTGGAACTACAAACATCAACAACAACAACGACAACTACTAAAAACAACTATAATCTTATATTTACTCTTTCCATCCTATTTTTAAAACAATCCAAAATGCACGCTCAAACCCTTCTCGCTCTCCTCCCCGCCGCCGTCATGGCACAGTACGGCTACGGCAACCAGGCCGAGAAGGCCTCCAGCGCCAGCGCCGCAGCAGCAACTTCCTCTGTCTCGGGCGTCCACGTCGTCAAGGTCGGTGACGGCGGCCTGACCTTCGAGCCCAGCGAGATCAAGGCGGCCGTCGGCGAGGTCGTCGAGTTCCACTTCTACCCCCGCGCCCACTCCGTCGCCCAGTCCACCTTTGACAAGCCCTGCGAGCCTCTGGTCAACGGCACGACCACCGGCTTCTTCAGCGGTCCCGTCGCCGTCTCCTCCGGCGTCGGCGCCGAGGTCTTCAGCGTCACCGTCCAGGACACCAACCCCAAGTGGTTCTACTGCGCCACCGGCCAGCACTGCCAGGGCGGCATGGTCGGCGTCATCAACGCCCCCGCCAACGGCCAGCGCACCATCAAGGCCTACGCCGAGGCCGCCGCAAAGGCCCAGCAGAACGTCGCTCCCGCCTCCACCGGCGGCGGCACCCTCGGACCCGCCGCTACCGGCAGCCCCAGCTCCTCCGCGCCCTCTTCTTCCTCTACCTCGCAGCCTAGCGCCGGTATGGAGGCCCGCGGCGACGTCCGCTGGGGTCTTCTCAGCATCGGCATGGCTGTTGCCGGTGTTGTTGGCGGTCTCCTCGTTTAAAAATGTTCACGGGGTGCGGTTGTCTATTTTTTCCAGATATGTCACGGGCATGATGAGGTTTACATGGTTGGGGGGGAGGGGGGCCACGGTAGGGTTATTTTATACCAGGGTTGCATCAACAGACCTGTTTCCAAGGCAATTTGGGATGGTCTGGGTTTTTGAGCGAAAATTCTACTGTACAAAGTACCAACTAGTTAAGCGTCATTTTTGAGTTAGCAATTTTTGATTAAGCTGTGCTTTCAAAGACATTTGGTTTTCTCTTCGCATATCTAGTGACATGTAACGCACTTCGGATATGACAATGACTCCCTCAGCCCTCCTAACTTCTCGCATTCATCCTCCAGCATCCGTATCCTCTCCGCAACCACACCGTACCATTTCGGTCAGAACATAATGATCCTCGGGTACCCCATGCCTTGCGAACCTAACTTATCATAACTTCTCCGCGTTTTCGTTGCACGCCGTCAGTAACAGCTCCACAGGTCATGAAATAGTCTGAAGGAATATGTTCAACCGCGTTCCGAGGTCGGCGATCGGGTACTGTACATCTGACAGCTACCTTGGCACTTACGCCTTTTTGGTAAATCGGGCGAGTGAGCAGGGGCGGTAAGTCACGGATACCTTACACTGCAAGATTTAAAGGGTTACTTCAAAATCGATGCACAATATATGAATACCTACAACAAGCAGACTGCATACCATTTTTGTCTCTCACAGTAGCCCACAATAGAACTGTTATGAACATTGATAGTATTCAAGCTTCGGAAGACATGCTTTGGAAGACTTGTTATGAGATGTGATGTGCCGACAATACATCTATTGAGACAAGTACTTTAGGACTATAAATCCATATACTAACTGTCCTGTTAACTGCTGGATATTAAAAGTTGATGGCGGTTCTCTTTTGACAAAAAACCTTCCGTCGCTCATTGGCCGCTTTTAGGGCGAGTATCATACTCCAAAATATTATTGTCCATCTATTAGATGACTCACTGCTCGAGCATATCCTTCCGATTCATATAGAAACCTTCAATGATTGCCTCCTCGGCAGCTTTCATGTCGACACTTTCAACCTTCTCCTTCAGCCTTGTTCGGCTCTCAAGCAACTTCTTGACGACATCCTCCCATGCAAGCTGCGTCCCCTTTAGGCCAAGGTCGTGCGCCCCCTCGACTTCGTTCCCAACTGAGATGGGGAGCAGTTCGCCTTGCTCCTTTCTGATTACACCGCCCACGATAACAGTTTCCACGTCTCTTTCACTGGAGTGTAACACAACGGCTGCAACGGGATTCTCCTCTGCGGCAGCAACCATTGACGGGCTGGTCGTGTCGAACACGACCAAATCCGCTTTGGCACCAACCTTTATCTGCCCAATTTCGCCCGCCATTCCAATCGCACGAGCACCTCCAACAGTTCCAAGGTTGAAAACTTGCTCTGCGGTAAGTCCTGTGTGGCGACTCCACTTACCCTGGCGTCGAAGGGCCTCCTGGCGTTCGGTGCGAGCGTATTGAAGGCCAAGACGCATCTGGTTCGGCATGAAGGCACTGCTCCAGCTGTGACAATCGACGCCAAGACTAGAGTGTGCTTCAAACTCGGGGAGAAGAGCAACCGGCGGAGACCCCATCTGAAGTTCGGTGTTGGGGGTTGAAGAGATCCATACGTTGTTCTTTGCAATCAGCTCTGCGTCGCCCTCTTTGGGGAAATTACCGTGTGAGAGGAGGATATCCGGCCCCAAGAGGCCGTGACTGTCGAGGATTTGCACGACTGAAGGTCCGTTGCCAAAGGCAAGGCCAGAAGCGGCGTGGCTAGTGATGACCTTGGCCCCCGCAGCTCGAAGTTCCGAGTAGAGCTTCTTCAATGCATCTCCTGACTGATAGACGTTGTCAACTGAGAACCCGAGCTGAACCCTTTCATCACCGTATGGGCCCTTGGCGACGAGAGCTTTCCAAGCCTCGACTCCAGAAGGACCATAGTCGTCTTGTACTGCCAACGGATTCAAATTTGCGACTTGTCTTGGAAAACAATAACCGTACACGGCCCGCACGCCGGATGCGGCTAATGCCTGAATCATCGTGGGTGCTGCGTCGATTAGATCCCTTCATGTATCCAGTTTGAAATGGTCACTCACGGAATTCAGGGCCCAAGTTCAGATGCGAATGATCGACAACTGTAGTGGTGCCGCCATCAATGGCCTCAAGGGCGCCGCCCAACTCGCCCCAGAAAGCATCTTCGGCTGTGTAGAAGACACCACTGAAGTTTCCCGAGGGTAAATATTCCAGTAGGGTATGATCGGCATGCAGCCCCTTGAGTTGAGTCTGCCACACGTGGTGGTGTGTGCTGATGAAGCCTGGGGATACAATCTTGTCCTTGCAGTCGATGACCTTGGTATCGTCGCTGGTCGGTATGTGGTTATCGATTTGGATGATCTTGTCACCTTCAATCAAAACATCCGATTGTTGACGGACTACTTTATCACCATCTCCGTGCACCAAGAGTACACCGTTCTTGAGCAAAAGTTTAGAGGAAGTCGAAGACATGATAGATAACTGTAAGAATGTGAAAGGCGAAGAGATCACGTCTCATCATTACTCCAACGGGGTTGTACCACCACTTTTAACTTTAATGGAACATTCCACATGCTGATGTGCTCGCACGGCGCTAACGGTGGTTTAAGCCTAAAGTCCATCTGACGTAAGCGCCTCCCAGCAAGAAAAATGGCATTGGAAAATCATGGGGTTAACCTCGGACTCTGTGGGTGGAGGCTCGCTTTGTTGCCAGAAGAAGCTAAACGCGAGGAGCGAGGTCAACCACACCGTGCATTGAAAACATGGATCCCCGCTCTCAGACGATCTCCGGAGGCCGAGCCGGCCGGTGGGCGAAAGCTCCAGTGGGCGCCGCTACGACAAGCTGAAAATGGATATGTGAACAATTTAGCAGCATCCTGAAGGCGCAACGAGTGGACATCTAGCGGAACAAATTTAAGCATGTGACCATGCCTTGCATCTCCAGCTGAGTCCCTTGCATGTTGATAGCGCTGTTTGAAGGAGAACTTGATTCAGACAAGAGGGTTTGATGATTCGACTTGTACCCTTGCCCGGAAGGGACCTGCGACTTGTCTGCAGAGAAACGGACAATTAATTCTCTTGATGATCTATCATCATCATCGTCATCACCGTCAAGTTTCGTAGGGTATACTTGTTACCCACTGCAATAGTCGCAGTTGGAACGGAATTACGAAGGTCGTCAAAACTTAGGAAGACTCGGTAATATCACAGAATATTTGACGAACTTAGCAACTAGTTAGAATAGTTCTGCATAGTCTCTAAGTAATGCGTCCATTGGTTGCATGATCTCAATTCTGCTCAAGTTTCGCAACTTCTCCAAATCTGGGGGCAGCTCTGATTCATTTCAATCAAGCTCTTGGCCTCCTACGTGCAGCTAATTCTTTCTCTCATATTTGCCTGTGACCTGGATCTGAGGGGTCTTGAAAACCTCCCAGTTGTCAGACGCCTTGGGGTTGCCAAAGGGCTTTAGGGTGGCAAATCGCATGCTGAAAGTAATAGAATCATTAGTCAGATACTCCAAAAGGGATTAAGACCTTTCTTACGTGTAGTTGCCAAGCTCAATCTGGCTGCCATTGCCCAGCTTTCCAAACCACCAGAACTCATGGTAAGAGGCTTGCGTCTGAGCATTGCGGTACAGATCAACCTTGGGGTAGGTCCATGTGTCATCAGGATCATAGACGTTGGGGTCAAAGTAGGAGACACTTCCAGTGACGACATGGCTAGTAGCGGGGCCAATGTAACCGTTTTTGCCCGGCACAGGAGGGTACTCCCACTGTCTTTCTGTCCATCCGGCTTCGTAAATCTAGACATGTATTGTCAGTCTTGTGCTTCTGTAATCCGGGCTTCCATTTCAACCTACATCCCATCGGACTTCCCTGGTACCCCAAATAAGCTTCGAGTAGATAATGGGGTAATCCCTAACTGATGTACTCAGGTCGAAGGAGTACACACTATATTAAATTAGAAAAAATACTATTGACGCCGGTGCATGTGACTTACTAGTCGCGTTGAGTGGTGAAGGGATAGGTGGGGCGGTAGATGGGGCTGACTTCGGTCTTGAGATTGGCGCCGAGACCTGCAAACGACGTTAGATGGTGCTTAGTTCTGCTAGTATTGATGATAAATTTGATATTGAAGGCCTACCGAAGTATGGGACGGAGAGCTGCTCTCCGCTGTTACCGGTAACAATGACCTTTCCACTGTAGATTGGCAACGCTGACGAGTTCCAGCCCAGATTGTCGGGGTTGGGGAAATTTACACTATATCCATTAGTCGTACGTTCCCTAAGAATAATAGTGGCAAGAAACTTACGAGACAGTCTTGCTTTCGCCCGGCTTCAGAGTAAAGTCTCTCGGCACAGAGACTGCAACGGGCAGACTCTTGGGGGTCAACTCGGAGAAGCTCTTCAATCTTCTTTCACCCGCGTAGGGTTCAACAAACGGATACCAACCGAGGATTTCGACGCCGGCAGCTGCTTCATAGGAGAACTTGTAGCTAACGTCCTTGGCCCCGTTGTTGGTGACGGTAACATCGTGGTACCGGCTGAAAAAGTGGGTATCGTTCAGAGCAATCTTCTCGAAAGTAAGGCTGGTGGTGTAGTTGACGACCTTGAAGGCGTTGATCAAGCCGTTACCAACCTGGGCAACGGGGGCAGAGAAGCCATAGTCAGTTGCGGTGCCATCGGACCATGGGAGTGAGGTGCCGCTGGAAATAATGCGCTGATGCAACGCCTTTGCGAAACCCTTGCCTATATACTGCTCGTTAGCTGCTGTAGACCATCGTATCGATTGTGAAATCTGGTGCAACATACCATGAACAGAACGTCCGCCGTGGGCGCTAATGTAGAGAGCTGCAACACCGGCGACGTATGGGGTAGCCATCGAGGTGCCAGAAAGCAGGGCATAGGTGTTGTCGAGGTATGTGCTAAAGATCTATGGTATTGTAAGGATGAGAGGGTCACCCGGACAGAGAGCGATTGGTTAAAACTTACCTGGCCACCAGGAGCAGCAATATCAGGCTTGATCTGGAGATCATAGGTTCCTCCCCAGGAGGTGAAGGTGTTTGGACGTCCACCAGCCGGGTACTCGAGACCAACGATTTGCTCGGGGTTGATGGAGAAGTCTGCTGTCACGTTACCTCCAGCCTTGACAGTGTCAATGATGGAGGCGCCAGCTGCAGCAGTGATGAGACCAATGAGGCCTTCATCGCTGTCTGTAGAAGGCGTGATAAGAGGGCCGTCATTGTTGTAGATCAGAATATACTCAGCACCAAGAGCGACTAGATTGGCCTGCTTCGTGGAGAAAGTGCAAGTGCCACGGCGAACGAGAGGAATAACGCCCTCTAGCCTCCTGGTGCCCTCGGGGTAAGGCTCACAACCATCAGCAGGGTCGGTGGTGTCGAAGTTCAAGGGGACAATAGGCCAATCTGTGACCTCGGACGAGAAGTAGTAAGTCGATGGGAGGTATCCAGCCTTTATCTGTTAGAACATCGCAAACACAAAAGAAGCCAGGATGGGTTATATACCTTGACAATTTCAGTCTTGCCGTCAAGAGTGGAAGTAAGCTCAAACGGCGACGCAGGAAACGTCTCGGTTTCGACCGAAGCCACTGCAAGCACGTTTTCACCAGAAGAGCCGCTGCTTGCAAAGAACGGACCAGCAGCGCCCGAGTTACCGTTGGCAATCGTCACGACAACGCCCTCTTCCACGAGTCGCGAGGCAACTTCTGCCCAAGCACCGGTAGACCAGCCGCTTGGGCCGCCGATACTGGCAGTGATGATGTCCACCTAAGAAAGAAGTCAGTATATCACTGCATACAAAGCACCGAATGACGCACCCCATCAGTGTAAGCTCTAAGGAATGACTCAATGAGTGTAGCATCATCGGTGGCGTCCTAGCGATAATTAGAATTGAAATCAATTGAACTGTTTTGGTTTCAAGACTCACAACTTGACTGAAAACCTTGTAAGAGTAGAGAGTGGCCTCAGGAGCAACACCGGTCCAGCTGCGTGAGAGAGTTATTGACCATTCTGTACATCTTAAAACATTTGGGACTTACAAGTCAGTCTTTCCAGCAATGATGCCACTGACATGAGTACCTTAAGGTCTTGTTAGATAGCTCTGTCTCGTGGGTTTAAGTACAACCTACCGTGGCCCATTTGATCCAGAGGATCGTCATCTGGGGCCTTGTCTTCGTAGGGCCAAACTATGTCCAATCAGCACAGTTCATATACTTTCCAGTGCTGGCGACACTTACTGCCGTTACCAACGAAATCATAGCCACCTGCGACCTTGAAACCAGGACCAAAACCTCCTCCAAGCTACCTTGAATTCAGCGACACAACATGAGGAAAGGCGGAAACTGAAATACATACCGCAGGGTGCCTATACCACGTGCCAGAGTCAACAACACCGATCTTGACACCCTGACCAAAGATGCCCTTCTCATGGAGCTTGCTGACACCAGTCGTGTTGTGACTGCTGTAATCTTTGGCGGCAGCTTCCTCGATGGACTGCAGACCCTCGACTGGAGACAAGGTCACGCGAGTATTCGGCCACACGCGAGCAACACCGGCAAGAGATTGCAGGGTGTCAATGTTGTGGGTGTCAGTCTCGATGCTGGCGCCAGAAAAGACATCGGTCTCAAAATCCTTGACAATCTTGATATCCGATGCTAGGGTAACGTCACGACGCGCTTTGGCAGAATTCTGAGGAAACGTCAGAGACAATATCTCCAATACGGCCTAGCAGACACAAAATATTCACCTTGGTGTACTCAATGATGAAGCTCCGGGCGACTGGGGCCGTGGAGTTGTTGGTCTCCCCCTCGGGAGCCTGACGAGCAACGAATGAGCCAGCGCTTCCCAGGGCGGGAAGCGCAAGAAGACCGGCGACGCTGAGAAGATGCATCTTGGAGTTCCGCCAAGAATGCGTGTCGTTGGAGCTCCAACCTGAAAACAATGGATATGGCGCTGACAAGATGGCCTTTTTAACTTTCACTCACTGCCGCAGACTTCGTGATGCACCGCGCACTCATGATTGAATCGTATGTCATTGCAGCGTTACATTGCCGATACGGAAGCAAGGTCTCAGATGTTCCTGGTGATATCGCCATTGGTGTTGAATTGAGCTTCCTTCTTGGGAAGACTAGCCCACCGCAGGCGGGCTTCGGGATGATGGAAAAACACCGCGTATGAGACCATCAATTGCGCCTTTGGGATTTTTGCAATCTAGCGAGAACTCTATACATCTGTTTGAGAAATGGTTTTTCATCACTTGTGTTGTATTTTCATCAGCTAGCAGGTTCATCACTCATCATAGCCTTGGAAGAATCCATCTTATCCAGTGAATGAAGGATAAGGGCAAGATGCTAAAGATTGATCTGCCAGTATTTGCGATGTTTGCCTTTGGAACTGAGGGGTAAAGCATGTATTCACCTGACAGACGGATACCCTGGCCGATACCACCCAAGAGATGTCGCCAAGACTTCACCCCTGGTGCCTGAAAGCTGCAACCTGCATAGTCAAGCGTTGTGTTGGGAATCCCGTCAGATAAGAAGGACGAAAAGGTCGGTCTGCAAAGGGTTATTGTCGCCTATGGCGCAAGATGGTACCATTAACGAGCGGGAGGCGTGATTGGCGTTCCTGGGAACCAAGAGAACCTGCGCCAGAACTCTGTATCGGTCAATGTAGAGTGCAGGCTTCTTCAATTAAACCATCGATATCTATCCGCCAATAGCTGCAGGTGCCTGCATATTGCTTTTATCAATCACCTCGTGTTCAAATTGCCCATGCACCCGAGCCTGTTTGTAGCGCCTTGGCCGAATGAAAGGGTCGGTTGCATCGGCCAAGTGCTGTTCCGGGAATAAAGATAAATCGGCTGTCGGCTTTTGCATGTCTTGGCTTCCATTGGTTTAGGTACTTTGAGAATGAAATCAGCTGAACAGTTGATTTAAATCAATTGGCCTGTTTATTAAAATGTGTAGTGGTAGTTGGTTGACAACCCGATAGGCATGGAGGTCTTCGGGCCCATAGTACCGGTGCGGAACCCCGAACGGTGGGCGGGAAGCGGGTAGGAGATTTCCGCGATCGCCGCCCATCAAGTTCACATCGCGGACAGGGAGTGGAGTGAAAGCGTTTGGAGGTGTGAAGGGGATCAACAGATGAATTAACTATAGAGTTCAGCTTGGCCCTGGCTCATCTCATAGGTTACTGGCTCCCCCCAGACCGAACATAAGAATCTGTTTAGGTCATCAATATCTGCTTGATATCAATTTGTCTGATCCACCACTCTTGAATGAAGCACGCGATCTCCCTTCGTCCGGGCGAAACTACTCGCGGTGAGTAGCCGATTTCTCTTGGTGCCCCCTCTCTTCATCAATCTGCACCGATCTCCTCTGCCTGATCTCGCGATCATGAAGCTCATCTTCCATCGTCTCAACGCCAGCAACCTCTCGCATATCCGAATCATCAGCGACATCGAAGCTACGACGCAGATGCTCAGGTCCAATGAAAGTCAACACGATGACATACGCAAAGACACATCCCATGAAAATGCAAATAACTTTGCCGTAGTCGTATCGCTTCGTCTCTCCCTTCGGTGGCAGCGGGAATCGCTCGCCAAGACGTGCTTCAATTGTAGAGCTCGCAGACGAGACCAAATTACCCAACTGGTACGACGTGCCCACCACAAAGGTGCGGAAAGCGCCAGGGCTCAACTCCATCAGGTGAATAGGAATGACACCCCAAGCACCTTGCACGCAGAACTGCTCAAAAAATGCCGCAGCCATCACGGCCTCTGTCTTGACGAAGGTGTATGGGTAGAGTAGTGCACCACCGACGATGCAACAGACCACAATGCTGAACCGTCGACCAAAGATCTGACTGCAGTAACCGACAGTCGTTCCGCCCAACATAGCCCCGAGGTTAGCAACAACCTGGGTGACAGTAACCTGGTCGGCGTCGAAGTTGAGTTGGTTCGTAAGCATAGTGGGATAGAGGTCCTGGCTTCCATGGGACATGAAGTTGAACCCGGCCATCAGGAGGACAAGGTATGTCAACATCAACCAGTGGCGGCGCAAGGCGACCTTGCCCTCCTTGATGAAAGTGGAGGTCACATTGGACTTCTCCGACTCCGCGGCGTGTCTGCCGGCCACCTCGCGGAGACGTTTATGCTCGAGAAAAGTGTCGGTCTCTGGAAGCATAAGTCGGAAGGCAATGAAGAGTACCGGGGGGCCTGCGCCGAACCAGTAGAGCGGGCGCCAGCCGTGAGGGGTGGTATTAACGAGACCTCGGGCAAAGGCCGCAGCCAATAGGTAGCCAAATGCGTACTGATCGGCGGAAGGTTAGCCTCGTGATGACAGAGTTGTTGGGGCAAAGGGGAAATGGAGGCGGGGACTGGGGGGTGGAGATGATTTCGTGGGATCCGTTTCAAGACTTACACCTTGTTGTAAGATTCCGGACATCATCCCGCGTGTCTCCGCGGGGAGGTCTTCGAGAGCTGTGGCCGCCGCATTGCCGTACAAACCGCCCATGGCGATTCCAAACAGGGCGCGACATGCTAGGAACTGTTCGTATGTGTTGCAAAATCCTGTCCCCTTGAACAGACCGGTAGTGTCAGCATGCCAAACAGTTCAAGGACGTGTACTGATGTCACAAAATGCCACTGATATCACTAGAAAAGCACTAGTTTAGGCATAACACCGTTGGGCAACGGGGTGTGTGTGTGTGCTCATGATTGTGGGGGAATGCAGGGATTCCCCAACGTCGCAGCCAAGACGGGTGAGAGGGGAGGGAAAAGCTTGTCCGCTGCAGCCATGCTCGGCACGATCTTGCCGTTGAGACCAATCATGGCGGCGGGATGGTGGAACAGATGAGTGATTTCTTGCTTACCAGCTCCAAGATTATGAAGAGAATATTATTCACGATAAACGGCCATTTCCGGCCGTATCTGTCTGCTGCGATACCAAACAGAATGGACCCAACGGATCGGAACATGAGGACAAGAGTAATGCCCCAAGTAATATCGGTCTTTGATTTGTCGAATGATTCTGACAGTTCAGTGACGGTGAGTGAGACTGTAAAGAAATCGAATGCGTCCCATGTCTGTGCGTGAAAAATGTCAGCAAGACCTCTCAATGCAAGGGTTTTAATATCATGAGCTCTCAGCACTTACCCAAGCGGCGAAGGCGACTGCAAAAAAGGCCCATTGGCGACGGTTTATCATAACTATGAGCTTGAGAGGATTCGGTGCGCTGAGCATTGGGGGCTTCAGGCTAGTAACGCGTGTCGCAAGGTATCGTCCGGCGGACATGCCATGCCAGGGCGTTTGGTCCTCATGGTGTTCAGCATGAGGGCTTCGTTCAGGTTCGACGTGTGTCTTGAGTGGGAGTAATCCATTCGAAGTTTCGGAGACGCTCGGCGTCACCGGCCCTGAGGTCGGTCTATGAGCCGGGTTATTGTGGAGACTCGATGACCAATGGGTTTATTTCGGTATTGCTCTCTAGAACGGTCGAGATTGGCTGTAAAAGAGTCCAATGTCAAAGCCCTAGTAACTGCTAATACTCTCTCACTGGATATTCCGGCTTCTGGCAACCAGCATGGCCATGCAAGTGCTGGCCCGATTCGGATGAGGGACCAACAACGATCATATTGTGATACCTAATTATCAGTTCGTGATCAAGGTGAAACAGCTTACTGGCAAGTGTGCAGCTCAACTGCTACTCCAAGGATCGAACACCGGAGTCATGTTGAGATTCCCGGGCTTGAGAGCGTTGATGGAGCTGGTCACGTGCTGCGAAACTCAGGATGAAACCTCACGCTGCATATGCAGAGGAATTTAAGGAACCAGGAGGCCAAAATCTTTGCAACGGCCATTTTATTTATTACTTCTCTTATGTTTGCTCTATTCACAACCTCTCAGTGATTGTTGTAATAGCCTAAACTCCGGGTTGAAGCGGTTCAGTCGCCGGCAAGACGGCTACACACGTGACAGGTAGCTGGACGGGTATAAGATATGCGACTACTTCAGTTATCCCTTCTACTGGAACTTGTCCCTGAAATAAAAGACATCAGAAATAAGAATACTCACCAGTTCTTCTTTGATAGGATATCCCTCTTTACGGGTGCCCTATGATCCCAACAGTATCTGATCATTGCGACTGGACGGCGGTTCTGGCCTTATTTAGGTCATTTAACAAACCTCAGCTGTAAACCATTATTGCTCATTATGAACATGTTCTTTTTTTGGCGCTAACTGGGATTTAAACTGCGAGCGCCGATCTAGGATTCGAATCCCATATTTGGAACTTTGAGCCATCCGCCAAATCGGAGCTCATTAAGATCATCTCCGCTGTCCAGCAGCTCTACATCATTTACAGGCCTTTTTTGTGATTTAGGTTCTATTTCTCTTCTCACGTATTTTCTTAGCAAACTGATTCTGCTGATTGTGCGACGCTTTAGTGCTTTCCTCTTTCTAAGATGCATCTTCCTCTCATTGATACTATTCTGATTCTTGCCAATCTAGTCAACGTGAAGTAAAGAATCGCAGACTGGAAGTAAGCGAAATATTCGGTAAATACCTACACTCAAAGAATATGTTTGGAAGCTCGATATTTTGGCACTAGCAATAGTACATTTAATTCACTTTCAACTTAATTCTTGACCCTTTAGAGAAACCACACTCTACCGATATCCCTGTGATCCTATCATAAATATAAAATCTAGCTAAAGGTTTTTTCTAGTTCTAAGGTAGGATAAAAAACGCGGTTGTGGAAGATATATTCTGTCTGGTTGCCCGTCACATGGGTGCTGGCGGCTACGTAACCACTTCAATCCAGAACTCTAGCTATTGCAACAATTCACTCCGATTTGCAGACTCTTGTCGCGCATGAAAGTAGTAATCAGAATCAGGTGGCCAAGCGCATAGACTGCCGCTCATCGCCGGATGTGGCCTGAAGATTTTGCCATTCCGGTTCCGGTGATTGTAAAAAGCTCCTCCTGAGGCCACCGAACTGGGCTTGTGGCGTTGATAACAAAGGGTAGAGAAGGAATTGGCTAGTCTTCCGGCTGAGAATTTTCGGTTACGTGTACATTTGCTAATCACACATCACGCACAGATATAAAGGCTTTTCTGACTGGTCCGCAACAATCTATCTTTCAAGCTACCACTTAACTCTGTTGCCTCAAAGGTTTGCCAGGCCAAAAGATACAGACAGACTTTGCATACTACGCATACGTCGTTTTGGGCGCTTTCTCTCATCCATAACTCTCGCATAGAATTTTGAGGTCACATATCGATGTGACTGGCCAGGCATGAATCCAAATGGAGAACATTCGAACGATTCGAGACAAAGCCTTGTGATTGGCTTTACAATTACGTTTATCGTAATAGCAACAGTATTCATCGGAATCAGATTGTATTTGAGGAGGTACCTCAAAAAATGTTGGGGTCTCGATGGCTCGATATTCTTGGTCTCCGCCGTAAGCTACTTGCAGCATACATGCCGTGCAATCGCTGACGATTGTCAAGCTACTCATCATGTTTCAAAGTGCCAACATAATTGCAAGTAAGCAAAGCTGGACTCTTGTGTCTACAAACCTAGTAAATTCACAAACACGTTACTAACGTTGTCTTAGATGAGGTATACGGCAGTTTAGGGTTGCACGTTTGGGAAGCTTCACCCGAAGCTCTGAAAAGAGATAGACAAGTAAGATATCAGCGGGATACACAGCTGAGGTTCTTCCGCTGATCCAAAGAAGTTTTTCACTGCCGCTGTTCTTCTTTATCAAGTGTCTACTACGTCGATTAAAGCCACCTTTCTTCTCCAATACCGACGAGCCTTCGCATTACCCTTCGTTAAGCTATTCTGCGACATAGCTCTTGCTTTCATCCTCATCATCATGATATCGATGCTCTTATCTGGGGGTTTGGTTATGAGAATGGCGCTTCTTAATTCTGAAGACGGATCCCAAGGTGCCAGTATCTTTTTGACTTGGGCGTATGCAAATGCATCCATCCACTTTCTCACAGACATCATCATCTTCTTCTTCCCGATCCCTATCGTTGGTCGACTGAAACTCGCAACCATACAAAAAGCTGGTCTTGTCGGAAGCTTTGCTGTTGGCCTCTTGTAAGTCTCCAGATGGTAGCTTTGCAAGACTGAACACGTCACACTAACTGGTTATTTCCAAGTACTTGTGGGGTTTCGATTTTCAGGATCAGTACCTTCCAATCGAGCCTTGATGGTATAGATTCGTTCTATCGAGGCGTTCCTCTTTCTTTATTAAGCATAGCTGAGCCAACCTCTGCACTTGTGTGCGTTTGCGTGCCTCTTTTAAGGCCGTTATTAGCTCGATCTCGCTCCCATGCTGCTGTGCAACAAGATTGTAGGCCCGTGGCAGATCTCCCAGACGTATCAGCCGCCAATGGAGTGTCTCCATTAGATACAGCAGACCTTTCACGCCCTGCCAGCCCCATAACACCGCGAACTGATTCGACAGCCGTCTCATATAAAGCGCAGATCCAATAGTATCAATCTGAATTATTTTAACTTTTTATTAATTGACTACATGTGTTTCTTTCCCTCTTCCTCCGTACTTTTCAAGGATAATCTCATGCAGGTGTTCAGCTACTTTCTTTCACTTTACCCTCCAGCTTTCAAGAGTCTCCGCGTTCACGATGCCTATTAGTGTAGACAAATCGATTCGTGATATGAGGATGGCGTAGGTAGCGCGAAATTTCGTCAATTCATACACATTACGGGCAAGGTCGTTTTGTCAATTACCTTGAAAATGGATTCACTATTTTTTGTCACTATCCCACTAACGTTGCGTCCTTACCAATGAACATTTAATGACAGCTACTTGGGGTGTTTCCTGGGGCTTCGGAAAAGGGTAAATTTCCAGGTTTGGAAGGGGTAAACATAGTTCAAAGAGACGTTCAGGCAGGCAGAAGAAGTGGGGAGATTATGAAGGGCCGTTTACTTAAGAAATCTTACGGCAACATTCGATCGAAGAGTGGCCCTGATACGTAAATGCTCCCTTACCTCGTGTGAATTATTGAAAGTTTCGAATGTCTATCGTTCATTTATCATAGATTATAGACTCCTAACCGGCCATGAGATCCTAGGATAGCGCTGTTGAATTACTTTGCCATCAAAGCTGTTACGACACAGGCAGCTTCACACCAGTCAGTTCCTCCCACAGCTGAAGCAACTGGTTTTGCCTCTTCTCGTCCCGAGTGAATTCTGAGGGCGTATCCTCTTTCTTTCCGGGCTTGAAGTACCTTCCGCTCACATCTCCGGCTTCAGTTCCCTCAGCCAGCATGACATAGGTAGCAATACCCGGCTCAGCACTGTCTGTCGCGCTCTGTCCACCCATCTTGGTAGGGACCCAACCGGGATCAACAGAGTTACTCTTAACATCTGGCCACAGGCGCGCGACAGCGTTGGCGAGAGTGCTGACATGCAACTTTGAGTCGAAGTAGGCCTGGTCCTCATTCCAGGCCGCCTCGCCGCGTTCAACCCAAGTAGGATCGTTGAAGGCAGTGTCACCGTTGCGATGGAGACCTGAGGAGATGTAAATAATCCTCTTTGGCTTGTTCAACAGGGCTGTAAGGAGGTACGGTGCCATGACGTTGACTGCCGTAAGACTGGGGAGGCCCAAGTCCGTTTTGCGGTAGGGGCCACGGTAGAGACCGGCGTTGTAAATGACGGCGTCAAAGGTGCCCAGCTTGTTGGCGTCCTCTGCAAGCTTCTTAATCTCGGAGATTTTAGAAAGGTCCCCGATGAGAACAGTTTCGGCTCCAGGCACGGCCGATTTCGCATCCTCAGCTCGCTGGGGGGTGCGGGCGTGGATGACAACTTGGTGGCCGTTTTTGACGAGCTGCTGAGCAGCGAGGGCGCCGAGGCCGTCTGAAGAACCGGTAATCAAGATGCGTGCCATATTTTTTTGGTTTTATCTGGTGATTCGGTGAGGTAATTTGAGTTTGTTGATAAAAAGTGTCGAGGGAACTAGATCGTAATGATGTAGTTTTGAAAGAGGTTAATTGCTGATTAATTCAACCTAATTCCGTGATTAGCCGCTGGATGTGTGAATTGTCCTCTTACAGTGCAAAGCTCCGCATTTCAGGCTCCGCCTCTATGGGTGGACATGCTATGTCCCTCAAGAATACCACAATTACCTATTATAACTACGGGCAGTCTACCTCTATTAGCCGTTTGCATAGCCAAGCCCGAAAGCAATACCCCAATTGAGCAGTGCGACGTGGGGGTAATGTCGAGTACGGTGGGGTCTTTCTACTACAATCCGACCTCGCGATTCAAGCTCGCGACGCGAGAGGGCATAGTGGAGTTAACTGTGAGGAGCCCTTTACGTCACACAATCTTCATAATTCCGTTCCTTTGAATATTTCCGATTGCCACCCAACATTCAGCGTTTCTAATTACAATGACATCGACTTAGCTAAACCTGTGGCTAGGTAAGTTTGGTTGTCTACACTAGTAAGGGACTTGAGAAGTTACGGTCTCGGTGCGTTTCTCATCCTGGCTTTCATAACTATTTAGAAAAGAAAAGGCAAAGCACAGTTAGCAGTAGACAGCACATGATGTTCAAGGCCAGACTCGGCCTGTTTCTTCTGATGGAGTTGGCTGAACGTTGATTAAGGGAAGTTACAGCAATTGAAACTTGGCGAGTTTGATTAACCTCTTAGGAGGCTCAGCCAACTTTCATAGAAACTCATAATTCGTGTCCGGGATCCTATGTACCCGCCCCGACCAGGACCCACCAAGTTGATTTCACAAAATAGGTGTAAGACAATAGCGATGATTTGCCGAGTGTGCGATAACGAGTGGAAAGACTGTGTTGCCGAAGACTGAATGAATATACATAATCTTAGAAATATCCATAGCTGAAACCTAACGGATTCTAACACTTCAACATCTTCTCACGTTAAGCTTCTTCCAACTTTACAAAGCAGTACTTAGGCGCCAATGTAGTTGACTCGTGAGCATCGTCTGAAGCGATTTTCCCCTGGAGCTCCTTGAGTTTGAAGTTCCACATGAGCAGAGTAAGAAACACCTTTAGCTGTATGTACGCCAACCTTTTGCCGAAACACTGCCTTGGCCCAAAACCGAAAGATTGCATCGGGCCGGCAGAAGCGTCAAACACCATTGCCTTTCCTTCTTCATCCCGCTTTAACCACCTCTCAGGTTTGAACATGTGGACATCTTTCGATGACCAGTCATCGCGTCTCTTTTCGGCAGAGCTAGTACCTAAGTAATCCGGGCGAGGTAATGCCGGCGTATGCAATCCGGGTCCAATCGACGGCATCATGATGCTGGTCCCTTTTGGGATCATGCAGCCCATTACTTCGGTATCGACGAGAGCACAGCGTATCAGCGCAGGGAAAGGCGGCCGCATTCGTAGAGTTTCTTCAATAACTGCGTTGAGGTAGGGAATGTTTGCGTGTACGATCTCTTCGACTGTTGGCTGTCGACCTGCTTGGAAGGCGGCTGCATGGCGTTGGTGCAGTGCTTCGCGCAACTTCTCTTGAGAATTTGCATTCTGTGCCAGATACTTTACTGCCCAGGTGACGGTTGTTGCGGTGGTTTCGTGTCCTGCTTGGTAATAACCAGTCAACTAGAAAGTCAGCACCCTGAGCAAGTAGTGACCAGTTTTTTGTTTCCTCAAACTGACCTCATCGTAAATTCCTCTTCTATGAAAGTCAGGTCTTCTGTTTTCATTGTTTGCCGCTTGCTTTTCACGGTACACCATATGATCTAGGACGGATGCCGGGGGCTCGTCACTTTCTAGGCGTGCGATGGACTTTTCTATCTCCGACGCTTCAAATCGTTTTGCGGTCCCATACGATGAACGCAGTTCCTTTTCGGTCAGCATCATGCTCCAGTGGGTAAGTCGGGGAAATATGCTCTGCCCTAATTCGCCAATGTGTTTGGATAACCTGTCGAGTGCAGCGATGTGCGGGAGCGGTGGCAAGTGTGGAAAAGCAACACCACCGTGCTCTGGGTTTGATTCCAGCGAAAAGTCCCCGTTCAGCGATTTGAGGTAGTTCAGCTGTTGGAATGTGGTGCTCATATCATCGTTTAGCGCGAAAGCAGCAGCCGTGATCATATCCGAAGCGGCGTTGAAGATATCTTCTAAAGCATCGAAAGGACGTCCGCGGGCTGTCGTGAGCTTGAACTTCCATAAGTCGACCAAGTTATTGGACGCCTGGTAGATTTGAGGCGCAGATACCTGCGCCCAAGTTAGTTACTCTGTTTGAGCAAAGCAAAAAGATGCAGCAAAGAAACGCCCAGTACATACCGATTGTAGGAAACTTGGTGTCATGGTGTCTCGCAACAACCCCTTGTTTGCGTTGTACCTTGGGTCTTCCTTCTCAAGGGTGACGTGAAACTCCGGAACCACCTTGTCGAGGGTGTCTGTAAATGACTGCCCGCGGCCGTAGTGTCTGCTCTTCCGCAGTAAGATGTTTTCGGTTTCCGCAAAGTCAGTCAAGATCAACATGGGTTTGCTGAAGGGACGCAGCCAGACTTGCGAAAGAGGCCAGGCATTCTCCTCTGAATATTTCGCAAACCAGAGCATAGTTCGACCGTGAGTTTTCTGAAAGGCCAGCACCTGCATCATGTTGCCAAAAATGCTGTTTGCCGCAGCCTTCTCATAGGGAATGCCGGGGATCGGTTTAGGCAATGCCAGGCGATAACAGGACAAGAAGACCAAAACAACCAGCGCAATGCCGAGCGCCGTGTATCCGGCATACTGGTCAAAGATCAGCATTATGGGCTTGAAGGCAATGGTTATACACAAAGTGGCTTGATCAGTAAGTCTGGAACTGATCAAAGAAGGATAAATTGATAATCTTGATGGGATGACACACAATGATTTAGAGTAGAAACACCTGTCAAATTTTATATCGACGCACTAACTACCTGGCCACTTGAAGTCAGAGCAATTACATGAGTCCGGAGGCCGATAAAAGTACCGGCCGCTGACTGATTAGGTGCAGTGGAGACATTTCCGGTCGGTTGCAAGCAATCAAAGGACAAAGTTAACCACCAATTCAGCCAACGAGGACTCAGACTGAGACCTCCAAAACACACAGACGTATTTTTGATAGCCAGCTGTCATGACGGTACCGTCGGCCTAATGTGGGACGTTTTCAAACCCATGTTCCGGCACAGTTGGGTGCCGGTTGCTGGGACAATTGAGGATTAGTTGCGTGCATCCTAATACATATACTCGTTGTGTTCTGGAAACCCTAAAGAATTCATAGGGTTTTGTTGCCTATCAGTTGTAGACATCTGTGTATTCATATACTGACAAATGTTATCCGATTCTGTTGCATAGTGTATGCCTTGAGCTTACCATGTTTAGCTGGTTCGTCTCAACTAGAGTCTACAGGAAAAGGGGAGCTGAGTAGGACTTCTTCGATTTCATAAAATATGAACTAATTAAACACGTGCATAGTAAGACGCTACTATGAGTGTGAAACTGGTCACATAACCCTAAGGTTCAGTGCCTGATCAGCCGCATAAGTCAGTAATCTGTACCTTGATGGTCTTCTTGCCTCGGATTCTGTGAACAGAACGCTGCTCTCATCAAGCTGTTCGTAACTATAGATGGGAATAGTTCAGGCGTGTGTTTCATCTAGCGCTTTACTTGGAGAAGACGAGGACTCTCTTAACAGGACGCACTTCCTTTCAGTGTCATCGAATATTACTGCTGGACATTTAACCCTAGTGTTTGCTTATTATCATACGCAAGAGATGCCTTCGTTTTCTAGACGGACTTTCTCCGCATATTTCATTTCTTGCTCTCGGGCCCCTCCATCCCCCACATTGCCCCCGCAACTTCTCTAGCAGATTGACCGCAGGAAAGTTCTCCAACGGACGACCTCCGCATATCCACACATGCTACGGACCATTCACAAACACCTTAACGGAGAAGTTCCAAGGAACCATGTTTTTAGATCGTAAGAACTCTATTCGCATACTTCTAGGGGAGGTTTGGCCCAATAATGTCGCGGAAAGCTTTTGGTTCTGAAGTTCCCCGCAATGAAGAACAACCAAACTCATCGGACTGTTCCGTCAGTGCCATGTTCATCACATTTGCACCCAAAGATAAATAGATCAATGTGCACGAAAGTTTCGAAACTAAAGGAAGCACCCGGCTCTTTAGGGATGTTCGAATGGTTTCCCAGCCAAAATACCACGCCAGAACACGTCAAAATGTGGCCTGCAATGTCCCTTCTTTTCTTTGGGGTCCCCCTACTGGCACAGGCCTTTTTGTCGGATCTCCCTCCCGCCTTCAAAGATACGCCCGCAATATGGGCATATGTCTCCTACGGCACCCCCTCTATAGCCGCTCTTACTGGTTCGTTCAACCGTTCTGCTATGGATGCGCCTCATGAGAGCAAAGCTAGCGACCCGCTCCTCGTAAACGCGTATGTTTCTATTTTCAAACTGCTTCCGTCTTTAAGCTCTGACCAAGTAAAGTAATAACTTTCTCAACACCTCAAACTTCGTTGCGTATGACGAAAGATTCTTCAGTATCTTCGGACCAAAGGCAACAGTAAAGCATGTGCAGCAGCTAGCACTACAAGTACACGAAGCGCCGTGTTACAATAAGGATACAAAAGAACTTTACTTCGTGGAATGGGGTCCTCCCGGGGGCGATAGCGGCACTCACAACTGGCAATATCTACTAGATACAACAAGCAACACTCTCAAAAGAATCACGACAAACCCGCCAACAGTTAACGCTCACGGTTGTGTTTATTATCGCGGTGCCTACCACGTCGTAACTGATGGAACACATGATGAAACAGGCGCTCTTGTCCGGGTTGACCCGAAGAGTTTTGAAAAGACTGTTATTCTGAATAACTACTACCAACAGCCGTTCATGGGACTCAACGATATTGAAATTGACTCGGAAGGGAACTTTTGGATCACGGACTCAAAGTCCGGTTGGGTAAGGCAACGTTCTGGAACCCTGAGATTGGCCCCATCTAACGACACGAAATAGGGTCGAGATTTAGTCCCCTTCAACCCACCAACCAATCCTACAGTCTACATGGTCAACGGTACAACATTGACCCCAAAGGTTGTTCACGTCACCACTGGCAATGCGAATGGCGTGGCCGTCTCACCACTTGAGAAAGGTCGGCACACGCTGTACTTACCCGACACAGGTGTCTCCGAATCCAAGCCCATCTCTCGGAAAAACCCTTATGGCAACCGAGCGCTGTTCGCATATGATGTAGCGATAGGTGGAGTTCTTACGAATTCACGCTTTTTGAACAACCCAATCTCTTACTTTTATGATGGTATTCGGGTTTCGAGAAATGGTTGGATTTTCGTTGGTGCTGGCGACGGGGTGGATGTCATCGATCCAGTCTCTGGCCTGACTCTTGGCACTGTCCGAGTTGGCGGCGGTGAGAATCTCGCTGTCAACTTGGCTTTCGGAGAGCACGAGATGTGGATTGTGGGAAAGGGCGGTGTTTGGCATGTCAATAATGTTGCAGAACGATTGGATAGAGACTGGTAGTTGATAACTATTAGTGTCGCATGTGTTTGGGTAACATTAGTTAGTTCATGGACACCTCAGGTCACGCGGACTGAAGTAGACAAATAGTCTGTTATAATCACTCCCATGCTCGTCAAATGAATATTGTCATTAATTTAGTAACTCTGAATCTCCTTGGGCATACTGCAGCTTCACCTGCAGTTAGCCACTTTAGTAGACGTAGACAAACTCATCGTTTTGTCGATCCGTCATGTCCAAGAACGCGTTCTCTCCCAAGCCTGTCCCAGACTCGTTACCCTGTCTGGCATCAACGTAATGATGCTCCATACTCAAGTCTTGGATCTTCCTTGGCTTTCCGTTGGCTACCCTCTTGCGCTCCTGCATTTTATTGGAGATGAACAAGTTGACCACCTGCAGAGCAATGATAGCTAGCAAAGCGCAGGTAATTCCCATAACCTTTGTAAGACCAGGTTTGTACTGAGGAGCATCCTTTTGGTTAAACAAGAGCGGTCCCACAATATTGCCAGCGGATGATCCTGCGTTGAACAAGGACAGGATAACAGACTTCTTGGTGGTACCGGCGATGTTAGAGATCATCCAGGAAACCATGAGCGGGTTTCCGCCAAAGAGGAATGCGAGCATGTAGTACGCCGCGAGCAATGGAGGAATGCTATCGCGTTTGAGGAGGTACAGCATTATGGCTCCTGTCAGAACGGGCGCCAAGAGAGCGGCGAGGAAGACGGACTTGATGCGGAAGCGGTGGGCCAGGTAGGAAGCCGGGAAGATGACGAGCAACTGCACAGCTCCAAAGGGGATATTGAGCAAAGATGTCCTGTCGCTACTGAAACCAAACCCAGAAAGGACGATAGGGCCAAAGGTATTCGTGACAGCAGCAGTGACATTGAGACAAACAGCCATGCCGATGAACAGCCAGCTCTTTGGTTCAATGAGGGCCTCCCAAACCTGGGCCCATTTGAAGTCGCGGCTACCAGTACCGGTCTGGTTCGCTCGCAGACGCTCAATCGCTTGCAGTTTCTCGGTCTCGGTAAGGAATCTCGCAGAGGGAATGTCGTTGTCAAGCAAGAGGTACACCACGGGTGATGAAATAACCGTCATCAAGCCGACGAAAATAAAGAGGATCTGCCACGAGTGAATTGAGCCATTAATTTGGCCCAAACCATAAGACACAGCCGCGGCAAACATGGTTGCGAGGCCGTTGGTGCCGTACCAACATGCGACTCTCATGGGTTGCTCAGCACGGCGGTACCACTGTGATGTAATGACAGAGAATAGAGGCAAGCAACCGGCCTCGAATAGGCCCAAGAGGAATCGGGTCGCCAAAAGGCCGGCGTAGTTGTGGCAAGCTGCCATGCATACTTGTGCGACGCCCCATCCGAATACAAGGGAGGGCATGAGGATTCGGTGTGGAACCTTGACGATGAGCCATGACGAGAATGGCTGCCATGCAAGCTGAGCAATAGCAGCGATCGAGCTAACCATGGAGTATTGGTCGCCGGTCAAGTTACAGTCCTCCCTAAGACCGAAGATGGCTCCATATCCGAGAACGGACTTGTCGAGAATTTGAAGGAAGTAGACCCAGACTAGAATAGAGAGAATGCGTTTGTCTGTTTTGCGGCGGATGCGCTTGTTCTATTACGAAACTGTCAGTATTCATTCCAAAAGTACGTTTATAGCTTCGTTCATATACACACATCTTCCTCTGTGACTTCAATCTGTTGATCTCCAATGAGGTTGGCCGCTCGGTCAGCGCCCTTTGCATTGTTCTGGCTTTGATGCTTCAATTGTTCGACATCCTCGGTTCGGTGCTGGGAGGTATCATCACCAGTTTTTGAAACGGTATCCATGGCGCCGTACTATGAATTCCGCTTGGTGCTGGTGAAAAGCGAACACTTTCTGACTCTCATCCAACTGCCCCATGTGGTCACGATCCTGAGTCTTCTTATACCTCTGCCCTGCTACCTCTGCCCTGTTGTTGGTAGTATAGACGCCCTAATTCTCGGGCGTTCTAATTCAAGCCAAGCCGTCATGATGTAGCAAAGTACAAGTTCATTGGACCAAGTGATTGAAGCCCTTGTTTTGCACACCCAATAATGGACTAATAGGCCGGAGAGTGGATATTTTCCCCATGGGGGCAATGTGCTCTCCCCCTCTTGTTCAGCTACGCTAGTCAGGCGTGAATATTGAAAAGAAAAAAAGAAAAATGGGGAAACGTGCCCCTCACACTTTGGCCGCGTGTTGGCGCTGTGGGGAAAGGGGAGGCGCATCAGATGCGGTGAGGGATGTGGGAGTGTAACAAGTCAGTTTCCACCAACCCTTGACACCATTCCGGAATTTCCGCGCCTCATCATGCGGGAGTTTGTTCCCCCACGTAGAGGCTGAAGATTGTTTGTCACCGGAACGCATAGGGATCAAATATCAAGGCCGAGACATTGCATGTTCATTATGTCATTTTTAGTGAGAGTCTATCCACGAAGGTGTCCCCAAGACCACTCAGCCAGCAAAGAGATGCTACTATCAGTCGGGAACTTTGCGGTACTTCCGAGTGCAATAACCGGCCGTGTGATATCTCTCATTCAATTCCTACTCTAGTGATATTACTTTCTGCTAGTGGTCCACTTATTCTACTACTGATACATTTCTATCATGGTAAGTAGAGACTTCTCCAACCTTAAGGCCCATCTCTTATGCCTCTTCATGCTCAGATTTTTAGTGCTGGGAAAATGTTGTTTTGTTTGTGCCTAAAACGTTGCCTACAGCTTTTGCGGCGCCTGGCCGTTTTCTCTGAGGAGGCGGAGGTTTGTACCAGTAAGGATCACATAGATGGTGTCCAAGGTTGGGGTCGCGATGCCCAGCTCCTTGCCCCTTTTGTACGGGTACCCGAGAATAATGTCCACTTCCATGGGTCTTCCGGCCTTGAAATCAGCCTGCATACTACTGCCGATGGGATGCATAGCAAGGATCTTGTTAATAAGCTTGTCGATCAAGTCGTAGTCAATGGGTACATTGCACCCCTTGGCGACATCGATGACCTCGGTCATCAGACGACGCGTTAAGGGTGTAGCACCTTCTGAAGAGCTCAACCAGGAATGCGTGTCAAGAAGAGTGAGGGTTGTAAGCGAATTCCATGCAGCATTCCAGACAACCTTTTCCCAGCGTTGTACCTGGATGTTGGGAACCGTTTGGAAGACAGTTTTACCCTCCGTCAGAAGAGCGGCAAAGTCTTCCAAACGCTGCTTCTCTACTGCACCGTCACTCCCTTCATTGGTGTACAACCCAATTTGCATGTCTTCTGACTTTGTGTGTGTGATATGTCCGGGCTGAGGTTGAGAGGCACCAGTCCACGTCTTTTTCTTTGGTCAATACCAGGCAGGATACGAACAGGAACCTTGGCAGCGTCGGGTGACTTACCACACATGAAATGATTGTTGCGTGCGGGAACGCATTACGGAACGGTACCTCGTTACCCACACCGTTCTGGATGATGACAATCGTCGATCTCTGCTCATCTACTGCTGGGGCTATTTGGGCTGGCACAGCATCTTGTGTGATGGCCTTGTGAGCACAGACGATGTAGTCGAATTTGGTTCCTGCTTCAGCGGCATTTTTTACAACTATCCGTCAGATGTGAAAATCAGCATATGATCATTCTGGTTTAGAGGGTGTCAGTATTACGCACCTTTGTATGGCTTGATGGTGTGGTTTCCATGGTTCTCACTGGTGAGAATAATGCCATTCTCTTTAACAGCGTCATAGTTTGACCTTGCGACCACAGTCAATCTAACCTGAGGTGATCTACTCAGAATGAATGCGTAAAATGAACCGATACTGACAAAATCAAGTTAGCAAGCACATTTTCCAACGCAGCACCGGTACCTCGGTCAACTCACGCCCCCAGTCCGTAAAGGAGGACTTCAATCTGTTTATCGGCAGCCATAATGATGTTGGCTGTGTCCACCTTATCCTATTTTGTTCCGTATAATACTTGCCGGTGAGAGGGTTGCTGCTGGGTATGGTAAGGTGGCGATCTGTAATTTCGGTATCCTGATGCCTTTCTGGTAAGCCTCCTCATTCAAGCCTAGTATTTGTACGCGATTGTCCCGGAAAAGATGCCAGGTGCGGCAGAGTATCTTGCGGACACGTTCCCGCTTCTGCCTCTCACTACACCCCTCCCCCGATATTCGGTCCGTTGCCAAGGATCCTGGGGAATACAAAGTATCTTTTTGTCCCGGAATGGGGCTAGTTGGGGGTGGGGACAACTTGATGTGTGTGCTTGGTGGGAGGCATTCAGTTCCGTGGGGGTCAATCATGCTATGCGATTTGGCTGATCCTGAAGAGACATCTTTCCCCTCATTTCTCGGTCATTGTCCTGAATGGAGGCGGGGACACACGGAACCGAGACATTCATCTGATTGGAGGCCTCATGCAAAGTATGTGTGAAAACCTGGCAGCCCGAGGTTCGGGTCCGTGGGTTTACTGGACGATCTCAGCACGATGGTTGTATTTGGCGGTTGACATCATGGGTTGAATCGGCGGGGTAACATCACATTCATACCCTCCATGTAAGCTGTCTCCCACCAGCCACCGCATAGATGACCGGCATCTGTGAGCTGAGTGAGGAATATCAAGTCTATTGAGTTAATCGGTTTATCTTTGTCCACCCAAAAATTAATCCTTGCGTTATAGCCCGATGTATCTCCTACTTGATTATTATTCAGCCCTTCCATAACGCCCTTTTCCGATCGCAGCTCATAACTTCATGTTCGCAATTGAGAGGTTGACCTTTTCTTTTCCAACTTCTCACCCCAGTCCCGCGCACAGCTTGCTATTTCCAAAGCCGTTTCTCGGATTCTCGTGGCTTGCCTGACAAGCTTTCCCTTTTCTGTCTCTGTTCTGGGTGGTTTGCCAGATTCTGGCCCGTCCTCACTGACAGTATGGCCCCATTCATCTGCGGACCTCGCAACTAACCGAGCGGCATCTTCGATTCTCTTTCCCGGGGTTTCTGTCCCGTCGTCGAAGAAGCATTCTTGTGGTTGCGTTGAAATAACTCCCGCAATTAGGTTCCAAACGGCAATCAGGTCCTCCTTCGGAATCGATGGAGGCATGGTGGCGGATATGGACCGTCGTTCGGCCGAGTAGCTCCGGATCGGTCGGGTTGTCGATCCCGGGCTTACCAGTGCTCGGGCAATTAGACAGTTGCTGCATGCTCCATTGTGAATTCCAGGGATCTTGACACATTCCGGTGAGGCCCCTTCCCCTTCACGGCATTTTGAGCATTGCTGCTCCGGCAGCTGGACTTCGCCTCTTTCGTGAAGCATAATCGCCTCTACAACAGGGGTATGGGTGATGTCTGGTGATGCCTCGCCTGACCTGCCCCTCCAAGCCCTCCGGATAGGTAGAACGCCGAGTTGCTTCATTAATTTAGTCGGGACTGGTTGCAACTGCGCAGCTGTATCTCGAAAGCTGTTGTCCGCTGCATGCCCTTCTTTCAGTGTTGAGGCCGCTTGAAAACCGTCTTTTTGCCGTCCTCGGGCTCCCTGTGTTTCTTGGCGCTGGGTCGACTCGTTTCCCAAGGCATGCTTTTGGTGACCGGGGCCTGCCATTAATTCCTCTGACGAAGCGGCGTGGCGTGATAAGATCTGGTTCGGCATCCCACTGTTCAAGGCGGAGACGCTGTCCATAGACCGAAGTCGCGATGCTAACACCGCGGAAGGCATCTTGTTCTGTTCCTGTACTGCAATCTCCCCAGCCTTTGCCAGCAACTGGAGCGTGATGTCGGTAGATTCCCTTTCCTCGCCCATCACTCCCTGGCTCATGCGGGCATGGCAGGGGATTTTGAGGTCGCTATCCCACGCACAAGCCCGCGGAAACGTATGGACGTAGAATCAGGTTAGGACAGTAGATCCAGTTAAGACAAATGAAAACCGCGGAATCTCGTGATTAAACGACACAATGACGATCCACATCTCGACGGTCCAGCACTTATAAACTCCTGGTGAAGCAGACTACGTTCTAACTTCACTTACGTAATTCTATTGGTCATCTAGCAATGGTGCGGGCAAACTAGGCCCTAATGATTGGCCGTTCACATGTGCCGTGACGGTCAGATTTTGAGACCGGTTCTGGACTCTCGTGAGGAGAGGGAGAGAAGACGCTTGCTGGGGAATCAGGCACTTTTGCTCTTGAGTGGCCTTCATATGCGCCTTACCACTAAAAGTATATCCGAGTGCATATGTGTGTGGTGGCTAGCTATCCTGGGCGTCCGGGGGGACAGGCCATCAAATACGACGATGTGCGGCCGCTCGGTACGATGGCAATATTCCCCGATTGGATGATTTGCATCAGAAAGGGCAGAATCGGGTCCCCTTTTCCAATGTCTGGGGAGCCCGAAGAGCTGGAAGAGGGGGTTGTCAGTTCCGCGCGGAATACTCAATGTCTCACCTGACTGCATGTGTGTGTGTGTCTGAGAACGAAAGCCCGGTGCCGGTGCGGACTGTTTGATGAGGAGGCAAGGGTGTTTGTTACCGAACATAGCCGGACACAACGCCGATCCGTTTGGTAATCTGAAATCGGGAAACGTAGCCACCAAACCACGCAAGGGTTAGCGGAGGCGAAAGAACAGCAAACTGGGCGACTTTTTTTCCTCATTCGGAATCGTGTACGTTGTACGGTCTGCGTAATAAAACCCCGAAACCCCCACGGGGGAAAAAATACGTAGGCTGCGCGTCACTCAAAGCAGTTCTCCTACGGGTTCGTGGCACCAGCGACAAAATCAGCGAGTCGCGTGCGCGAGGGGAAAACCACGCCGTTCCCACCACGGATGTCACCGTCTCGACTGATCACTGCACCACGCTGAGTCCGGGGGCCAGAATAGTCCAAGTACATGATCTGTCTAGGACCGACTTTGTGGGGAACAAAGAGTGGAGATAATGGGGTCATAAGTGAATCCTAGGAAGATGGTGTGTGATGTTGGGAGGCTCCCTGCTTTGTCCAGGCCAGGAAGCCGGAGGTAATCGTCGGTACAAGCAAGACCCCCCGCGGGATGGTCTCCGAAATCTGACGTTTCCACCGATCTGTGGGGGGCTAGGTGGAATCCTAAATATGTTGGGTTGGGAACAGTTTGGCCCCATGGCAAAGACGCTGGCGTGGGGGTTTTGGAGTCGGTCTGTCCCTTTGATCTTGGGGTTGTTGACACATGACTTACACGACCAGGAGAGAGGCAAAACAGCTAGGTTCGGATGGATTATTCATAGTCTTTTTTACTTCGACTCCCTTGTCCCCTGAGATTACTCCGTTTACAAAAACATTGTTTACCACTAGACATCTCTGGTAGCTGCACCCTCTATACCTTCAAATCCATCGACCCATTCTCTCCCTTTTTCCAGTCCAACTCTAATCGCCCCATAAACGTATAGAATCATACCATCATGTCACCCTCAGCAAACGGTAACTCTATCCACCACAACGGAAACGGCGCTAGCCATTCCTCAAGGCCACCTCTTACGCCCGGTCTCTACGTCCCGACGGTGGCCTTCTTCAGTTCCGATGACTCGGTAGATGTCGAAACGACTACCTCCCATGCCATCCGCCTCGCTAAAGCCGGTGTTGCCGGCCTTGTGACCCACGGCTCCAACGGCGAAGCCGTTCATCTCGATCATGCCGAGAGACAACTCATCAACCGGACCACACGTGCAGCCCTTGATTCGGCCGGCAGAAGCGATCTGCCTTTGATTGTCGGTTGCGGCGCACAATCCACTAGAGAAACCATCCAGCTCTGCGAAGAGGCCGGCGCATCCGGTGGTGACTACGCCCTCGTCTTGCCACCCGCCTACTACGGAGGCTTGCTTTCAACCGAGCACATCCTGCAGCACTTCCGCGAGGTCGCAGACGCAAGTCCCGTACCGATCCTTATTTACAACTACCCCGGCGCTTGCAGTGGCTTGGATCTTAACTCTGATACCATCATTGCTCTTTCCAAGCACAACAACATCGTTGGCGTAAAGCTGACTTGTGGCAACACCGGAAAGCTTGCCCGGATAGCTGCTGCTACTGTCCCTAACAAGGGCGACGCCGGTCCTCCTTTCCGGACTTTCGGCGGCAGTGTTGACTTCACCCTTCAAACCCTTGTTGTCGGTGGCCACGGTATTATTGGTGGAACCGGAAACATTGCGCCTCTGGCTTGTGTAAAGCTGATCAAGCTTTGGGATGAGGGTAAGCTGGCTGAGGCGAGAGATTTGCAGGCCGTTGTTGCTCGGGGCGACTGGACAGCTATCCAGGGGGGTTTTGTTTCTGTCAAGGCCGCATTGCAGGAGTACTACAACTATGGAGGCCTTCCAAGGAAGCCTTGCACACTTCTCGAAGGCGAGAGGCTCACAAAACAGCTTGATGGTTTCTCTGAGCTTGTTGGTGTGGAGAAGACGCTGCAGCAGTAATTAAAGAGGCATCATGGTATGATTTACGTATTGCATTATAGGGTATCATAGCGAATTGTATCAATCGTCATTTCACTTTTGCGGCTACGTCGTACTTGTCGCAGAAAATGTTTCTTGCTAGTCACCTAAGCTACTAATCGTCCCGTCCCATGGCTGCAATGCGAAGACACTACCGGCAGCACTTTATTATGATCTATCTCATGCTGGAAGGACTTTGTAACAAAACTATCATGATACGATTTGAATCTTAGAGCCAAGTTTTATTGACTAACAAGCCCCTCGAGCAATTTGACCAGGCCATAAGCTCCTGGATCCGGACAATTCTTCCATTCCTCACCCCCAACATAAACGGATCTTCCTAGGCTTGCAGTCATGCCCTTGGTTGACTCGCATCCCTTCCTGGCCGCTTTAACTGCAGACTCCAAGTCACCGCTTTTTGCAAAAGTGGTCACAAACGGCGCAAGAGCGTCCACCACCGTTCGATCACCCGGCTGCGCGGGGGTGTACTTCCCGAGAGCCAATAGGGCAGACTGAAGTGCTTTTGCCCATACAGAAGGTGTTGCCTGCTGCTTTCCCTGGACCTTCTCAGATTGTTGTCTCAATCCATGCGCTAAAGCGTTCAGGAAGATGGCATAGAGGGCCCCGGATGTGCCATCCATATTGCCTTCCACTACGCGGGCAATGTTGTCAACGAGTTTGCCGGCGTCTTCATCAATACCATTTGGGCCATTAATATACTTCAATACTGCTTCTGCACTGTTCTTCAGGCACAGGCCACAGTCTCCATCACCAACCAAAGTATCATACTTGGTGACTTCTGGTTCCGCCGCAATAACGCTCTGCAGAGCGTGAGTAAGTGCTATCTTGGTTGTAGCAGGATCAACTAACAATTATTAGCGTGGAATTCGGGAATAACTCATGGGGGCAGCTGAAGATACCTTGGAGATTGGTAGGCTTGGCGTCCTCGAAAGAAACATCGTTCTCAGCTTGCGAAGACGCGGCTTCCTGTTGGTTTTCAGCCAAGTCGGCAGTGGTAATTGTCGGAAGCCATCCGCCAGCTTCTGTGGGAGCATCAATAAGCTGCAACCAACTCTCATCAACAAGTTTCAAGAGACTGATGCTGAAGCCGAGGCCATTGAGACTGGACATGTAAGTACCACTGAGTACTCTTCTTGCCTGAATGCCGTAGCCCTGGGTCAGTTGAGAAACGGCCTCGTTTGTAATACCCCCCATTTCCAACTGACTCAGGCCTCCAAGATTGTTGATCATGAGCACTACCTGTTCGCCCTTTTGAATGTTTATGAAAGCCCGGTCTTCGTCTGATTGGTCAAGAAGCTGTTTCAACATGGTTGAGACAAGGCCCGGCAAGGTGTCCTTGACGCGACCAAAACCTTCCTCATTGTGAATGCCCATGCCGATTTCGATCTCATCATTAGATGACAGCTCATCCCCTGATGGTGCTCTTCCTGGAACGTGCACATGTGATAGCGATGCACCCACAGTTGCAACATTTTTCGCTACGAGAGAAGCCGTCTTGGACACTTGCGAGAGATCATGCCTGAGGATTTGAGTCAGCTCCGTCTCAAAGGAGTACAGGCAACGGCTTCCACTTACCCTTGAGCTGCCAGAGCACTGGCAATCTTTTGTACCAGTGTGGTTCCAGCCAAACCTCTTCGGCCAATGCGTCCTGATCTCGACCTCCCAACACCAACATCATCGCCAACGACTAGAAGTTCGCAGCGGATACCGGCAGCCTGTGCCTTCTCTACAGCCATGCCAAAGTGAAGCACATCTCCGGTATAATTCATAATGACGACCAAGATCCCACTTTCCGGGCGCTGTGAGCCTAGTCGGAGCAAACACCTGAAGACCTGGTCGGCCGACGGAGAAGCGAAGATGGAGCCGGCCACAGCGCCAGAGAGTAGCCCCTTTCCGACGAAGCCGGCGAACGATGGCTCATGGCCGGAGCCGCCGCCGGAGATGACAGCGACATTCGAGTCCGTGATTGCGCTCTTCAGAAACACAGTCTTTTGAGCTTCATCAAACGCCACTGATGGGTTGATTGCAGTTAGAGCCCTAAGGCCTGCGATAACCAGAGTGGATGGATCGTTGAAGAAATGTTTTGCTAGTGGCGGGCATTAGCACTGCCATTCATCTTTGAATAACATTTGTCACTGGACGATCTTACAAGACATTTTCTGGTAGGGTATAGGCCCGTTGATTGCCGCTCAGTCTCAGCAGCCTTCAACTACAGATCTTCAATGACCATGGTCAAAGAATAAGCTCTACTTAAATCTTCGCTTCATTTCATCCATATCATTCTTTCTTGATTGAAGTTCACTTCCTATCACCGCGGGGCAGTCTCTACCCATCAACACAACCTCCACGTTTCTTCGTGGACACAATGCCAACCTTTTTCACATTAACTGGATCAAGATCCTTCTTTCGTGGTTCTACTGTCTAACTAAACAAGAGATGTTTCGTATTGCGCTGCACCCCTTCCAAGGTCTACTCCACTACCTGTTTGTGCCCATTGTGCTAAAATCCCGCTCCATTCGCACTATAGCACCGGCGTCTCAAGACTACGACCGAAAGGACATAGCTGACCCCCACGAAGCTGACCCCGTCTGACTAGCCCGACGTCCAAGCGGCTCTGCGGGTCCGGACTTGCGGGGTTGACCCCCAACATACCTCCTAAAGGTTCAAAGAATGGGTTTCTACACAAGGATTGGGATCCGCGGGGAGGGGTTTGTTGGATCGGAAATGGTCTGATGCGTTCCTGAGTCCCCCCGCACCCTTTCTCAAACCAGCATTCCCCGCAGGTTCCTCGTAGGAACTACGACTCATGTGAGCATTAGTTCCTCAGCTACAATCAATCCCCCTCCTAGATCGATCATACGTAGGATGACACGAATTATCTGAGTTCCACCTGACGCAGAGAGTCCGCTTTGAGCCGATGGTCGGAAACGGGGTTACGGGGTAAAGTGCGGGTACGATACAAAGGGGGCGTGGGGGTCGTCTCTGTCAACAAGACTGAAGGATAGAGGAGACCAACATGACGTCCATTGCGGCCAAATGGATATGAAGCCAAAGTATGAGACGCGATTTCTAGTGTATTCTAATACGACTTTCAAGATAACCTAAACACATACGATAATAATGGCAAACATTGTGGAAAAGCTCTTCTCTTTGCAAGGCCGTACGGCCGTCGTCACTGGAGGCACAAGGGGGATTGGACAGGCAATGGCATGCTCCCTTGCCGAAGCGGGTTCAGATGTTATTCTCATTCAGGCAAGAAACCCCTCGGTTGAGGACAGTCTATGTATTATGCTAACAGGTTGCAGAGGGACGAAAGCAACACAGAGACCAAGAAGCAAATCGAGGCTTTGGGCCGAAAGGCAACCATCTATACGGCAGACCTGTCTAACCAAGAGCATGTCGAAGGCCTCACACAACGCATATTGGCCGACGGTCACGACGTAAGCATCCTAGTGACCTGCGCCGGTATTCAACGCAGGCATCCGGCACACAAGTTTCCCATGAGCGACTGGGATGAAGTTCTCCAGGTCAACCTCAAGACGGTTTGGACTCTGTGCCGGGACTTGGGGGCCTACATGCTCACGCGCAGTCCAAACCCGGTAAACGGTCACCGGGGTAGCATCATCAACGTGGCCTCGCTTGTCAGCTTCCAAGGGGGTATCACCGTGCCGGCGTATGCGGCCGCAAAGGGAGGTATCGCCCAGCTGACCAAGGCGCTAAGCAACGAGTGGGCGAGCCAGGGTGTCAACGTCAACGCGATCGCACCAGGATACGTTGCAACGGACATGAACGAGGCGCTGATCAACAACCCCGAACGAGCAGCCAGCATCTTGGCTAGAATCCCGGCAGGCAGATGGGGTACCCCGGATGACTTCAAGGGTGCCACGGTGTTTCTTGCGGGGGCGGGGAGTCTATACGTTTCGGGCGAACTGCTTACTGTTGATGGTGGGTGGATGGGTCGATGAGGTGATTTCGTGTATGCAGGCTAGCTGTTATCATGATAGTACTTCAGCGATAGTAACTCGATATGGAAATCTACTGGTATCATGACAAGACGTACTTTTACAGACTAGTGGATCCTGCTGGGTACCTTGGCCTTGTTGAAGCTTGGTTAACCACACAAGACAAGGAAGTCATGATCAGTAAACGGGTACCCATGTAGGGCTGGATGATTTCAATCACCATAGATGTGGGGTTCTTACAACTTACACTTTAGGTTGTGGGAACCCAGGCTCAGACCCGTTCATATTTGATCCCTAGATCTCTACATCGGTTATCTCATATCTCTTCTAATTTTAAACTCAGGAGGCGGAGAGAGGTTGGTCAGGGATGAGACTTTCATACCATCGTCGCGGCTGCGGATATGTATGGCGGCGCAACGTATCTCCCCTGTTACAGGACACGGGAACACGGGAGTGCGGAATCACATAGAGCAGTAGACACAACTCTGCCAACCAGGTCAACATATCCAGCTTGCTACATTCTTCTCCATACTTAGTCTAGATACATGGCTATCAGTAGCTAGTGTTGTCTCTATCAGGTCTATTTTCATGCGGCCACACAATGCGACTAGTATCACCTTTGCTCCAATATCCAGAGCCTCCCTTTTGCCAAATATCTGATCTCTCACGAAATGATTGGACCATTTCATCAAACTTTTCTCCATTAGGAGACGGTCTTGAACCTGACGGTTCTTCGAAAAGCTTGAGTAGCTGGTGTTTCTCCACCCGATTCCAGTCCCACAGAACGTAAGCGCAATCCCGAAGCCACTCATTTTCTTGTAGCATCAAGCCAGCGCCTAATGGGACACCTTTGTGAGCCGTATACCAAGATCTAAAGGGTCCTTTGTCGGAGTCCTCGACACTCTCTTGGTGGGCCATTTCGGAGAGTAGTTCATTTTCTGATGAGGACCCTATGATGATTTGGGTGTGTTCATAAGCCTCAAGTACATTTGACAAAGCGGCAGGAAAGTTTGCTACCCCGATATCGGAGTAAAGTTTGAGAATGTTTCTTCTGGCATCATAGGAATCTGTATTAATTACGTGATAAATGAATTCAATTCCCTGAGAGAGCTTCCAATAGCTGTTAGTAACTGGTTTAAAGAGTGGAGCTGGTTCCCTTAGGAGGATATAAACTAACCCATAGTTGTCTAAAATAATTTTCTTCGCCTGAAGTAAGGTAGTCAATCGACATTTCGCCGAAGTAGACATCGTGAGTTGCCACATCAAAAGATGCTGTATTGAAATGTGAAAACTAATTCAAAGAGACAAGGGCTCTCGCGGGCTTTCTATCATTCCATTGGACCTTACCTCTAGCGATTTCTGCTTCAAGAAAGTCATGGACACACTCAAGCTGTTCATTCTCCCACAGTGGGTGCTTTAAAAAGAACCAAGAGTTTATATCTTCCTCAAATGCCGCATTGGCTCCAGAAGCTTTGGTGCTAAAGAGGCCATAAAAAATCTGGAGGCGATAAAAGGCCCTATTAAATCGGAAACGCTCCGTAGGCGATAATGGTAGGTTTGTGGGCAAGCTTTTATCGGCCAGACGGAGTCTATTCCAGGCTTCATTCGCAAATTTGAATGAGAGAGCTTGACTCACATCATGTGTGCGGCTCATTCTCATCAGCAAGTTCATCGGCATAGACACCGCCCGATCCGCAAGTTTTGACGGCTCATTATGCAGCGCGTGGAGTACGTCCTGAATCGCGGCGCTGTCGCGTGTTCTAGGTAAACTGAAGGCTTCTAATGCAGCGACTGAATACGGTAACAGGGCAGGTGTAACTTTCTGGCGCAGGATTGCGGTCGCTATTTTTGGGCTTTGCAGATATGACAAGTATATGTGGCGGCAAGTAAGTAGAGCTGGTGTGAGCGATCGTAGTTCGTCGAGGCTCTGTAATATGGAGGCGATGAGTTCACATGGAAGATCTGTAATGAGAGTCATTTTATCGTCAATTTCCCTATTTGATGAACACAAAGTAGAAGACGCAGCAAAGTAGGGAAAGGAGAACAAATCAGCCCTATAATTAAGCGCCAGCTTAGTAAGAATCTGATGCTCTGGGCCTCCGAAGGCGAAAGCCCTGCATCTTACCCCTGCTCAAACCGGTCGCACGACCTAGAAATTCGTGTGTTTGAGGTGAGCCTGAGCAACATGTGGTATTTCTCTTGAGTAAACATTCATGTACGAGGAAGGAAAGGTGGTGGGCCATCTTGCAGTAAGTCTTGAGAGACAGCCTAGAGTTAAACAAGATTGTCACAAGCAGGCTGTTGTGATAGACCTGTTCCCTCGATGATAGAGCTTTAGGGATCCGCCTAAGTGACCAGGTTTAGAGCTCAGTCAAGTCGAGCGCAGTAAGTGAGCCGAACCTCGGGCGGGCCCATTGTGTAGAAGCCTCACCACGCACGCAGGAGGCACGTAAGCCTTTTGTTCAATGGGGTTCAAATTATATATGTATGTAATATGCCGTGGTCATGCCTTCACTTATCTTCTTACCACTCCCGAATGCTGCCATCGGGTCCATGGAAAACCTTGCACTGCCAGGGCTCCGTTTCTTTAGAGATCCTCTCCACCATCTCCTCGTCAATATCAATACCAAGACCGTAGCCGGTCGGTGCCTTAACATAGCCTCCCTCGATATCAAAGACATTAGGATTCTTCAGGTAGGTCAACAAGTCGATGTCACCAGCCTCAGTGTTGTAGTGCATTCCAAGACTCATTTCGAGGATAGAGAAGTTGGGTGCTGACAGCGCAACCTGTACGCTCGCTGCAAATGCAACAGGCCCAAGAGGGCAGTGTGGCGCAATAGCCACATCGTATGCCTCGGCCATTGTAGCAATTTTCTTTGTCTCGGAAATACCTCCCGCATGGGCGATATCAGGTTGGAGAATGTCAACACTGGCATCCTCCAGGAATCGCTTGATATCCCAGCGGGTGTAAAGACGCTCACCGAAAGCGATGGGAATGCAAGTTTGGTCGGAGAGCTGCTTGATAGCCTCGGGGTGCTCGCACAGCAAAGGCTCCTCAATGAAGAGAGGTTGGTAGGGCTCAAGGGCCCTGGCCAATTGCTTAGCCATGGCTTTGTGCAGGCGACCGTGGAAGTCAAGACCTGCGTCGAGACCTAGTGCCTTGACCTGCTTAAGACGCTCAACAGTGGCGTTGAGCACCTTGGGTGAGTCAACCCAGTTGAGGTCTTCTGTTGCGTTCATCTTGACACATGTGAGACCCTGTTCGATGCGCTTCTTCCTGTGAGGTTGTTAGCATAGTGATTTTTGATATCCGCAAGTTGGGGGACTTACGCTGCTGCTTCAACGTCGGAAGGTCTGTCACCACCAATCCAGCAGTAAACCTGGACTTTGTTGCGAACTTGACCACCCAACAGCTCGTAAATGGGTACTTTGAGATTCCGTCCTAAGTCGATACTGTTAGCTCTGGTTTCGGTATTATCATCAAAGGTCTGGTTCTTCTACCCTTCAAATCCCACAAGGCGATGTCAATGCCAGACATTGCGGACATGAAGACGGGGCCTCCACGATAGAAGCCGTGTCTCCAAAACGTTTGCCAGATGTGCTCAATGTTGCTATCATAGCAGTGGTTAGCACTCATCCCCAAATTTTACAGGCCAAAAACAGGCGGCAGTGTCTTACTTTGCTTCTTGACCAATTATCCTAGGAATCATCTCCTCGAGGCAACCCTCCACAGCCAAGTCATGGCCCTCCAGCGTCGCTTCACCCCAACCATACTCGCCATTATCGTCGGTGATCTTGACCATCAGCCAACGAGGCTTCACACGGTAGTACCGTACTGACTTGATCTTAGCCATGATGTTTGTAGATAGTAATGGTGTGCTTGGGAGATAGACCAGGGGATGATCTGTTGGAGGATGGGTCAGGTTAGGGAACGATCTCAGGCAATCTGGGGATCGTACATCCCATTCTTAACAAAGCTCCAGAATGTTGTCAAGCCCCGATACCGACGGAACCCAAGTGCTAGCAGGTCCACCTCCAGGTTTGGGGTCAATGGGGCCATGACCCCATCAGCTCCACGAAACCTTCGCGTCCCCCACTAACCCCAGCTTGACCCCCACGACAATGGTACAAAAAGAACATGGCCGGGATTTGAAAAGCAAAGCTACAAGCCCCCACTCATCCGGTAGCGGCACATTTAGCCTCGGGGTTGTGTCCGTCTACTCTCGACACCTTTGGTGCCTGCTCCTCCTTGTTATTGCCCCTCACTCGCGGGGGTGGTTGGGAGGTGTGTCAATCTAGTGGATCTTCTTACGATGCCATTTTGAGGATTGGCTCATGGTAAGTTTTTGTGACGTTATGAATTGGCGAAGCACCTGCTGACATCCACCAACTTAGAAGCCACTAATTCTAGCACCAGCCACCAAAAATGGATTGTGGTTCATTTACGGTTACTCTTGTTGTCTGACAACATGAGAAAGGCATTGATGACTTTTGTCAATCTGTTAGAGAATTGAGGAGTTTAAAATCCAGTGCCTGAACAAGTAAAATAGCTTCATCGTCAATAACGTACATCACAGTGAAGTTAGCAGGAGACTCTAAACGAAAGCGACAGTGTTTCTTAGGCCATACCTTACAAGATATAAGATGTTGAATAAAGTTGACGTGTCAAGCTAATGTGCGATGATTATCGATTATCCTTCCAATTTTGCTTCAGATTAAGTGAGCGTAACAAGGGAATTGATTATTAGTCATGCTTCCACACAGAAATCTGGTGTAATAATATGCCTTCGAGACATGAGTTGTAGAATCGTCGGGTTGTAGAAGCTTTGCCAAGACCGTGGGATAGCCAGTATTATGATCTCTTTGAACAAGTGAGAACTGTGCTTATTAAACAGCTTTATTATCTCTATTACAATGTCTACTTGGTATGATCTATCCGTCTAGTGCTCTGTTTCCTTGTAGTAACCTAATGTGAAAGTCATGCTATGCTGAATGGTTCAAAGGAGCTTGTTTTTGGTGGTCAGTCGACATATCTCCATCGCTATCCACGTTGTTGCGTTCAGGCGTTTTTTCCCGAGAGATTGCATCCTCTTCATCTCGACTTTCAGTTGAAGTCTCATCCGAACCCTGGTCGTCGATAGGGTCCAAGCCTCGGTCCTTGATCAGCAAGCAGCCAATCAAGCAAAGACCAATCAAGGGTATCTGTAGAATGAAGACTGCCCGACTGGCGGCCATGTACGCGTCAAGGACTTTCGACATGTCTTCCTCATTCAACTGAGGTATGGAGTATGTGCTGTGTGACAGATCCTTGAACTCTGGAGGCAGGTTGGCTCGGAGGGTAGCCTGAAGAACAGCGGCGGACACAGCCAGGCCTACGGCACCACCAGCGCAACGGAAGAAGTTTCGGTTGGACGTAATTACGGCTCTCCGTGACTTGATTGAGTGTGCCTGCAACGCGACCAGCGTCGGTTGGAATATGAAGCCAACGCCGATTCCGATGATTATGAGTGGGATTACAATAATCCCTGGTTTGGTTTCACGGCCATAGATCAATGTAAGGCCTGCTCCCCTATTTAGTACCGTCAGCTCTAGTTCGAGTCATTTAAATTTGCAGCCATTATTGCGAGCGGTAAGACATCACTTACAATGTCCAGAAACCAAATCCCAGCCAAATGATCTCCCCGTACCTTTTGGTTCGTGAGATGTACTGTCCCGTCAAGATTGAGAAAACGGACTGGCACACGACCAGTGCAACGTAAATTGCAGCCGAATGCACAACTGAGAATTGATGTGCGTTTTGGAGGTACAGTGGGATGTAATAGACGTATGATTGATACACTGCCCCAAATAAGAAGGTTTGCACTAGCATGATCACCACAACCTTGTTTTTGAAGATCGGGACTATGCGAGGGTTAGGTGAGTAATTATTTAGATTCAAGCAGGTACTTACCTGGCATCATCGGCAACTTTGCAAACTTCCACTCAACAACAACGAAGGATACAAGGGCGAGAGCTCCAATAGCCAACATGTTGATGACCATTGCAGAGTCCCAAGGAAAGTACGCGCCACCTTGTCTTAGTCAGTAAATTTCGTGTCAAACGCAAATAATAATCAAAATACGAACGAACTCACCTCCAGAAATTGGAATAAGCAAAAAGATAACACCGAGTGACGATGTAAATGACCCTGCATAGTCAATCTTTCCTACACTGCTTCTGAAGTTTTCTTCGGGGTGTTTTGAGGGGAGAAAGAAGTACGAAATGACTCCAACAACAACACCCAATGGTGCCAGCATGTAAAAGAATGCTCTCCATGTAGCTCTCTCTACAAAAGCAGCGGCAAGAAATGGTCCAAGAACGTTTCCCAGGCCGACCATGGAGCCGATAATGCCCTGATATTTGCCTCTTTGCTCAAGAGTCACAACATCAGATACAATAATCATTGCCAGGTTGGTAATGCCGCCACCGCCAATTCCTGCAATGCCTCGGAAAATGTAAAACATTGCTGCATTCTGAGAGAGTCCACAAAGAAGATCTGCGATAGCAAGCAGACCAATTGCGCTCAAGAATACAGCTTTTCTGCCGAATATATCTGAAAAGCGGCCATAGAGCATTTGGAAGGTCGTGTTAGCGATTAGTGACGACGTTCCAGCCCATGAAATCGTAGCTTCTGCATTCAGGTCGGCGGCGATGGTTGGCAACGTGACGCTGATACCATTCTGGTCAATGAATGCGATCAGTAGGGTAACTGCCAGTGTCGCAAAGACAACCATGAGTTGCTTTAGAGGAAGTATATTCGTCTGATCGTGAAGGGCCTTTTCGGCCTTGGTCGTCTCTAAGTCGCCCCTCATCTTTCAACTGTTGTTGGTAATTCTTTGGGGTTTTGTACCCAACTTCAGATGACCCATGGATATTTCAGAACAACAGTTGTTTGTGTCAAGGACAAGAGATCACAAGTCCAAAGGTAAAAGTCAAGATAAGTATGTATAAAAATTTTGACCCGTCCGACGTTTAGAGCGGATACCAGGCTTTCGGAGGGCCAAGACCGGACAACTGTGGGCAAAGATTGGTTAATTGGCGTAGATTCGGCTCCGGATCGGCGACCACGATTGGAGGGGCGAATCCGATGGGGCAGCTGTGAAGATATTTCTGCGTCATGGCTAACAGGGGCGCCGGCAACTTTTGAAGCGATGGTCCCCACAATACGTCGTCCACGTCGGATACTCCGACGCCGGTGGCCATGATACAGTAATTCGGCCATCGGATATCCGATACACTATTTCAAAAGGTTTAGTTACCGTGAAACAATACATATGCTAGGAAATTGCAATAGGCTATTGCAGGACGTTAGCTTTTTACTGATCGTAGCTGACATGAATTAAACAAGGTATCATGTTGTATGCTTTGAGCATCTGCCGGCCTTGAACAGGTTCCCGCCTGGAAAAGGCATAAAGTAGACAAGTAGCTCGTCTCTTATTTCGCGAGTTAATATTATACCCGTTTCATGACCGAATGCTGGTGGGACGAGAGATTTGCAGTTCCAGGAGGTCATGGAAGAAAAGGGTTATCCTCGCATTTTGGCTTCATAAGGGCTCTATGATTATAGCAACACGAACCAATGTGAAACATTACAGATCTTCAGTATTAACTCATCGGATATCTCACCTGATCTAATCGTTCCAGGTACCCGAAAGGCTTTGCAATAATTCAAAGTTTGGCATCCACACCGGACTTCCACCATCTTGGTCAATCCAGTTTGCCAACTCGGCAACCATAGGCCAAGCTCCCTCAAACTCGCCGACTGCAATCCCAGGATCTCCGTCAGCCCCCAGGAACTGATCAAAATTGTCACCAGTCGTCTGTCCTGTCTCTCTTTGCTCTGAAGCCTCTGGGCCCTGGTCGTATGTACCTACATCCCCTGGTCTTCCTGCTCGCATCTGTGCTGATGCCATCTCCGCTAGGCCAGACTCGCCATCCTGTAGCTTCTCCATTGCCGCGTTTACAAGAACTTCAAAGGTATCACGGTACTTTCGAACCCAAGGGGCCCGCTCGCTCATCACGAAAAGCACCAGAGAACAGGCTCGGATGTCGTTTGATAACGTCACAGACCACAGCCCGTTGCCTTGTGTCCAGAGGCCGTAGAGAAGGGTGACGCCAGCTACGAAGACAGTTTGGACTGCGATGAAGCTATGGCCGTAGTCTAGGGTTTGGTGAAGTCTCTTGTGTGTCTGGCAGATATCACCTGCTGCTTTCATGCACAGCTTGTAAAACTGGTCTGTCGGAGGTATTATTGGTAAGAATGGCTGGATAAGTAGCCTGATTGTGCGGTTGTAAAGTAGCAGGGCATAATTATGATCCGGATGTGTGGGCTGCATGCATTCCGACAGGTCTGCTCGCCATATTTGAAGTAGCTGATAAAGACGATCGAGTTTAGGCCGGAGGGCCTCCAGAGTCCTGTCGGTGCGGTAGATCGAGTGATGGATTTTAGACTCGATACGTCGAAGTTTGAATAAGACAATGGCCAGTGTGATGTCCTTACCGAAACTTTCTGCAGTAGAAAGATCCGGGTTACCACAAATATTGGGTAACTCGACGTCAATTTGATTGTCTGCAATGCTCAGGGGTCGGCCTAGTGATATAGCTATCGCTCTTTCCAGTGAGTAAACGGACCAAAACAATCTTCGTCTCTTTTGAACTGTGGGTTCTGGAAGGTTCTGCTCATAGGCTGCGCGATGCAAGCCTAAATCAATCGATGTCCTCATTGCAAGACCAATCATGTACCAGAGGCCGTGACTAGAGGTTGAGCGGAGGTGAAATATGACTAAGAGTGTCATGGCCTCGACGTTCTCTACGGTTCTAGACTCCCTTGCTGCAGGGATGTGCTGTAGAGCAGTGGCGTACAAAGCCTGTTGTAAACGGACAATGTCAGCAAATCTAGAGCGGCAATGAGAATTGGGATCTAGCATACCTCAGGGGAGAACCCCAGTACTCTTTGAGTCAACTGTAATAATGTCGCACCCATAGCATAAACAAGATACAGCTTAAAGGCACCAAAGCTCTCGGCCTTTGTGAGCGACTGCGGTGAACTCTCTGCAAGTTTGCCCCTTTTCTTGTGCAATTTCCATAGCTCACCTGGCTCCAGAAAAGGGTACTTGGTGTGTAGTTGAGACAAGTAAGTTCTCAACATTTTAGACCCTTGCTCGTCACTTGGAGGGTCCTTTACGCCGGTGGCCAGGAGGTCCTCAGCACTGAGATATCTTGCGCCAATGTTGATGCGGTTTACTTGCGAATCGTTGTGAATGTCTGGTAGCATCTTACTCCAAACAGTAGCTTGAACCATCTCGCCAAGATTCAGAGCCAGAGACAATCCGGCCGATGGGCCGACATAGGCGGGTGCCTCAAGGTTCCCTAACGAAACGTGCGCAACTACGTCGCTAAGCGCATTGCGTTTGTTTCTGGTTGAGCCATCTACTTGAGGGTTTGCGGTTTCCCTTGGGGTCGAAGTAGATCTCGGTGTTGTAATACCGGCCAGCTTGCTCTCCAAGAAAGCCACTCGGTCTTCCAAAGCCCGAGTGTACCTGTTCAAGCTCCTTTAGATATAATTTGTACTTTTGTGAGACGCAGGTTACGTACGAACTTGAAGGGGCTTCAACAGTCACATCTACCTTGTCGCACCGAGCGCCTGCTCTATGGCAATTTGAGCAGATAGGAAACTGGTCATCACACTAGAGCAGCGGTGTCAGATAAGTCGATTGTAGTTAGAAAAAAGACAGCTTCTTCTTTTTTTGGTACCTTTTGCTTACGGTTCTTACATCTTGTGCAGGCGGTCCTCCCTCTCTTTCGGGGGTTCGGAGGTCCTGTCGCTGCCCCGATCAGGGGTGGCGAAGCCAAGTGATGGGTATCGGACACCATCCCCGTGATTTGCTAATGCAAAGTGCCAACTAACAAACTATGAGGCCCTACTAGCAAAACAAATGGAAAAGGTAAAGGCGGACGTCCGATTTACATATCCGTTGATTTCTATCGTCGGTGCCGATGTCGCCTTTGAATGCAAGCTTTTGTCGGACCAGTCCCGGTGCCCCGCTTCGGACATCTTCCGACGTGAGCAGCGGAGGTTCCGATTGTCACATATTAGTCAGCGGACACTCATGACGCTTTCCACGGTCATCACTGTGCAGGTAAAGAAATGCAGGACAACAGAACCTTGAACATGTTAATATGTTGCCCACACTTCCAACTTGGACTTTGTGGGGGCGTTTCTGCATCGGACTTATTGAATAGCATCCGACGGTAACCACGCGCTTGAAATGGTGAAATAAGTGAATTCCGGCCGTATCCTCATCAGCTGACACATCGTTCAACTTCAAGGGCAGTGTACTTATTAGTAGGAGATAAGTCGCACTCTTTTTGCTAGTTAAAATGTTGTTCTGGCCAAGATTAGCTAAATCTTATCGCATACCAATGCATTGATTTGGATATGTGCCGGTAATTGGGCCTTGGTTCTTGCGGTTGGTGGTTAACCAGAATTCAAGATTAGACCTTAAATGACATGCAACATAAAACTGTTTGGGGGTGTGCATGTCACAGAGGAGCACTTGTTTGCTTGCAAGATACTTGGAAATCATAAAATCTTCTTAGTTCGAAGTCATCTGATAATAATGCAGGTTCGCGTGAAAGTGTTTACTACGTTATGCCCCAAGAACCGTGATGCAGATTGCAGAAATGTTAGAGCTTTGCAATCGAACTTGTCTTAAGCTACTAGTGTATCTGACTTTTAAGTTTTATTCCATCTATAGAGCTTTAATTCGTCTCTAGGTCTCCCGTCTATCCTCGCCGTCAATGGCTGCTGTATCGCTAGCTCTAATCCAATCCGTAAATCTTGCAGCAACTCCTAGTCTTAACATTTAAATCCACTTTACTGTCTGTCGCCTCTAAAGCTTCTTCACCAAGATGTCGTCTGTTTGAACCACCGAGCCGACCACAAAATCGTGTGTGCCGACAACTTTGTAACCCCATTTCTCGTACGCCTTCTGAGCGCGCACGTTTTCTTGCCACACTCCAAGCCAAATGTGCTTGAATCCTTGCTCTCTGGCCATGTCCTCTAGCCTGATTGCCAGTGCTTTTCCTGTGCCTGTACCGTGTGCCTTGGGATACAGGTAAATCCGCTGCAACTCGACGATACCATCAAGGTCGGCTACACAAGGCTCAGTTGAGCCGCGAGTGAGCATGGCAAAACCCAAGAGGTCGCCAATTTGGTCGAAGGCGAGGATAGTGTCCTTTTGAGGGTCCTTCAGCTCCTTTGTGACCGCCTCAACTGTGTAGGATTCATCAAGAAATGCCTGAAGCTCGTGGGGTTGGACTGAGTGGCCAAATGTGTCTGAAAAGACCTGAGCGCCAAGATCCGCGATGGATTTGGCGTCTTCAAGGTTCGCTGGCCGTATTGTAATGTTTGGACGACTGTCCTGCTCGGTTGATGACTTTGCCATGGCAATGGAAGCTCGAGATGAAAACACGCTTGCTTGATTAGAAACCCCGATGGCTCGTTGCTGCTTGATAGCGCGATGAGGAAATGAATTTAGTGACTTGGCAGAAGAACTCGAGAAAGACGCTATGCAAATTGGAGAGCGCAACCCTTGAATCTTTTGTAGGTGCTTCAGGCATAGTCTAACCGCCATGATTGTTATCTCAATTGGGCCTTTTGTCGATCGATGATTCTGGAAAACATAAGACACGTCGCACTAACTCTAAAAAATCTTAAAGGCGCACCCGACAAGCTTCCCTTTTCCGAGAGGCTCAGTAGGTCTCGCCTTTGTTGTTGCGCCAGATTGTCAATGCCACCCCTGAAAAAGGCAAATCATTGGTTTTACTGTCTGTGGTCCACTGTGGTCTACGCCCTTGGATTGACATCGGTGGCTCCGTAGTGACAGACTTGTAAAATTTAGTGCTGTTTAACAGGCATTGCTGTCTTGAAGAGCGGCGGAACGCTAGCCGCTGAGCCAATCATGCCCGTCCGTACATTTAAGACACTGTTGTTTTCAATCATACATGCATCTATTACCTTGGCGACAACGTGGTCCAGTGTCGCGGAACGAAGCGGGCTTATCCGCCAACTCGACAATCTAATTCAACTTCCGTTTGGTAAATGGTATTAAGGCCGCAGAGATATTCGGAACTATTGCAAATTACCAGGATCTCAACTACCAGTAAGGACCGTTTGAATCACGGTCAGTTCCTTTGCAAATGGATGAAATGAGGCATTCATTCAAATTACTACGGACACTATTAGGAAACTCGCAGCTACTCCAATCTATCCACAAGAGGAAATGCCCGGCACTTAGCTTGTTGCTTTTGATAAACCGTAATTCTTCTGAATTAAGCACATTCTTCAAATAACCTTTAGACGTTTTCCGACTTCTCCGTCTTCTTCGTCGACTCTGTGCCGTAAATCACAATGCAGCAGACGCCTATACTTGAAATCACAACGAAGAGAGCACTCACTGTTGAAAACCAACCAACACCGATGCCTTGCACTCCCGGTAGACAAACTGCTGTTGCGACGGCAGCTAAGACGTACCGAATGAAATAATTTCCAGCTACAGAAAATTATATAGTCAGCATTACTCAGAAATTGCACTTGAAAAGGGGAAAACTGAATAGGTGACTCACCCATGACCTCGGCTGCTCTATCTCGGAAGACGTCCAGACAGTAACTGTTGAGGCAAGGAAAACAAACCATCTGAGCAACACCTTGCGCAAACATGCAGATAACCGGAAGGGGAATGCCTCCTTTTTCTTGGTCGATAGCCCACCCATAAATAATGGCGCTTCCCGGGATGACAACTCCCATAGCAATGAAAGAGCTGCGCAATCTGTCTTCAGGCACTCGCTTGCCGCGCTTCTGGATCCATTTCTTGACGGTATGATCGGCATACCGGCCACCGAAAAATGTACCGACGATGTATCCAGCGCCCGGTGCCAAGAAAAAGAACCCAGACTGCAACGGAGTCGTGAGATTGAACCTGGGATTGATAACATAACGAACAGGTGTTAAGAGCACCTGCATGTTCCAGAGAATCGAAGACGCGGCAATGCCCTGATTGTGTAGTTAGCTGACGGTGAACAACTAGAAGGGAGCTTACCGCGTTTATGAGAACGCGCTCTCAGAGCCATCTCGAGACTGTCCAGCGTGGTGCGGAAACCTAGAACGCCTCTCAATCAAGGAGGATGCAGGAAAACTTACCACCATCAGGATTCTGGGATAACGGAAAAGTGCAATGATTCGAAACGGGTTGGCCCATTCCCATATCTGGACAGCTTTCTCTCTTGTAGAAAGCCCTTCCAATTCTTCAGACCACTTTCCATGGCTGGTTTCTGGAAGAAAAGCAATGGACAAAACCATTGCAACTCCTCCAACCGCTCCTTGGAACCAGAAAAGTGACTGCCACTTTGAATAGGTAACAATCACACCTCCAATAAACGGACCAAGAGCAGGGCCGATCAGAGTGCCGCCCAGGAACCAACCCAGTGCTGTCCCGCGTTCAGTCGGTCGGTATACATCGCTGAGACAACTCGCGCCGACAACGAGGAAACAGGTTCCACTTAGTGCGGTTATTGAACGGAAAATGAAAAAGGAGACCAGATTGGGTGATACTGCTGTCGCAAGAGAAAAGGCGCAGAACAACACGGCCGATATGACGAAGATCTGGGACATTTAGTTCAACCGAACGAGACATGGCGATCTGCGCACAAGAAGAGCTGCCAAGAAGCGGCTTATTGAGACTACTATTGTACAAGATGTTGAAGGTACAAAAGGTGACGGTGCTTACCCATTTTCTCCCGTAGATCTGACTTAACGGACCCCAGAAAAGGACCCCGATACCCATCATCAACAGGAAGAGGGCGTTTGAATAATTGATGACGGTTCCAGTAGTGTTGAAAGCAGCTGCCACCTCAGGTAGGGCTGACAACACCAACAGGGATGCAAGGTTGATGCCCAGACCAGCAAAAGAGACGATGGTAGTAATCAACACCTTGCGCTTGGGGGTGAACTTGTCGTACATAGTCTCATCCTCACGGTATGAGAAGCGGCTAGGAGTTTGCGCAAGGATGTTAACGCCCTTCTCAGCGTTGGATGTCTTCAAGGCCAGTAAATCGGGCAGTTGGTTGTCCACTCGCGTGGGTACTTCTGATAATGAATGCTGGGACGACATGATGAAAATCTGTCCAGTACGACGTTTCTTGGAACATGGAAAAGAAACCACGGAGTTGCACGAGTTGTATTTGCCAACTTCAGTTGAACTAAGAACAAGATGAGAGTGCGCTGCTGACCAGTGACAGTGACAGGATTTGTGATAGGAAAGTAGTCCACCGAATTCCAACGATAACCAGTCGTGAATCGTTCCGTATCTGGGGGACACACTTTACATATAAATAGGTACACACGAGCACCAAATTGTCAAAGCCTAGTAAAACAAGTAGTGAAAAAACTTATCCGGTCCAGTTAGTACCCACCCGGGCTGGTGATTCCGAAGTCGGTCCCTAGCAATCGATTGATCATCACCTTTGAGACGCCTTCAAAAACAAACAGCGACCGTCCTTGGGCTAAGACGCTCAAAACCAGTTAGGGGTTTCATTGGGTCGGCTCTCAGTGTTAATGTGCAGCGGAGTCACTCCGCAGCGGAGAACACTAACACAATCTGCAACTTTTTTTTTTTGCGTCTTTAATCCCCACATCGGGTTGGAATCAGGCACGATACTGGACAAGGGCGGCCTCTCAAGGGCTCCACTGAGGCTACCATTTCCATATCTACCAGTAACATCATGTGTGCGCAATAGGGTTTGGACTTGATCTGATAAAGAACAATTTGCCAGGGCTATGAGCGGAGCGTGGGGGTTTCCAGAAGTGCTCTTGGTACACTCTAATATGGATGCCGGCGGAATCAGCAGAAAGCCGAAGTTGAAACTCCCGAAGTCGGCCGGAACAAGGTTCCCGACAACCTGTAACCTCCGCCCTCGGACCCGCTGCCTCCGGTCGCCGTGTGCCGTAACGCGGGCAAAATGCGGCTTGCCATGCATGTAATTATGCCCACAGTCGCCGTGGGTTCACCGTTGATCAGTACGAATCTCGGCGACGTTGACCACATTGCCTGCCTGTCTTGCTTCCAGATGGTGAGCAGTGGCCGGTACCTCCGATGATCGGAGCTGTTGCATTGACTCAGGTAACCCTGCATCTGGGAAGAGAGCAGGATTTACTACATCATAACTTAACCTAGTTCACATCGATCGGCTTTCGCTTTAGCGACTAATCATTCAAAAGCAAATGGGCTAGTTGTTAGTGCACATCTGTGCATGGCATCCATACTGGACGAATCACTACTTCCACTAACCGTCCATTAGCAGTATTCTAACCGCAGTTAGGGATTGAAAGATAGAAAAGAATCCGGGTAGGATAACCCAGATTACGAGAAGCAGTTTAGCTAGAGCAGTAAAAGGAAAGCTGTAATGAAGTGGCATCGGTGTTGAGTGATCCCTAACTTGCTAAATTGCGGCACCCGGCCTTCGTCTGCAGTATTTTATGCGCCGAGACCGCAGAGACGTAATCCCCATCCAAGTTAACTGTCATAACATAATTCTTGGGTGCAAACGAAAGGCCTCTGCATCCATTCCACATTCTCTAAACTTTGTTCAACCATTCACTTTACCAAACGTACGACCGCTACTCAATTTAACTACTTTGCCCACACTACCATTTTAGTGTGTGATGATAGCGTTCATACAGGCCATTGGGTATTACTGACTATTACTGGAGCGTGATACAGTCGGAATATAGGTACCAAGCTACAGGCATGATTTATTGACTAATTTCAAGGGTTGTGGTGCAGGGGGAAATTTTTTCCATTCGTCAGCGCCATCTTTTAGACAAGCGACCATGGGCAAAACAGACAATCATTGTCCAGTCGTTAGCCCACACAAAAACAGCTTTACACGACCCGAAATCTTGCACTGTGATAGGTTTGGACATAGTAAAAACGCTGTTGCAAGTTGCCTCTCAGGATATCTATGAAGCTTGTACAAAATGGTCTTGGGGCGAGGGAGGGGGCAGAAAGGGGGCCTCATGCCCATTCTAACCCGCATCACGTTGAAGTAACTCGTCAATCATGTTGGATTCTGTCAAAGTCGCGTGCGTACAGTTGGTTCCCTGCATTGGGCAGGCCGGCTACCAACTGGAAGGCCTTGTTATGCGCGGCCTGGCCAACACGAGGCAGAATCGGAGTCAATAAGCGCCAACGATTCGCTATTTCTGCTTGGCCATCTGCAACTGACCTTAAAGTCTACAAATATGGTGACACTGTTGGTGCAGGTCCAATGTCAGTAACTTCATTCGTCAGATTGCCCCTTTGTTTGTCACAAGGCAGATTCACATCGGCCGACAGAGCAAACTAAGTTTATTTATATCTAAGCCAGCGGTGCAGCCTTTAAGAATTTTAACAGATCGAGTCTCAACTTACTGGACTGATTGAATTGCTCTTCTGCCATCTGAGTCCGACGAATGCGATGACTGACACGGCAGGCTACAAGCTCTTGGAGGAGAGATGGAACGTGTGCAAGATCCAAGAGGATCAGAAAGCATCGTTAATAGCGGTAAGGCTGTGACTATTTCCTAAAGTGAGGTTCGTCACACTCATTGATGCAGGATTTGTTCAATCACATAAGCTTCTTGTCCGGCGAGCTTTCTGATGCCAATCAAAGACTGGAAGAGAAGAGCGCTTTCATCCAATCTATGAAGCAGAAAACCCATGATTATAAAGAGCAGGTTGATGCCCTCCAGACAGAGAAGGTAGTGTTTATCTATATCACTTGACACTTGTACCAATATGCTCACACGAACAGGCCAAACACTCTTTCGCACTTGTGGTTGTTGATGGAGATTCCATGCCGGTAGGGCCTTACGTTAATGCTGTTATTGGCATACAAGATTACTGACCTTGTATAGTTTCTTGATGAGCTTGTCAAGGATGGATTTGCTGGTGGTAAGAAGACTGCTGGGTTGCTAAGAAAACAAGTTTCGAAGGAACTCACAGCATCGGGTTTTGACCTGCCACCGCACTCTCACATTGTGATTCGGGTGTATGCCAATCTTAAGGGACTTGGGAAGACTTATCAGGATATTGGAATCCTGGAAAATTGTGGTGTATTGGAGGAGTTTGTTCGGGGGTTCAACATGGGAGCGCCCCTGTGTGACTACATTGATGCCGGAAATGGTAAGGAATGTGCGGATGAGAAAGTAAAGGGTAAGTGACAGGCTTGTGTAGTGTTGCTACCATATTCCATACTGACAACGCGAAGAAAATTTTCAGCTCGGTTTAAACGACATCCATTGCCATCGGATTATGTTCTGCGGCTCAGCCGACAATGGCTACACTCGCCTACTCGACAAGTATGTCATAGAAGATGTCAAACGTGAAAAGGTTGTCTTAGTAGAAGGCCCACCTTTTGCTTACGAATTGGCAAAGATCAAAGAGGAGTTTCGCGTTGTTGAGTTGAATGACGTTTTCAGAACTCAGAACTTACCTCAGATAAATCGCAGGGTATCTGCTCCAACCACGCCTCCTTCGACTCCATCCGGTGGCTATGCCGCTGCTGCGGCAAGAGCATCGTTCACTACAACAGCTTCTTCTTCTTTGAACCAACAAACTTCTATGGCAATGGCCAGGCCGAATCTAGCCGGTGTGTTTCGGAACGAGGCTGGCGACCGCATTGATTCACCTCTCAACTGCACGCCTCATGAAGTTACCTTTATGAAGAATCGCAAGATGTGCAACAGTTTTCACCTCCTTGGGCATTGTTCTTACCTGCAATACAATGGACGGTGTCTATATGAGCATGGAAATAGGCTCGTAGGGAGGGATCTTCAAGCTTTGAGAGCAGTCGCCCGTTATACTCTCTGCCAAGCAGGTCTGAGTTGCAATGATCCAGACTGCATGTATGGACATCGATGAACAATAAGCTTCGTACAGGGAGGACAGCTGCGCAATTATATTGGAACATGTGCACAAGTGGCGGTAGTGGATGTGGCTCTTCACACTTGATGTTCAAGTACACGTTGGCGTAAAGTATTGTTTTATGCAGTATTTAGTTGAATGACACTCGTTCCATGATTACTTTGACATGCACCTGTATCTCCTCATCAAGCAGAGTAGCATATTTAAAGCTATCTCAGATGCGTAGCCTTTATTGGAGTAGACTTTAATCAACATAAAAGCTTCGAACAGGCTTTGATTAACATGATGAAATTAACGAAAACAAATAAACACAAGTGGCACTAAAGGCCTTCACTTTTGAAAAACGCGATAAATAGTCATGATTACTTCAATCTGAATCCAATACAGCATGCGTACGGAGTACTTGCCTTGATATTTGGCATCGGTACCTGAGCACAGCGGTAAAAGAGCACTCCCCTAAGAAGAGTATCTTCACCCATTAGAATCATGGAGAGCTGTAGGCCAAATCAGTGGCTGGAAGAACCTGTCGGTATGTAGTCTAATGAATCTTCTGGTGACGCGATGCACTTAACCTCGGATTCATGTACACTAAGGGACTTTTGTAGATTACCTGGTTGGGGGATTGTAAATACGGCCTACTGCTTGTGGAGTTGTCTCAAGTCTGGGCTCATGGCCGCTCTGGTAACAGGGATACCATGCATATTGGGCCACTTCGTGAGCCACTTCCAGCACCGTGCCCAATGGGAGTGTTGCAAAATGATTCACACCGATGACGCTAGTTATGTCTGTTGTCTTTTGCCAGTTCTCCCCTGGTACCCATGGGGTCCTTACTTGAACGTGCGGACGCAGACGACAGGAAGTTAAAACGACACCAAGTCCGTGAGATATTGGTAAATAGCCTTTTTTGTTCCACCCGCTACTCTTATTTTGACCTCGAACCATCTGCTTCTTTTATTCAATATTCATCGTTTGGTCGGCACTCAATCATAGAGAGGAGAGTTATGGCGAACGCAAAAGCTGAAGACACGCCTAGTCATTACCATGTCCAGGCAGCCCGCAGGATATTCCCCAAAACGCCCGCACTTGAGGCCACAGTTTCCAAACTTTCCATAATCGATGCAACAGTTGCCCGATTCACGCCAACAGCCGCGATATGGCTCTATGATAAGAGCGAAGCGGTACAGCTTCCACATGCCGAGCTTTTCAAAATACTTGAACTTGCACTCAGCGAGACATTGGACAGCTATCGACACTTTGCAGGCCAAATTCAATGGGCGACCGAGGATATCGTGAAAAACCATGTTGTTCCTCGTCATGTCGGTCGCCCAGTAGTAGCTCATGGCGCCGAAAGCGATCCTGGTGTCGAACTGCTGATTGTCGACTACGATGTGAACCTACACGATGTTGTCCCTAGCAGAGCCGATAGGACAAACAGCTTGAAGGAGTGGAATGCAACTGATTTTCGCCAAAGCGATTTCCTACCTGATACGAAAATCGCATTGTCTTCTCTCAGCGCTGTACAGGGGCTACCCAGCATGGCTGTTCAGCTTACGGCGTTCAAGTGTGGAGGTATTGGTGTTAGTGCCATGATCTCACACCCCCTCGCGGATGCATTGTGCTTGATGAGCTTTATGCAGTTATGGGCTGCTCGGTCAAGAGACCTCCTTGGTCGCAGCTCGTCATCAGTCACAAAAGGAGTTCTGGAGCCAATATTTGACCCAACTTTGCTCGACCAAGTTGCTGGACTATGTCCTGGCAGCCCACCAGATGCTTCCAAGCTCGAAAAGGCTCGCTCATTGCCTATGCATCGATTCGATTGGTGGGCAGAAGATGCTCCTGGATTCCCAGCAGGCGTAAAGCCAACTACACGGGTTACCATGCCTTCTCCCGAGGAACTGGAAAACGTAACTCTTAGCCCCTCAACACCTCCACCATGGCTAACGTGGGATATGAGTGCACCTGTTGAGCACGTTCAGATCCGTTTTTCAGCTGCGGAGTTGACAAGAATGGCCGACGCAGCACAAGAAACTCTGCCTGACGAGATCAAAACGTATCGGATTTCTCGAACTGACGCAGTTTTGGCACACATCTGGATTCTTATAAACCGTGCAAGAAACCTTCAAGGCGCCCAGGACAAAGTCTATTTGGACGTCACCCTCGGCCTGCGGTCTCGTGTCAACCCGCCTCTGCCAGAAACCTTTACTGGGTCTCCTCTACTGTTAGGGTACGTTGAAAAGAGTGTTGAAGAAGCAGCTTCGCCACAATTAGGACCAATTGCGGGCGCAATCAGGAAGATGATGTCGCACTTCACGCCTGATGCCGTGGCAGCTTACATACACGACGCGGCGTACGAAGTCAGCCCGCAGAGGTTATGGCAGGCTTTTCTAGGCACACACCATACGCTCGTGACTTCGTGGGTCAGAACCAAGGCGTATGAACTAGACTTTTTCGGAACACAAGAACTAGCCAGATACGTTCAAGCAGTCATGCCAAAGGTAGATGGCCTTGTTCATATCATGGACATTGAGGAGACTGGAGAGTTTGATATTAGCGTTTGCATAGAGCGTGAAGCTATGCATCGCTTGCTGCAAGATCCCCTACTTCGCAAGTACGACGGTACAACTCGTGATTGACCAATAGACCTAGATGTATAACAGAATTATATACATCAAAGTTGGATACTAGATAGTATTGCCCTATCGCCGCTGCTCAACAGATACGGGGTTATGTAGGCATGCTTCAATGATAATTAGATACGGGCTGAGCTAAGGGCCATCATATTACTACTAATGTTGTTCCATCCTTATTCGAATTACGTGATATGATTAGTAGCGCAATCGGTAACGCCTATTACTATTGTACTTGGCTCTACGACTAGAATGGACACACAATCTGATGGCACCGCATCTACGCGTAGACGTAGCACAGAGGAGAGTTGCCAAGAGTGTTCAGCAGGTCACCGATTTTGCGGTTCTCCGCGGTGACACCCAGGTTAATCTCATCGTCGACAGTAGCATCACGGCTTGGAGGCCTGTTGTTGATGGTGATAGTACCAGCGATGTCAAAGGCAGCCCAGAAATGCGTCAACTGCCAAAGCCAGTAGACCCGATCAACCATAGCATGGTGAAGGAAGAAGGTCGGGTCGACAACCGATGAGTAAAGGTCACTGGCTTCGCCATTGACAGAGAAGTGGCCGGCGGCGTGCATGCCGAGAAAGCCATCAGTAAATCGTCCCTGGAGCTCGTTCTGGAAGAGCTCGATGTTCCTCGAGGCGGATCCGACAGTGAGGTTAAACATGTTCTCGTTGGTCATCCAGGACTTCATGGCGTAGGAGCTGAGATCACGGCTCAGGCAGCGAGGGTTGTGGCCAAGCTTGCCGTTGGGGCTGGCCTTCATACCATCCATACCGGGGCTCACCGGGCCGAGGTTGACCGTCATGCTAGGGAAATATTAGCGCAAGTCATGTAAGAATCTATCTGAGTATGCTTACTTGACGAAAGGACCGCTCTCTACACAACCACCGCCGTTTCCGGATGGCAGAATGATGGCGCCGGCACCGCTTACGCTGCCATTGTGCTTGACAAACGCACCATCACCGCTCAAACTTGTCTCGCTTCCATCAAAGACAGGAGACTTGGTGAGGTCATCTTGGTATTTAAGCCAGTTCCAGTACTGTTGATCAATGTCAGATGGGTGGAGCAATGTTTGATATTGGATTGAATTGACTTACGGGCTGAGCGCCCTTGTAACCGCACTCGTTACGAAGGGCCTCCTCGTAAGCCCAGACGAAATACCGATGCCATGTCAGGAAGTTGCCCTATTTTTCATTGTCAGAGAAACTGACTTTCAGAATTGAACAGGATTTGTCGTGCTCACCGTGCCGTGGATGCTGAGAGTTTGGTTAATATGAACGGCAACAAAATCGTCGTATCGGTTCCGTGCACCGGGGGCGAACGCCGGATCCGATTTGGAGGGCGACGTCAACATGCACTGGACAGCACTGATGTAGTCTTTTCTCTCTTGTTTGGAGAAGGCCTCCCTTCAGTACATATTAGCTACCGTAAAATCTCCGCGGTCTGCACGGTCATGTGGGGGGGGGGGGGGACGAACCAGTCCCGGCGATAACGCGCGTTGAAGATGTTACAAGCACTCCGCTTGTTGACCACGCTCGAGTCGTTCTCCTTGAGGGTATCCATCGCCTGAACTTGCAGATCGGCTAGGATATCACGAGCCTCGACGGGGGACGCAAGAGCCGGGGCGCTCAGCAGGCCAAAGGCCGCTGCCAAGATACTAACGGAATGCATTGCTGGACGTGCTTGGTGTTGGGGAGAAGAGAGTAGAGTCCAGAGTATCCGCACGCGAACAAGACAAGATGAAGAGAGAAAAAGATGTGGCCCTTGGATACGATCACAGCAGAGATCAAAACCAGTGCAAATGATGCACAGGGATCGTATGAGGGTGGGGGCTGAATGAGCGGCCCGGAAGTTTGTTTGACATTCAAGGTATATACCTCCTTGAAGGAAATTCAAAGAACCTCGCTAGCTATATAGACAGGTACTGGTCCGTCGTTGGGAATAGATTAAATCCGTTAACTAGCGTCTCCGGCCGCAATCTGCAGGGCTCCGGATCCGCAAGGCGGACTTGGCAACCACACTGGGCGGGATGTGATTCTAGAAGGATGCCGTTCCTGGGACGAAATTCGTTCGTAGGGGGCGAATAATTACGAGGACCCCAAGTCGAACGGTTTTATGTGGCGGATGAAGAATGAAAATTCGATAGCCTAGATCTGGGGCCGTTGATGCCGGGATATGGGCAAAGCTAAGAGACTTGGGACCCCCGTAATCTACCATGGAAGTCAGCTATCCGCTTGAATCGGGCGTCTTCTATTGGATAACTTTGCAGCATTGTAACCTGTCCTTGCTTAGCCGTTGTTAAACCCTGGCCTATCTCTTAACGGGTTTACGTTTTTTGCGCGAATTGGAGAAGAGTACAAGTGAATGTGGCTTCTGGGTTTTCAGAGTACTTGTTGTAACTGTCTTGGGTCAAGACTAGTGGGTGAGATGCAGGGGAGATGCTTCTCCATCGCCACCTTGTCCCGAGTAGCGCAGTAAGTATGGAAATGGGGGCCGATTAAAGATAGTGATTGTGATCTAATACACGAGGGCAGTCTATTGATGAAGTAGGTGTTCTTCTGGCATCATCCATAGCAATAGGTCAGAACGGAGTAGCATCATAAGTAGACTAAAATCTAAACAATTTCTTCAAAAAATAACAAGAAACAAAAAGCAGTTAGTTCACCCGGGGACTTCGGTTCGTGTCCATTTTGTCGGTCACGGTCCGACCCCACAGCATCCGCCTTAGTCTCCAGGATAATCAAGCGATCCGGGTCGGACCACATTCTGGTATAGTCATTATACATAGCCGTCTCGTTCACCACCTCCATCCAGGCATGCGATCCATGGGAATCGATAGAATGGTCAGCCCCCTCTTGTCAAAAAAATATGTCCCCGAGTCGCCCGTCGGTTAGCCACAGGCGGCGAGTTCCGCCGCGATTGTTGCGTATTCTCGTAGGACTACCGTGGACTCGGCGGAGCAGCCCTGGTTAAGATCCTTTCTTGTATCCACATGAACCCACACCTTTGGCCTTGGGCCCAGTGCAAACCTCCGAGGTTGTCTGATGTGTTGTTCAACAGTAAAACGAAGCTAAGGATCAATATCGGTTATGTGCGCGCCGTAGAGCGCCAACACGGTGAGGGCCCTAATTGAGTATGCTCGTCAGCAGCAGGATTTTCTCAACTGTTGGAGCTGCCAACATGCATCATGTCGTCCCAAGCTACCGGTTCTCGTGCTTGACGATTATACCAAAAGCTAGTATGTCGTGCGGCATGGAACAGGGTGTGCAAATGCACGTCTGTGGCGTCGTAATGTGGGAGACATCCTTGCCATTGCCCATCGCGTGTTCTTCAACTTCCTGACCACTCACATCTTCCATCGATGATCTTCTCAATCCGACACACTCATTACGTGCTCCACTCCGTTGCAAGGAATGCTTCGGGCCAAGAATGTTCAGACGAGAGCTCAATGGCTTCAACTTTATGATGGGATGGACATCCTCCTCCTCCCTTGCATTAGAACACAGTCTAGATATACAACACGTCGCACCAGACAGGCTAAACCAGGGTAGGAATTCCTCCCCTTCTCCTTTTTAAGCGACCTTTGCTGAATCATATCCTTTACCGTCTCCGTGGCACTGTTTGTGTTCCGCCCCATATGCTCCGTGTGCGGAAGTGGTGTGGTTCTTTGCATGTCCTGTGTGATTTTCGATCACTTGGGGCTAAATGGTTCAAAGATGCTTAAAAGATTACGAAGATCCCCTTAGTGTCCGATGTGTCCACTCTCTTGATCTTCGATGCTTTTTGTTGCCCAGGCCTCTGTTATTTCTCCAGCACGCATGTGCGCCTTGCCATTGACGCCGACATGTCCTCGACCGCATCCGATACGGCCGTGGACCCCGAACGGGCCAAAGAGAGCAACACTGCGATGATCTTGGCCGTAACGGGAACTTTCCACGCCGTTGCCCTCCTTTTCGTTGCCCTCCGAACATATACCCGCGCGGTTATTGTGAAAACGATAGGAGTTGACGATTTTATCATGATCCTCGCAGCAGTATGGATGCCTACCACGAAAGCTGAGGCCCTGGTTTTAGCGCTGACACCCTGCAGCTATGTGCGTTAGGTGGAGGAATGGTCGTCTTCATTATTCAAGCGTACTATGGACTGGGCAAACACAAAGACACAATCAGCAAAGCCGACTATGTTATCTTCGCGAAAGTCGGATTTTTTCAGTCCATCATTTCCGCTATTGCAGCCTTGGCACTTCTGAAGATATCCATTGCCTTGTCTCTACTGCGTCTCAGCAAGAACAAGTGGTATTCTCGGTCCTTATGGGCATTGATCGGTAACAGCCGACCCATTCAGAACATCACTGGCATTCATAACTAATTACCGTTTTAGTCTTCGTCGTGCTGTACACTATTATGGCCTGGTTGAGCTTCTTCCTGTACTGCACACCACTGGAAGGTTACTGGAACAAGAGTCTCAAGCCAAAGTGCTACAGCATCAGATTATTCGTAGATTTTGCCTTGGTCAACACAGGTTTTTAGCCCCAACTTTTACCTCTCTGGCAGTTGCTAATCTTTCGCTAGCATTCAACATATTTACCGATGTCTGCTTTGCGACATTGCCCATTCCCATCATTTGGGTCTTACAGATGAAGCTGCGCACGAGAGTCTACTTGATTGTAGTCCTTAGTCTCGGATACTTGTATGTCCTTTCTGAGTTCCTTACTCTGGCTTGAAACTGATTGAGGTAGCGCTGTGATCATGGGTATTATCAAGACCGTCTACCAGATTGCCCAGCCAAGCAGTAAAGATGGAACATTGTAAGCTACATTCTCCAAAGGAAATATGTGATGACTAATGTGGTAAAACAGTTACCAAAGTATTCAATTTTGGGGATTGTAAGTAACTCTGGCGATCGATCTTGTTTTCACACCAACTAACCCAGCCTTCTAATAGCCTCCAACTCAACCTCGGTATCATCGCTGCCTGCGCACCGGCCCTGAAACCGCTGGTCGGTCGAGCTCTGAAAATATCATCCAGCCGCCGCTACAATAGCAACAACCTTTACGAAAACCGATATCCGACTGGCCGGACTGGTAGGACGGGAAATGGGACATCGCACGCAAGAAGGCAGGGATACATGGAGCAAGGAAGCCAAGGCGCCCCAGAATTCGAACTTGAAGACGGACCTTTCACTCCAGGCACCGATTACTACAAGACGAGCGTAAAAGGAGGTAACCACCCCGCTGCTGTCGCAGTGTACAAGAAAAAGAACAGTTTTGGCAGCAGGGGGAGCGAGGATATGATTCTGGAATCCGAGTACAATGTCAACGATCGAGGCATTATGAGGACGACAGAGGTCTCTATACAGCGATAAACTTACGACGATAGATAAGAGCGGTTATGAAATGATTATCAATTAGTGATTCACCTGGACGCACCCCAATGATTCCAGTTTCCCCGGTTCCCGAGTGCCGAAATGGGAACCACAGGCTCATCGTGAAGTGGCACAACTGGTTGTGCCTTAACTTCCATGCTGTTGAGGAGTTGCGTGCGCAACGATTGAGCATCATCTTCTTTCTAACGAAATCAAAACCTTGCGACTAAGCACTAGTCTAGCATGCGAGAAAAGGAAGACACGTATTTCGATCGTATCGGAATCTGGATCTTAACTCAATGAACTCGGCACGGATATCTTGTAAGTGATAACCAAGTTACTTATTGCTATTAAAGTGAAAAATTTTATAGGATCTGAGTAGTGTTACAGACTAGTTTACAACCCAACTGGAATACATTCATTCGACGCATCCTTCCCAATACTGCTTAACCCTCCATGTTAACGATGCATCAAACTTAACGATGCTCAAACATCTAGGCTTTTTCTTCCAAATCTCAAGTCTTTAGGGTGAACCTCCTCAATCTCCTCCATCTCCTTCCACCAAGGCAGGTTTTGAAAACGAGTCCACCATTCTCTCAATCCATCTAGATTCTCCCCTTCAAGCACATCAAACTCGTACGCTAACCAGATATAACGGACCCATCCTGCGAGGCACACATCCGCTAGACCTGGTGTTGTGATTCCAGGAGTCAGCCATCCACTCTCGCGAAGTGATTCTGCAGCCCAATTCTGCACTTTCCGAAGCCCTTTGTTCATTTGCGCTTTGGCGTTGAGCGCAGCTCTGTAGTCTCTATCTTTTTCATCCAGTCCAGAGAATTTGCAGGCTATCGGCGACGCATGGCGAAGGTAATAGCTAAAGTCATCTTGCGCGGCGTTGATGGCAAGAATGATGTCACCCATGATGGCTCTGTTAACGATATCGCTGCTTTGAAGAGGCGGAAGTTCTGTATACGCGTCCTCTAGGTAAGCTGGAATAGCGGTGCTTTCATGTATCCAGTGTGTTGTGCCCTTGCTGGAGTCGACGATGCGCATGCATGGGATAGTCTTGTCGGCAGGCTTGGGATCATCGACATCGATAGAATCGAGAGTTTTGGTATCAGGATTGTAGGCTATAAGGCTCAGCTTGAGAGACGCTGTTGCACTCTTGCCCTGGAATATTCCGGCGGGAGTAGCCAGTCCTTTGATGATGAGATAGTAGACCACTCGACGAGGATAGAATCCTTGCGGCCAGATATACAGAGTGTGACTGGCATGTCCGTCCATGTTGGAAGTAATGATGAAGGAATATGTACTGCTATGATAATCGACCTGGGTGATGGGCTCTGCTTTAAACTCTTATGAAGCAATGAAGATAATGATGGATAAAATTACATTAGCTAGGGCAAGCAAGAATCGTCATCAGGTTTATAAAGTCCACCGTCGGAAACATTTCAGAATCCCATAATCTTGCTTCAAAGCGGCTCTACTTGCTTTCGGGTACATGTAGAATCGCAGGAAGGTAAGCGCACCGATTGATCCAATCAGATAGACGCCGCGACAGGCGACTAATCTTGGCACCGGCAAGGACAAAGCCGCACGGAGACTTTCTCGCCGACTTTTCAGGCCCCGCTCCGCAATAGTTTCCGGCATCCGCAACCTAGGCTCCGCTTTCGCCGGATTATTCTCGTCGGCAACGGAAGATTAAGGATCCTTCTCCTCGCCCGAATGATCCGCCCTACAAGGTCATTCTCGATAATGGTGGATGGGTAAGAGGGGGAAGGCTGTGGGGGTTCCTTGGTAGTGGATGGAGCTGCCACACGAGTGGCGGCATGTCAACATGGGCGCCACACGGACAGTATCGTGAGCAGAACACAATCACTTGGGTCATAAACGAGTGTCATCATTCCAATCAACAGCTTTGGATTTCGCTCTCCTTCATTTTTAGGGGTCGATTTCACCATGGATCAGGTTAGGGAATACCCTCGGGAGTAGAAACCCCCCACCATCCCCACAATCCCCTTTTTACTCCAGCTCCATCCGGTCCGCTTCCGCGGTCACTTACTGTGGCACCTTATTGAGGACAATTGATTCTGAATATCTGATTTCAGAAGACTCATTCAGGAAATATCTAATCTTAACCATCCATCCATTATCTTTCCAGCCCTCAAATAATTGTGCTCGCGCCATACTGTCTTAGTACTGTTTCGGTTACGGTAGTTGACGTGGTATTGGCTTTTCCACGGGTATCGATTGCGCTATCAAGTCGCCTAATGTCGTTATGAACCCAAACCTGCAAGGAACCATAACCCACGTCTGACATTACTTCTTTCGGTAAGGTAGCCTACGTTTGTCAGGTTTGAATAAAATATACTTTGAGGTTTTCAGCGGCATTTCTTTTTTTTTTTCTTCTTCTTCTTTTTCTTCCCTTCCAACCCGGCATGCCCGCTCGTGTCTAGACCGAGCGATGCGGCACACCCTCATGAGAGATATTGCGGAAACCCCGGGCGAATACCGCGCGGCAGACGAGGTGTTGGCGCTATAATTTTGACATGGAACCGTCTTTTCCTCGTCGCTATGCATCTTCGACCACCAACGTAACTATTGATGTGGAACGAACACCAAGTGTTGGCGGTGCAGCCAAGCTCTTCAGGCGAGGGTCTCCCCAATCTTTTCTCTTCTTTGCCCTTCCTGGCCGATTTCCCGAGACGCGTAGCATCAGAAGCCAGAAGTGTCGAGTAAAACACTTTGTTCTCATGTTTTTTGTCTTATTCATTGAGCCTACTGCAAAATATTGTGTAGGCAGACGTCGACATCTACATATTTATTCCACGCAACAACTATCATAAGCGTAATCGTACGGGAAAAAGCTTCTCAAACAATTACTGGCCGCATTTCATGTCTCGGGAATCATCTTCCTAACCTGTACAAGCCAAGCACTTGAGAAACCAACGCGTTGTTTGTCACAGTGGTTTTGGCTACTCGGAACAGATGTCGTCATTTGCCTTCGGCGTCACTACATCGCAAGCCTCCCACGCCCCATTGAAATAGTGGGTTCGCCCGCGTGGGGTTGGATGTCCCAGACATTCAACGGTTGACCTGAACGAAAGAACAACACTAGGGATCAGCCGCGGTGGGAACACCATGCTCGAGCGTCTCCTTCAGCTCTCGGGGAACGCGCCTGATCCTTACAGTCTTTCCTTGCCATCCACCAACGAGATCAGATGTTGCAGCCGCCGAGACAGAGTGGGTTAAGCAACACTTTGCAGCCCGGACTTGTCAAAGCTGGGGGCATGCCATTGTGTGTGCCTCCTTGCGTTTGTCTTCACTGGGGCATCTCTTAGCCAAGAAACGACAGGGAACCACTAGGTCGGAAGCATGGACCGACGAGGAATTAAGCCAAGAGGAGGGCGATTGTGTGATTTTGCCCCGTAGTATTGACACCCGCGGACATGAGTCGGGCAGTATGCGACAAATATCTGCCCGGCTATATAAAACGCCCGCGTGTCAACATCTTGACATCTTGAGACCAAGTTCTACCACTTCTTCAGCTATTTCGCCCTCCTTAAGATTTCCATACACACCCATATATGGGCTTGTCTCTGCTCATCTGACCGCTTCACTAGCGCACTGTCAGTTTTGTAAACAGCAGGCATTGTCTCAGGGTAGTTGACAATGGTATTTGCAAAGCTTTTCGGCGGCGGCGGGAAGTCCGAGCCAGAGTATCGGGTTGATGCCGAGGCCAGCGACTCTGAGCCTTCCATCATTCACGATGGCGATCTCGCATATACCCGACAGAAAGGTGGAAATGGTTCCAAGCCATCGTACCAGGAGGCTGTCGGTGCGCCTGTCGAGTCAAAATCGCCTTTGGGTTACCATGTCGGCTGGGCAGCGGTTATCTTCTTGAACATTAACATGATGATTGGAACCGGTGTTTTCTCAACTCGTAAGTCAAAACGCCTTGCATTTTAGAAAGCTGGTTGAGACAGACAAGCCGGAATCCGACTTTTTTGCTAATGTCAATTGCATACAGCTGCTAGTATCCTTAACCGAACCGGTTCCATTGGCCTATCTTTACTGTACTGGGTCATTGGTTTTCTCATGGCTGCCTCTGGATTCAGCGTCTATCTTGAGTTGGCTAGTTATTTCCCCAACCGGAGTGGTTCCGAAGTTGTCTACCTTGAACAACAATACCCTCGGCCCAAACACTTTTTCCCAGTCGCCTTTGCAGTTCAATCCGTCATTTTGTCATTCAGCAGCAGTAATGCTGTCGGTAAGTCTTTAGAACCCAAAAGAGGTGATAACTCAACCACTTACACCTTACCAGTTCTCTCAAGATATCTGTGGAGAATTGCCGATGTCAAGCCTACCGAATGGCAGATGCGAGGTGTTGCCATCGCAGCTTACACCCTTGCCGTCATTTGCGTTCTTGCGCACAACAGATACTCTCTGTGGCTTGTGAATATCATTGGTGTCCTCAAGATTCTCACACTGCTATTGTAAGTAATCTTCAAGTCTGGGACTTTGTATCTTGAGCGGCAGTTAACAGTGTAAACAGCATCAGCATAGCAGGTCTCGTCGTCCTCGGAGGAAATGTCAAGCACATCCCCGACCCGAAGGCCAACTTTCAAAATGCGTTCGAAGGCACCACCAATAACGGAAATGATCTTTCCAGTGCTCTAGTCAGCATCATTTTCTCTTACGCAGGCTACTACAACGCATTCAACATGACCAACGAAATCAAGAACCCAATCCCCACTCTCAAGAAGAACGGCATTATTTCTCTCGGAACCGTTGCCATTCTCTACATGCTCTGCAACATTGCCTACTTCGCCACGGTGCCCAAGGCCGAGTTCAAGGGAGCCAGCGAGATTGCGGCGTCTGTCTTCTTCTCCAAGCTTTTCCGTGACAGCAAGGCTGCTGCCAATGTGCTGAATTTCCTGGTACTATTGAGTGCTTTCGGTAACTTGTTGGCTGTGCTCATCGGTTCCTCACGCATGATTCGTGAGATTGGACGCCAGGGTGTTCTGCCATTCACCGAGTTCTGGGTCTCCACCAAGCCCTTTGGAACACCTCTCGGTCCTTACCTTCTGAAGTGGGGAATGACTTTTATCATGATTGTCGCGCCTCCTGCTGGTGATGCATTCTCTTTTGGTACGTTTTGGTTGCGAACCCCTTCTGATAAGCTTAGTTACAGTGCTGACTTTGGTTCCCTTAGTCGTCGACCTCCAAACCTACCCAAGCGCAATGTTCAACTTTGCAATGACATATGGTGTCTTCATTCTCAGGCGGCGTCGCAGACGTTCCGGAATTGGCCGTTCTGACTTCCGCGCATGGGACTTTGTCGTAGTTTTCTTCCTCGCCATTCAAGTGTTTGTTCTGGCGATGCCTTGGTGGCCCCCGAAGGGAGGCCCGTACGCCGGAAGTGTCAGCTTCTGGTACGCCACCTATTGCGTGGTCGGTATTGGAATGTAAGTGACCTACAGCAAAGCTGCAATATTATAAGCTTTTGAGCCAGTGAGACTAACTTATTACCAGCATGATCGTTTGTGGTCTCTACTACGTTTTCTGGATGTACCTCCTTCCCAAGTGGATGAAATATGAGATCCGCACTGAGATAGTAGAGGTTGATAATGATGGAGCCAACACGCATCGCCTGGTCAAGGTTCCTAAGGCTGAAGTGGAACAATGGGACGCCGAGCATGACGAGGCCGGTAACTTGCGTCGGAGAAACGTAACCACTGTCGAGATCGAATCCAGTGGTTCCAACGAGAAAGCCGTTTGATTTGAACCTGACAGTCATTTTATTAAATCAGTTGGAAGGATAACTGCGTGGATTGGACTTCATTGAGCAGTGATGAACGGGGGTTTGATTTCAACAACCCCTTGGTGCAGCCTCACGATTTGGACTTGAAAGTTACCAACACGCTAGACCCGTTCCAATTCATTTAGCTGGCCAAAGTTTGGCATTATAGAATTCTCCCAGATACTTACAATTCGAGCGCTCCTTAAACTCGTGCTATAACTATCCAGCCCTGTGGCAAGCAATCTCGACCCGTACTAGCAATTTATATTTCCTGTTCTGCCCGAAAACTCAAACAGCAGAGGAACATTTTGGCATGAAAAAGCGAAATGACATTATGGCACTTTTACTACGTAGTTATTTTAATTGAAACTTAAGTGGCATTAGCACTACTGAGCAAGATGCACTTTTAAGAGTTCAAAGACTTCACTATTGATTGAGCATTGGCAAACTAGACAATATTGAAAGACTATGGACTAACCTACAAAGTATACTGAATAGACTGGATAGTTTATTTCGATTTGCAACTGAAACATCTTGTTTATTTGCAATGCACTCATGCTCCTTCTCATATACGACATTTTGCAGTTTGCGGCGAGATCAGAAATTCACATATGAGATATGCCTGGATCTCATGTTGCATCAACTTCGACTTGTCTCTATCGATAAACCATAACTATTGTATCGTATGACATGCTTAAGAACCATCACCCAAGTTGACGCCGTTCAGTGTTTGTTAGAAACTATCGCATCGAGGCTAATTAACAGCTTTGATTCATGTTGCTCTCATTTTAACAGAATCACTTGATTACGGGACAACTTTTATGAGATAGAAAACATCATGTCTGCCACATTGGTCTCCTTGGAATGAAGCTCCGTGTAAGGAGTTATATCGACGGAGGGAATCGTGAATTGCTGTGTTGAGGCCGGACCACACGAGTCACAGCGGTAAATGACTAGAGACTGGAAATTTGGCGACCATAAATGGTCATGTCCTCACGATTTAGCCGACGTATCCACGCAATCCTGCGTGTTGTCATTAATATTACACTACAACTGATGGGTTGACCAGGTTCAGGTATTGGAAACCCCCCTAACATTGATTATACCCTCGGCTCGATATTGATTGATACTGACAAGCTTGTTTATCAATAAATTCCATGACCCTGAGTAAATTGATTGCACATGATGATCGTTGGCGGATCGCCGGAACCGGAACCTTCTCCTGGGGGCTGGGATTTTTACCGCTCCTTATCATCCGCGGTCAAGGATCCCCCGCCATCTGGCGAGTCATCCCCGCTCGTTTTTCCCCATTGCCCCGCCACGCCATGTTAACTCCACAGAAACGCTACCAAGTAAGCTGCAAGACTTCAGTAAGCTAGCACATAAGCTAGCGAATTCCCCGGAGCGACTCAATACTATGCCGTAATCCGCTCAAGGACGTGGTCCTCAGCTATCAAGATAAGTTATTGATAAGACCCTCGACCGATTACCGAGCAGGCATTGCTTCAGAGATCAAAGTCAGGATGTTTGCTTCGGCTGCCCTTGCCAACGGCATTTTGGTTACTGATAAGCATAACCGACCATACGGATAATGGTCTCCGGGTCCAAACATGGATGACAAGCACAGCCGCCCAGATAAGGAACCAAAGATTGTTTGTCAGTCTAGAGCATGTCCGACAGGTTCTAGCGCGAAATCAAAGGCTTCGAATGAGGCTTTTACACATTAGTTCGATTTTGGTCCCAAGGCGAAGTCACCAGACTCCGATATGACCATCGCTCGACGTCGTTTATTGAAAAAACAGGAGTATAAGAGACTGCAAACATCCCATTGAATACAGGTCTTACTTTGTCAGAGCAGCGGTGTTCTTCAACTTGCCTTCAGATCCAGAGAAGACCTTACCAATAACCAACGGCCAAGTTCAAGGACAAAATGCAGACCTCGAGCCTCCTTCTCGCTGCATCGCAGCTTGCCCTTAGCCTAGCTGCTCCAGCTCCCGTTCCCATCACCAACCCGTTCCCAGCGCATCAATTATCAACCCGGGACACTCACTTCAACGCCAGCCTGCCTAATATCACCATCTTTGCCACGGGTGGAACTATTGCTGGTTCTGCTGCGTCCAACGCTCAAACTACTGGTTACCAAGCCGGTGCCCTCGGGGTCGACATTCTCATCAATGCTGTCCCGGAACTTTGGAACGTCTCCAACGTGAAAGGCGTGCAGGTCGCCAATGTCGACTCGGGTAGCATCACTCCTGAGATCCTCCTCAACCTTACCCGTCTGGTGCAAGAAGCCCTTGACGACCCTTACTGCCAGGGTGCTGTCATCACCCACGGTACCGATACCATGGAAGAGTCCGCCTTTTTCCTTGACCTTACAGTCAAGTCTGACAAGCCTGTCGTCGTCGTCGGCGCCATGCGTCCCGCAACCGCCATCAGTGCCGATGGGCCCATCAACCTCCTTGAGGCTGTTACTCTTGCTGGAAGCCCCGATGCCAAGGGTCGCGGAACTATGATTGTGCTCAATGACCGCATCAGCAGCGCCTTCTACACGACCAAGACCCACTCCAACTCTCTTGACACCTTCAAAGCCGTCGAGCAGGGCTACCTTGGCTTCTTCCTTGACATCAAGCCTGTTTTCTACTATCACCCTGTTATGCCTCTGGGACGCGTCTACTTCAACGTTTCCGAGACAAAGGCTCTGCCCGAGGTTGACATTCTTTTCGGTCACCAGGTGCTGAACCCTGCCATTGCAACCGCTGCCGTCGAGGCTGGTGCCAAGGGCTTGGTTTTGGCCGGTATGGGTGCTGGAGGCTGGACCACGCCCGGTCGTGATGCCTTGAAGAAGCTTGCTCAAGAACACGATACCCAGATCGTGGTATCTAGCAGGACTATGGGAGGCTTTGTTGAGGACAGCGATGCTCTTAACACATACCGTGGTTGGAACCTGAACCCTCAAAAGGCTCGGATTATGCTCCAGCTGGCCTTGAATGCCAAATACTCATCGGAACAGCTCGAGACACTGTTCAAGTTTGCGCCGTAAAGTATGGGAAATGGTAACGAAATTATGAGCACTTATTGTTTTCAGATACAAGTTTATAATGTTTATGTTAACACTGTACTTAATGCGCTCAATATTAATATGAGTCTGACATCCTATACATTCGCTCCGTAGTCCCATTCCTTGTCTTCGGTCCTTTCAGAATTGAAATGACCAGTAGAACCCTGCATAGCCGCCTTGAATACGAACCTCATTCAACAACCTGTCCAACAGCTTTGGAATACACACCAGTCTCTTGGTAACCACTATTGAGATGGTTGCAATGACGCCGGCCTTGAAACCATGCTAGTCCAACTAGCGTACGCCGATGTTACCGCGCTACGTAGACAGTGGCTCTTTTTTACCACGGCAGTTACTCAATTTTAGCACCATGCCGAATTCAACTGGTGCGTAGCCTCGTTAAGCATTCATAACAAACCTTCATTTTGATGCCGAGCATTGAAGCGACGTCATTTGAATAAGGTATACCAAAACCACAGTGCCATGGTAATCTTGGCAAGGTGGCTTTACAACACGGAGAATATTACAATCACTGCAACTGATGAAACATGATTAAATAAAGATAATAGTCTTTGCCTTATATGGAAGCCGAAGCGGGTGAACATCCTTCATAATCATACACAACTGCGGAGGTCGCATTACTGACGCATTCCTAGACGTTTTTATGGTGCACGGTGGCTAGAGTAGTAGAAACATAAATTCCTGTCATGGATCACTGTCCAAGAACGTTAAACAGCATAATAAGCAGCAATTCTTCCTACGCATATGTGTGTCGGATTTTCTTACTTAAAGGAAGCTATATTCTTCAGAACGTCAATCTCCGAGACATTCTCATTTCCATCACTCGTCAAACAAAGACTGTCCAAAGATGATGAACTCGAATCCTTGCAGCGGACGTCGCTTAGCGATCTTCTTCGGCGCTATCGCAGTGCACTCTCAGCTATTTGTTCAGGGCTTTCCTTCAGCCGTAGGCGGGAAACCCGTGGCCGAGATGGAAAGCCTACCTTCATCATCAGCACACCAGCCACGACAGGACATTCCAGACGTTTTGGCGAAATTTTCATCAGGACCTTTGAATCAATTTCTAAGAATCATCAGCACTCTTCCAGCAGGAGCGGCGGCGCTCGATGCTGTGGGCAAGATTTTGACGCCCTTGCAGCAGGGCCTAGCAGAGTCAGCCGGCCTCGAGACCACTGCAAACGACTTGGAGCGAAATTCTGCCTGCGCCGACATCACTGTCATATTTGCCCGGGGAACGACTGAGCCTGGTAACTTGGGTCTAGTCACTGGCCCACCATTCATGGATGCTTTAAAAGAGCGGTTGGGGGGCAGATCTCTCGCCGTTCAGGGTGTTCAGTATCCCGCTACTTTTGCCGGGTTCAACAGAAACGGTACTGATGGCGTGCCGAGCATGTAATCGCTCCTATGTCCATGTGCCACTGGCTTGGTCCTGCATCCCAACATGCTAATCCGATTCTTACAGGACCGCCTTTATCGACGAAGCTGTATCCAAATGTCCCAACACCAAGGTTGTTATGTCAGGCTACTCACAGGGTGCCTTGGTAGTCCGCAGCACTGCCGACTCCTTGCCAATAGACACAATGTCTAAGGTCAACTCAGTTGTAACCTTTGGCGATCCCCGAAACCCGTCCCGCATTACTGGCGCAGGCAACAAGAGCTTGATAATATGCCATGAAAACGACGCTGTATGTAGTGGTGGTTTCATCACCATTGACCATCTGACTTACGCCGAAGATGCAAGTGGGGCTGCCCAGTTCGTAATGCAAAGAGCCAATGGTAAGTGAAGGGCCTTTCTCTAACAGCTGCATATCTAACAGTGCTTGACTAGCCTGATATGATCAGCTCCGGGAGCCTATGGCCATAACATGAAAGAAGCCCTATATAATGTTGGCCACAACGGGCAAGTGCTGGTAGCTGTATTCTTTTCTCTGTATGTAAACATTTGTGTAGTGAACAATAATTCGCCTATCATTCATATCTGAAAGGGTGCAGAGGTATGCTTCCAGAGTGACGGATAGAGTCCATCAAAAGGCTCTGCATATCGGCATATAGCACCCTTTTATGCTATGAATATTGACTAAATGAACCTTCTGTATTCATTGAAACTTATGGCGCCAACCTATCAAATAGAGACGTTCGATTTGGTTGGGACAAGTCAAAGATAAACTGCTTCAGTTGTTGATGCCTCTTCCTCCTGAACATAGACATTGTACAAAACGTGTGGTATCCTTAGTCGAATTTTATACTTCCATTGACATCAATGCTTCAGACGGTTGACGGACATATAGGACAATCACTTCAAGTAGATCAGTAACCCAGTTTGCATCAGCACAGGGCATAAATCAAGAAGGCTCTGGCTATCTCGTTACCTAGTGGTAGTTGCGTCTTATGCCAGCGTACCCGAAGACACCAAGACAGTAACACTCAATTAAATAGGTCTTGTTATTCGCAATGACGGTTCTATTTAATGACGCCATTTAGACTAATGCAGGTCGAGCAAGACTTTAAGGCTGAAGCTGCATGACTGCCCCACTGAAAAATATTGTCTGATCGAGCATATCCGAAGTAACGCAGTTATGCTTATTTGCAGATTGCGCTGTCTTCACTCTGCTCAGTAGCGGATCAATGGCTCGGCGATATTCAAACTTGTCGGTAAGTTGGTGGTCGTCATCGACATCACACAGATACCTGGTGGTTAGCACTTAATTCAGGTAGATGGACTCGGTCACCTTTCAAGACATATGAGCCTATTTTATGGCCACTTACGCCTCGAAGCCGCAAGCATTAGAGTTTCTATATAGTAGCACTTAGACACCGGCGTTCTAATGTCCCGAGAACGGAACAACATGGTGTCCGTACAGCCGTTGCAGACACTCAGATACACACTCACAGGTGGCAAGCCGTGTTAATGGTCCTGATGATGTCGTATGAGGCCTCCGTGTTCAGATTAAATTGCGGGTTTCCCCGCTGAGGGGGTAACATTCAACGGAATTGGTTTGCTGGGCGGTCGAGGCCTCGCTTAACCGTTGAAGGTTTGGAAAATAGAGGGGAAACAAGTTGATGTTCATGACACAGATTCGTCCCAGTGGCACCAGTGGAAAAGGGCCTCCCCAGACCTGCGGGTGGTTTTGCTTCCGCGACATCTCCTATTCGGGCAGTAGGCCCGGAAGCTTCCAGCAATCGGCCGAAAGTTAATTTAATCTATATATCCACGGGCACGGTTTGACTTAATAACGGCTCCACATCCGGGGTCTGCCGTTCATCCGATCAGGAGACGATCAACGGGGAAGGGGGAAGAGAAGTACCGACCTTGTGGGTATAAATACGCTCTCGAGAACATCATGTGTAAAACATCAAGGCACTTATCATTCTCAATTCACTCGTTGCCAACCACCTCTTCCAACCAAGACCATCGGTATCCTCAAAATGAAGTTCTCCGTCGCTGCTATCCTCATCCCCCTTGTGGCCGGTGCCGCAATCCAGGAGCGTCAGGTCAGCCCTGAATGCGAAAAATGGGGTTCTCTTGACCACCCGTATCCCTTTGCGACAGTTTGGGGACAGCACAACCTCTGCTGTAACTATCTAGGCCCTGGAAACGTACGTATAAGTTGTTGAGTAACAAATTGTGAAGTTTTGCTGACGTGAAGACGCAGATGTCCGAGGGCTGCTGCGATCCGGCTGGTGCCAACACCGGTAGTGGTGCGCCTGCCTGCCCTTAAAGCAATGATTATTGAAGGACTGTTACTGGATGTATATAATCTATTGCATATATGGAGCTTTCTCGCTCGTATAAACATAAAGTCTCACCAGAGAAGTTAACTGTAATGCAGCCATTGAACTTCGTGATGTACAGACAGAAAGCAGTTACATGCGTGTGATGTGCAGTGTATCATATATTCATGACTACCTAGGTATTGAACTCAATTGGCAGCAATGATTTACCACTCAGACTCACAGGGTCTCAGTGCCTGTTGAAATGTCCATCCAACTTTTTTTGTTAAAGCCAAATCACTCTTCCCACAACAGGTTTCGTAAAACCACGCTAAGCAAGTTTCCCTCTTTGTCTAGCAACACAACAAGCTCAGTCTTGCTCTGAAAGTTACCTATCAAAGACACACCGCCACACAATCGGCACATTTTCATTCCGGAGAATGCTACACAAACAAGCGAGCCGGCAACATTTAATGGCCGAGCCAGATTAAGGATCACGAGAGGAAACGGAGCTTCTGCTCCATGGTACTGAGCGGGGCTATCCTGGTCTCCGTTTGCCCCTTTGGGTGATGATCCGGGCTTGAGATAGATGATAGCCTACGTAAGGTTTAAGCGATCCGACTGGATCGTAGGCGAGGAATGCCTATTTTAACAGCACGCTTTCCTTATTGTCGAAAATTCAAGTTTTCAAACTTGTTTTCGCCACTGGTGTATTGGGGCGGCCTATGCTAAGACAATTGCAACCTCTCAATTTGTAACATTCATCCCAGTAAAGCATACATTTATTTCATCCTTTTTGTCGTAAGTATCATCGCTCAAACAGTACCTTAACTCAGAGGGATCTGGAATAGCTAGTTTTACCATATATGCAGGGGCATCTGTAGGTATCCATGAGTCAGCTTCAAATTTCACAGGATGTCAGGAGGTAGCCTCAAAAATAGGGGGAATACTGACTCTCGCCGGGTTAACAGCGGTCTCCTCTCCACAGGCCTTTACATCAGCTTCTTCCGTCTCTCGCTCCGGTACTGAAGGGCCACAGGCATGCTGCTCTCCGGATTGACCTAAGCTGTGAAGAGCCAGACTCCGCCTATACAACAGCCTTCAGCACGTATAAAATAGAGGTTACACCACATTGAGCTGAACGCCCAGAAGGATTCCTACCAACAAGTTGCTCACTTGTTGTTGGGCTGCACTAAAGTAGAAACACTACGTACCTCCAAGGCACAGCTTACGCCACATCAACAGTGACATAGTCCGTAACAAAGGCCTAGCATCCTGATATTATTCCTGTCTTCAGAACTACCCCGTTTGCTACTACTCTTGATTGTTAGGCTATTCCTAACAGATTAGCTCTATCCCTAAATAATCCCGCAATAACCCTTCCTAGTATTGAAGCGGGATTGGGGAATCCAGCATGCGGGCCGGCAGAGGTTGAACAGCAAGCACAACCATACTGACAGCTCAGAGGCCTCAAGAACCTAACCACGGTGTAACAGATTGTCTCTTGGTACTCTAAAAGTTTAATGCCGATCTTGTGTACGGAGGTATTACTTGACCAGGACGAATTACGTGGAAAATATTGAATGAAAACTCTTTTTTGAGTGCTTGTATAGCAAAAGATCCTTGGTTAAATTCTTCCCCTGGTCCCTGATCCGGAACTCTGGTAGGGTGCCAATCTCTCTTCGGGTATATATTTTCTATTACTACTTTGTCTTGATTGTCTTTTGATTTACTTCAGAACTGACTAGTTATCCTGCTTCGCCGTGCAGGGCTAACTTCAGGTTGCGCTTGTTAAGTAACAGATTCAAGTCATAAAAGATGTTACAATACAATTTCTAAGGACTCATCCAAGACGTCAGACGTCTCTATATTCTAGAATAGAACCGCAAGTCATTCTAGGTTCTTTCACTTGATCTTTAGAGGCCAGTCCAGTAGAAGTTGTCCTCCAAATAAAGGTCCTTCTGCAGAAAATAAGGCGTAAGATCTTAGCTTTGAGAAACAGCAATCTATGTCGCACTCCAGCACTTTCGAGTTGACGCGAGCTTAAACCCTACTGCGATGGAGGGAGCATTTATGGTTCCCACGGCACAGGCTATCCAAGCGTCTTTTCCTGAGAGAAAGTTGATCTTCTCTCACGGAGTGAGATTGCATGGAACATGTTCGACAACGTAGGGAGGAGATGAAATATTGAACACAGGTCAAAGATAAAGAAGTTCAAGGCAACTTCCTAAGTATAATATATTCGCAATAGAGGTGAAAAGAAAGTGTATTTTCCAGAGATTATAAGCCCTGGTTCATTTAAATTTGTTAGATTGAAACTACGAGAGCCGTTGCTAAAGCCTTCGAGGTATCATTCCATATCCGACGGCTGCCAGCGAGAATGGGATTGCGCTGAAAATGTTTCACTTTCAGGACGCGTATGTGCGAAGATGCAGCATGATGCACGATTCGCACCCTCTAAAGCATGTTGCAATCTTTTGCAGAACTCGGCACACTTTGAGGCATTACTTCGGGCGAAACCCGACATATTGGCTGGCGCGGATTTGGTCATAAGGTACAGTGGGGGAATTGGGTCATGAGGTTACGTGGGACTGCCAGTTGACTTCAGCCAATTTTGCGGAAAGATGGTGGAATATTGTCTGGATGGCTGGTTGGGTAGAGGATGAAAAGACGGAAGCTCTGGAACGTCTGTTGGCTTCAGGGGCGGTCAGATACGACGTCTCGGTCAAATATCCTTAAACACCCACAGATTGTCCGAAGCCCACGCTGAGTTACCTCGCGAGAGTGAACGAGAGAGGAACCCGAATAGATTGCGATTGGTCAATATCGACAGTCTGCCAAACTCAGTTCCCGCTATAACACCGGTTGACGCACTAGACGAGTGGTTGACTAGTCACACGCATCTGGACTTGGTCGCGTCCCAGTGAAACCATGCGGAGAAACGTTGTGATCTTTCGTCCCCCACTATGGTGGCACACGAAATCGTAATTCCTCATGGGGTCTGGTAGATCAGTCTAAGGCGCCGGCAAGAATAACCCTGCACAGACCCATGACGGTCGGTAAAGATAACTTAATAATGGAGTTCCGGTCAGAGGAAAAGATTACTTCCATATAAGGTACCGATGCGCGTTCAATTAAGCCGACGGGATATAGATTTCCTTTGTTGGTGACGAAGGAAGCATGGTTCATGTCACACTGATGAACGATGATCTTTAGGAGATTGACAACATAGAAAACAAGTGATATGTAGAGCTACTGTAAACAGCTAGAGAAAAAGCCTACCGGCTATTGAGCTCTGGGAGAACAGTAGATGCAGGTTCATAGAGTAAATTGTAATGCGAAAATAGACCTGGCACTTCGGCATATTTGTGGAGTTTACAGGCCGGAATTGGAAGATAGGAATGGAAAAGGAAGACTTAAGAAGTTAAGAGGGGCAAAAAAAAGAAAGAAAAAAGGGGGGCGGAACGAGGATGGGAGCGAGAAACGAGAACGAGGAGCGGAACACTAAAAGGAACGAGCCACCGAGCCTAGCCCAGGTCCATTCGGAGAGAGAGCCCAGACAAAATTTCGGGATTAGGGCAAATGAAAACCCCATCACTGGGAAAGGTAAGTTTAGCAGCTCCAGGACCTCATGACTCTGGTGCTGGCGTTGTAATTACCACTCGAACGACAGACACCGGCCATGGAACGTTCAGAGGTGACAGGGCCGCCTTTGGCAATAATAATTGGCGGTCTGTAAAATAGCTGTTCATACAGTAGCTGAGTCAGTCAATGCAATTACCCGTCACAAAAATTAAGATAAAAACGGCGGATAGGCGGCTACAAGGCAAGGAAAACATAAGGTAGGGAACATTAGACTCTTTGCTAGGTAACCATTAATTGAGAAAAGCCAACGCCAGAGGCTCGAAATTTCTATCACAAGACAGTAAGACGAGTGCGTGAGTCACTAAGCATCCTCTTCGAGAACATACACTTTAATCTCCGTTATACCGGTGCGAGCAGGTATGCAGGCCGGAATGGGGAATTCTCCATGATCAGGCTCCTCGTTCGGCATAGCCATAGCAGAGCCGCCTCTGATCTCATCACCATTCCACCAACGTAATGGACGAAGCTTTCCAGGTTCCTCGTATTCCATTTCCCTGGCGCTCAAAATACCTGTAAACCCAACCTCCTTTCTTAAACTCTTGAACTTGGCCTGAAATCCGTATCCGACAAGAAGAAACTTCATATCGGCCAACCTGATAATCATGCCCCCACCAGGGCCCGGTTTACCGAAGACAGAGGCTCGCTCAGCCGTAACTTGAATGTCTCCAAGTACCTTAGTCCATGATCTTTCAGTTCTTGGATCACCCACTTCGTCAAAAAAGAACCCAAAGCGGTCCCCTGGGGAGGAACCCAAGATGAAATCCGTAACTTGGCTTATAAGCTTGAATTCCCTGCCAACGGGCTTTGGATCGAACTCGACACCCCACGGACTGACTCCTAGGGCATCATACGTTCCCAAGGCAAGCCACATCCTGCGAGCCCCATGCTCGTCACGTCTCTGTTCAGGGATGAATAGCGGATTTTGTTTTTCTGTGTAATCCTTGCAAACCATCTCATAATTGTGCAAGTAGGAGTCTGGTGCGATGAAGTCCAGGACAGGCGCATTAAATCTCCAAATATCGAGAACGTGGGGGCATGGTCCACCGGAAGGGTACTTTCCCGGCCCAAGCCCGCCGGCCACGGCAGCTCCTGTGATGACGGAGGTAGGGAGGCCGACATCCAGGCTCTCGAGGTCGTCAAAATTGAGCCACACGTTTGCATATAGCGGGATTGGATAGGACGACTTGCCCGACGCGGCGACCTTGCCTATGTAACGAGAGAAGTGATACGCCATGAATGCTTCATCGGCGGCCTCTCCGGTTCCAAAAACGTCTTCCCATGAGTGTTGGCCGTTTTTAGGAACGTTGGGGAAGCGTTTCGCAAATCTCGGGTGCGGATTGTCTCCCAGATGACGGAGCAGGAGCTCCGGGACAGGCTGCTTGAATGCCGCTTCAGCCAGGGCAGATCTGTCCCTTGAGTCGCCAAGTATTCCCACCTCATTTTCAACTTGGACCATGATGACCGTAGAGTGGTCTGCATCAAAATCCTTCAGGTGGGCCAGTAGCTTGCCAAATGCCTTTGCATCAGCTTCGGCACACTCCTCAGACAAGGGCGTCACGACTTCGAGAATCTTTCGGATACCGCCTGCCTCGACACTCCGTACCCGGGGGAACCGTCTCGAGTCCTTCTTCACCCACTCAGGTACGTAAGTGCTGACAGCGTTCTTGTACGACCCAAACCACAAGAGCACAAGGTGCATTCCATGTTCTCGCGCACCGAGAATGACCTTATCCAGCTCTGAGAAGTCAAACACCCCCTCGGTGGGCTCGATCTGCTCCCAAGTCACAGAGCCGAGTAGGGTGTTGAAACCTTGCTTCTTTAAAGCCGGCCATATGTCGTCCATGTAGCGAGCTGAGCTGAGAGCGGAGTTGTGCAGCTCGCCACCAAGGATGAGAAAGGGTTTGCCCTTGACGATAAGACAGGTACCATGCTTGCCGCGCGAAAGGTGAGGATGCGAAGAAGACTGATGTTCGTCGTTGGCGATCATATTGGCGGTTGATGAAGGAGTCGTAGTGTCTTTGTATCTGAAAGAATTCAACTTCACGAGCATGGAAATCAAGCCCTTTTGTATTGTTATTTGTACATTGTAACGTTCGTTTGTGGTACCTAGTGTTTGGAGATGGAAACTGAAGCGGTTGGCAACTGCCACGGTGCCAACGCTAAAGTGGATCACATTTTACTAAGAGTAGTTGCTGCGATATACCGAGAGCTTAGCAAAGGTTCATGAACTAGCTGCTGTGGGATTCTGAGCAGTGATACAACAAACAAGGTGTTTGGCCGAACCAATCACGCGAAATAATGGCTTCGGAGCATGTTGTTTGTGAGCGTCGGGGGAACTGTGGATCCTCGGTCACGATGTCCATGATAACTCCGAGTGAGAGAAAGCACAAGCCCAAGCAGTTGACAAGTAGTAAGCATAGCTCTTAGGCGGTTTTCGACATATTCTCCCGAGGCCGAGGAGTTTCTTGAGTTTTGCTGAAAATTATGCCGATAATGCGGTCCACAATGCCAGGAAGTATAAGAGTGTTTCTGAAGATGTACTTTGGAACGATACGGCCTTATCTCAAGTCAAACTGAAAATGTCAGCCGAAAGACATCAAATAAGCGAGAGAACAACGGAGCGAGTTCGCCTCAATCCAGTCATCCCAGGATTTGCCCCTGATCCCTCCATCGTCTTTGTAGATGGCACATATTTTCTTGTCAACTCGAGCTTTCATATATTCCCTGGTCTTCCGGTGTATGCGTCAAAGGACTTGAGAGAATGGAAGCATATTGGTATTGCCGGCGTCTTCTTCGTTTATTTCCTGTTGTTTCTGTACAAAGTCATGCTGCTGACTGTTCCCTTCAGGAAATGCTCTGAATCGAGTAGGCATGTTAAGCCTTCAAGACTCCTTGACCAAGCTCGTTGGCCCTGATGATGAGGGAATAATGATAGCAGCCCAGGGAGGCATTATGGCTCCCACGATCAGATATCACAAGGGCGTCTTCTACATTGTCAGCACCAATGTTTCCCATAACGAACCATTGCCCCCTGGACAAAGCGAGTTCCAAAATTTCATCTTGTCTACCAAAAATATATGGGCTGATGAATGGAGCGACCCGGTGTTCTTCGACTTTCACGGAATAGATACCAGCTTATTTTGGGACGATGATGACCGGGTGTACCTAATTGGTGCAGCTGCTCCTTCGCCTGAGACTAAGATCCGGCAGTTTGAAATCGATCTCAAGACTGGGGCAAGACGGTCTGAAGAGAGATTGCTTTGGGAAGGCATCACAAAAGTTTACCCCGAGGGTCCTCATATGTACAAGAAGGACGGATGGTACTATCTTCTGATCGCGGAAGGGGGCTGTTTTGCCGATCACCATGTCATTATGGCACGCTCACGAGATATTTGGGGTCCGTACGAGGCGAATCCAGCGAACCCCGTACTTGCGAAAACGAATCTCACCAGCTATATTCAATATACGGGCCACGGAGACCTTTTCCAAGATCCTTCAGGAAAATGGTACTTCGTCTGTCTAGGTGTAAGGAAAAACAACGGCCGATTCATCATGGGACGCGAGTCCGTTCTCACCACAGCCACTTGGCCTCAAGGCGAGTATCCAGTTATTGACACAGTTCATCTGGATGTACCGCTTGCTATCGAAAAACAAACATCACCGGCGTGGCCATCCAGGAGAAGTTTTGAGCGCCCAGACGTGGCGTTTGTCCACATTCGGGACCCCATTGGCGAAAGCTACAGATACGATGGTAAAATCATTACCCTCTCGGCAAGCAAGGGTGACATTGCGCAATTTCAAGAGCCAGTGACATTTATTGGCAAGCGTCAGAGGTGTCTCAATGGTTCGAGTTCAGCACGCCTCATCAGTTTTGTCCCATCACTCGTTACTGGCTTTGCGCTGAAGACTGGCCTGTGTTACTACAAAGATGAGCACCGTTTTATCCGAGCTTTCCTCGACGTAGACGCTGGAAAGGTCGTTCTGGAGGTTGTAAATAAGGCAAGATATATTCATCGCAGGACATCTCAAACTCTGGGAGAGATTATTGAGGGCGTGGGTCTTACGTTTGGGGTGGACTACACTGAGCTGGAGTTCGTGTTTTGGTACTCAGTCTCCAATGGCGTGGGGAAGAAAGAGCAGTTCGGGAGGATGGATACTCTAGACATGACTGGGCATGATTTTGTCGGCCCTATAGTCGGAATATTTGCCGTCGGCGGAAAGGAGGCGGACGTTCGATGGTCCGATCTTATTGTAGCTTGATGCGTCCCTGAGCAAGCGGTACGATGGCAAGGTTGTTTCGTAGTATGCTAGTCAGTAAATCTAATACTTGAATCTAGTCTTTCACCACCGAAGCAATATTCAGCTTGCCCTCGTCATCAAGAAACCTGGTGTCGTGCCCGTAACAGAGGAAACACGCCATGATCTGACGGATTTCACCTAGACGTGGCAACAATTCTGCGGCAACATCCTAGAGAATGTGCAGCTGGTAACATGATGTTTGCTTAACAATGAACGAATAATACACCGGCAGGTCCATTGCCCTGTTGGTTTTGTCTTCCAGCTCAACAAGCTTCTAGAGGTGGGCAGCTTGTACGCAACACGTGATGGTCAGTCATATGACACATTAATTGCCAAAAAGATGGCTTTTACAAACAGCCATTACAACATCACCTCTTACTTAAAAATGCAGATTGAGCCGCGCCGGTGGCGTGGGTGATATCTCGGCAAAAGATGAGAGAGATGGATTAATTCCAAGATGATTTTGTGAAGAAATATGGTGCCGCGTTGAAGCTTTCTTGGCTATTGCAATGCTCCAGTTACAAGTTCTCAGTCTCATTATCGAATGACAAAAATCTTGTCAAGTATATATGGTGTGCAAAGCGTGGCAATGAATCCGGATGCTGGGTACAATGAGAAGGTACTGTTCATTAAAATATTACGCGCAGATTGGCGTTCCCCTCCCGGCAGCCTGCTGCAGCAAACCATTGTTTTCCTAGCTGTTGTGTTGCCAGCTTGCGCGCAGCCTGCCTTGCCACACCACCATCACAAGTAATTTGACATTCAGCTACATCCCGGTTGCTACAATCTATTGGCCATAACATCAACCACGGATGAATATCTCACTTCTCCACCTTCTTAGCAGGCAAGAGGAATACGTAAGACTAAGACAAATCGTCATGAAAAACCTGGATCGTTGCGACCCATTCATAATCAGGATTTGACACGTAGCAGAATGCAACAAACTACATAGACTGCTAGTCACGAGCTGAAAAGAAAGGCACGAGCAGGCAACTTTTATAAATCCCACGTGAAAGCAGTCCATAGGTTTGCTGCTCTTGGTGTGCTTAGGTAGAGGAGGCATACTATTTATAGCTCGGTAACTACAAATTGGGCTGTAGTAGGTAACAGAGCCGCAAAGCCTACAAAGAGATCCTTTACTTATCAATTATAAATAATGTCAAAGTTTTACAGATTTGTGGAAGCCAAACTATCGTCTAAAAAGCTTTCCGAAACACCGAACAATAAACAATTTGATCTCTTTATCCTTATCTAAGACTGTTGAAATAATGGCTACCTGTTCGACTAAGAACTGTAAAGAAGAGGCTAAGAATTGTGGTAAATGTTATCGCCACGCTGGCCACGTACATTGCATGTGTAACAAATGCGATCCCGGTCTCTGCGGCATATGTGGTGCCTGCCCAGCATGCTGCGACAAGTGTTGGAAGAAGTATGCAGTATTATCGTCTCCTAAACTGTAACAGTACTAACACTGTTATTTAGTTAGGAATCGACTCTGTTAACGGGATAGCGACCTCCTGTAGGGGCTCTGATTATGGATTTCGGTATGGGGTTGTTTACTTTTGCTTTAAGGATTTGAATTCAGAAATCATAGAAAGCGGGGAACAGCTTCTACAAAGAGACATGGAAGCTTTTCTTTGATGAATTCTTTTTTATGATATGAGCGCTAGACTAGCAGACGCGTGCGAATACAGAACATCTCCTACAATGACTCTAAAACCTCCTTCCGTCCCTTCCCCTGCTTATAAATAGAAATATGGTTCTGGGGCTGTTGGCACCAATGCTGGAACTCTGAGACGCTTTTCTTTGACATTATTCTCCTTTAGACCTCAGCCGGAAAAGTTGATCAACTTCCGCTTTGAGTCAACATCTTGGGTGCTAGTTCAGCATCATTAGAGGTGTGCAGTGGTGCATTTGTGTGCATGTGTCCGAGCTACCTAGAAGGTTTGTCATTGACTTAGTCAGTAAGCATTTGATCTCCCCGCTCTTCGTTCCTCGTTCCACGTTCCTCGTTCCTCGTTCTTCGTATTCATATTGTACGGCATCTCCGTCGCTCATGTCCATTCATTACAATCCTGGTTGCTTTTTTGATACTTAGCTATTCATACCCAAACTTACCTTGTGCAAGCACACTTCGTTCCAGACTCATAAGCTCGTACCGGTCCGACATGACCTACCCAAGCGATTGTTGTGCGATGATCGCAGTCCTTACACACAGGCCTAAACAGGATATCTTGACTGCCGAAAAAGGCGTTCTTAGGGGGCTCAGGTCATCCCAGCTATCCGAGCGGTATATGCCACGGTGAACTTTAAGATGCATACTGCACCGAAGGGGGGTCGGAGTGCTGGGCTCGCCTGTGGCGTAATTTCTTATCAATTTATGGTACCCTCATGTGTTGCAGCGCCACTTACTCCGGATTCTTCTTCCCCCGTGAATCAAGCCCTAAAAGTCGAGCTCGGCAATGGGTAAGCCCATGACTTAGACATCTTACGACCTTTTCCACTGATGCGCAGAATAGCACGCCATACACGTTGCATTTTCGACTTCCGTTTGATCTATCAGCTTTTGAGTTTAAAGTAACTGGCATTTGTCAGGAATCATTTCATTGAAAAAAAGTGATTTTGTTGATGGTTAGGCCTGCCATTACAGGGAGGGTCTATGTAGGGGAATGCTTGTATTCCTTGATCATCTATTCTAATCTACACAGAGGGCTCTGTACTCATCCTGCCTTCAACCATACTTCGAAGTTTTAAGGCCGACTCTTTCGGCGTTCTCTCCAGTGTATTGTAGTCGACGTACGTCACACCGAATCTAATATTGTATCCCGAGGCCCATTCTGAGGAAGAGGTAAGTATTAAAAAATAAGGACTCGGTTCTCCCTGTCTAAAGAGAACAGTTTTGGTAGAGATGACTGACCAAAGTTATCCATCAGCGACCAGGCGAAGTACCCCGCTACTTTTGCCCCATCTTGTATGGCGCCAACAATTGAATCCAAGTGACTCGATATGTATCGCTGTCGATACTCATCCTTTACCGACTCTTCTCTGCTCATCTTATCTTCTCCAGGGCAAGGGCACCCGTTTTCAGTAACATAAATGGGCTTTCCATACCTATTATAGATTCTCACGAGATGCTTTCGGAAACCTTTTGGTGCGGAGCGCAGCCAGTCAATGCCACTCAGCTCACCAATCGACACGCCAGCCTTGTTTTCTTGTAAGTCATCTAGATTACCCTTGTAATCCGTGTCTGGTGCCGAGGTGCTGCGGTGCCGTGCAAATTGAGAAGTGTAGTAATTCATCCCGTAAAAGTCAAGCTCGGCCTCTCGCAGCAGGGTAAATTCAGCTTCTGTGAAGACCGGCAGGCGTTCTCCAAGCTGCGCGCGCATCACTGAAGGATAGTCTTTTGCCAGGCTGAAATGTAGCAACGCATTAGCACGACTGCGCATGTAGTTTTTCCTGCACTTGGCTTTGAGCTTGTGAAGGATGTTTATCATGGGGTGCATACATCATAGGATCGGCAAACCAGCCAATGCAAAAGTCCATCCTCCTCTCGGCTGCTTCGTAATCCTTGAGTTGGGTAGAGTCCCAAGGCTCAAAATAATCACCATTGAAAGACGCGCCGATTTGGCCTTTTTGTTTCGGCTTGAAATCTTTGTTGTATAAACTTGCCGCTTTCGCGTGCGCCAAAATCAGGGATCTCCCAACGATCCAAGGCTCTGTTGACGAGTCGCCTTTAGCGTAGGAGTCGTGAGTGCTGCTGCGGCTGGGTGGTTCGGTGCCCTCCACGTATCCCTGCTGTCATTTAGTCTCTCCAATTCTTTCTTTCGAGACTGTTCTCATGATAAGAACCTCCATGTAAATCAAGCTGGACCAACTAGATTACTCACATGTATAGCTGTGTTCCATGGCTCATTGAGCGTAATCCAGTTTTTGACCCGGTCTCCAAAGCGCTCATAACATAGTCTTGCGTACCGCTCAAAGTCCTTCTGGGTCTGTTCGGTATTCAACCAACCGCCATAGCGTTCCTCTAGCGTCTGTGGCAGGTCCCAGTGATATAAAGTCACCCAGGGCGTAATACCCCTGGCAATTAGCCCGTCGATCAACTTGTTGTAAAAGACGATGCCAGCTTCATTAATCGGGTCATTTCTTCCGCCCTCGGGGATGATACGTGACCAAGACAGAGAAAACCGGTATGCCTTCGCACCGTATTTGACAAGAAGGTCAAGGTCCTCTTCAAATCGGTGATAGTGGTCGCAAGCAATATCACCATTAGCCCCACTCGTACGTGACGGTTCTAGATGACTGTAGATATCCCAGACGGAAGGGCCTCGTCCATCTTCATTCGCAGCACCTTCAATCTGGTAAGCGGCCGTAGAAAATCCCCATTCAAAGTCGGTAGGAAGCGCTTTTGGCAACGCCGCTGTCTTCGGTGAGGCCATAATGAATGGGCTTTCTTAGAGCTGATATGGGTGAGGGTGGTTAAATAATAATCCCTGATGAGCATAGGCAGGAAGTTGTTTGTTGAGCTTTGTCTCTCAAAGGAAGTTGCTGTGTTTTATACAGACAGGAATAACAATTGCTATACAGTATAAAGGAAAGATTCTATGAGAGGTTACCATCGCAAGATTTGAAAGCGCATATTACGTAGGTCAATTGCCAGGAGATGCCTGAGACTACCACACTAAGTTGAACTTGTACGACTCGGGCTAATTATGGATCACATCCATGGAGGCATTTAGCCGAGGTATCTGCACTGGAAGACATGTTAACACCCGTCAAAGTCAATGCGACACCCGCCTATTTGCCCGACCTTACCTTCTTGCTGCTCCGCCAACAATCAAATGCCTTCTTCAAGCACAAGACGAGCCTGCACGATATGTCGCCGCCGCAAAGTTAAGGTGAGTTATGCCGACTCGGTCCTTTCTAGAGAATGACATCCCTCTCCCACTAACAAACCAACTGTAAGTGTGACGGCTTGCCGACCTGTCGAAACTGCCAGGCCGCCAATGCCCCTTGCCAATACCCTCCTCCAAGGAGACGGGGTCCAAAACCGGCCAAGTTGCTGGACAATCGCCCGAGACAGCCTCTTAACACAACATCCCCGGCCGCTGATCAACCCAGAGAAGCGAAGTGCCTGGCCAGTCCGACTGTAAATGTATCTTCCTCGTCTCCAGTCTTTGACAGCTCGCTTGTCGGCGGTTTATCTCCAAGTCTGTTGTTTGAACCACCGGACATCCAATCACAAACTGTTGTCAGGGTTCATCTAGAACTTCTGACGGGGCTTTCAGCTGCCTCGCCACCAATAACAGCGGCTACAATCGCTGACCAGTGTATATCCCTATATACTCAATACGTTTTTGGGGCTATCCCAATATGCCATGAAGCAACGTTGCGAGCGGGTGTCAGTCGATTTTTTATCCCGTTTCCGATCGTGAGGAACACAGACGACGATCACGCGTGGGCTTTACACTCATTTGCCGCTGATGATGAGCAAGAGCGGTTCAAGGTCCTTAGAAATTTCACACTACTTACCGCTCTATGCGCAGTCGTCTCTTACGCCGTCCCTGAGACTCTTCTGCCTAGTAAACAACTCACTGCCCAATTGTTCCTCCGGGCATCACGGAATATGCTCGCAATTTACGAGGACTACGATTTGGAGCAGCCCAATTCATCGTCTCTTAGTATCCGTTTGCTACTTTCTTCAGCCATACAACAGGCCACAGGCAAGAACGGGCTGTCGATCAATATTCTTAACCAGGCGGGTCTCCTCGCAATGCGAATGCGGCTCTACGACGAAACTTCGCTGGAGGGAAAAGACCCTATCGAAGAGACGATCCTCCGCAACGCTTTCTGGCAGCTGTATGTCTGCGATAAGACGGCCATGGTTATGAGGAATCGTCCGGTGATGATTCATGAAACGTTATTTGAGACCGCATTTACTCTTAAGACACACTCAACTAGCTCTGTACCTCTATTCGACCATATTCAGGGATTGAATGGCAGTGAGGTAGAGAACCGTCTTTTGGAGGGATTTCACGTCATCCGTCGACTATGGACCATAGCTGCCGATGTGACCCAAGCCATGAAACTAAAGTTCAGCAGGAGTTTGACGTCGCATGCAGTCAGAGAAAACCATGGCGAGAGCATCTCGAAGTTATCGGAGGCATATCTTGAAATGATAAATTTGACCAACAACTTCCCTGTCACGGCCGATTTACCCGGAGAGTCACCTATTTATTCTATTCAAGTTGGAGCGCAACATCCGTCTGATATTCTGCAGCGCCAGCGAACTACTTATCTTCTCACCATCCACACGATCAAAATCTTCCTACTAAACTCTGCGATTCAATGTGACATGCCCCAGGTCATGGGACTCAGTGCAGAGCCACAAGTGCTTGCCATAAGGCAGATAGAGCTGACCCAGGATTTCATAAACACGCTCAAGAGCGTTCCATTTTTACATCTCCAGGCCGAGGGGGAGCATTGTGTAAGCGAATCCCAGCAATATGTAGTATACTGTGCGAAATCCCAGCTGCTTACACTAGTATACCGAAACAGGCTGAAAAGATAAGACAAATCGGCAGTAACCTACTCGAACTGGCACATGATGCAGAAAGTGACCGAGTCAAATGTCAGGCGGAGCAGTGTGCTATGCGTCTGATTGACATATTGGCTCGCTTGGATTCAAAAACTTCTGAAGTACTCGGACAAGAAACTGGTCTTTAGCTTGCTGTTCGCCACGCAATACAGGTACAACGACTCGGATGGTTGCTGTCAGCCGCTACTTAGTATATAAAAGGCAACCGAAGCAGCCATCTACTTATCTATTTCACGATCAGCTGATTCAAGGGACGGAAGCATTATTACGTTTATAGAAGAAATGTGTATGCAGAGCCAAGCAGAAATGTGAGACAAACTAGATTACCAGAAGGTATGTGTGCCTTAAGGATTTCTCAATATTAACTCTATCGTCCCAAATACATCGGCCAGCAGTTTCATTGATCAGGGTAAACATTGTCACTAGATTCTTGTGGTAACAATAAAGGACTGTCATAGTCTCATGTCCCCTTATCATCCGACAACTTGATCTCCGTGTGGCCAGCCTCAGCAAGGCCATCGTCCTTGATTTTAAATGTTCTCTCAAGTGGCTGATTGCCATCAAAGACCTGGCTGACCTCTTCTAGGGTCATACCACGCGTCTCGGGGAAAGTGAAGTAGATAATGATTAGCCACAATAGCAGCGCGCAAACGAATACAATATAGTATCTCCAACGCAGGGCTTCCAGTGCTACCGGGTTAACGAAGCCATTGAAAATGCCGCTGCAGAATTGTGCCAAGTTGAACGCAGTAAGACCCTTGGCACGAAGAGTGTATGGCAGTACCTCGAGCAGATAGGCGATGGGCAGAGGGTTCATTGCGAAGTTGTAAAAGAGATAGAAAACGAACACCATCACTACCACGCCGATACCGAGTCCTTTGCTGCCGCCTTCTTGTTGTTGGTTTCGGGCGGCGAGGGCAGTCCAGATCGTAAAAGCTATCAACATCCCAATGTTGGATGTGAGAAGCATAAATCGCCTATTCAGTCGATTAACGAATGTAGCAGAGCTGCTGGCAATGACCCAATTGAAGATTTGGAGGCATCCGTTAATGAGATTCTGCGTTTCTGGGTCGGTGATTCCTGTATCATTGAGGACAAGGGCGAGGTACGACGAAATGAGCTGGTTGCCACACCATTGGATAATGAAGCCAAGGCTGACTACAATGAACAGCCGATGGCGGTTACCCTCTAAAAGCGAGCCATAGGGGTTAGTAATCTCTTTTGGGTTCCACGTTGTAGAAAGACATGGAACTCACTTGTCCGAAAGAATTGAAGGTAAGAAGCCGAGTCATAAGAGCGCTCAAACTCAATGGCGCTGGTAATCTCGGCCACCTGAAGCCTTACCAGCTCAGTCGGCTCCTGGGTTCCGCAGTGATATTGATTAAGTATTTTGGTTGCTTGCGCCGTTCGGCCATTCGCAATAAGCCATCTTGGGCTCTCGGGCACGAAATAGATCAAGGTGCCTTGGAAAACAGACACAGCGGCCTGTAGGAGCGAAGGGATGCGCCAACTCCAACTGCTGGGCAGTCTAAATGTGCCATATGTAGTCCAAGCAGCAACAATAGACCCCACGTACTATTTTCTGGTTAGTTAGGCTGGTAGCTTGGAAAGAAAACGGGATGCGAAGGCGAATAGCTCTCGTTCAGATGTGCTGGCTTACCCATGTAGTATTATATATAGCGGTAATGATAGGTCGGTGTGTCGGATACGCCAGCTCACCAAGCAGTGGAGGGGCAGCGGTTGAGACAAACCCTCCGCCCAGGCCGATGAAGAACCGGCCAGCAATGAACATAGCCATATTCTGGGCACAGCCTTGCACTACTGCACCGATAATAATAATAAGAGACCCCAGGCATATGGGATGCCGTCTTCCGAACTTGTCCGCAGCATAGGGAGCGAGAGGCAAAGACACTACACCACCGATAACTTGCATGTTGACCAAAAGACCTAAAGTAGCCCCAGAAGGATGTTCAAAGTCTACATATTGACCTCAGGTTAGTTTTCGTCGGTCCAAATGAAGGTTGTGAAGGACAGACTGAGGAAGCTTTGGAAACAAACCTTCTTGCCACTGTTTGACTGTCTGGATTCCGTTAAGCATGCTACCATCGAAACCGCCCACATAGCTAGCGAAAAACGGTACAAGCAGGAGCATGTTCAGTCTTATGAGGTGTGGTACCCGCCACCATGACTCCTTGGTACAAAGCTCTAGGAGCCTAAGTTCGGACCCTTCAACGGATGCCATAATGTAGGCCTCTTGCAAATTGGGATATCTGAAGACAACGAAAAGGACCGATGGTTGAAGCAGGAAGCCAGTGGTTTGGAAGGGTTCTAAGAGCTTGGAAAGTGGAAGAAGAGTGTGAATATATATCAGCACGAATCTTCATGGATAACCGCGTGCTATCTTCTGAACCCCAGATTTGCCCCATGGGGAGCACTCCCACAGACAAAGCAGGCCATTCCCCACTCAAGTCACCTCACCTTGCGACCTCAGGGGCATTCCCAATGCAAGGGCTTTTTTCAGCAGGTCTAGACCCTGTAGCTGTCCTTGTGACAGTGGCCCTTACTATTTTAGTTTAGCGGAAGTGTAATGTGAAATGCGGCTCGGGTGATTTGTGGCTACTTCAGGAGAGTTTTGCCGACCTATTTGACCGAGAGGCTCACCAAAGAACATATGATTAAAGACGAGTCGACCTTTGGCTATACAGTCAGAGTTACAGTTTAGGTCAAGCCAGTTCAGTCTAGTTTAGATTCGGTCAATTCATGTCAGATCACGTCAAGGTCAGGCGGTGAAAGGTCAGGGGTCAGGACAAGGACCAGAACAGATGGATAGACTGGCAGATAAGCAGGTTTTGGTCTATGTTTTAGTTCTGCATTTGGTCTGCATAGCATGGTTCTGATATATGGGCCAAAGAATGAAGAGTTTTTCACTACATCTAAATGTCCTGAGCAAAAAATGACTGATTTTTGGGTTTTCTTTCTAGGCAGAAGAGTTCGACCTCAATATTCAAGCTTGTGGAATCTTGCTCGATTTTAAAACATATTGGTATGTCTAACTTATGTGCACAGTAAAGATTCCCAGGGCACTGCCGAGATCTGATCTAAAGGCACGTACTCTTCAAGAAGCACCAGCCGGTCTACTACACGAGATACGAAAAGCATAAGGCTTGGGGTTAGTGTTTGATATTAACTCCTGGGGGGTGATTCTAGCGTAATTAAGCAAAGTAATAAGCTCTTAGTCATACTTTACACCGATACCAGGAGTTGTTGCGGCAAAATACTAGAATCCGGCTTGCCTTCAACGTCCGCTATGAGTCGACATCTTTGGTGGTGGTGTAGCATTATCTAGAGGTTTGCAGTGGTGCATCTGGGTGCATGTGTCTGCTTATAAGTTTCCTCCTCTGGTAGTGACCATAAGTTTTCAATGTTCGTCTTTTAGCCGGTCGAGGGCTTTAGGTCCATGTTCGCTACTGTTCGGTCGGGCCTGTATCCTCCCTAGTCGATTCAACGGCCACGAACCTCCTTTCTCATTATTGCCTGTCTCCCACACCTTGTCGAGAGCACCTGGGAACAGCTTTCTCGTTTCCTAAACCGCAGAAATAGGCCACAACTCGAGTTGGCGACATTAGAAGGCATGAATATCTTCAATAGCGATGGCATTACTTTCTCTGTAAACCAGGCACTGGTTCCGAAGCCTTCGATACTTACAATAAGACGGGCTTCTCGTCGCCCGCTAGTTGATATGGGTTGCATTATTCCCTTAATACTAAGTGTATAATAGTGTGAGCGTCAAGCTTACGGAGGCTGGTAGTCCACAAAAGTTCCTCTGACTGATAACTTACCCAACTCTCAAATTTCTCAGATTAGACAAGCTAACGCCCAGTTCCAGGATGCCGTCGACCTAAAAGGTCTTGGAGTATATCATGGGTTTGCAAATATGTCACTGGACAAACCAAGGAGGAAGATTTTCCACCATTCTGAAGGTCACCCCACTAGTACCATAACTGCTGTCTAGCAAGTTTATCTGACGCGGTGCTGGTTTTTAGGGCAGCGGAAAGAGTTTTCTTCGTCTGCCGGAGCCTATCCAAGACTACTGTGCTTTCTTCTGTGCGTGTGGAAGCCATGCCATTTTCTTGGCTATCGTTTCTGGCCACGGTCTGGTTGATATAGTTCAGCAAGTTGCAGCACTCGTCAAATTACTCCAATTCTTTTCAGAAATATAGTTTTCTCGTAAGCACTGTTCAGAGAACTCGAACGGCAAATCCTCACAACCGATCCAGAGCAAAGGCCTGATAATGACTGTCGAAAGGAATGCCTGGATGACAGAATTTAGACCGCACTTTCTGTCTGCTAAAGAGCCGCGAATTGTTATATAAACAGCGCAAAGCATTTATCAGGAAAAATAAAGTTATCATACATGAATAAAACGAACTGTTGTAAATCTCCTGTCTGATTTCCAAGCCTTCGGACGTAATATCAACTATATGTTTTGAATCCAGTGTGCCAAGGGATTTAAGCACCAGTTACGGCTGGGAGAATGCTAAAAATAACCGGCGTCCCCACAAGTGTTTCTGGTGGTGACGGAGTACTAGCTCTTGTCGAATTGGATAGAAGCGACACAGAGGATGACGTAGAACTGGTAGCCGTGGATGCGCTGGCTGTGAATAAACTAGTCGATGAAGAGCTTGCGTTTGGAGTTGGCAGTGACGACATGAACGACGATGGCGAGGTGGTCATGGACACGCTGGCCATAGCTGAACTGCCTGAGACTGAGATTGTACCCGATACGGTCGATCCAGTTGAGAAACTTTGACTGCTGCTGATGACCGGACTGCTTGTTGAAGTACTAGTTGAGCTCAGACTGACTGGGGAGCTGGTACTCGTCGCCGCCGTCAAACCGCTGCTGCTCGTGCTTGAAGGTAGCTGAGTGGATGACGATGAGAGTGACAAGGCTGTAGTTGAGCTAGACGATGTCGATGTGCTAGAAGTGGAGGGAGAATAGCTTGTTGAAATACTGGAGGAAGTTGTTGTGGTATCAGATGGTGTTGTCGAGGGAGACGTCGAGGCTGAAGAAGATGATGGTGTCGATGAAGACACCGACGATGATGATGACGTAGAAGAGGATGTTGTGGAAGAAGCCGGGCAACCTGCCCCAGGCGCGACTACAACGGGGTTGTTGCCATAGACATTGTAAGAGACTCCAACGCCCGTAGCAAAACCCCCACACTTGAAGTTTGAGTTTCCTGGGCAGGTGATGGTACAAAGGTTGGCATTGGGAGTCGGGCACTCTCGGAATTGAGGAGCGGTATTGGTGCAAAAGCATTGCTGGTTGAACAAAAGAGCATAACTGTAAGAAGCACCTACGCAGTCATTGGTGCAAGTGGAAGGCGAATTATTCGCGCTGCTAGATATCTGGATCAAGTTGGCATTGCCGGCAAGCACCCCACAGCCCTGGCTAGGCAATGATGACGGTGCAACAATGGCATGCACGAAGAGACTTAAAACAAAAACAATATTACGAGCCATGGTGGTGTAAATGTGAAAAAAGTCTTGGTGTGGGGGGACTTGTATGCAAAGCGAAGTAATGGAGAGTGCAGTTTGTAGGCCTCAAAGTAATTCTCTGAAAAACTAGTTGCTGGTGATGAGGTCGGAAGAGGTTTAAAACAGAATGGAAGTCGGTCTGAAAAGGGGAGCAGCTCCTGTATATGGGCCATTTATTTTGAGCCTGCCCTTACGATGTTAAGTGAAACATGATGGAATTGAGATTAGTTATGACTTCTCCAATTAGGTTGCTGTCTAAGACTACACATTCCTAGTTACCTAGGCATATAGATTAGCCCTTTTTAGCCCACTCCCCCCCCTTTTTCTTTTTGTAATAACTTTTGATGTTGTAGTGTACAGGGCTTTAATTTTTAAATGATTTATTGAGCTGGGTTACTTATTTGTACTTACGATAGGTGTTATAGAAGCGTTTTCGCAGTCCTTAACATTGAGGTACCTTACAACAACATTACGGCCTTTTCCTTATCGTAATATTTAGTGTACCTTGAATCACTTATGCTAGGCTATGACACCTGAGTTAGTACAACGCTAACAGTTTATGTCTTAGAATAATTACCTCTCCAGCCCAACGGAAAGTAGAACATTCCTGACTTCTTCACATTATATGGCCAGCCCTGGCGTTGGAACTGATGAGAAAACTCAATTATTGTTATTTTACCGTGTGTTGGTTCACTGTCCGGAAGCTAAAGCTCTGTGTCAGAGCATTGCGGGCCTGGCCATGTGTTGCGATAAGATGCAACAGGATGGAAATATTCTCGCTTTGGCGGCATAGATCCGCTCAGGGTCGCGATTATCTGATTGTTGCAATATTTAGGGCTTGAGGGGCTGCGAAGATGGTGTTCCCAGGATCATCTTGGGTTCAACCCAGATGCTACGACAGGCAGGCACACATTTTCACTACCTGCTAACTTGCAGCCCGCTCAAACCATGACTGCCATGGAGACGCGGCTGCTTTGCGGGAGTCTGCAAATGAACGCCATCTTGGTGGTGAGCTCGGTGTAGAAGGCCACGCTACGGGAGCAGCAGGACGCCTTGCTGTTGCCCGCGATTTGTTGAAGAACTGTCGGCGCATGCTGGAGGATAAAAGTCAAGCTCGTCGCCATAGCATAGCCCAGCCTTACCGCAGCCATCGGGATAGTGTGGTGGCATATTGAATCCTTTGGATAGAACCAACATGACGCACGTCGCTCGCAGACACACTAATGCCACTCTGCGGCACAGCAATGGCCCCAGAACCTGTCTATCTAGAGCTCACCTACCCGCTCGGAAAGACTGGCGTGCAATCCTGCAAGCTGCTATAGAACTCATTGAGCTGATCGTCGGCGTTGTAGGCCTTGTTGAGCTTTTCAACTTCTGTTGGAAGCGATCTAAAAATTGGCTCGTACAAGAATCATGGACGCGATCCAAGTTACCTAACAGCAAACTTTGATGGCGAGAAGCATCGCTCCAAAGCACGGGGCGAGGCTGTCGGCATTTCGAACGACAAGTGCACGACGTTTATCACCCGGCCTGGACGCTGCGCCAAGGTTGGCCGTATTCAACCAGCTCTTGGTCGGTATACCTAAGTTCTGCGAACAACAGCCCCAAGTACTCAAGAGCTCGCAAGCAACATCACGGAAGACACCCGGTCAGCAGAGTATGCCTGCGGAGTCTAGGTGGCAGACAATCACAGCGATTAGACCAAGTTCATACTCTCGCCCTGCTGGTGCAATCTTTCTAAACCGTAATTCCCATCCACAAATTCCACCATACGCACCTCAGCCATAAAGTACAGAGTTAAGAACCTGGCAGATTTCATGACTTGAAGGCAAGTCTCGAGCCGATTACCCCCTGCGTTGGAAGGTAAAGGCACCGGGAGACTAGAAAAGCAGATACAGCGTTACGCATTTGCAGATTCAGACAGTTTCCTAGAATCAAGCTATGATGCCGAGATCTGAACGTTACTACTCAAAGTAGACGAAGTGATCAAAGGTGACAGTATTACGGCCACTTGGAAATTCACTTACTAACGACTACAGCCGAGACAAAAGGAGACTTACGCGTTTGGCAAGGATGCCCATTTCCAAACGATCTATATAATAACGCCGTCTAAAAGTGGCTTAACGACACCTACGAGTAGTTACTAACACGAGATAATATCCTTGAATAGCTTTCGCCTGGCGACTTAGTCACTAAGCTGCTATAGATCAACGACCCTGCTGGCTTCGGCAAAACCATCCTGTATGCCAGATTCGTTGAACCACTCTCGTCGACGCTCAAAACGCCATCGAACACTTCTCCACATAGTCAGAGTTCAAGGATTACAATAACCGCTTGTTACAATAAGTTCGTGGATCGTCAAAGTAGCGTTTGGCAACCAAGCGGCTTTCGATACAGCACTCAAGAGGCGACTAGCCTCCCATTGGCGAAAGCAACTATCCCTAACCTTTCCGCAAGGTTCTCTAATCTATCCCCATTCATAACGTACCTTTTAGACGGTCTAAATGAATATACTTGGATTAAAGAGAATCAAAACTACAATTAGTCGATGCCTTGGTTTCTCAATATTCTGCGATAAGCAAGCGCTAGCGCTGCCATGAGAGTTATAGTTACAAGCTGTTGTAAAGCTTAAATCCGTAATTAAATCCTCTTTATCTACAATAATTATCCTAGTAACGTATATAATAATTTTATTCTTTATGTCTTTAAAAAGCATGACTAACGATACTCAGAAGGATCTAGAACAGCTAGTTCTCCCATGCTCAGGGGCATCTACACGTATCCGTATTTCAGTTTCGGGTTGCACTGGACACTACACCAAAGTAGTGTGAAGAGAATGAGGGAAAAGGACTCACTTTCACCGGTCTATCCGCTGTTTCTTCTTCAAACGCCTTCAAAATGGCTTCTTTCCGACTCTCGCTCCGGTACTGAAGCTTCACAGGCATGCTGCTATCGGGGTTGCCGGGTAAAGCCGCCGCATAGTCGGAGAACTCAAGCGGCGTCTTCGCACCCGGCGCCGTGACTACGTCAAAAGACCACAGAATGCGCATTATGGCGACGGCAAACGACCGTTCTGCGACGTGGTATCCGGGGCCTAACCTGGTGTCAGCACTCTCCGGACAGAATTCTGGGTAGAGACCTACAAACACGGCGCCCGGCACCAAAAGCAAAATGGTCCCTTTTCGTGGGGTCAGGAGAATTGATGCTCTCCATAGTCTGTTGTCATTAGAAACTGCAAAACCGGCAAAGTATAGAGCAGGGGTGTTACCGTGGTCTCATCATCCTTGAACCTCTCCGGCCAGAAGCGATCCGGGTCCTTGTGTCTCGCAGGATCATGGCCGATTGCACTGTTTAAGATCAGCTTCTCATCGAATCATCTCCCCTTCACTTCCAAACTAGATCAAGAGGCGACCGAACATACTATGCATTGATATGGAGTCTTGACCCTTTGGGCAAGTGGTATCCCCCCACTTGCGTATCCCGCGCCGTGATATGCGGATGCCCAAGTGCGACTGGCGGCCGCCACCTCCAAACCTCCTTCATCAGCATGCGAATGTAAGGGATGCGATTGAAGTCTGCATAAACCGGCAACCTGTCGCCGACGACCCGGTCTGGACATGTATTCGTTAGCACCAGTCTACATGCAATAACATTAGCTTCGTTCTACTTGCCGATTTCTTTTTTGGCTTTGGCCTGTACATCGGGGTACATCATCATCGCTTCGAGGAACGACCACGTCGTCATTCGGCTCTGCTTCGGTTAGCGATGTACTGAGAAGGTTACAAGTAAAATGCGCCTCACGGCGAGACCTACCGTATCAGCAGCGCCAACAATGAGTGAAAGACCAAGGATCGCCAATTCCTCCCTGCAGGAAACGCCTCTCAACTCCTCGTGTTGCAAAACCGAACCAAAGAACGAATCTTTGAGAGGGGCATCCTCGTCCATGCGGTCCTCGACAACCTCAAGATATGCTCGTCAGCCTTCAGAAGAACATGTAAGCGGACCATTCTCGAAATACCTTCAACCTCTTCATCGCCCAATCCAAATCTCTGCGATATCTTGCGCGGCCTTTCTTCTCCCACGGCTTCAGCCATAATGGCAGCTTGCCGAGAGAAGGAACCAAGTCAATGATATTCGACCCGGGAAATGTGTCTACGTTATAGAAACACGATCAGCCAAGTCACCCTTCACAGCTAGACGAAGAACCATCCTTACTGAATATCTGTGTCTCGGCCTCTGCAAATCATTAGCACAACCCCCGAAACAAACCAACAAACTCACCCATTATGAAGTCGATGACGGCATCATCCGTCTCAGGTATCTACCCACACTTAGCCATCTCAGCCACCAAGACATTAAATAAAACTCACATCCATCCCCATCATCGCAGTCGAGAAGGCGCTGTACGTATACCTCTCAATAGCCCTAAACAACCTCTCACCAGCCAAGCCCCCGTCAGTCCTGGCAACATTCTCACGGAGAAACTTGAGCGTCTCGTATTCCAAAAGTCTAGGCCCAGCACAATCAGTATTCCCGCAATCTCGCTACCTTTACAGGGCAATCTTACGGCACAATCCGATCAGCTTGCGGGACACTCGTAACGAGTTGTTGAATCACCTTTCGTTGGTTCTGCACAACGTCAACACAGCGCTATCCACATTTCACAAAAGGGGGGACCCAGACCTTCCATCGCGGATGACTAGCATCAAGAAACAACACATTGAAGTCGTTATTCATGATCCGGCTCGACATGATCCACGTAGGTCTATCCGCCGTCTGCGCGGACCTTTTATCAAACAGCTCCTGCAAAACCTCAAAGTCAGCGCTTTTACATACACACACACACACACACACACACACACACATACACACAAATACATCTAATCACGACAAGGGACCATTCTAACCTTGACAAGCAAGTCAGAGTTGACGTAATAATCAACAATATACCCCGTCCGAACCCCAAAAATCGGCCCATATTGCCGCGCCCACTCGCTCAACCGCAGATGCCATCTCCTCGCCTCATTCTGCCGAATCAACTCGGGCAAATGGCCGACGACGAGCTGCGCAGGCGGTTGAGGCGGCAGCGGCAGCGGCAGCGGCGGTTTCGCCGTTCCCAGGAACTTGACCACCGCCGCCAAAACAACAATGGCGACGAGAAACGACACCCCAGACTGCGCGGAAACCGCCTGGATAAAGTGTAATTCGGTTAGCGTTTTCATGGCTCATATCATTAAGACTCTGGGCAGGGCCTGCGTATAGTGTCCGTAGAATATTTTGTTGCGGAAAACTACAACTTTTGACAGAGTAGACCACTGATTTATCAGTCTGGACATCACAACAAGCTACAAGGCATATGAAACTCGGATTTTCCGACAGTCAGGGCTGGGTCGGCGATTACAACCGCCGCGTCCAAAGCCAGCTCAGCCCTCCGTTGTAACTTCCCCCCACCGGCAAAGCCGCACGTCCTTCCAAAGTGCGGGGGAAGGGGTTCTCCGTGACGGCTCTTGGGATGAGTGTGCCGCCGCGGCTGGCACCACTTTGGGGCCGTCTGGTAAGTTGATGAATTCTTTTTCACTGTGCATAATACTGACACGCCATAACCGGAAAGTCGGCGTAGTTACTACCGTCCTTCTCGGAACCTCCGAGGTCCTGTTAGTCTATGCCTAGCAGACCGAGACCAAACGACCTCATGGACCAGTTGGACCTAATAACGCGCAGTAAAAAGGCATCAGACTCCTACTTAGATCCAGAATTACTGTGAAAAATGTGCATGATACGTTGCTCTCACCGAGTGAAATGAGCATTCTATAAACCCAAAACACAAGTCGTGGTCAACGACATTGTCTTATTAGCTAGCATCAAGCAAAAGTTGAGCACCAGGGACAAAAAAGGCTTGCCGCCGTCTCAGCTCTTGTCGAACCGACCCGTAACATCCTCTCCCACCATGCGAAAAATAATGCTACAAAAAAACAAAAAAAACAAATCCTGAGCGGGAACCATCTAAGCGGACGGGATCTGGGGAAACCAAGCTTACTCGTTTCGGAGCTTCGAGAGCGGCCCCGCATCATCCTAAAGCATGTCACTCGATCCAAAGTTTATTTGCTAGCCAAGTTGCTTGCCTGTCAGTCTGCTCAGACCTAAATGCACGATTACTCCTTTTCGGCAGCGTCGGGACACGGCACATAGCAAGGACCCGCTAACATATCCGTAAGCGTTTCGGCGGGTTACCGAGGGCTCCGGTCGAGAGCGTATCGCCGATGTATTTGTCAGATCGACCCTAGCCCAAATAATGGTGGTCATTGAGGTTTCTGTTCGTGCAATAAGTGCCCCAGAACAGAAAGACGACAGCCATATCGGCAAAGCAAAATGATGTAACGGCGCGCTGGCTGTAATCAAAGTTGCGGGGGACAAGAGCCACTCAGTACGTCACAAACCAGCCGAGTGTCACACCTGTTAGACAACGGTTTGCAGGGGTACAAAAGCGAGGAATACCGTCCAAGTTCCGCCGTGCGGAGGAATTAAGCCGGAAGAAATCCGGTTCAGCGCCGTCCTGGAGAATGGAGACAGAGCTCAAAGGTGTAGAATGTACTACTCCATTACCAAGCACAGGCTGGCTTGGCCGTACGATGGAAAATTTACCATGGTGTGTCATCGTCTCATGATTCGAGCCAGGTTCAGCCACATCATACTGAAGCCCACGAGAAAGCAGGGAAACTTGGAATTTCACGTGTACAAGCGTATATAACAAGCTCTCGCTGTCGAGACCCTTGGACCTCTGGCAAGGTTTGACTGTTGGCCTCTGGGCCGCGGTGTGGCTGCAAATATACTTAAGCCTCACCGAGTGGACCGTGCCCGCACCGGTCATCCGGGAAGCGGCGGAAGAGGTTCCGGAGGGATCCACAAAACACTGGATGCCGCAGGCCGCAAGGCCACAACGCCACACATCCTTGATACGGTGCACTGATCGCCGGTCGCGTGAGAAATGCCATCGTTTCGGCCGGTTTGATTTCCATTCACCAGGTTTGGCAGTGATTCCAGCAGATCTAGAAGTAGCGGGGGGTCGGTACGGTTCCGAGGACATTGCACATTCCTCACACCCCCTCCCCCGATCCGTAAGGTCCCGACTGAACCAACAAGTGATCGTTGCATCCATTCGGATGGAAAACCGCCATGTTTGTTGAGTGAACCACCAATAGTAGACGGTCAAGATGCCTTCTGTTCCGCGAGCCTTGCAGACGAGTGTCGCCGAGCGAGTTCCGTGCAAATCCCGTGACACCAAGACCGGAAGAATTAAGGAGGATTACGCGCCGGGGATACGTGCATATTACCAAGACAATACGGGTGACAAGAGCGAGACCAAGGCGGAGATGTGTTGAAAAATGACATCAACCCCGGGCGTGGTGCTTCTGGGCAGAGCTTCCGGATGGGGCCAGCAGGGGCAGGCAAAAGTGGACGCGAGCTCCGGAAGACACGGAGAAATCAAGCGTGGCGTCGTCAGCGCCCATCAGTGTTCGGGTTTTCCTGAGGTGAACTTTGCTCTGATCCAACCTCCTGGTACCGCCCACCCGGAGACGTTGGAATGATTGAAAATAGCGCACCGGATGGTATGACGGTGGGCTGCTCCAGTCTTTGGCGCCTCCGTCAGCGCGCGCACACACACACACACTGACGCCCACAAATTTGTAACCCAGAGCATGTTGATTGATGCCCGATTAAATCTATGATCGTATTGCGGACGAACACTGGAAGAAACGCCTATACCGGTCGCACAATTGTGCCCGTATCAGATGTTGGGTTTCAGATGACACAGCATCGGAGGGAGGTGGAAAGGCTCATGATTAGTCCTTTTTTTGTATTGTTTATGCCGCAGCGCTGAGCTTGGCTGACCAAGTCCGCATTAGCACCCCGGGTCGGCGCGGTTTAGGGAGGGAACCACAAAAAAAAAAAAAAAAAAGGAAGAAGAGGAATAGCACTGGCCAGACTGCCGGGAGCGCTGCGGCACCAGAGGAAACAATTTTCTTCGGGGCCGGGCGTGAAGGAACATGTCCGAAATCGCACAAGAAAAACTGCGTCGCCAAGCAAACTGGTGCTCCAGATGCTCCAGCAAAGATGGACCAGTGTTCAACGTCGCAATTATCGTCAACCGAGGATGAACTCGGAATAAAATAGGCGAAGTAGTAGATGGCGGCGAGCGACCCGGTCAACAGATCTGCCGAGCCATTCTCAAATAGGCTTTCTCTCGGTCGCCGGGGAAGTGTTCAGACGTCCCGCATCACAAATGCGACGCCAGACGTCTCCTTCAAAAATGAGCAATGTAGCGAGAGACCGGTACAGTTCCAGCGTTCTGGGAGAGGCATTCTATTAGCGTACCCAAATGATGGTAATCATACATCCTAGTCTTCGTACCTCGCTGCTGAGGCGCTATGCGGCCCCTTTCTTGCCCACTGTCTTGTTCTTATTCATTACCTCGTTCAGAAGGGGGTAGTAGGGGGGTTTACCCCCAGTTGGAACAGCCTTATGAAGGGTACTGGGTACTAGACCACACACGTACAGAGCTGTGAAAGCATATGGGAGCCCCTGTGGTACTCTCGCTGGCCCCTTCTGACACGGCGACAGTGCGCAGGGAACCAGCTCCGAGGGGGGCAGCGAGCCGAGCGCTACAGGTTGATGGATGAATCGTCGCTGGTGTGTTTCCATTTTCCGACACCTCCTGCACGGTGGCTAGCCTGCTGCCGCTGCCGCCGCCGCCATGAAGGTAGCCACAGGCAGATGCACCCATCTTTCAATCGAACCATGAGCCTGAGACTCGTAGACGTTGAGTCGCGCGAGACTCAGTTGCGTGCTTGGGAGGGGGGGAGGACGGCCGGGGTGGGTCAGCTCTCGTAAGTCCGCTCCCAGCACGGGCGGGTATAACAGAGGTCCAGGCCCGGGGCAAGTCGAATTTGATTAACAGAAATTTGGCGCGTCGCCGGAACGAGATGGCGCTGAACGCTCTCGGGACTGTCGCTCCATGGCGAAGATTGTGGTGAGGGGAAAAGGTGGGTGCACACGGAGCGAAGACGGAACATGGTGCCTAGCTGGCCGGGACAGTGCGGCAGTTTTTGCCGCGAAAGTTTGGTGCATGGTACAGCGTTGGCGTGCCGCTGTAATTAACCCAGCGAGACGCTCAAATGGCGGGGTTTCACGCTGATGCGAGGAGATAATGTCCATTAATGGAATAAGGCCATGCGAAAATACCATGAGCCCTTACCCCGTACTATGCATCTGATGAGCGAGTGGGTGACAGCTGGAGGCTACCGGGCGCATTCGGAGCTCGATTGAACTAGGTAATGGTTGTGATGTGCTCATGTCCGTCAGCAGCAGCATACCAGTCACCCCAGTCCAGCCCAGCCCACCCGAGCCGGGTTATAGATGATGGGGGGCCGACTGGGTTGTCACTGCTGCCGCCCCCTGGAACGATGCGCACATCTGTTGAAGTACTCCGTAACGACGGCGCAGAAGGGCTTCAAATTGGGGGAGAATGGGGGCTTAGGGGCCCGGACAGTGTAATGGTCTCCCGGGGAAGCTCAGCTGACAGCCACCGGCGGCTTCGCTCGAGACGCAAGCATACATGGTATACATCTGTACGCGGGATGCATATTACATATTTTGAATATTCATGAGCTTGTGCCCGTGGTATTGACGGACGACGCCCCCCGAAAGGTGTCAGCGAAGTAGAAGAGGGGGCATAGGCGAAGGAGAGGAGGGAGACGGTACAATGTGTCGCGCGGAATCCGGGACCCTCATGTTACTGAATTTTCGGTCGGTACCCCGTGCCGCAAATGAAGGCCCATGGCACGGGCAAATTGCGCAGCCAAAATAAAAGCCCGTGCCGTCGCCTCAAGCGGCGAGAGGTGGAGGGCGTTCGTTGGTTCAAGGACGGTGCCGTGTTGATCTCGATCGAGAAAAAAGACGGCCAAAGTATGTGCGCCTCTTGAAGTGTTGCCGGTAGCTTTGGAGCAGCAAGGCTTGGAACACCAACTATGGTACTTGAGGGAAGAGGGTATCCGCATCAACATGGAACAGAGAATAGGAGCGCTCAGTACTATGTAGAGGAGGGTAGGGCGCGGAGAATGACCAGGGGGGGCGCGGCGGTTCTGGGCCCGCCCAGCGGCGTTTGTTGCCCACGCCCCCATGTCATAGGCAATCTGCCCAATGTCATCAATCGGTTCCCAGTCAGCAGGCGTCAAGAAGTGGAATGGTCCGATCGCTGAGCCCGCGCTTCTGAATGCCTCGAGTGGGCCAAAGCCGGGCGCGCCACGGGCATGACAGGGTTCGTGACTCTTCTGCTGCCGAGGTGAAAGGCGCTGTAGCAGTCGGCGGGCCCGGGGACGTCGCAGGCTGGTGACAGGCGCTGCCGGTCGGGTCCGATATTGCTCGGAGTTGCGCATTTTTGTTCAAGGTTTCTTTGTGTGGAATTACAGTATCCGTCTCATTCCGTCTGGTCCTCCTCATCCTCCTCCTCTCTTGGAAACTGGCTAGGGTGCTAAGCAGCAGCAAAAAAAAGCAACAGTGGGTGACCGTCGTGTGGTCGGCGGAGATGGAGTGATGGTCTTCCCACTTCTCAGTTTGCCTTACAAACGGATGAGGGATCGGGTCGGCGGCGGTGGGCAGACGACGGATGGATGCGAGACACGAGACGTATCGGGGGAGACATGCCGCCAGTACGGTGCTGGGTTACAGTGTATTTGTTTGACTTTGGCGCAGCAGTTGGTCCCAGAATTCGGACAAAGAGAGTTGTTATTAGTCGTTGGATGGAGTAATGGTGATGAGGACGAATTACGGTAACAAAGAAGACGATGATTAAGACCGGGAAATGACGGAAAAAGAGAGACGCAGGGCCCTCGTCGAATATTGTCGTTACATTTCCTTTTTTTTTTTTTTCTTTCTTTCTCTCCAGATTGAAGGAAGGTAGGAGCATCCAGAAACCCAGATAGAAATGGCAAGTCCCTGCCGTGCATACTCCTGCTCAACCTGCGGGTCAGGCAGGCGCGCACACACGCGCTGAGGCAGGTACAGACTGTAGAGTACAGGCTTGGGGGGAAGACAGGGACACCTGGAGGAAGGTACCTGAGGGACATGATGCAGGTGCAAGTACGTACCGACAGGAGAGACGGACACTAGGTACCGAGGACTGGCAGGAAAAGCAGGAGGCCACCGAGAAGAGCACCGAGTGGAAGGCAGGCACTGAATAGACAAAGTGGGTCCTTTCCCTCCAGCTTTCCCTCCGTACCTCCTCATTCAGCTCCGGCACCACCAGCCGATCCGCCCGTAAAACCTCTGCAAACCTCAGGAAGCTCAGAGAAACCTCAGGCCGTTGCTGTCGTGCTTGCTGTGAGTGTGTGTGTGCGTGCAAGGTCCCTTCCCCCTTCATCCAGGGCTTCCCCCCTTCGTCTCTTCTTGTTCCAATCTCCTTCCCGTCGCCCTTTTTCCTTTTTATTTTTTCCCCCTCGGCTTCTGACTCTTGATATTGCGCCTGCCCCGTCTGTGTGTGTGTGTGGTGTGTCCGCCTCATTTCTTCGGTCCATTTCCACTGGGGGTTTTCGGAACACCCCCCCCCCCCCCTTTGGACCCGCACCGCGCCGTCCGCGTGCCCAGCCCTGAGTGCACAATTCCTTCCGCATATACAGAGAGTAGAGAGGGAAAGATCGGTAGCAGTCAATACTCAGCAGCAGGAGTACATACATAGTAAGGCAGGATGAGGACGAGGAGGGTCGTGTCGCAGGAAAGAGCAGAGACCAGGAGGTACTCGCCCGACCGACCGTATTTGCCCCGAGCATCCCCGTGTCCGTCTGCCTTCCTTCCCTCCCCCTTCACCTTTCCCCCTTCCGCCTCTACTTTTGCACCTTTTACGCCCTCATCTGGGGGCTGTATAACCTGTTCCCCTTCCCCTTCCTCCTCCTCTTTGTCTCCCTCTTGCCTCCCTCCGCCCCTGGCAGCTGGATTAAACGGCAATTGCGCATTTGATGACAAACATGGAAGGATAATGACTGTGCATTTTACTCATCCTTCTAGAAATTGATTTCATGTCTGGCATCTTCAACACGGAGTATCCGTACTTTCCCTGAAGAGCCCAGTCCACCTGCCCTTTTACTACGTGACTACTATGTACGTAGTATTACTTACACCTGAGTGTGCCGTCCTATGAGACCCTCCCGAAGAGAAACAAGGGAAACGGTACCTCCTCTTTGTCACTTTTTTATTTTTTTCCCCCTTCCTTTTTTCCCATATTTTGCCTGCCTTCCGTCTCTCACCCTCCGTATGTACACACCCTTCCTCGCTAAACCACACACCCCTAAACCCCATCCACCGAAACGGGCACCAAACCACCGCCCGGATTTTTCACCCACCACCGAGAAATCGCGGCCGCCCGTGTCCCATTTTCCTCCTCCGACTTGCCCTTTCGTTTTCTTCACCAAATAACCACACAAAAAATTAATTCATCATCACTTTTTCCCCTGCCATCATCTCCGTCTTCTTCGGTTACCGCCGAAACCCCTCCGGTACCATTTTGTTCGTTGCCTACGCCGCACCACCGACGCCTCCTCCAGCTCTCTCTCACCCCCGTGGCCGCCCGCTGCCTAGGGGTCTTGTCTCTGGAGCCACCCTTCACCAAAGGCTCCATAATCTCGGCGCGACGGGTCGTCTTTTCTCTGCGTCACCCGGCCCCAAAACTCTCTTCTCTTCCGGAGCCCGCCCCCCCTCAACAAAACACACCATCTCCCGCTTCCCCTTCCCCCCTCCGATCTCTTTCTCCTTTTCTTCTTCCTTCATCCAACTTCATCTCCTCCATCCTCCGGGTCTCCTTGGAAGCCGACCTCCTTGACGTCGTCATCATACCCACGGTTGTCCATATAACCTTATACAACCGCACTACCCAATCTGACGTCTGTTTCTGATCGCGTCACGCGTATACCCGCACCATTGACGCGCAATCGGAGTCTCTCCTCGTCACCTCTCGTCGCCAATCTCAATCCATCCTCGTCCTTTCGGCGCGGAAACAGCTCAACGCTCACCTCTGTGACAAAAGCATCGATTCCTCTTCATCCACCACACCTAGCAGAAGCAAAGTCTCAATCGCCCACCATGTCGACTGGTGTCGTGCGGTCTACCGCCCTTAGAGCCGGCGGCGCCTGTGTGCGCTGTCGCAAAGGAAAGACCAAGTGTGTCTATGAGAACGGCCGCGCCCCATGCAAGAACTGCGCCAAGGGCATGCACGAATGCTATCTGCCCTCCGAGTCCATGGCTCATCATCACGGTCAGTCGCCTGCTCGCCATACTACCGCTCATCGTCCCTCTCGCGAGAGCCTACCTGCCTCGGTCCCGGCCGGCGATTCTCGTGCCGTCAACCCGGCCTCTTCTGGATCTCGACACGTTCAGCCCCCCGAGAAGTAAGTCGACACGTTTTCTCCCAGAGCATCATCGACAATCATCATCATTGCCATCCCCACATATTATCCTTTTTTCACTTTGCCCTTGTCCTTTTTTACCACGCCCAACCCAACGACCACCCACCGCACTCCGTGTGCCGGTGCTTCTATTCTGGTCATCGGCTGTGTCGCCGCCTATCGCCGCCGAACCAGCGAGGTAGCTCGGCCCCTTCTGCATGCGGCCTGGGCGCGGTGGCTTGTCCCCCATCCTCATCACACATACTCGCACTCCCACCCGCTTGTTTCCCCCCTTTTCTTTCCGGCTGGAAAGCTCCAAGCCTCCGCCTTCTATGCCTCCCCCTCCAATTCGAAAGAGTGTGGATTCTCTCTCTCTCTCTCTACCCCCTTCCCCTCCCCCAAGATCTATCTGCCTTTGCCTCGATCCCCCGAACGGCCGCCTTCATCTCTTACCGCCGACGGCATCTCCCACCGGCGCTAGCTTAGCCTCGGGGCCGCTGCTTAGCTCGCTGGGCACCCCCTTCACCTCCTCTTCACACCCCCATCCCTTGCCTCCACAACCCATTCTTGTGCGCCATCCCATCCTCATTTCCCGAGTCGTATCCCGATTGTCTCCACTCTGGCCCTCTTCCCCACCCGTCCGGACCTTTCGCCGGTTTCTCATTTTGTCCCCATTTTCAAAGCGCGAGCGCGCGCGCGCGTGCCTGTGTCTGCAGGAAAGCCATCAATGAATGAATGACGCGGGATGCTGACATAATTCTTCCATCGCCAGACTCACTCCGGAACTTATTCAGGAATGCGAACGCGTCATCTCCAAGACCTACCCGGCTTGTGTCGCCTTTCACAAGCCTTCCTTCATCCAGCAGCTCAAGAACGCCTCTCTGGACCCAGCCCTCATCTATGCGCTGCTCACTTGCGCTGCTCGGTAAGTTTTGTTTCTCTTCATACGCAACTTGGGTGTTCCCGATCATCATCCCCTGCCCTCGTGTGTTTCACCACGCTCCCCCCGCAATGTCCGAAACTTTTATGGATGGCGCGGCCTTCCGCCGGTCGGGTGTGTCCCCGTCGGCTGGTCATAGCCCAAAAAGCCCGGACTTGACCCGAAGCGTTTCCTCTCAGTCATTTTGACTTTCGGCCGACTCAGTCACGCACCGCTTCAGTGAGATTGATTCAGTGGAACTTGCCCCGCTAATCTTGCCCGTCTGTACAGGAGCTCCCCGAACTTGATTAGGCGCTATGGAGGACAGTCTGGTGCGACCGGCGCCGCTGAGCACTTTGCTACCAAGGCCATGGGTATCATTAACCAGAACCTCGATACCCCGAGCCTTGCTGAGATCCAGGCCATCTGCCTGATCATCATTCACGAATGGGGCTCCCGCAATGCTGTGCGTGCCTACATCTACCTCGGCCAGGCTAGCCGCATGGTCCAGATGTACCGCATTCTCCACAGCCACCACGCCGCCGTCAGCGAGGCCGACCGCTTCCTGCAGGAGGAGTCGTTCCGCCGTGTTCTTTGGCTGTTGTACATTCTCGACTGCCTTCTCACCAGCACCCCCGGCCGTCACCCGGCCCTGTCGTCCAATGACACGAGCGATGTCTCGCTTCCGTGCTCCGACATGAACTTTGCCTTTGGCAATGCCGTTTTTGTCCAGACCATCAACCTCACCGACCCGTCCCGCCTGCCCGCCGGCGCCCGTGTCGATGACATTGGCGAGTTTGGCCAGATTGTTCTGGCTACTCGCATCTGGCGCGATGTTGTTCAGATGTTGATGACCACGACCACCGACACCTTCAGCGACACCGTCTGCAATGGCCTCATGGGTGAGATTGACCGTCTGCGCAACTCTTTGTCGATGCAGTACGTCGACAAGCCCGGTCAGATCAACCTTCACATCACCATGGGCTCCGGTTTCACCTACGCCATGCTCCACTGCATGCTTCACTGCGCGTCCATCTTCATTAACCGCCGTCGCCTGCTGCAGTACGTGACGGCTCCCGGCTTCAACCTCGAGACCTGGCGCCTCTCGCCCCAGTGCCACGAGATCATTGACAGACTCTTCACATCGTGCCACAGCACCATCGCCATGTTGACCGCTCTCGAGAACGGTTCTGACAAGGACGGCATCATCTGCTTCCCCATCTTCATGCTGTTCTCCTCCTTCACTGCCAGCGCTACCGTCGCCTACCTGTCTCTGAAGGGTCTGACTCCCAACAATGCCGTTGAGACCGCCGCTCATATCGTCCGCGACGGCCTCCACTTCATGCAGGATGGAGTTGACACCTGGCCGCTCATCAGCTCTTGGCTCCGCCACCTGGCCGTTATGCACCGTGTTCTGGGCAACGATGCTGGTGCTGGTAGCCCCAGTGGCAGCAACTCGGTGCCTCCCACCACTCAGCCCGCTGCCGACCAGGCCTCAGTCAAGGACGAGGCTGCCTCGAACGCGGATACCAACCCTGATGCCATGGACTACGACCAGTCCTCCAACTCCAACGCCCCGGCTGCCCAAGGCGCCGCCAACAACCACACTGCTCCCGTCAGCGAGAGTGGCCGCGACAGCGAGCCTCCCGCCCCGCAGCCTCGCCGCCCCGGCGTCGCTACCATCAACGGCGGCTCCGTCTCTGGCACCCCGGCCTCGGCTAGCCCCCCACCCCAGCAGCCCGAGGTCAAGGCTTCTCCGGAAGCCGCATCTCAGCCTACTCTTGGCAACGGCGTTCCCACTACCGAGCCTGCTGCCCCTGTCCCTCAGGACATGACGGCCAGCGAGCTCTGCTCTGCATTCGAGAGACAGCTTCTGGAGCTGGACGACCTCGCTGCATTCATGGGAGGTGGTGTCTAAGCTCTTTTTATTTTTTTTTTCCATATGGACGTGAGGAAGGCTTCCTTTTGGAGCAATCAAGCAAACTTCTCATATTCATTTCGGACCGGCATCTGTACAGTACGACTAAATACCCTGCGACTGACTTTGCTATTTTGCACGAGGCGGGGTTTTAACCGCCCACACAGAATGTGTTCATCTTTGCTACGTTGACGAGGACTGAAGGGTGGTGGTTAAGTGTAGTAGGCGTTGACGAGAGTAAGGTATCACTGATGACACAAAGTGGTGACTTTGACTCTGGGGTTGAGGAATCGGATTTTCACTTTGGGGGCGTTGGAGGATTGTGTTAACGGTTGGCGTCGACAAACTCTACGGAGTTGTCGGCAATCATTTCAGTGCAATACGTGTGGTATATCCAAGGGGAGGGTTCTTGGGTTGTTTGCCATGCAGTTATGGCCCGTTCTGTTGAAGCCGGGCTAGTGGCGTACAGGAACAGTGCTTGATAACTTTTAATCGTATACCCTTTGGCACATGCATCTCTTTTGATCCCAAGAACGTAATCCCATCTGTGATACCCGGCACTGTCTGAGAAAACCTGTATTTCAACTGACCTCTGTGATGCATATAGCATAGCTGATGCTAACAAAATACCAACAAAAGTAGACGGGCTTTGTCGGCAGAAAATCCGGACCTTGAAAGGTCTTCATCAGATGCATCCTTTCTTAAACCCCACTTTGGAGCTTTGTCAGCGGCTTTGCAATGTCGTTTCATTCTCATCTCTTTTTTTTCTTTAGCTTCAGTATCTTCAGATGAGTTCATATTTAATAAGACCATCTCCTTTTAGGGGGCACCTGCCTCGACCGGAATTCGGAGTTCGGGTGTCCATATCCTCCGAAGTGGATCCGTGCGCCACATGCAAGCCACCCACACGTAATGCTTACCACTAAAAAATGCTGGTTGCAACCTGGTCGGACTTCATCATCTTTTCACCTCCAACTCCGATCGTCCACGTACTTATGCGCCAAGGTCCTCGACACCACCCAGGCCCTAGGCCAAACCCGCCGGGTTTCGAGCCCTTCCTGCGTTCGTTGTTTGTCATTCTCATCACTGATTCCACCTTTTTTCTTTCTCTTGCTGCTCAACTCAGATCCCAAGACGGCATTTGTGGAACACTATTAGATCTGAAGCCCGCCTGAGATCGTGAGATACCTTATTCTGCTTAGCTGCCTGCGACCACAAAGCTTGGCTTTATTGCCTTCCATCGATCTTCATTCGGGATCAGGGGTGGGTGGTTGTCAACCCATACTTGCCGCATTACAACAAATCCGCCGCCGGGGGCGTTTTATTCCCATACCGGACCGCCGTTCCGGGGCTGGCTTCCGTATACGGCCTTTTTATTAGACCCTTTTTAGTGGTTTTGGTTTCGTTTTTCGCGAGACAGAACGAATCCCGGATGCCGATAGGGAACGTCAACGGTGACGCAGGGCCCCATCCGGCGGCCGCCGTTAGCGGAGGCGTCGCCGCTCCGTATGGTCGTGCCTGTACGAACTGTTCTCGCGCAAAGTGCAAATGTATCCTCCGTCCCGTCGGCGGCGCTTGCGAGCGGTGTTTCCGTTTGGATAAGACATGTGAGCCGAGCAACCCACAGCGGAAACGCTCCAAAAAGCCGCCCTCTAGCAGGACGGCTCAGCTGGAGAAGAAGCTTGACGGTCTAGTTACCCTGCTGCGGCAGTCTGGCCGGCCCAACCTCCCCGACGAATTAGGGGTGGATATTAGTGATATCCCCGGCGTCACAGGGGCAACAGGTTCTGCTGCCGCTACAGATGACTCGCCCGGCGCTGTTAGAAGGGCACAGTCCTTGGAGCTCGTCGATATATGTAGCACTAGTTATGGGGCTTCAGCCCGGGGAGACGGGCGTGACGGCGGGGCCCAGGCAAGGGGAACCTCTCTTCCGACACCGACGCAGACCGCCAGCCCCGAAGGTACGGGATACGGTGACGGAGACGATTTTCTGCCGTCGCCGGACGAGGCCGAGGCGCTTTTTGAGGCGTTTCGCGGGCAGAACCTGCGGTATTTTCCTTTTTTGCACTTCAAAGCCACCATGACGGCGCAGGAGCTGCGGGCTGAGAAGCCATTCTTGTGGATCTGCATCATGACTGTCGCGTCCAAGGTTGCCAGCCAGCAGATTGCGTTGGGACTGAGGGTGAGACAGATTGTGGCGCAAAAGTTGCTTGTCGAAAATGAGAGAAGCCTCGATTACTTGCTCGGGCTGCTTTGCGTTCTCGGATGGTATGTGCCTCTCCTTGCAACACGACTTCTCATACTGATGATGGCTGCTTCAGGGCAAATCACCAACTGGGTAATAAGCCCTTCATGTGTCTCTTCTGTCAGGTCGCTATTGGTCTCACCTTTGACCTGGGCCTGTCGAAGGATCCCATCGAGGGGCTGAACCCCTTCCTCTGCTGGAAGGCCGCTCAAGAACGGGCTGACAAGGAGAAGAATACCGTCCATTGTCAGTTCTTCAAGGCTCAGATGCCTCGAACGATGGAGCAACGGAGGGCTGCCCTAGCATGTTACATTATCACCGCCAAGTAAGTAGCTGTTTTGCGAGGTAACGACTGCCTTTCTACAACATATACTGACGATGACACGTATGTAGCGTCGCTGGTTTCCTGGGCAAGATGGACCCCCTGCGCTGGACATCCCATATGGATGAATCTCTCCAGCTTCTTGACAGTCAACCCGAGGTCCCGTCAGATCGCACTCTCGTCGCCTTGGTCAGGATGCAGTTACTTAATGAAGAGGCTGGCAGGCTGTCATGGCGCCCTGACGGCGCCGAGGCGACCGAGGGTGTTAAGACGCCACCGTCAATGTACGTCAAGCTGCTCCAAGGCCAGCTGCAGAAGATAGTCCAGAACCTCCCCGCCGAATTGCAGACCTCAGGTCCGTAGTCCTCGTACCCAAGCCTCCCCACTGAGCTGTTTCTGACCCGGCCGCAGACACCATCATCTCACAGCTCCACTGCACCGAGCTTGCAATCCACGAGATTGCCCTGTCCACCAGAACCGGTGCCTGCGTACCTGCGAATCTCCCCGACGTAGCCCGGCTCGACATTCTCTACGCATGCCTGCACGCCGTCAAGTCGTGGTTCGAACACTTCTTCACCCTTCCGCCAGCGTCGTACTATGCCATCCCTTTCCCCTTCTTTGCGCAGCTGAGTCACTGCACGGTGTCTCTCTACCGGCTTACCGTCTTGGAAGACCCCGTGTGGGACAGGGCAAGCGTGCGGAACACGATCGATCTTATCGCCACGCTTGACGAGATCGGCGACAGATTCATGAGAGTGTTTGTCGAGGCCGGACTGAACGTTGACGTTGAAGAAGGCAACGCGTTCGCCAAGGCGGTGAAGACTATCAGTGGTCTGAGGAATACGTGGGCTGCTACCTTGGGACCGATTGTGAACCCGGCGACAACGGCTGTTGCCAACCCCGGCGTGGGTGGTGCGGCGGTGCTGGGCGGCAGTGGCGTGCCGGCGGGGCCTGGAGTCGGCGATTTGGAGCTTGGGCAGTTTGGGTATGACATGATGGATAACCGGTGGTTCACCGACATATTCACGCCGTTTGACTTTTAGCGACCGATATTTGGGTGCTATGTATGAGTACTATGGGATGGAGTGCATTTGGGGTTTGCGATTGCATGTGTACGCCGCTCAGCACTTGGCACGGGATACGGGGAAAAGCGCGGCGGAACTGGATTTTTAACGGACGGCATAGGATATGCCGCAGGACAACAAAGGTCCCGCATGTAATATTATTTTTTTTGACTTGAATTCCTAATTGGAAGGAAGTAATGAACCTATGTCCGCACGGGATTTATCGATGAAAACCAAACTCCAATGCCGTTATTTCTAAGCAACATGGGCCTAATCCGACTGAACATGGCGGGCTTGATGACGACCAACAAAAATCCGGCATTTGGGCTTTGCCGTCCTGGGTCGATCGTAAAGTCTGACACCCCCCCCCCAGTTCCAGCGCCAGGATTCCGGGAGAATTGTCATTTGGCGGCTCAACCGCAGAGCTGGGATTGGGAGCGAATCCCGAACACAACAAACTCGCGCGGCATGGCGGGCGGGCGCCAAACATCTAAATGGTTGGTCAGGTTATGTTCTTCTTCCCGCAAACTGCATTTGCTGCGGGCGTTGGTAGGTATGGTTGTTTGTCTGCATGTTTGGTTTAATTTTGTGGGGGTGTTTATGATGTGCTGACTGCGCGTGTATATATATATATAAAAACATAGCCTCGTCTGTTTGTATGTCGGTTGGGTTCGTCTGATGTCTGCCTTGTTGCGCACACTCGAGACTGAAAAAAGTTGACTTGGACAGGCCTGGTTCACGAGGTTCTGTTAAGAATGTTTCCAGGGATCCCATGATGATTGCGACTAATACAACCACCCAACCTGGTGTTTCTTCTAAAGATACGGAGAAAATGGCATTGCAGAGCGAGTCCGCTGGTGATGCCCCCGAGAAGGAGGATCTGCGACAAGGCGCCGCGGAAGAAGGGAGCACGACAGCAGGCGAGGGAGACGCTGAAGAGGAGGAATACATTACGGGAGTCAAGTTATGGCTCATCCTCGGCGCGCTCACGGCGACGACGTTTCTGCTGTTGCTCGACATGTCCATCGTGTCCACGGTACTTGGCTGCCTTTCCCCTCCGGCGTAGAGCGATGGGAGATGACTGACGAGAAAGTTAGGCCGTGCCGAAAATCACTACAACATTCAACTCGCTCTCACACGTCGGATGGTACGGCGCGGCGTATAACTTGTGTGGGTAAAACACTGAATGCCCTCCTCTACCGCGCACCGCACACCCTGCAGCAAACTGACCCATGAGTTTTTTTTTTCAGAGCAGCGCTACAGCCCCTCGCGGGGAAGTTGTACACTCACCTCCGCTCAAAATGGACGTACCTTTGTTTCCTATTCCTCTTCGAAATCGGTTCTTTGATATGCGGCCTCGCGACGTCGTCGAATATGCTCATCGTCGGCCGTGCCGTCGCGGGAATGGGTTCCGCGGGGTTGCTCAACGGCGCGCTCACCATCGTCGCGTACACTGTTCCACTGCACAAGAGGCCTCTTATAACGGGGATTCTGATGGGGATATCCAACATGGGCGTCGTATCGGGACCGTTGGTCGGCGGCGCGTTGACCGAGTACTCTACCTGGCGATGGTGTACGTCCCCTCGACCTCCCCTGAATTGTCTATGAATCCGTAGAAAAGGAAATGCTGATTGTGGTAAATGCAGGCTTCTACATAAACCTCCCCATAGGCGGCGCCGTCGCCGTGCTCCTCGCAATGATTCACATCCCGGACAAAATCGCCACGCCCCTCCCCCTTCTCAAGATCCCTCCCCGCCTCGACCTACCCGGCTTCGTGCTCTTCGCCCCGGCGACAATCATGTTCCTCCTCGCGCTGCAGTTCGGCGGCAGCGAACACGCGTGGGACTCGTCCGTCATAATCGGCCTCTTCGTCGGCGCCGGCGTCGCCATCCTCGCCTTTGGCTTCTGGGAACGCCGCGTCGGCGACGACGACGCCATGATTCCCCTCGGCCTGTTCCGCCGCCGCGTCTTCTGGACGAGTGCGCTGGTCGGCGCGTTCAATTTCAGCGTCACACTCGTCGGGAGTTATTACCTCCCCATGTACTTTCAGAGCGTCAGGGGGAAGAGCCCGTTCAACGGAGGCGTGGCGTATTTGCCTTCGGTCCTGTCGCAGCTTGTTGCTGCCGTCGTCACTGGGGCTCTTAGTAAGTTTCTCCTCAGGCGGTGGGCATATTCTGGGTGTGAAGGGATTATGTTGATGAGTATAGCCACTAAACTGGGGTATTACCTCCCGTGGGTATTCTTCGGCGCCGTGTTTGCGGCTGTCGGCAGCGGGTTGATATCGACCTGGACGCCGTTTACCGCCGCGAGCGCGTGGATAGGGTACCAGATTATTCTCGGTGTCGGTCGCGGTTCCAGTTTACAGATGGTGAGAAATTTGTGATGCCTTCTGCTGCGGTTGATATTGTGCGACTGACGATGTTCAGCACATCATCGCCATCCAGGCGAACGTCCCTTCCTCGATGCTTTCCGTGTCCATGGCCATGCTGGTGTTCTCGCAGACGCTGGCTTGCGCCGTCTCGCTGACTATTGGAGAGCTCATCTTCTCCGAGGGGCTCGGTAGGAACCTGGCAAAGTATGCGCCGTCCGTGGATGCCGAAACGGTTCAGAAAGCGGGCGGCACCGGGTTCCGCGTCGTTGTGGGCGGGGACGAGTTGCCTGGCGTGTTGAAGGCGTTTTCGGAGAGTATCAGCGAAGTCATGTGTATGTGTGCTGCGTTCTCGAGCATGGTGGTGTTTCTCGGTTGGGGAATGGGGTGGGTTGATATCCGGAAGAAGACGGGGAAGAAGGGCGAGGTATGACGGGCTGTAAGGAGAGATTCAAGGGTACGGAGTTTCTTTGTGTACAGAAGGGGGGATAACGATGCATGGCCATGATGAGGTAAACCTGTCAGACAGGCTGTCTATTAACGTTGACCAAGGCGGCATAATCCCTGCCAACTACTTTTCTCTATAACTTACAGTCCCAACGTTAACCTCCCATGCACCATTTTCTAGACCAACTCCGGAGCCCAAAGTCCCTGATACATCCCGCAGCTGTGTAGTATTAAATGTTCTTCTTGGACGGCACACGCTCCAGCTCCGCAACCTTGGCAAACGCCCTCTTGACTGCCAGCACGCTCCTGACGAGCAGGAAAAACGGAATGACAATCCAGATGGCGTTCATAAAGACGTAGTATCCGTAAAAGTAGAAGCTCTCGGGCCGGCAGTACACCAGCTTGTTGACGATCTCCTGGAACGTGCATGTGCCAAAATACAAAACGTCCCCGTAAAACTGGCCGAGGCTGATGATCATCTGCAGAGGATGACGCAGCGGGTGGTTGTTGACGATGCAGTAGGCGCACATGAACGACATGGGACCCCAGAACACGGCGGTGACGGTCTCCATGGGCACGAGGAAGGAGTCCTGCGTCAGGTAACGCGAGTCGGATTTGGAGTATTCCTTCCAGAGCTCGCCGAAAATGTCCGTCATGGCTGGCATGCGGTGTTGGTTGTAGGCGAAGTAGCCTAGGATAGTGGTTAGCAAGACGCTGATGAGAAGAAGTAAGGGAGCATCCGGCTCACCTTCAAAGAAGAAGTGGATGAAGCCGCAAAGGACAAACCACAACGCCGTCGCGAGCTCTCCATTGGGGAGGCTCGGGTTGGACCGCCGGATGATCTTGTACGTCGGCGCGAGAATGGTGATTGTGCCGGCGGCGAACGCAGAGCAAATGGCCAACGCATCAAGTTTGTTCTCGGCATACCCAGGCAAAGAGGCGTCCAACGGGTGGTAAGGGTGAAGGGGGATGGTGGCGTTCATGACGACTTTGGCTGCCATTGCGATTTCGAGTTCGATGATGGAGTGTGTAGGACACTTGTGACGGTCGAGATGATGGTGCCGATATGGTAATGATGGGTGGTTCGGCCGCGGACTTTATGGGAGTCTTCACGGCGTACCCACTTTTGGCGTATCCGGGAAGCTTTCAATCCGGATCGGCCCATCTGACATGAACCAAAGCGGTAATCGTATTTTAGTACATCTCATTGGTCGCAAACACTAGCGAAATTATACTGCATTTCGTACTCGGGTTCAGTGAGACCATGCACAGCTGAAAAGCAACAGGAGCTTGCGTTTGAGGGTGCGGAATTTATTATATCGGTGCCCCGAGAGCCCGTTGCTATGCTTTAATAACCCAGGCAACAGATTGCGATGTTTGTGGTTGTGGTGGATCGGGCCCAGATCCCAGCTTTGTGACGACCGGACGATGGATTCGGCATTGGGCCGGCTCTGTGAACTTCCGTCCTCCACCAGGTCCGTGCAGCCTCCGATCTGTGATCACCGTTCTGAGGCCATAAGGCGAGACTCAAGAATATGGCCTGCATGATTTAAGTGAACGGAGCGGTTTGCCATAGGTCAGCTTAGTTACAAAAAATACCAATTACAGCCCGGAGTGCATGCCATGGCTTTCCCCGATCAATCTTATCTCTTTGCCATTCCTCGGTCGTAGAGTGGACAATCAAAAATTATACAGAGTTCCACGTTAAGCTGCTACATTCTTGTAGATGTTGATTGCTTTGTCTTGTATCCATGCTAGGTTCTACTTGAAGCTGAACAATAAATGATCCATTGCTTTGAAAGACGTGGTCAAAACAAGATGTAAACAAGACGGCCGATATATCATGTCTTCCAATCTGTATTGGGTAATTTGGAAGGAATAATCGAGCAAATTTCTTGAAAATCAACGAAACAAAGACTTAGTATTATACTGCTAACTCTTTCCTCATGCGGCAAAGTAGGGGGGGTTGAGGTAGTTAGCTCGGAGGATTGCTCTTATAATCATCTATTCAGATCAACCACGTTATTCGTATTCAACGAATAGCACCAGTCCTCACCATGACGGAGATATTTTGACGGAATCATGATTGCTCAATCAAGAGCTTCAAGAGAGGGCGAGGTTGACAGACATTTACTGCGGTTCAATACCGGTCACCTAGAATCATGGTGATTCACACAAATATAAATAGACGCGGTAACTCTCAGACTGAGATAAGAACGATCAAGGCAGCAGCTTCTTACCCATCAACAATCGGATTTCAACATTAAATTTCCTCTTCATTGCTACCCTTGCCCTCTTGGCCGTGTGTCAGTAACTGCGAGATTGTACATGCGCAGTGCCACTCGGCTAACAGACAATAAGGTGTGGATTGAGATGTTTGAGTTCATCGGTCACAGGGGAGTAGAATCAGGACACATTCAATGGAGTAAGTAATTTTCATTAAATTAATTGTCATGTTATGAAAAATATCTGATTTGTGACCAGGAGACATTGAGAGCTGCTACTTCCCAAGTGCAAGCAGAAACTCCTGCATTGAATCATAAGATGTCTCACAAATATATGCATAAAGTTCAGGTGCGCCCAACCTAGTTGTTTTTCTGTTTTTTCCACGTCATGTATTTTGAACTGTTCTTGCTGCAGCCGCAAAGCGCAAATATTCGCATCTGATCAGTGCAAGACTTCGTCGTTGGGAGAACTACGAAAAACTTCCTGATTCAGGCTCCGGAAGACCAGATGATGTTGTGACTGCACCTGGCTACTGCCCACCAAAAGGTCAACAATGTGTGCAAGCTAATTCACAGTTTGCATATAACCTTAAAGCCACTCCACGCTCTTGGTACATTCCAGGCCTCTTCAAATACTTCAAATTCATACAATAAAACCGATGTTTTACTTTAAGTAAGTGAAATAAGAGGGCAAAAGTTGGACGTGTTAGCTTTGGCGGGAGATTTTGGATGGAAGCCTTTACCGCTTTTACTAGTTAGATACCGCATGGGCTTGCCGCAATTTACGGAGCAGTTTAGTGCAGTATATTCCGTTACAGTCTGATCGGAATGTCTACGTTGAGCACATGAAGATGTATATAACTGCTTTTATTTCATTGAAGGTACTCTTCCTGGCTTAAAACCAAAGCCAGGTAAGTGCCTACAGCTAACACCAGACTCGAATGTGAGCATCAAGTTATGCCACATCAGCTAGTGCCCCCCGTCATGTGTCTCATTAAGAATTACATCATCAGGCGAAAGGCCAGTAAGCCAGCTCGTAGATGTATCCCGTCGTCATCTTGGCGTGCTGCAGCGCGTGATCGAACGAGACGTGCTCGAGGGTGTCGTTGGGAGTGTGGATGTACGGGTTGTGGTTGCCAAAGGGCGCCTCGAAGATGAAGGACGAGGGGTAGCCGTTGCGGTTGGCGGAGGCGTGGTCAGAGCAGGCGTAGCCGCAGACGGTGTCCTCGTAGGGGATGTCGGTGTACTTTGGGCATCATCAGCATTCGTCACTCTCTAAGGGTGTGCGGGTTTATTTTTTTCAGGAAAGAACTTACAGCATCGATGACGCGCTTCATGTAGGCGACCTGGTCGGGGTCGGTCCAGTCGGTGACGACGCCAAATCGCTCGATGCCGTCGCGGCCGACGTAGCCAACCATGTCCTGGTTCAACATGGAGACGACCTGGCGGCCGGCAGCGCGGTACTGAGTGAAGATGTCCTGGCTGCCGAGCAGACCGGCCTCCTCGGCGCCGTACCAGTGGAACTCGACGGTGTTGAGGAGCTCTCCGGAGGCGACGCGCGGGTCGGAGAGGATGACGCGAAGGACCTCGAGGATCATCACGGAGCCGGAGCCGTTGTCATCTGTGGAGATTTTGTCAGTATTTCTTGCTTGAACGCTCTGATCTGCAGCCCGTAAACGGATCAGCAGTAATGAACTTACCAGCTCCCGGCGCACGGCCAGCACCACGGTCTCCGGAAATGACCGAGTCGAGATGCGCGCCAACAACAACAGTCCGCTGGTTCTGGCCAGGAATCGTGACAACGATACTGGGCTGCGACCAAGCGACATGTCTCACGTAGCGGACATTGGCCGTCGGGTGTCCCGCGGCGTCGACAATGGCGCTGATTTGCCCGTACAACCACTCGGCGGACTCGACGCCCGTGCGAGAGAGGTAGTACCTGTTGTGGAAGGCCGAGAAGCGCTCAAGGTGGGCCTGCATCCTGTCCTTGCTCAGCTTCGGGATCAAGGCGTTGACATGGCAGGTCTGGTTCATCTCCTTGGGGAAGGGAAGCGCCGCGGCGAGCTTGAAGTCGCCGCCGGAGACAGCGGGAACGTCGGACCATTCCGTGATGTCAAAGAAGTGAATGCGTTTCTGGGGAATGGTCAGCTAGTTGCGATGGTTGTGTGGTTATAAAGCAAAGTCGGTACGCACGTCCATCATCTCCCACTTCTCCTCCTCAGTCACCGTCACGGTCTCACCGGGCGCGATCTCGAGGGTGAAGAGCTTGTTCTCATCGCGCTTGACCAGTTCCGCAGTAGCGGAGGAGGCCGCAAGGGCCGCAACGAGGGTTGTGAAGCGCATGTCGACAGCTTGGGAGATACCAGGTGACGAGGAGGACAAAGGTCAAGAGGTGGTACGAGAATCAAGGGTTTTGTGTGTACGGGGTTTGCTTAATATACCTATTTGTCGAGCAGGCACTTGCATCCCCATTATCACCCGACCACATGGAAAGACGTCGTATCCAGCCCCTCTCTGGTGCTTATTTCTCCGCACTTGGTAAAAGTTCCTCTTCGGAACTCGGTCGACGAGGGGTAAACTGCCAACCTAATCACGCACGCCGAGAACTATAACAGGAAGTTGTAGAACTCTAGGCTGAGACGGTGAGAGGAACAAAAACAACTCGTTAGTTGGCTTCAGAAAAGGTACACGTCAGGGAGGCTTATGATTGATGGGAGACCTGCAGGAACAAGTCTTGTGTAGCCAATAGTCTCCAAATCCCTGGTTGATGATGTGTAGCCAAGAGTTCAAGATCTTTAGTCAAGCCACCCAAATTTGCGGGCTGGCTCTTCAACTGATATTTTCCCCGCATACTCCAATCGTCTCGAGATGTTCGGGAACTTGGCAATTGAACGCAAATTGTTCTGCCTCAGTTATCTCTTGTCAATTGATTATGTTGGAAAATATGCGGAGTTCCCCAAATAATGTTGACATCACTCCATTCAACAACAGTCTAACCCCTCACAGAGATTAAAAACCAAGCAACTGTACCGGCCAATGCTTTGTTGTGCCATTGTCATGCATCGTGCCAACGCGCCAGACGCAACTGTATGCGGAAGGTGACTTTTGGCCAAGAACATTGTCGGGCGGGGAATGTTACCGAGGGGTCAGGGAGACCACCAATAAGTATCTAACAGCGACTTTCTGGTGCCGCAGTTGGGGAAAAGCCCTGCTTGGCCTGGGTCGCCAAGCAAAGCTCTATCGGGAGCGTACGAGAAACGAAAGTTCCGTGCGTAATCCGTGGGGAGATGGCCTTTCGTCTTGTCAACTGGTAGTTCACCCATACACTCGGGAAGAGAGTCTCCTACATTAATGTTTGCGATGTGGTCTTTAAGAAAGAAACGGCTTAGGGAACCAGCAAAGGCTGCATCTCGCCGTTCTGCACATCGTTGCTTGAACTACATAGAGCTCTCCAGAGCAAAGCACCCTGGACAAATGCAGACAAGCCATTGTTCACCACGGGCCATCCGATCAGCCGGTACCACCCATCCCAAGATGGCAGGTATGGGGGGTATTTGACCCGGATCATCCATGAAATCGCTAGGATGGCAGATATGACAGACTGGGCGGCTAGGCTAGGCAGAGATAGTGCCCCAGGGCGTCCTTGACGCCGCCGTATCTCGCGGGCTTGGGGGATGACGGCGGCGAGAGTAAGAATGCTTGAAACGGGTAGAAAGCCGAGGTAATGGGCGAACAGAAAGGCATCACGGGCATATTGTCGGCGCTCTGATCGGGAATTCGCGTAAATGGCGTCAACAACCATGGGGATAAGAGATACGCAAAGAAAGCATATGTAAATGACCAAGAGGCGGCATCCAGCAGCTCGTTTCTCGGCGCTAAACGAGGAGTAGCGCAAGCATTGGATGAACCTGGCAGCGCGTTAGTGTGTATCCAGCCTTCTTGAACCAAGACAGCCCAAATCGACTACTAACAGAGCAAGCACAGAAACCCATACAACGGCAAGCTGGGCTAGATTGCACCAGTCACCCAACGTCGCTGGGTTGTTCACAAAGACATCTTCGCGCGGAAGCCCTCTGCCGTTGACGTTGAGGAAGAAGCCGATAGAAATCTGCTCGGTGGCACTAATAAGCATGAAAAAGACGTAGTACAGTGAGAGGCCATCGCAGGTGCCCTGTTCTGTGATACGATGGTATTGGGGGAGGTAGGAGAGAACCGTTGCAATGCTCAAGAACCTAGCGCAAGTCAGTTCGAAACGAAACTGAAAGCTTTAGATTGTACACTCGGAGATACGGAATCAAGAAGGGATACGATACACTCACACTCTGGCCCAATTTGGGAGGATATTGGGGACCATAGCTTCGATGATGACTATCAGTTCCGACTACTGAGGTCGATTCCAAGCTCGTATCGGCCTATAAACGCGATATTGCTCGGGTTGATTGATCAACACGTTGTTGGTGATATAAACGCGGTCACAAGCCGGATATCAGGTGACGCTTGTCTTGTGCGGGCTGGAGGCTTGGGATCATCCTGTAGGATTGCGTTAATCTGCCACGTGGGGTGACGAGTCAAGGGCAGCCTTGGTCCCGAGCGACAAGAAAACACTTCTGTCGTGATGCCTTCGAGGCGAAGTGCGCAGCCTCACCATCACGTGACCCACATATCGCCTGTGGGGATAATCCCGAAATGGAATGACCGGAATATCTTTATTCCGCTTCGCCCACAAAACATATTTAGGCACGATATTGTTCCATAGTGTAGTTAGGAGAAGACAAGCCACTCAATCTACTACTTTGAATACATGCCTACGTTCAGCACTTTGCTTCACCACAGTTATGAGCCCAGCTCTGACCTAAGACAAACCCCGACTACTGTGTGAAGTAGAGGAAAGAACGAAACCGATTTCCAGCTCTACTGAGGAACGAACCATGACGACTGAGCACTCGTCGAAAGTGTCTTTGGACACGACGGTTAAGCTTACGGGCAGACGTGACTGGCCACAATGGTACAGCACGCTTCAGTATCTTGCCCGGGCGAAAGACGTCTGGAAATACATCAATCCAGACGAAGAAGGTTCGAATGAAATTCTGAAACCGGAGGAACTCCCTACGCCTGAAGTCTTCATTAAGAAGCGGAACTATCAACTACAAAAGGACTATGAGAAACGACTCAAAACCTGGACCGCACGCCATGAAGCCCCTGAAACGAACACTCAGGACGATACCGTCTCCCAAGTGCCGTCAGGAGAACGGCCATCTCCTCCGGACCTAGTGACGAAGCAGACACCGGGGATTTTCGACGAGTACGCTGCTCAGCTAAGATACCAAGCGGCGCAACAAGGAAGCCTCACGAAACAAGAAAGAGCATGCGAACTTATTGACTCTTGGGTCTCCGCTACAGTTGACCAAGCGCTGTTGGTACCAGCCCGTATGGAACTCCTCAGGACGAACGAAATCAACCTTCGGAACTTGATTACCGCTCTCAAACGTAAATACGCCCCGAACGAGACGAGTACGTTGACAACCGTACGAGAAGAATACAACGCCATACTGTCAAAAGCGAACACGAGCATTTCTCCAGCCGTATGGCTCACAGAATGGCACAAGGCCTACCTTCGTGGAGTGGAATACCAGATACCCGAAGTACAGGGAAGTCTAGCCACAAGGGCGTTCCTCAGAGCGGTGGGACAGAGATTTGCACCGACTTGGGCGACTTCGGAGCTCACGCAGATTATTACACGAGAACGCTCCGGAGAGAAGATTTACAGCCTAGGTGAATACGGAGAAATTCTCGCAGACCTGCTCCATGAAGACAACCTCTATGGGAAAAGTCGGAACAAAACCACTGGGATCTATTTGACTACCCGTTAGGGTTCGATAATAGAAAATGGACACTGGTAATTAAAGACGAATACTCGGGACGCTACTTCGCGTTTCCGCTCTTGGATAAGACCCTCCCACGAGTACTAGAGACTCTGACTCTATTTGAGAAATGGGTAAAAAGACAGAAGGGTCTCTCCATATGCAAGATACGACAAGACATCGAGCGCGCAGTAATCGCAATCAACGGAGAAACAGCTTTCCAAACGTGGGCAGCACAAGAGGGGATCGAAATCGAGCTTCCACCGCCATATACAAAAGAGCCAGTAGGCGCAGGGGAACGAGCCGGTCAGGAAATCATTACAAAGTCAATCAAGATGCTCTCCGGAGCCAACCTACCGACCGACCTCTGGGTGGAAGCAGTAAAGGCCGCGGCCTACCTCTATAATATCAGCCCACGGAAAAGGAACGGCTGGAAATCCCCCTGCCAGACGGAGGACGAGTGGTTTCGTCAATATTCTCGCTGGTGGACACCGGAGCTCATTCTGGACCACACACGAGACCTCCGTCCGCACTGGGGGTGGATTTACGCCTACGGTTGCAGGGCATACCCGCTCAAGAGCGACCGCGAAAGGGGAATCCACAAGCGAACATTCAAAGTAGAGCCTCGAGGGCACGTCGGATACCTAGTGGGATACGTGTTGAACGCCCATAATCTGTATAGGATCTGGGTGCCCTCGCTTGGCCAAGTGATTATCACAAGAAACGTGACGTTTGACGAGAATCGTTTCTACTCGCCAGACGACGTCGATGCTGAACCCAAAACGTCAACGGCTACCCAAATAGTGGAAGAGATTCGGGAAACAGAGTCGTCTCTCAACCCAATCCTCGAAGCACTAGGAGTCATAGATTCAGCAGAGCAGACGTTAATCCAGGCCACTCAACCACCACCAGCCGTCTTGGAACCTAATCAAGAAGCGACACGAGACGTCGTGCCGACGGAAGAGACGGGCCAGGAAAAGGACGAGGGGTGGTTGCTAACGCCGGACCCGACCCCGGAGCCGGAAAGCGTGCCCGACTCCGGAGGACCGACGTCTGAGACCGGGGATTCAAGCACTACACCGTTGCTAGAACCCTCCACCGAGCGAGACACCGCTGCAGCCGTGTCGGACGCAGAAGACGTAATATACGTCAGGACCGAGGAGGACGAAGGGGCCTCCACGGATATACGATCGGGCAACGACTTGCAACCCAGACCTGTGAGGCCACACACGACAATCAGAGAGGCAAACGACCCGACGGAATCGAGGCGGACAAGACCCCGCCGAGATTATGGCCAACCAGTACGACAAAGTCGAAGAGCACGAAACCTACCTCCAGAAAACAGAGACGGAGAAGGGCACGCCGCACGAAGACGACATGTACACGAATTCCACACGACTTTCATGCCTGATCAGCAGAAAGCCGAGGAAGAAAAGGACTACGGACACAAGACTCTGCACTACATCTTTCAGAGTTCTGTTCACCGCACGAAGCATACTCGCCTAACAGTATCACCAAAGACAAGATACCACACAGACGACCTTATTACGCCGCCGAAATCATGGAACGAGTTGAATCGTTTACCAGAACCGCTGAGAACCATGTTCCACGACGCTACCCACGCAGAGATATCTAAACTCGCGCAGAAAGGCACTTGGAAGGTGATCGATCGCTCGGAAACCCACGTGAGACCATTACCTCTCAAGTGGGTATTCACGTATAAATTTAATCAGGATGGCTACTTGGACCGATGCAAGGCCAGAATCTGTGTGAGAGGTGACCTACAAGAGGTAAACCCTCTTGAACAAACATATGCAGCGACTCTAGCCGCACGAACGTTTCGAACAGCTATTGCCATCGCTGCCCAATTCGACCTCGAGATAAGACAACTCGACGTCGTCAACGCGTTCCTCAACGCTGAACGCAACCCGGGGGACGACCCCGTCATATGTGAACTTCCAGACGGCTTCAAACAACCAGGAAAGTGTGCGGAACTAACTCGCGCCCTATACGGCTTGCGAGACGCCCCTCTCCTCTGGTATAAAGAGTTCTCAGGGACTCTGCAACGTCTCGGAATGAGATCGTCAAGTGAAGACGAGTGCTTATTCAGATCCGAAGACGGGAGGGTGATCCTGCTCTTCTACGTCGACGATATACTCGTCCTGTATCACAAATCAGACGAGACGGCGGGCGAAGACCTGATATCTAACCTCAAAGCGATATACGAGATGAAAGACGAGGGGAACGCAGAATGGTACCTCGGAATCAGAATCGTGAGAGACCGCACCGAAAAGAAAATCTACCTCGTCCATGATCAATATATCGAAAAGGTGACGTCGCGATTTACGCTCGCGGATCCCCTCACGCCAACGACACCGCTGCCGACGATCCCACTCGAACCAAACTCAGGGACTGCTACGAAAGCAGAAGTAAAAGAGTTCCAAGAGAAAGTCGGTTCAGTACTATATACAGCGATCATGGTACGACCAGATGTGGCTTTCGCAGTCGCACAGCTATCACGTTACCTAACGAACCCGTCTCCAAAGCACCTTGCCGCAATAAACCAGACGATTCGATACCTATATGGAACAAGGTACTTAGCAATCTGCTTCGGAGGAACGGGGGGTGGACAAGTTCTTCTAATAGCAGGCGACGCTTCGTTCGCAGACGACGAGGAGACAAGGCGATCGTCCCAAGGATACATCATCTTCCTCTTCGGAGGGCCAATTCAGTGGAAAGCAGCTCGGCAAAACACTGTCACAACGTCAACCACGGAAGCAGAGCTCCTAAGCCTTGAACACACAGCGAAAGAAACGATAGCGCTCAAAAGGCTATTCAGGGACGTACTTCTTGACCTTGGAGACGTTTGGAAAATACATTGCGAGGGGAGACAACGGCCCGTGGGCCGGCCCAAAAAGTTGATTGAAGATGGCCCATGGCCAGGAGGCATAAAGTCGCTCCCGCGGGAGCCCAAAAGCAAAGAAATTTTGTATCAGGGGGACGGGCCCCCCACCCCAAAAGCAGAAGAGTAAACGACTCGTCGTTTACAGGCCGGCACGGAGAGCAGCCGCGTAGTCGTCAAGGAGACGAGACAACGCGAGCGCGATCGGCTCAGGAGCGATCGTGCCAACGAGACTGTCGATGGCGAGGCGCTGGCTGACGGACGACCTCACCGCCGAAGCAGAAGAACTCGCCGCTCTACCAACACCACTACCAACGACAGGCGGGTTCACGGTCGTCCCGTGGTCAGAACCCAAAGGAACTGTACCAACAGGAGGGACCGATTCCCTCGCCGCCTCGCCGCTACCCTCAACCTTGAGTCTCTTCCGAGCCTCCTCCTCCTCACCCAAAAGGGATCGGAGGGTCGCGCTCAGTCGAGCAAGGTCCTGAAAGACCACCATGTCAGAAACAGAAAGATAAAAGAAACGGATACCAAACATACCTTTCGAGGCGTGCCCTCGACCGCCTTGGAGGCGAGGAATCGGCGGGCGAACGGTAACGCCGCGCGAGAAAGAGGATAGCAAGGGGTCTTCCCCTTCTTGCAACGAGCGCACTTGGTTGCGCTACCGACGCGGCAATCACCGAGAGAGACCCCGTTCAGTGCGCTGCGAACGCACCGATCGCAGGGCTCCTCTCTCAGCGGCTGCGGCTCCGCCTCCCCCTCCTCCTCCTCTTCGGCCTCGGTGGCCTTGCCCTTTCCCTTCTCAGCTACGGAAACGAAGTCAGAAACGTGATGTCGAATGGAAAACAGCGTAAACAACGTCGACATACAAGGGGCCGCCTTGGCGGGCTTCTTCTTCTTCTTCTTGACCGCTGAATTGAAACCGTTAGCACCCTCACCCACGAAACAATAGGGGAAGCGAAACTTACGAGTCTCGGGCTCGGGTTCGGGCTCGGGACCCGGAGGAGGGACGTTGTCCTGTCCTCCATCGCCCTCCCCTCCCTCCTCGCCCTCGACCTCCGACGCCTTGCGCTTTTTGGCCTCGCGGGCCGCTGTGGCGGCGGCGCGAGCCGCGGCGGTCGCAGCCGCGCGCTCGGCCTTGGTCTTCTTGGGAGGCATTGTGATTGATTGGTTTCTATCAATATGATTAGCAAACGATCGAAAACGAGTAGCCGACTGCGCGCGCGGTCGCACAAACGGCGTTGATGGGCGATTTCAGCGATTCACACGTACGTTTGTTGTGGTTGTTGAGGAGAGAGAAAATTTCGTAGGCAGGCGGCAGAAGAATTTCCCCTAAGTGTGATAATTCGCCTTGGGAGGGCAACTGCGCCTGTTGAACTACAGAAGGCAGGCGCGCCCCTCGGTAGCGCGCCCGCCTCACGATCACCCATGGCGACGGCGCACAAGGGATAACTACTTTTCCCTTACACAACGCGCAACGCATTCAATTATATCTCTTTTGTTAATTCCTTTGTCAGATTTACATTCAGAAACGGCTATTTTAGCTAATTCGTCACGAATTCAGCGATGCGGGCGGTAGGAAAATGGGGAGAATTGACCACATACAGACGCGGGCGCGTCTGGGGGGGTGTGTCGTGATGCCTTCGAGGCGAAGTGCGCAGCCTCACCATCACGTGACCCACATATCGCCTGTGGGGATAATCCCGAAATGGAATGACCGGAATATCTTTATTCCGCTTCGCCCACAAAACATATTTAGGCACGATATTGTTCCATAGTGTAGTTAGGAGAAGACAAGCCACTCAATCTACTACTTTGAATACATGCCTACGTTCAGCACTTTGCTTCACCACAACTTCCAAGACGGTTCAGAACATTGAAAGAACAAAAGTGTTGCTAGGTTAAAAACATTATTCAATTGAATTTTTGGTAAATAGTCTGAAGGTTGGAAAGTCAAAGGAGTTACGGTGAAAAGTGTTGAATTCTTTGAAGCTTTTTGTACTTCCTTATGCGAAGTAAGGTAGATGATTGAAATCTTGAATTATTTCTTCTTCTTCTTCTTTTTTCACGTCATAATCGCACATTGACCTGAATGAGATGGGCACGTTTCTTGATCACTAGGGAACACGCTTGTGGAAGGTGATACTAACATGATAGCAGAGATACTGATTTTGAAGGGAGAAAGAATTGGCAGATGCAGCAGTCTGGACGCATCTCAAAATAACCATACTTGAGAGTTCTAACAAACAAATATAATTATTTCCGACGATATTTTCTATTAAAATAAGGGGTTATTTTTTCACCACTAGAGACTCTAATTGTCTTCAAAACGCTGATTCCCACGGTCTTTTCTCTTCAATTCAATCTCGTCCAGAAACACTGAAGACACCAAGCCCAGCCCGCTCAGACCAGCCATCGTGTAAAAAATGGCCTTGAAAGATTCGAGGTATACTTGCAAAACCTGATTGAGCGTCGAGGCAGAGACGTCGAGTGACCTCAACTCGCCGATGAGATTCACAGCGTTAGAGGCGTCTCGCAGTGGCGCCAGAGGCCCCTTTAGCTCTAACGACGCACCCGAAATGGAATTCGAAAAGACAGTATTAAAAATCAGCGAGCAGATGGCGAGGCCGACGAGGGATCCAAACATGCGAATGGTGAGAAAGTTCGCCGTCACCAGGCCCTCGTCGTCTACGTTCTTGACGCTCGCTTGAACGGGAAGCATGGTCAGACGAAGAAGCGACACACCCTGCCCCCACAGAATCGGGAGCCCATACAGAAGCGACGTCGGGGAGTCCACCGTAAAAAGAGCCAGTAAGCCGGTTCCCAGGGCGGTGATGACCCATGAAAGGCGAAGGAGCCATACGTATCCACCAAATAGCGGGACCATCATCATTGAGGCCGCCGTGACGACGACGCTAGCTATGATGGTAGGTAGCAGATAGATGGCCGATGAGATTGCCGTCTTGAGCTGGACAGCCTGGTAAAACAACGGCAGGTACTGCAGCAAGGAGATGAGAATCATGCCATGGACGAAACCGCCTGCGAGGGCTACGTTTCCCGTCTTTGTTTGGAAGAGCCGGTGGGGAATGATGGGTGCCGCGGGCCTGGACTCATACCAAGCAAACACCACGAGCATCGCGACTCCCGAGATCAACGGGAACAGGGTCTGCCAAGATGACCATGGGAACAAAGAGCCTGCCCAGCTGACCGGTATACAGAAGACGGTGATTCCGACGATGACAAGGGGCATGCCGATCCAATCAAGCCGTTTCAAATTGTTGATGAGCGTGGCGTCGAGTGGGACGGCTCGAAGCTTGAGGAAGAAGAACAGTAGTATGATCCCGACTCCCAGCAGCGGCAGGTTAATCCATCCAATCCATCTCCAGGAGGTGTAGGTAGAAAAGAGCGCGCCGACAAATGGGCCCATGATGTTGCCAATGGCGGACGGGATAGCCATCAAGCCGAGATACTTTGAGCGTTCCTCCAGGGATGTCATATCAGCTAGGATGACTGACGCCATAACATCGATTCCTCCACCGCCGAGGCCTTGGAGAACTCGCCCGGCAATAACGGTGTTCATGTTCTGAGCAATGGCGAAAACGATGGAGCCGATGAAGAACAATGCCACAGATACATGTAACGGGTACTTTCGGCCAAAGGCTTGGGAAATGCTCGCCCAAACCGGCTGCATCACCAGGCCGCAAAGGCTGTAGCTCAGATTCGCCCAAAAAGACTCCAGACTCGTGCCCTTGAGCTCTCCAGAAATTGCCTGCAACAGAGGTCAGTATGCATCACCAAGTACGTAGATGCACATCCAGGCTGGCGATCTAGCTTACTGGAAGCGCAATGCTCAGGCAGGTTGCGTCCATTTGAAAGACAAGAAGAGTGAGGGCGAGTCCGGAGAAAGCCAGTTTGAAGGACAGCGACTTTTTTGGTCGAGATTGGGTAGTATCTTCTTCATCTTGTACTTGGAATAGCAGCTGTTGCTGAGGCAGCGCAGATGTTTCTTTGTGGCTCCCTTGTTTATCTTCACCAGTTTCAGGGGCAGAAGTCAATATTGTAGCGACACCAAGGCCATTATCTGTGACGGATTGAGACATGGTATGGTATTGGCGAGGTGAGTTGATGGTGTCTAGGGGACAACAAACCAAAGACCCATCAGGGATGAAGGTGGATTAGGAGGTTGGACGATAGCGAGTCTGCCTAGTATCGCATCACGTGACGCCGCCATGATGGCGATAGCGGCAGTTACTAGTTAAATCCAGTGCAGGGGATCGCGAGTTGCGACAATGTCGTTCGTCTTCCTTCGGCTCGCACGGCGGTCGATAAGTCCTTCCGGTTCCTTATGTAAGCCACCCATTCTTGCTCCACTGCTGGGCTCCGGTCCCGAATCCGGCCCCCGAATGTTATCTCGTATCGTGTTATTAAGGGAGGTAGGATAGGAAAGGACAAGTAAGATTGGGTATGGACAGTCTGGAGGCTAGGAAGAAGATAGCAAATTGGTGACACCTCGCAATGAACAGCACAAGCTCCTTTGAAGACACATGAAATCCTTTGTATATGGACAAAGGGCATTAAAGAAGCATGGGCAAGGACCAGGCACAAAGTGAATTTCTTGCAGAAAGCTCTATGCATTATCGGACTACTCTATCAAGACTGGGGCACATACGCTCCATCGCCATGGCGCAAGGCCCAGATACCAATGCATCATTGCAAAAAGTCCAAATCCATAATCATCTCGAAAAGCATCACGGTAATCATCCCAACCCAGAAGATACTAGCCATTTAAGGATAGATTCTCCAGTAGCCATCCGCCTTGCTGCCGAACTGCTCCTCGAAGTCGCAGCCGAGATAGCCCCAACCACGCATGCGTCCATGAGTGTTGTCGAGGTACTCAATGGCGCCGTCCAAGAGGCGCTCAATATCCATGTTGCCAATGTTCACGAACTGGCGGGGGCCATAGCCGAAGTGGCAAGTTTCGTACTTGGCGATTGGCGTGACCTGGACAGGATCACGACGGCCGTTGCGGACTTCCTCTTCGGAAAACTGCCAGTACATGCGTTGCGCACCAATAAAGTCGCGGAGGTGCTTGCAATCTTCGACCGTGGCGGAATCACGATGAGCACCGCCCATCCAAAGGGTGTTGGAGTTGCAACGCTTCGAGGGGCCAAGAGGAGTTTTAACGTACTCGACCCTAGAGGCAAGCTTGGTCGGGGATGTTGATAAGCCCTTGGCGTTGACTTGGAAAGTCACGTTCTTGCCATCCTGAGTTGTTGCTTCATAGTCAATCCAATGAATGCCTTCATCATCGTCGGCCGGGGTGATGGGCTCAGGAGAGTCAGCTGTGAGACGCGGGAGAGTCTCGAGCTCGCGACGGTCGAGCTGTCCGATAGGGAGACTCGGGTTACGCCAGAAGAGACGGAACTCGCCAACCCACTTCTCCTGGCTGCCGCCGATGCTACATTTGACACCCATTTTTGCCTTGGTACCACCATCTGCGGTATTGGTGGACTCCCAGCGCAGAGCTTTGTCGAGAAAGCCGGCCATGTCGCGGTTCGTGACCGTCATTTTGGCTTTGGTCGTCTTGAACATGACGCCGCATGTGCCGTGGGCTGCGAACTTGGCCCAGAAGTCGAGGTCGCGATCCTTAAACTCGACCGACGCCTTGTTGCTCTTGACGAACTCAAAGAGCTGCTCGCAATCGGACCTGCGAGGGACATTCAGCTCGTCCCAAGAGGACGACAGCCAGATCGGGTCGCAGTAGGGGCCAGTCATGTCGCCGTCGGTGTCGATGATGAATCGTTTGGCAACTGTTTGGTTAACCAAGAGACCAGAATCATTGAAGTTTTGAATCGTGCTGTTGAGAACGTAGGCAGAAGTGTCCCGAGGAACCATCTCGAGAGTATCAACGACGAGGGGTGGGATAGCCTTGGGCTCGCGGGCCTCGATTGCGTTGTGGGCAGCACTGGTTTGCGGCGCGGCGCGCTCTTGAAGTCTCCAGAACATCGCAGCCTGACCAACACCGCCATCCACAACGGCACAGTCAGCCTCGCCCGAAGCAGACATGCGACCGTCGACAGTCCACGTGTCACGACTAAGAGATCTTTCGAGAAAACGTGTAATATCTGCGCTGCTGTAGACGAGGTTGCGGCTGTAGGTTTGAGTTCGAAAGGCACAGGTCCCGACCCAGAAGATCTCTGCCCATCGTGCAAGGTCGGCATCGTGATCCTCGAAGTAGATCAGAGCGCCATAGTTCTTGAGATAATCGTGGAGAGCCTGACAGTCGTCGCGGCGAGGCATTCCAGAGCCAGCTCTTCTAGTAGCACGAACTGTGCAAAGCTCCGCGAAGCCATCGACGGGGACAATCTTGATGTGTTTGGCAAGGTGGGAGGGTGCGTTGCGCAAGTCGTTGACGATGCCAAAGCCGGTTCCAACGTTGAAGACAACATCAGAGCCGTTGGAGGCGGTGAAGGTGACCTCTCGAGAGAGGTCAGTAGGAGCAGGAAGACTGCCCGAGACGCTGGTTGGAATTAAGGCTGCGTTGATATAAGCCGCCAAGGCGACAGCAATAACGATAATCTTACGCATCGTGGAATCGCTGAATGGAGTTGTGGCGCGAGTAGAATGGAAAATTAATGATGATTCTGGGAGTTGAGGATACTCGCGAAGCAATGACGAGGGCAAGAAAGGGGAAGCTGGATTAAGACTTTGCGAAGTCGTCGAGAAGAAAGGTCGAGGAAGTGTCAACGAAGTATTTTGTTTGACAAGCAAAGACGAAGTTTGTTGTTTGTTGTGTGCGTCAAACTGTCGAGGACTTTGATGAAAAGATTGCTTGTTTAGGTTGTTGTTCAGGGCTTTTGTGACCTCACCTGACCTCAATTTTACCCCCACCAACCTGTGTTAAAATTTATTTGGTGTGAAAATCACAAAGAGAAAAGTGAGTTTGTTTGTGGGAATTGGAAATTGGAAATTGGAAGGAGCGACGTGGTGGGAGGGTGCCTTCCTCGACCTTTGCTGGCAAGTGTTAGGCAATCGCCCAGCATCAATTTGGGAAGGGGCGACTGGCGTGAAGCGTAAGAAGCAGGAACCCGAGGAGGCTGGTGGCCAGCTCACAATTAATCAACTCGCGGCTCACGCCTCATTTAACAACGGATGATTGCCTCGTATCTTATTAGAGCTGCTCTTTCATTCTGACTGCCCAGCATTGACATGGTATGTCGATGACTGAATCAGTTGCTATGGGCTTGCTTCGTTTCAACCGCCGAGAATAGCTGGCAAGGTTCATATGAGACTCACTACTTGGCAACAGATGATATGAGTATAGATGAGTGCGAGGTCTCTGGGTTATGAGTGCATTCATTGTGAACACCCTTTATCTGCTAGAATTGCTCATGTCTCAGTGCATGGAACACAGTAAATGATCACTGCCCATTTCCAATTAATATTTTATTTCATGCCATACGGCACATTTGATATGTACGACCAACCGAGGTGAATGTCTCAACCACTTGTAATGAGCAGTGTGGTCGTAACACAGTAGAAACCATCATCTTAATCTGAGTAGCTGTAAACTGTTCCTCTCATCACGTTTTAGCATGTTCATTTCATGTAAGTGCTTCGTCTGATTTTCGAACTTACAAGAGATGGAAATCTTGGCAAAATATCCAAGACTCTGGCTGTTAAGTGAGACCAATGCCTGGGGCAAAGTGCGGTGACTAAGATCCCGTTGTTACATGGGCATGACAAGACGAAGGGTGACATGGCTCAGCGAATAAGATTGTTATGCTTCGACGCCCAAGTCGACCACTCACATCTCGCAATCGTTATCAACGAATACGGAATCAAAACGAACAGCTAAGTGCGGGGGAAAGGATTTACTCCAGCTACGCTGCTACGCTGGGCATGTAAGGACCTTGGCACTTTAAATCCTACACTCTTCAAAAGTATCGAAGTATGCACCATTCTTGCAGTCCCTATTCCTATTCTTCATGTGGTCACATAGTCTCGTGGATGGTCAACAATTAGTATCTCATTCTGACAGTTACTCGTCTATCCAAGGCACGGCCACGACGTCTCACTGGAGCCAAGCCTGGCTCTAAAAGCCGCCTTGGCCGTCCAAACCAGTTGGTTTGTAATGTCTGTTTGGTTTGAAAACTTAAAGGCATACGTGAGCTTTCCAAGAACTATGGAATCCATATCTTGATTTCTCCGTTTCGTGATCGAACGTGTCTAAATGCAGCGTTAGGAGCGCCTAGATGCACTGCCCGATAGAACCTGGTCTGAGATACTGGATACTGACGTAGCTACGCCGCCTACCTAGGACCAAATGGAAAGCTGCCAAACCCAATACTTCAAGGAGCTTGATCACCCGACCAATAATGAAGGACTGCAGAGAACAACGTCGGCAACAAACCAAGAGAGTGTGAAACATGCTATGCATGCAGATCATGCATATGGACAAAACGGGTATATAAGGCGGCTGAATTGATGGAGCCATCATTGGTGCGGTCTTGTATTAATTCCTGCCTCGTGTCCAAAACAAAGGGATTGTCGCTGCGTGCCGCCGGATAAGTCAACCATATTCGTTTCATGGGACCGGGACGTTCAACTCATCGCGTGGGGGCTTCGACCGGGGGCTTTACTCCGATTATCGAACCTTTTGCCTTGTATGTACGTAAAGAGGATATTTTCCGGCCGGCTTCCTCGCCTCACGCGGCAGCCCCTCCTGTGTACCCCGCATCTCCAAAGCAAGATGAAATGGTGGCCAACCGCTAGTGTCAGATCCTAGCCAGGGGCCGTCAAGCGGCTGCTCCCGGCGGCCGCGTGGCAGTATCTCAGAATGCTGCTGAAAAGTGCACTTTTGCTGTTGTCTAACCTTGACTGACAGATTGATCTAGGTACTCTTGTGTCACCGTGGCTCATCTGTTCCTGTGTGTAATATTGGCCGACTATCGCGGCTGGTGATCATATTTCTTCAACGCCCAAATTGAAAAGAGTTGTCCCTGACCCTAGAACCCAAGAAATGGGGACAACATCCTTCTGAACTTGGACCAATGAACCAGCAACTATTTCTCAAGATGGCATCTGCCGGGCTTGGCGGTATCAATGTCGGATAAAAGGCCGACGTACGTGGTGGGATGGCATCTCGCGTCGTCTTCTACCACCCAAAGCACGTAAGAAATCTACCGAGAGCGGGGTATTGAAACGTCTGCCCAGGCCAACTGTTGAGATACACGTATCTGGCTAAACGTCTGGATATTGCTCCTTTTCAAATGGAGGATTGTTTCTTTCTTGTCTTCTTTGGGCTGGCTGGGAAACACGATGCGGCTTTTTATGGAAAGTGATAGCAAGCCAAGGAAAATGGTGCAATCCTACTCCTTGCAGGCGACGGATCGTATCCGATTGAGTAAATTAAGACATGATTACGGAGCCAAAAAGTGCTGGGCCGGGGGGAGGGGCGAGATCACCAACACCAACACCAACAGGGCGAGGCCAAGTTGCGTTCCCACTTTTGATACGGAACGGGCACCGAAGCCCAGGCGCACACACAGGTTCCCAGGAGGCCAGTCCAAGAAGCGTTCAGCGAGATTCCTTTTCGATAGTGTCTATTTGGCACAACACACATGTGATATGGAGACATGTGCCGATTGGCCCGAGACCCCGCACGTCTGCATGTAACTCTCTCAAATGGAAGCAATGTTAATCTGTAGCAACATGGAAGGAGGATAAGACAAATATTGAAATGTGAGTGGATAAAGTTCAGGGAGCCTGGCGGCTGGCTGAACGTGAGGGGCAAAATGTAGGCGGGCCTATGCAGGAGCTCCGTCTCTCGTATTCAGGGTCCAGGCCGAATGAATGTTTGAGGGGCTTATAAATATGAGGGGTCGGAGTCTTTTCAAGTAGCTTAGAAACTCAGGAAACCGTTCGTCTGCTGCTGTTGTTGTCGAATCTGGTTTCTCATCGATCTTTGAGCACTATACACCATCTCCATCTTCATATTCCACAAAGTCTGAGCATCATGGGTATCTCCACTGAAGTCCCGCAGACCGTCGAGTGGGCGGGGAAGCGTGTCCCCATCTACCCCATGGAGACGGTCGACTTCAGCCGTGTCCTCTCCCAGGAACCCGCTGAGCTCGAGAACCTGCTCCGCTGCTGCCAGCAATCCGGTTTCTTCTACCTGGACCTGAACAGCCTTGACGGCCAGAGGTTCCTCGATGACCAGCAAGAAACCCTGAAGCTCATGCACCGATACTTTGACCACCCAATTGAGGCCAAGAACGAGCTGGGCCTCGTCACCGCACACCTTGGGTTAGTTATACAACACGCAAGTCATAAATTCAATACCAACAGAAGCTAACAAATGAGATAGCTATGAGCCCGTTGGCTCCCGCACGGGCGGTCTTCCCAACACCAGAGACGGATATGAGATGTTCAAGGTAAAGCAACATTCAGTCTTTACAAACAAATTGAGTCAGTGGCTAACATTTTCAAGGTCTCCAGAGATGAGATCCAGCGCAAGGACCCCAAGTTCCCCGCCATCCTTCAAAATGACACGGACAAGAAGGTTCTCCGCAACGCCATCTCCGGCTCCAACATCGTCACCAAGGCCGTCCTCTCCGCCCTTTCCTCCGCCATGGGCCTTGTCGGCGCCGCCCGCTTCGAGAATGCCCACCGCAACGACCGTCCCTCTACTTCCACCCTGGCCATGATGCACTACGTCCCGTCAGACCCTGCCAAGGACAAGGAGATCGGCCACCAGAAGCACACCGACATCTCCTCGTTGACGCTCCTCTTCGCCGAGGAGTGGGGCCTGCAGATCCGTCCTCCCGGAACCCGCGAGTTCGGCTTCGTCGCCCCCAAGGAGGGCTGCGCCATCATCAACGTCGGCGACTCGCTGCGCTTCGCCAGTGGCCACACCTTCATGTCGTGCATCCACCGCGTTGTGCCCTTCCGCCCAGACGAGCACCGCTACTCCATCGCTTACTTCCTCCGCGCCGAGAACGAGACCATGTTCACCGACAGCGAGGGCCGTTACGTCACTGCTGGCCAGTGGCACGACGAGAAGTTCTTCCTGTTCAAGGCCACCCCCGATATCCAGGCCCTGGCCCCGCCATCCATGCTCTACGGTGGTATGTCCGCCGACGAGGAGTGGACTCCGTATGCTCAGCCCGAGCTGGCGAAGGCCAAGGTTGAGGAGGTTCAGAAGGAGCCATTGGTCAAGGAGGCTTTGGTCCAGGCTCATTAAAAGTAGATATACAGCTCGAAGAAACAGCGGATAAGTTCTACTCGTGTTTAAGATGCTGCGAGACCCGGGCTTTCTGCTGTAATATAACATGATCAAACACGAATGTTTTAGTAAACAAATGCATCGCATACTTGAATATGGTAGCACAGGTGACACAGACATTGTATTGGCACACAAATTCCTCCATTAGATCCAAAAATGACACCAAAGTCAACGCCGTCAACACCAAAATGGTCAGCACAAGCTTAGGATTTCCAGAATTCTGTCATTTGATCTTTGCTTGCCATAGATCCGTTGTGCCGGTGAGCGACTCCTTCAACATGGCTTGCCCGAATTTATACCGCAGGCGCCTTCATTCATAAGGCAGAGAGTGCAAATCTCAGAGACACGCCGTCAAGAGCCACCTAAAAGGCACGAAGATCCGAGATGGGGCAATACTAAAACCGTTTCGACGAAAGCTCAAAGTCCTCTGCAGGCCATATTTAGGCGAGCACACCCACCGCTGGCCCCCTGTATTTCATGCAGGGATGTGTCCACCGGTGTGTGTCCATCCTGGTTCTCTCTCATCGAACCCCAGCCTCACAAAAACACATCACTTCAGTCTCTGTGTTTTCTTCCACATCACCTTCTTCGTCAAATGAGGTCAACAAGAGTAATCTCATGGAGGGCGATAAGAATGAACTTCCTACGTACAGTGCCGCTATTGGCGAGGCATCAGCCCCTAGCGTGTTGAGGACACGGAACTCCGTCCTCCAACTTCCCCGCAGATCGCGAGTTCTGCGCGTATGTGGGATAGCGTGCATTGCCTTCATCGTCTACGCGCAATGGAGCTTAGTAACATCCAGCTCAAGAATTTCAGTCCCTGACGCCAACATTCATGGCCTCTCCATTCAGCAACTTCAGGAAGACCTCGACACTTGCGTCAAGTTACACAAGACACCGGTGGATCCTATCGGGTATGGTAGGGAACGAAATGCCCGCTATGTGGATGGTCATAGGCCTACAATCATCAAGAATGCGACCGTCTGGATTGGAGAACCAGCTCAAGGGACGAAAAACTTCACCTGGTCTCAAGCCGATGTCTTCATTGAGCACGGTCTCATCAAGGAAGTCGCCAAAGACATCCCAATGCACAGCCTGAGCGAAGATGTCTTGGTTTATGATGCAAAGGGTCGGCCCCTGACAAGCGGTATTATCGATATGCATAGCCATGCCGCAGTTCGGTCTTTGCCCACACTACATGGCAATGAGGATGTCAGCGAGCTATCCGCAGACATCACCCCCTATGTACGATCCATTGATGGCATCCAGCCTACGGATCACCATCTCCAGGTCATCAAGTCCGGCGGAGTGACTACATCTCTCATTCTACCTGGATCCAGTAACAACATCGGCGGCCAAGCATATGTCATCAAGCATGCTGTCGGCCAGGCCGACGGTCGCAACGAGACCAGTGTAGCCGATATGCTTGCTGACCCGGATCACACCTGGCGGTACATGAAAATGGCGTGTGGTGAAAACTCCAAGCAGATCCACGGCAAGGCCGGCGAGCGAGGTCCATACAGCCGCTTGGGTGAGAGCTGGGAGTTCAGGCGTGCATTCGAGCATGCCACTAAGCTCAAGCGTGAGCAAGATGACTGGTGCAGAGCTGCTTCCAGTTCGCTAGATAACGTGGACAAGTATCTGCCTTTTGATCTGGAATGGGAATCACTTGTCGCTCTGTTGAGAGGCCAGGTACATGTGCACACCCACTGCTATACGATCAATGACCTCGAGGCCTTTATCGATCATACAAACGAGTTCAAGTTTCCAATCAAGGCGTTTCATCACGCTCATCAGACATATCTTGTGCCAGAGGTAAGTCCAAGACTTTGCCAGTTACCTCGATCAGACTGAGCTACAGGAGTGAAACTGACTGTTGACCTTGAAAGATTCTTAAAAGAGCATGGGGAAATGACCCCCCTGCGTCAGCTCTCTTTGCCGATAACATGTGGTACAAAGCTGAGGCGGCAATCGGCTCCGAATATGCCGGCAAACGCCTCTACGACGCCGGTCTCGTTCCCATCTACGTTAGCGACAACCCTGTCCTAAACGCTCAACACGTCGTCTTCGAAGCCGCCAAAGCCTACAAGTACGGGTTGCCGTACCACGCTGCTCTCGCATCTGTCACGAGCGCTCCTGCTGAGCGTCTGGGCCTTGGCAAGCGACTGGGTAAGATCAAGCCCGGTTTTGATGCGGATATCGTGGTGTGGGATAGTGACCCGTTGAGTGTGGGCGCAAGTCCGGTCCAAGTCTGGATCGACGGCGCTGCCCAGTACGAAAATCCGATTGAGCTGAAGAAGCCCTTTGAAGGCACCATTGTGCCTGATGAAGACTTGGGTAACATTGACGAACAACCAAGAACGGTCACAGGCGACCTCGTCTTCACCAACATCTCAAGCATCCTTCTTCCCATGGATATAGATGGCTTTGCTGCCGACGGAAAGACGTACAATGTTGCTATTTCACATGGCAAGATCACATGTGTCGGGCGCTGCGATGCAGAGCTGAATGCAGCATCTAAGCTCAAGGACGCAGTAGTCCACGTGGACAATGGCTATCTTTCCCCAGCTTTCACTGCCTTCGGGTCTACTCTAGGTCTCAATTATATTGAGACAGAGAAAGCTACAGATAATGGCGCTGACGGCGGCCGTTTCAGTCGCGGCATCGACGGGCTTGCTCTTGGTACGGAAAAGCTTCGCGTTGCTTACCGTTACGGCGTCACCCGAGCCATCTCAGCGCCGAAGTTCACCGGCGGCGGGACCCACCACGGCACCAGCGCGGGGTTCTTGGCCGGAGCTGAGACCGTGCTCGACGCGGGAGCCATCTTTTCCCGAGACACTGCGCTTCACTATACCTTGGACCTCTCCGCCAAGAGTGGTGTGGCCGGAATCTCAACCATGTCCTCTGCAGTTGGTGAAATACGCCTCAAGCTGCTCGAAGCCGTGGAGTCATTAGTACGCAAAGAGACGCTCGGAATTAAAGAAAGATACTCAGAAGTCGCATTCCTGCGCAAGGTGGTTCAGGGAAAGATGCCCCTTGCTGTGACGGTACACAGTGCTGATACTATTGCGGCCTTGGTGGACGTCAAGACCTCAGTTGAGCAAGCCATGAAAGAGATTCATCTAGATGGGGTTCTCCGGCTCGTCATCATCGGAGGAGCTGAAGCACACCTAGTGGCGGATCAGCTTGCAGCAGCTGGAGTTGGCGTGGTACTTGCCCCGTTGCAATCATATGCGATTTCATGGGACCAAAGGAGAGCGCTAACCGGAGCTCCTTTAACAAATGGCACATCCATCGATGTTCTTCTCAGTGCAGGCGTTATCACTGCCCTCGGGTTAGAGGAAGACTGGCTCGTCAGAGATCTTGGTTTGCTCGCTGGCGTGGCGTACAGAAACGGAGAAGGCAGGATCAATGAGAAAGACGCCATTGATTTGGTTTCTAAGAACTTGGAAACCTTACTTGGCGTCACGGGAGATGCTCATGAGCATTTTGTTATACATCAGGGGAGTCCGCTTGACATCGGTTCCAGGGTGAAGGCTGTTAGTGACCAAACGGGTAAACTTTACGTAGGTTGACGTGATTTAATGCGTCGAAGACGTTCGCCAAATATGCGAACTCCTGAAATATGCATAGAAAAAGAACGAGGTCGATACCAAATACAGAGATTATGTTACTTGGCTGCCTTACGGATGTAGATAATATGATTTCTTGTTGTAAGGGCATTCCTTTGATCAGAGCCAGAGTCAAGGATCCGCAGCCAATATCTACTAATAGCTATTTGGTAGTTGAACCTTAATCCTGAGTTTTGAAACTCACAAACTTGGGATTTCCTTTTCTTTCTGTGACTTCTTAAGTACAAGAGGTCAAACACTCAGTAGTTGAGGTTCTACAAGCTCAACAATCTGCGTCAGCCTGCAGCCCTCAAGACCGTTACAACTATTTTTGACGCCCACAGGTCCTGGGACTCAAAAGCCGTATGTACCATATTAAATACAAGACGATTTGAAGACCATTGATTGCGCTATGCAGGCAATGGGTTTTACTCAATGAAGCACTTAAATGAGCATAGAGAAAAGTACAGTACAGCTCCCACGTCATTCACGTGACCCAAGCCGTAATTTGTATGAGTCACAAACGGAATGGTAAGCACCTCCACTTCGGGCTTGTGTAAGCAATAAAAGGGAGCGTGGCCATGGAACTTTGGTGTAATTCCACGTTTCACTGGCCTTTCAAGAACCGACAAATCGGATTTTATTTTTATTGTTGTTCAAAATGTCATCTGCTGCGATGGACCACCCGGTAGTTCAACTTTTGAAATTGTTGATGTCAATTGTCAGCACCAGCGAGCTTGAACATGACATCGGTATTATCTTGGCGGAGCACCTTCAAAGCTTAGGCTACACAGTCGAGCGCATACCAATCTCACCGGGCTCTTCTCGCCATAATGTATACGCCTACCTTGGGTCTAATCGCCAAACACGCGTGCTACTCACTGCCCATATGGACACTGTCCCGCCCCATATTCCACTGACTATCGATGGTGATATCATCCGCGGCAGGGGCTCTTCAGATGACCTTGGCCCTCTGGCAGCTCAAATTATAGCCGCAGAGGAGCTGAGAAAAGAGGGCAAGGTCCGTGAGGGAGATATCGGCCTGTTGTTCGTAGTTGGTGAAGAGAACGGCGGGCATGGAATGGTTGCGGCGAATGATATGGGAATACACTGGGAATCCGGCATTTTTGCTGAACCAACAGAGAGCAAGCTTGCAAAAGGTCACAAAGGACAAGTAGCCTTTGAAGTCATTGCCAAAGGCATTGCCTGGTAAGCCCCCTTTGAAAGCCGGCGCATGGTATTGAAAGCCGAGCTAACAATCAACCTTTAGCCACTCAGGGTATCCCCACCTGGGAAAGAGTGCTACTGCTGCGCTTCTTGCTGTACTGAATGATCTTTCTGCACAGACTTGGCCTGAATCCGAACTTCTTGGCCCTTCTACCTTCAACATTGGAACGCTTGAGGGTGGAGAGAAACATAACATCGTTGCTCCGTCAGCCAAGGCACTTTGCGAAGTCCGCATGGTTTCTGATCTGCCGGGAATCAAAGCCAAGGTTGCAGAGATTGTCTCCCGACACCCAGATGTGGAGTTAAAATTCGTCTTTGAGTATCCTGAAGCTCTCCTCGAATGGGAAATTGAAGGTTTTGAGGCCGCTCCAGTGGCGTTTGGAACCGATGTACCCAGACTCAGGGATGAATACTGTAACAACAGAGTTCTGTACGGCCCAGGATCAATTCTCGTTGCCCATGGGCCAGATGAGTATATCCGTGTCCCTGAGCTGATTGATAGCATATCAGGGAACAAAAGACTAGTCCTCCACTTCCTGCGGTGAGGGCTTGATCTCAGCGCACCGACATGCAAGTATGCACAAATTTTCTTTGGCTCAAGAAAAATGATTACATCGTCATACAAGACTGTGGGGAGAGAATCCTCACATTGTTTAGATTTTTGAATGAGTTTTATGACTTACAAGTATAGTCAAGTGCTGAGGTTATTATCGGAATGTTCTACCGAAACCGCAGATGCAGATTCATTCTATTGAACAGACAGAAGATACAATAGAATGACCTCTTTATCCACACCTTCCAGAAGGCCTTAATCCCACACTAAATCCTTACAAATCGCTTTCCCTTTGATCTTGGCTTCAACTTATGCCCCTACCAGGGTTACATCACACCGCTTTCTTTTCGGCGACAAAAGTACATAGTCAACCATGTCCATACTATCCAAAGGCATGCTTCTGCTGATGGTGGCGCCTCGACATCGTTGGAAAAAAATGGCCGTGGCAAGACGAAGCTCCATCATAGCTAGATGTTGACCAAGACACACTCTTGCACCAGCTCCAAGTGCGGCCATGGCTTGCCGCTGCTTCAAGCCAACCATGTTTGGGTTGAGATATCGATCTGCATTGAAGCTGTTGCAATGGCTTGTTAGCGTGATGAGATGTGCCTCGGGTTAGACCAAACTATACCGGTGAGGATCTGGAAAGATGTCTGGATCTCGGTGAAGAGTATAAGCAGGGCTATAAACAACTGTGCCTGATGGTATGAAGTAAGATGAGAGATTAACACCTCCAGGCGGGACTTTCCGAGGGAGGGATGATGGCACAGCTGGATATAACCTTAATGTTTCTTCAATGACAGCATTTAGAAGCGGACAGCCTTCCAGCTTTTTGTCATCGAAGTCGTCACCCAATTTTGCGATCTCTTCTTCAAGCCTTTTTTGCAGATCTTTTTGCCTCAGAACTGACCATATCAGGTATGTCAGGACAGCAGCTGTAGTATCTGACCCCGCAACCATCATGCCTGCTGCCTCAATTCGTACTGTGTCATCGCTCAGCCAAGGACGATCTTCTTTCTCACAATCAACAATCATTTCTTTGAAAAGACTGCGTGTCTTATCGTGTTGTTGCGCGAGCTGCTCCACTCCATTCTTCCCTGCGTCATCGACTTGATCAAGGCATCGACCAAGTGTCTGGAATGAAGACTTGGGAATGAGTCTGAAAATGAAATGAAGTAAGGGCAGTTCGCTTTTGAAGACGGCCCCGAGTAAAGCAGTCTCAATCGCTCTCATGTAAAGTGTGCTCTGGATCCATTTGTTAGAAAGTCTAAGACGCAGAATATTGTCAACTCACCTTTCCAAGATCGAGCATGCCAAACGACTTGCCGAACGATAACTGACTGATAATATCTGCAGCCATTAATGTCCACCACTTGTGCGTGTTTGCCGAGCCTGTTAGTGCGTCATCCCTGATCTTTGAAACGGCATGCTCAATGTTTTGCCTGATCTCGCTCTCCCAATTCTGGCGTAATGAAGCTAGAGTAAAGGATTTTTGTAAAAGCTTTCGACGCTCTTTTGCCTCATCTTTGTTCGTAATGAATGATAGCGAAAGGGCGGGCAGCTTGTCGGCGAAATCCCCAACCCATTGTGCTTTCTCAAACCCTCCCCCTACCTTATAAACCTGAAGGAAAGAGTCTAGATCGACGCATGAAATCTCGTTTGGCGCAACCCTAACAATCTTCCCATACTTTCTGTGAAGCTCATAGATGTGGTTCATTCTAGTGCCTGTCAGGCGACTTTTCTTTATGCTCCATCTGCAAAAGCGAGTATGCCACGGTCCAGGAACGTGGCTCAGTGGTGAGCGAAGTCCTTTCAGCAAAAGCTTTTCCATTTAGCTTCCGTTCATTAATAGATATCGGAGGTCCCATTACCTGAAACAGAAGAGCCAGTCCTAATGATCCAACAAGAAACAAGGCCAAGGTATCACGACTGAGGCCAATGTAAAAAACTATGACATGGCTTTCCATCTTGTCGTCGCTTTAGGTTTTGTGGCAATTTCAACAGAAAAGTCGAAACAAAATATTCTTTGGGTTATCGATCCATCACAAGTAGAGATTGATGGTTTTTATTCAAGACGTTTTGAAGTACAAACATATTCAGAAATAGTAATGCTCGAAGACGCATCGAAAAATTCTCGTAACTTCTCTATTGCTTCCTCCGCATAGGGAAGCTAATCGCTTTTAGCAAGACCTAGACCTAATATAAAATCATCTCCGAAGTTGCAGTTCCAACAGCATTAGCAATGAGACAGGAGCTGACCACTGCTGTGGATGGTCAAGTCAATGAAGCAGAACTATCGGATAGCGACATGATGCAGAGGACTAACAAAGTTAACATTGACGAATGGGGTTCTTTCGTTGGTGACCCCCTGCACTGAAGGCAGCTGGAGAGTGTGGGGAAAAGCCCTGTCTCGACCGATTAGCTGAAGAAACAAAGCGGATCTTGTTCAGCCTTAGATCCAACACTCCTGTGTATGGGGAATGGTCTGATGGGTTGGGCATACCTCGGTATGTTTGGGCACACTTGCGTAATCCGGACTTGACTACCTTACTCATGTCGTCTAGCATACTGCGCAATTTCTACAACAGCCTCCGTTCTCCGCGTTTGCCCAGAATATTGGCGCTCATTCGGGGTAAATGGTACCGGGCTGCCTTTTTGTTGTTGGTTCAATCGTTGCCTTAGCAAGGGCGTGCGAATAATCTTATGACATGTAATAATTGTATAATTATTGCCATAATATCTCTCAACCTGAAGATGGGTTTGAAAGCTACGTAACTGCAACAAGTCTAGGTGAGATGCATTCGCAGTTTGTAAATGGAGCTTATCGAAACACCGTTCTAAGGCGTATATGCAATCACCAATTGAAACATGTCGCTTGGTTAAGCAGTCTATTTAGAAAGGAACAAGGGGACTTTTTTCGGCAGTAAGGCTTCTGACAATAAAGCCTAGGCATGAAAAAGGAGCAGCTGTTACAGACAGCAGAACATCAGGAGGATGTCAAGGTTAATGATTAACCAGACAAAATACAGAAAAGCTCAATTGTGCTCCACGTCTGTCGGTGTTTGGTGTCATCGGTGTCTGCAGCGAGAGCAAGTGTGATATCAATAATGGTTGAGCTACAAGATATTAACTGTTGGCTGATTTATCATATCCAAATCGCCTAAAGAATGTGTATCAAAGTTTGGTCAACTTTCGTTTCAAGGAAGACGCAAAATATAGTTAGGGCCTCGGTTACATGGAATCATGGGCATTCGGAAGAAACTAGCACGCTGTGCTAGGCTGGATCGGAACGAAGCTCAGATGCAAACTATTACAATGTTCAGCCCTCCAAAATCGCATCTTTCTTTGTTTTAGGAAGTAGCACTTCATTTCAAGCGACCCTTGACGAATGCGGTGTCTCGTCTCACATCAGCCAGGTCGAAAAAGTCCCTTACAATCCATGTTCCAGATCCAGCAATTGGAACCGAAAGCTTCAAGACCAAAGACGTTGCTCAGCTATTAAGCGTCAACATCCGAGACTAATATGGAAAAGACATCACGTGAAATTGTGCATCCTATCACCAAAGACTGTACTCCGGCGGTCAATCTCAAGTTAAGGTTAGCAACATCTGGGTCGAACATTAACTCCCGTTTCTTGTTTGCGGGGGTGCTGCGGTTGTAAACGCTCTAAGTAAGTGTTTCTAAACTTCAGGCCAATCATAGAGTTCCATGCCGCAGAAATGGAAGGAAGATGAACCCTACAACCAGGGAATCTATATATTGATCCCGGAACCGCAAAGAAACTCGGGATCCGGTGGGTTTTCATATCGCTGGCAATCCCGCCCGGGAGCAAAGGCCAGCAACCCTCCGCATTTATATGCGTAATGACCGCACGTGGGGCCGTGCACGGTAAAAGAAGACAGGGAAGAGAGCTCCGACGGAATGGAGGACCATAAACCCCGAGAGCCCGGTCGCTTTCGACGAATGCGGTTTCATAAGTGAGATGGATGACGTCCATGACCGGAAAGGTTGCAATTCCTTTTACGCTGATTAGCCCGAGCTAGAGATAGCTCCACGCGGCTTGAGTCTGGCGAGCTTCGTCGCCGGAATCACCTCATCTCGATGTTCTTTATGCACACCAACAACACAATATGAGCAGCTTCTGACCGAAACTGCTTCAGTTTACATTATAGCCGTTGAACTGCTACCAGTAGATAAATTTAGGCAAGGTAGGGGACATGACGCACACCTCGTAGTTGCCTGGTCTTCCATCCGGCTCATCCGGGGATTCCAGATCCAATGGAGGGGATGAGCAGACAGAGTTTCATGTCGCCTTTGCTGTCCGATCATCTTGACGTCAGCTGACAATTAGCCCTGTAATGGTTAGCATGTTTGCCCGCAATGTCATTAGGTTACTGCGTTTCATTGTTTGGGTCCGTTCAACAAAAAGGCCTCCTTGTCTTCTCCCCGCTAACAAGCGTTTCCCCTCTTTGACTTATCAATCTGCATTTCCCTTGGTAGGCCATTCCATTGCAGTCGAATCCAGAAAGTAGTTTTTCTGGAAAACAGTTACATATAGATCACAATGAAGGCTGTCGCGGCCTTGTCGTGCGTGGCTGTAGCCAACGCGTTCATCCTCCCCGATCCGAAGATATTCGAGCAAGCGGCGATTAAGAATGGCGATCATCCATCTTGGTGGGACCGCGTTCCATCCAAGGACTCCATCGTGAACACCGTCGAAGAGGGCGTTGACTCCCTTTCATCCCACATTGAGAGTGCTCTACACTCTTTCGAGGACACTGTCGAGAACAAGTTTGAGCACCTGTTCCAGGAAGAGATCTTCAACGAACCCAGCGTTTCCGACAAAACAATTTACGAGCTCATTTCCGAGAGTGAACACACTACCAAGTTCGCGAAGTTGGTGAGCGAGTACGACGACATTGTCGATATTTTAAAGAGTACCAAGGCGAATCACACTCTTTTCGTTCCTACCGATCAGGCGTTCGAGCACATCCCTAAGCACAAGAAGCCTAGTAAGGAGGTCATTGAGGCCATCCTCAAGTACCACATCGGTGTCGGTGATTATGATGCCAAGCGGGTCTTGCACACCCACACCCTCCCCACGGTACTGAACGAGCCCTGGCTCGGTGACAAGCCCCAGCGTCTCCGCACGAGCGTCGGCCTCGGAGGAGTCCGTATCAACTTTTACAGCAGGGTCGTTGCCGTTAACATCGTAGGTTACCAGTCGAACTAGCATTTCATGAGTTGCGAAACGCTGCTGACGTATTAATTACAGCGTGCCAAGAACGGAATCATCCACGCTGTCAACAGCCTTATCATCCCACCTCCCCTGGTCGGCCGCGAGCTCACTCTTCTTCCCAGCCAATTTTCGACTTTGCTCCTTGCCTACGAGAAGACAGACTTTGTCAAGTATATCCACGGTGTCAAATCGACCGGTACAACCGTCTTTGCCCCGTCCAACAATGCCTTTGCCCGCTTGGGACCTAAGGCCAACGCCTTTTTGTTCAACACCGAGACTGGTTTGAAGTTCCTCAAGGCGCTGTTGAAATACCAGATTGTTGCCAACACCACCCTTTACAGCGACGCTCTGTACCGCCCTGATAATGGGGAGGCCAAGGTCATGGAGCACTATCACGTAGACCTGCCCACCTTACTTGATGGCAAGAACATTGCGGTCGATATTGCCACTTGGGGAGGATGGTCCCGTGTTAAGCTCAACGGGTACATTCCTATTGTTGTGGCTGATGGAATTGCGAAGAATGGTGTCATTCATGTCCCTGGTCGTGTCCCTATTCCTCCCCACAAGCACAAGGTTGATAACGTGGACGGTGAGATTAGCGTCGAGGAATTGAAGGAGAGGCTGTCCGACTACGTTGAGAAGGATGAGCAGGACAACTCCCAATGGTCTGCTGAGCTCTAGCTGAGCTACCACCAATGTTCAACACGTTAATATTGTCACTGGAGATTACGAATAAAAGTCCCAAATTCTGAAAGAATTGAAAATATGTCATGAAATCCTAAGAACCAACCCGACGTTCGTTGTCATCGAAATACAGCAGTTACAAAGTTAAATGCATTTGCTACGCTTTTCGTCATGCGCAATACCTGATGTTGAAACTAATACAGTTAGTACAAGACGACGTCGACCGTCCTCCGCGTTGTGAGATTCGATTTGGCTGCGTGAGAGAGCAGGGTCAACATGTCTTAGGATAACGCCAACGATTTGTCGCCTTGTACCCCACTATTCAGGTGGTGATATGTCAACTTCGACTTGACACTCCACGTTGGCTTACCGTTTTTCATGTGGCTGATTCTATGACCCCAGCTTCTCGAGACGTTGATCACGCCACCGCTACTGTTCACGGGTGATGGGTGAGACGCAAGTTACTCCGCCACTCCAGCATGCTACAGAACAGATGGGAAAAGGTGAACGACACGCAACATTGGCGTCGTCTAAGGCGCTTATCAAAAGCTATGGCTGCGAGGCATCGGAGGGTATGAAACACAAGGGCCCCCAGCCTCGCAGTAGTGTCATTCCTGACCTGACTGGCTAACCCTCCCAAGCATATCGCCGACCTCAGCCCTACCTTGCGGCAGTGCAGCGCATTCCAACCGCTTCATTGGATTGCCAGGCACACCTTGATCAGCGATAAAACCTGTAGGGCATCGAATCATTTCTCCTGTGGCTGGAGCTTGAATACCTATGGGAAGCGTTCCTAATCGGGCTATATTATTCAATATTCGTCGTGATGGTCATCTTGCGTCCACTCACCAAATGCCACTTGGTATGGCGTTCTTCGCCTGTATCAACGAATGATGACCTGCATTTTTTCTGACATGGTGCATAGAGTTGTCCCTCTCCAACCATAGTAAATACTCTCCATCCATTTCCCACGTAAATTATGCTGAGCTATTAGCGCCTAGAAACTAACCTTTTGAATTCAGGTTGGGCCCAATGGAAGAAAAAATAAAATAAAAGAGGGACTCGTGGCACAGCTCTGCCATTCACGATTCCGGATCTTGACTGGCGCCGTCGAGGTGGCGCATGGCGCGGACCTCAGCTGAAAAGGACAAAAACGCCATCTTTGGACATCAAGTGCCTATGATTGGCTTTTGTATGCTGTGTTCACACGATGCCATGGAAATAGCCGAGACCAACAGTTGTCCCAGATGCGGTCAAGCGGTCTCCAATTCAGCCATTCGGGGCTGGACCGGTCCCACGCAGAAGAGACAACAGACTAGCAGACGTCGAAATTGGCTGTGCTTGGCTATTTTTTGCTTGTCTCAAGGCGAATGCAGCTGTTGGACAAACTAGTAGCGGGAATCGAGTCGTTGGAAAGCCTAGGAAATCACGGAAATGGTGGCCCTGCGAGACCCAGGGGAAATTCTTCAAGTGCGGCTGGCGCTCAAAAGATGGCTCCCTCCCTACCGTCACGCTCCGGGTCTAACAGCTTTTGCGAATTTTGGTTGATTTTTCGAACCCTCTGGCTTACAGCAGTACATCTCGGTGACCGGTGGAGGAGCAACATCCCTTTCTTGCTGTCGGTGACGGCCTTGTGCAGCGAATATGTACCAACCTCCGCCTACCGATCAGTCAACGTTCGAATCACAGGCACAGTACAACCTACAGGCGACTGAAGATGTTGAAGAGGAGCAGCACTCTTTCGAGGACCGGAAAAAGCAGTATCCAGTTGCATTTCCTAAGCGGCCCAACTACAGGCCAAAGCCGCTGCGATGGCCTTTTATCACTGCTATGATTGTGTTGCTTGCATTGCTCATGGGTCTGGTTATTTTTGCGCGCACCACAATGCCAAACTCAGATAGTACAGCGACAATCGAGCCTCGCCATGTCATGTTCTATCGGCGAGATGTAAGCTCTACTGCGCAACCTCCGTCATCGGCTCCGAGCCCTGTGCCGGCCGGAACTCAAATCACTTCGTCGCCAGTTGCGGCACCCTCAACGTCGGCAGCGATAATCAACACACCTTCCCAAGTCGTTCCTTCATCTGGCGTTGTTGATACACCAAAGAAGTCCGAGTCTCAACCCCCTGTAACATCGACACAGGATGTAATCAAGTCATCGGCTCCACCCCAAGTGTCGTCTCGTCCAGATTCCACACCCACCTCGGAGAAGCCACCTACAGTATCAGCATCAGCAAGCAAGGAAAACATAGCTTCTAGTGTCAGGGAGAACGCCAACGTCAAGGGCACTACGGTAACAAGTGAACCGCAAAGGCAGTCGGTTACTTCTCCGCCATCAAAGGACATTTCAGAAACACCAAAGGAGACAAGTGATTCCAAGGAGAATGCATCTTCAAAAGATAGCGCAACTGTCGATATCAACAACAACAAAATACCAACAAGCAATGCCGTTGCATCACCATCTTTAGATCCAGATAATAACAGAAATAGAAAAGGTAAGCCTGTCTCGACTTCATCTTCACTATCCAACGAAGGTGTGGTGGATCTTGCTTCCACAACAGATCTCTCTGGCCAGCGGCAGGCACCCTCTATAATCACGACTACGTTATCCTTCTCCAGGAACACCTCTCCAAGACCTACTCCCAGTCGAGATGACGAAGTTTTCTCCGTCATTACTAGCGAGTTTACATCTACCATCACCAAGCCAGGATCAACACTTACCTTTACCTCGATGACCGTGACAAACATCTCGTCGACCTTCAGATCAACTTTTAGAACCACATTCCCCGGCTCCACTGCGGAATCAACATTTACAAGCGTCATTACAACCAGCACTCCTCGAACAATCACGCGGTCTGCGTCAGTCAGCTACTCTGTCACTACAATGACTATGCCAGGGTCGACACAAACCAGGACGGATACCATAAGTGACGAAAAGACTACCTTTTACCAGACTACAACCAAAACGGCTGCAAGCTACGTAGTAACCTCCACGCAAGCTGTGACTCAGCCGGGGGCTGTTGAGACTTCCTACCAGCCAGTAGAGTCAACAGTCACATCGACGACGAGGTACCTTGTTCCACCGTCTGTCAGCGAAGGTGTTTCCGAATACACCAGCGTTGTGCAATCCACAGTCCAGGTTGTTGGTACGACGACGCAGCCAGGTCAAGTGTATGTCAACGTTGGAACAACAGAGATCACGCGTGTTATAACCATTCCAAGAACGAAGAATGGCCAAGGAAACAATCCACCGACCCAGCCGCCTGTCTTCCAGGTCATTACAAGTGTCATTGACGGAAAGGTTGAAACAATCGTGGATAATGCCGCCCCACAGACCATTGTGACAAATGACGGAGGTGTCATTACTGTTGCATTTACGCCTCCCCCGGAAACGAAAGTAACTCGTGAGGGTGGACAACAGACTGAGATGGTCATAACGATCACACCAACGCCAGAAGTGGCTTACGTCGCCGTTCCGACAACAAAGGACGGGACGCCAACTATTGTTGTTATTCCCTCTACACTGAATGGAGCAGGACCCGGGCAATTCAAAGAGGTTGCAACAACAATTGATGGGAAACCTACTGTAGTAAATGTCCCTGTCACACAGGAACCGGTTTTAGTTGCCATTCAGACAACGATCGATGGAACCCCTACAGTCGTTCTTACAAGGTCAACGCCGACAGGGCCAGGTTTTAATCCGATATCTTTGACTATTGTATCTCAAGTGGGCGGAAGCACTGGCGTGTTTACAACGACAGACGCCCCCGAAGCCATCAAGACAACCATCGACGGAAAAGAGACGACAGTCATGAGGACCCCTCCACCAAGGACTTATACGTCGGTTTCAGGAGGGACAGCAACGACTATGACAGTAGTCACCACCCCGACAGGTACAATGCCACTGTCTTTCACTGTACTTACCTCTACCGGAGGGACATTAAGTACCATCGTGTCGACTCCGAAGCCGACTACGTTCACCACTTCTATTTCGGGTACATTGAGAACAATCACCTCAACACCGAAACCAACCACACGTCTGTCGACTATTGAACCCTCAACTGCGCTCATTACATCCACTTCTATACCGACTGCCACAGACAGCCCGGATACAATCATTGTTCAGGTCGAGAAGTTTGCATTCACAGATGGCGACTATTTCGTCGGGAAGTTTCTTCCTGTAATACTTGCCGTCATCATAGCGGCACCGCTTCGAATTATCGATCTCAACGCGAAGCTGTACCAGCCATTTTATGCCTTGGCGCAAGAGGGAGGCTCACTGGGAAAGAACAGCATGACCCTGCATTTTGACGGCTGGAAGGGCTTCCTGGCACCCTTTGAGGTACTCATGCAGGGACACCCTGTGCCATTCATCACAACGCTTATGATACTGTGTTCATCGCTTCTAGCACCGCTTGCCACCGAGGCCATCGGTATGAAGCTCCACGGCAAGTGCAAAATAACCGCTATCGAAGGCTGCGGAATACAGCTGGGCGTGTCTACGATGTCTGCCCATGCGCTGGTTGCCCTGCTAGCTTTCATTATTGTGCTGTTACTCGTATTGCTTTACTTCCTGCGTAACTGGGAGACAGGTCTCCACGCAAATCCCTGGAGCATAGCTGGTATTTCTTCACTAGCCCGAAATGCAGATATCCGATCTCACCAGCTCGATTTCAAAGCCAGCAAAGCTTCCATGGCCGATAAAAAATATGGCTTCGGATACTTTGAAAACAGCCACAGACGGGACGAATACGGCATCATTCACTACGACGACTCCACTCAAAATCTACAGCGTGCAACCGCATCTGGAGCGCTCGTTGAGGACGACGAATTAACTGGCGCACATCAACGCGACATGACGAAGCAGAGAGGCAAACCAGTGCCTTTCATTGTGCTGACATGGTGGTGGAGACTGACCTTTATGTTCTTCCTCGTCTCGATGTTCATCATCATACTGTATTACCACCTCACTCTTAGTTCTCGGACTTCTTTCAAGGATTTCATGGACAGTCAGACTTTCGGTGTCCGGTTCTTCTTCACAGCTCTGGGTGTCACCGTTGTGTTTTGCTGGCAGTCCATTTTTATCAGTAAGTTTATGGTAGAGAGGCTTTGTGGTTTCAAGATTTGCTAACAAGATCGTTCAGGCATCGCAATCATCAGCCCGTATCACGACATGGCACGCCGCTCTCAATCACCCGAGAAGTCCATCCTGCTCACTCGCCCTACCAATGGCTTCTACGGCATGTATGCTGCTGTTCTTGACGGCAACATCATTCTCCTGCTCGCTGCATTCATGTCTATACTTGCAGAGTTCCTGCCGATTCTTTTCGCCAACATACCGTACAACTTGACGCAGACCCTGGAGTCACACAACATCTGCGCCCGCGTCAGTCTTGCTATTCTGGCAATCATGTTGATTACTATCATCGCTAGCTTGTTCATCAAGTGGCCCGAGATGCCGGTAGACCCACGCAGTATAGCAGGTGCGATGTACTATGTTAACGAGAGCCGCATGCTTGAGGACTTTGAGGGGCTCTCGAAGCTGGATTCCAAGGAGAGAGAGAAAAGAGTGAAGGAGCTTGGAAGGAGATACTTCTATGGCAGCATCACTGGAAGGTTTGGAAAGAGAATGGGTGTTGAGTCGGTGGAAAGTATTGAAGATACGGCATACACCGGGGGCCATTGGTTTTTACCTCGAGAAGGTGAACAGCAACAAGTCGCCGGACTACAAGAACCACACTTGCTTGGGCCGATATTTGAGAACGATGAGCAGTACCAAGATGAATATTCACACCAGCATGAGGACGAGGAGGAGAACCTTGAACCGCATCAGGCGATCGAAATGGACCCGCATGAAGTGCCTAGAGAGGTTCAACAGCCTAGGGAGGTACTTCATGCTCGAGATGACCTTATTTGATACTAAATGACATACTTTAGATCATAGCGATGCATAGGATTTCGACCAAATAATGGAATTAGAGATAGTTTATACTACGGATACACATTGGTTTAGTTCTTTTCATTACAGGCATGTCTCAGCATGTGAAGATAGCGACACGCCCACAGGCTGTTGTTGTTGATTGCTGACATCAAAAGTCGAGTTCGATTTGCAAACAATGAGAATCTGAAGACCAATCAATAAAAGTGACTTTACCCAAGATGTGTCGATTGGGAGGCTGAAAGAGAATTTAAAAGAAGAATATACGACACATCCATTGACAAAGCCCCCTTATGCCCCTAGATATGCCAGATGACCTTGAGAGTACGCCCGGGGGACGAATCTAATGTAGAAAGACAGAAACATCTGACTGCATTTGAAATATGCGAGTGCACGATATATCGGCTTGTCATTCAGCCTCCAAGCCACTAGAGCAGAGATTATGGTTCTGGGATGAGCAATTGGACCTGTTTCGCCAGGAATAGTCCTAGGGTAATCCGAGAAGTCCCGTGTCGTCATTTGATTTTTCCATCAGCGTGTAACCTTGTGGCCTTCGGAATTCTCACAGCTGACTTCATGTGTCGGGTAGAAAAGACACCAAATAATAATTCTATCAATTCTTCTGAGCCACGGAATCGGGGCCAGTTTTTGTCAGATCAGATCGAGTTCACACATTTCCTCAAGTACGACAGGGAAAATTTCAATCGCTAATAGACATCTCCATTTTTTGTAGCTCTAGTGTTGAACATGATTTGGAGAAAAGCTTAGAAGTACAGCCTATAGTTTTGGTACCAGCATACATTGCTTAATGGTGCTTCCGGAACGCAATTCATTTTAATATGGTCGATATAAGTCAACCATATCAATACTCATTGGCACAGTCATCCTTGGGGCTGTTTCCATTGACATACTCCCAAAGACGACTCAGCTGGTATACCTTCTTGATGGTGACATCTCCGTTCACTTCATATTGTTCACCATTCTCTTGCTCGCCGTTAATTCCTCCTTGGAGGTTTCGCAGCCTGTTGGTATACTTAGGATCATTGAAGACATTGACGTCAGCATCCATGAAAGTCCCCGCAAGAGGTGAGCCATCGCCGTTCTGTTGCACTCGGGTAAGACCCTTATCAAGTGGGAACATGTTGTCGAGATAGTGTTGGTTGAGCTGATGACCAGAGCCGATGCGCTCAAAGAGAGCGCCGTTATAGGAGTTCCAGGCCTTCTGAAGCTTGTTGTTCTCTTTCAGCTGCTTCTTGCTGAGGTGTTTCTTAGGCTCGGTGCGGTGCGAAAGGACGGCTGCGCTGAGGTTGTGGATGATGGAACGATCCTTCTGATCAGCGGTCTTCTTCTTGAAGTGCATGACGCCCCATCGGGAGACAAAGTCATAGGAGTTGGCGTAGTGCTCAATGTGGCGAATGGCACGGTCGCAGCCTTTTTCTTCATTGTGATCCTTCTTCTTGAAGATGCGCGGGTTGTTGAAGTGGTTTGCGGCGTTGCCAAATGTGTAAATCTCAAGCTTCTGCAGGATATCCCGAGGGTGCTGGTTGATAAGCCAGTCCAGGATGATACTGCCTTCCAGCCCACCTTGAGAGTGGAGAATGAGTACGACCTTTTCATTGCTGGATTTTAAGAGAGCTTCGGAAATGAGGGCGAAGCAGGCTCTGGTGTCGGAGGTGCCGAAATACAGGCAACGCTCAAGAAGGCATTGTATGATGTCGAAGATGATACCAGCGCTTCCATTTTGTTAGTGAAAGTGCAACATTCTTCGGTTTATCTATTTCTTACGTTTTGTTATGAACTCCAATGACTCTTCGATGAAAGGTCAGGGAAATCCTGTCAATATTGGCTCGCAACCAGTGCTCACTATCTTCTGATAAGTCTCACAATATTTTCCAAATAGCTCAAGAGACTCACCCAACAGCGACTCCATTGAGGAAGATCCACTGCTCATTCTTATGCCTGTCATCCCAAAGACTGGCCTCAGGAAAGTCCGTCGATTGGATGTATCCATCAGGCATATAGCCATTCAGAGCATAGCATGCGATGTAGTTGACAAAGACGAAGCCGAGAATATAAGGGGCGAAGATGTTAAATGGTAGGAATGAGAGGAAAGGAAGAGATAGAAGAAAGGCGGACTGTGTAATGATAAGAATGAAGTGAAAGGTGATATCACGGATATTGGCCCAGGACGGGTACAGTTCGTCAAGAGGGCCGGAGTGAAAATACAGCTGGGCATAAGCCTCAAATTGGCGCCTCAGACGGGTGAAGATGAAGCCCGATTGATCTCCAATACGGTTGTCGATGTCAAATGAACGTGCGGGCGGGGGGGAAACAAGAGGGAAAACGATGCCTGGCAAGAATAGGATGTTTTTAAAAAAGAGGAGTGTGTCATCCCTAAGAAGCTTCCATGGAGAGCCGGTGTAATAATCAGGTTTCCTGAGCTCGAGCTTGGCGATTCTATCTTTGATCGGTCGTACCGGCCCTTCCTTTCTAATGAGTGATCGAAGGTCGGCAGTGGTAACAGGGCGAACAGAAGGAACAACGATTTTCTGATCGCTCAGGTCCCTTGGGAGGGAATGATAGACATTGACTTGAGCAGCCATGCTTGAATACGAATAGGGGAGGGCAGAAATGGGAAGTGAAGATTTCTAAGCCAAGGCTATACTCACCGAGGAGGAAGTAGGCTTTTTTCTTATATCTCTTCCGAGCCTTTGCCTATCTCATAACAAATACTACGTCGAAGGCACATTTATTTATTAGCATGGTTTGTGGGGATCACGCTGAAGGTATTCGACATTGTCATGGAATGCGGAATTAGACCTTGATGTCTTTCATTCACATGCTATAGCTGGCTACTTTCACATGCTACAATGTTTGTCCTGAGACCGCACAATCAGCGCTGGATGTGAGAGGTGCTTACTCTGACTGCAGCTTTTCGGTGGCTGACACAGAGTTTACTTGGAATTCCAATCGATGCACTCTATAAGCCCTTGCCGCCGGGTGCGTAATGTAAGATCTTGGAATTCAGCTTGAAAACAATTTTACCAGGGCGGGGAAGCTGAGGAGTGGTGGCATGTTGGGAACCCTTGTCTCAATCGCCTCGGACAGTGGCGCCTTGACTGGTCGAAACAAGCTAACTACGATTTCATGTTTCCCCCTCCTAGCACATACTCCTCCCATACATTAAATAAATACGTTGTCTCGGACCTGGAGATCATTAAGTAAGTCTTTTTACTTGGTATGTCCACATTTTGTGTGATATGTGTTCAGCCCATGAGCACTATCATCCGCTTGCGGGCCACTAGTGCTCCCGTGGTCGTTCTCTGCTTGTTTCTATTGGCTGTGGTACAGGAACAAGTATGGTGACGCCAATCAAGACTGCTTTTAATAAGACATTGATGCACATCAGGGAGGGGATTTCCTGTTAAGGTTGCCGTTGAGGCCGTTATGCCATTTTCGTTGAGTAGTAGTACGGGCGTAACCATAAAGAACGAGACACAGCAATCGCTGGAAGCTATGAACCTTAGGAACCGCGTCTAAAGGTCATGGAACACCGAACTGGAGTTTGTTGACATCCTCTGTGTTTACTGGCTCTAAATATTTAATACTAGTAGGGTGGAAATTGCCCTGACTAACGTGGAATGTAGATTGCCTCTACATAGTCATACGTTATCAAAGTGCTCCCAGCTCTGACCCTTGCAAAGCTGCTGCTACCCACCATTTAGACTTCAAGTCGATTCAAAGATTCATCAAACTAGCCATGAGGTATTGCTTGCAGCAAAGACACACTCTGCTAGCGATTGTCAACGAAATGTATCTTGTTTTCGCAGTTCCCTGCAGATTATTTCTCTTTCCCAAAAAGGATACCGTGTTCCTTTTTGATAATACATTTCTTTTAGACCTATTTTTTTTTTTTTTTTCCTTTTTTTGCTTCGAGGGTTCATCAAGCACATGCCAGACGTGAGATCGGCTAATATGAAGGACATGCCACCAAGTCATGGGTAGCACAGGAGCAATTGGAAAGAATGATTGGAGAGGCTACTAGGATTATGGCGCGACGTAGGCTGTTCGTAAGATACACAAATAGCTCTGCGTCAATATCAAGATCTGACTGGGTGTGGGATGGGTGCGAACATTGCCCGTGCTGACACCAAACACAGTCACCCGCTTTCGGGTATTTCGCAAGCCGATAACCTCTCAGATATTTACAATCATCTTTTCAAAAGCATGTGAAAGAGAATAAATGAGAGAGGCAATGCCCGAAGTCAATTGACCGTGAGATGTTCCTCAACGAGAGAATGTGGGTTTAATTGGCCGTCTGGGGAACATTCTGGGACCGACTGAAAACCTGGGGTTTGCCGTTATAAGAACCAATCCGTCCCTAGCAACATTGATGAAATTTTAGTGCGGATTGCTCATCCCATAAGCCCGACTGATCGTGGGTTCTTGGAAAGTAGGTAGTGCTTCGGATTCTGCTTGACAACATGGACGGAGTCGAGACGCAGAACAACGCCTCCAACGGCTGGAACGGCAACACCAACGGCTACGACGAGTCGCAGCCCAGCAATGGCACAAGGTTCCCCAGATCCGAGACCACCGAGCCACAAGAAGGCTACAGCAAACGTTATGACAACTTCGACCCTGTCACCGGATCCTACCCTCGTATCTCCCGCCCCGTTGAGTTGATTCGTCCTTCCTATGATGTTGTTGTCATTGGTTCCGGCTACGGCGGTGCTGTCGCTGCTAGCCGTATGGCCCGTGGTGGACAGAGTGTCTGTCTTCTAGAGCGTGGCAAGGAGAAGTGGCCCGGTGAATTCCCTACGAGCAGTGTTCCGGCTATCAAAGAGCTACACGTGACCAACGCAGCCACCGACGGCGTCCTTGGAAAACTGGGCAAGTTAGGTGACAGAAACGACCCTACTGGACTTTATCACCTTGTTGTTGGTGATGGACAGAACGCCTTTGTTGCCAATGGATTGGGCGGAACTAGTCTTCTGAACGCCAACGTATTCCTAGAGGCAGACCAAGGCACAATGAACTTGCCTGTCTGGCCCAAAGAACTTAGGGGAGAGGAGTTGAAGAGATGTAAGTGCATACGCTTCCTCGTTATCGACTGCACGAAAAGAGACGGCTAACATACCGCAGACTACGAGAAGGCTCGTGATGTTTTGGAGCCCGAACCATACCCGGAGGACTACCCCAAGCTACCCAAGTTGGAAACGCTTGAAAAGCAGGCAAAACTCATGGGCTGGGGCGACAAGTTCTACCGCGTTCCTCAAACCACTAAGTTTGTAGATGGCGACAACAGCACCGGAGTGTCCATGAAGGCTTCCACTCTCACTGGCCAGGATACGACTGGCTTGAATGATGGTAGCAAGTCAACCACTCTCGTCAACTACCTCAGTGACGCATGGAACTGGGGCGCCGAGATGTTCTGCCAATGTGAGGTTCGTTATGTGACTGAGGCTCCCGGAAGAAAGGGATACATCGTGCACTTCGCGTGGCACGGGGGCAAGCGTGGAAACTTCCACGACCTTTTCTACGAGGACCTCATGTGGGTGCATGCTAAGGAGCTTGTTTGCTTCGGTGCCGGCAGCATTGGAACCACCGAGATCCTTCTTCGTAGCAAGAAGTTCGGTCTCGAGATGAGCGATGACGTTGGCCAGGGAATGAGTGGTAACGGTGATATTTTGGCTTTTGGGTAAGTCGTACGAGTGAAAACACGTCCTAGTGAAGCGCTGACGTGGCTAAGCTACAACACAAATGAATATGTCAACTCAATGGGACGTCCGGATCCACCGCCGAACCGCCCAGTTGGACCTTGCATCACTGGCGTCATCGACTGCCGTGATCAAGAAAACCCCTTGGATGGTTTTGTCATCGAAGAGGGTGCGATTCCAGCTGCATTGGCACCCTTTTACGAGCTGATGTTGTCGTATATGCCTGGGAGAACCTTCCCTAGCAACCTGTCTCTTCAACAGAAGGCTGGCCATGTTGCCGCCGCCGTTGGAAGCCGGGTATTTGGACCTTACTACCACAAGGGAAGCACTGAGAAGACGCAGTGCTATCTCATCATGTCCCACGACAGTAAGTTGAACAATAATATGAGGGTCAAGCACCTCTAACTCGCTTCAATAGGCAGCCAGGCTACGATGCATTTGGTGGACGATCGGCCATTGATCAACTACTCTGGTGTTGGCACGTCCCAGAGAGTCACCAAGCTGGCAGGGTATCTTCAGAAGATTACAAACTTGATTGGCGGCACCTATGTTGACAGCCCATTTTACGCCGCATTTGGTGAGAAAGAAATCACTGTGCACGCCATGTAATACCAACCTCCTACTCACTCTCTCAAAACAGCAGCTGACTTTAAAACAGCGGTGGAGCTCGCATCAGCAATGATGGCAAGGGTTCTAGTGGTGGTGTGAACAGTGACGGTCAACTCTTCAAGGGTGAAGGCGAAGAAGTCCACAAGGGACTTATCGTTTGCGATGGCACCATCATTCCTGCAGCACTTGGGGTCAACCCTTTCGCAACCATCACTGCTCTAGCTGAAAGGTCCATAGAGAAAGCCGCGAGCAGGCTCGGCGCTGAGATCAGCCAAGAGCCTAATGGTATGGAGCTATCTGAAACAAACTGCATGTCATGTCTTCTAACCACTTACAGGTTCTCTGAATCTCTTTGGCCGACCTGCGCACACTCCCTTCCATGACAGTGACTTGCAAGTCATGCGGTTGCAAAATATCATCCAAACTGCCAGAGATGATAGAACTGCTGGTGTTGCTTTCACAGAGATGATGGATGGTTGGATTCACATCGGCAAGAAGAATGATAACATTAAAGAATTGTCATTTGACCGCGCGACAGCCACTGCTCGCAGCCGTGGTGAATATGCTCGGTTCTTCCTGAGCGCTCGATCCTGGAACACACACAATCGTAAGCTACCTCTCGCGCGAGGCCGGTCTTGAGAATTGCAGCTGACTTTATTTAGTGATCAACGATAAGGAACACATGGCCACACTGACTGGCACATTCACCTGCCCCGGTTTGGGCGGAACTTGCATGGTGCAAGACGGCAAGTTCCAGCTGTTCAACGATGACCCTCGAGCTCCTGACACCATGAACCTTACCTATAACTTCAAGGTTTCGTGCCCCAACGGAAAGAGACTTCACTTCAACGGCTACAAGGTTGTCAACTCTGATGTCGTCCTTAACCCTCTGAACCTTTGGAAGGCCACCACCACCCTATACTGCACCATTTATGACGTGAAGGAGGATGATGAGCCCGATTTGGACAAGGTCCGCGGCAAGGGTGTTATCAACATCAGCCCCCGATCATTCCTCCACGAGTGCACGACTATGGAAACTACTGGCTCAACTCTGCATGCTCGTGTTACTTCTGCAGCCAACTTCCTCGGTTACTTCACTGCAAAGGCCGCAGGGGCTTTCCTCACCCCATTTATCCCAATGCAATGGCCCAGTCTGCCTTTCAACAACTACGAAAATCCCTCACCTTACACCGAAGAAATCCCTATCGAGGCTACCGACCGTGTCAAGTCAAAGCTTTTCTACTGGAGCCCGCTCTTTGAGGAGAAATACGAGAAGCGTACTTGGAATGAGTCGGACGCCCCTGTTGTCTTCCTTATTCCCGGAGCAGCTGTAGACCAGCAGATATTTTCCCTGCCCACCATCAAGGAGAATGCTGTCAACTACTACCGCAACAAGGGCTTCCGTGTGTACTCTATGGTCCACCGCGTAGGAAAGACCATCGTTGCTCAGCAAAACTGGACTGCATATGATGCTCGTCGCGATATCAAGGCCGCCCTTGAAGAGATCCGCAGGAGACATGATATCAAAGACAATGCCGACGGCAGCCGTCCTTCTGTGACAACATATGTCATTGCTCACTGCGCAGGCTCTGTCGCTCTTGCTTCCGGTCTTCTCGACGGTACCATTCCCAAGGAGTGGCTCAGTGGTGTTACAGCTTCTCAAGTTTTCATGAACCCGATGTTCGCCAAGGTCAATCAAATTAAGGCCAGCCTCCCTATCTCCATGGCTTCCATCTACAACCTCTTCCAGGGAAGCTGGTTCGACTGCTCAAGCTCCCCCCAGGACGGTTACATCCAGCAGGCCATCAACCAGCTGCTTCGTTTCTACCCGGTTGGTCGTCGTGATGAGATCTGCAACTCTGTTGTTTGCCACCGTAGCTCTCTTGTGTTCGGTCGGTAAGTGAAAATCAGTTCCCAAATTATAATCTCGCCATATGCTAATATTGTTGATTTCAGTCTCTGGTCTCACAAGCATTTGAATGAGGCCACCCATGCTCAGCTTGAAAACTTTATTGGAGGAACCTCCATGGACAACCTGAATTACCTCATGACCACAGGTCTCGCAGGCCGCGTCTTGGATTCGCAGAATGCGGACCTAGTGGTACCACAAAACATTGCCCGCCTCAAGGGTCTTCCCATCTTCCTGTTCTCCGGATCTGAAAACGCCGTCTATCTTCCACAAAACACCGACTTGTCATTCACCACTCTTAGTGAGGTCAACGGCGGCACCTGTTACGAGAGGCAGGTCTTCGAGGGCCGTGGCCACTTGGATGCCTGGATGAGTCCCACGGCGCATAAGGAGGTTTTCCCCCGCGTCCTCAACCATATCGAGAATGTCCAGAATGGCAAGTATGAAATCATGAAGAAACATGTTAAGGCCCTTGTCAAGGGTGATGCCCGTTACTAAACACTTATATAAGTGTTGAAACCTGCTGTACTGCTCTAGCTACATGGGACTCAAAGCCCGTGGCAAACTGTTCATTTCCTTTGTCTCCAATATCGCTTAAAAGCCACTGCACCTTTCTATTATCATTAGTTTAACTATTGTATTCTCCACAATGCATCCAAAAACAACTTAGTAATAATACAACAAATTTGGTCTCTTCCGAAAGGCTGGCTGCCAGACCGTATGAATAATGGCCCAAGTTCATGAACTGAGAATGCAACACCGGTGTTTTCGAAGGTGCAAAAATATAAACACTAATGGTCGGCCATTGCTATTCAGCAGCAAGTAGAGATCCATGGTATCCTATGTTCAATGACGACTCGACGAAGCGTCATGATCTCGCTCAATTTCTCATGCTGAGGTGGGCCAGACAACCTGAAAATGGGCATTGTCCAATAAAATGGTACAATGAATCCCTGTCACTGCCAAGGACAATTCGAGCGGGGTTGTACACTAGCCAAAATATCCGCAATGAGGGGAATATGGTCTGGACGACTTCCGGTCTGTCTTTCGTATCAACTTCGCTGCACGTGTAGTGTAACCAAGAAGTCTTCTGAAGCATCCGAAAAGATCTCTATCGCCAACAGTTGGCTTTGGAAAGAATAATTATTTGTCACCATATCTCATCATACCTACCCAAAACCGTCGTTGGATTTGGTTCTCAATCCTGCTACAATGGCCGCAACAATGTCCACCGCGGTCATGACTGAGCCACCGTAAGGACGCCCCAGCACTAGCCAGTAACCTATTTGCTCATCATTTTCTCAGAAGCTATGTTATGGTGACGGGTGCCACTGGTTTTATTGGAGCTCACATTGTTGATGAGCTCCTTCGTCGTGGTCTCAGGGTCCGGGGAGCCACCCGGTCCCTCCGAAAAGGTGAGGCCATGATCAAGGCACGCCCACAGTATGCAGACAAGTTGGACTTTGTTCAAATTGAGGACTTCCAAAATTCCAATGTCTTCCACGGCAAGATGGACGGCATAGACGGTGTAGTTCATGCAGCCAGCGTAAGTGACAATATTGACCAAGTAAGGCTTATGCTAAATAGACTTCTTCTAGCCATTCACGTATGATGTGCAGGATAATGACAAAGAGCTCATTCAACCTGCCAAAAATGGAGTTCGCTCAATTATGGCTGCAGCAGAGTCTCATCCCAGTATCAAGCGTGTCGTCATCACCTCCTCTTTCGCCGCTGTCATGAACGTCGACCGTAAAGCACCTCCATACTTTGAGTATACCGCAAAGGATTGGAATCCCCTAACTGAGGAAGAAGCTCGCGCTCCCGAGACAAGTCCTGTTGTTGCTTATAGGGCCTCCAAAAAATACGCTGAGCTTACCGCTTGGGAATGGTTCACAGACGGTGTCGATAATGAAAGAAAAGTCAAGGGTTTTGATGTCGTAACGCTTTGCCCGCCCATGACATTTGGCCCTATAGTGCACCCGGTCAATGGAGTTGATAACCTCAACGAGTCGAACGCCATGCTTTGGAAGATTGCCAAGGGCGAGACACCACTTCCGGTTGCTAGGGTCCCTTTCTGGATAGACGTTCGTGACCTCGCGGTTGCACACGTGGAGGCATTTTTGAACCCGGATGCAGGAGGCAAGCGATACCTTCTTGGTGCTGACGATCGCTTTTCTTATGGGCTTGCGGCAAAGATAATGGCTGATAACTTTGGCTGGGCCAAAGAAAAGGTCTCCCAAGAGGACCAGACGATAGATACTTCTCACGGATTGGAGAACAAAGCTGCCGCTGAAGCATTCCGTATTAAGTACCGGACTTTTGAGGAAACAGTAATCGACCTCATAAGACAGGTGAAGGAAATGGAGTTAAAAGATGCATAGACTAAGATATGTTAGACGGATCTCCAATAGATACCCCAGTCTCAAGGGGCGCATTAACAGGCCAAGAGCCTTGTCGGATGTCTTCTGCGAACATATTGGTCCATTTAAATGAGGTTCCTGCAACAATGAACCGCATACTGCCAGGACACCTTGGCCACTACAAAGCCGTGCCCCGGCTCATATAAATGGCCCTCTGCCGTACAGGCACATTCATGGTTTCTGATGGCGACGAATTCCGCCTAAATAGGTCAATCACCAACCAGAGGCGCTACCATGAATTCAGCAGCGGTAGTAGGACTCCGCATCCAACAAACAAGTTTGGGATAAAGTAATCATTCAATTTCTGTTTGCAAATTGGCAGTGTGATATTCTTGACAAAATTGCTTTCGGCCCTTTTGATCCCTTCGGCACTGTAGCAATTCGTTATCCAGAATCTGGCAACCTGCTTCTTATGCCTTGTGTGCTAGGAAAGCATTATTTGTTGTGGAAGTTCATATCTGTTTTCTTTATTTCGATGTTAACCGGACCTGCATTCCGAAATGATGGATTTGAAATTATTTGTAGTACTTACCAAATGCCGCCGCGACTGTTGGCGATATCTATAAAAAGGCAGAACATGTCTTTGGTCATTTTGATATTCCATCTTGAGGTGCTACAAGCGGCAATCTTACACGCAGCAAATTCATCCTACATCATTTGAGGCCCAAAGATGAAGTTTTCGATTACCTTTACCGTTGCCTGCGCCACTTTGGCCCAAGCCCACTGCATTTTCCAAGTTTGCTACAATTCTCCCCCGTATCACCTTTGGCACTGCTGACGAATTATGATAGAAAATCTCAGTGAACGGCAAGGAATATGGATCCCTCGCCGGTCTTCGCGCCCCAAATCAGAATAACCCAACGGAAGATGTCAACTCTCAAGATATGATTTGTGGCAAAGTAGCCACCTCGTCCAAGGAAGTCATTACCGTGGCACCAGGAGATAAAATCGGCGCGTGGTGGCAGCACGTCATTGGCGGCGCCCAGTTCCCCGGCGACCCGGACAACCCAATCGCCAAATCCCACAAAGGTCCCATCACGGCATGGCTAGCCAAGGTGCCCAGTGCAGCTTCTACGGGCATTACAGGCCTCAATTGGTTCAAAGTAGCAGAGGACAACCTTGACACCGGCTCGGGTCAATGGGCGGTGGACAAGATGATCAACAGCAATGGATGGAGCTACTTCAACTTGCCCCAATGCATTGCTCCTGGCGAGTACCTGCTGCGTGTTGAGTTGCTAGCTCTCCACTCAGCTCACGCTCAAAGGGGTGCTCAATTCTACATTTCCTGCGCCAACATCAAAGTAACGGGATCGGGAACATTCTCGCCGAGCTCGACAGTAAAAATCCCCGGCGTGTATCAGCAAAGCGACCCATCAATTCTTATCAGCATCTATGGCACTGGCGGTGTTCCTAACAATGGGGGAAAGCCATACACAGCACCAGGCCCGAGGCCTATTACCTGCTAAACAGCTCTACAGCCTACGTTCATGTCAAGCATTGAGGTATTCTCATGTTAGCTAGGGGCAAAAATATGTTATCTTGGTGTTTAGCCATTTAAAACCATTCCATCCCAAACAACAGCAATGGAAATTGACCGTTCGATATATTTGACTTTTGTTGGCCGTAGTATTTGTATCCGATGCCTAGAATCTGGTTGTGTAGGATCATTGAGATTCTTGTGCCACCCTTGAGAACTTTTGTCTGTGATCCGTTAACCCTTCAACATAGAGACATCAGCAGTACTTTGTGTTCTTGGCTACTACATGTTAGGTGAGGGCGAGTTGAAGTGGGCTACCGGTTGTTTTGCAGCGCCTTCTCCTACAACAATATGATACGACGGTAAGTTCTCTCCACAAGATATCAGAAGCATATTGTTGTACAGACATGAAATGCCAGGCTGCGCGGATATCAGTGGCCTAATAATCTGATCTGAAAAGTCCAAAACTTTCCTTTCTTGTAAGGTCGTGCTCAAACTGGAAATATCAATAATGTAAAGAAGCATACAAAGCTCAGAAAGACTTAGGAGCGCCAATGCAGCAGGAAAACAGGTACATTTATGTAGAAACGACCAAGATGGCACTTGCTGGGCAACTCCATGGCGTGAATCATTGATATTTTTGCCTTTGATGTGCACCCAACCTGTACATCTATTCCTCATGGCATCAATAGCTATAGTTATCTAAATGACAGAAGCCTGTTTGTAACATCATTATGGCATCGGATACTGTCTTCGTATTGATTTTGATCCATAGAGAATGGATACCAAACTCAGGTGACGTACCAATTTTCTTGTCATAATCGACGGGGCAGACAGCAAAGTGCTGTTGAACATTCTGGCAGGGAACCTGCAGCTGGCTTTAGTTCTGGCGATCCGTTTTAATGGAGCATCTCTGACTCGAGATTTGGGCTGTTTCTCCGCCCAAGATCAGCAAGCTCGTATAATCCTATACACCTTTTCGGCAAATAGAGCTGGGCCATGGAGCTTCGTCGGACTTTCCGCCCGACATTTCACTTCCATAGGGCTACATCGGAATTCGGGTTCTTGGGAAAACTCCGGAGAAAGGTACCTATTTCTCAGTGGCTACTAACGCACGGGATGGGCTGCTCAAGGTTTGACTGCATCTAATAATACATAGCAACTCATGCCCTTCGGTGCCATCTCTGTACCGACACACAACGTTAGCCAGGCATTATAACGGGCATTGCCCTGCTGCCTGTGTTGCATCGCCAGCTGAGCGTTTCCAAACTTTATCCAAGGAATACGTGCTGTGAACACATCGATGACAATCTTTTCGTGATGTATGAACCGAAGCTTAAACTCTCAATTATGTGGCTGTGAAATGTAGGTAGCACCAAGGAAGAAACCCATTACATATGGCAGGCATTGATGTTCTACGAGATTTGCAGAAGGAGTGACTGGAATACTACACTTTGGGGAAAATGTAACTTCTAGGGGCATTATCAGCTCAATGTGCACGTGAAAATATCCCTTGAAATATCGGCCGAGATGATGATCGTCGCTCTTCATATCTGAATTATGCAGTAAACCTGCGCACATGTCTAAAAACACATACAGCAGGGAGACTGAAGATTCCAAGATAAATGCCCATCAGGTACAATCAGCTCACTAGGAAAAAGTCTATGGATGGTGAAAATGGCAGAGGCTATTAAGTTCTTGTTGTAACTATTGCAACGTCTTGTTAATTTCTCTTTTTGTTTAGTGCAAAGAATGACAACATCGACTTGAAGTTTTTCTGGTCGGATAAACAGTGTCGCCAAGTAATCCATCATACGATGTGGTAAGAATGTAATGCGGCATCGGAGAAATAAAAGAGGCTTTTTTTCATGCTTTATGTCCCTGTATTAATAGCATCCATTCTAATAATGGTACCACTATCGTTACCAGGCGTACTGTAACCCTCAAATCCCTAAACTGTACTGGGTGGGCAGCATACTTGTAAACAAACCAGGATCAATTCGTGGCGGAGAATACTCGAATTGAAGAATTAAGGAAAAAGAGGCCGCCAACTATAAATAGCCTTATGGACTGCACAGCTCAAATACCTTATCACCTCCATCTATTGCCAAGGGTATACCTGTCGCGGCTGTCTATTTTTCCGCAGACCCACTATAGGAGACCTTCCTTTGTCTTATTATGTAAGGGTGTCTCGGACGTCATTGCCGATACCCGGCTACCAGGACAAAGAGATCCTTGCTCGAGTCTCAGTTAAACGCTTTACACGGGAAGCGGCATGAATGTGACTTTGTTGAGCTCTTTGGTGGATAAACTTGTTAGTCTTATGGCTGGAGTTCGGGGAAATGTAAATATGATCGAAATCCTATGCCTGGAGTACGGGGAATTTTGCCACTTCGAAAGAGACTAGTAACGTTACTTCGTGGCCGAGGTGTGCGCTTCCATCGTGTTCATACGGCCGAAGGTCTGAACTGAACTTCCATAGCGGTGTGCATACTGCTGGTTCTGAGGTCGCTAACGGTTGAAGGTTTCACTGGCAGGGTCATGTCTCAAAGGTGCGAAGGACAGATTTAGAACCAAGTTTTAGACGAGGGTGGGCTTTCAAGTGGACATCGCAAAGAGCCGAGGTGTTGCTTGCCGGTACAACCGAAATGGGTGTCCATAATGTGTCTTTAAGCCGTCTTGTACAGCGAAACACCGAAGTTCAAGCTTCTAATCAGGGTAGCATGAAGTACCCGGTTGGCATCGCAATGGGTCGACAACCTACATCACATTAACACGACCGGAGCCGAGCGTTCAACTGACGGGTGTATGAAATAACCATGCCTGATGAAATGGTTGAGGCTGGCGATACGAAGCAGACATGCATGACTGAATTTACAATGTTGTGGATCAATGTCATCTGATTTCGAATGCGGGAGAACCCCGAAATGGTGGAGATGCCCAGCACTGACGTCGATATTTATGGAATTGTGTACCAATTGCCCCTGAAGCTCTAGGCATAAGCTTTCTGGGGCAGTGTTAGGATGAACACAAGGTCGTCCTTCGGTGCGTCTTCTTTGTTGCTTCTCTGCGTCCCTTCACCCCGCGGAAAAGGCCGTGGGCTATGTCCTGGTGGGTTTTGTTCCCTGTTTTAGTTATCCTAACATAACGTTAATGGAGCTCTTGTGGTATATGACGTAGCTATTCTCCTATAGCGGGGAGCCGGGTCCCCCCAAATACGAGTCAAGCAACCCGAACCCACAGATCATCCAGAGATCAACATTAACCGGTGGTAATAGTAACCCGTATTCTCGTGTTGGCAATTAGAGGGTTAAGATATGGTGGCAATCAAGTAATCCAACTTGCTATATAAGTCCTTCGATTCGGCGCTTCAAAGTTGGACTTTTTTCTTCATCCTCACCACATACAATCACTCAAAACATCAACTCACAATCACTCACAAACAACTTTAATCAGTTAAATCTTCTTTTTTAATCAACCATCAAGATGCAGTTCTTCACCGTCCTCGCCACTGCCGCTGTTGCCTCCGCTGCTGCCATCAGCAAGCGTGACGTTACCTTCAAGGTCTCCGAGTTCAGCGCCGGCTGCATCCCCCACAGCACTCAGTGCTTGTAAGTTTTATGCTGCAGTCAACAGCTTTCCAACCACACGACTAACCTCTTCTCCTAGGTACTTCTTCAACGTCATCCAGCCCGGTACCATGGAGACCACTGGAGTCAACTGCTCCAGCCTTGTCCCTGCCAACCTTGACGGCACTCTGCCTGACGTTACCGAGGGCACTTGCAAGGAGTCTTCTCGCACTTTCAACGTCGCTCGCAGCGCCGAGGGCCTGACCTTGACTGTCTCTCAGCCCGTCACTCCCAGCAGCAACCAGACCGGCTCCCACCTGCTCCCCATCGACCAGTTCGTCATCTCCAACGAGCCCAACGCTGTTGTCCAGTCCTACACCGGCCCCAGCGAGTTCGACCTCGAGTAAACCTTTTCGACGGAGAGCTTTCTTTTACCCGGCTACATCAATACCAATCAAGCATAGACAAAAGCCAAAACGGCTAGCTATGCCTTAGTTAGCCAAGGGTTGTACAAATTCATAGACTTGTAGAATAAGCAATTTCAATTACAAAATGTTACAATTGAATGTTCTCATCTCAAATTATGATGATGCCACATTGTGGTTCGGCCCGCACATATTTATTGACTAAGGTGGACATGGGTTTATGAGTGGTTTTCGTATCCAATACGGCACCTGTGCTTCTAATCACATTTCAACAGGACTTGCTTTCAATATTGTCACTTCTCCTCACTATGAACCCAGATTCCTGTGGAATGATGCGCACAGCGTCCTCAAATTGGCTGCCCCATAGCACTGATCTCCTTGACCTCATCAAGGTCGTTTAAGAAGCTTTCAAATTTACCCCTGATCATGTTCCACGCGTTGCCAGTCAAAGGAACACGCAGCGGAATTTTCCCTCCGGAGCTTGCAATCCCATGTATTGTTTCCGCAACAGCAGAAGGCTCTGCCCCAACTCCCTTTTTGAGGCCCGCATTCACATACTTCTCCAGTATACGAGCGGGCATATCAGCCGCTGCATAAGCCGCATGTGGGGCAGTACGGGCCTTGCTGTGACCCTCAAAGTTGGTTTTGACGGCAGCGGGCTCCAAGATACAGAAATTAACTAGCCGAATGATTAACAATCTGATGGAGTGAGCTGCTGACTGAAAGTGTAAAACCTACTGTTCCAGTCGGGGTGCATTTCCCTCGCTACAGATTCTGACCACCCTTCGAGTGCCCATTTGCCCGCGTGGTAGTAGGCGTGGCCCGGAAAGCCGAGCTGGCCGGCAAGGGATGAAATGTTGAAGATAATGCCGCCTCTGTGCTCTGGGTGCTGCCGCATGATGCCAATAGCCCGTGTAGTCACGCGTGCAGCGCCAAAGAACAATGTCTCCATCTCCAGGTGCGTCTCCTCCTCAGTTGCTGACTCTGTGTCGCCCGAGAGCGAGTACCCGGCATTGTTGATGACTACATCTAGGTGAAAGCCTTGGCCGAAGTGAGTTGCTGCGGCATCAAAGGCTTTATTGACTGAAGTGGGAGAAGTAACGTCCAAGGGTAGTTTGAGGATATTAGCATTGTTTTCAGGCAAGTAAGATAAGTCCTCAGGCTTGCGGGCTGTGGCGATCAAACGATATGACGGCTTGCTTGCAATCAAAGTTGAAAGTGCCTTGCCGATGCCAGAGGAACAACCGGTAACTAGAAATTTCAGTTAAGATATTCATTAAGATTAGGAAGTACAGAGGCTCACTCAACCAAGTTGCTTCCGCTGGCAAAGCGTATGGTTTGGTGTTGACAGGGTTCATCTCTTCCCAATGACTACCTAACAGTGAAACACAGTATGATTTAGTAGTACTTTGGAGATTGTATCATGATTTATACCGACTATTTCTTCCGCCCCGAAACGATTGAGGGCTGTTGGCGAGCTTTTTATAATGCCCCCGTCGCCAAACAGTGGCCGTCTTTGTTGTCCTAGGCCAAGAAAGGTTGCCGGAGCGGGATCAATGTGCCGCAACTTCAGGATTGGATGCGGCGGGGTTGAGTCAGCTAACACGCCACCAGCACGGCGAGCCTAAAACGGCTGGCCGATCCCCCCTCTAGCCGCCAAATGGCTGGGACTGCCGGGTTTTGTAAGATAGCTCCGGCACAATCACACACGTAGTTGGCTTATGATTTATGCCCATGCCACATGAAATTGCGTCGTGATTGGGCCTCTCGGATTTTGCTATGCTTGCAATTTTTATTTAATCAAGCATGAGATGACATTCAGCGCAATACGCAGTTTCATGGCTACAGGTTATGTACGCTCTTAACGTGGAAATCGGGTTTCACCGGAAAGCCAGCCCTAAAATGTCGGCAGTCACCAAGATTGAATACGATATCCTCTATCCGTAAAGAGAATGGCTGAATCCCATGGAGCAGTGTTATCCGCCTAGCAAGATGCGGTAAATTACATAGACATGAACCTGGAACAATATAAGCTATATTCCCACTATCAAAAGGCTTTAAGAAATAACCAAAAAATAACCTACTCAAATAGAAAATGATGTGTCAGATAGCTACATAATCTCATACCCCAAACGCGACGAACGAACAACGAAACAAGTCAGACAACATGTTCAACACATAGTGGCATCGTAACACTACGACATCAAAGGAAATGTTGAAACAGGGGGGAATGATGCCCCAGTTATCGAGGTCGAAGCTAGTTTTCACCGCTCATTGTCTTGTGAAGCGTAAGAGCGTAAGAATAAGGTAAAATAGGTATGCCATAATACATGTTGGGTTCTATTCTTTTACCCAATGTGTTGCCGCTTTCTCTTCATTGGTGAAATGTCAACTTTCAGCGGGGCACTGCCCTGCGGTCCAATTCCCCCAGACCACCTTATCCTTAAATTAGACGCTAAAGACAGGGTGCTAGAGAATTGTTTTCATTCTGAAGTGAACTTGCAAGTAGACTAGAGTCTCTCTTCCAAAACATCATGTGTCAACGGCTGGAACAGGCAATTGCATCGTTTACTACAGCTCAATCGGAACAACCAGGGTGTAAAATCAGTAGTGGGGATACATTGGCAACTGGCTATGGAGCCCACAAATTCCCTCAACTTCCCTTCCCCAACTACGGATCTCACCGCTTATGCAGACGAAGCACCAAGGCCATGGCGGCACGAGACGCTTCGCCTCCAAGGGAACTCCCCCATGCGGAACCCGAAGAGATTTATAACGAGAAAGTACGCTTGGAAGAGGAGATGTTTTCCTGGTACAACCCAGATAAGTGGTACCCAGTGAAAATTGGCCAAGTCTTTGAGTCACGATATCAGGTGCTTCTGAAGCTTGGGTTTGGTTCTGCATCAACTTCATGGCTATGCCGTGACCTAGAGTAGGATCCCCTGCCGAAAGCATTGTGGAACAGCACTAAGGATGTTTGTAGGGTGCATGACTATGTGACAATAAAAATATTTGAATCCGGCAATCGACAGGCACCAACTGAAGAACAAGTCCTTCGCTTCTTGGAGACTTTAGACTCCGATCATCCAGGCAAGAGACTAGTGAGGCAAATCAAAGGCTCATTTAAGTTACCTGGAAAGACTGGGGCTCACGTATGCCTTGTTCTTGACACACTCGGTATATCCTTAGCCGACATCCGAGAAATGGCTGGCGGAAAGGTACCGGCAAACCTACTCAAGGGCCTGATAAATGGCTTGCTTCTTGGTTTAGACTATTTGCACTCAGTTGCCCACGTCATTCACACAGGTATGACAGCTACAGCCTGGAGCTCCTGGACTGTTGAAGGCTAACCTACGAGCAAGACATTCAGGACGGAAACATCATGCTGTCGATTAAAGACCGCCGTATACTGGATGAGCTTGTGGAAGATGAGTGGGACCTCCCCAGTGCTAGAAAGATTCTTGCAGATAGGATAATCTATGCATCGACTGGACTCGAAATACCAGATGCGCCCGGGAACCCAGTCATAGCCGACTTTGGCGATGCTCGAATCGATGAAGGGCCATTTCCTTTCGAGGGCGATGCCATGCCGGACTTGTATCGCGCACCTGAGATAATCCTCGGGGTTACGTGGGACGAGAAGATCGACATCTGGGCACTAGGACTGTTGGTATGTTAAATTTAGACGAACGAACGAATAAGATGGCACTGACAGAAAAACTAGGTATGGGATTTATTTGAAGGCAAACTTCTCTTTACGACAAGGTTACGCGATCAAAAGGCATCGAAAGCAGTACATTTTGCAAGGATGGTCTCTTTGTTAGGGCCACCGCCTGAAGACCTTCTGGAGCGAGGCTCATCATGGAAAGACTTCTTTGACGAGAATGGTAAGCCATCGTTCCTAACCGATTGCAAATGGGTGTTCTAATATGATGCTTAGGACAACTAGTCCTTGATGTCGAAGTGCCGGAAACCTCTTTTGAAGATGAGGAAGAGAATCTTGAAGGGGATGAAAAGGCTGAGTTTCTATCGTTTGTGAGGAAGCTTCTGCAGTGGAGACCCGAGGATAGACCATCTGCGCAGGAAGTAATGGAAGACCCATGGCTACGTGGACATTCCTCGGACAATTAAAAAAAGATTCATAATGTATTTACTCACATCAAAGGTACTACTTCTTTGTGCGCTGTTGCCCTGGATGAGATGTCGTGATTTTGCAAACCCAAAGACTGGCTGATATGCTTCAAAGACTATTTCAAATCTGAAACTGGGTTTTGTTCTAAACATATCTAATTCAAACATATTCCGGAAACTGTAGGGTCTAAATAACCCCCTTGGCTCCTCATGCATCATTCTCCGTCATGCAAATAATCAAGATGTGGGCTATCACAATTCTGAATTTCGTGACTAAGATAACCAAAGCAGACAGGCCTGACATGGATTGGAGTCAGACATGAGCAAATCGAGATGAACTTCCTTTATATTGATATTGTGCAGGACTTACTTATGTACGCATTAAGTCAGCAACTCCTTGAGCCCAACCTTGAAGTCCAAACCAGTCATCCCACCAGTGGAACCATGTCCCTTTCAAACCTTCATTACGGAAGTGGAAGAACAACGGAGTAGGATCGACAGTTCGGAACATAAAGTAGGTTTTCCTTTTGCGTGGGTCTAGCAAAAGGTCACGGGTCTGCTGAGCAGATGCGGTGGCAAGGAAAACCTCAAAGGGGTAGATAAAAGGATACCTGACTCCTTCTCTTCAACTTCACTCCTCAGAAAGTTGACACAGTCAACACCGCGCGACGCGCTCAGTAGATAAGCGGTATCTTCACTAGAGATACGCAGAATCCTTCACGGGTTCATACCTTTGGATTTGAAAAGCTCATCAGTGATGAGGCACAGCTTTTGACGTTGGGGACCGGCATCTGTTGGAATCTAACCGTGAATATGCAGTTCAAGATGTCGTCTGAGATGAAGCGCGAGCGTAAGAGTCAATGTTGAGGAGCGAGTTTAAATGCAGAGTGCAAGGATATTAAATACACCCCTTCCTGCCACCCTCCGCAACTTGATTATTTGAGACGGGCGAGTCCGCTGCCCAAGTTCGTCTGACCTTCCGTCTATGTTGTGACAACAGAATTAGAATTTCAAGGGACGGAGCCGAATATGCTTCGTAAGGCGTTGAACAAGCAACTGGTGTACTTTGTAACGATGAACATCAAAGTCACATCATAAAACTATGGATGGGTGACTGGGAAAGCGGCGGATCCAACTCTTCAGCTGGAAAGTATCGACATATTCATGATGTCAGGAACACAGCACCCAACTAGAACAAAGACCATCCCGGACTTGATGGACATAGAAGACCTCTTGTCGGCGAAGTGTCGCAGGCATCTGTAGGTTTGAACTGCAGTTGCTTCCACAAATGACGGGCAAACCTAAGGAGAAAGTTCAGATAGTGGAGGGAGCATAGTAGTAAGGGTGAAGAGTGGGCATAGATGGTTACATGGGTGGAACGCGGCGGAGAAGCTGGTGTGTGAAGTGAATAGATTGACCCCGGGCGCATTTCTTTTTGGAGCGGTTGCTGGATGCTCTAGTCAGTTTTCTTGGTTCCATTTTCGAATGGTATGTTGCAAAGTTTATATTGTTGAAACCTTGAGTCGCCGTTGAAACCGTAGAAGAGAACCACATTGGTTCACTTGGTTGAGTTGATGTATGTGTAAAGCCATGTAGCGTAGGCTGTATCGTGGTGCGAATTTGGTATCATCCTTAATTTATTCGTATCCTTTCTTCTGAACCCCATTCGTATGTCATGGTTTGGTTATCCTGGTCACTACAGTGTTGTTTTGTTTCCAAACACTCAAAAAACGGTGTTAGGATAATCGTTGTTGTACATTACCTCCGTGGGAAACCCTCGCCCTGAAAGAACGATCAGCGCGCGAGCGCAGGAACCAAGGCTATTGCTGTCAATCAAGTCTATTACAGTTCTGTTTCAGCAAAGATCTGCACGCAACTGGGAATCTCTCGACAAGGGCAACAAGGGGACCGCAGCATGCCATACGCAAACTTTATACATTAGATATTCAGTAATACTACAATGCTAGGTATCTTTCCTCCTTTCCTTTTGTGCCTCCAGAGAATATTCATCAAGTTCTAAGAATATGCAACACCTTCCCGATTAAACAGCAATCGGGCGAGAATGGTTCATCAACTCGTCCCAGAAAAATGTGTCACGCAAACTACTCAAGCGACACCGTAGAGCTCAGTAATGGGCGCAGGCAGCGTGATGATATCGCACTTGATGTCGCGCTGAGAGTAAACCTGACCGACGGTCCAGTTATCGTTCTTCCAGGACGTCTCGTGGCAGTTGAGATCGGCATTGGAACCGCCCATGGCAGTGTAGCGGGCCCTATCCAGACGATTAGCAAGGGCTCCCAGGGCTCCCGTCCGCCATTACGCGGCGACGGCCATAGTGAGAGAAAAAAAAAGACTTACGGGTATTTGGGGTCGTCGTTGCAGATCCAGGTCTGGTTCACCTCCACGAAACCCGTGGGCGTGCTGAACGTGAAAGAGGTCTCGGTGCTCTCACCATCAGGGGCTTTGCAGTTGTAAATCTGCTCGCCGTAGAAGAAGTCGTTTAGCCGGTTGCTGGCGGCCTCGCAGTGTACTTGGTAGTCGAGAGCTTGATTGGTGACGTTGAAGCTGATGTAGCCCCATGAGTTCTGGTGTGCGGGCGTGCTAAAGGTGTAGCTGGCGTGGTAGTCGAAGTCGGTGAGAGACCATTCCTTGAGCTTGCCGGACTTTTGACCGCATGTGAGCTCCTCACGTTTGGCGAAAGGAGAGGCGAGCGCGGGCGCAAGGAAGAGAAGGGAAGCGAGAAGCTGCATGTTGGTGCTGGTGGCGAGAATGTGAAGGTATTGGCTGGGTTGGGATGATATAAATTAGATAGGATGAATCAATATGTGACGAACTGATTTTCCGAGAGTCAAGCTGAATTGTAAGATACGCCTTCCAAGTCCGGAAGGAAAGTTGGTTTAAATATGTAAACCAGCATCCAGGGTATGGAGTCGTTGGTCGTTTCCGTTGTCTATTCACCTTGTCGTCCGCCCCCGTCCGCATGAAAGGCGGTAAAGCCGAGTGGCTACGCCGTTGGACATGACGTAGCACCAACTGCCACCTCGTAATACCCTCCGAGCCCGAATGCCATCGTTGAATTTCCAGCCATCCCTTACAAACGCACTGTGGATCGTAGCCGTTGGCAGACAAGCGGGATAAACAAAAAGAGGGGCCGACAGGGACCGAGGGGACTTGTCCGTGGCCGGCTGCGTTCGCCGGAGGCGCCATTACCGCATTGGGTGGAACTCGGATGCCATTATTAGCAGGAAGTGTCTCTGTTGTCATGCGAAGCCGGTAGCTAAAAACTTAGCTTAACCGGCTACAGCGTGCTTCCATGCGGCAAAATGCCGATCCCGAGCTCGTGTTGTCAGCAACAGCTTGCAAAGAGCCCTCACTAGCTTCTCTCAAGGGGGGGTCGCATGAACAATTGTATTGCCGTTGCCCACAGCGCATCGCAACCAGCTACGACTCCCCCGCGCGGATATTTGGGCCCGATGGTATGGTGGCTACAATGTGGTTGGGGTACTGGTGGTGGTATGCTGGGATGGGGTTCAGGGTTCCGGGTATTTGCACGGATGGAGATCCTGTAGGTCGCATTTTCCCATTACCAAATGGTGGGATAGATGAACAGTGCACTTTTCATGCTGCAACCGCTCATGGTCGTCAACTTGATGCGGTACCGTAGAATACCGTACAGGCATGGCGCAGATGCATATTTCCGTGCAGTCGACGTCGACAGCGTTGGATCTCCCTGGCAGTAGAGGTGCATCTCACGCCATTCGAGGTCCACTGAAGAACTACTTTGGCGCTTGTCATGCTCCTCATGTCACACCCAGAAGCCGATCGTCGGGAGGCGGAGTAGTTTATCGTCCCGCAACAAGGACGATCAGTCAGTCTGTCCCAAATTGGAAACTCTCGCATCTAGAAGACATCAGTTGCAGGAAACGTTACAATCACGACGGTTGTGTTCGCCCTTTCACCAACTCAATGGCTCCGGTACGATCGGCCGAGCAATGCTTGGCTCGATACCTGCTGTGTAGCCTCAAAACGGGAATAGGATCTGGATGCAGGGAGAGACCTGACGGCCGGATACGGGTTTCTTTCATGATCAGTTGGTATTTTAAGCAGCTGAACTAGGCGGTCTGCCGCTATCCATGGGGTGCAAAGTTTCACTGGGAGCATTCTCTTGCAGGACCCCAGCCGGTCAATATTGTACTCAAACGGTATCGTCTAACAACACGCCAACCGTTGTCAGTGGAATGGTGACGCCTCGAACCTGAGACGGATGCGAGCAAAAGCGCGAAATACGGACGACAAGCACCAGCCACATGCGTGGGCTTGTGGCGCAAACAACTGTGGCGCTACAGTTGTGGCACATCATCGTGGCTCATCCCGGTTGGGTCCGATTTTCACGGAAGTCGATGGAACGGAACAAAAACACGAACCTGTAAGGATGAGACCATCACCCACGCTCGGGGCCGTGACTCGGGCACCGGCACATGCTCCTAGCTTGCCTTTCCGACAGGCGCAAATTCTCCGAAGCCTTCGTCTCATTGATAGCGATAAGAGGGACCATCACGAGGGGTAAGCCGAGGGGTAAGCAGAAGGGCTCTGACCAATGTTTCGACAGCTTGGAAATCAGGGTCCCTTGCGAGCGGTAGCACGAAGATTCTAGCCCACATGTCGAGATTCCGCATGGCACATGGAGTCCGCGAATGAGAGCCGATGACATCCCACGTTCCCATTTCCCGAGTCTGTGATGCCCAGCTTAAGAACCGATCCGGCGAACACAGAGGCCCCACGTGGTGGCATGGTTTGTCGACAGAAAGGGAACCTACTGTGGGGCCTCAGAGCTTCTTTATGTCGAAACGACGGCGGGGTGGAATTTTCTAGACAAGATTTGTGTTAAGTAAATAGCGACACAGTCGCAGCGACCACTATCATGGGCAAAGTCCATGTCGTTCGTCTGATCAGAAACTCAAGAGCCCGGATCCAGAACTTGGAAGCGCTATTGCCGAAGTGCAGAAGAGTCTATAGATGGGTTGTGTTGCATTCAGTCGTTGGTGACCAGATGCCTACTGTTAATAAATATCTCGAGCTGCAACAAGCTGAACATGCCACCGCCTCTGAGGGCGGCAACGCCCCTCATCCTCTCCGGAATTCCAGAGGCACCACTGTAGGTCGTGAACAAGCCCTTGCTGAGACCTCGTCTGCCATCATGAACAAAGTCGCCATCCTGACCTCGTCGACGCACGAGCCCGGCGTGAATATCCGCCAACGGTCCGACCTCATTGCTCTTTTCGGGCCCACCTTCGACCTCGCCATCCGCTTCCAGAGGCTGATTGCGGTGGCCTCGTCGCTGTTGTTCGTCTACGGCCACCTCCTTGCCACTTCGACACTCACGTCAACCGTAATCGCAACAAGACTTTTTGCCACGCATTCGACCCATGTTTCCAAGGCGACCATGCTGATGCTCATGAGATCTATGCGAAGCGCATGGGATTGCAAGAAAATCCGGAGCATGCGGAAAAAGCTCTTCATGGAATTTGCGACAACGATATTGGGTCCCGGTGGCAACATGCTGATCATCATGGTCTTCTGGCCCGGTTGGTGGTTGATCCTTGGTCTTGTCCTCTCGGCCCGGATGCTGGCGGGGTGAACGGCAGACGGATATGCCTTTATCAGCATGACAACTCCTCATAGCCCTATCCACATGGCTCACTCTAATATTCGAATCGACCAAACCAACTCTGTCTCATCTCGAGAAGAAGAAAGTGTTCCCGCCGGCATCTTTCCGAACCTCCTTTTGATAGTCCTTCTCGGGATCAAACTCTTGCCACATACTCGCTGGGTAAATGTGCTTGTTGCGCTCATACCAGCGCCGGTCTACGACCTTGGTGAGAGTCGGATCGTCGGTCGCACCCTCGAGGGTGTTGATATCAGGCAACGTCTTCGTTGCGGTGGCCTTGGCCTTGAGCGCCGCCGCCGTAGTCAGGCCCCCATTAGGAGTCGCGTCGACTTCTTCAACTTCGGGCTCTTCCGTCTTGGGCGGTGCCTCGGCGGAATACTTGAAGAGCTGCTCGCCATCGGGACCTTTACTCTTGTTGATAACAAAGAAGTAGAATTCATAGTGCTGCGGCAGTTAGCCAGAGGCCTTTAATAAATATAAGAATCAACTCACATGCGGAACAATGATTGACCCCCTCACAAGCATCAAGTCGTCAACTCCCACTCTAGCCCACTCTCTCCGTGCGTTGGCCTTCTCTCCTACTCCCAGCTCAGCGCCCACCTTGCGACTCTTGTCCAAGAACACCCAGACATAGTCCCCTTTCTTGACGCGGACTGTTCCACCAGGTATGTTGGAGCCATCGTAGAAAACAAAGGGCACCGCTATCTCGGTGGCCTTGACTGCCTCTTGTATCGCCAGGAATTCCCGTCGCAAAGCTTCTCTTTCAGCAGCCTCACGTCGCAGAGCTGCTTTGGACATGACCTTCGGCACAAAGGCAACAGACGAGTTGGCGATGACCTTGGACTTCTTCTCGGTCGCATCCTCGTTGTCCTCATCCCCCCCGGCGTTCTTGCCCTTCTTTTTTGGTACGTAGTCATCATCTCCCTCTTCTTCTTCATCGTCACCAAAGGACAACTTGCTGCCGCCAATCTTTTTCTTCTTCTTCTTCGGCTTGCTCGTACCGCTTCCTGAGTCGCTTACGGGGTCAGGTGTCGCGGAATGGGATCGATCGGGGGTGGACGTTCCAGATAATGCGGCATCGCGTTCGCGCTCTTGCTGCTCAAGAACTTCGGCGCGTCGCTTGCGAAAATCGGACAATTGAACGAGACCGACAGTGTTGCTCGACAATCTTTCGCTAGTGGTTTTATTCTGCGGTGTAAACCGCGAAGGTGCCTGGTCGGACATGGCAAAAGTTATGCTAGGAGGTGGCGTTGAGGGTAGAAAGTAAGAAAGAGGCTCTAGCTAGAGCTTTGAACCAAAAAGGCGACGACGACGACATCCGGCAAAGAAAAGCAACGTGCGATAGTTGGATTTTTGGCCTCAATTGTTACTGTGTGATGGACCCACATCCCGCAGTGGGTCCCCGTTCGCTGGCAAGTGCCCCACTCACGCTTCCCGCCTCACCTTCCCGTCACCTTTTGAGCGAGGGTGAGCTGTTCCAATACTTTTTCTTAGAATCCCCCGCCACCTTAATTATATATTCATACAATTGAATGTTTTCCTTGATGATACCAGCAAACCCCCGTTCGATTTTGTATCAGCTTCTTCTTCGTCGTTAGCAATACAGATCAGATCCCCTGTTGTCCTGTCTAGTTCTCTTCTAGCCGAAGCTGCCATTGGGCATCACTAAGCTCTTTCACCACCGCTAAATTGGATCAATTAGTAGCGTCGCCCACAGACATGGAATCCCGGCCGATTGATGCCCCATCTGCGCCGTATACCGGTCCTGGGTCTTATCCATCTGGAGGACCACCCGGTGGTTCAGAGTATCATCCCTCTCGTGTCGAAAATAACCCCAATGCCCGCCCATCTCGGCCTGACGACTACCCTCGTCCCTCTGGCCAGTACTCTCACCCGGCAGATCAATACTCCCGCCCGGCAGATCAATACTCCCGCCCGGCTCAACCGGCGACTCCTTCGGCACAGTATGGCGGCCAAAGCAACAATGGACCGCCGCCGCCGCTTCCGAATGTTACCGCTCAACCCTCCGTTGATAAGATGTCTGGTCCGGCAGCCTATCCGACTCCCCATTCGCACCAAACGAGTATGGCCGAGGTGCCCCGCCCATCAGCAGCCCTGAACCCCCTCACCACAACCACCCAGGACCTGAAGTCGATCAAAACAACCACGCAGTTCGCTCTGCGGGAGTACCTCTCTCTTCAACGTAAGAGAGGCAGTGGCGCGACATCAATGGAGCTCGAGGATCAGATTCGGAACCAAGGCCGCATTTTGCTCGGAGACCTCAAGATCCTGCGGAAGGAGGTTGGGGTGGTAATCAAGGATGGCGAGAACCACCGTTGGAGGAATTGGCTGATCGGTGGCGCTGTGTGAGTACTGCTGTCTCCAAGGGTTGTCCAATTGTCTGGCTAACAAGCTCCAGGGCAACCTTCATCCCAGCTGTGAAGAGGATCTTCCGTCGTCCGTCCTCCGAGAAGTCGGACAGCGTGACGACCAATAAGACCGAATATGCCTTCTCCCGCAGCAAGGATCTCCTCGCCCGTATCAAAGACAGCGTTCTCGGCCGCAATAGCTTCGCCAGCATTGCCTTCTTTGTTTTTGCTGTTCTCTACGTCTTCTCCAATGAGGTGACCTTGCAGGTGGCCAAAACCGTATCGAAGCGCCTTAAGCGCCTCAGCGCCAAGATCGAGCGAGGCGACGCTGAGGTCGTCGAGCAGGACATGAAACTGTTGGAGGGTTGGCGATGGAGAGTGTTGATGTGGGGTCAGTGAGCTGACTGAAATGCGATGATGGAAATTTGAGCGTGCATGATGGCCATGAGCAGACGATAGCATAGCATTGTGATTGTGATAGCGCGGATTTTGCCTGTCTTTGGGCTTGGTCACATTTCGGTGGGGAGAACCCAGACTTTTTGTTCCTACATTGAATTTGGTAGATACTGAAATTTTAGAGTATATAACGACAGAGCATAAATAGCCGCGGGGTTCTGCGGATGCTGTTCAACAGACTGAAAGAGTACGCCAAGGTGCGACTTCGATCATCATCTAGCGGGGCTGATGATGCATAACCCTTATATAAGCATACTCACATTAATCACATGATACTGTCTTTGTGCAAGTAACGTATTTTTGACCCAGTTGACGCATCTCTTCCTTGCTTCCAGCAATAGTTCAAAGCACTACCCCAACGGTCCACCGCAACCAAATTCACAAGGAAAAGCCTTCAAAGATGCTGAACAAGAAGAGAAGGCATTCTGGTGATGAAAGTCCACGGGAAGAAGATGCCTCTATACAAAAAGCTGTCAGTCGCGCTGACCGAGGACACTTATCAACAAGACCGTCAGAGCCTGGAACTCTTGCAGACGTCTACTACCGCAATCTGTTCGCTAGCAAACCAGACTTTGCTTCTCTGGGTAAAGAAGACTCAGAATTCGGGGCGCTGTATGTTCTTTCATCATAAGGCTCGTGAATTATACTGACCTTGTGTCAGGCTCAAGAAGCATAGTCTAGACTTTAACGACCCTATCGCAGTAATGCAACTTACCAAGACGTTACTAAAATTGAAGTTTGGCCTGGCTATTGAACTTCCAGACGACCGGCTTTGTCCGCCAGTAAGTCTTTCTCATCGTCAGACCCCGATCTGTCGCTGACCGAACCAGGTTGTCAACCGGCACAATTACATTCTTTGGCTCAAGGGTCTCATGGATAGCACTTCCTACGATAACCCGGATCGCAAAGTTCTGGGTCTTGACATCGGGACTGGGGCATCATGTATTTATCCTCTCCTAGGCTGCACCCAACGACGATGGTCCTTTTTCGCAACAGGTAACACTACTTACCCCCAACAGAATGGCAGCAATGAAGCTGACAAAAACAGACATTGACGATAAGAGTCTTTCCTATGCTAAGCGAAACGTTGAATTAAACAACCTTCAGAACCGCATCTCCATTGTGTCCCGCCAGCCTTCCGACAAGCTGATTCCATTAGAAGAACTCGGCGTGCAGGAATTAGGTTTCGTCATGACGAATCCCCCGTTTTACACTTCAGAAGAAGACATGCGGAATTCGGCAGAGCTGAAAGATCGCCCAGCCAAGGCGGTATGTACTGGTGCGCCGAATGAGATGGTCACTGAGGGCGGAGAAGTCGCATTTGTTGGCCGCATTCTCGAGGAGTCTCTGGAATTACGGGAGAGGGTGCAGTGGTACACTGCCATGTTTGGCAAGCATTCTAGCATGGAAGAGTTTGTGGGCATGCTCCGCAAGCATAATATTGAGAACTACGCCGTGACGGAGTTGGTGCAGGGAACGACGAGGCGGTGGGCTCTAGGCTGGAGTTTTGGCGGCATGCGGCCTGCCGAGGACATTGCGAGAGGGTTGGAGGCAGCGAAGTGGAAGAAACTTCTTCCCCCGATCGTCGAGTCACGAGTTGTCGATTTTCCATTGGCAGACGGGGTAGGGAAGTTGGGAGACAAGGTTCAAGAGCTATTGTCCTCACTAGAGCTTATGTCCTGGGACTGGGACCGCGAAAAGCTTTCTGGGGTGGGCAGGGCGAGAGAAGATGTTTGGAGCCGTGCTTGGAGAAGAAAGAAGATGCGCGAAGCGCGTGAGGGCAAACCGGCGGCCGCCGTGTCAACGGAAGACCGATGCAATTTCGGGTTCGAGATTTCCCTCAAGGTTGGGCGGGAGCGAGTAGTCGTTACTTGTCGGTGGAGAGAAGGACACGCTGCGTCAATCTATGAGAGTTTCTGCGGCTTTCTCAAAACCAGACTCTCGGGGACGCAGACCTTGTCGGGCAAATGAATGTCGCTTGCGCATTAAGGACGGTGTATAATAAATCTCTTAACTGATGTCTACACACAACTACCTTTATCTCTGTGTCGCCAACATTCGGGTGTCCGTGTCAACTGCTTAGCCTGAACCAGGGCACCTAGGCTTGCTGCAGCTGTAAAGATTGCTAAGCCGTCATGCGAGACAAACAGGATAGAGGCATTAAGGTCGTAGGGAAGCTCATGAAAAGGATGACTGATTCAGTGAACAAACATGATCGATGTACATCTCGGGCAAGCAGACATAGTTGTGATTCACTCATATGGCTTCCTCGGTCAAAAATGTATAAATACCTTCCTCTTGCTCCAAATATCGATCTTGGCCAGCAAGAAGAACGAAAACAAAAGAATAAACACTCAAAACGCACAACAACAAGCTCTAATTACATCCACATTTCCGCTTAACAAAATGCCTGAGAACAACTGTATTCCTTTCAAGCGCACTTGCGCGCACGGCATTAGCCGCGATAGCTGTGTCTATTGCTCACCGAGGCTAAGGTTATAAGCTTACCGGCGCTAGATATAGAACTACATGGACGAGCCTTGGGTTCAGCGCAGCTGATTGAAATCTCTGAGAAATGGCATTTACGTAAGGAGCAGCTAGTCAGTTTAAAGCCTATGAAAGCTGCATAATTCAGAGAAGTCGACCATAAGTAGCATTAACCGCGCGAATAAAATTCGAAAAGTTACACCAACACATTGACTCATCATGAACCATGCGACCAAACGCTACCAAATACTCTCTGTAAATTCCCAATCCTAGATTCGTGAGCAAGTCGCCAATGCACCTAGACAAGCCCCAAATGCCTCAGGGCTGTCCATATGCGGTGCGCATTGTTCCCCATCCCATTACCTGCCAACTGCGGCCCGATCATATTTCTGAGGTATACCTGATCCACATCGTCCATCATTTCCCACAGCTCCCTCAGCACCTCCATCTCGAATCTTGTCTCCCGAAATATCCTCGCATACCCAACGAACAAGAGCTGCGCAGCACCAGGCGGCATGTAAGTCTCGACGCGGGGCATAAACTCCACCAGGAACTCTCCAATGGACCGCGCAAACATTTCCGAGCAGCCCAACGCGCGGTCCTGGTCTAGCACGCAACAGAGCAGCAGCACATGCCAAAAGATCTCGTGGATTGTACCGACTCTATCTCTTATGTTGGCGAGTAGGAATCGTGGGCGGGCGAAGAGGTCAGGGCTCTGGGCAACGCCAAATGGAGGAGGCCTGCACAGCATCTCAATGTATCGGAAGACGAATCCCGCAGCCCGAGAGAAAGCCTCGTGGAAGTTATGTGGGTTGAAACCTGCGTTGGCAGCAAAGCCGGGGTTATACCCCCTCAAGAACTCGGGCACGGCGAAGAAGGAATCTTGTACGGCATTGCGGGTTCGCGGGAAGTGCTCGTGCATCATGTTGCGGTCGATCATGACGTGAGAACCATCGGGGAGGATCACGGTTACGCGGTTACGGAGACGGCCGTCGTTCTGGAAGGTTTCATTGCCGAAGTTGTTTGTGAGATTAAAGAGATTTGCAAAGTCAAAGAGGCGCAGCCCGGGGTTGAAAACGGGGCCGTTTTGGCGGGGGAAGGCGTTGAAGGTGTTGATGTTGACTCTGTTTCCTGTTTGTATGTTGTTAAAACCCGCCCAGGGTGAGTTCTCCTGGGGGTGATAGTTCCAAGGGCGAAACATGATTCCGGTTGAGAAAGGGTTGGAAAACAGAAGATTAATCAATGGATTTTTTGGTAAAGGATGTCAAGTCATAGGAGGGGGTTTATCTTATAGGTTGTCCTGTGATCTAATACGGTGGTACTCGTAACACCTGCAACACCTGTCCCTCACCGATAGATGTAGACATGCATGTTTGTGAACCCAGTATCAGCGATAACCCGAACACACCGCCTAAAATTTGTGGCGGTAATCACTGATTCTTGCGGTGAGAATGTTCCAGCGGGTAGCCGAGGGACTTTAAACGCCTTTACTAGGCTCACAGTCTCAAAGGATGATCGCCTCGTGGTGCGGTGTTGATAAGACCCACCCTTCAAGCTCTAATAGAGTCGAAGACTAGATATCGAATGCCGGATTGTTATTGGAGTCTGAATAGCCGCATCCAGCACGGCCAGAGTTTGGGACTGGTGAATATCTATCCTCGGGCTCTTTGGTCCGCTGGTTTTCGGCCGCTGCAGTCAAGAATGACCCGGAAGGGGTCTTCTGGAATTCTTAGTTTTGTTAATTTAAGTCTTCGGCTATATTTACAGTCACCTCTTTTTGAATCCTACACCAAACAACAACAGCCTTACGAGCGTGGCAAATGCTGAGTTGAATTTCACGTTCGACTGAAAGACAAGATCTTATCTAGATAGGCCTTCGGGAAGGGTTCACGGTTAGCGTAAACACATCAACCGGAGGAACCCAGCCAAAGCAATCATGCCACACGATATGGAAAACGGCTGTGGTTGGTATTTGCTGTAATAATGCTTACATTTTATTTACTGCAGGTCTACGGAGCATGTTTTGCAAATTAGGCGTTTAGCTTGTTTGAGATCAATACCCGCCATGGTGGTTGGTGGGCGACAGACACAGGGGTACGGCAACCAATTAGTGTGTATTAGTATGTCAGAGGGTTCCCTGGCTGGGGTAAAAGTATCATTTGTGGGGGATCTTTAACTCAACGTTCGGATCCTCTAACGATCTTGGGCTCAGTAAGATAAGATAAGGTTTCAATCGAGAGTGCTGTAGGGACCCTTACTACACTTTCCTTCTCTAATACAGATCCATTTCGTAGTGTTTTCTAAAATCCATTTGTCGCGTCTACACACTAACTCTGGATACATGAGTCAATATGTATGCGAGAGCTCGAACGTTCGTGCACCATACAGGTGCCTGAAAATGCCAAATACCGTCAAGGAAACCTGGAACAGGCCTGGATCACCGACGAAGTATTCACATGAGTCACCATCGAACGACACATTTGACGAGAAATCATCAAAAGAGGAAAGTAAAGTGAAGCTCTTGAAGGTCTGGGCAAGGAACATGCGTCGTGACGCAACACGCTGAGGGGGTCTTATTGAGAAATACGCGGGCGCGCAAAACTCGACGATGTTGAGCCAATAGGGCCACTAGTTTGAGTGAGTCAACCGGTGAAAGCAAGTTACGCCGCGCAGCGGCACAGCACGGTTGCCAGGGATAAGGGCTTTATCGAGAATCTTATCGATAAGCTAAGATGTTCTTCCAAGTGCTGCGGTTGGTACCTTAGCTTTTCAAACTTCATGGAAATTGGGTGGCTTGGTGGCTGCGCCAAACCGTCTTCAGCTTCCTAGCCTTCAAGATGTTAGCGGACTTAGCAGCCTGCCACTGTGACAATGATCTCCCAATCTCGCGCGTGGGAGAATTAACTTTTCCCAAGTCTGTTGGTTGGGCTACAACCACATGTGGACAATAGCTGATTAGCCTTGCTAGTGAGTATGGTCATATTACCCATGTACCACCACATCTGGTATAAATATCTCCTCTCATCCCTCTCATTTCGACTTCCTTCAGACACATCATTCGGCTATCCGGACAGTCTCTCTTTTCTATTATCCTTCCTTACTTAGTCGCCGTCAAGCTTCACATTGCCAACCATGGAGGCCGTCGAAAAGCGCGAGTACCACATCCGAGACCTCACCACTCGGAGTGTCACTTTATTCCCTACCAGAGCGCAGATTGTCCGCGATCTCAAGAGCCTTCCACTGAAAGTAAGTACTCCAGGAATCTCCTGTTTGCAGACTGTTAACCTCTACCCAGCCCGGCACAAATGAGGTCCTCATCATCGGACTTACACCCACTGTTGACGAGTCCACAATCAGGGTGGAAGGCACTGGTTCCGCCGTCATCAGCAACATCGCCACCGAGCTACTCCCCAACCGCGATATCTTTCAAGAGGTCTACCCTGACGATGATTCTGATGCGTCAGACGAAGATTCGGACACAGATGACTACACGAGTGATCCGTCCGAACCACCCGAGCTCTTGGATGCTCGGGCCAAGCATCTGCATGCCCGCGACGAGGAGCGTCGTGCAGATGAGATCGTTGACAGTGCCACTAGCCGGCTCAAATTCCTCGACAGCTATGCAAATTCGCTTGATCGCAAGGAGAACGTCGACATTACGGGAACCATGGATGAATACCGAAAACAACGCGAGAAAGCCTTCAATGACAAGATGGAAGGTGTCGTTTTGAAGCGAGAGGCCGCCAAACAAACACTCATCGCTTATAAAGTCGAGTCCCGTCTTGAACAACGAAACATAAAGGAGATCAAACGCCAATCACGGGAGAAGGCTCGTTCCCAGCGTGAAAAGAAGAGGGAGAGACTGAACAAGGAGAGACGCAAAGAGGAGGCCAACAAGGAGAAACAACGCATCCGAAAGGAACGCGAAAGCTTCTGGCCCAAGGTATGCTACTCGGTTCGCATCACCCTCGAAGTTCAAGCCGCAACACCCATGACGTCCCGCCGGACTTCCGTGTCTAGTAGCACGGTTCAAGCCCCGGCTGCAATTTCTGAAATCGACGGCGGCGCAACGTCAATGTGTGACCTATCGCTCAGCTACATCACTTCGTCCGCATTCTGGGAACCAGGCTATGATATCCAGCTCTCCACGACGAACAACAATACCACAATCTGCTACGATGCCAAGATTACCAACCACACATCAGAGACTTGGGCCGATTGCAAGGTCACTCTCTCCACGCCTCAAGCGACCTTCTCCGGCCTGGATCAAGAGATCCCTAGCTTGAAGCAGTGGAACATCAAGCTGGCAACGAGGTACATTGGTGGCAGAGGAAGTCAAAATATCCTTACCAGCCAAGAAGAACGGAGACAGAGGGCTCTGTGGCGAAAAGCCCAAGACGCCGCTGTTAAAGACAACGTTGATCGCAATGTCCTATTCGGAATCGAAGAGGATCTGTTTGGGGCTGGGGCATATTTTGAAGCGTGCAAGGAGGAGGAGCTTGAGGAATCTGATGAGGATATGGGCTTTGCACTCTATGACGACGAAGTACCCCAGGTGCCTGAAAAGCCTGCAGCTCAATCTCCAAGCAGATCGCTCGCTGCAAAGGTAGGCTCTGAGCTGTCGAAGGCAAGGCGGGAAAGCAAGAAGTCGGCCATGGAATGTGAACGCGATGAAGGAGGGGTAGACTTTGAAGAGTCTTTCATGGAAGAGACGGGCTTTACGACTGCCTACGACCTGCCTGGAACCCAGACACTTCCTCCCGCTTCCACGGCCTCCAAGCAGCGCGTGACTCGTCTCCATCTCTCCAACGTTGTTTTCAGCCATACCGTTGTTCCCAAGTACAAGACGGCGGCGTTCCTCAAAGCCAAGATTCGCAACGGCAGCAGGATAACCCTTCTCAAGGGCGCTGCAGGGCTAACGCTCGACGGCACGTTCATGGGTCGCACGACGCTGCCTCGCTGTAGTGCTGGCGACGTGTTTTCTCTGAGCTTGGGCATGGACCCGGCCATCGTCGTCAGCTACCCGACAGTCAACGTCCGACGCGCCACAACAGGTTTTCTCTCCAAGGAGAACAGCTCGGTTTACATGCGCAGCATCACCATCACGAACTCCCGCGCTGCTGCGGGCAAGCCTGTATCTCTTCTTGTCATGGATCAAGTTCCAGTTTCGGAGGACGAACGGCTCAAAGTGGAGATTGTTGCGCCCAAAGGAATGTCTGTAAATGGCAGTGGCACTACTACTGGAGAACCCGGGCGGAGCAGTACGGAAGACAGCGCCTGGGGTAGGGCGAAGTCGAGTTTGAAGAAGGGCGGGCAGGTTGAATGGGAGGTTGATCTCAACGCTGGCAAGGCCGTTAAATTGGGCTTAGAGTATGTTCTTATCATGCCATCTGGAGATGATGCGGTTGAATGCTAGGGAAACCAATGTTATTGATTTGAAAGAATGGCGAGAGGTTTGGCTGCTGTAAGGGGAGCTAGGTTGATGTTTGGCTTTTTCTCAAATTGAATCTTTGGTCGAGTTTAACTATCAGTGCTCGGCCAATGAATTAACGTCTTTGTCCTAAGTGTTAAAGATTGGTAACTCTAGTAACTTGGTCCCTGGGATTGAGTGAGCATTCATTTGATTGTAGCTCAGCAGCCTGGCCGATATCGATGTTCGGCAGGTGGGTATCGGGATTTGTAGCTGTTTCCATTGTTCAGCTTGTCGTATACCAGCAATCCAATCAAGGCCACTATCTGAACCCCTTAGCTTGTTCACATAAGCTTTCTGGGGTCCAAGGGTTCATGTAGGACTGTTGGCCTTCATATATGAAGACCAATCAAGAATGATGCAACTGATACTCAGGTCAGTGTCTGCCCGAGCCCAAGACATTTAACATCGATACGTCTAGCTCAAGAACTGCGTAAAAGCTGACTGTAGTGATAGAACCAAGAGAAGTGAGAACTTGGCCCAATAGCGGCGAGGAAACGTGCATAATAAGGTCTTATGCCGGTCGGATATGCCGCCTCAGCCCTAGCACGCCCGTCAACTTGCGTATCTCCGAACCAGCCACCACCGCTCTACCCAATCCGAGGCTAATATGGTGTCTCTTATGTCGGTACCCGCGTGGCGATGCATGAGACCTCGATCCCTGTTGATATCCTATCAGACGACACAGACAAGCATGACAAGCATGGTGATGCGCAATTCTCCGAAAGACTTTCAAACAGGATTCGATCGTCGGCGTTTTTTGTGTCACTTCGGACGCAGGCTGGCAACAGGCTTCAGCTTACTAGGCGTTGGCCCTACTGTTTGCTTACACCGCTGATCGCTTCAGCTTGTTGTTCTTGTCATATTGTTGGATGTGGAACGTGAGGAATAAGAAATAAGTGAAACAAGCTGAAGGAGGAGAGCAGGATCGATGGGGGTGCACTGCTGATTGCCCTATTGAGGTGTATTGTTTGTCTGTGGCGAGTGCATTTAGTTCTTTCGTTCTTTCCGTTTTTGTCAAGTCGTAAACGACTCGATCTCCCCATTCACTGCCATCTTCTTTTCTTCTTCTTTTATTCTTCGTCTTCCTTTATCTATCTTCTCTCGTCACCAAACTCGAACTCCAACATTTGGAAGGGAGAGAAAAAATACCGACAAGTTTCGACTGATGATTACCCTCGCTACCTGACGAGGCCGCAAATCGCCACTTTGCTCCCTACCCTCTCGTCGACAACGTTCGAATCAACGTCTACTACTACGATGATGCCGATAATCCCTCTTCTTTTGGCGGTTATATCGACGCCGCTTGCAGCGCAAACTATCAGGAACTGGAACCAATGCTACTACGCCAAAGACTCACCCGCACATGCCAGCCTCGTACCATGTCTGAATGAGGATGATTCCCTGGCAAAGGGTAGCACCTCCAATTACAGCTCCAGCTGGTGCTGTTTTGCTGGCGATAACTGCGTGGTTCAGGCCTGCTGGGACAACGTGACCGCTGTTACATATCAGTATGGCTGCAATGATCCGACCTACGAGCATGAGAATTGTCCGCCAAAAGGGGGTCTAGACATGGGTAGGTTCTGTCAAATTCCTCATCCAGGAGACTCTGTTTAATGGGTTGATACAGGAAAGTCGCCTTGGATAGGCCTAGTCAGATGTAATGATAGCAGCAACGAAGGGTTCCAGAAATTCTGGGCATGCAACCATCCTGATACCTGTGGCGAGTACTGTCCGGTTGAGAGAGCCAGACCGCAGCAGACGCAGTCCGTCTGGCCAGATACAATCCAAAATCTGCCACCACTAGGCGGTTGCAGTGACTTGGGCACAAGGGTACTCGCGCTGTATGCTCCGACAGTTCTTAACTCAACAGGAGGTGTGCCAGCAACTGTCAATACCAACGGAAAACCAGCACCAACATACCCGAGTCCGAATAGCCAAAATGCTACGCCTTCATCTGTTACTCGAACTCAAATTGCATCTGATCCCGGCAGTTGGGCAACCGCAACTCCAACCGTAACGACTCGGCCGGAAGCAGCAGCAGCCCTGAGTGGAGGCGCCATCGCAGGTATTGCTGTTGGTTCGACTCTGGGTGCAGTTGCACTATTTGCCGGCTTCTTTTTCATGTGGCGCCGGCGTCGTCCCAGACATGAGGATGAAACTACTTATACAGCCGCTCCAACTTCTACACAAGATGTCTCGCAGGCTGGCTCGAGCGGTGCGTCGGAACTCGTGCCTCACGACAAACGAAACCTCCTGCAGCCTAATACTCCCTCCACAATTTCGGACGATACAGGGATTAGGCGGCCAGTATCCGATATGAGTATCAGTACGGTATCTCCCAGTCCGATGGGTACCCCGAGAACCCCAGGGTCGCCATACTATCAGCAGGGACCGTATGCTGGACATTCAGAGTTACCAAACGATCCCAAAGTGATCCATGAGATGCCAGCAATCAACGAGAGGTCCGAAATGCCGTAATATAGCGGCGTTGCGCCTGAGTGTGGCGAGTGGGAAGGAGTTCAACGGCTTGTTATTTTGATGATATCCTGATTGGAATGGCTTTGTTTTATTTATATATCAACAAGTCTTTGTTAGAGACAATGGCATGAACTGTTATCGTATGCTTGAAAAGAGTGTCTGCTAATCACCAAGTCAGCACTTGTCTATCTATCCCAATGTTGTCGATGTCAATCTCATATGACAACACGGGGCAATTATTATTCGATCTTGCTTAAATGCTGGAAGTGGAACAACAAGGCTTGACTAAGGTAGGCCAAAGATGGCCTTACACATTGGTTTGTACCCGTGACAAGTTGTACAATGTATTTACACCTCGCCTCGGACTCTTGAAATGACCTCAGGCGTAATACCGCTTTTCTCGCACGCACTTCTGAAGAAGCCTCCCTGACTCCATACCTCATGTGGCGTTCCATACGCTTCTATCTGCCCATCATTCAGCACAAGCACGCGGTCAAACATCATGGCCACCTCCATGCGGTGCGTCACTGCTACCAATGTTCTTTCCCTCAAAACCTGCCTGACTCTACGTGTAACCTGGGCGTCTGCTTCAACACTGAGTGTGCCTAGTGTTTCATCCAAAACACAACATTGAGGTTTCTGTAGTATTGCGGCTGCCAATGCAAGTAGTTGTGCTCTTGCTGTCCCAGGCGATAGTTGGTTGGATGCGGAACTATCGAGGGCGAGTGGTTGTTCATCATCAAGCCCAGCTAACTGATCGAAGTCGGATAACACGCGGGATACGTCATCGTCAGAATAGCGTTGTTCAGGGTCGACATTCTCGCGGACGGTGCTGGAAGGGAGAGGGACGGCATCATGGGGGACGGCGGTAAGAAATGATCGTAGCACCCGCAAGGGAATATCGGTGATGGACACTCCATCCAGAGTGATTGTGCCGATGGTCGGATCTAGCAGACGCAAAAGCAATGCGACAAACGTAGATTTACCGGCACCCGTGGAGCCAACAACTGCAACATGTGTACCGGCCGGGATATCTAGGGTTATGTTGTGGAGAGCTGTGGATGTGCTTTGGCTGCTTTCCTGACCGTGTGAGGCGCTCACGTTTTGTATGCCTATCTCTCCAGATGTAGGCCGTTGTGTCTCTGCAGCCATGACAGATCGAGAGGACTGACTGGCTTCGCCCTCTGAAGGGAGACAAGTAGCATAAAATGAAAGCCGATCGATCGCCACCATAGATTGGAGGGCACTCGTCGAGAACCTCATACCCTGTCGTAGGGATGCCGGTAGTACTAGTACCTGGCTCATGATTAGACCAATAATTGAAGGCGTCAACCTGTTTGAAGTCGCGACGACGATCAAGCCCGTTACTGCAATGATGCTGGTCACAATGGCGTCGAGTCGCACCTCAAGCCAACGCAGGTTTGCGGCAGCCAAGTAGCGGACATTGCTCCACGAGTCGAGACGCGTATGAAGGACAGAACGAGCCCAGGACTCGGACTTGTAGACGGCTATGCAGCTGGCGCCGTCAATACCTTCACTGAGTGCTGCATTGGCGCGAGCTCGTAAGTTGGCTTCGCGGGTTTTCACACTCTTCAGTCTTGGTGCGTACCGGAGCATCATAGCAATAACGGCAGCTAATCCCGGTGCAATTGCAGCTATCAGCTAACAGGAATTATAAGTGTAAGTGTCAAGCACACATTGAAAAGTGGAAAGGTTGTATATATCTACTGACCTTTGCCTGCATCATCAGCATTAAAGCGATGCCGCCAAGCAGGCGTGAGAGATGTAAGATGGCATTTCGAGTTGCTTCGACTAGCTCTCTGTCCGTTGTATCGACGTCTTTGGAGAGACGGTCCATCACACTACCGAGAGAGCAGCTTTGGAAAAACCACATTGGCGCCTCGACAACGCGCCGCAGCGATCGTTCCCACAGCGTATGGCTTGCACAAACCATTTTATTGGTGAGATAGATGCATAAGAAGTACGCTAAAATTGCCTCTCCAAATCCTAGTGTAATGAAGACTGCAAGAAATGCCAGTCCTGGGAGCTCTATCTGGTTGGAGGTCCACCATGACAACCATAGCACTACGCCAGCAGCCGCCACTTGCCAAGAGATTGAGAGGCCTATTGTTGTCGAAATTGTTCGGATGCCCCCCACAAGTTCCAGATAAAGATCATATGCTACGTGGCGTTTCTCGCGGGATGAAGACTGTATCCTCCTGGACTGGAGCACCGGGGATGGCGTAGGATCTGTTGGTCTCGGTTTCGAGCATAATGCTTCTGCCGCGGACTGTTCGTTTTTCACATCCGAGGAAAGGTCTTGTTCTGGGATAGAATACGGAAGATGCTTTTCAAGTTTGTCTAATGAGTCAAGCCAGCTCACTCGTCCATGTTCGAGCCACAGAACACGGTCACAACGGCGCGCCACGTCAACTTGATTTGTTACAAGGAGACGCGTCTTTGCTACCAGTGAGTTGCATATTGCCTGATCAAGTACCACCTTGGCGACCTCCGGGTCAAGGTTTCGGAGACAATCGTCGATAAGGACTACGTCAGCATCGGAGTACAGTGCTCGAGCGATACTGACGCGTTGTGCTTGCCCGCTTGAAAGACCTTGGCCGCCTGTGCCCACGACTGTAAGATCTCGGCCAGGTAACCGGTCAATGTCCACTTGAAGAGCGCATGCGCGGACCACATGTTGGTATCGCTCTAGGTCGAAAGGTTGGTTAAACACAATGTTACTGCGGATTGTACCACTCCGTATCCATGGCGATTGAGCGGCCAAGGCCACGGTAACTCCTCGACCCAACTGCATAATGCCCGTCTCAAGGCACATTTGGCCGGCTGCTGCAGCCAGTAGAGATGACTTTCCAGATCCAGGGTTGCCACAGATGGCTACCAGTTCGCCTCTGATAACCCTAATCTCGGTTTCGAAGGCCAATTGAAACGCATCTTGGGCCGGTGAATCAGGCCATACTAGTGTTGTGTTTTCCGTGACAATAATTGCCGATTCGGTCAGTGACCCCGTCTCCTTTTGTGTTGTGATATTTGTTGTAGTTCGCATTATTCCTGGTTCTTCGCTTTCCAACCACTCCTCAATCGCTTGACATCCCACGAGCAGGTCCTGTAGCTGCATAGCTGCCTGGGATGCCCGGATAACATGCGGTTTGAGAGCTAAAAACAGCGCCAATGAGGAGAACACTCTTGCAGGATCGAGTACACCGTCATGAAATGCGTTGTAGGCTGCGAGGCTGGCCATGGAAGCCAGCGTGGGCAGTAGCGCGCATCCTGCTTCCAACACCGCACGATTTTGCCACACCTTGTTCGCTGTCACCAGTTCCCATATTCTCATTTGACACAGTTTGTTTTGTACCATGGTCTGTGCCGACCATCCGGCGAGTTTGATGCCTCTGATTCCTTGAATTAGATGTTGGGTACAAGAGCTGCGACGTCGGCAGAACTCGCTGAGAGCCTTCTGATCCGTCCAGATACGGAGTGCCACATGGCTGAAGACTGGAAGCCCTGCGAGCAAGATGATGACGCCCGCTAAGGCTGTGATATCCACGTTAGTGACCAGCATGGGGATAGCAAGAATGAAGCTAGCCGGGACCGTCCAAAGGGCGTTGATGCCATTGATGGCTCCATCTATGCGAGACGCTTCGACAGAAGCGAGGTTGAAAATAGCACCATTACTCCAGTTCTTCTCGTTGCCATTGTATTTTGCCTTTCTGTTGGAAGTTGATCTCTCATCGCCTGAGCTATCCTTCGTGGTTTTGAGAAAGGTTGAAGATGGTGGCCGTACAAAAGCCTTTTCCATAATAATGCCAGTAAGTGCTACTTTGGCTTGTGTTCCAACACCCTCGAGCAGATATCGGGAAGTGTTAATCAGAATGCCGGCACCCATCTGAGTGAGTGCCATGGCGGCAACCAAGAGATACGTATGCGTGACAGGCGTGCCTCGCTGCCTGGGATCATCTGTCGTTATCCTTTCCCCGAGGAACATAGCATCGGCACCATCTGTGATCGGGTCTGACAAAGAGGCCAGAAGCCAGCGCAGTATGATGGGTGGAGCTGCAGCAGTGAGCATGGCTGCAAGTTCAGTGAGTCCTCCAATTATCAGGTCGCGCCGCAAGCACATTAGAATACTGAATGCAAGGCGCCGACCCGGCAAACTTGTGTTGGCTTGCCATGCTGATGGCCTGTCCCAGCATTGTGAGAGTTTCTGAGAAAGAAATTCGGCTTTCTGAGAGGCTGATATGATGCCTCCATCCTCGCTACCAGTCTTATCTTCTTCATCATCAACATCTGACCTTACAGTGGTCAACGGCTGTGGTGGTGCCCAGGAAAATAACAGAAGGCTCAACAAACAGAGGAAACGAGAGAGCAATCCCTGCACAGTGGCGTTCATCGCTGTTCATGGAAATGATGCATAAGATAATATACCCGTTTACCTTCACTTTCACGTAAAGGTATCAGGCTGTTAACGAAGGAAATTGAAAATATATTTACCCGAATTGGCAAGAAGACTCTGGGAATGAATACTTGAATCAAGACGAGAGATTCCAGAGCCATTTGTCTACCGCAATATCCGTACTGTTACGAGGGAAAAGCAGAAACGCGCTAAGTCAAATCTACAACGGCGTATCACTTGCACATAGTTAAAAGTTTGATACGTCGTATTTCCGAGTCATTTTATACAAGATAACTAATATAAAAAGCTTGACGAGAATAGTGGGAAAGCAAACTTACTTTCAGCTGAGTTTCAGGAATTTCTGGAGCCCGGACAGTCGGAACCCAACTTCCCTGCAGCATTGTTAGGTCGGACGATCCCAAGTCAAAGTCCGTAACTCGCCGAGGAGTTTGGGATTATGTGACACCAGAGACGTATTATGGTACGTAAATGACACATTTTGAACTCGCTGGTACGATTCTTTAGGTTTTGCACTTCGTCGCAGAACACCGAGCATCCGAGCTTGGCTCGCTGTCGTGCAAACTCAGTTAGACACCATACACAGTCTGATCCTTTATAAATAGAATAATCGAGATGAACCTATGTCTAGCCGAATTCAAATTATCTAGAAATTTTGTGCCTGCTCGTTAGACACGTAGACTGCATCGATTCACAGACTGGTAGCCATGTTTAATTCTCTATTTTGTCATTGCATGCAGAGCACTGAGATCTAGCCATCGCCAGTTATCATGACATCCCGTGACGGTAGTTGTGTGGTGGGCAGTTATCAAAAGCGAAGGAAGTCGCTCATACTATACGCTGGGTTTCCCGCTTTTGAATGAATCCGTATCTACGATGTACCAATCCGTTTTCCGTACTTATCAACAGGGATATTCTCCGCTCTAACCTTTTGTATGTTCCGCTTGATTGCATCCCAGTCACGGCAAGTATGTGTCTCGTGCTGGCCAACCAATTTCGGAACGAAATCTGTGTGGCCGGGGTAATGAATGAACTCAAACCTCTCCATGTTCATGTTGGCGGCACACATGGTTGCCTGTGATCGGGCATCAGTATTCAACACCTTCTCTTGTCGTTGCTCATGGATGCTTGAGAGCCAGGCTAGAGCTTCTTACCTGACGAATGCTCTCCAAGCAGTGTTCAATATGCTGCTTCGTGCACACTTCGTAGCCGCCGTCTAGGTTCAAGGCAAGTCTCATGTACGTGGTGCGAAAACATACCTAATGGTTGGGTTTAGCAAAGACAGACCAATTCTAACGTAATGAAGGAACCATTTTCTTTCTTACCAAACAATGTAGCTGGTGGAAAACGTTCCAGGCCACAGGCTGCAGCCCCTCAGGTTGTAGTGCATCTTTGTGGAAGTAGTCCGGTAATCCGTACTTGGCCGGCTCATGTATCGCAACAAAGGGCTTGCCAACTTCGCCAAACACTCGTTAGCTCTCTGCTCATTCTTATATCGGGTGGTTGTTGAATGATGGTCAAGCCCTCAAGCCAGCTTACAGGAAATCAAATCAAGCCACTTCTGGTTGGAACCTGGAGCTGTAAAGTTATATGAAGAATCGTGTTCGAACTTCTTGCGAACAAGCGGGACTACGCGAGGGTTAGAATAGCCATTACATTAGAAGTAGTTACATACCATCTTTGATGAACGGGGCTTCGTCGATGGTCGCCATACCCAACCCAGCAGCTGGAGAAGGGCTCTTGGGCTCAGGAATGCATGCAGCCTGATTATGCCCATGGGCCTCTTTGACAGCAGCCTCATAGCCGTATCTCCCCAAACTAAAACCCACTGCAACAGATAGAAGGCAACAGACGAAAGCGCTGACCAAGAGGCGAAAAGTAGATTCGGCGGGTCGGACACGGAGTGGTTGAGTTGATGACCCTTCTTCACTGAGCGTTTCTTCGCTCTGCCGTAAAGCGGAATACTTCGATGAAGGAATAGTAGGAGACATCTTTGAAATTGTCTGTACCACACAAAATGGAATCTTGAAAAAAGGGTAATGAATAAAATCCAAGAATGTCACGGTTGTCTTCGTTAGCACAAGCTAAGCGGTGCTCAGGCGTTTTTGCGTTTCGCGAACAGCGGTGTTCTCTCGTTAAATGATGTCAAAGAACTCCACCCCCTCTAGCAACTTCTTAAACTTCGTACTCTGTGGAGTACAATGTTGCTCAAAAATCCCCGCCCTTTAACAAAGCTTGAGTCAGTATGCAAGTCCTCAAACTAAGGTTTTACACAAACCTTGATTTGTACTTACACTGCGCTAAGCCATCCAGCTGATACTGGTATCCCGCCGGATCACCGGCCTACTTAATCAGTAATCAGCATCGGCCCCATGCTGGCAGAAGTATCCTGGTTTAATACAATCACAATAAAGATGGATGGATGTACTGGCTAAGTGTATATCGGGGCATGAAACGGATGAGGTGTTCTCGTGGATCAACTTCCTGCCACGTCTCTCAACAAATCCAATAGCATTTTGCCGGCTTTTTCCTGCATATGGAAACCTCAAGACGTTGCTACACCATCACCTCCTCGTTATAGACTTTTGGCGTTACATTGGTTCTTCTGTCCCTTGACAATTCTTTCTCTAACCAACGAAAGCTCAAACATGATTTAGACACAATGGCAGCTTCACTATTCTTCTTCGGCGACCAATCCCAGCCAGCAAGTGTGTATCGAGAAATCATTCGCACCTTACAGAAACGCGCCCGTCCCACAACATCATGTCTACATGTATTTTCTAAACAGAAACTGGGAGGCCTAGTGGATAAAAACCATGGCATTCTGGAATGGGCAGATATGGTCACTTCCACAGTAGAAGAAGATAAGACGAACCCGATGACATCAGCCCTTGTGCCTTGTATTGCACAATTTGGCTCTCTACTATGGTTAGTCTGCAAAACCTTTCAAGATATTCCGGTTCAAAAGTATTGGTACTGATACTAGGGTATTGTTTAACCCTATCATTTAGGAAATCACATCATGACATGGATCTTTTGGGTGAAAATTGCCAAATCTTTGTTGGGCAATGTTCGGGTCTCATTCTTGCATGCGGGGCGGCAGCTGCCACAAGCTCCGAGCATCTCGTTAAGCTATCCGCCGAGATGCTGCAAATCGTTGTACGAATGACCAAGTTCGTTACTCAGCGATCTTGGGAAATTGAACCATCTGAGGACCATAGTTGGGCAACTGCTGTCCAACTCCCGAGAGAAGAGTGCCTTAATGGCATCAATCATTGTCTTGAGCATAGTGTGAGTGAACCCATCCCATTCTGACATTACCTTAGCATAAGCAGACTTCTCGATCCTATAAATATATGGTTAACAAGTGTACACTATTAGAGTCTACCGGATTACAAGAAAGCATATGTAAGCTTTCAATCGGAAGAATGGTCTGTGATTTCGGGTCCACCATCGACATTGCGTCTTTTATTATCAGGAGTTTTCGCCAATGCATCCAAAAAAGAACTTCCAATCTTTGCTGCATACCATGCAAGCCACCTTCGAGAGCCCCAGTATGTACAAAAAGCACTTTCTTATCTTTGATGTCTGAATTTTAGCGAGTACACCTTGTTCGAGTGACTCAATGCCGTCTAACACGGTCATTACAGATATGATGATATTTTAGGATCTTCTCCAGTCTTGGATATCTCAATACGATCAGGCGTTCAGATATTGTCTTCAAGCACAGGTGAAGCATACGAGGGCAGCATGCTGCGTTGCGTACTAATGCAAGCGCTTCGCGACATTCTTCAGCAGCCTGCTTCTCCGTCACGAGTTCTCCGCAAAGTTCAGAATCAGCAAAACTCTGCTACCAATCCATTTAGATTTCATACCTTCGGGCCCTTGTGTCAGTATGCTCCTTTTTATCACCAATTAAAAACGGCCGGAATCAGAATATGCAAGGTTCCCGCCCTTTGCCTGAACGAATCAGGGCCCAACGGAACTAATGACGATAATGAGAACTTAGAGGAAGTGGAAGAACAAGATAGTGATGAAGATGACCATATCATTGCTATTACGGGCTACTCTGGTAGATTCCCAGGCGCCCAAAGTGCCACCGAACTGTGGGATTTGCTCTGCGAAGGGCGTGATATGTCCGGTCAGGTAACTTAACCTGAGTCCCAGTTCATTTTCTCCAGGCTTAGTACTGATGTACAAGAACAGATGCCGACAGAAAGGTTTGCTCAAGGGTCTCTAGATGCCTTGCCGACAGGTTGCTTCCTTGATGATGCCGGTCAGTTTGACACGCAATTTTTCAACATGTCAGGTCGTGCCACGCTTCAGACGGATCCGGCACACCGACTGCTTCTTCTTGTAACGCATGAAGCATTAGAGATGTCAGGTTATAACGCAGCATTGCACACCCGACATGTCGGCACCTATATTGGGCAAGCCACTGATGACTGGCGGGAGTACAACATGGATCCAGACGATCCTTATTATGTCACTGGAGGCTTGCGAGCCTTTGGTCCAGGCCGGCTCAATCACTTCTTCGGCTGGGATGGTCCATCTTTGTCAGTGGATACAGCGTGCTCATCAAGTGCCATGGCTATTGACCTCGCCGTTCAAGCTCTGAGAGGTCATAAATGCGAAATGGCCGTCGCAGGTGGTGTGAACATCATTACAGGCGATAATGATTCTGGCATGTATGCAGGCCTCGGCCGTGGCGGCTTCTTAGGCAGCGCCGGTACTGCGTGCAAGACTTTTGATGCTACTGCAGATGGATACACTAGGGGTGAAGCTGTGTCTGTTGTGATTCTCAAGAGATTGAGAGATGCCAGAAAAAGCGGTGATACAATCCATGGTGTCATCAGAGGTATCGTTACGAATCATTCGACAGACACAAGTCCTATCACACGTCCATCAGTGGCTGCTCAAAAAGACCTCCTACGTCGAGTTTTAAATGAATCCTCAAGGGAGCCTGAAGATGTATCATACGTTGAGGTCCATGGCTCAGGGACTCAAGCCGGTGATAGAGCCGAAGTTGAAGCTGTTGCAGCTGTTTTAGGGGGCGAGCGCCACGGCCATTGCCGCACTACGATCAGGCCAGGTAATCTTCGTATTGGCAGTGTAAAAGCCAATGTCGGACATAGTGAAGGAGCAGCGGCGATTACTGGTCTTGTCAAGTCCTTGCTGATACTTCGTCATGGCCGGATTCCTCCGCATATCGGCCTTAAAACTGGACCAAATGCTAACTTTCCTCAGCTCAAAGATTTGAATATTCGAATCAACTTAGAAAATGAGCCACTGCGTGACCAAGCCAACAATGGTCAGAACCATTCAGAGCAATACCCATCAGCTATCATCATCAACTGTTTTGGAGCTGCTGGTGGTAATACCAGCATTCTTATCGAGCAAGCGCATAAAGAGATAGAGTCAAATCAGGTCTACAAACAAGAAGAAGAAGTTGACAATCCCGGATTTCAAACATATCTCATAACCATTTCAGCGAAGACCCGGTCTTCCCTTCTGGGCAACAAGCTTCGACTTCTCGATTTCCTGAAGCAAACACCAAATACCCAGCTATCTGATCTATCCTACACCACCTGTGTGCGGCGAAATCACTACAAATTTCGCTCTGCTTACCTCGCTAGAACTATTGAGGATCTTCTACAGCAGTTACATAACGACACTGAACCACTTGATTCAGTTGGTGTATGTCCACCACTCTCTAGTTCACCGCCTCAGGTCGTTTTTGTCTTTCCTGGACAGGGCATCAAATTAGCTGGGGCAGCTCAAACGCTATTTAAATCTAATGATGTGTTTCGAGAAGCCTTGTGCGACTACAGCAGCCTAAGTGAGGCTTTAGGATTTCCGGGTGTGCTCGATCACCTTACCATTACTCCGACTGACAGTGATGCAATGAGAAATACAGACAAAGTCGCAAAGGATACGGTTTTGGAGCAAGTCTCACTGGTCACACTAGAGCTTGCGCTTAGCAGTATGTGGAAGAAGTGGGCAGTACGACCCTCCATCGTCCTTGGACACAGTCTCGGGGAGTACGCAGCCATGCATGAGGCTGGGATTTTGTCCGCCTCCGATACCATTTGGTTGGTAGGCAAGCGTGCCAGTCTAGTACAGCAAACATGTACAGCGGACGAGTGCCGCATGTTGGCTGTGTTTGCGAAAGGCGGTGATCTTGAACCAATCATGAAGGACTTCAGAAGAATCGAGGTTGCTTGTTGGAACACGCCTTTACAGATCGTCGTCGCTGGGCCCATTGACGACATCCTTGCGTTCCAAAACAAAATCAAAGCAAGAGGAATGAGAAGCGTCCTGATACCCACTCCATACGCTTTCCACACGGCACAAATGAACGGAATTCTGGATCAGCTGCGAAATATCACCAAAACCGTTTCTTTTACGAGTAAGCCCCGTGTCAATTTTCTATCGACAGTCTACGGCACAGTGCTCAAATCTTGCTCTTCATGGTCTGAGTACCTGGTCAATCATGCCCGACAACCCGTTCGCTTCTCTGAGGCACTTCAAACTGTGATGTCACTGAATTCCAATTGCAACACACTCTTCATAACCTTATCGCCGACTCGCTCATGCCACGACATGGTAGCAGCTAATGCCACTAGCACTAGAGACAATGTCGTAGATATCCTCGAAACAATGCGCGATAACAATCCTGACTGCTTAAGCATTATGGCGTCTAGCTTGGCAAAGGGCTACACCAGCGGAGTTGACATCGATTGGGTGCGATATTTCAAAGCGACGAAAGGAACGGTAAGACTATTAGAGCTTCCACCCTACCATTTTGACTTGAAGGACTACTGGATTCCTCTGGTAGGAAAGTCCAAGCAAGTTAGAACATTGTCAACATTATCGCCCACTTGTTTCTCATCATCCACCCGCCCCCTTGCTACGGGAGCAAAGGAAGCCACAACAACAGAAGTCATTCGGAATCTCTCACAAGAGCCTCTAAGAAGCTTGATATCGGGCCATGCTTTCCGTGAGAAAGCAATCTGTCCAGCAGGTGTGCTTATCGACCTGGCCTTTGTTGCAGCCCTTGAGATGCTCGGCAATCAGGCGAAACTACGTTCTCTCAGGCTGAGTTCATTACGCATACTATCCCCTATCATACTTGAAGGCCAAGATAGCGTCGATGCAAACAAGTCTCTCAAGGTCACGGTGGAGAAGCTCAAAAAGTCTTCTGAACTTCGAGTCAAGTTCTCGAGCTGTGGTAAGCCGTCGAAGCACCATGCAAGCTGCATCGTACATGTCACAGAAGACTTAAGTCCTGGCAGCGAAAACAGCTGCTGTTCCGCGGTTAACACACTTCTTCGTGCCAGCTCTCGCATTATGAAGCTGCGCTACAGCACCTGTGCAAATCACTTTACGCAGCCAATGATTTACAAGATGTGGGCGTCTGTCATGCACTATTCCCCCAAGTATCAAGTTCTCCAGGATTTGGTAATGGCATCTGCGGGCTACGAAGGTGCTGCCAGAATCCTGACGACTGCCTCTGAGAATGACAGTCAAACCTATGTAGCAGACCCTGTTTGGCTGGACGGCATCATGCAGGTTGCCGGGTTTACGGTGAACATGAATGTCGCAGCTACACCTGGAGCTGTATACATTCTAACGGAGTGCGCGAAAGTTACTTTCTGGGACTGTCCAAAAGAACAACATGTGTATTCATGTTACACACACGGTAAATTGTTGTCCGGGTCTGCGGATATCCTGATGGACGTCTGGGTTTTTGATGAGCATCAAGACATGAGTTTGGTGGCCATCGTCAACGGCTTGCGGTTTCACAAGCTTGATGGTAAGGACGTCAAGCCTATCAGCTCCAGAAATCCTTCTCTTCTTCTACCTGCAGAGACACTACTAGTTAGTGATAGTGAGCCGAACGTCGCAACCAGCTCGAACCTTACCAACAATTCTGTCGAACCCTCCAAGTCCGGTACTAGTTACGGTCTTAGGATACCGGAGCGAAAAGCAATTCTCGAGCGACTCATAATTCTACTGGCCAAAGAGACATTTTCAGACCCCGCTGAGATCAACGAAGAAACAATCATGGCAGACTTGGGCATCGACTCGCTACTAACATCATCCGTAGCTCAGAGTGTGCACACCGAGTTGAACGTCGAAGTACCACTCCTAGCATTTCTAGAGAGCCGGACCGTTGGTGACCTGGCCACACTCTGCGCTATGACTCTTAATGGTACTAGCACTAATGGTTCTGATGGGAAAGACCCAGATTCGAGTGGAAACCCCGCGAAACGTTCTTACATCAATGGCAGCGATTGCGCCATTGATTCTTCAGAATGGCCCAACACACAGGATTCTAGCAGGCTGAGAGCCACGCACTCCATCACAAGAAACTTGGAAATGGGTCATTCAAGCAGAGTTGTGCTGATGCAAAAGTCTGTTCACTCAAAAGAGAACATGTTTCTGCTACCGGATGCATCTGGGAGCAGCGCTGTCTACACCGGTCTTCCCCCCAATTTATCCATCGACACAAACATGTCTTACTTTGCTCTCGAATCACCATTTCATGGAATGGAAACAGCTCCTGATTGTTCCATGGAGAGATACTGTTCCTTCTTTGTCGAAGCCATCCGACGCGTTCAGCCTTTGGGACCCTACATGCTCGGGGGTTGGTCACTCGGGGGCCGTGTTGCATATGAATGTGCAAGACAGCTTATACAGCAAGGGCAACATGTGGCAGGGTTGTTTCTTATCGAGTCGTACGCATCTCTCACTCCACATCTCCCTACAGGTCTAGATGAGATCTCGGTCAAACATCTTGAGAGCACAGGCTTTTTTGAATGGTCTCGGCGAAAACCAGAAACAAAAATGGGGACTGCTGAGTGGCAGAGACAGCATATCCTTCGTCTCATACTTATGAATAGCGCCTATGTGCTTCCGAACTTGCATGCCAAAGGCCATGAAAAGCTATTGTCGGTACCGGTGCAACTAGTGTGGTCAGCACAAGGCGACTTTTCACAATTTCCCGCCAAGATTCTGCAGGCGAAATCCGAAATTGAGACAAGATGTACAATGAGAACTTCCACGAAAAATGAGAAACACTGGTTGGAGAAGCCACGGCTGGAAGAAGTGGTGGCAAAGCATTCTGACGAGTGGCAGCGTCTGATAGGGACAAATGTGCAGCGGCATATTGTGAAAGGGGATCATTTTGACATTATGCTTCCAAGAGTTCGCGATGATCTGGCTCATGTGCTATTGAAAGCGGTGAGTTGGTTTCGCGGTTCTGACAGGGTAGACCATGGGGCCTTGCAACATGTTGCTTAACAACGGAAGCCTTCTACGCCGCAAAATCATTTATCAAATCAAACGTGCTGTTTTATCACAACGTTTTGAACAAATCCTTTTATGTTTCTGAAGTTTCAGCTTCTCACCTTTGTTCTGCCTTTGGTGTATGATACATTGTTACTGATGGTTCGTTGACTTGTTTTGATTATTGCCTCGAAACCATTGCACTACGCCTCAGTAGCACAGATGTTTGGATGTGTGATAAAATGGAATAACGACATGGAGCATATCTCATATTCTAGTTACATTAGTTACCTACGTTTGAGCCACCAGTACAACAGCATTCCAAGTCCTGCACATGCCGAAAGTCGCTGTGCTAGCTTGCGCAGCAGAAGCCTCTCGCCCGCCCTATGCCCTTGAACTTCCCAAAAGTCACCCCCAGAGTTCTTCCATGGATAGGCCGTCTCAGGAATAGGTAAGCACAGAAATTCGCAGAGCGGCCCCCAGCCGTCCTTGGGCCCAGAGAAAATTAGCATCCTCTCTGGATTTTCCTGCACAATGGCTTCGATTCGGACATGATGGCCGTCGTAGGGTGCCCGTCCGGGTACTGCCTCAGCCCAACCGCCATAGGCTGTGTCCATAACAAGGCGCAGAAAGGGCCACCAAGCAGCTCGGAACGGATCAAGTGGGTGAAGAAGACGGAACACAACCGAACGACGTAGAGCAAAAACGGTCTTTTCCATGGATGCACGCCACGGCTCATAATCCCTCTTTGAGACGATAATTTTAGCTTCAGGATAGGCTGCTGCAAGATCTTCGGCAAAGAGAAGAGCATGGGGACATTTTACGACGTCGTAATCGCCAAGAAGTTTATCGAACTCGGCGCGCCCATACGGCTTACACCGCCCGTGATACTTGGCCTCGATGGCTTCGGTCCACAGAGGGATCGTTTCTTGCCAGTTAGACCACATGGCTTGGAATGAAAAGACATTGAAACCGAGTTGTTCTAAAGCAGCATTCAAAGCTATGCCTTAGGTTAGTACAGTTGCTGATATGTGAGTATAAGTAAGGCTATGGCTTCTTCAAGGGAAACAAACATTCTGTTGCTGTGCGTGGAAGGCCGAGAAGTAGCAGTCTCATAGGCCGCGTTCTCGTCTTATTCACGGAGTCTATGAGACGTGGACTTCCTTCCATCTCTGCAATTGATTAGCACTTGGCTTTTGCTCTGCACCCGTTTGACAATAACTTACTGGATATCTTCGCAACGAATTGTATTCTCCCTTCAGGCGCGGCCTTTTTCTATTTCCGATCAATTTTATTTGGGTTTTGCTTCGAGTATTCACGTATCTCAACTTGCTGAAGCCAGAACGAGGCTTCTATAAGTGCTTTTTCAACGTTAAAGAACTCTTTAGTGTATTCATTACTCGTGCGGGTGTCTCGGATTGTCTGACAATACCCCAGTGCGTGGTTACACATTTATTTATGGGGAATACATACGGGCTAGTGACTCTCATTTCAATAGACTTTGCCTCATCAAAACGCCGAACCCTAAAGTCAGAGAGCAGCACTGCCAGGGCGTATGCCCGGCTAATCCTACTCTTGCCGGTTCTTCATATTCTCTTACGGCTCAGACATGTTGGTACATAAAATCTACCTCCTTCAGCCCAGCGAAAAGATTTGGCGTGCAAGCGGCCAAAGAAGGGCAGCAAATCAAGAAAATCTCTGAACACCCTCTGGGGCTTTTCCTTTCTACATAGCTAAATCGTTGTGACGAACCTGTGGAGCTACCACCTCGTAGAACGTGCTTAGCAATGCGTTTCGCTCCTTACAATGGCCATACGATATCTCGTGTCACGATCGCAGATCCTTATAACCTAAATAGCGGTATGTGCTTCTTCCACAAGCAGCCCCGTGACACAAATAATTCCTTGGAAAATACCGCGACTGAGTCATGAGTGGCCGTTATTGACACCGTCATGCAATGGATTCTTCAAGGGATGATAAATGAGACTCTTTTAATTGCATTACAGACAATGATAACCAAAGCCTCGTAGCTTCGAAACCCCAGTAGTATGTATGCATTGCTTCCCAAACTGTACGACGCAACCCCAGGAGTTGTGTTCCGTGGCGCCTTCTGGGCGCAAATGACATGTCACAAGATTTACAAGTTCTAAAATAATAAAATTGGGTAACTTGAGAAGAAAAAATTGCATTTAAGTTGCATCCATGCTGAAAAATGAAACCTCAACGATAGCATTGAATAGCACTGGTCAACTGTCAAGTACCGCCTATGACTAACCAAGAAACCTTGGAACTTTACGATGATTTGGGCAAGAAATTGTAAATTCATAGCTTCCCAACTTGCTCTCTACATCTTGATTCTCAAGATCATCAGAATATACAGTCTGCCTTACTCTTCCGATAGCCCACGCATTGATCGATACAGTGTACTCTAGCATACAATGTCTGCGGCAACGCTCAAAGTATGATGTTTGTTGACAGCCACCGATCTGTCTCCATCTGCGTTCAGTGACTATCATATCTCGTTGCCTGATAGTGTGAACTAGATGGACTTGCCATTCCCGTAGCGGTCCGCGGATAGCCGTGTCCTACGCCTTTCCTGACTCCGCTCCGCCACTGTAGGCCGAATCAACGGGAAGAGTTGGGTGCGGGATAGCTTTCTCCATATCGTCATCCTGTCCGGGGTTCGCGGTCTGATACTCGAGCCATTTGAACATGGCATAAACGACATATGACAGAAGTGCACCTGCAAGAGGACCCAGCCAGTAGATCCAGTGGTAGTTGACGAAACCGGCGATTACAGCCGGTCCGAATGAGCGTGCGGGGTTGATAGACGTTCCGGTCCAGTTCGTGGCCGTGATATGGGCGACAAAAACTGAGATACCGACGCCAATTGGTGCGAGATATGTCGCGCGGTGCTTCTCAACAGCAAGAAAGTAAACAGTCAAAACCAACTGTGCTGTTAGAAGGAGTTCGATGAAGAAACCTTGAGGGATTGTAGCTCCATTTCCGAGCGTGTTGTTGACGCGGAGTGGTCCAGGTAAAACTCCGTACACAACGGCGGCGGCAGCGATACTGGCCGCAAGCTGAGCGGGCACAATGCAAACAGCACGGAGTGGCTTGACTGCGCCAACAAGTACGAGACCAAGAGTTACCTTAGGCATAGTCAGTACATTATGTCAAGATGACGATTGGTGGCCGGGGAGTCAAACCGCAGGGTTGAACATTCCACCACTGACACGGTAGAAGATCCACACGTTAATGGCGATAGCAGTGCCGAAAGATGCTGCTATGTACAGCAAACTGTCAGGCCCAAGGGGAGCTTGCAAGTTGCTTCCAGCGTTGGTAACGATGGCGGTCTGCGCTCCTATGAACGAGAGAAGCAGGAACATGAACGTTCCACAGAACTCGCCCAGGACAATTACCAAGAGGTTGCGCGAAGGAATAGAGTACGGGTAGCCGCGCTTCTCCGGAGGAGCATGAGCAGCATGTACCGCATCGACGGCTTGCCTTACAGGTGCGTGGGCGGCTGTGGGCGACATTTTGTAGGGTCTTTGTTTTGAAAAGGGTCAAAGAGTTTCGAGATCAGATGTAAGAACTTGGTAAGACTGATGGCTTGGATTATAATGAGCTTTTCAAACACGAATATTGCCTTCTTTAAGTACTTTTCCTTCAACTCTATCTGAAATTTGAGGCTTTCGATAAGATTCTCTTGTTCTCAACCGTCTGTCATGATCTTGTGAAGACGACAAGAGCTCACGTCATCGGCCGGATGCAGTATTCAGGGAACATGCTGCTTAGTCGTTGGGCATCAACTCACCTCGTGATGCTACACGCGATCACGATGTTTTCAAGTGGTTGAATGATCTTAGTTTTGGGCTGCTCAGGACTCGGGCATGGATCTGTATGTCTTGCCGTTGCAGTGATGATCGTTTCGAGGGCTTGTTTTCACAATAGAAACCTGCTGAACTAAGCTCTATAGCGCTTTGTTCCAAGCTATACCTTGCTTTCTACATACAATCATCCAAGAGATGAGGTAGTATGATGCATCTAACCCCTCGGTATTGACCAGTCTGTATGTCTTGGTACGGCAGTGCTGATCTTTTCAAAATATTTTGAGGCTACCAGACACAGGTACACGATGTTAGCCGTTAAACTGTCTGTCTCACAGTCTTATTCGCGCTTAATCTTTCCAGTGAATGCACTATGATGATCATGGTGACCGATTCCTTTCGTTGCCGACAGCCTTGGCTCTGCGTGTCTTAGAGTCGTACGTTGCGAGGACTCTTTCAAGTCAACATGTCATCTGATTCGTTCAACGCCTCTCTATGCCTTGCTCGAACCGTCTTGCTACTGCACAATGTATTGATCTCATTCGCGAAAACCACATGTTCGGTTTCAACGGAGAAAATGTAACATTGCCCCAAATTTATCAGTAAAACAATTGGTTTGTTCAAGGATAAGCCTTTTTGAAGAATCCGCCCTCACCCGAGCATACCACACCCAAGCCGCAGGCGGTATGAGACAAACTGCAAGTACTTGGGCACCGGTCTGATGGTGGACTTTGGATATTTTACCCCTTTCTCTATTTAGCGCTCTGTGTAGAGACAACGGTAACTCATTATCGGTACTGCAAACACGTACACCTTGTAAAACATGTTCTGAACCTTGATTTTGAGCTTGATCTTTGAGATTTATTGAGTAGATGGTATGTGATTGAAGACCAAGAAATGTCTGATGCTATCCTATTCTGACTTTCCGATACGTAAACCACGTTTTTCTTGGAGGCTCTATCACGGATAACAAATATGCATGTCATACGAGGCAACCAATGATTGTGAGAAAGAAGAGAAGCGCCCAATACAAGCCCAATCACGACCGATCGACACGCGGCCCGAGCCTAAGCACTAAGAGCACTTCGAAGTCGATCTGCGACAACGGTCAAAGGATCTGCGAAGGGGTTGGAAATCGGTTTTATGCATAGCTAACTGACAGGGCGGACGTTGACCCTGTCTGAAGGCGTTATTTCCCGCATGGTGGCGCAAGTGCTGGCGCCACGGAATGTGTCTTTGGGGAAATATCCGGGGCTTATAGCTGCTGTTTCGGCAAGAAAATCTCCTTCGATGGCTCCAGTGCATACCTTGGTTTCATCTTCCATTGTTGGTCGATAGCTTACATACTTGGCATCATGAGGATCTCAGTTTTTGGGCGCATCGTGAGTGAGGTCTTTTGGGGGGGAAGTCTCAGGGTGCCGCAACAGCAGTACTCAGCTATGTATACTAGCAGGGTCAAGGTCAAGAGGTAATACCCCGCCTCAGCATTTCGAAAATTCGGTTAAAACTTCTCAGTGACTGAGGACACGGTGTGAGACAAGGCGCGACCAGTGCCACCATCATTCTTCTCCTAGGACAACCTTTTCAGTCACTTCATAATCGATATTTCCATAATTAACCAAGGGGTTCTTTGCATAATGACGCTTTTTCCCTGTCTTACCGCGCTGCTTTCCGTTGACAGCATTGTCGCTGAGCTTCTCAACTCTGCCAAGATTAGTATTAATGTTGAAACACGAGAACAACGCGGCGGTACCAAATAGGAATGCAGATGCGAAGAACCTGCAGTCTCCGATGCTAGGAGTTCGTCACAACTGTGCAATGATATCATGCATATCATCCATCAGAGCATGCCTCAAGGAGGCTTGCCTGAGAAAGACCTCAGATATCCAGTAGATTTACATCAGTCGTCCTCAGTTAAAATTTAAGCGCCATCCATATTTCAAGTGTTACACTTTGCCATTCCTCCAACTATGAACTACTGGAGGTAAAAGGAGGCGTTTCCGCCACCATGCCTTTAGAGTATCGTGGAATATCAATGTGAGATAAGAGTGTTCGATAGCTGATATACCATGCACGTTAGCACACAGTTATCATCAATCCTTTCTGAAACGTTTTGATAAAATGAAGAAGGCAACGGTAGGCATTTTATCGTCTGTTCCAAGTAAAGGCGCGGATTTATTTGGTCATTTTAATTGGCTTAAACTTTGGCAAATATTGTCAATACAGAACCGGTCTTATTTTCCTAAAATTCTCAGATCTTGAAGTCAAATCTTAAGGTATTTATAGATTGATATCGGAAATCATGCCGAGTCATGCGATTGATGTAGTAGGCGAAGGTGTGATCAAGCTCTTTTCAACTTTTTGTCCATGGTTGCTTGCTTGCTTCCACAGTCCCAAGGGATTTATAAAACATACAAGAAGGCTTTCATCGACCTTACCTGCGTATCCGTCGTCAGACACGAAGGGTGTAAGGGAAAATTCGGAGACCAAAGTTCAGCCTCCCTTATCCCAACAGGGAATTTGGGTTGAAGCTAAGACGGCCAGAGCCAACCCCTTAATATTTGTCACCAGCCACCGATGGCAATCCACAGTATCTTAGCTGGTGATAACTAACAAACTAGGGAGAGTAATTTTAAGCAGTTTTTTTTTTTTTTTTTTTTTTTTGCCCTTGGCGATGCCTGCAGCTTCTTCTAATGAAACTATCACCATCCCATCAACGGTTTGCCAGCTTCTTCAATGCCTTTATCGCTCAACATCTTGGGTCGCAAACAGCATTCAAAACTACTCAGGCTTCATGAAATTCATGGCGAGGTTGTTCAAATTGGGCTGAAAGAATTAGTACTGCTTATCATGACACATGAAAGGAAGTTTGGGGCTATCTGAAGAGCGGGCAATCTGAAAACCAAAACAGACCCTGCTTTATCTTAGCAAGAACACAGATTTGAGCATTGCTTCTGCTAGCTGTGAGCTATATGGGCTTTTGAGATGGATCTTAGTCCATTGACTCTCCAACTGAGCGATGCCTGAGCAGCAGACAGTCATCCATATCTTCATCAAGCTTCTTATAGAAAGTTTGGGTATGAGAGAATACAATGCCAAGTCAACAAAAATGGTTGAATGATACGAAAGGATGAGGTTCGAAGTTATGGATATTTGTAGAGCAGTTTAGATGTCTTGAAGGTTAATGCCATGTTAAAGGCTACCATCGACCTTTCTCGAGCGCAAACTTGGTGACCCATTAGTATTGTGAACAATGATTTCAGCAGATGTTTAGAACGAAAAAGAAGTAATCAGGGAATTAGTTTGGGAGACGGTGAACAGGCAAATTAATCTGAGTTCGGACGGGCCTGACTTTGTTGAGGTCTTCTGGAGAAAAAGGGATGAAGATGAATATCCAAATTCTCCAGCTCAACCAAAGGCATGCTTGCTAATAATCAATTTGCCAGAAAATGACTCACAAGGTTATTCACACATGCGCGTTGTTGACCACTCCGACCTGACTAACAACGGCAATGTTACTGGTCGCGATAACATACTTCCTTACTAGTCATTCCGTGGCCCTTGTCAAGCTGAACTTCGGGTTCGCAACGCATTTGAACCCGAAAACGAGTCTGGCATCCATGGTGACCAAAGCCTGCTCTATATACTCTCTCTGCTGAAATAATAGATACACTTTCACCCGACAGTACCGAGATTTACTTCAATAGAATCGCTTTCGTAAGGGACTATGGTTCCAGACGAATACGTTGTGGGAGGGGTGAGTTAAAATTCTAAATTTCGTTCCTGTCGCTCAGCTATACCCAATGAAACTAACAGACGATGCGAAGCCACGCTCTAGGCATTTGGCAGTCTATCCCTTGATATAGCCAAATCCTTTTCCTTTCCTTGATCGTTTTATCCCTGAACCATGCTCTGACGACGAAAGATTTATCGACGATATCCAAGATAAGCGTTTTCCTATGACATATCAACAACTAGTGAGCAACAAGAAAGTGGGCTTGTCCAGCTAGAGTGAAAATATGAGAAACACAACTAACCATGGGAATCCTTGCTTTTACTAGAATAGGGCTGATGTTAGCTCTCATCTTCTAGAACTTGACTTTGTCGCTGTTAGCTGAGTCATGATACCGAAATGCAGACCAAGAAACACATCTTTTCTGAAGCATATACATTGAAAGGATTTCGTCGACTGCTTGATGTTTCTCTTCCCAGGGCCTGGGCAAGGCCGATGCAGATCGGGGCTTCTGTTTCTACTAGTCTTTTAATCCATGTACTTAAAAGATTCGGGATATATATTCTAGGCACACAGAGGTAGGTACTGTTGACCTTTAGTGATATATAACGCCTATGTTCGAAAGCCAAGAATAAAATAGGAAAAGACAAAAAGGTTTTCTTTTGCTAAGTGCAACCCCGGGCAAAACTGGCTGTTAATTTGAAAGTATTGATAGTGTACATCGTCTTGATAGCAAGGCACTCAGAGAGGAGAGGAGTAGTGAATAGAGCACAGCCGGTAACTCTTTCTGACATTTAAGCATTGATAAAAGCACTCAGCAGCACAACTAATCTGAACTGTTTCAAGCCACTCTGCTGGCCGCGGGGGATGAAGATGAGATAAGACATTTGTTGATATTATTTGGATAGGAGCCACATCAAAATTTGTGTTGGCTTCAGAAGTTTGATCATCACGGCTAGTGGGATCTCAACCATGG